AACGTTAAGTAAGGTAAGGTAAGGTAAGGTAAGTAGTTACTTACGTTATTATTAGTACGTAGTAGTAGTAGTAGTAGTACGTACGTACGTACTACTACTTACTTACTTACTACTAAAATAAAAAAAAAAAAAAAAAAAAAAAAAAAAAAAAAAAAAAAAAAAGGTAGGAAATAAGTTAGAAAAGAACAAATTTTTTTTCATCATGTTTCTAACCTTTTTTCTCCCTTTTTCATTCAACTTAAGGTTCATCATCTTGCTCCTCTTTCCCATCTCCCTACCTAAGGGTCTTGCCTATAAAACCGATTCATTACGCTTTCCTCTTCCCCTCTTTAAATCTAGCTAGACATACAATCATTTTATTCATTCATGATATCCAGACTCTGTTTTGACCAGCAAAACAATTCCAGTGTCTGGCTTTTCTCTCAAAAAATTAAAAATTAAAAGGTAAAATAAAAAATAAAAAAAAACAACAGAGTAATACAAGACAAAGAGTCGAAACCTTTTTGTTTTTCTTGGTAGTTCTGTCCTTCTGTTGCTTTCAAAATTCAAACCCTCTTCCATTTCATGCTTGCATCATTCGAGAATTCCAAGTCTTTTTCATTAGTTGTCCTGACAAATCCTCTCCTTCCCAATTATACGTAGGTCTATCCATTCCTGAACGTCTCAATTTGTTGTAGTTCAATCGTGCCAATTGCTTGACTGGTGACCGCTTTTGTCCTTCTAGCAATTGCAGTTTTTTGGGCATTTGAATCGTGTATTCTTCTCCGTTTATGGATGGTTCCTCCATATCATACACATTTTGCGTGTCTCTTCTACTTTTTCTGTTTTCATTGACTATCGGCTCTTGCTCCGTTGAGTAACCAGACTTGCCATGCAGAGTTTTGGCAACTTTGGATGGCTGCTTGCTAATGCTCGGATACTGCAAATTCAACTTTTCTAACTTTTCAATATATCGAAAATCCAAAGAGTCATGCTTCGTTTTCTGCCTATTTTCTTCAAAAACATGCCCCGGAAGTGACCCGGGAAGTACCGCCGTCGTTGATTGCTCCTTGTCGAAGATTCCCTTGCTTGTTTTTCGTCGCGTTCGCAAAATCTCATGTAAATCATCATTCTTTTGTTCCTGAGTTTTGCTTTTGCATTGTAAAGAACTATCAAGTAATTTCGCCATTGAATCCATCACATGGTTGACATCATGTCGATCACGAAGCGATGCAGACTTTTTCTCGATAGGGCTTCGCGGTTTATACGCGTGCTTCATAAGTGTTGCAGTCGTCTGCAGTGCCCGTGATGACATGTCTTTCTTTTTCACACTAGGTGCTTCAGTGATCGGTAACATCGGTTTCTTTGGTGCAAAAGAGGGCGCTAGCTCTGTACATACTACTTGACTCATGCTCAATTTCGGTTCTTGAATGGCCGTTGTTTCAATGGCTGTGTCCATAACCATCTCCATCGCAGATGCATTGGCTGCTTCAGCCAGACCATCGGTTTGAGGATTTGATATCTGCATGTGCTGCATAGACCCCACCATTTGCTGTACATATCGTTGGTAGCGATTGTCTACCTCCCTTAATTGTTTTTCCATGTCACGACGCAGAGCCTCTTCTTGTTGCGCCAAATTGGCAGCAATGTAATTACCGAGTTCGCTTTCGCGGGCAGCCAGCTGTTGCTCTCGAAGAGTAATCTCGCTTTCTCGTTGGTTCAAGGATTGTTGCTTTTTCCGGAGAAGTTTGAATTGATCCTTCATCAAACGTTCTGTCTCTAGTTGCTTTCTAATGTCCATTAACGCAGGAGAAGACAATAGTTGAAATGTAGTGGGGCGTACATCACAGTCAATTTCCAAACAATGCCGAATCAATTGATAGAGATCATCACTGTAATAACGATCCCAGTGGGAGAGGTTTCCTTGGCAAATGTTCTTTTGCAACTCCAGATAAGATCTTCCTTCAAATGGATGGCTAAGCATACATACTTCAAACATGACGCATCCAAGCGCCCATATATCCGATTTCGCACTGTAAGGATTATTTCGAATTATTTCGGGTGACATATAATACGGGGTTCCTACATAACTATGGGTGAACATACGGGTATTATCCAATAATTTAGATAAGCCAAAATCTCCTAACTTTACCGAATGATCTTCATCAAGGAATACATTGGCAGGTTTTATATCTCGATGCAAGACAGACTGGTTAGGAATGTGGCTTTCGTTCATCCATTGGCTCTCCGTAACAGGAGCATCTCTACCATAATGACATCGATACAAGGCGAGTAAAAGTTGTGTAAAAAAGCGAAGTACTTGATGCTCTGGAAATCTCTTTTTTTCTTCTTTATAGGTTTCAATGTGCTTTGCTAGATCTCCACGGTCACAATATTCCATATAAATATTGATTACTTGAGTAAGTCTGTTTATTTCCTCGCCACAGTACTGGACGATATTTGGGTGCTTCAAATGTCGAAGGATATTAACTTCGTCTGCAATGTGCTGCTTCTCTTGTCTACTTATATTTCCAAAAGGAATCTCTTTTTGAGCTAGTAGTAGCCCGTCAGAAAGCCTTTGAACCTTGTAAATCCTGCCAAAGCTTCCATGACCAATGCATTCTAGAATTTTGTACTTTTCGGCCATAGTAAGGAAGAGTGCATAAAAACCTGCACAAGGCGATCCAAGACGTCTTCAAAAGACAAAACCAATGAAATATAAGTCTTTTTATTTCCAAAAACTTTCGACTTACGAAACAATGTTGTTTTTGTGTGAAGAGTGCAAGTTCAAACAGCCTTCCTCAGTATTTCTTCACCGTTACTTGTTTGTCTCTTGGATGTAAACAACGTTGGGTAACGTTTCTGTTCTATATAAACAAAATGCTACTTATATGCTGCGCAACGTTACAGTAATAAACAAATTGACGGCAAATCAACAGTATTTTAATGAATTTGAAGTATCTGTATTAATAAATGAGATAGAATAAAGCGACTGTGTACTAGAATGATTTGCTATTTTGTACGGCGTTCAGCATACTGAGCGTAAAAGAGAATTCTCACTACAGTAATGAACGAACAGTTTGAACTGGAAAACTTACTACAAGCTAAAGTCTAGTCGACTGATATGTATTTGATTCATTCTATACATCCACGTTTCGTTGTACGTTTAGTGGCTTTCTCCGCCACTGCTTGTTTATATGAGTACATATCAGGTTCTTTAGATTCATTTCACACCGTCCAATTTTCATTCACGTAAATCAATAAGCATTTTCTATACAAAAAAAGAATTTTTGAGAATCTCTTTAGTCATATTCTACCCTTTTTAACAACATACTGGCTGGTCTTGCTTTAGGCGATCAGATTTAACCACTACTCAAAACAACCAAAAGTAAGATTTGTCTTGTTATTCTAATTCAATTCATCTAATAATAGTCTGAGAACATAAGGCTTATAAATTAATTAATTTTGTTCAAAGATGAATCCTTCGTCGTCTTTTGGAGCTAGTAGTTCACCAAATAATAAAAGCCCTTTGAAACCTCTCTCAGTGGATGACTTGCGTTCTCCTTCGCCTCAAAGGGAATTACGTGGAAATAGAGGATCTTTTGCTCCGTCTTCAGTAGAAAAGAAATTCGTTCCTAGTCATTTGATGCATTTGACAGCAAGTCAACGAAAATTCGCTCCAGATGTTAGCTCTCCGCTAAATGAGTTCTTCGACTCACAGTAAGTTTATCATTATTTTACTCTTTCTTAATCTCTATCATTGAAATAAATTTTCGAGATGGATTATTAAGAACTCCTTAGGATCATGTTTAATTTTAATACTAACCGACAATTAGTTCTGGAATCCGTTCCTCTACATCTCCTTCTTCCAAATTTGGTGGACCTAGCTTTGGTACACCAAAACCATTTTTGCGAGCCAACCGTTTGGGAGGAAGTTCGATTATTGAAGACGCTCCTCCTACTCAATCTATTTATGATTTTCCTTCTTCTCGCCAAATTAGCACCTCAAATGTCGATCAAATCACTGCTTCGCCTCTTTCTTCCCCTTTTACCGCTAGAACATTAAATAGTCCCATGGAGCCATTAAAGGAGGTTAGCAGATCTGTCATAGTTTTCGGGTTCCCTCCAGAGTTAACTACTCAAGTTCTAAACGAATTCTCTCGGTTCGGAAAGATTGTCAATCAACACTCTCTTACCGCTTCTACTAGTGCCTTGCCGGGCTTGAAAAATGCTCATGGAAATTGGCTGCAACTCACTTATGCTGAACCTTCTTCTGCTGCTACAGCAGTTCAGTCAAACGGAATGATTATTCATGATTCTTTTATGGTTGGATGTATCTATAGTCCTGATGATAAGCAGAGTCATTCACAGGCGGCTACAAAATTAGACGCTTTAGATATTGAAATGACTGAAGCTGATACCAAAGGAATTCCGCCTCTGACGACTCAATTAGAAGCAAGTGCACAATTCGAAGCGACAATCGGGAAAAGGATAGTCGTCCAACATAATGAGGATATTTTTAAATCATCCCATAAGGACCCGTCTAAAAACTGGTTTGTTCAAAATCTTTTTGGAAATACCTCGAACGATACTATTGAGGAGGAAGAAAAATTGGCAAGTGTAACTGATAACAAAACCGGACAAAGCTCTTTGTTAGGCAAAAGTATTCAGGTGATTCTACACACGCTCTTTGGATTCTAAATTTTGAGCTTTATCGGTTTGTACAAAAATTAACTTGGTTTAACCTTACTGTATAATACATTTGAAAAAGGAAGGTTACGTTATATCAGCAAGCGTAAATTAGCTTCTTTGCTTGACAAGTAAATAATGGATGAATATACAAAACGTTTAGAATATGATTTAATAAAGAACATTCTTTTTTTACTTCTCTGATATGAATAATGTGATTTATTCTCTCCTGCGCCAATATCGTTTGCAAGAAATACATAAGTATGTTTACGGTCCTCAGGTGCCAGAATCAGTATTTAATATAAGCTGTCAAAGCTCTGCATTAAAAAAGCCAAGAAGAACTATAAGCAAGACAAAATATGTATTCTAATGCGATGAGTTTTAGTATTGACCAGATTCCTCAGAATTAAAAATCACATTTTTATGCTTATAAATCTAGAAAGAACCAAAATAATTTTCATTAATTATAACCATTAAGCTCCAAAATAACGTTTTCAATCAAGTTTTTTATCAATTGTAGCGTGCTTTTTTTAAATGCGTGTTCGCATTTCTAAGGCGAATGAAGGGAATATCGGATTTCACTACGTAATCCATGAGTTTGGCAGGATTTATGGGGGCTTCTATTTTTGTTAATAACATAATATTAGTCAATTTTAACATACCGGTAATCATTTGAGCAGATGGTAGCTCTTCTAGTAGTTCTGTAATGATTGGGGGTAATGGAACAGGTGCCACAGGAGCTTGTGCAGAAATAGGAGGAGCTAGAGCTGCTCCAGTCTCTAATGAAGCAGGTAACAATCGAGTATCCTCCATTTCGACATTGCTTTTCGAAGAGTCTGATGTTTCGGAAGCAGCATCATCATCTTTGTTCTGATTAATTGATTCAGTTGTAGGGCGGACGCCATATGTATCTGCATCAAATTCATCTTCCTCACGCTCTTCCTCCAAACCGTAGCGGGACAAGAATATGCTCTGAGTAGACTCCTGAGGATATACTAGAGCCATTCTTTGGCTTAGGGTGATCGCGGCATTGAGATCACCATACCTACTCTCATAATCAAGCCATCTTTGATATATAGGCTTCGCATCACTAGCATCAATTTTTGAAATAGCTTTCTCGAAAAGTGCGCGAGCATTGGTCTCATCGTTAATAGAAATCAAGTAACATAAATATTTATATATATAATCTGGTACGTCGCTAAAGTGCCGTAAACCAAGTTCAAATATTTTTGAGGCGATTGTACTATCCTTAGAACAATGATGTTCCATCAAGGCACTAGCAATGTAAATTTCATGAGATTGGTGCGGCGCTTTTCTTGCTTTTGTAAACACAGATCTCGCCGCTTTGATTCCTTCTGTTCTTCGAATAGCATTCATCAAACAACACCATGCTAGGCTATACTGCTTCACCAACTTTTTCTTATGCTTTTCCGATCTGGATAAGATAGCAGTCGGTTTCGCTTCTTGGTTACTTTGGGAGGTATCAGATACCACATGTTTTTCCACCGCAGTGATTTCTCTGGCCAACGCAGTTACAAGAGCTTCGTAGGATACACGGATGTCGGAAGTTCGACCGTTCGCTTCTTCATGTTCTGCATAACGAACATGTAGCACAAAGCTTGAGGGACAATAACGCATACCACGCTTCATTATCTGTAAGGCACGTTGCTCATCCTGAATATTTAAAAAGTAAGAGAAAGCATCCAGCCAAATTTGAGGACAAAGAGGGATATAGAGCATGGCTTGTTCATAAGCATATGCAATTCTTCCTTGCAAAGTTGTACCATGGTGTAAATCTAAAGGATCATTTTTTTCCCATTCAATCCATTTCATCCAACGAGCATAGGCTGTCTTTTCAGCATTATTATGCTTTCGTTCAAAAGTATAATCTAAAACACGCAATCCGTTGGTCATATTAGAAAGCTCGCGCATGGCAGCTCTAGCAGACATATAGGCAGGAGATTTCTCAGCTACAAACTTTCTAGCTGTGGCCCGGTTAACGCTATTTTCAAATGCATCATAATCTCTCCATAATTTCTCAATGTTATAAATAGGAGTAGAAACTGCACGTTGATAAGTACGACGGACCGCATCTAATTTTTGTTGTTGCTCCCACGTTGAGGCCGCAGGTCCAGAGCGAAGAAAATCAATAAAGTCTGACCAAATTGGACCACTCTGTAAGTCCATCCCAATTGTATTAATAGAAAATTCGTATGCCTGTGTAATTGTTGATCGTGATTGACCTTCTCCTTCGGGATTGATGCGTCTAACATAGCTTAAATACAGTGTCCACAAATCTACAGATAAAACCTTCACCAAGCAACGGCTAAACAAAACTTCAACAGCTCTGAAATCATTGAAAGCAAGTTCTGCATTTATGTAATCTACCCATACGCGCGGAACGTAAGGAAATGGACGCAACATTTGTTCATATGTTTCTCGAAGTTCCTCATGTTTTCCTTTCGATCCATACTCCTCAATTAACGCATACCAAGCGGAAAGATTATGAGGATTTTCCTGAATCTCATCTTTTAACATACCAACTCTGTCATTCGGTAGGCGTTTCCGTTTTACTCCACTGGTTGCTGTTGTAGAATCGGCAACATCTTCTGCCGGTATTTTTGGCGTGGATTCTAATTCTGTATTAGTAGATGACTCCCTTATAGTGCTTGGGTCCACATTATCTCCTGCTTCCATTATCTAGCTATTTTTAGGTAACGCTTGTGATCGAATCTTAGTAGACAGTCTAGTCCGTCTTTTCTCGTGAGTCTTTATATGGACTATAGCTAAGTTTCTCCGTCTTAGCACAAAGCAGTCCTATACAATCCGACAAAATTGATAGAATCAAGGATTATGAATAGGTAGGCACGAATACACATATGCCGTTCGCTTTGGTGGTACTGTGCCTAATAAGGAACAGAAATGAATTCCGTTAAAAAATCTAACGTACTGCGTTTTACTTTGTACCTATCAAATTATGAGCTTCTAAGAGGTCGTTATAACTGAATATTGTAGGAAAAAACTTCCAATTTTCAAGGTGTACTAACTTGACCTTCTCAAGCACTTCACCAATTCATCATTGCAGGATTGTAACTGATCATTGCAATGTTTGAAGGAGAGTTAGATGATGCTTTTGACGTTTTTGAGGGAAAAGTTCCAAAGAACTTAAAGAAAGACTTAGACAGTCCGAAGGAAGAAAATGGCAGACAGTCATCCTCTAAAGTTGGTTCTCCTGTAGATATTGAAAAAGAAAACAATAAGCGACAGGATTCTTCTGAAGAGAAACAGTCTGATGTTAAGCGTAAAAAAATTGAGGAATCTGTTGCTGCTCCTTGGACCAGATCGAATGAGCCCGTTGCAGGTGCAAATAAAGGTAATGGTGTCGTAAATGAAATTGTAGATGCCTCAGGAGAAGTCCCCATTTCTCCCGAGAATGGCTTGGATAATGGCAAAGCTCCTGCTGATGCTTTGGTAACCGATTCTTTTGAACAGGAAGCGTCTTTGAAGATTGCTGGAGAAGTTGGCATGGCTGAAGCCAAATCGACGTCTGATCATGTTGTTGAACTTCGTCATCAAGTCCGTCACCAAGTATCTTTGCCTCCTAACTACAATTATGTACCTATATCTCAGCATAAAAGCCCCGATCCAGCTGCTCGAACATACCCTTTCACCCTTGATCCTTTTCAAGCAGTGTCCATTGCTTCGATCGAACGCCAAGAGAGTGTATTGGTTAGTGCTCATACATCTGCGGGTAAAACTGTCGTTGCCGAATATGCCGTTGCTCAGTCGCTTCGGGATAAGCAAAGAGTAATTTATACCAGTCCTATTAAAGCTCTAAGCAATCAAAAATACCGAGAACTATTAGCAGAATTTGGTGATGTCGGTCTAATGACCGGTGATGTTACTATTAATCCAGACGCTACCTGCTTGGTAATGACTACCGAAATTCTTCGCTCAATGCTTTACCGTGGTTCCGAGGTAATGCGTGAAGTTGCTTGGGTTATTTTCGATGAAATTCACTATATGCGTGACAAGGAACGTGGTGTTGTTTGGGAAGAAACTATTATTTTATTGCCTGATAAGGCTCACTTCGTTTTCCTTTCTGCAACCATTCCCAATGCTATGCAGTTTGCCGAATGGATTACCAAAATCCACCGTCAACCCTGTCACGTTGTTTATACGGATTTTCGACCAACACCATTACAGCATTATCTGTTCCCAAGTGGTAGCGATGGAATACATTTGGTTGTCGATGAAAAGAGTGTTTTCCGTGAGGAAAATTTCCAAAGAGCAATGACTGCTTTGGTAGAAAAACAGGGCGATGACCCAGCTGGTATAGTGTCCAAGAAAAATGCTAAAAAAGGAAAAACTGGAAAAGGAGGTGTTAAAGGTCCTTCTGACATTTACAAGATCGTGAAAATGATTATGTTAAAGAACTATAATCCTGTCATTGTCTTCAGTTTCAGCAAGCGTGATTGCGAAGCTTTAGCCTTGCAAATGTCAAAACTAGATATGAACGATGAAACTGAGCGCGACCTCGTCACTACTATTTTTAATAATGCCATCAATCAATTGTCCGAAAAAGATCGTGATTTACCTCAAATTGAGCATATCCTGCCTCTGCTACGTCGCGGTATCGGTATTCATCACTCTGGTTTGCTTCCAATTTTGAAAGAGGTTATTGAAATTTTGTTCCAAGAAGGTTTATTAAAAGTTCTATTTGCTACCGAAACATTCTCAATTGGTCTCAATATGCCCGCGAAGACTGTCGTTTTCACTAACGTTAGAAAGTTTGATGGAAAGAGCTTCCGTTGGATTTCAGGTGGTGAATATATTCAAATGAGTGGTAGAGCTGGACGACGTGGTTTGGATGACCGTGGTGTTGTAATTCTAATGATTGATGAAAAAATGGAACCTCCTGTTGCTATGACAATGCTCAAAGGTGAAGCAGACCGTCTAGACTCTGCTTTTCACTTAAGTTATAACATGATTTTGAACTTGCTACGTGTTGAAGGCATTTCTCCCGAGTTTATGCTTGAACGTTGCTTTTTCCAGTTTCAAAACAGTATGGAAGTTCCTAAGTTGGAAGAAGAATTGGAAAAACTTCAACAACAATATGACAATACATCCATTCCTGATGAGCGCGCGTTGGAGGATTACCATACAATTCAGCTTCAATTGAATAAGTACCGAGATGACGTTCGAACAGTTGTTAACCATCCTAATTTCTCTCTTTCATTTTTGCAAAGTGGCCGACTTGTAGCCGTAAAGCAGAATGAGAAAGATTTTGGTTGGGGTGCTGTTGTAAGCGTATCAAAGAGACCACTTCCCAAGGGTGAGACTAAGGAGTATCTTCCTCAGGAGTCGTACGTTGTAGATGTTATTTTGAAGGTTCCAACGGAAAGCGAACGTCCAAGGATGAAGAATGGTCGCTTACCCGAGATTCATACGCCTAAAGGAGATGACAATGGAAGATATGAAGTGGTTCCTGTTCCTCTTTCGTCTTTGAACGGAATTGCTCATATTCGTATATTTTTACCCAATGACTTGAAAGCTCAAGCTCAAAAGGACACTGTTGGTAAAGCTCTTAGTGAAGTTAAGCGTCGTTTTCCTGATGGAATTAGTCTTTTGGATCCTGTTGAAAATATGAACATTAAGGAACCAGCTTTCTTGAAGTTAATGAAGAAGGTGGATGTTTTAGAAGCTAGACTGCTGTCTAATCCCCTTCATAACTTTGAAGATCTTAAAGAAAAATATGATCAATATCTTAATAAGCTCTCGCTGCTTGATCAAATAAAAGATCTCAAGAAGCAACTTTCAAAAGCAAAAGCTATTATGCAGTTGGATGAATTAAGTGCTCGTAAAAGAGTCCTCCGCCGTTTAGGATTTACTTCTTCGGACGATGTTATAGAAATGAAGGGTCGTGTTGCTTGTGAAATTAGTACTGGAGATGGATTGCTACTGACGGAGCTTGTTTTTAACGGTATTTTTAATGACTTGAGTCCAGAACAATGTGCTGCTCTTCTTAGTTGCGTAGTTTTCCAAGAGAAAAGTGAAGCAGAAAATCAGCGCATGAAGGAAGAACTTGGTGGCCCCCTTCGAATTTTACAAGAAATGGCTCGTCGAATTGCTAAAGTTTCTCAGGAAAGCAAGCTTGATGTTAATGAGGAGGATTATGTCAACAGTTTCAAGCCATCCTTGATGGAGGTTGTGTATGCCTGGGCTCATGGAGCCAGCTTTGCACAGATTTGCAAGATGACTGATGTATATGAAGGCTCCTTGATTCGTATGTTTAGGCGTTTGGAAGAGCTTCTTCGACAAATGAGTGAAGCTGCAAAAGTTATTGGTAATTCCAATTTACAAAAGAAGATGGAAGACACGATTAACTGTATACATCGCGATATTGTTTTCAGCGCTTCATTGTATTTGTAATGAAAAAGATTTAGATTGATTTTTTTGGAATTACTGTGATTTTTTTATTTGTCTAAAGGTAAAAAGAATAAAATATTCGGTTTTGGGTTAATTTGTTCGCTAGGAAAGAAGTAAGAGAGAATAATTCTTTGTTTAAAATAGTAGAATAGAAAAAAAAGTAACTATCTGTATTTCAAATTCTTCGTTTACATATAATGGTCATCCAAGTCTTGCTATATATTCTACTCCCTACTACTCGCTATACTGTCTAACATCCACTACGCCTAAGAATACTAACAATTGAAAAAGTAAATATATACCTTTATCAACAACGATAATGGGGAAACGGTCTCAAGCCTCACTTAAATTACAGGCTACACCTTCTTCCTTTAGTCAAGGAGATTCACGTCCCCCGAATGCTTATATGACACCTCCATCAATGGGAGCACTAAATGTAAACAACTCCAATTCTCAGATGTCTACCTTGACGATTAGTCCTATGGCATATGTTGCAAATACATCAACAGAATTATCTTTTATAAGGGAAAAAAATTTGTCGACTGCTGGTCTTGAATCTTTATCGCGCGAAGAATATTTGCGAATGTGGAGACATGATGCATTAATGCAGCAACAATACAAATGTGCTGCATTTGTTGGTGAAAAGGTCCTTGATATGACTAAGGACCCGAACGATGCATTCTGGCTTGCTCAAGTCTACTGTTGTACTGAAGATTATGCTAGAGCAAAGAGCTTATTAACGAAAGAAGATTTATGTAATCAGAGCTCAGCTTGTAGATATCTAGCCGCATTCTGTTCTGTCAAACTGTATGACTGGCAAGGAGCCTTAGAGTTGCTTGGTGAAACCAATCCTTTTAGCAGAGCACATGGAAACAGCGACAAATTGCGTATGCAAGATGGCGGAATTAAACTAGAAGCTTCAATGTGTTATCTACGTGGCCAAGTTTACACAAATTTAAGTGATTTTGACCGTGCAAAGGAATGCTATAAAGAAGCTTTAATGGTTGACACAAAATGTTTTGAGGCATTTGATCAGTTAGTATCAAACCATCTCCTTACAGCTTCCGAAGAATGGGAATTAATAGCGAATCTTGACTACTCTACATATTCAAAAGAAGATGCGAATTTTTTGAAATCTCTGTATATGTTACGCTTAAACAAGACTTCCCACGAAACTGATTTAAGAGCAGCCGAAGATTACTTGACTTCCATACCTGGTTTGGAAAATAACGCTGATTTATTGCTATCAAAGGCTGAGTCTTTAATCGTCCGATCTCGTTTTGTTGATGTTTTAAATATAACCTCAAAGATCTTAGAGGGTGATCCTTACAACATGGCAGTTTATCCCATACATTTGGCTTCTCTTCATGAAATGGGTGAAAAGAATAAACTATTTTTGATTTCTCATGATTTAGTGGATCGCCATCCTGAAAAAGCCGTCACCTGGCTTGCCGTTGGAATATATTATTTATCTGTTAATAAAGTGCAAGAAGCGCGTAGATACTTTTCCAAATCGTCAACAATTGATCCTCAGTTTGGCCCTGCTTGGATTGGATTTGCTCATTCTTTTGCTCTCGAAGGCGAACATGACCAAGCCATTTCAGCTTACACGACTGCTGCTCGATTGTTTCAAGGAACTCACCTTCCCTATCTATTTTTAGGAATGCAACATATGCAACTCGGAAATATTTCATTAGCTGACGAATACTTGCGAAGTTCCTATTCTTTATTCCAGTACGATCCGCTCTTACTCAATGAAATGGGAGTTGTGGCATTTAATAAGGCGGATATGCAGCAATCAATAAAGTTTTTTAATTCTGCGTTGCAACTAGTTAAGAAAACTCAAAGCAATGAAAAACCTTGGGCCGCTACTTGGGCAAATCTTGGTCATGCCTACAGAAAGTTAAGGTACGTTTAAGATAATAACTTACATCTAACCTTTAGAATGTTTGATGAAGCAATCGATGCCCTTGAACAAGGGCTTATGCTATCTACTCAAGATGCGAATATACATACTGCCATAGCTTTAGTCTATTTGCATAAGAAATTGCCTGATCTTGCAATTACCCATTTACATGAAGTATGTTGTTGCTTTACAAGCAGATTCATGAATATAACTTTACTAACCTATTTTAGAGCCTGGCGATCTCTCAGAACGAGATTGTGGCGTCTGATCTCTTGAAACGCGCCCTTGAAGAAAATTCCCTGATTCCTGCTATCACTGATGATTTGGTATATGAAGATGCTGTCAGCGAGTATATGCAGCAATCGACTATTAACGCAAGTAATGGCAACACTGCGGAAAATCATTCACCTCGCTTTGGTGACCCATTAAATAGCAACTCTCTCTTATATATGGATACACGCTCGGAAATGATGATGGATGTTATGGATAATGATCTTTCAGAGCAATAACAATGGGGTAAAGCAAATACGTGATAGAATGTGCATGACTAATTTTAATGAATTTCATGATTAATAAAGAAAAATTTGTTTTACATTACACCTTAAAATATTCATCATAAAAAATCCTTCTTTAGAAGATGGCATAGGTTGGCTAACAGCTCCTTTTTCAATTAGGAGTATGTTCCATTCGGCTTCTTAACTCTCGCATCAAAGCTTTTGCCTCTTCAAGTTCCAGATCTCCGTTCAAAATCTCACTGACATACATCTCTGCTTGTCTATAGTTTTTTTGGTTAAGTTCTCTCTTTGCTAACCACATCCTCGCTTTAATAGTTTCCGGCGTCATATCTCCCTCTTCTTCACTTCGAATGCACTCCTTGTACATTGCAGAAGCAGTGTCTAAGTCCTGTAATTCTTCGTAAAGGTTACCTAAACGCATTAAGATTGAACTATTGATAGGAGAGCCCAGTAAAGCTCTTTTGTATGCTTTTATGGCTTCTTGCGGCCGTTGAATTTTTTCGTAACAGTTTCCCAGAGCCTGCCACATTCTCTGGTCATATGGACGAAGGGCAGTTGCACGTTGGAAATAGTAAAGGGCGTAAAAATGCATATCTAAAACTTCGTAAGTTTGACCCAGACCGTACCACGCCCTGTAATCTTTTCTATTGACATCGACTGCTAAGCGGTAAGACTCTATAGCGGCATGTGTGTTTTTGAGCTCAACATATTCATGCCCCATAAGAGTCCAAGCAGCTAAATAATTTCGATTTAGTCGGATTGCTCTCTTAAAATATGTAACTGCCTTTTCGTGTTCTGATAATAAACTGTAATAATTTCCGATAATTGAGCAAGTCTCTGGGCGAAATTTGTCTATAGTTGAGGCTACTTGAGCCAAGAATCCAAGTTTTGATTTTCTTTCTAAAACAAAAAGAATGTTGGAATAAGTATCCATATCGTCTAAACGGTATGGATCGCTTTTTAGAATAACTTCGAATAATTCTTCGGCGTCATCAAAATCTAGAAAAATAAATTAGGAAATATCAATAACAGTATCCATACCTCTTGTATCATAAGCTAGTAAAGCACGCTGTATTCTTAAGTGACGGCTTGTAGGAAAAAGGGAATCTACTTCGGCTAGCTTTTCGTAGACCGAGCTATTGATTTGGTGAAGCTCATGAGACGCGTAAACAATAAACACTTTAGTCATTACATGGTCATTTGAAAGTCGACGAATGACACTGGCCAACACCTCTGGGCTATCCAAGCATAATGACAGTTCTTGCCATGCTGACCAAAAGTAAGGAGTTTTACGGACACAAGAAAGAAGAAAATCGATAGCCTTCGCATACTGTTTCCTTCTCCTATTAATAATTCCACTAAGATATAACAGATAGGGATCCTGGTTCCCTTGTTTTTGCACACTATCCAAGGTTTCCGATATGGAGTAAAGCTCACGACTAGCTGAAGACGCTGGATAGATAGAGCTCATAACAGTATCTGCCTCCTCTTCTATCTTCTTCTCTCCTGATAAATACTTACTATAGAGTCGCAGAAACAGGGATTTTGAAGATTTACAGTGTTGAAGTGTATAAGCAGCTCTTTCAAATTCTTTACAGTCAAAGTAGGCTTTGGCCAGAGTGTAAGTAGTTTCTTCCTTAAATTCTAAAATACGCTCATTTGTCGTAGTTGTATCTTCTTCAAGTTCAGCGGTAGGAGTAGAAGAGAAAGGAGCATCAAGGGTATTTGGAGATTTCAAACCGGCAAGCATTTCAGCAGCCCTAAAGGAGGTCAGTATTTCAACAAAAAATATGATTTATGTTAGATTTAGAGCTTAAAACATAATTCTATTGCTGCAAGTTTCCAACCAAGGTCTTTTTAGTTTAAGCAGACTATCATCATAAACGTCCACCAGACATTTGTCATTTGCCATCCATGAAATATATCATAAAAACCAAGATAAAACACAGTCTTCATCAGCTTTCACTTTACAAGTGACTTACCATCGAACACTGTAGACCAAACCTCTTTCTGAGCATTCCTTGATGCAGTTCCATAAGCCGCTCCGAGTTTCCACTATTTTTTGCTGGGTATAGAGTCCCTCTTCCAGCATCATGATGGCGATACTTTTCCTTTTGACAAACTATCTGAGAGAATAACTCAAAAACGGTCAATCCTCCTCTGATCCAAGAAATAAGACGAATAACAGAGTTTTTTCGATATTGCAAACTTTCAATTTTTCTAATTTTCCTTTCTGATTTTAGTGTATGGTATTCAATAGCATTTGGTAGAGCACAAAAGGAAATCAATCCGACTGTTTGTGCTTACCAAGTTTGTTTACATCTTGAGGTGTCAGACTCCGTTTAAGGAAGTATAACGTTGGCGTAGAGCGCCTTACAAAATGTGTTTGTTTATGTAGAAAGGTAAATAAATCCAACAAAAAAATGCTATAGGAAAAAAAGAAGGTAAAGATATAGGGAGCCATATAAACACGAAGCATAGCAAAAAAAGAATAAAAGAATATCAAGAGACATAGGAGCAAAAGGAAATAGGTTGAATAAAAACTGTTTTAGGTAGAATGGTTTCGTATTTACTGTAGAACGAATGGCGAGAGAAGTTATATTCATTTACGAATTTTATTAGAAAGAAAAAAAAGGAAAGAAGGATCTGTATATGTGTTAAGAAAGCTAAAAACATTCTCATTCTCTAGTAATTTGAAAAAATAAAAGCTTGAAGTCAAACTTGCTCAACGTCTGCAAGCTAAAAAGCAGAATTTACATCAAAAGAAGAAAGGAATAATTTAAATGATATGAAATGAAACTAAAATCAAAGAGTCCCAAGCAAGTTTAGAATACATTTTTTTCCTTAAGAGAATATTTTCTAAAAACAAGAAAAAGCTTTTTTAGTGATACTTATTTGTCGCTAAATATGAGCTAAAACCTAACCTCATCTAAGAACTCCCCGCTGAAAAGGCTGACGCTTACAACCGGTGCGCTACTTGACTTTATCCAAAGAGTATACGATCTTTTCCAAATATGTCTTCTCAGGTATGTTGATTACATAAAAGCTAGAGCTTTATTTCTGTAGTTTTATTTTTACATTTCTTGTCAAAATACTTTGAAAATAGACGCGAAATCACAATTCATTGTCTCCTTTTTCTTACAAAATATTTTTATTTTTTGCTTTTTAAAGAGACTAACTTGTTTTTAGAATTCTGCTGCCGAAAAAAGACAAAAGTTTGAGTCCATCTACCCAGTTTTCGTCAATGATATTATGGACTACTTGAAGTCCATCAATATTCCCAAGGACGTTGCTCAGTGGTACGAAAAGGTATGTATCAACCTCGTAGTGTAGGTCTTCTTTCATACGCTGGATTTTGACACGTCTGATATGTGGGATGTGCGCTTTTATATAAAATTGTAGATGTTTAAGTGAACTTGAATAAACTTTGGTTTCATGAATGATAATAATCTTAATTTCTGCAATTCCCTCCGATCGGCTTCGCATTTTAATAAATGGCAAGGAACTCTAACGAAATTTTAGAATCTGTACCATAATACCCTTGGAGGAAAGTATAACCGTGGATTGTCTGTCATCGATACATACGAAATCTTGCTTGGTAAGCCCCTTGATGAAGAAAGTTATAAGAAGGCGTCTGTTCTTGGATGGTCCATCGAATTACTTCAAGCTTTCTTCCTCGTCGCTGATGATATGATGGATGCTTCCCAGACGAGACGTGGTCAACCTTGTTGGTACTTGATGCCAAATGTTGGAAACATCGCCATTAACGATGCTTTCATGCTTGAATCCGCTATTTATTTCCTTCTTAAGAAATATTTCCGTCAGGATACTTATTACATTGACCTTCTTGAACTCTTCCATGATGTTACCTTCCAAACTGAATTAGGCCAACATCTCGATCTTCTTACTGCCCCCGAAGACCATGTCGATATTTCCAGATTTTCTCTTGAAAAACACTCATTTATTGTTATCTACAAGACTGCTTTCTACTCCTTTTATCTTCCTGTTGCCTTAGCCATGTACCTTTCCGGTACTGCATCTAGAGAAAACTTGCAAATTGCAAGAGATATTCTTATTCCCCTTGGAAAGTATTTCCAGGTTCAAGATGATTTTCTCGATTGTTATGGCGATCCCAACATCACCGGTAAAGTCGGTACAGATATATTGGACAACAAATGTTCCTGGTTAATTAATGTCGCCCTTTCAAAGGCATCTTCTGAGCAACGTGTGATCTTGGATAAGAATTATGGTGTTAAAGACTCCGAATGTGAGGCTAAGGTCAAGATTGTTTTTGAAGAACTTGGTATACGCAACGAGTTTGCAAATTATGAAGAAGCCGAAGTTTCTGAAATTAAGAAGCGTATTGAGTCTGTTGATGAGTCCGGTGGTTTAAAGAAGTCTGTCTTCTTAACCTTTTTGGGCAAGATTTACAAGAGAAACAAGTAATCATACCTCTATGTTCTAGAATTTAATTAATAAGATACCCATATCTTATCTACAAAAATTACACCTTAAAAACTTGGCTTTTAGATCATTACGGCTCCTAATTCATACAATGGATGATATATTCAGTAATAATAGAGCACGGGAATATTCATAGCACATCTGACAATTAGGATTTATTATAATTAAGTATATCAGTAAATACTAGCGCTCAATAATCATAATCCTTTCAGTTTTTTCTTGATGTGTTATCAAACGTAAGTATTATTTTGAATTCAAGGGCTTTACGGAATCCACAGATGCTTTATTTATTGCAGCGATTTCTTCGAGTGCAGCCCATCTTTGCTTGGAACATTCCATCACCTCTTTCTCAATAGCCATTTTGCTGTGGCAGCGCTCGGCAACAGCATTGAAAAAGTCAAGATTCATATCAACGAAAATCTGCATTACGTTGCAAGCAATAGCTTGTATAGTTATATTCCAATGATCTTTAGTGGTGTTGTACACATAAGGATAGATTATTGGCAAAAGTGTACTTAGATTTTCGCTTACCAGGCTGGTAAAGTATTCATTACTCCAAAAACACAAAGCTCGCTCTGCAACTTGAAAATGCGGACTCGCAATCGATCGGGAAAGCTGCTGAAAAAGAGGTACTTGAATATGAACGAACTCCGAAGGTTCTAATACCTCAAAAATGTCCTCTATTTCGTTTAAGAACATTACTTCCTTGAAGCTATCTACGCGAGGCCAATACTTCAATATACCAGTCACGACTAACCTTGTCAAGGACGGATCTTTATCAATAAACTGCACAATACAATATGTCAACTGAGGGTGATATAAAAATAAGGATCTGGTTTGATGCAAAGGAATGAGTACTCTCGTCAAGAAGGTTTTATGCTCTTCCTTTAATGGCACAGCAAATCCATTGATAATACTAGCCGACGAGTTAGTCATACAACTAAAAATGAGCAAACATACCTTCCAAGAATTTCTAGTAGTTCAGCTATACCATGAAATGATTCTCTTTCATACGTGAATTGTAAAAAAACATTACTCATGGCCTTTCTAATATATGAGCGAAGATTCAGAAACTTTCCATATATGCGATGCAAGGCGGTTTTTAAAAGTTCACGCTCTCTAGGATCCTCAGAATTAAATAACATTAATAAATTATTAAAGAAGTGGTGATCCACTAAAGACTTCGATTTGGTGACTCTAAAGTCCGGTGACTCAAGAAAACGGATAAGAAGTAAATAAACTTGCTGCATATGTGGCCAAGCTGGCTCGAGATATGGCTCTTCTTCGAGCGATAATAAAACATTTCTATAGTCATTAAAAGCAAACGAAGGTATAGGACGAAACAAATTGACGGAAAACTACATATATTAGGATTGAATAACGTAAGTGTAAACAAACATACAGTATGTAAAACATGAGAGAAAAGAGAAATATTAACTACTCCTCGATTAAACGTAACAAAATCGATCATCTGAACCAGGGCCTCATGTTTTATTTCTTTGCTTTCTAGATCGGATGAAGGATCATTAAAATCAAAAATTACATTACACTGATCCAATTTTTTAATAAATAGCTGTTCACACTCGGAAGGGTGGACTTCTATTTTCTCTGTTAGTAAGGCGAAGATATACCACTGAGAGTGCTTACCATCAAAAGAGGGAAATCGGGTGAGATTTCTTTTTTCAGAAACTTGGAACTGAGAAGAATGTTGACGATGAAAGGAGATCCGGCGTACATTGTTGGTAAGATCAACATCACTAACCGATACCGGAGGCAAGAGCTTATTAGAAGATGCCGATGCTGCAGGAGAAAAATAAGAATTTTGAGGAAATGATGTAAAAGAACTTGTACCGGAGGGATCTAAGGTTCCATGTACTTCCGTTGCCAAATTCAGCTGAAACTTTGTTAGCGTAACCAAATTCAAAAAAAGAGTCGCAATCATTGCTTTATATTGTCTTGCAACTATAATAGTAAACAATACTTATGTTTTATACATACATCAGGAAGCGATATAGAAGCTGGCTTTAACGAACCCAAGCTTTGTTCATCTACGTCAAATCGAGGCAATTTTGAAAAGGTAGGAGAGCTCTTTGATTCTGCAATAACACTATTTTCGTCTTGCTTATTTTTGCCACTCTCAAGCTTTTCATCACCAGCTTCCCTAGCCAGAAAGGATTTATTAACTTTGGACAACGAGCTTGAGCTTTTCGATTTTTTCAATTCCTTCTTTGAGCGACTATATTTCAGTTCCGAGGAGGGTTGATTTTCCTTGGGGGAAGTATTTTTGGTATAGTCTTTCTTGGAATAACTAACATCCTTATCTGACCCGGCTTCATCTTTGAACGACAATGCTTTCACAAACTTATTTCTTAATCCTTTCATGAACAGGAACCTAAGAAAAGTAAACGGTGCCGAACTAACTTTACTATGATGTCGTATATACAGAATTCAACAGTTTTTTTATCTTCTTTTTTTCTAATATGCAGTCCCAAAATTTCAAGTGAAGATTAATTGCTTCTAAAAAACAATTAAACGAGCCTCCAAAGCTTCCTCATATGCTTCAGTAAAGAAGCTAGAACGGAATTCTTTATGCGATAAACCAGAAGAGAATGAAAGAAGTTATCTAGTAATAAACAGTTGTTTTACCGTCTTTCTTACTTTTATATGCTCTATTCTGAGAGCTGTTCCGTTCCGTATGTACAATTCGTCGGAAAGATATTCTTCCCTTAAACGCTGTTCGAGTCTTCGAGTGAACGCTTTTTTCCTCTAAAGAAACCCAATTTAATGAAGCAATAATCCAATTGGAAAGGACAGCTAAGAAATTAGTGAATGTCTAAAAGAGGAATGTTGAAGTTAATTGTAAATAGAATGGTTTATCAAGAACAAATCCACCTCGTTGAACTACACTATACCGAGCGAAACTGTTTGCACCACTTACTAGCAAACATAGAAACTACACCACAAATAAAGCAAAACAAAACAACATTTAATTTTCTTAGATATAGCTACTAGGAGGCAGAGTTACTTTACCTAAATATTCGTTGTTTGAAAGGTTACTTGTTGTGTCACTAGCCGAAGAATAGATTTTGATTGTATATTTATCGCCAGTAACTTTCACTAACATCCATGTCCGTGAAAACAAAAATATCAGAAAAAGAATACACCTCGATTGAACATCCTGGGCTTATGAAACATGAGCTATCATTTTATGAAACCTTAGGTGGGGTTCCTGCGATACAAAAGGTGCGTATAGAATTGTAATTAAAGCATTAGCAGATACACTTTATAGATCTATGTACAGACTCGTTGTTTGTGTATGAGGCTTAATATATCGACTGTTTTAGATATTCTGACTAGTGAATTGAAGTATGAAATGCAGTTCTAAGGTACTGACTTATGCTGTAGGCTGTTTCAACGTCGTTTCGCAATCCCAAACATGCACTCTTGGAGCTAAAGCTACGTCCTAATGATCATTACCATCACCCAGTACAAGCAAAGCTAAGACAAAGAAATGATATTTTAGTACGAGTCAAGAAAAATGGGGAAATCGATAGTGCCGGTAGGATTCGTCATGCTTTTGTTTTTCGAGATATGGCCGATTTCCAATACAGCACGGAAAATTCCCCATTTGCTAAGAAGTTAGACACTTCTCTTCGCACGTTAAACTTTGATGCAATTAGCAAATTCAATATAGACTTATCACCAGTGCAGCGCGATCATCTAGACATGCCTCCACCCCCTCTTTTCTCACAAGTTCCCCTTCCAACATTTTACAACTACCAGCAAAATCCTCTTGTAGGGCGCGTTCGGTTACCTGATGGTTCAACAAGGATAATGAACCTCAAGGGTCAATGTCGTGTATGGATCATTACAGCCACCATGAATATTGACCACGTCCCCACTACGAAGCATCAAAAGCTTTCGGAATCTCCGAGTAAAAATGTCCAAGAAGTAATTGATGCAATAAGCCCTTTATTTCGAGATCGCCCTATTTGGACGCGCCGAGCTTTATTGAACCACATTGATTCTTCCTATGTACATTATCTAAAGTTTGCATTGCCTCACATTGCTTATTTATGGTCCTCGGGTCCTTTTCGCGATACATATACTATTTTTGGCTACGACCCTAGAAAGGATCCTAAAGCAGCTGCATACCAATCCCTCTTCTTTAAATTAAAGTTGAATGAAAATAAAAAAGGACCTAAAAATCATGTTTTTGATGGAAAAACACTTTATCCCTCGAACCGTATATACCAAATCTGTGATATAACCGATCCTCAAATATCTTCCCTGCTAAGGGATTCTCCATTACGGTTTGAATGTCACCGTGAGACTGGTTGGTATAAGAGTGGTAGATTCTACAAAGTTAGGGATTTAATGCGTGAAAAACTATACGCTTTAACTGAGGGCAAACAACCTTCAGCTGTTACGCTTGATGCTATTATGAATGCTGAAGAAGTGGATGTTTCTGACAAAGAGACGAATGACGATGATAAAGATGCTTCGGCGAAAGACATTGCAATGGAGCCTGAGGAGTATACATCTTCTGATACCCGGGTAAATGAACTTATGAAGAATTTGATGGAGCGGAGCCAAGAACATGAAGGTTTTGATGATTTATACGATTTTGACGAAGACTATGAAGATATATTTGGCGAATAAATACTTAGTTGTCTACTAAAATTCTTCCACACACTAAGAAAGTTTTATTTATTTTTGGTCTAAGCCTTTCATATTTATGCACTATTGAGCATTGTTTACTTATGTTATACAATCATTGTCATTTTTTTTTTCTCTTCGTTCAATGATTTTGATTGCATGAAAGCTTTTATGAGATTATCTTTGCCAAATCTAGGAGATACCGCAATCTTGCGTGGCGGCTTACATATAGCTATTAACTGAATTTTTTCTTGTAGAATCAATTTAGACGGAGCTAAACAAATTGGCGAGTCGGGTCTATAACTCCTCAGTGCTTATTAAAAAGTAATTGGAGTAATCCGCTAAAATGTTAGTTCTTTACGGAGGTTCTGCCTTGACATCTCATAACCAGAAGAAGCTTTTAGAAGCTACGGTTTCAGCCTTTGAACGTATAGAAGCTGTATATTTTTATTTAATTCAAACAAAAGAGGGAGTTTCTGTGTCGTCTAATGACCTGAAACCAATTTTATCTGACTTGAGATCAGATGATTATATACCATCAGGTCCTACGATTGCCTATGTTTTTCCTCGTACTGGTACTATCTCTCCATGGTCTTCGAAAGCTACTAATATTGCAAATGTATGCAATCTGAAGGGAGTGAATCGTATTGAACGTGGTATAGCATATTCGGTAACACTGAAACAAGGTGTGTCTGAGAACATTTACCAAATTGCTTTCACTAATTTGTTCGATCGTATGACCGAAACACTCCGTTATGAGCCTCCCAAGGAAGATGAAGTTTTTAACACTCATGAACCTGCGCCTCTTGTAACAATTGAGCTTGGCTATAGCAAAGAAGCCGATAAGGAAGCTGCCAAACGTCGACTAGCGGAAGCCAATGTAAAATTTGGTTTAGCTCTTGCTTCGGACGAGATTGATTACCTAGTCGAGTGCTATAGCAACGAGCCATCATTAAAACATCGCGAACCAACCGATGTTGAACTTTTTATGTTTGGTCAAGTCAATTCTGAACATTGCAGACATAAAATTTTTAATGCTGACTGGACTATTGACGGAAAGAAAATGGACAACTCATTATTCAAAATGATTCGTAATACCCATAAACTAAATCCCGATTATACCATCTCTGCATATTCGGATAATGCCGCTGTTTTTGAAGGAAATCCTGGTACTAATTTCTTTCCCATCAATGGTGAATGGACAATGAAAGATGAAAAGATCGATTTTCTCGGGAAGGTCGAGACCCATAACCATCCTACTGCAGTTTCGCCTTTTCCGGGTGCTGCTACTGGCTCTGGTGGTGAAATTCGCGATGAAGGAGCCGTTGGTCAAGGGTCAAAATCAAAAGCTGGTTTAGCTGGATACAACGTTTCTAATTTACATATTCCTGGTTTTAAACAGCCTTGGGAAATAGATGTTGGCAAGCCTTTTCATATTGCCTCTGCCCTTGATATTATGTTATCTGCCCCAATTGGAAGCTCTTCGTTCAATAATGAGTTTGGTCGTCCTTGTATCAATGGCTATTTCCGCACACTTACCATGGAGGTGCCTAGAGCTGATGGAACAGTAGAATATCGTGGATATCATAAACCAATTATGGCTGCAGGCGGTGTTGGTTGCATTCGAAGACAGCACGCTTTCAAAAAACCCATTTCTCCTGGAAGTCCTATTATTGTGCTCGGTGGTCCTGCTCTCCTAGTAGGTTTAGGTGGTGGTGCTGCGTCCAGCATGAGCTCCGGTGAAGGTTCTGAAGATTTGGATTTTGCATCAGTGCAACGAGGAAATCCAGAGATGCAACGTCGGGCACAAATGGTGATTGATACTTGCACTGCGATGGAAGACAACATTATTCAATCCATTCATGATGTTGGTGCTGGAGGTGTTTCCAATGCACTTCCTGAATTAGTCCATGATGCTGGATTGGGTGCCAGATTTGAGCTCCGTGATATTCCTTGTATCGAACCTAGTATGTCACCTATGCAAATCTGGTGTTGTGAATCTCAAGAACGTTATGTTCTATCAGTGAAACCCGAGGATCTCGACTTGTTTAAGGGTATTTGTGAACGTGAAAGATGTCCTTACGGTGTTGTTGGCTATGCTACTGAGGAGCAACGGTTAATTTTGACAGATCGCCTTTATAAGAATACTCCAATTGACTTGCCTATGGAAGTTTTATTTGGTAAGCCTCCAAAAATGTCTCGTGTTGATAATTCTGATCCAATTGTCTTAAAGGAGTTTGATTCCTCCTTACTTTCTTACATACCTGTTGCCAGTCATCCAATCGCTGATGCTGTTCAGCGTGTTTTGCATATGCCCGCAGTAGCATCAAAATCATTCTTAATTACAATTGGCGATCGTAGCATTACCGGTCTTGTTGCTCGCGAGCAAATGGTTGGACCTTGGCAAGTTCCTGTAGCTGATGTTGCTGTCACCGTCACTTCTTACGATAAGGGTACCACTACAGGTGAAGCATTTGCCATTGGTGAGAAGCCCATCACCGCTCTTATCTCATCAGCTGCTTCAGCTCGTATGGCTGTCGCTGAATGTATAATGAATATGGCTGCTGCCTCGCTCCCTGAATTAAATCATATTCGTTTGAGTGCTAACTGGATGTCTTCCCCATCTCATTCTGGTGAGGGTGCCAAGTTATATGAAGCTGTTCAGGCTATTGGTTTAGACTTTTGCCCTCAATTGGGCATCAGTATCCCAGTCGGTAAAGACTCTATGTCAATGAGTATGAAATGGATGGAAGACTCCCGCGAGCAATCTGTCACCGCTCCTTTGTCGCTTATTATTACAGGCTTTTCTTCTGTGAATAATGTTGAATCTATCTGGACTCCTCAGCTAAAACGTGAGACTGAAATTGGACCATCCTCGTTGCTATATATAGATTTGGCTAAAGGTAAACAACGTCTAGGCGGTTCAATTATTGCTCAGTGTTACAACCAGTTAGGAGATGAGGCTCCTGATGTTGAAGACGTAGAACTACTCAAATCTTTTTTCGCTGTTATAACTGAGCTTCACAATACAGATTATATACAAGCTTATCATGACAACTCTGATGGTGGTTTATTTGTTACTGTTTCAGAAATGGCCTTTGCTGGACGTGTTGGTGTGATTTCAAATCTTGATTCGTTCTCCAACGACAATATTGCTACTTTGTTCAATGAAGAACTGGGTGCCGTAATACAAGTTCGGGATAGTGATCTTGATAGTATATATGATATTTTCAGAGTTCATGGACTTGTGGATGCTGTCAAGAAGTTTGGTAAAGTCATCTCTAGTGAGGCTCAAGAGATTGTGTTTGTTCGATCTGATGAGATAGTATATAAGTCTACACGTGCTACACTTCAATCACTCTGGCATGAAACTTCTTACAAAATGCAAAGCATTCGGGACAATCCTAAATGTGCACAACAGGAGAATGAAAACATTTTGGACAATTCCGATCCTGGCGTTGGTTTCCATTTGACCTTTGAACATTCTCCCAAGTCAGATTTGATTTTGACAAATCGTCCTAAGGTTGCTGTTTTGCGTGAACAAGGTGTTAATGGGCACTTGGAAATGGCTTATGCATTCCATGCTGCCGGCTTTACTCCTGTGGATGTTCACATGACTGACATCATTAGCGGTAAACATACATTAGATATGTTTGTTGGCATAGCCGCATGCGGCGGCTTCTCGTACGGCGATGTTTTAGGATCTGCTAATGGTTGGGCTACTTCAATCCTTTTACACGATACCGCTCGTCAAGAATTTTACAAGTTCTTTAATGAGCGTAAAGATACTTTTGCTATCGGCCTTTGCAATGGTTGTCAGTTGTTCACTCGTTTAAAGACACTAATTCCTGGTGCTCAATGTTGGCCACTTTTCCTTTCAAATGAGTCTTCGCAGTATGAAGGACGTACAGTAATGCTTCAACTAGACTCTAAGAATTCGGATAACTCTATTTTCGCTAAGGAAATGGGAGGCTCGCGTATTCCAATTGCAGTTGCCCATGGTGAAGGTCGTGCTATGTTCGATTCTGCGTCTGATTATGAAAGATTCAAGCAAGAAGGTTTGGACATCCTGTACTATGTTGATAATTATGGTAACAGAACAAACCAATATCCTTTCAACCCCAATGGAAGTACGGATGCAATTGCTGGCATTCGCTCACCTTGCGGTCGTTTCTTAGCTATGATGCCACATCCAGAACGTGTTGTCTTAAAGGTGGCTAATAGTTACTATCCCAAATCAGAATCCGAAAAATGGGGCATTCATGCACCATGGATCCGATTGTTCCAATCCGCCCGTAAATGGGTGGGCTAAATTTTAGCTACTTAATCTTAACGCTATTTCATACTTAATTGCATCAGTGAGATTCTGAGTTTATTTTGCTAATTAATTCGTCCTAACGAAAACTTTAATAAGTTTGAAAGTTCAAAACAATTTTTGGATAATATATAATTAATTTTATATTAATAAAAGTACCTTAAGAAGGATTTTATATCATGTTGTATGTCGACGTTGGATTTAGACAATGTTCAGTTGCTTATAGCTGCAGAATGAGCAATGCGACAAAGTATGTTGACAAAAATGTAAGGAAAAGAAATTAAAGGTAGCCTTTTTCCATTTCGCAAAGAATGTAGTCTTTGTTTGTACGTTACATCGTACGCAGCAGCTACGGCACTGTCAATTCGTGCCTTATTGTCTTGGTTAGAGCAGCTGGTGGAAAGTCCGCATTTTTCAAAGTATTCGTTAACATAGGCTTTCTTTATAATGCTAAATTGTAACATAATTTCTTCACGTACTCCATATTCGTTGATAGATGTTTTCATATCATCATTTAATAGTATAAACGCAGTGTAAACTTCATATTCCGAAGCTATCTCATATCGATTCATTAAAGCTTTCATATCAAAATCATAGCGCTCTTTGACTTCCTCCGCGATGTGTAAATAATTTAATTTGTATTTTGGTAACTTCATTCGATCATCGTAAACCATTTCCATGTTCGGATCAAACTTCCGAATACCTTCATTTTCCTTTTGAAATTTAGCAGCATATTGAAAGATCCGTCCAACAGCCGTTTCTGCTTTGAATGTTCTGGATCGCTGCTTTTGCATAAAATCCGGATATTGCTTAGGCCTTAATTCTTTAGGCATAGTACAAGCGATGCCGGATTTAGGAAAATCAACAGCTTGCGAGTGTAAGGCTGCTAGTTTTAAACAGGTTTGACCATAAATTCCGTCAGGGTTATTGTCTTTATCGTGGGCCCATGCTTTCCAAGCATTTGATATTAATCCTAAATTATCGTTTTTTATATAACAAATAAAAAATGCTTTCACTGAGTCAATTAGAGGTTTTCCATCCAGAAATTTTGCTGCATGTTTCCGTGTCGTTTCTAAAAGAGGAGGATAATTCACAATTTTAGGTAAAAGACTTGGATCCCATATTACAGTGTATTCGTCTCCATCTAAGTCACCACCGGAACACATTGCGGGAACACTTCTATCACCTTTTGTTGGGAAGACAACGACATTTTTAAGATGCATTAGATCGTCACTTCTAATAGCACGACAGACACGTATGTCTCCAGGGTGCAAAGAGGGATTTCTAGCTACAACACAAAGACCTAATATTACTGTTGTTTTTATCCGGCCAGTAGAGGAAGCTTCAGCTTCCGAATGATGATTTGTAACTTGAACAAAAATCTCAGGAATCGAAAGAACAGCATCATCGCAATGACCTTTAAGAGTTCCTGTTTCATCGGCTACGCCGAATAAATAAGCTCCTTTAGACACGTTAAGTTTCTGTTTTTCTTTTATCGACTTAAGAACCCATTCATAATAAAGATTAAGGAGATTTTTTGTAAAAATGTCATTTTTCTCTAAAAATCCTGACTGTATTAAGTCGGCCATAACAAGCGTTGATCGGTTTTCATCGACGTTATCCCTCAACATAAGGATGCACTTTTGCTTATTAGTCATAGCATTATTCAATTCGGATAGTTGGTTTTTTGCCATTTCAAGGAAAACATCTTGTTGAACCCCTAAACCTTCCAATAATGTAATGATTTGCATGTTTAAACGAGCATTTAAAAAGCGAGACACTTTAATTACCTCCAACACAGCATGAGGAGACTTAAATTTATCTTGACTTGGGCGAGGAAAAACCAAGTCACCTTGATGATATTCTAGTTTAGTCGGAGGAGCTAAGCTTAATACCCCTTTATAGCCTCCCATACGAAACTGAAAAGCTGAAGGAAAAAGTTCATTATCATCAATCTCAAAAGAAAGGCGACGCAAAACAGAGAGAGAAGCCATACCTATACCATCAGTGAAGCAATTATTATTTTTATAGATATCATTTCTAGGTGCAATATTAACAGAAAAACGATCTATGTCTTTGGTGGTGGAAAAACATTGACCCATCCTCGCTGCATATTTCGACACTGAATTAATTTCACTGAAATCACCCATCCATTTACGAATGTCTTCCACGTTCAAATCTGGTCCTGAAGCAAAAAAGAAGGCACCATGTTCCCTAAGTTGGGAATTGCCAAAGGCCAGAAACTCGTAGATGCGATTTCCAACTTTTACGCCCTGATCCAATAATTGAAGTACACGCGCAAACACAGCCTCGCAGTTCGAATTATCAGCGTAAACTTTTCGTTTGGTAAATTCATCAGCGACTTGTACCCGCATAAATCGGTCCGCGAATTGTCTATAATGCCTGATAACGCGGTTTCCTGCTTCGATGGAATCCTCTACAATTCGAATGGTAGTTGGAGTCACAAAGAGCTTTCTTATACGTATACTAGAAGTATTAATTAGATCGAAGAACGCCATTTGTTGTGTAAATATTTCCCGCGTAGGGTTGTGTAAAGGTTTTTGAGAAGCAAGGATATTTTTTAAAAAAACAGTAGCTCGTTTTTCTTGAAGCTGGTTCAAGTTGTCAAGGAGAACAGGTAAGTCAACCTCGGAAAGCAACTGCTGAGAAAGACACGTTTCCAGTAGATATAAAACGGTGTGAGACAGATCCGTATTGCGATATAGTAATTCACATCTCAGGGAATAACCATCAATTCGGTAAGTAGAGACTCGGTACATGCGACTCTTCAGGTTATACTTTTCTAATTCCTCTATAAAAAAAGCATTAGCTTCCTCGGAACGACTATTCCTTATGTCATATGAAAACATAACCATGTTGGATCTTCCTAATGGAACATTGTTTGAATTTAATAACTGTAGAGGAGAATTGGGAACTGCACGATTTGAAGAAGGCAAAATATCAACTTGACGACGCCAAAGATTTGAAGAACTCCATACTTTTCTCAATTTGGTTTCTGATTCCAAAAGTTCTTTACGAAATAATACAGGTGGTAATCTGTATCTGAATGACAAGGTGATGCTGTCCTTCTCAACATCGATACCTATATCATCGACTACACTCCGAAAATTGATATCCAAACGATAATCATCAGTTATTTCTCCAGCAATTATTCTAAAGCTTATCATAAACCGCCTATTATTGAAATCAACCGAAAGGGAGATGTCATGTAATGGCGTTCCACATTCGTGTCCAAACAGAGGAACCATCTTTTCATGGTAACTTTGACCAATTGTTAAGGAAGACAGGGGAAGTTGGACAATCTTATTATATTGATTACCAACCGTAGTAAAAGACGACTGTTTGGTCAAGGAATTTTGGGTGTAAGGGTCTATACGAACGTTCAAGTCCACGCCATTAACACGAATTTTGTTGAAAGGCTGCCAAAAAGGATCTCTCGGGGGAGGAAAGAAGCGAACGATGGCAGTCGTAGTCAAGTTATTATTCGGGGGCTCTATGAATTTCATGAATGATATGTTGCCATGTTTATGCAAAGGCTTCCACAGGTTATATAGTTTGTTACCATTTTCTTCTATCCATTCTGAAGGAATGTCAAATACCGTAAGTGTTAAACTATCCCAAAATCTCCAGACATTACTACGATTGGGACGTCTTCCTCCCGAAGAAGATGAACGACATCTTGGTAATTGGGACGCTATTATCGGAGAAATTGCTTGTTTAAAAGGAACCTTTAAACGTTCCCATGGAGATTCTCTGTAATACGTTTTTACTTCAGTACCTATAAAGTCACGTAGTGTTGTATCCATAATTTCAGCATAATATCAAACAGGTTCATTAAAACCTCTAATGGATACAGATTTTGATAAACTTTGCTCCAAAACGGTATTGAATATCAATCATCTGCAAGGCATACTATACTAAACGTTGGAGGTGGGAAGGCTACGACTACGTTTTAAGTTTTATTTTACAGATGTCCTTTAAGAAGATATACATCGTTTATAGAATTCGCTTGGAGAATGAACATTACAACAAAAAATTAGATAATAAGGCAACCATCGACTACTTCTCTGTAAATGGTTTTAGCTCACTAGTTGAGCAAGCACTTTGAATAGAATCAATTAATTTTCGGTCTGTGTACTTTATATTTCACGTTCTTCTATAATTTAAGCTTGACTTCGTGTGAATTTACAATGTAATCTATAACTGTTACTGAACTACTTTTTGTCGCTTGTTTACGTCTCATAAGTAGAAATATGTTTAATTGCACTGCTTGCAGCAAAGAAACATTCATTTACAAGGATGAAGGAGTGTAATTGCAATGAAAAAGAATACTTTTATAGAAAGCCTTATGCACGTTCTTTATATCCTATGATGTGGAAACAAGAACAAGGAACCAAATCTAATAACCCGGGACTCTGTTTGGTCTAGCTTGAATGCCACTATTTTATATCTAGATTTTCCTATGTATCTCTTTCTTCAGACGATATCAACAATGCAGTATATTTCATGCTTTTTCAATGTAAACAAACAGACCAAGTGACATGAACAGGTAGCGCAAGTACATTGTTACTTAAATAGATACCTTTAATATAATGATACCAACAACAGAACTAATCGTTGATCTTGTAATATTTACTGGTAATCCATTAATAGAGCAAAATATATTCATTTTTATTTACTAAAAGCAATTTAAACGGCTTTTATGATTTGATATTCGAACATTCAAGTCCAGCAATACGAAATCACGAAATAGAGAGAACTTGTTCTTCTTTCTCGTGAATTAAGGAAGTTCCGGTTATAATTCATAAGTATCCTTGCTATAATGTCAAACGAACATTTAACTGCTAATGATGAGCTTTCGTATGTCGATACGTTTTCATTGCTTTAGACTAATGGACCAGGAAACTCAAATACTTAAATATAGCAGCCGACGAAGCCTCTGAAGAAAGATTGGTACGCCAGGTTTGTGAAAGACGATTCAAAGTACTTACACATTTTAGTCTCCTACTCGGCTTCGAGTTGGCACTTCTAAAACAGATGATATTTATCGACAAAAGCGACAAACAAAACATATTATGTCAAAAAATGAAGTATTTCTAAATCCGAAATATTTCGATAATGAAGATTATGACCCTCAGACTTGTACGTTTTCATCTAACTTCCGATTATTAACAGTCTACTCCATCAGATTTAAACGATATATTGCATGATGCCACAGAAGAGGAATTTGTTTCCTTGTATAACAAACTGTTACGTATCCACATGGGAGTCCGAAAGAATTTGGAGAAGAACTTTTATAAAAATCTCAACGAGTACGTCTTTATTTCCAGTGAAGTAAACAATTTAAGCCAAGATTTGGACCGGTTCAAATCGCTATTAGGTGTCTTGGAGGAAAACATCGAAGGACTAAATTTAGTCGAGCTTTCACAAAACACTTCTGACGATAATCTAAAACGATCAATGCGCCGATTGGAAAATACCATTGATGGTGTAAACAGAAATTTTTGGAAGAGTCCGAATAGAAGCCTAATTACAAAACAAGATCGTTGGACACTCATTAATACTAGAAATCAAAGAGTTCGTTTGATTGTCAATCTTTACTTATTTAATGACTGCATCCTTGTTACCTCTTCGCATTCTTTGGATAAAGAAAAGAGAATCAAAGAACAGACGCTTTATCAATGGAACCTTATTGATTTTACAATTCTTCCAATTGAAACTCCTGAACAAGCGGATGATGATGCGATATCCAACTTAGAGAAAGACTCGAATTTATCCTACGCTTCAGTATTATGTGATAGAAGCATTTTTGTACTGGGAAATAGTAATCTTGAAGAACGAGACTTCTTTATCCGTCAATCTAGACAATACCAGTCTCAACAGCTGCTCGAACATGCTCAAAAACGTGTAGGTGATACACAGTTAAGAATGGAGCTTGAACATTTCGTCAGAAGTGAGCAGGCAAGCTTATCGTCATACACGTCTTTTCAGTTGCTTTGTAAAACTATTGATTCTCCGTTACTTCTACAGTCTTATGCTCTAAGAAGAGAAGTTTTGCTAAATCTTTTTGAACAATTTAATCAATTAGATAATTTTATTTCTCTGCGTCAGTATTCGGATGCTATACGCATACTAAATTTACTGAGAAACCGCTTACAAAGCGAAAGGATCCAACAATTACTAACGGATTTTTTATTGGATAAACTAGAGTATAAGACGGAAAGGCTGAAAGAGCTATTCTTACATCAAATTGGATTCCCCGGGATTAGCGTTACGCAAGGAAAACAGTTAGTTAGATATTTACGATCCATTGGTTTTGAAAATGATGCGCGGAAACAGTTCTTTGATTCTCGTGAAGAACAGCTCAAACAGAAATATTATAATGTACAATGGGAAAAGGATATATCAAACTTAGTTACCACCAGCTCTTTTATTGCCTTTCGGTATTTGGCTCACATTACGCGTTTGTATACTCAAATGTTTGAGGTCAAGAAACCAGATTCACTTTATCGAAACTGGTTGTACCGTCAGATTGAAAGTTTGGTTTTCTTCATTGAAAACCAGTACAAAGGATTTCCTCGTGATAAATCATATGCTGAAACGGTATCAAAAGTTATGATGTATAGTACAGAATTAAAGAACATGAAGCTGGAGATAACCCCAATTCTTCAGCGACTTTTGTAAATAAAATTATAAATGGCATGGCTACTATTTACATGCATCCTATCTTTTATTGATATAATGAGAATATAGTTTTATTGACAATTAAGAGTTTACTCCACAGTAGGGGTGCTTTCCTTAGCTTGCATAGCTCTTAAAAGATTCATGATGGGTTCAGGAACGGTACGCTCGTAAATGGAAAACAATTCAACTGGTTGAGGGTATACTTTAAGAGCAGCATAAAAGCAAGCAGCAGATTCCTTGATATTGTCGGGTTCTATAATTGTTAGAAAAAAGATCATAGAAGCAATAATTCATACGTTGTTGGAAGAGTTGTTCACCACGGGCAACTTGCTGCATAAAGAAGAGCTCTTTTTCTTCAGCGCTACTAGGGGTAGGTGTAGACTTGACGATCTCGAGAGCATCTTCGATAACTTCATCAAATTTCTTGACAGCAATCTGTTCTTCTTGCTTCTTAGCTTCGTGCACCTTTTTGTAATGACGCTCTAAAAACCGTTTCGTTAGCGAACAGAAAGAATATACAGCGGATGACATTATTATATATTGTGGACATACTCAATGTTTTGCGGAAAGTAGGGTCGTTGCGACGCTTGTAGTCAAAATAAATGCCATAACCTGAGAGATATTAGCAAACATGTTCATGCACAAGAAAGGAAGCCAGCTCGGAAACCCGCATTCGATCGATCAGCTTTCCATGCACGCAAAATCAGTTATTTTTGTTTCATTTCTTTAAAATCCTTTCAAAAGAGAGCACCAGTCATAAAATGTACTATTCTTTCTCCCTTTCTCCATAGACATCGTGCAAAATACACTTGAAATGATTCCTCCCGGATCATTCAAGTTCAGCCGTAGAAGCCTAATTATTATTCCTTCCTTCAAACGATTGCGGGACCAAGCATTCCTACTTACCAACGGCGGCAGTTGCGAGAAGAGAACCGATAATGACAGAATTCCTCATGTTAAAAATGTGAAAGTAGAGATCCCTAAAAGAAAATTGAAAGGAGATTTAAAAAAAATAAAGTTTAGTTTATTATTTTCTCAAAAAAATACTGCAAGATAGATATCTCGGACTAGCAACAAGAATTAACCTACTTTGTAGGATATAGGAGGATACCAAAAGACGGTAGTAAGGGAGAGGCCGTGATATTGTTACTTTTCGGTGAAGTAACAAATATTACTGATTTCTCTAGTTTAAAGCCCTTTATTACTTAGGGAATTCCGACTTTGTATTATAATATGAGCTTAAGCTAGAACTGAAAAAGGATGAATGAAAAAGAAAGTAATACAAGCCGGTTTATACCGTTTGATTAATTCTTACAGCTTTCAGAAGAGGGTATGATAATCAGCACAAGATGACGTGGAAAGCTAGCAACTTGAATGATAGGGTTTTGGTAGTAAAGGCTCTGAACAAAAACAAACTTCAAAGAAATCTTGGAATAAATTGGAATATAATTCATCAAAGCACGATATACTATGAATAGGAAGTGCTAGTTGTTTTCGTAAGCATTTTTAGCAAAAGTAAAAGCGTAGCATCTGTCAAAGCAAGCAAGTGATCAAGAATCAAACAGTGATAGAGCAACAATAGAAAAAAGAAGGCAAAATTAGACAAAGTTGGGATAATAAGTTTGGGTCCTGTTGTTTCAGCAGAATAATGCCTGTCAGTCACGCAGATTCGACTTACTTCCAATTTTTTGTGACATCAAATGACTACACCACAGTTAGTAGGCAAATTATCAAGAATATAAGAAACATACCCATTGAACTACATGATGGACAACTTGGTCATCATCGATAAATTTACCAATAGCTTCGTAATGACCACGGGCAAGGAATCCGCTAGGAGCTTCTTCGGGTTCCGCTAGACACTCTAATTAGCAATACATTCATTCCGAGAACAATCAACAAAAACAAAATACTTACTAGTAAATTCATATGGAGTTTCATTAGGGCTATAAGAGCCAATCATAGTAGACGACTTGTCAACTGTCATTCCTACTCGACGAACAACTTGGACATAGCGTAAGCCGGAAATGAGTTCATGTTGGACACGGAAGCGGACAGCAATTCTATATTCACTATCCTCCTTAATGACGAAACCCTTCTTTTGAATTTGTTCCACACTGCCTTCATCTTGCATATCGACATGGATGGGATCACGACCATTGACAAGCAAGCTGAGTTGTTCAATCACCACTGTTCTAGGGTCATTAGGAGGAGAGTATCCCTTGTTAGAAATACCAAGAGACTCTTTCCATTTGGTTAAAGAGGGGTCCTCGGCATCCATATGTACGTATTCATTCAAAGTCTTCTTTTCACCCAAAGAAACGGGAACACTGTTGTCCACAAATTCATCGTCAAGTTCATTAGTTCCATTTCCAGCCTGTTTCTCTTGAGAAGTCATGATGTCTCTTTATGTAAGTTGAGTTTTCCTTGTAAAATGTGATATCCAAAAATTATTAAAACTTGCTATAGAAATCAGTGAACCAAATCAATTCTATCACTGTCTTCGAACAACTGTTTTCTCTATTAATTCTTTGTTGTGGTTCCGTTTTGCAGAAGATCGTTTCAGGTAGCTTTCATTAGATCACACTCTCTTGTTCCTTTACAGAGGGAACAAAGAGTAGCTTGCTACTTTGATGTTAAAAGGAACTCGCTCCAATATTTTCCTGATCTTCATGTGTTTTTTTTTTTCTTTTTTTTATCATAAAGTAATGTTTTAATAGAGAAAAAATTTAAATAAAAAAATTCCTTAGTTGTTCATCTTTGTAAGAAGTTCTTTTACGTATTTTTTTTTTTCTGCGATGTATCCAAAATTAACAGCATTTGAAGAAAGAAACCAGTTTGCTTGAAATCAATGCAAATATTCATTCTGTTTATGCATTGAAAAACAGGAAACTTACTCTCAAGTTTCCATGATAAATGACTTTTCGTCATGATCTTTTCTAGTTTTTATAACTCTGTGAGAGTTTTGAAGCTAACAATGCAAAGAAAACCATCCAAATGAAGAAATGCTGTATATTTACTTTCTTTAACTTATGAGAGGACACCCTGCGGTCAATTTCTTTATGATAATTTCATTTCGCAAGTCTTTTGCTTTATGCTTGAAGCAATTAGTGTCAGCCCTTTTATTTATTTACTTACTTTAATTGAATGGAATTGACTTCTAAAGTAAGTTCATTTTATTTAATTCTATTGAATTATTGTTGAAATTTGTTTGATTCTTTATTTACTTTTCCTTCGCAACTGCTAGGGCTAAAGTTTAAGGTTGATTTAAGCTATCCTTGCTACAAGGGATAATTCAACTATACACTCCATACTCTCTACGATACCTTCACTCACTTACAGAAGGAATTTACCTCTATCTCCTGATATTTTTTTTTTCTTTATTTGGTAAATTTTTGGATTTTTAGATTGTGCTATTCTGCATTTGGCATTCAGGGTTATTTACATTTGCTAGCATACCTGGCATACTTCGGGGAAGGGAATTAGGTTTACTTTTCATAGAAGATTCCTTTCACAAATAAGTAGAATGACTTCAATTTCGACAATCGAACAGCTCGATCTGGTAAAGCTACTGGACCGCTGTGACTCTTTCCATAACAATTTCATCTCCGGAACAATTCCATTTTACCTGAATGATGCTGTCATCGGCTACATTATCCCAGAGGTTATTCAAGAGTTAGTAAAATTCGATAGCTTCGTTTACGATTGGATATATAAGCCCGGGAAATCGATACAACTGAACGCAACAGATTTTGAGAAGCGATCTTCCATTTTAGAAAAGATTCTCAAAGTTTGGAAACAATCGAATCTTTTTGGCGTGGCTGATCAATGGCGAAATGAATTATATAGCGTCTTTGGTCCCAATGGTGAAGTTGCTTTTGCCGTGGAACGAGGTGGATACTGGCTTTTTGGTTTTGTTAGCTATGGAGTCCATTGTAACATTTATGTTCCTCCTACACCAACAACTCCTATGTGTCTATGGGTTCCCACGCGTTCGTCCACCAAGCAAACTTGGCCTGGCTATCTCGATAACAGCGTTGCAGGAGGAATCAGCCATGGTGACTCAATTGTGGGGACTATGGTAAAAGAATGTCTGGAAGAAGCAAACTTGAGTGTCTCGCATTCTAGTTTACGTTCCCGTGGTATTGTCTCCTATATCAAGTTTTCCCAGAAGAAATGGTACCAGCCGGAGTTACAATACGTATTCGATGTTCCGATCGACGAGAATACAAAGTTGCGGCCAAATGATGGAGAGGTTGCAGAGTTTCATCTTTGGACCTTGGATCAAGTTATCCAAGAATTAGCCGCGGGGAATTTCAAGCCAAATTGTGCTCTTGTGATTCTTGATTTCTTAATGCGACATGGCATTTTAAGTCCAGAACATCCTCAATATTACGAAACATTTCAGCGGATACACAGAAATCTTCCTCATCCAATTGGCAAGTATAAGAAAAGCAAAAATCATGATGCATCAGCAGTCAGCACGAGCGTGAATCCTCCTCCCAACGAATTAACAGAGTCTCAGCATTTTGACCCATGTGCTACCTGGTCTGAAAGACTCAATGAACGTGATTACAACTATAAATATGCCATTTTAATTTTGAACCGCTCAATTAGTATTTCTGATAATCGTTTCCATCATCTTTGGGATAATGCAAGCCTTCGGATATGCGCGGATGGCGGATCGAATCGTTTAAAAAACTACGATCCTACATTGAAGCCTGACATTCTTGTGGGAGATTTTGATTCTTTGACGAATGAGACACGCGAGCACTACAAGCGAATGGGTGTTCAAATACTCCACGATCCTGACCAATACTCTACAGATTTTATGAAGGCTCAGAAGGTGATTCAAGAAAATGGAATATCTGTCATTTTCACTTTGTGTGGCATGGATGGACGAGTTGACCATGCTTTGGGGAACCTAAATCATCTTTATTGGTCGTATGCAAAGCATAAGGAAACTCAGCTTTACATACTGTCCGAAGCAAACGTGACTTGGCTACTACCTTCAGGAGAAAGTTCTATAAACTGTGGCACCATTGTAAATAAGCATTGTGGCATTCTTCCTGTAGGTCGTGACGCTTTTGTTTTAAGAACCGATGGTTTGAAATGGAATCTCGAAAATCAGGTCTGTAGTTTTGGTGGACTAATAAGTTCCTGCAATATCATCTGCAAACCTCAAATTACTGTGCTCACACAAGATCCTGTCATATGGACAATGGAAGCGCCAGATCCTACTGACTAAGAAACGAAAGCAGCAGTTAAGTCTACATTTTGTCATAATATTTACGATTTTCTCTCATGAATTCTTTATCTTTACTAATTTGACTAAACAATAGGTAGAAGGAAATTTAATTTATGTTGATTATTTACTTATACATCCGTATTCAAACGGAACCCACTCACCACGCATTTACCCTTCCAACAAGCTTTGTGAACTGAAAGATACACCTCAGAAAGTGAAGAAATAAAGCAAATCATGACACATGTTCATATTGTTGAGCTTGACATGTCATTTTTTTCCTCCTTGATATACCCAACAGTTCACTAACCAAGCTGGTAATTGTAAGCTACAGTGTTTGGTTGTAGGAAGAAGTAGTGCTTCCCGGCAATATATATAGTAATTTCGACTTTGTCCAGTTTGTCGCCTTTCACCATCTTAGGTAACAATGTCCTTTGACCTGAGGAAATTTTCAACCCGTCACGGCTGTCGGAAATATTATCTCAGTATTTGTATTATATTGTTGTAAGGAATGGAAACTGCAGTTGCTTAATAAGTTGATTAGTGTTTATTTACGAGAGTAATATGATGTTCACACATTTGTATTGACAAACGAAGCTGTTTACAAGGAATGAGCTTATTAGCTTGACCAGAAAAGTATTCCTTATTTTGAACGAAATTCTCATGCGTACAAACTGTTCTATCAAGATTCAATTTCTAGCAATCACCTGCCTGCATGTATTCAACAAGATGTCAAACGAATTCCATGGTTTTAGAGGGAACCTTTCCATAATTCAAAAATTCGCAGATATTTTGTGATCTTAGGGATTTGGACGGCTAGAAGGGATTCTGCTTCATATCTACAAGGAACCTTTTCAGGATCAAGTTAGCCTCTACTCATCTCAATGTTTCTTCTACAGTTTTTAGCCCATACAATGAAAATGGAAACGCTCCATTCAAGTAATGGCCGTAGGTAAGTCTTAAATTATATGAAGCGGATTTTATTCGCTTACTAGTAAACATTTTTAACAAGGTAGAGAGAAATTACTACCATGAAATGCGAGAAAACAAATAAAATAAAATAAAAAGAATGGCACTATTAGGAAAAAAAGACGAGATGAAAAACATACAACATACTTACAGCTGGAAGCTAAACATGAAAAGAAGATCGCCGTTAGGTGCTTAAACCTCATCTACCGTATCATCCCAGTCTGTATCGCGCATGCTTCGAGGAGCATAATCTTGTAGTCCGGCAACGTAGTTAGCAGCACAGAAGCCAGCACCAACAAGAAGAACTAAAAAGCCAAGGAAAGATGTGAATCCATTATAGGACCAAAGCAAAGAACCCATAAATAGATAGAAAAAGCCTCTACCCAAGAAGGAGAACATAAAGGAGGCATATTTGACTGCTACAGAGGGAACTTCACGTTCTAATGCGATGGTACCGAGGCCAAAGGCGATGATGAATAAACCTAAAAGAACATTCGCCAAGCTGAAAGAGAAAACCTTGATAAGACCCGAAAGCCCAAGAAAAGCACCCACTCCCAAGTTCAAGGCGCTAAAGATTTTAGGCTTGTCCATTTTTTATAAACTCCGTGACTACGATGCTCAAATGAAGAGTTTTTTTTTTTTCAGAAAAAGAAAGACACGCTTACAGCACTGAATTTAGTAATCCTTGCTCAACTGGCAATCGGTTCAATGTAAAAACCCGTTGCTTGTCTTGATTGTTGGTCTTGGAAACTGCAATCCAAGCCTTACGCAGTGGTGATTCAGGTTAGGTAACTGTTACCTAGTTTTTTTTTTGACAACATCAGACTCGCACTTAAAAGAAAATCATGTAAGAATCCAATTAGCATTGCAAAACAATACGCGAAGAACCCTATTTTTTGGATTCAAATGAAAAAAAAATCTCCTGAGCCAGATTTGAACTAGCGACCAACCGGTATCGTAGACATTACAGCCGGGTGTGATAACCAACTACACCATCAGGAGAACTGTTAGTAAGGTAATAATTTAGACATATGTAACTAGAATGTTGGTATTTCAAATTGTCCCTTCAAATCTCCTTTCAAACTAAGGGCGATTTGCAATTTTGCTTACATCGAAGCAGTATCACTTTCCAATCCATCACAGAGGAGGCGCTTCGCTTGACAATCGATACGTCAATAATGAATTCACATTCCAGACATACCAGACCAGAGACTTAACAGAGAAATTCCGGAAACCCTCTTTAGTCACCTATTTCGCTAGATATGGATTTGCTAGTTATGGATTTCTGTGACGATAAACATACTTCGTCGTTGTTGCTGGCGACTTCCAAATAAGTTTGCGACCCTTATGTACAGTAATTTTTTAGCACCAAATACATAAGTTACGATTGAATCCTTCTAATTTTAGGAAAAATAAAAAAAAAAGTAGAAATCCGAATTAAAACTGGATAAAAAAATGAACCTTTCAACACTCAAAAGCTAACTATTCTACCTTAAGATTTTTATATATATTTTTCTTAAATCATAAGATGACAACAACGGCCTAATAGTGTAGTGGTTAACATACCTCTTTCGGGTAAGACCCACTTCTGAGTTTATGAGTTTAGAGGTGATCCCTGGTTCGAATCCTGGTTAGGCCCTTTTTTAATTTTACTTTTCACTTCGAGAAATCGAGTTTTGGAAATTTCTTTCAATCCACCATTTGTATGTTTTGCTTTATACCTTTTTTTAGTTAGAGGATTCGCACATTTCGTTTTTTTATAGTTCTTCTACTACAACTTTGTCAATCTCTCCTAAGTTTTCTCTTTGTAAAAATAACACTACGCCGTTCGAGTGCGGTAATCGAGATTTTCATTCGTCAAGTCCTACAACCGTAAATAGTAGCACCGCACAGCTGTCGTTCATGGTCGTAGTAGCTTCTTCGTAGAGTGACTCAATCTGCAATAAGAGTAATCAAAACACCAACGATCATGTCAAAGTTACTGTTGTTAGTGGATTCAACGACGAAGAAAATCAACGATTATGAGAAATTGATCGAGTTTGGAAACTCACCAGATGCAGAGATCGATTCCTCTTTACAAGATATTCGTAGACAATTACAAAGTCTAAGTCAAGAACAAACAAGGTTAGAACAGAATGCTCAAATTCCTGAATACAGGCTTCGAGAATCTGAAGCATATTTAATTCGTATGCAGCGACGAGTTGAGTCTGCCGAGGAAACACTGCTGAGAAAGCGAAATGCTGCTTCCCAAGGACCAAGTTTTCAATCTTCCTACTCATCCAAGCAGGCTGCCGCTGCTCCATTGACTTCAGATGCAACGTCCAACAAATCAGATATTGAAATGGAATCCATCTACCAATTCGAAGGAAATGATCCCAATCCCATTGATGTCAACTTACTGACGCAGATGCACCAGCAGATGCTCAACGAGCAAGAAGAGTCATTAGGTGGAATCGAGGCTAGTGTTCGAAAGCAAAAGCAATTGGGCTACTTAATGAACGATGAACTCGAAGAACATAATCAGTTAATAGACCATATGGATGACGATGTAGATCGGGTAGACAAACGGCTAAACTTGGCTAGAAATCGCTTGAGAAAAGTGACTCGCAAAGCAAAGCAATATCCACGTTGCTGTATCATTCTTTTTCTTTCTTTATTGCTCATTTTGGTTTGTTTTATTTAATGTCTTCATTACGCCCCGCTCCCTCTTCTACCATATGTTTGTTAATTTTCATAAGCAAGTTTACGTTCTGTAATATTAGATCCTCATAAATCTTTCTCGTTGTTTACTTATGTCTAAATGAATTCTAGTTTTCTGTGCATTTTGAATATAATCTAACTTTTGAATTCCGCATGTCTGTACTTGAAATACAAATTGATTTTCAGCAACTCGATGGACATCTCAAAATCACATTACATGTTTCAGATCCTGAATTCTAACGATACTTTCTATACACATGAACTGCTGATTGTACAAACACTAGATTGAGATTAATTTTTTATGAATGTAACTCTCACCAAAGTAATTTGTTGTCAAAAAATATGAACCGAAACACGTCTTTCCTTTTTTTTTTAAAAAAAAAAATTAAACATCAACGAATTTTAAGAAATGGAATATAAGAAATAAAATGTATCAATAAAAGGTAGCATGCTCTGAAGGTTGTTCTAAACCAGTACTAAAGTTCGGTATGCTAGAGGAGATATAATCCAAATCAGATGACCACTTAGAAGTAGAAGTACTGTTACGGTGAAAAGGAGGACGAGCACCGTAAGATTCCAAATTGCCTAACATAGCAGGATTAAACCTGTCTTGTCGATAATCATTATTATCCGCGTACAGCATCTCCTGTGCTAACCCACCGTTGATAATATCAGTATATTCCTCACTAACCGGACCAAGATAATTAGTTGCAGCTGCACTTGGAGTCGATGCAATCCTTTCGGGGTTTTCAAAGCCTTTAACTCCATCCATGCCTACATACCCACTTGGAGGAAATGCATCTGTGTCATAAACATCTGAAGCCAAGTTCGCATCCACACTCCCAAACGACGACATTCGCATGGTTGGTGGCAAAGTTGTGGGACTAGCCGCCATAGAAGGTTGCATCATCGAGTCAGGACTATAATAACTAGGAGAAAAAATATTCCCCATTGGAGACATAGTATTAGGGGCAGCGTTCTCAACATGATCTGGTCGAACATAATCAACTGAACTCGTATTAGAATTATTAGATGTTTCTAAACGGTAGTTACTTGGGGTATTTGCATTGCTGGCTTCTTTGGGTGATGGATGAGGAGATGGCTGAAAGAATGCAAGAATGTCATTTGAATTCATACCCTGAGACACTGGAACAGACAAAGGATCAGAAAAATGACCCCAATCAGATTTATCAACTTCGTGACCCTCAGGAATAGTTTCAGGAACAGTCAATTTGTTCCAGTAAGTACTTGAACCTGCATTTTTGGAAAATGAAGGATATGATAATAAAGAAGGGTCATCATCAAAAGATGAATAATTACAGTCAGGACTTTTCTGATCGTACAAACCTGACATTGGTTGATATTGAACAGGAGGAAATAGTTCATGGGCGATTGTTGCGCGACGGAAAAACAAAGAATTGTCTTGCAAACCAACAGAGGGATTTGGTATAGGATAACCTGCGGAAGAAGGAAATGAAGTAGAGGGTAAACTAGAGGCTACAGCATCACCAACATTAACTGCAGATACTAAACGTTGCTTTTGAGATTCAAGCCAACCGGCATTAGAATAGAGGGAAGATGCAGAAGGAGAAGAAACCGAGGGTTGTTGATTCGAAGATTGAAGATTGGAGAATCTAAGGGAATCGGCATTTGTGGATGGTTGAGGTAGCGGGCGTTTGTTAGGAGCATTCATATTTGCAATAAAAGACTGGGCGTCCGCGACAGTCATATTGGGGATAGAGTTTGTCGAACGTCTTCGTCTTCTTGGTTGAGGATTTTTATGAATTTTCTGTTGATGACGAAGAAGCAAATCACGTCTGGAAAACAAACGACCGCAACCAATCGGCAAACCATCAATATCTTGACAGACAAAAGGCTTTTCATTGGTATGAGAGCGAATATGCCTCTTCAAGTGTTCCAAACGCGCAAAAGCGCGGGTGCAAATAGTGCAAACATACTGCTTAACCTTTTGGGTAGATCCATTGGCATCCTTCTTGGTTTTCTGAGTGGTACTCATAAAATTAGAGCTCTTTGATTGATCTGTCAACAATTTTGATTGATTATTAGAATTGTTTGTTAAAGGTACTGTTTCCTTTGTCTGACAATTTGAAACTCCTGTAGGAGTAGAAATCATAACATTTGCTGTTCCAGCATTAACACTGGAAGAAGAATGTTGATGACGAGAATTAGAAGGAGCTGTATTAGTAGCCTGGTTCATCGCTAATTGTAGAGAGGTATAATTAAAAGGGAATTAGAGATCAGTAACCAATTAGGATTAATTATAGATTTATAAGAAATACTCCTTTTTTTTTGTATTAAAAGTAAAAGGGGGTAAATAAGGGAAAAGAAAAGGAAAACACGTACGAGTATTATATGTCCAAGAAATTAAATCTTCGAAAAAAAAGGCCGCTAAAACGACACTAAAAGGCTGCAGAGATTGAATGAAGATTTTAAAGATTAGTAGGGATAGGTCGGAATGCGAGATATCGAGAAATGGAGAGATGGTAAGAAGACAACAAAAAAGGGGAAGAATAAAAAAGAAGTGACTTATGGTGTAGATAAAAGTGAAGAAATAGGTAAAGAAGGAGTTTATGTATGAAGGAAGGAGGAGAAACGCTTCCTAAACAAACAAATCTAAGTATGATGAAGATACAGAATTAGATGATAAATTGGCGTCAAAACACCCAAAGAGACAGAGTCATTCAATGAATGAACTAAATCACAATCTTTAAAGGAGCGTCGGGTTTTAACCCAAAAAGAGAACGATGTTTATTGAAGGTCAACAAGGAAAGAAAATTAGAAAACAAACAACAATCAGCACCAACCGCAAATAAATAATGATTAAAAAAGACTAGACAATAATGAGAAAATACAAATCCTTTACGTTAGCCTAGATTCAACGCAACCCATACAACCGACAAGCAAACGACAAATAATTAATCTACACAAAGGAGTAGAGATATAAAAAACGCGACCAAGCCCAGCAATACGGTATGGTATGACTGTATTAAGTTATGCACGTCAGACTGAACGCATACAACAATGGTTATACTGCTCCAAACGATTAATTATTTTTGGATATATTGCCTGTTTTTAGAAAACCCCTGCTCAACAAACGCAACCTTTATAATTTGCGCGATAATAAAACACGTTTCCAATGAAAAATAGGTCTTGAAATTGCAAAGTGCAGCAAACGATCTACAAACAGATTTTATGAGTGGCAAATCGCTTCGTTTTTCACTTTGAACTACCCAAACTCTTTCCTAGTGCTAAATTGTAGCAGATTCAATTCAAATCCCGTCGTTTTCAGTTTCTTTTGGTATATAAAGCCTATGCTCTCGACTTTTAGGCGTATCTCGTTTAATTTGGGTTGTTAATTCGTTCTACCACCGTTTATGTAGTTACTTCCAAACAAGTAACATTCCAAGAAAAAGCACACGACAGGTAGCGAAGATTTTAAGGATATCAAGACCACGTTGTTTAACCTGTGTGGAGCGTCTTTCTTAGTTGTGTCTATTGATAGACTTGATCATACTTACTGCTTATAAGCCGTCGCTTATTGGGGGTAAGCAGTACTAGACATACTTTACATAGAGAATCCCCTTAGTTGATTTCTTTTATTTCTTATCTAATATTTTTCTGTTTACATCTGTATTGCATTTTTTTTTACTTTACTTTTGTAGATTTCTTGTTGAGCCTCGTATGGAAGTTTTTTTATCAATTAGATTACTTTGAGGTTCTCGAATATCATCCTTGTACATTATCACCATTATTAATTGAATATTTATCCTTTGTTTCAAGCTCTGTTGTTTTTTCCTATCTTTGTTAAGTTTCATAGCTCGGCAACGGTTTTCTGACGGAACCCGATGTCCGTAAGACTGTTCTTTACGCTGCCTAGCTCCTTAAAAGGAGTTTCGTTATTATCGACTGTTTTGTTTGTGTTTGATTTACTTTCTAACTCGGAAATATCTATCATACTGTCTATATACTGCTTTTCCGTTCTTACTCATCGTGAAACAAATAATATTTAATTTTTCTTTCTTTACACTACATCACAAAAATCTAGCGCTCTCTTAGTAGACAGTAAATCATTACACCTTCTCAAATATCATCCTCATAGTCAAAACGAAATCAAAGGTCATCAGGATATATATTCATACAATCAGTTTTTCTATGCGTACAAATCATCAGCGCCATCGTTTCCAAAGCTGGGTCCATTAGCATTATTGTTGGAAGAATCAAATTGGAATCCCGTTAAGCCACGAGAGGTAAGGAGTTGATGAGCATAAGCTTCATATCGGCGAACTTCACCGTCACTGACTGAACGACGAGCCATCTTCATAGCTTCTTCAACATGGCGTCTTTGTACTTGAGAAGCAGTAGCATCTTCTTCCATAACAACGTCATCTGCTCCAGCAGCTTTTGCTTCATTTTCTTTCTTAATATCTTCCTCAATGCTTTCCTTGATGGCCAACTTGACAGTCCGCTGAACGACAAACTCCAAATCAGCACCAGAAAATCCATGAGTAGCCTTTGCAACAGCTCCCAGATCCACATCTTCTGCCATAGGAGTATGACGGAATTGGGTCTTAAGAATACCGGAACGAGCTTCCTCGTCAGGAAGAGGAACATAAATCAATTGATCCAAACGACCAGGACGCATAAGAGCAGGATCAATCTGGTCCGGTCTGTTTGTGGCACCAATGACAAAAACATTCTTTTTGCTATTAACACCATCCATTTCAGTAAGCAATTGGTTCACCACACGGTCACCACCACCAGAGTCACCAGCAGTAGCACCACGAGACTTAGCAATAGAGTCTAATTCATCCAGAAAGACTACACAGGGAGCAGCTGCACGTGCTTTATCAAAAATGTCACGAACATTGGATTCGGATTCACCGAACCACATACTAAGAAGTTCAGGTCCCTTAACTGAAATGAAGTTGGCAGAGCACTCATTGGCAATAGCCTTCGCCAATAAAGTTTTACCAGTACCAGGAGGTCCAAAGAAAAGGACACCCTTACTTGGGGTAACACCGAAGCGTAAGAACTTTTCGGCATACATGACGGGCATTTGTACAGTTTCACGCAATTCGCGTTTGACTTCTTCCAAACCGCCAATGTCCTCCCAGCGAACATTTGGAACTTCCACAACAGTCTCGCGCAAAGCAGATGGGTTGCCAGATCCAAGGGCAAATCTGAAGTTTTCCATAGTAACACCAAGAGAATTCAAAACCTCGGCATCTATTTCATCCTCATCTAAGTCAATCAAGTCCATCTTTTCGCGGATCTGTTGCATAGCGGCCTCCGAACACAAAGAAGCCAAATCTGAACCAACGTAACCATGTGTCTCGGCAGCAATTTGTTCAAGGTCAACGTCATCTGCCAGCTTCATGTTCTTTGTATGGATACGGAGAACTTCTAAACGACCAGTGGGATCAGGAATACCAACGTCTACTTCACGATCGAAACGACCGAAACGTCGCAAAGCAGGGTCGATAGAATTGGGACGATTGGTAGCAGCCATAACAACGACATTGCTACGAGCTTTCATACCATCCATAAGAGTAAGCAATTGAGACACGACACGGCGCTCTACTTCTCCGTTGGTTTTTTCACGCTTGGGAGCGATAGAATCTATTTCGTCAATGAAAATAATGGCAGGCGAATTCTTCTCTGCTTCTTCAAAAGCCTTTCGTAAATTGGACTCGGATTCACCAGCCATTTTGGACATGATTTCAGGACCATTAATTAAAAAGAAGAAGGCACCGGTTTCATTAGCAACAGCACGGGCCATTAAAGTTTTACCAGTACCAGGAGGTCCATACATAAGAATTCCGCGAGGTGGCTTAATACCTATACTTTTGAATAATTGAGGATGACGAAGGGGAAGTTCAACGAGCTCACGGATTTGAGCCATTTGACGGCGGCATCCACCAATATCATCATAACCAACCTCTGCCAAACTACTCTCTTCATCTTCACGATTGATGGGTTCACCCTCCCAGTGAATAATGGTATCTTGACTGACAATGCCAAACTCGTCTGGAGCGACATCTACAACCTTGAATTCAACTTGGCGCATGCTGCCCCGGACAACAAACAAGTCGCCTTTTCGGATAGGACGATAAGCTTCAACGAAATAAGGTTTTAAGTATACGTCGAAAAGTGAACCGGTAAGACCTTCGACAGTGTCGGCCAAGGGCAATACGGAAATGCGTTCAGCATACTTGATATCCGGGCAGGGATTAACTGTTACAACATCTCCCAAACGAATACGCAAATTACTACGTACAACACGGTTAAGGCGGGCAACACCGTCTTCCATATCATCGTCAGTTAGAACAATCAAAACGGTGTCTTTCCGTCTCTTTCCTTTAACGACAACGGTATCTCCTCTGAAAAGCTGCAAAGTTTCCATAGTATTAGGAGAAAGTGTAATCACTGAATTGTCATCGTTAGTGGCATCATCCACCACTAAGGAATTGGGTTTTTTCTTTTTGCGAAGGATTGCAGTCGCAGTATCTTCTGCTTTTTGGTCACTAATTTACAGTTAATAACAATCGCAATTGAATTTCCTCAAAAATAATAATACACTTACTCTTCTGAGGGTTTTGTGCCCTGAAGACGTTCCACTTCTGGGTTCTTATCGTTCATGGTAGATGGTTCGTCTTATACTTCATACGAGCACTTCTTATATATAAAACCAAATATATCAGTTTATACATCTAAAATTTATTAACTATTGTTTTTTGAACTAATTTATTAACTTATGTAATTTTCCATGTATAAACCTCACTTCTTCTTCTCGTCTACCTTAAAAGTTATTTCTGATTCCAACCCTTTCCATGATGCTTACGACATCAATTCCTACTTACGTTTAGGAACCCGAGAATGATCCGGAAAGAAAATACGATAATGTAACAAGGCTCCCTATTTAGTAAATAAACAAAAGATGTAGCTGCCAAAAACGATATTGATCAGATTTTCCTCCTTTAAAAGGTAGGCCAGAGGTAAAAGCTCCTGAATTATTGAATTAAAACTTCTAACTAAATGACAGTTCGAGTTTCCTTGGAAGGACTCAGTTTATGTTCTATAGAGAATGCAACTTCGTATTCTACGAATAGCATATAAAGATAAATATTTCCAATTTTGCATAATAAAGCACCTTCTTCCTCTAATTATGAGAAATACTAGATTACAATGCTCAATAACGTGAATAAATAACTTATTCTATTTATTTTTTCTATGAGCGGAGAACACATTCCTCATTCTTAAATATATCCTTAAAAAGCATTATAATATGCTTACTTTTTAATCTAAAGCATATTAATTAAGCATATAGATATCAGAATAAATATGTTGAAATCCAAAATTAATAAGGTAAGAATACAGGAGCATTAATGTTTCAATAGTTCTTTACTTATTCATTTTATATTTTATATTTTTCCTATTTCTTTTTTGAATGCCCAACTAGAAATGCTGATATTAAGCAGCTCAGCACAAGACAAGTACGTACCCACTGGCCTTTTTCTAAAGTTTATACCAAAGCAATATGGCAGAGGATAGACTGCTTCAAAAATACTCACAAAGTAAGTTATATCTAGTTATCTTCTATTTATTTACTTTCTTGCTAACAAAGACAAGGTTCTGATAAGGACTTACGCTACATGGCATTGAGCGACTTGGGAAATGAAATCAATAAAGAAAGACGATCAAGTATTGCAGAATCATTCTCTAGTCAAAATTTTACAGAAACGTTGATTAAAGCGTTAAAAGATCCTGCTCCTGAGGTGCAACAAGAAGCTGCGCGATGTGTTTCTCTATTGTCTCTTAAGGTTTCTGATCAGACATTGGAACACCTAATTGACCTACTGTTAATTGAGTTTTCAAGGTCCTATGAAAAGAATTATATTGCTGCATTGTGGATGATTCTGTCTCAATCTGATGCACAATCTAGTTTGACTTTTTTTTACTGTTCAAAAGTTTTACCTAAAATTATTAATATACTAGAAACTCAAAGTAACGAATCAGAGGAGTCTTTAAGTCTTTTATCAATTGCAAATGATTCATTGGAATTATATTCTTCGTCACTTTCAGTTTTGTCAACTGATGTTGCATCTGCGTCTTTCAAGGTATTTCAAAACTATAGTATGAACTCCAAGCGTGCCTCGATCTCAAAAAAGTCTATCAATTGTATTTGTATTTTATCTATATATGGACCTGAGCAGTGTTTAACTACACTTCTTTCCATTCTGAAGGAGCAACTGATGGTTAAACCATCCACTTCCAATCTTCATACGTCCGTCCTTTTACTTAACCAGTTACTACTTGCATCTGCAAGTAGTACTACAGAATTATCTATTAAGTTTTCTGCATCAGCACCAGGTTATCTTACGGTCATCTTGAATTTATTAAAGGATGATCATAATTCTTTCGACACAGTGCAATTACTTCTGAATACCGTTTCACTTTTGGTAAAATATCAAAACCCAATTGTTGAAAATACATGCAAAGAAGTTCTGAATGTTCTGAAAGAAAAAGTTCAATTTGACCCTAATATTGTTTCAGATGCTGAAGATGAAGAAGATATCCAAGACTTTGATGAAGACGATGATTTTGGAAGTATGTACGAAGATGAAGAAGACAATGCATGGTTAATTAGGCGAGAAGCTATCTCAGTTGCCTCCTCATTAATAACTTTTCACGTTGAATTGCTAAGTGTCTTATGGGAAGATTTTGGAGAGTATATCATCAAAGCTTTGTCTGATAGAGAAGATAACGTCAAGCTTTCTGCAATTGGATTTCTCGACTTATTTTGCGAGCAAATTTCTGTTTGGAAATCAGAAAATTTAAAGCCTAAAGGAAAGAGAAAATTTTCAGAGCTTTCATCGCTTTCGACTAGTACACCTGATGTAATTTTCGCAAATTCTCTTCCTTCTTTATGTGCTTATTATCAGAAATTCTCAAAAAAATCTTCATTGTCGATTAAAATTGGTTTGGTTAATTTAGCATCTCGCATTTTTCGGACGGTCTCAGATAAGCTTGATAATCATTTTATTGGAATAATGTCAATTTTGAATTCCTTCCAAAATTATGCGACCTTGGAACTAAGAGTTAAGCTTGATATTGTGAACTTGATTTCTGCGATCGTCTCCTCCAATGTAAAAATTGAATGTTTGGAAAAGCTCCAACCCTTAATAACATCCGTTCTCATTTCTGCTTCTGAAGATAAATATCTTGAATTAGTTTTTAAAGCCGTTCAAGCAGAAATACTTCAATGTGAATATTATGCACGCGTTGCTCCCAACACTCTTCGCAATGAAATAATGGAAATGGCTAACACGAATATTGAACTTCTTTCATCAGGAAACTTGGATCAGCGTATCAGGGTACTCCTAATCAAATTTCTATCGAAAACAGTTATTTACCATCAAGGAAACATTTCTACTGAATTTCTGTATGCCGTGATTTCAGTTTTAGCAAATAAATTTGATGAGGAACCAACTCGCCTCCAAGCTGCGAATGCCCTGACTGATATATTTTCACAGTCTCGAAGCCTTGATCTGCTAAAAGAAAATCAAAAAATGCTATTACAAAAGATTTTTGCCTGTTGTGTCCTATACGCCAAGAAAGTTGACTTGTCTCTTGTTATCAACAGTTTACGTTTATTGCGAGTAATACTTCCAATTGAGCCTTACATATTAACAGAAGATAAAATAAATAAATTGACTGAATTTTTGTTTGGCTTGGATTTTGTCGAACCTGATGTTATCGTTGCAAAATATAGTTGCCTATTGGAGATCCCGATTGAATATTTGATGAAATATCGGGAGGCTATTTTATCGGATTCCTTTTCATTTTTACAAAATAAAGAAGTTCCCAATGATCCAGGTTTCATTGAATCTGTTGCGAAATTGATAGCCAAAATTCTCGACAAAGAATCTCTTCCCGAATTCATTAATAAGCTAAGTACTCTTGAAAAATCCCTGGAAGAATCTTTTACGATTGGATTATTAGCAAACAAACTCGCAATGTTATCTGCAGATGTTAGCATTTCTAAGAAAATTTTTAACGATTTAGTGAACCCAAAGTCAGAGAAACTCCAAAAGAGATTCTGTATCTGTTTTGTTGCTTCCATGGAATTTTATGATCCTTCTCTTAATATACAAAGCTACTTTGAAGCTTTAACGAATCAATTAAATTCACCTAATGAAGAAATAACTCAAGCTGCAGCAATTGGAGTTGGAAAACTGGCAACAAAGGATGAATTCTTCGTTCAGACCTTATGTACATTATATGATTCAGATGCTTATTCTCGTGAACTTTTAGTAACTTCTCTTATTAATGTTCTCAGAAATCAATTGAAAGCAGATACTGCCGAAAACATTTGGACTACTGTATGTCGATTTTTGGGAGACGGAAGTGTTGCTAGGCTGCATGTCTCAGAATGTCTTGGATTGCTTTTATTGCAAGATTCTATTAATTTATACCCAAAATTGCTGGAGCTTTCAACGAAAAACACTTCTGAGTTAAAAATGCAAGCCTTAAGCATTCTTCGTTTTAGCCTATCTTATCAACATCAGAAATGGTACAATGCTGAGAAAACAACTTTCTTGAATATCTATAAATTATTAAATGATTCAGATGTCCACGTTCGTGAAGAAGCGCTGCAGCTAATATTGACTGCAATAAGGAACAAGCCTAAGTATATAGAAGAAGTATTTAATGATCTTGTATCTGCTTTACTCTCCAAATCTGTGGTGGACCCGAATAGCATACGAACTGTACAGATGGGACCTTTCCAACATAAAGTTGACGATTGTCTTCTACAAAGACAACTCGTTTTTGAAATCTTTTATTCTTTGCTGGAGTTCCAGGAGTCCAAAAATAAAATAGATATATTTACGCAGGTTATTTCAACAGGACTTGAGGATGAACAATATATTAACCTACTTTCTATCTCCATTTTAGAAAGATTGATAGAAGTCAGTCCATCAGATATATTTCAACGACTGAACCTCGTACTAGAGCCGTTGAAAAATATTCTGAAAAAGCAGTTGACCGAGAAGTCACTAAAAACTGATTCGGAAAATATCCTTGATTTAGTTCGCGCTGCTTTGAGAGTAGTGATTTCCTTGAAAGCAAAATGCAACAAACCGGAAGTTCTGGCTTTAGACAATGAGACTCGAAAAGGGCCTTATGCTCTAGAGTACTTAAATGTTGAAAATGAATTAAAAGGATTGAAAATTGTATAAACTAACTAGCAAGTTCAAGAAAAATCTAGTCTTATACAGTGTATCTTGTACTGTTACATTGTGAATAGTCTTGATGGTTATATGAGATTAATGATATTACAAAATGAAGATGAATTAAATCGAGATGATTTATATTTATAATTTAATTTAGACAATCCATATATAGCTAAACTGTAGGAATATTAATTAACATAAAATACAACTTACCAAGTGAAATTGCGAGATTTAAAACTGCTCCTTATTTAGGTAGATTTTTGGAACGACCCGAACGTGGATCTGTATTTACTTTTTGCAAGACTTAGGCACAAGGGCTTTCTGCTTTTCAGAAATGGCTGAAGCAAGGAAAAATAATGTTACGATAAAAGTTGGAATGATCGGGGATAGTTCAATTGGAAAAACCTCGTTGATGGTTACATACGTTCAAGGATCTTTCGATGAAGAAAGTACTCAAACGTTAGGTAAACGAATCAAGCTTTCATAAGGCATAACACTAACAAGCTAATTATAGGTGTTAATTTTATGGAGAAAACAATTAGCATTCGGAATACAGAGATTACCTTTTCCATTTGGGATTTGGGTGGTCAAAGAGAGTTTGTAAATATGCTTCCTATGGTCTGCAATGATGCTGTTGCTATTCTGTTTATGTTTGATTTGTCCCGAAAATCCACCCTGAATTCAATTAAAGAATGGTACCGTCAAGCTCGTGGCTTCAATAAGGTAAGTCACAACTCGTATTCAATGATAATAAATACAAAGGTTTATTTCGCAACTATATCTGTTTCTGTGATACCTAATGGACTTATCATGATTCCTTAATTGACTGTAACTAACTTTTGAAGACTGCTGTACCTATCCTTATAGGCACGAAATACGATCATTTTATGAAATTTCCTCGTGAGGACCAAGAAGAAATAACAAAGCAGGTACGTGATTCTAAGTTTGGTTACAAAATTAACGACTGATTAGGCTCGACGATATGCAAAAGCTATGAAAGCAAGTTTAATCTTCTGTTCGACATCTCATTCTATTAATGTTCAAAAAGTACGCCCGATAAAAAAAAATTCATCTAACATCTAGATTTTTAAAATTGTCCTTGCCAAAGTATTTGATCTGAAATGTACGATTCCAGAAATTAAGAATATTGGAGACCCAATTTTGGAGTACGTAGAGCATTAACGTTCTTTTTTGGACTCTTTTTATGTTTATATTTTGACATCTTATACCTTACAATTATTTATACTCATTCGTTTTTGTCTTATGATCTTTATATCATTTAACTTCTCAGCCAATTTAAAAAAACCAATATGTGCAATAATCGATTGTCTAACCCTACAGTCAAAACTAATAAAAGTTCATTGTTTTGTAACTCTATTGATTTTATTTTCCAGTCACCCACGTTTCTCCCATTAAACAGTCAAAATTTTATTCCAAATACACCCTAATTATTAAACACTATATTTTTTTTTTACTAGCTTGCTAGTTAGATTTCTAGGCGCTCAATTGTATATCTTCCTATAGTTATATCAAGCTCTCTACCACGAGCTCTTTGACTCTTGTTCTTTCTTTGCTCAGCCAAGCCATCTTTCTTCAAAAGTGTTGCTAAGTCGGCTTTATCATCAACAACAGCCTTTGGTTGAGGGTTAGGGTGAACAAAAGTTTTTTCAGCTATAGCCTTCTTCTTATGCTTTATGAGTTCAGAGACAGCAGGGAGAGCAAGAGACATTGCTGTGAGTGAAGTGATTTTCGATTGTAAGCCTGAATATAATTCTTGAGCAGTAGTTAAATTATCCGTACTAGCAGCAATACCACCAACGCCCATAGCATCCAAGACAATGGAAGCAACATAAATAAGGATTTCAACATCAAGATTCAAAGGAACTGATGTTTTTTTACCAGTAATAGAAGCGCAAATTAGCTTGAATAGTAAATCAAAATCTTCCTGACCTAAAGTAAGCAGCAATGCTTCCTGGGCTTCCACACAGTCAAACTGAGAGAGTCTTAATAAACCGATTTTTAAAAGTTTTGTCTTCATGGTGGCTAAAGCTTTCTTTATGGCACAACCAACCTCAAAAGCAGGAAGATCAAGAGTTCGCTCTAAAAGCAATAATGCCGATTCCTTTTGAAATTTGTAGATACAATTGAAAAGAGATCTCGAAGGATGAAGCCTTAAAATAGAAGAAGTGAACAAGCGGTTTCTTAAGAGATAATTTAAAGTAGCTTTAGCCGGACACAAGAGATCTAGGTCTTGCTCTTCGTTGGATGAAAAGAGAATACTTTCGATAGCATGGACGAACGGAATAGGAAGAACACTATTTGTTTTTAACAGCTTTCGGTTAGTAGAGTTTTGGACTTGAAATCCTTCAACAAACTTCAAAAACTTAACATCAAAGGATTCACCGTCTTGATTTTGGACATATGTATGGAGTTGATGCAACTCATCTCTTAGAGAATGATCTTGAAGTTGCACATTCTTTAATAATTGTTCGCACAAAGTGACACTGCTTTTTGATTTTGTAAGGGCGCCGTCAGCTATAGTTTCGGGTTTTGTTAAAATTTTACCGATCTTTGATTTTCTCTTTCCAATGGCGTCCGCAAGAGACATAACAGACGGCATCGTAAATGGAACAGATGCAATAGTCTTCTTCTGTAATAGTATGATATTTCCAGACACAGTAGAATTTAACTTAAGGCTGCTTCTTTTAGAAGGGTTCTTATTTATGGTCACTGTTATGAAAGTAGTATCATTACCAGTGTCAAGAACGTCCTGAATTGTACCATATGTCAAATCCCATAAGGAAACCTGGCTTTTTGTTTGTACCAGACAAAATTTATCAAGAATTAAATGTACATTAGATAAAGCCGGAATATTCTCCAACTGAAACGATTTTTCACGTTGATAAGAACTGGTGGATTCATTGGAAGCATAAACGAAAACACTGTTGGAAAAGAAACCGAATACCTTTTCACAGTTTTTAGTAAGCAGAACATGGGCAGGAGAAGTAGAAGAGTCTAGTTCAATTGGCTTCGTAAAAAGTATGCGTTTTTCTGACGTAGAGAAGACACTCATATAAAACTGTTTAATCTTTTCAACGCTAAGTGCATACAGGAGATAAATATTTGTAGTAGTCGACAAAGAACTGAGGGAAGAAGGCGACAAATCTTCTCCGGACTGATCTTTACCAGTTCCATCCACGACTGCAGACTTATCCTCTGAGGTCGAATTACTTATAATATCCTTCTCAACGTGGTTTGAGACGCTGCCCGTTTTCACCAAAGTAGCATTCCCTTTAATAGAAGCGGAAGTTTGAATCAAATCATCTTCTGGATCAAGAAAAGAAATTTCTCCATTAACAAAAACCAGAACGAGCTGTCCAGATGATGGAATAAAGTGTATAGAAAAAACAGGTTTATTTAATAAATCCCGAAAGCGTACCTCACCATGCTCTTTAAGGTCATTATATTTCCAGCTTAACAACTTCCATTCTCCCTTACTTCGTGCAGAAGATGTACAGGCCCAGATGTAATGGGAATTTCCCTCGTGTAAGTACATAGGCTTACAAGAGAAAACAGTTTTTTCAGGCAGCGGACAAGATGCAAACAGACGCTCTTCCTTCAAGTTATAGATTTCAATCCCATGTTTCTCAATTTGTACTGCAATGAACGATGAAGATTCTTGTCCGTTCTCTAAAGCCACAGTACCACTGGAACGATATTCATCCTTTTTTTCAGCGTTTGAGGAGACAGATATCTCACCCAATAAAGACAATTCACCAAAAGAAGCCATGTTGTCCTTTAAAAACAAAACACTGTTCTAAAAATTATCTAAGAAAAAGCCTAATGGCTGTGTTTTGTGGACTTTTCGATTTTACAAGGATTTGGTGGTGGTAAAAGTTAAAGACTAAGGCGTATGCAGAACACAAATTCCAATGCTGCAGAAGTACAACCTCTTTCGGGGAAAAAAGTATTTCAATTTGTACTTATTCAATAAGGTATTAAAAGGATCCGAGAAAAAAATTACAGAAAATAAACTCCTTTTTTCCCACTCTTCAGAATTGGTAAGAGAAGGTTTCGTTGCATGTCGTTATTAATATCTTATTTTGCATACTGGATTTGATCAAAATACGTTATTCAGTCAATTCATGTCAATAAGGAAAGATACAAGTATTGCAATGAATAAAAAAGAAACAAGGAAAGCTGAATGATAAAGCTAATATAATGTATTTTTTCGTATGGCTTATATATTGTTCTTTTTTTCCTTTTCCGCTAAAGCCATTATAAGTCAAATATGGCTGAAATGGTTTTATTTTGCAGCAATGAAAGAGTATGAAACGGAAACCGAAAAGTGATTCCTTAATTTACTATAAAGAAAAGAATTGAAAAAGTTTATTTGGGTCCCAACAGTAACCGGTTATTGCCAGATCTCTTACCTTTGGAATATGGAGACGTAATATTTGTTTATTTACGTTGGACTACAATGACAACAAAAACAACAAGTGAGGTTTCGCGGACATTTCTAGCGGGAAATATAACATATTGGGTCTCTTTAAACTCGTTCCATATTGAATAATCTTCATATTACATTTTTATTATTCCAACCCGTACTGTTTTACTACCTCGTATTCTTTCTTTGTTTGGACCTATATGAAAAGGGAGATTTGGGAAGGAAGGATTTTGCTGGCATCATCAACCTTCGTGCGTAAACAATACTAAACGGATGACAGAAGGAAATTATTGCGATTGGAATAACGAAGCTGTATGCTCTTGGATTGAGCAGTTGGGGTTTCCGTACAAGTCTATTTTTCAAGGTATGATTCTCAAGAAAAGTCAGGAAGCATGGCATGCTTGATGGTTATATCTTATTTTTATTTCTTATATGTGTTTTTAAGGAAAAACTGATGGGTTGGGTTTTTTAAAAAAAGAAAAACGCATCCTGTTTCCTGCAAAGATTTTTGTGAAGAAAAGATGCATCGGAGATCATTGAACTAACTGCTCTAGAAAATTGTATTCTTGGAAAGAGTCTTGTATTGATGAATTCGAATGATCTACGCGACATGGGAATTTTGAGTATAGGCCACCGTTTGGATATTTTGTCAGCTATACAGGACTTGAAAGAAAGCCATAAAGAACAAGCGAAAAAAGAAAATCCTTTATCCTTAAAGAAAACTGATTGTCATGAAGATACCAACACTCAAGAAAGAGTGAAATTATCGCTGTTGGCTTTAGAGAAACGGATCGACTATTTGGAAGCGGAAAATGCCAAGCTTGTGAAAACAATCAATTCACTGAATTCTGAGTTCCTTCCTCTTTTGAGAAAGCTTGCATTGAATTTTAAAGAAACGAAATTGATCAACTCAGATACCTGCTCTGAGAGCAGTTCCATTTTTCAGCCCTCGCAATCTTCTCCAACTGTGGCAGGAAGCTTTGATTTGGAAGTAAATGACCAAGCACCCCTTAATGCTAGCGAAAAGAAAAAGGTTCCAAGAATGACCATAAACTCTTCCTACCATGAGGTATTAACGTCTACCTTACAAAAGTATCACATTGATCCTAGCACCTGGCTTAGCTATGAATTATTGCTGAGCTATGATGGAAAAGAACATCCGATTTCTACGGATGTAAAGCCTCTCCAGTTATTTAGAAATTTACAAAAGCATGGAAAATCGCCTTCCTTTATACTTTCTCGAAAAGCGTAATCATTGAACTTTTGGTATGATTGTTCTCTTTTGTTTTGTCCTTTTTTTTTGTATCTCTTTCTTCTTGGAAAGAAAGTATAAGAAGTATGACTTTCAATGTGAAGAAAGCATAAAGAAATTAAAAATTTTTTTTTTCTATTAACATTAAGATTTTACTTATAATAATTCCTCACTAGATATACTTTTAATGCAGATTTTTAATTAACAGAGATATATCAATTTTACTATATACATGCAAAGGTCATAAGGAGAAGAAAGTGAGACTGAGGCGAAACATAAAAAGAAATCTAAGTCTATGCGAAAGGAAGTGATAAGAAAACATAAAAGAGAAAATATGTAGTGGAAATGGGAATGAACGAATCTAAGGTTATTCGGGGAAACTGAGAATCCAAACAGACCTGGCGAAGAATCGCAGGCTGCTTGATTTAACAAATGGTACAAGAATTCCATGTTTGGTTTACCGAGGAAGAAGAAGAAGGATATGAAGCGGAAGAAGGACGACCAAGGGCAGCGAAATGTTGAAGAAAAAACTGCACTCTTGGATGAAACCAGAGGAGCGAAACATTCGAGTTTATGGAAAGTGACTTTGACGGTAGAAGTTTGAGCCCATGTTCTTTCTTTCTCTGTTTAATACTCTTTGTAGAATTTGAGTTGGCTCTACGAGTATCAGCGTGTTTCAATAAAGAACCTTTTCGACATGATGATGAGCAATCACTCAATTGACCTGGACTTTCGACATTTAACTTTGTAACAGTGCTACTAGAATCAAAGCTAAGTCGCTCACTCAACTCGTTCGGGGAAACACTTAAATCGCACGAAGGTGTGGAAGTTGACGATTTAACAGATTGGTTCAAGGTATGTCCTAGGATTCTATGGAAGGAAGATTCAAATTCACTAAAGGTCAAACTACCAAAATCTAAAGAGTCATTTTCCGTAGAGAGAGACGAGTCGCTTGACCAGGAGAACCGACTTGGTAATTCAGATATAGACACCGCAGGCATTGCAGAAGAAAATGGTCAATTCAACGAGGCCCATTTTGCTTAAATAAATTCATATTTCAGGTGCCAACAAAGAAACTCTTTTGGGTTATTTATGCTTTCTTCCTACTGCTTAGCATGACTTTCCTTTTTCGGTCTCCTATGCATACATAATCAGCCATCCTTCATCCACTTTGGGTTTGAGACTCCACTTCCCAAGGCTATATAACCCCCACTAAGGATAGCATTGCCCACCACATAAGACAAAGTGGGATTTAGGGATGCAATCTTTAGGCTGTCCTTAAGACAATGGCATTGCTACTGACTTCCTTACTCAGAGTGGTGCAACTCGTTGAAGCGACAAAATGCTGCTCATGATACCTGTTCTGAAGGAGTATAATTACTAACTTCTCTCATCAACGAATTGTTCCTTTTCACCTGAATCGAGAGACGAACGAAGGTCTTTTACCTCATACAGAAAGCATTAATAAAAAAAATTCTGTAGGATTTTGGAATGGAAGATGATTTGAAACGCTTCTGTTTTGTCTCGGGGTTCGATAATGAGCGTAAGAAAACTTAATTAACCAAAATTGGGATAAGGATTCACAAGACAATTATGCATGAAGCAAGGATTTTGTGAAGAATTACCCTGTCGCAATTGGTTTCGTAACACAACTCTAATTCATGTACAGATGACAAAGTCATTGTGATTGTAACAGCATTCCTACAACCCCTTTTAGACTCGGGTGCAGCAGGAATTATTGAAAAATTGTATCATAGAACGCATGAACTCGTTTCCGCCGACGAAAATTACACTGCCGTCTTTTTTGCCCATGAAAGCAATATCCTTCCTTACCTGAGTTTTTGTGTAAAAGCATATATGCATATGGACTATTATTTACACAAACACGCAAAGGCTGTTTATGTGGTTCATTCAGATTGGTTGTCTCGTGTAGCTATCCGTACACTGCTAAGTTTTGTAAGCCCCAAGTTTTACCAAAAATTCCGCTATATTTCTTCGCTTTCTCATCTCGCAAAATATCTTCCTTTTCGGCAATTGAAGTTACCAGTGGTAGTATTTGAATTCGATCGGACAGTCGAGCCGCGGATTTCATTAGAAGCAAGCGTCCCGCAGGATTCTTTTCGGACAAATACTTCTTCTTTTTCTTTTAGTACCCCCATTCAAAATTGGTCTCGTCCTCCGGATGCTTTCATAGACGCATGTCGTGTAATTCGAAAGTATTTAGACGTGCAAGGATTGTTTCGTCGTTCATGTTCAAAAAAACACCTGGATATTCTCATTGAGCTTTACGAGAATCATTGCACAGTGGATCTTGAGAGCTTCGGACCCTTTTCTGCTTGTGCATTAATTAAGCACATCTTTCGTTCGACAAGCATACCTCTGTTTTCCAGTGAGTTCATAGAAAACTTATCGAAATCCCAAGATATGTATCTTCAAGAAACGAATGATTCTCTTGCGTCCTTGCAAGATTATGTCCAAGAAAACTTGAATGAGAATTCACAAAGGGCTGCTAGATTTATTTTCTCGCTCTTATCCGAAGTAAATCAGCATCAAGACAAAAATTTGATGGACTCTCAAAACCTGGTGATTTGCGTTGGGCCATCCTTTCTTCAGTCAAACGATATAACATCCTTGCTAGTCATGAAAGAAAAAGGATCCAATCCTTATTTCCGGTTTTTACAACAATCTATCGCTCACTGGAAGGATTTGTTTATAGTCTCAGAGAATTGGGACGTATACTGTTAATATTGAACGTTAGATTCTTTCTTTTACTAACATATTCATACTATTTATTTTATTTTATTTTAAAGTTTAATTTGTTTTGTTATGAAAAACGTGATTTTAATATATTTACAATTTTACAATCATAGACAAAAGCGAAACTATAGGATTAACTTACAATCAAGAAAATTTGACAATCAATTACGTAAAAGAAAGGGTAAACAATCGAAAATGATGATTATTATTAACAGACAATAACAAAAACAAAAATTATTAAATTATTTTTTCGTAAGCAAAACATAAATCTCGCGCATAGAAATCCATAGAAACTTACGAGAACTGGATAAACGATAGGTGAAATAGGAAAAGGAGATCGAGGGCAGCTAAGTGAAATGGGATCGTAAAAAGAGAAACAATCCGATGAAACGAAATAAATTCATCAGAAATAAGAGCTGTCGGAAAAAGAAAATCTCAAAAGGGAGTGGAACGAGAAACAGCATATTGTTTTACGGTGAAGAAACATTTGCAGATTCGGAAGCGTTGGGCGGAGGCGACGACTGGCCGGCACGAAGGGGAAGGTTCAATTGACGAAGACGCTCTTCTTCTTTGGCAACTAAAACTTCCCATTGAAATTCACCAGGATAACGTTCTTTTGACTTGGACTGGAAAGGAATCAGCTGGGTAGGATTGGTAGGGTCAGAAATAAGTTTCTCTTGGGTTGGAGGTTCCAAACGATTGGCAACGGCAGTCAGATAAACACTTCCTAAAAGGACGAGCACGGTAACACCCTGTGCGTACATTCTTGCCTGTACAAGTTTTTGAGGTAGGGTATCGTAACGATTGCGAGATGCAGCGTACATACTTAAGCCAAGAGTGCTTGCCCATGTACCCAAAATGATGGGCCACTTGTGTTGGTTGTAATAGTACAACGCCCTATATTTCCAAGGGAGATGCTTTGTGGAATATTCAATTTGGTCAAATTTACCATAGCGTTCAGCCTCAAACTTCACAGTGGCTTTATCAGCGTAAATTACACTCACGGCAGAACCGCTACCAATGACCAGCCAAGATTTTCGAGGAAAAGACAGACGACGAAAGCCAGGAGAATACCTACCTCCCACGATACATCCAAGGATGCCAAGACCAGTACCAACGATTCCGCCTCGTAACAGAGCCGAGTAAATGGTTTGATTAAAAGCTTGCGTTTCTTCTTTGGTAGCAAGCTTCATATTTCAGTGTAAATGAACTGGATATTTTCAATTCCTATAATAACTAATGTTTGTAAAAAAAGTCAGTGAGTGTGTCGGAAAGGATAACTTGTATCATTTCAGAGGGTTTCAAGTAAGCCCGAGAGCTACCTTCGTGAAAACGCTTCCGAAATTCCTTTAGGTGCCAAATCATGATGCTTAGACTATCGTTGAACCAACCATTATCATTTGGCTTTTTCGATATCGAATTTGTATGGTGGAAACTAACCTTTGAAGTCAAGGTTTAACGAAGCGTACACAACTTCGTTCAGTATATATACGGTACCTTTACGTTATCGTTATATAGAAACATGAAGTAGCACTGCTAATGTCAGAGTGTCACTGTCAATGTTACGATAGGTGTTTTGTTAACATTATATATATTACAGTACCGGTGATACTAGACTTGTTGAATATTAGCGAATGCCGCCATAAGCTTAAAGAATCGAGGCATAAATACACAAGCTGGACAATATTCCCTGATACTTAATCATTAAGTAATTTACTGCGGACGCCAAAAATGACACAGAATACACTTGTTGTTCGACGACAAAAGTTCACAAAGGTTTTTTTATAATTAGATGAATATTACATAACTTTTAATCTAATATTACCGTGGATCTGGAAAGGGCTAAAAAACAATCTCTCCCTCCAAGGTAAAGTGGCAATCGTTACAGGTGCCTTATGAGGTGTTGGAGCAGGAATAGCTGAGAAATTTGCACGTCGCGGTGTTAAAGTAGCTATTATCTTCATCTCTGACAGCAGCAATGACGCAACTGAACAGTTGGTAAATAAATAAATAAATAAAAGACTTTGGTACTTCGGCAGATGCAATTAAGATTCAAGCATATTTGCGTGATGTTTCTAGAGTGAAATATATTATGGATACCACTGTTCAAGCTTTTGGTTCCACCATTCATATCCTTGTCAATAACGCAGGATATTTAACTGAGCCAAAACCTATAGAGATGGCGATATTGGAAGATTATAACCAAACTTTTGATGCAAACATTCGTGCCGCCTGCATCATGACAGATAGCATGGCTCTGAATGTTTCCCAAAACGGAAAAGATCATTAATATTGGAAGTATTAACGGAAGGGAAGGCTTTCCACAACAATATCTGAACAGCGAAAGCAAGTCGGCTCTTGAAAGTTTCACAAAATGATGGATTGCTGAGTTAGGCCCATAGGGCCATACCGTGAATCAAGTCAATCGAGGAGTTGTTGTAACGGATATGGTAAGAAAAAGTCAAAGTCTAATCAAGCAGTTCTCAGAACTGACTCCTTCTGAAAAACACTATGGACAGCCTCAAGATTTAGCGATAGTTGTTGGTTTTCCTTGCCGAAGATAGCGGTCAATGGCTCGCGGGGCAGGTGATTTCAGCTTCCGGTGGGTAGGGAATGTATTAGTTTGAGTCATTTCAGCAAAATGTTAGAGCAATCCTAACATTACTATATGTTATTTTACGACTTACTGGACCAAAACAAACAACGGAAAGTCTTTGGTTCATGTGCGTTCATAAGTTCACGAGTCATTAAATTTTTCTTTTTTTTTTTTGGTATTTACTAGCGTAGAATGGAATCGCTATCTACAGATAATCTAAGCGTTTCCAGTGAAATTTCAACTTGGGAAGAATTCGCAGATGAGCTGATTGATTTGTTTCATCAATTAATCTGATTGTCAAGTCAAGCAGGTGCAATTGAATCTTTACTATATAAAAAATAATAGTCTATCACTTCAATGTACTTTATTTAACCAAATAGTTGACCTTTACTTTTTCACTCATAGTTGTATTACTACTTTATAGTATTATGCCCGTGTCCCAGAATAAAACCGAATAAAGAGAAAAGGGAAACAGGCGAAAGCATGAAAAGGGCAAGTTAAAAACAAAGGATATAGTAATAAAAAAAGAAGGGAATTTTTTATTTTTACTATTGTTGTTGTAAGAAGTCTGATCAAAAAAAAAATAATAAAATAAAATAAACAAGTAAACAAACCAAAGAAATGAATTGAAATAAGTAGAAAACACACACCACTTTGGTGTTTTTCTTTCCTTTAGGATCAGTTCATTTCAGCCTTCTCTTCATGCGAGAACCGGGTCCATAGCTATTAAATAAAACAAAAGAGGCATTGTTTTTTATTTTCGTTTTCATGGTGTGGAAGCCATTATACACGAGTTTTCGGTTGGAATTTCAGAGGTTTCGAAAACATTACTACTATCGAATGAAATTTTTCTTTTGTTGGTGGCTAATTCGTTAAATACAATAAAGTAATTAAAGTTTCCTCGCTTATTTGATTACAAAACGAACTTTTTCTTTTTCTTGGAGCATTGGATTCCAGCTTGGATTTTTATTACCATTCTCTTAACGAAGATTTATTTTGCAGAAATTCCCTATTTAGTAATCCAACCTTCCTTTTACGTTGAAAATATGCGCTGTCATTTCCTTCTTCTTGGAGACTTGTTCCTTCTTGTTACCTCAAGTCTTTTTACTATGTCAACGTAAGATATATGCCCTTCATCAACAACCAACATACCAAGTAAGAACAAGCTATTTATAGATATTGTTCGTTTGCGCTAGGTTCATTTCTTTTAGTGTTTTGGAATTGCTCTGATTTCTTTTCGGAATTCCTTGGTTTGTACAAGGAAAGAATCATTCTATTTCATGACGCTTTAAAGAATCGCAACTTTTTGTTTTGTTTTTGCTTCATTTTGAATAGATTTTTGTCAATCTCTTGGAATTCATTTCCAAAACCGAGCCTGTGGCCTGGAAAACTTTTTTTCTCTTCTCATTCCACTTTCTCTTTATTTTATTCTATTTTTTAGGTGCATTATAACAATCCGCTCGGTACATATTTTCTCTTTCGGGAATTTGGTGCTTGTTTTACATACTCGTATCCTTTTTTGTCACTATACCTTTTATTGTAGATTATGTCAACACCAAATAGTCAACGGGAAACGAGCTTCTTCAAGGATGATCAGCTTGTTCAATCCCCAGTCAGCTCACCTTCCTTGCATGAGTCTCCCACATCTTCGCCTTCTTTAAGTCCTAGTTTTCAAAACTTGAAGGATTTAAACGGTCCAAGATTACCATCTCAATTAACACAAAATGACACAGACTCGATGCAAGCTGCCCCTTCCCGTGAGACAAACGTTTCCACTAAAAAAGAAAACACGACCCCTCCCCGCCCATCAACATCTACTTCTCCCAATGCATCCTCGTTAACGTCTAGCGATTCGTCTCCTGTTCCTTTTCAATTAAATCCTCAGCATAAGCCTCAACGAATGGCCTCGGAAGGATACTTTGCAATGCCAAAGCAAGTCTCTTCTTTACGCACAGAGTATCGTCCTGCCTCTCTTCATCATGTCCCCAGTTTCCATTCACCCGGTGATAGTACTCCACCTTCTCCCCTTATGCTTGCTCAAAGTATGAAGAGAAAAGGTTCCACAATGAGTATACCGGGCCAAACATCGAGTGTTTATTCTAATCCAAATTCAGAAGGTGAAGGTGCTGGCCCAGAGGAGAAACTAGTTATAATAATGGTCGGTCTTCCTGCTCGGGGCAAGTCGTATATTGTGAACAAATTAGTGCGATACTATAACTGGCTCCAATATAATTGTAAAGCGTTTAATGTCGGAAATCATAGGAGAAAACAAGCTTTTCATGGGCATGATGATGCTTCCTTTTTTGATCCTTCAAACCCTGAAACTTCTAAAATTCGCGAGGACATGGCAATGAATACACTGAGTGCTTTGCTAGATTGGTTTGAAAATGAGAATGGTGTTGTTGGTATTTTCGACGCTACCAATAGTACTGCTAGCCGAAGGAAGGCTATTGTCGAGCACTTAAAGAATGTTCCATACGTAACTACCCTTTTCATTGAGTCTGTTTGCAATGACGAACAGTTAATTGCTGCCAACATGCGAATGAAACTCTTTGGTCCAGACTATAAAAATATGGATCCTGAGAAGTCCCTTAGAGACTTTCAGGAGCGTGTTCGATTGTACGAACAAAAGTATGAACCGCTTGGAAAATTCGAGGAAGATCTAAATCTACGCTACATCAAGGTAATCGATGTAGGTAAAAAAGTAGTTGCCTTTAATATTCGAGGATTCCTTGCCGGTCAGGCAGTTTTCTTCTTGCTTAACTTTAATCTTTCGCCTAGACAAATATGGGTTACTCGTCACGGAGAGTCCTTGGATAACACAATGGGTCGTATAGGAGGTAATGCTTCATTAACCAAACTTGGTAAACAATACGGAGAAGATTTAGCAATGTTTATTGAAACAAAACGTGCCGAATTTCAAGATCGATTATTTTTTGATGTGACAAGGGAATCCAATCTTATGAACCATGGTAATTTGTCTTTTCAAGGGAAGACATATAATTCAAGCTTTAATAATCTATATTCGACTGAACACGCCGTATCAACACCTATTGAATTGGATCCCGAAGATGAAGAAAAGATAATTAAACCGTTTAGTGTGTGGACTTCAATGATGAAGAGAAGTATGGAAACCGCAGCATATTTTGACGATGAACAATATGATATCAAGGCTATGCGAATGCTCAACGAGATTTGTTCGGGTATTTGCGATCAACATACATACGAGGAGATAAAAAATAACTACCCCGACGAGTACGAAGCTCGAGCATTGGATAAACTAAATTACAGATATCCCGGTTCTGGTGGTGAAAGTTACCTAGATGTTATTTATCGGCTTCAAAGCGTTATTGTTGAAATAGAACGCATGAAGCATCATGTTTTAGTTATTGGACATAGAGTCATTACAAGAATCATAATCGCTTATTTTCTTGGATGCCGTCGAGAAGATATTGCACATTTAAATGTGCCTCTTCACACTGTTTATTGTATCGAGCCGCAGCCGTACGGCACAAATTTTTATCAATATAATTATGACCCGCAGACTCGCACTTTCACCCGTGTACCCTTCCATGTCTGACAAAGAAATATAAAATTTCTAAACTGACATTGGTGTCTAATGATGTTTATGAAGAAATAAACAAGAAAAAGAATAATTTTTTAACCTTTTGTTCAAAAAATGCAGGATTTTGATTTGTATTTTTGTCATTCATAGTCTCGTTTTTTTATTTCAGAGTGTTCTGTTTACTGTTTCGTAAACTGATCATAGTATTTATATTAATAAATGATTTGAATGCCACTTAACTTAAAATCTCTTCAAATGTTCAAAATAAGAGTTTACTCGAAGACTCTACTACTTTGCCAGCATGACTGGATATACAACAGCATTCGTTATTCGCTGATACATCACAGGAGCTACTAAGAATCAAAATCCTTCTACAAAACACATAACATTACATAAAGAAACCCTTTTTGGTGCATTGATTTTGGGACTAACAAGCTTATACCTTGAAAGCACGAGACTTTCTACGACCACGAGCTCTTTCAAACTTACGGCCCTCAGAGCGAACGTGAGGAGCCTTGTGCTTGTGAGGACCGAAACCAAAGTGACGGAAGGCCTCACGAGCGTGCTTTCTACCACGAAGAAGAACAGTGTTGCTGCCAGTGGGGGCACGGAGAGCGAGTTGATCAAGAGTCATGACTTCACCACCAGCCTTCAAGATACGAGCACGGGCAGACTTAGTGAAACGAAGAGCAGCGACAGAGAGCTTGGGGACGGTCAACATACGCTCGTCATCGGTAACGGTACCAACAGTAACAATAGTCTTGCCCTCAAGGTTGGAGGCCTTGCGGCTAGTCAAAGCAGCAATCTTGGAGATAGAGATAGGAGGGCGGTTAGTCTTAGATTGAAAGAGACGCTTTAAGATAGTCTTGTTGAAACGTGAGTCAGTACGGCGGGCCAAGAAGCGGTATAATTTAACCAAAAGCTTCAAGTACACGTTCTCAGAGGCAGGCTTGCTGCGTTGAGACTTTCTCACGTGGTGTCTCTCAATGTCGATACCCTAAAAATTGAATTAGTCTTTTGTACCTTTACAAGCGTAATATCATTTTAAACTTACCATCTTGGCTCGGTGTAGGTATCATTTCTCACTCAAAAGTTGTGTATTGAATTGTGACTGTTTTCGTATAGTAGGGTAGGGCTGAATTGTGAAGGTCGATGCTTTAGTAAATGATACTGAGAAATTTTAGATAATTGTAATGGAAAAAGATCTTAAATTACATACGGCTAATGAATCTGGAAGTTTTCTTAAAAGCGTTATCGTATCTGTACTGTCTGGTGGTACAGCAGCATCTCTTAGTAGAACTGTAACCAGTCCTCTGGAACGGATGAAGATCATTTTTCAGGTTCAAAGTAATAAAGAATATAATAGCATGTTTGCTACAGTTGCCAAAATATGGAAACGGGAAGGCATTCTTGGTTTTTTTCGTGGAAATGGAACGAATTGCTTAAGGGCATTTCCTTACGGCGCAGTTCAGTTTGCAACTTACAGTGGATTAAAGCAACTCACATTGCAGAAATCGGATAGAAAAGATTTGAGTAATTATAAAAGACTAATTTTCGGAGCCATTTCAGGAGCTGCAAGTGTTATTAGCACTTATCCACTGGACATTGCTAGGACAAGACTCTCAATTCAGACGGCGGGTTTAATCAAAGATAATATGACCAATGGTTGCAATGCTCAGTCATTAAACCTTATGTCAACTTTAAGGACTATTTATCGCAATGAAGGAGGGATTTCCGCATTTTACAGTGGTCTTCCAGCGACACTACTTAATGTGGTACCCTATGTATCTATTGTATTTTTCACTTATGAATGGTGCAAAGAGTATATGTTTTCTGGTAGAGATCTCAACAGCTTAGAGAAACTTTCTCTAGGCGGGTTTAGCGGGTTCATAGCTCAAACATTTGCATTTCCAGCCGATGTTCTTCGACGAAGATTTCAAGTAAACCGGATACCTGGCATTGGCTATCACTACTCAAGTATATCAGATGCAATAGCGCAAATTTACAGCAAGGAAGGCCTTTTTGGTTTCTTCCGGGGATACTTCAGTAATTTATTGAAAATTATCCCCGTCATGAGCGTTACTTGGTATACATTTGAAACAGTGAGTAAAGTGTTTTCAAACGTGTAGGAAAAGGTAAACGATGGAGTAACTATTTAAAGACATAATGCTTATGCCATACGCAGTGATTCTTAGGTTTAACGATTATAAGTGTAAATGATTTTTTAGAAATAAGTCTTGATTAATGAATGTACGTTAAGAATAAATCATGAGATTAATCTTTTTTCATCTCCTTCATCTCAAATCGATAATGAACGTTTAAAGTAAAAGTTTGAAAGGATACATCTGCAACTTTCTTTGGAAAACGTCAACAAGGAAACTGTAGCCAAGCCATAATACAATTAGCCAGAAAAAGACAAAAAGGGTTTGGCGTTTTGCACCCTCGACTTTTGGTGCTATCACGGCAAGAAAGATGGTGCTTATAGTTAAAGCAGTGTCTAAACTAGGTCAGTAAACTCATCAACCACTGTGGCTTGCGATACTTACAGATCAATGATACAACCTGAACTTCTGCGCCGAACTGATATTGTTGGGATCCGGCTAACCAAAGGTTTTCACCATTTGCTCCACGTTGACTGTAAGGAGTAAACCGGATGCGAGTGAACATGAATCCACTGCTCAACGTAATAACAGAGATAATGCTAAGAGCAGCCCACACTTTTCTGCTGGTGAATATTTTCAAAAGCGTTTTTCTAGTAAAGAAAAGAGCAGCACCGCATAGAATAGATGAAGCCAGAGTAGCATATTTTTTAGCAGGATCTTGACGATAAACTATCGGGGCGCCTTTGCCAGTTTCTCTCTCGACCAAGGCAGCCAACTTTTCAGCAGAAACACTAAACAATGGTTAACGACGTCATAACGTCGAATTGACTCAGATTGCTTACCCACTGCTCAAATCCCCTGAAATAGGAACTATAGTATTGGGCTTAAAAATCCAAAAATTGGGAACGCTTTCGATAGCGAACTAAACATGTTAAAATCCAACAAATTGAATTATTTTAAGTGTAAAGACCCGTACCTGTTCAAACAAATTCCTATTTTTACCAAAATCGGCATATACAAACCGGATACCGCTGTCAAGGCCGTGTTGTAATTTGTAAGAATAAGCTAAAGCTTTAAATTCGGGCTCAATAAGGCTGAACCGTCAGCAAAAATGAAAGTGTAAAGAATAAGGAAGAAGACATACCGACAAATTTCACAGTTCATGGTTCCAGCATCCACTGAAAAGAGTGCAACTGTAGTATGGTCTTGTTTACCAGTGACAATTCGCTGGAAAAGTCTACCAGCAATATTGATAATCCCATTGTCATCAGCACGAGAGTTCAAATCTGGTTTTGCAAGGCATGCAACCGCAAAAAGGGTTAAATAAGTAAGAATTTTGCCAAACTTCATATTGGCTCTGCGTACGTGCGCGTACACTACCATCAGCACTTGTTGCGTATTCGGTGATTTTGGAGTAGCTGTCACCGAAAGGTTACCGGGTCGGTGATCTTACTCGGCGTCGTATACCGATATACAGTATTTGTGCGTTAATAAATAAACCAATTAACGATAAATGAAACATTCTAAGTAATGTCGGGAATGAATAGAGAAAAAAGCGAAGAGTTAAATTATTTTAAAAAAGAATGATAAAGATTTAGGAAATAGAATTGCTTGATATCTTTATGATAGACTCATGTAAGAAGTATGGTTATGATGAGTGCAATCCAATGCTCTTCTTCAACAATATGTCCTTCCAATATGAATTTTGTTCTTCAGTTATATAAATCAATTAATAAAAGAAACTATATGCAAACTTGACTCCGATTCGATTACTTTCGCTTGTCTTGACTGAGCATACTTTGTATAGTCGTAAAGTTACTATGAGCGAGTCACCGTATTTAGAAATCTGTCAATGATCAGAAGCAAACATCTAGAAACCAAGTAAAAATGCTTCATGAAAAATGAATATCTTTCAGAGAACAGCCTTTCTGGATAGCTGGAAAAAATACTTGGTAGGAAGTACGAAATGGCAATTTTGTGCCACTACTTTGAATGAAAAATGCTTCTATTCGACGAAGCAAAGAATAGGGAAAAAAAAGACTCTGTACTCTTTTAGAGCTTCTTTGGAAAATGAATATTTTAAATTTTTGGAAAGTGTAAGTTTTCGAAAATTACTGATTGAATAAATACGTTCGCTCTGAATTTGTTTGTTGCACTACTGAATACTGAATACTTTATTCTTTTATTATTTTCTTTCGAAAATTGAGGGAAATATATTCAACCTAGTCACAATTGAGAGCTTAATTTGATAAACAGCTAACCAAATGGTTTTAGATACAAGAGAAGGAAAAAATGTTTGCACCAGGTCAACTCGTTATTAATTTGGTAAGACCTTATTTTGGAAAGGATCATCATTACTAACATGGCAAGGGATCTTCTCCTGGAATATGGAATAATGTTGCTTCTCAACACATAGGCTCTGAAGGAAGAGTTGTTTCTGTTGATATTATTCCCTCAAGATCTCCCGCCAACTGTAGCACCATACAGGGGAATTTCCTGAGTATGGCTATTCAAGATGAAGTTGTAAAAGCAGGACTGCGCGCTAGAAAACTACAAGAAGCATCTGCACAGTACGGTGATCCCTCCTCCGTGCCTTATCTTCAGTTGGCTATTGAGCATGAAGCGGCCATGGAAAACCAGGAATCCTTGCTAAAGGAATTACGTGCAGATGTTGTTATAAGTGATTTAAATCGTCCGTTTCCAATGGTTCAGGGTTTTGAATTTTGTATTTCAAAAACACCTTATTTGGCCATGCGAAATCGTGAGCTCTTAACTGTTAAAGATCACATGAACTCTTTGTTTCTAGCACAATCTGCCTTAATTTTTTCGTTACGTGGCTTGAAACCATCAGGGACATTTCTTTGTAAAGTCGTGGATGGTCCAAATCTTCCTAGCTTACTGGAAGATTTGACGATGAGCTTTTCCAAAGTTACTAAACATAATATGAAAGGTGTATTTGAAAAGGAGAACTCAGTTGTTTATTTATGTTCCGGGAAAATATCAACACCACCGATAGAGTTACTCAACGTCTAACTCTATCACTTATATTCTTGGCATATTGGAGACGGGATATAGGTTATGATTCTTAATTCATGCTTCATCTATAGAAAGGATTTGCTGAGCAAACTTGTTCTGTAAACAGCGGTCTACTAATTTTGTTATATACTCCTGCATGTCTCGAATTGACTGTTTTAAATCTTTATTTTCAGCTTCCATCTGAAGTATGCGTGATTTGTTGCTTCCCATTACTTCACGAATTAGCTCCTTTCGAATGATTTGCATCTCTTCTTGCTCCTTTTCAGAAACTGTGTCTGAAATAGCCTATTTTGTGTTAAAATATATACATATAATCAGAGTTTCTTTTACCATCTGTAATAATGTCATCTGAAGACGCTCGTTCGCCTCTTTTAAGCGTTGAATTTCACTGAGCAAGTCCTTTTCGTTCCCTCCGAAACTGTCTGTTCTACATTTCTTTTCAGTCAAGATAGTACTGCTGGTATTTGTATCTCTTGCCGTGCTGAAGTTTTCATTCATATAGATAAAAGGAACATCCGATTCGCTAAGTTCTTGCTTTGATGTTTCAGCGTCCGAAAAATATTCTGTATCTGCTGAACTTTTGTTCCTTGTTTGTTTCTTTATCGCATAGTTTGAATTCGAGCTAGGGCGGTACTCTTCATTTGGCGCAACAGATGAGGATATATTAACTATATCTGTTCGATCCTTAAGAATGATATCTTCCATTTTTCTTTTCCAAAGCGTAAGGAATTATGGTCGTTCAGTTGGAGTGGTATCAGAACTTCTTTCGACATAAACAAAAATAAACAAACAAAACGAATTACCGCTTTTTCCGGAGCACTTTGTTATTATTTTTTTACGAGAATTAAATACTAAAGCAATTGACTTGAATGATTATTTACGTTACTTCTATTCATTTTCCCTCTTGAATTGTTTGCACCAGATAATAAAAATAAGTATATTAACCTATTAAAGAAAGTATTAAAAAGATAAAACGTTAAACTTTATAAAATTAAAGCAAATTTTTGTAGGCACATCAGGTACCTAAAAAATAAATTGGATCATTGTAGATCTGCCATAACAGCATTAACATTGTAAAAAAACTAGCAATTCCAACAGGAACGACAGCAAATACTGTAATTTCTAAGAAATCTAAATTGTGTCTGCTTGAAAGAGAAGTATTAGCGGATGACGAAGACGGAAATGGGACAGTACGGGTAATGGGGGAGGTGATCCAATCTTGAACAATATAAGAGGCTGTCTGAAAGCAGGAAATTGCAATCCAAGCGGGAAGCAAAAGTGAATTGTCGCCATGAGTGATAAAATTAACACTCAAAGACACAAACGAGAAATTAATCACATTAAGGGATAATAAACGTATAATAGTTGGTCCGATAGAATAATGAATAAGCCTAAGCATTAGCACAACTCACCAACGCCCGCATAGTAGCTTAGCTACTATTTTCAGATAATGTCACATACCATTTTAATAGAAACCCGGTAGTTAGTACGAAAGATAAATACCCTGAAACCTAAACCATCGATGTAAGCTTACAATCGGAGTGAATACTCACAATCCAACATACAATTGTCCAGAGTGCAGAAGTCAATGCCAGCCATGCACGTCCATTACCAAAAAAGAAAAGGTGTAAACATTTCAAGCACCAGTATACAGCAGGAGCTAGCGATAATGTCCTGGTAGCAATAAAGCAAAAGACTATAAAAGGATGATTTATACCAAGAGCTTGTGCAGGACGAGGATTTGAAACCACGGAACCAAGATACCGCCTCATAATCTATATATATATATATATATATATGTATATTATTTTTTTTTAATTTCAAACAAAAAATCATAAAGAAGATCTATCAGATTCGAAATTACTCATAAATTGTCTATGTTTTCAATGCGCAGAAAAGTATATTGGACACGATTGCTTTCGATAAAATAATCAAACGCTTCGTAATAGTAAGTGATAGGATTTAAAAACTCAAGAAATCCTGTATATTTTTTTTGAACTGAATATAGTGCATATAACTATCATAGCATCACTTATTCAATTCTTATTAAATTTGGGAAAAATCGGTATTTTAGAGATCAGCAAATGAATTCATGATCAAAATTCAAGATATAGACTTAATTAAAAAGAAAATTGACCGCTTCATTCAGACCTTCGATATTGGCTGAAATTAGAAGCAAGCATAGTGGAGCATTTTACCAACGCAATTGATGGAGACCCGAATCCTGTTTTTAGGTATTCTGTGTCAAACTAATGCTTAATTAACTGAAAAGTCTTTAATTAAAGGATTATAGAAAAGAATTCATATAATTCTATGGTAGGGTAAGGTACTCTGGGTCAAATTACAAAATACCATCAGTAATCTAAAATTTTATCGAGATGTCAAAGGTGCATGAAATATATAAAGCTCCTCTTCCATTTTCATTAGCTCCACCGCTGCCTCCTATAATTCCCACAAATCCTATCACTTGGATTCCCTATATTTATTATTACTTATTTTCGAGGACACCTAAACAAATCCCTGTACAATGTTCAGTGGACGTCGGTACTTTAAGCTGTCTGGTAACAGACAAAGAAAGTATAAAGAGACTCTGGACAAGCGGATTCTTTGGAAAAGGGAATCTTTCCAGAAGTGAGCCAACGTGGCACGTTCGAACAAAGCGATCGCTAGGTCTTTTGGGTTTCGATGAAGACTTGGTGGCCGAAGAGATAACTGCAAGAAGAAGGTTGCAAAGAAAACGATTTAAAGCGCAACGAGCATATAGGGAACAATGTGCGCGGCAACGTCAATTGTGTATTGAACGTGGAGAAGAAGTCCCAGATTATCTCAAAGAAGATGCCGAGCTCCCAAAAGAATTAACCGAACCTCTTTCTTCATCTTTGTCTGCTCAAAATCCCTCTGAAGTTACTTTTGTGCCCGAACTTGAGCATTTACAATTGACATTTCCTGAGGCATTTTTTCTATCTTCTCTAGGAACTCTAGTTGTTAATGGGACAGATAATTTTTCATCTACTCCTTTGCTTCACGTCTTTGCCGAGCTTACTGCCAAATCCCCAGGATTCATCACGGAAATTTGGAACGAATTCCCTGGTACTTCTTTCAGTCAACTTGATCCTAGCAATTACATTCGTCCAGACAACACATTCCTTGTAGAGCTTGCTGCATATTATTACTTTCGCCAACAGGGATGGGTGGTAAAAGGAGGAACAAAATTCTCAGTGGATTATCGTACGTTGTTTGTGAATGAATAGAATTTTCTAACCTTTTTTAGTTCTCTATAAGAGAGGCCCTGTGTTCAGTCATGCAGAATTGGCAATTTTATTACTTCCTTGCATAGGAGATTATCAAAAACAGAATCTGAAATGGCATGAACTGCATTGCCTTAACCGCACAATTGGCCAAGTGAAAAAGACTCTTGTATTATGCTATGTTCAGTGTCCAGCACCGGAAAAGTTTAAAGACCTCTGGCAACGGCAAAAGAATATGGATCCATGGGAATGGTCAAAATTAATCCTCAGTAATTATTCTATTCAATGCGTGACGTTGCGCCGCTGGGTTCCTGACAGAAACAGGGATTAATGATAACAAAAGAGAAAAAAAGTTAAGATTTGTGAATAGATATCAAAAAGATTCGTTCTTTGTGCGTTAAGGAAGTATTTGATCGTAAATATTAAGCATAGATGTATACCATGCTTGAACCTTTCTCTTTGCATCGTCTCCAGGAGAACGCATTTCCATAGATTCACGTAGATGGTTAGAACGTTGGTGCAGATGACTATATTCTTTTTCAAGTAAAGAACAGTTCTTCCTCAGCTGGTCTAAGCGAACTTCATCTCTTTCCAACTGTGAGTTGGTAAACTTTATCGAATCATCAGTAACCAAAAGCTCTTGTTCTAAGACAGGAATCTTTTCCTCTAAGTCTGGAAGAATGGGCGTCTTAATTAGGTTATCTTGGTCCAAGTCCTGTAGCTCTTTTTCCAATGTTCTCAATTCGGCTAATAGTGTTTTTGCTTCTTTGGATTCTTTTAATGTTGCATCGTACTTTTGAGCAATTTCATTACACTCAGAAACAATTTCTTTCTTTAATGATTCAACCTCGTCTTTTCGTTGTTTCAAACGAAATTTCAGCTCTGATATCGTAGACTCCAGCTTTTCATTATCTTCTGGCTCGACTAGCAGAGGAGGGTCATCAAGGATTGCACGTAAATATCTTTCTTTTGTTCCTTGTTCGATATATGAAAACTTGAGTTGAGAGAAGAATTCCTTGTACTTTTTGAGCTCTTGTTCAGTCGATAAACCTGATTGCTCATTTACACTGGACGAAGCTGATTCAGCCAACGCTTGGGGCCCTTTTGCCAAAAACGAGTCAATTAATTTTTCTTGATTAGAGAAGGACTCTTGCTCCGAGTCCATACGAGAATGTTCCGACATGTTTGAAATTTTATCGTGGCATTGAGAAACCGGATTGGAAAGAGTGATTCTTACTTATTTATTCTACAAGGAAAAGACTTGAGGTCATAAGTGTATACAAACTATTGAAATGATGAATCCACCTTTCAGATAGGCAAGAGGTGTAAACAATAAATACTATGAGAGCGACTGTAAATAACAAGTAATCTATGCTAGACTTGGTTTTCAATAGTTAAAACACGAATAAACAAGAAAGCTAACAGTAAACGATAAAAAAACAAGCAGATAAAGAAAAAAGATGAAGCAATTATCAGATTTTCAATGACAAACCCGACATTATTAATGTGATTCTAATGGAGATCTGCTCAAATACATAACATACAATAAAGGAATAAACTACATCCTGTAAGTGCTCAGCAATGGGGTTGCTTTTTACTTTTCCTCAGTTCATGCTTTCACCAATGTGTTGTTTACTTTATCATCGGGACTTCCGCTACTCAGATGTATCTACACACTTAAAAACAGTACATTAAAAAAATGAAAAGAACACAGATTAGATTTCTCTCCCAAAAACTGCCAATAAAAACGGATCCAGTCAAAGAATACAAATTGTACATCGCAACAGGGATCCCTCTTCCGAAAAATGTCCTGAATGCACTAGATTTAAGCAGAAGAAGCAGCGGGATTAGCCTTGGATCCAGTAGCGGGCTTGTTGCCAGTACCTAGATAGTTGATTAGTAAAAGAACACGGTCGACCATCTAAACGAATATCACTTACGGAAACCGTTGGTAAAGCTACGGTGAACCTTCTTCATATGTTGCATACGACCAGTACCGGTAGTCTTTCTTCTCTTGGCCTTAGCACCCCAGTTGAAGCTGCGGGTCTTAGCGGAAGGATAACCACAGGAAGCACAAGTGCTCTTTTGCTTGTGGAAAGAACGCTTTCCGCAACGACGGCAGAGGGTATGAGACTTATTGCCTCTTTTACCCATCGAAGATGTACCCTTAGTCATTTTTGCTGCTGCTTCTTGAAAATGTCAGGGCCTTTGGCTGAAGAGAAATATTTTACATACTAGAGCCTCACGTTTCGTTGGTGTAAAAAGACAGTCACGATTTCCCTTAACCATACAGTTCGTTGTTAACTTTTAGGATGTAGCAGCGTGCATCGGTAAAAATAATTACGTTTATCTGTATCGTTAATAAACATCTGTAGTCGAGCGAAATGGAATGAGTTTTGTTTGCAATTTACCTTTCGCATAGTACAGATCCTTTGGATTTTTGAACAATGAAATAGAAATTTTCTTTGATTCTATATGCTCACATACAATCTCTCGTTAATTCGCTCAACCTTGCCTCTTTGTTGCAAACATTGAAGGGTACATATGCTAAATGACGCTTTTCGATATGCATATTACTTTACTTTACTAAATATCCATTCATACACATATAACTGAGGATTGTTTCTCTTGGGTCTTTACTAATATGCATGAATTTACTTATCATTCTATGGCTTCTTTACTAGTATGATATATCAATAGTAGAGGAATACCGAAACCAACCAATTCCAAAGTAGTAACTATAGAATGGCGGACGATTTTATGTTAGAGTAAGTGGATTCTGTTCAGTGTTGAAATAATCGGACTAACAAAAGAAGGGATGATGAAGATTATGAGTTCGAATTTGAGGATGACGATGATGAGATGGTCGAACCGGACGTGGATATTGAGAACTCTTACTACAATTCAAAAGGTAGATTATTTTGGTGATAATTATTTTGTTGAACAAGCTCTTACAAATTCAACCTAGCCTTAAAAGAGGATGATGCTGGTGCGGCTGTTAGATCATTTTTGGAGATCGTCGACAAATGCAAATCCGAAAAGGATGAATGGTAAATGTCTATGATATCTCTACGCTCTTTTTGCTAAATAACCTTATAGGGCGTTTAAGTCTTTAAAGCAGGTTTTAAAGATTGTGTTTCGTACTGATCAGCTTGATGAGGTATGCATCATTGCATATGAAAGCGGCTCTTTGCTAACTTATTTTTTATCATAGATGCTAAAGCACTATCAGAAACTGCTTGAGTTTGCAGAATGGCCGAGTATTACGAAAAATTATGCAGAAAAATCGATATATAACATCGTGGATTATGCATCGTCTTCTACAAATGCTCAATTCTTGGAAAGGTTTTATGAAATTACAACTCACGCTCTTCACAAGTTAAATAATGAACGACTAACACTGAAAACGTTAATGCACGTAGCCCGATTTTTCCTTTCGCAAAAGAATTATGTCAAATTTAAGTCTCTTTTACGACAAATGCATCTCCTTCTTTCGAACGAAAACACCGCCGTTACAGACCAAAATAGAGAGACACATTTGTTGGAACTTTATTCGCTAGAAATACAAATGTACTCTAGTCTCGAGGATAATAAACGATTAAAAGAGTTATACCAAAGCTCTCTTAGAATTAAAACCGCAATCCCTCACCCTAAAATTATGGGCATTATTCGCGAATGTGGTGGTAAGATGCACATGCAGGAAGAACAATGGTCTGAAGCTCAAACAAATTTTTTTGAATCCTTCAAGTGTTACGATGAAGCTGGCTCTATGGACCGTATTCGGGTGCTAAAATATCTTGTTTTATCCAATATGCTATGCGAATCTGAAATCAATCCTTATGATTCCCCCGAGACTCAGCCGTACAAAGAAAATCCGCACGTCTTTGCTATGACTAAATTAGTGGAAGCATACCAAAAACGTGATATTAAAGAGGTGGAAAAGGTACTACATGAGCACCGGCAGGATATCATGGAAGATGAATTCATTCGCCAGTACGTTGATAAAATCCTGTATAGTATCAGAAGTCAGGTTTTGTTGGAAATGATTCAACCGTATTCGACTGTTCAATTAAGCTTGCTAGCTGAGAAGCTTGCTGTAACTACGGAAATTGTTGAACAATCACTTATTGGACTTATTATGGATAGAAGAATTCAAGGAAAACTGGACATGATTCATGAAATTTATGTAAAACAAAGCCCGTTAACTATATTAAGTGATGAATTAACAAAAAATACTCAAAAACTTTGGTCCGATATTGCAAAGAATTAGTAACTTGAATACATCAGGTACCTTTTATTTCGTTACGTGATGGGCCTTTCGGCATTATATTATACCATTATCCTCCAAAAAGATTTTTCTTTTCTGACCAATTTCAATTTGGAAACCGGACATATGAAGGGATTATCTTTTAGCCAGCTCTGAATGCATGGATAGCAAAACACGAAGCCAGTAGATAAAACTGCTGGATTTTTAATACTATGACCACAGATTTTACAAATATTCTTTGTGGAAGATGTATTGTCGGCTGAAAGCTCTGGTGGCTCAAGTTCAGTAAATGCAACTCTTCCTTTCTTGATTTGAGTGGCATAGTCATTTGTCTGCCACCAGTCTAAGACTTGGACTAGAGATAAAAATATGCTCATCGAATTGTCCAGAAATGAAGGAAGCGTATAAAAACGAAGTGCTTTCTCGGAAGTTCGATTGGGAATCTTAGTATCGTAAATAAGACGTTGCTTTAATAAATGATCAACAGGATTTGAGAATGGTATCGTACCCAAAGCAAATAAAACGTAATAAGCCCATCGAATACTGTTGTAAAACTTTGATCCAAATTGAAACATAAGTTTTAGTATGGACAAAAGCCTTTTCAGCTTTAGTAGAATCTTCGAACGAAAGTTTAGAGAAGGACTTGGATGGACTTGATGACCTTCATTTTCTGAATTATTATGTTCGACATTGTAACTTGCTCTCAACTCTAGCAGCCTTGTACTATGTGACAATGTTTTTATTTTGGAAAATAAGTATGGCAGACAGTACTAAAAAAAAAAAGTTAATATGAATGGAGCACATTCGAATACAGAATACTTACGCTCAAAAAGATTTTTGCTAAAATGTTTATTTGACTTAGCTGAACAGCCGATTTAACTTCTTCCGGAAATGTATTGACAAGACCTCCTGCGTCTTTCACAGATTTCACTCGCTTTAACTGAAACCTCCTTTCAACTGATGTAGCATTCCATTTTTTTAGGCTTCGATATTCAAAAATAACTTTCAAAACACAATGAATGTCGTCTAAGGAGTTGTAAATACGTAACAACTGTCTAGGATGTCTATGTGTGAAATACTACGACTTCTTAGTATAAGAAATTTTTAACTAATCTTACTGCAAAAATATATTTTATAGATGGTAAGACCAATTCATCAATTTCTTGCACTTGAAGAACCTCTAGCAAAGACGGGCTTTCCATGGATTTTTTATTTTTCGACGACTGAGGTAAAGTGATATATGAAAATATTGTTCATGTGAAAATTACGTTTTTAAATATTATCGAGCTGTTATAGAAAGATTAAGTTTAATTATCTTTTTCCTTTGATTTTTATTTGAAAAATCGCCTATGCTGGACAAAAAGGTTAAATGATTCCATAAAAAAATAAACCCATAGTAATAAAACGTGATTAAGTGCGACTAAAAGACTAACTAATAATTAAAGTTACGATCTATAATATACTAAACGTTACATATGGTTTTGTTATCGACTCCTTCAGCAATAATGGCAGGGAGGAAAAACTATAGCAGATCATTCTGACCATAACGAAATACCAAAACAGCGTTCAAAGTAGATGCTGATGTTTGAATGGACGGGAAGGTAGTATGTGTACTTCGTAATGATCGTAAAGCAGACCTCAATGTGGATATATCTTCACCGTTCAAAATATCCGGAAGTTTACAACAAAAACAAAATAACCATTGAGACTATAAGAGTGTTAACAAAGAACTCCTATAGAATAATTTGCGTATTTGAAAGAATAAATAACTGAAACTTGCTTACCTGTACATCAAGAGAATCATTTTCCAACCAATAAGCACAGTTCTCAAAAATATCCAGAATAGTAGCTAAGTCGGTGCTCGCTATAATAGGCCACGAAGGGATCTTGTTAGCTATAGTATGCCTCCATTGCTGTAGAGTAGAAGGTAATGTGGAATTGTCTAACAACAAATCCAAAGGGTAAGTAGTTAATTTTTTGTTTTTTTCCTCCACAATGTGATAGAGATCCTTCAGTAGAGGTTCTTGAGAGCAAACAGAGTGTGTTGGATCTGTGTACAAAGGCTTATGCGGTATGGACTCTGGTTTCTCCAATTTTATGCCTGCACTTTTAAAGGAATTCAGAGACTGAGCTTCTTTTCTAGTTGGATTAGCAAGGTTACTTTTCATATTCCAGTGAATCAAGGTTACTGGAAGGCCTTCCTTCTTGATTGACTTTTTTAAGGGCCAGTTATTACCTTACGGCGGCAAGATAGTCTAAACCATCGAGAGGAATTCCAATGTCTTGTGAATCAACTTGATTCTCAATTATTTCTGGAAATGCGCATCGCTGATTTGTTTCATCGTCTAATGGTGCCGTTGCCTGAGACTTATGGAAAACGCGCTTCCTTTTCATTGCCATATTGGACGTACGTTTGTAGAATTTCTGCAAAGTTTTCAAAGTGGAGTATGTGTAAGGTAACTAGTAAGAAATACTCTCCATGTGGTTGGTTTTAGTAAAATACTCGATCGCGTATTCGAGCGCAGAAAATTGGTTCAAGCAATATGAAAGGAATCCATTTTTCATACTTTTTCTTTCCTGCCAATTTTTTCTAAGCAAAAACAATAGAAACGCGTTTTTCCTCCGGTTTGTTTATTGTTTACATTCATTGATTTGGGTACTGTAATATTTAATGAAGTGAATTAATGACTTTTATTTACGCTGTGATTCATCTGAATACTTCTGCGGTATAGAATTATAAAATAATAAAACATATTGTGTCAATTGTACAGCTTGAAGCAAGGGTGAACCAATGCTATGGCGTAAACAAACAAGCCAAAAAAAAATAAAAAAATTTAACAGATATGGGCAACGCGGTAGTGTTTAAAAGTAATTTACCCATACAAAACTTGCAGTTTTCAATAAAAGAATAACAGAAAATGACAAATATTCATATTTGAATTTTTGACACCGCCTTTTGTTTACGCGACTTGTCATTTTTGAGCCAAAGTGTAACACTTGGTTAAACAAAGCGAATATCCCTTCCACGTGTCAATTTCTTTTATTTTTTTATTGAAAAAACAAGGAAGAACCAAACAGAAGGCAAAAAATGATTTTCTTTCCAAATTTTTTTTAAAAGCGTTACCTTATAGTGAAGTAACAATGCGATTTAGTATGCGAACACGCGCTCATCCCTATACTCCATAGCATTAATTATTTTTTGCTCAATTATTTATGAAACACTCATATGTATCATTTAAGATGGTTTACTCGATGTCATTCTAAAAATTCAATTATCAAATTGAAAAATTGCAGTAAAAATCAGCGCCTTGTGCAGCTGACAGGAGCGAATTGGGGTAACTCTCGATCAAGAAGCTATTCCACGCAGGTTGAACAAGTGAATCAATTGGACAGTGATGCTGCGAAACGTGAATCTTCTACTTTATTTAACTTTCTTTTGAAAGAGCAAAAAAAATCGGGTGATTTGCATCTTCATACTGCTTTCAATCTCTATATGGATGAACTATTAGCCAATGCTGACAAAGGTCGAATCAAAAACCTAACTAATAAAACGCACAAACGTAGGGAAGAAGAAGTAAGAACCCCAATATCTCTCCCTTGGAAAGAAGAGTCTACAAAGACAATGACAGATTATCAAATTTTGGCGTATTTGAAAGAAACGATGCCATACCAGTATGCTTCCTTATATCACATCTTTTACGAAGTGAAAGGTCTTTTGAAGGGTAAACCGAGCGACCAATTGAAAGTTTTGGACTGTGGAAAAGGACCAAGCTTGGGCGCCATTTTGAGTCGATCTTTCTTTCCATCAACAACTCCACCAGCTGTCGTTGAAGAAAACAGATTCCTTCGTGAAATCATAAAACAAGTCAATCAAAATATAATTGCCTCACAGGGTTCTGGGGACATGAATGGTGAAATTTTAGGTCGATTGCCGCTTTCCCAAAAAGGAAAGTACGATTTAATTATAGCTTCTAATCGTCTCCTTGAATGTGGTTCAGAAGAGGAATTTTTTGGATATTTACGTGCGCTTTGGTCTTTGTTAAACAAGGGAGGTATCGTAATTCTTACTGAGCAAGGCTCAAAACACGGCTTTAATGCCATCAAAAGGGCTAGGTCGTTTTTGCTAAACAGAGAAAAAGACAAGGAAAACAATCGGTTAGATGCCCGAATACTAGCTCCTTGTCCCCACGAAGATCGTTGTCCCGTTCAAATAGAGGGCGGTGTGAGAGCAAACGTTTGTAGCTTCAAACAACATTTCTTTTTTCCTTCCTTTTCTCGCATGTACGTTCCACAAGCTAGAAGAAGATCACATTCTCTATCAAATTTTAGCTATGTCGTCTTACAAAAGGGAGTAGCTCGTCAATTAGATACATATAAAGCTATTCAAAATGAACAGGATTTATTGCGGACCGATTTTGAGCTTAATCCTAGCCCTATAAACTGGCCCCGTATAATTCGATCACCTTTAAAGCGTCACGGCCATGTAATTGTTGATGTGTGCGATCACGATGCTCAACTTCGTCGACACATCGTGCCTAAGTCTCAAGGTAAACTATATTACCAAATAGCCAGAAAATCAAGTTTGGGAGACCGTTTCCCCATAAAAGGTAAAACCCAAAGTGTGGAATCAACACATCATTTCCATAAGCACTTAGAAGCTAAGGAACAACCTGCTTCTCTAAATTCCCCTTCCAAGGATCCTTCGCAGCTATCTGAAGAGCCAATACCAAGCTATGCTTTTTCCGGTAGACGATCTTACAGTACGCGATCTTGTTTGAATCAAAATGCATTCAATTCTTCTTCAGGACTACTGAAAGGTTCATTAATTAACAAGCGATACTATTCCCAAAGGTATAGAGTTAATCCGAAGTTAAAATATCAACGCCAAACAACTATTAATTATTTGATTGCTCTCTCTATCTTAGTACTTGGTATAACATATGCATCGGTTCCTCTTTACCGCTTGTTTTGTTCCAAAACAGGATACGGCGGAACCGTCAATACCGATCAAGAGAGTATGAATTCTGATAGAATGGTTCCACGTAGGGAATCTAAACGGATAAGAGTGACATTTAATGGAGATATTGCAGGAAATCTTCACTGGAAGTTGTATCCTCAACAACGAGAAATTTGGGTTCAACCAGGAGAAACAGCTCTTGCTTTTTACACAGCTGAAAATTGTTCTGACGAAGACATAGTTGGCGTTGCTACTTATAACATTGTACCAGGTCAAGCCGCTGTGTATTTTTCCAAAGTTGCCTGTTTTTGTTTCGAAGAGCAAAAGCTGGATGCCCGCGAAAAAGTTGACTTGCCTGTATTTTTCTTTTTGGATCCCGAGTTTGCTGATGATCCAAATATGAAATATGTAGATGATATATTACTTAGTTACACGTTCTTTGAAGCAAAATACGATAATAATGGAAATCTGCTAACTAAGCCAAATTAACAAGCTCTTTAGATAATGTCAGAAATAAATAATTACAATAATACTATCGTTAACATCAAAGTTGATATCCAACAATATTTTATTGAAATCATTCTACGCACGTTAAACAATTATGGAAATTTTGTCATTATACATAAAGGCACGAGCCAAACTTCATTTCGTCTTTTCTGTTTAAACGCTTATTTGGCAACAGCCTGCTGTATCGAATGCATCATTTCCTCTTTTAAGATCAACTGCCTAGTCTTCTCTAGTTTTTGAAGGAGAGCAGAAATATTGGAACCCCATTCGTTAAGTTGCTCATGAACATTCTTAGGTTTCTTAAACGTGATTACTTGGGCAGGACGATCAATACGAGCATAAAATTGATGTTTGGTGATGAGATCAGACAAAAATAATTCGGTTTCCTCGGGACTCATGTCCAAAAGAACACCTAAACGATCACATTCGATACAAGCGTAGTATTTGGCAATTGTACGTATATTGTGTTCAATAACACGCTTGCGCAATTCAGACCAGCGTTTCTCGCCCTTTTCGTCATTTTCGGCGAAAACAGGAGTGTTTCTCAAAACAGAACCGTAAATTTCGGAGATTTTAGGCCAACGCATTAATTCATTAACTGTAAAACACTTCACCAATTGTTGAAGCAAAGGAAGAGAATTCAGTTTATGATCGGCGTTAATACGATGAAGCAAGTCGGCTTGCTCGTTGTCATAGGGGCTCAATAAGACAAAACAGACGACGTTCTCTAAAATCTCCTTCCATTTTTCTGGGTCCTCTTGAACAACAGCAGTATCATAGACGGCACGGTAGTATTTGCAAACATCAAGATAAGCATCGTCGTGCAACCCAATACGAATTTTTTGTTCATAGTATTTGAGTTTCAGTGATTGAACTTCTTCTTTTTCGAAAAATTTTATGTTGATCTTTTTAGTGAAAGTAGATGCCATATAATAATCAGAACGTAATAGGAACAGTCGCACTTGGTCGAGTATAAAACCAACCTTTTCTTTCTGGTCTAGAGAGCCGTATGTTTCGACGGGTTCATTACATAAAATTTCCTGCGCAGCCTTGATATCACCATGCTCTTCTTTGATCTGTGACAAAAGCTGAGTGAGACGAGCTCTTTCGACTTCTACATAAATTTTTCCATCTGTGATTGTTCGTAAAGTCTCAATCAAGTCTATTTTAATCTTTAGGTCTTCAATAGTGGGCAAATAATTCATTACATGTTGAACAAGACTCGTCATTGACTGCTTTAGCTGGCCATGCTTTTTAGACAGGTTTACCAGCTGCTCATTCAGGCCATGGAAATCGCGAGCATGGTATAAAAGATCCGCAATGAAACATAATACTTTAGTATTAGTGATTGCGTCCGAAGCTTGACGCACTTGTTTTTCAAAGATTAGAAGCTTTTCCAAGGAACTGTCCTAAACATTCTGTTAATAAACAAGAAAAAAGCAATATTCTCTTCAATCCCTTACAATATCTACAGTGCTAACGGCACCTAGATCCTTTTTTAATTCGTCAAACTTGTTGGAATAATCGATTTCTGGTTTTACTTCCATTGCCTAAGTTTTGGTTGTTGGAAACGTCTTAGATGCCATGTCTAGCTTTCCATGACGCTCGCTAGTTTGTGTTGCACTGTGTTACGCATTTAACATACTATTGTATTCTATACAAACTCTTGTTTACGCAACGACGTTACATCACACAAGTAAACAACAGTGTGTACGCATTAAGAAAAAAAAACCATATTAACTTGTATAGATGAAATATCAAGAGGATGTGGCTTCAGACTTTGTAGGTAGTTAATGATATCTAATTACTTTTTAAAGTCCTTACTTACATTGCACATTTGAAATCACATTTCTCCTCAAGCATGATATTATTGTATAACTAAGATACGAAGGGCGGATTCCTTAGCGGCTTCAGCACACATTTTTACGTTAGATCACTAATTTTTATTTTTCATTTTTTAAGGAATTCACTTTCACTTTTTGGATAGGATTCCGTCCCTCAACCATTGGTTTAGCGAAGTACAATCATATACGCTATTTACTGAGTTCTGCTCACATAGTAACTGGGACGATGAAGACGAAGTTCAAACTTCACCACTACCACATTTGCTTTCTGCGAATTCAATTATCATCTTAAGGACGTTTATTAAATCCTTGAAATAGAAAATCCCGTTAATTTTAGCGTGGTTTAATTTGAGCACCTTCTGTGGAGAGTCAAAGCAAAGCAGAAAGTGAAAGGAAACGTGTATCCTAAAGTGGACTCAAAGAACCGCTAAAAAGGATTGTTTGTATATTAAAGAATCATGTCAAACTTAGACAATGCTGTTATGGTCCGCGATGACCAGGGAAATCCCTTTATTTTAGTTCGCGATCAGGAGAAGAAGAAAAGATTGCACGGGATTGATGCCGTCAAAAGTCACATCCTTGCTACCAAAACTGTTGCCAATATTGTCCGTACATCTTTGGGACCTCGTGGTTTGGATAAAATTTTGATTTCCCCGGATGGAGATATTACAGTCACGAACGATGGTGCTACTATTTTGGACCAAATGGAAGTTGAGCACCAAATCGCCAAGTTATTGGTTCAGTTATCAAAATCTCAGGATAACGAAATCGGTGACGGTACCACTGGTGTTGTAGTGTTGGCTGGTGCCTTGTTAGAGCAAGCTGAGGTTCTTATTGACAAAGGTATTCATCCTATTCGAATTGCTGATGGATTCGAAAGAGCTTGCCAACATTCTGTTAAGCATTTGGATTCAATATCCGACGTTGTTAACTTTGATAAATTGGATACCACAAATTTGTTCCGTGCTGCAAAGACTAGTTTAGGAAGTAAAGTGATATCGAAAGCCCACGATCACTTTGCCAGAATTGCCGTCGATGCGGTCCTTTCTGTTGCTGATTTTGAGCGTAAAGATGTGGATTTTGAGTTGATTAAAGTAGACGGAAAGGTTGGCGCTTCTGTGGATGATACTACACTTGTCAAAGGTGTTGTCGTCGATAAGGATATGTCTCACCCTCAAATGCCCCATCGTATAGAGGATGCAAAACTTGCTATTTTAACATGTCCTTTTGAGCCTCCCAAGCCCAAGACCAAACATAAGTTGGACATCACATCGGTCAGTGAGTTTGAAGCTCTACAGAAATATGAGAAAGAAAAGTTCGAAGATATGATCAAACACGTGAAAGATGCTGGAGCAAATCTTGTTATTTGTCAGTGGGGATTCGATGATGAAGCTAATCATTTACTTTTGCAGAATGATCTTCCTGCCGTACGTTGGGTGGGTGGACCAGAGATTGAGTTAATTGCCATTGCTACTAATGGACGTATTGTTCCTCGCTTCGAAGATCTTTCTACTGAAAAGCTCGGTAAGGCCGGTTTGGTTCGTGAAGTTGCTTTTGGCACTACTCGTGATAAGATTTTAGTAATCGAACAGTGTGCGAATACTCGTGCTGTGACCATTTTTGTGCGTGGTAGTAATAAGATGATTGTTGACGAAGCGAAACGCGCTCTTCATGATGCTTTGTGCGTTGTACGTAACTTGATTCGTGATAACCGCGTTGTGTATGGAGGTGGTGCTGCAGAAGTCTCATGTTCCTTGGCAGTCAATCAGGAAGCAGAAAAAATTCCTGGCATTGATCAATATTCTATGCGTGCTTTTGCAGATGCTTTGGATACTGTTCCTTTGGCCCTGGCTGAAAATAGTGGTTTATCCTCTATCGAAGCCTTGACCGCGGTTAAAGCACGTCATGTTAAAGAAAACAACTCTCATTTGGGTATCGATTGTCTTCATACAGGAAACAATAACATGAGGGAGCAATTCGTTATTGACCCCCTTATTGGCAAGAAGCAGCAATTACTTTTGGCGACTCAACTTTGCAGAATGGTTTTGAAGGTAAACGACATAATTGTTGCCGGTTCTAAAGACGATGAGTACAATTAAGAATGATACGTGGATGGCTTAAATGAGGTGTTCGGTTGACTCAAAAAAAAACTCTTTGATAGTTTGGAAATGAATAACATTGAAACTAAAGCTGCAAAATGTATAAATAAAGTATATCAGTTGCCGTAGACAATAATAAGGAGACTATTGTGAAAAACAAAGATATAATCAGAGAAAAGTCTACAGCGGCCTGGATCCCCAACAAGGCCCTCAGATGTAACTACACTGGTCGGACAGAAACTGATGTTTTCGTTTAGGTATAGCGGTAGAAACACATTAGTCAACCAGATTCAATGGTTCTGAGCCTACGCACTGTATGCTAACGAATATATTTCCTTTAAAATCAAAGGATTCCATTCTAGTTATAAGGAGCAATTGATTTTATCTATAAAATTCAATAAAAGTAACAAAAAAATTCCTACCTTTTTTTTCTAGAAACAAAGAATATATTCATTTCACATGAGCTTCGCTAACCAAGAAAATAGCCGGAAGCAATCAGCTCTCACATACCGTTTCTACATATCTTCCATTTCTATTTTAATTGTTATTTTTTAAAGCTTTATTAAAAAATATTAGAAAGAAAGGCATTCACCCAGCTAATACAAATACAAAATTTCAGCCCTTTGTCTATGACACATTATTATGTAAACAAACAAAGCGAATCAGTTGAACAGTTTTTCATCATCGATTTTAATGAATCATTACCTTCAACGCCGGGCTTCTTTGTGTTTTTAATTGAAAAAAATCTCCGCGAAACATATTCAGAAAATTCCTTCTAAGACACTTTCTCTAAAATGCCGTTTTTAATCAATATAATTTCTACACCTTGCTGGAACGGGAATGTTTTCTTAGCCGAAGGGATAACGCAATCTAACGATATGAAGTAAACATGTTTGTTTAGTGTTTTATAGATATACCCTCAGGATGCCGACAACGGACAAAGAACCAAGCGCTAAATTTCAGAGAATTTGCTAAAAGCATTTATTTTTTGAGCTAAGTAGGCTGTTTGTCGTTAAGTTCGACGTAAAAGTTGAATTTAACGATCTTTTTGCTGTCAGAACGATTGTATTCTTCAATTTACCATTGCATTTTTTGGGACATCATCTTTTAGAACGAGCTTTTCTTTTATTGTGCGTTCTAAAGCTTTTTTAAAATCATTAGCACGTTGCACATTCATTTTGTAAATCGGCACTTTTGAATCGGCCGTGGAGCTTTTTGTACACGCGCATGCGAGAAAAGCGAACCTATGCCGTGATTTTTCTTTATATGCTTCATCGCTTTTAGTATTTTTTGTGACTTTGGCTGACTACATTGGAAACCCATATTTTTATTAATCTCGAAAGTTTGGATACCGAATAATAACTCAGTTGGTAATCATCAAGCAATCGTCAAGTTTCCTATCTGAGTTTCACCACAGTTTTATTTAAAATTAGAACGCTCTCTTTTCTGTACCATTTTTACGTCTTTTCATTTTTAATCATTTTTCGTTCATTGGCCTATTCTTACTTATATCTTTTCACCTTTACTAGTATTCTTCCCTTTATTGCTTCACATAAGATTATTCTCCTCCTTTACTATACAATATGACGAAAAAAGTACTCTGTTCGAATCCAATGCTATCCTTGGAGACAGAAAATATTGCGAAATTAGGAACTCTGACCGCAGACAATTTGAGCTGCATGTGGAATGGTAATGTTTTTAACAGATGCTCTATATTAACTTATATCTGTTTTTAGTCTTCACCAAATGCGCCGAAAATCTCGAAAATGGTCGTCGTCTTGAAAATCTTTCATGGCGGCTTTGGTATCGTGAAGCCGTCATGACTGACCATGGCGCAAACTCCAATGAATGCATGGAATATTCTCTCCCAGATCTTTCTAGCAGTTGTGATTCTATAGCTTCATCTGCAGATTCCGATGCTGGTGCCTCTATTTACTCCCCTAATAGCAAATCTGACACTATCCGTCTAAATTCAACTACTAATTCCGGAAGCCAGGAATCTTCCGTGCGAGCTAATCCAAAAGATTCATCGAACTCAACTTCTTGCATACGCCCACACACCAGACGTCCCAGTTCCCGTCTACTTTCTTCGGATACATTTAATCAACTTATCTCATCATTTTCTCCTTTAGAGAAGCCCCTTGAGAAGTCGTTTGAGAAACGTTCAGAAAAAGATTCTTCGTCTGCTTACCAAACGTCCGATTACCACCAAGAACCACCGAATGAATCTTCAAACCGTCAAAAGCGACCGACTTTGACTATAACTGTTAGTGAACCGTATTCTACTTCTTCCATGCCAGAACGTCAAAACGATGCATGTTCTGGTAAAATGATTCCTTCTGCTTCTATTTTGCAAAACGAATATACAACAAAAGAAAGCATTTCAAAACCTGTTCCCTCTTCCAGAGTCAAGTCAAAGGCTAAATCAATTAGCGATTCTGTCGTCGCGGCTGCTAGAGCCAAGGAAGCTGAACGAGAAAAAATTGCTAAAGTAACTGTGACACCCAGTAAATCAACTAGCGTTATTCATGGATTTAACCCAAGCATTTCAAAAACAACTCCTTCATCATCCAACAAGACAAAGCCTGCACTTCAAGATCATAATGCCGGATTTTTAAAGCAAATACCTGATGTAAAGAAACATCATCCCTTTTTTTATCTTAGAGGTGCCTATTCTGACAAAAACCACTCACAGTCTTCTTCTATGGTTTCTACAACGGATGATGAAGCTATTTCTACAAGATATTCTGGTGCTTCTAAGTATAAAACAAGGTGTACTGACGAAAGTGGAAATATTACTGCAAAGAGTGACGATGAAGATGCATGGGTGTCGGAAGATGAAGAAGCCAATACTCCTCCTTTCTTTTTTAAGCGCTCTCCTACACCTCATCATACTTCTTCTTATCGAAATAGTGCTTTATCATTGCTTTTGTCGAAAGAGGATAGACCACAAAGTGGGCATAACGACGAGCCGAAAGTAGGCCTGCCGTCACCTTCACCAGTTTTGAATTTTAACGCAGACAATATCGATGTCCACGAAGCCAAGTTTGACATGTCACACTCTAGTTATTTAAGTGATACGGCTTCCCAGTCATCAGAACCAAGGGTTTATGAAATTTCTCATAAAAACGCTAACCGGGCAAAACTACTAAACTCGGAAATTTCGGAGAGTTTAAGGAGAGACCTCTTATGGGAGCGGAGGCAGAAAGCATCTTTGAGCAGCGCAGTCCTTCGAAGGCATTATAAAGCGAATCAATCTGAAGATGAAGATGCTCGTAACAAAGAAGTTGTTGAAAAAGCATTTTCGAATGATTGCTCCGTTTGGTAAAAGTAAAGAAAACTTAGCCTTGAACGCGAGTTTTGAACATGGATTACTGAAATTTCGGGAACTCTTATTTGTGAAGAGTATTTGATCATTGCGAGTTCCTCATTAACATTACTATCATTTCTGTTAATAACGTTTAATAATGTTTCGAACTGGAAACGTATGTATATTAATTATAATTATATATCTTATTGGAAAGCTTGTTATTTGAAAAAGAAAAAAAGGAGAGTGTGAAAAGGTAATACTTGGCGCATGCACTTGTAATATACTACTCATATAAATAAATAGATATGTTTCGAATTCTTGCAAGAAAACAAAAGAAAAATTAGTAAGCTTTTTTTTTTATTTTTGGTGATATCTGATTATTATCTTTTGTTAGAGATATGCAAGAGTTTGTTCCAACCACAAAGAAATAGTAAATGCACCCATATCTCACTTAAGTAAAATGCTCGGTATGTTTTTTTAATTATTAACAGTCATAAACAATACGTTGTAGTATTTTGTTGAGAAGTGATTTTTTGTTTTGTTATTTTTCCAGATAACCATTAGGTATTAGTAGTGTAGTATTTTTATATTTTAGAATAATGAGACAGAAACATCAGCAATTTATAAGGAACATTTTTCGTATGCGGAAATGGTATTTAGGGACCAGAAGAAAGGGAACTATCAAAGCATCAAGTATCTAAAGGAAGATTAAGGTGATGCAGCATGATATGGAAAGTATTATTACCAGTAGGTTACATGTCTATTCCTTCTTGGCATCTCTTATCATGCATGAACTGATTTTAACGATTTCACCAGTTTCGTCATCACGAAGTTCAGTAGTAACAGCTGTACGATAGCCTAAATGTTCATACATACCAAAACCGATCGTACTAGCAACCAAGAAGGAAGGAAGACGATGCATATCGGCATCATTATGGACAATGTTCAGTAAAGCCTTTCCAATCCCCCTTTTCTGGATTTCCGGATCAACGGCAACCAAGTGAACGTGTAAAAAGCCACCAGGATGATTAAATAAACCGGTTTTGTAAAGCGCAGTTCCATATTGGACCTCATTGTACTGCATGCGACGTTTGACAGCGCCAGCATCGTACCACCAATAAAGAAATCGCTCATAAAGAGAATTCACCCAATTCATCAATTTTTGATAATAAGAGAGCTGCGAAGAAGTATGAGGAAACTGCTCATAAGCCAAAAAGCCAAGGTAAGGACGGGACGAAGTATATGCTACCTTGCATTTTACATGAGGATCGAAATAAGCTTTTCTGCCAAAATGCTTTGTAATCGCTACCAAACCTGAAGGGGAGACACCGCGAAATCTCCATTGCCATGTGTCACTGTCCTGAAAAGCACGAAGGTTCAGAGCCGTAACTGGTCCAAGGTCTGCATATTTCAAGTTGCGGAATTGCAAGGCTTCACCATCTACCAAATGAGCTTCTGACATTTCAATAATCAACAATAAGGTATCCCACTTTTTCTAAAAAAAAAAAATAAATGATGTAGCTCGACGACGAAAGAGAACTGGGTAAAAGATCCAGTTTTCTATATTTTGCTTATTTGTAAAGAACTCCAAATAACAACACACAATCAAGAGTTTGTTAGTCTATAAAAGTAGCTTTTTCTTTCAACCACGGGTCTTTCAGTGTAACAAGGACGCGTTCCCTCCTTCAAACTTTTATTTCACAAAAGAAACCAAAATGATAGCCAAAAAGCCAATAACTAATATTACAGCTTCCAAAAGAACTAGTCTATATTACTCCTTGAGAATACTCACTACTGTTTGGAGATAGAATGGTATCTCCTCTTTTGCTGTTGTCGCGTGTAGCAGGAGGAATGAACAAAGTGCATCCGTACGCATTACAGTGTTAAGTACAGACCTCACTCTTCTCGCAAAGCTCTTCCTAATCATTCCATTGATTTGCTGAGACTTATAAGTGTTTAAACAGTCTTTTCTTATATAAATTCTTCAAATTGTTTTGTTAGTCTTTGAGCGTTTGGACGGTGAAAGGCTTCGTGAATTTTTTGTTAGACCTGAATTGCTCAGGATCTAATCGGTCACAATAGAATAGCAAGTTAGGTTCCCATAAAGGAAAAGGTCTCGTTTCTCGTGATTCATTTTTCGGGGTCCTTCAACGTTGTAGGATTCAGTAGAAAACTCAATCTGAAATCCTAAACGCGCGACAATCTCTCTCTGAGCCAAATCAGTGTTCGGAAAGTCATTGAAACCTTTTCTTGCCGCTTGACAATCTTTCTACTTCCTAATATCTTTGTTTATTTCATTTCATATTGTCTTTATTCTTCGTTCAGATCTTTAGTAAACAACGGATCATTCTCTACTTAATATGTCTAATTTGTCAATTACAACTCCGTTGCTGAATGACTGGAGTTCGTATTTGACAAACCAACATGACTCTGACTGGGAAGAAATACATCGCGCTCGTCAAAATCGATATTTTCGATTTAAGATACGTCATGTCGCACTGCTAATATTCGGAACTGGGATCTTAGCTCTGCTCGTATTCCTTTATGCATTTAACCCTCCTCTTCATCCCCCGGGTCAATTTACAGGACATAAAGTTAAAGGAAAGTCAGGCGCTGTCGCGACAGAAGTCGTTGGATGCTCTAACATTGGCATAGACATCCTAGCAATGGGCGGGAATGCGGTGGATGCGGCGGTGGCTTCTACTCTTTGTATTGGTACTGTAAATTTTTGTTCTAGCGGTCTAGGTGGAGGAGGTTTTATGCTTATTCGACTGCCAAATGATACAGCTCGCTCCATTAATTTTCGTGAAATGGCTCCCGCTAATGCCTCCAAGCATATGTTTGACGGAAACCCTATGCTAGCCCGGGTTGGGGCTCTATCCATTGGCGTTCCCGGCGAATTAGCCGGTTTATATCATGCATGGGATCATTATGGACAGCTTGAGTGGCTCAAAATTGTCGAACCAAGTATCAAGCTTGCAAGGGAAGGATTTACAGTAACACCGGCAATGGAACACTGCTTGCTGGATGATACTACTAAAGACCTGATTAATGACCCAGTTTGGGCTTCTGTTATTGCTCCTTATGGAAGGTTATTAAAGGCTGGTGATATAATGCGTCGTCCTGCCTTTTCAAAAACCTTGGAGATTATCGCCAAGGAAGGTGTTGAACCGTTTTATAAAGGCTCTTTAGCTGATTTGATGGTTGCCTTTATCCAGGAACGTGGAGGCATTATAATGAAGGAAGATTTTGAACAATATTTTCCAGTGGTATCTGATGCCATTGAGACAACCTATAGGGGCCATGATGTTCTCACATGTCCTCTTCCGACCAGTGGGCCAGCTTTAATTGAAGGACTAAATATATTAGATGGATTCCCCATGGATTCTTCTTCTTTATCTTTTACAAAAAGATTACACTTGCAGGTTGAGGCGATGAAATGGTTGTCTTCTGGACGCACCCAGTTTGGTGACCCGGACTTTATTCAAGAAAATTTGCCTCTTATTTCAACAATGATGTCGAAAAAGTTTGCATCGGACGTACGTAGAAATATCTCTATGACAAAAACATATTCGTGGGAGCATTATAATCCCTCATACGATATTCCTGTCAACCACGGAACAACACACATTGCTGTCAAGGATGATGAAGGTTATGCGGTTTCTCTTACATCCACCGTGAATTTGTACTTTGGGTCGCAGTTGATGGATCCTGTTACTGGAATGGTTTTTAATGATGAAATGGATGATTTCTCTATTCCAGGGTCTTCAAATGCATTTAATTTGACTCCATCTCCATGGAACTATATTGAACCGTACAAGCGTCCCGTCTCTTCTGCCGCTCCTACGATTATTAGCAACAAACAAGGTGATTTCGAATTGGTGATTGGAGCAAGCGGTGGTAGTCGAATAGTTACTGCTGTTCTGGATGCTATTGTAAAGCGTGTAGATATGCATTACGACATCGAGTCTATGGTTGCTAGCGCACGCTCTCACCATCAACTGCGACCTAATGTGTTGATCTTGGAAAACGGATTTTCGAAAATGATTGCATCGAGAATCAAAAAGTACAGACATAATGTGCTTCGATTAAATCCTAGACAGTGGCCATTGAGTGCTGTTCAAGCTGTTATGGAGCACAAGGATATAATATATGGTATGAGTGATCCTCGAAAGTACGGACAAGCTGCTGCATATTGATGATTTGTAATGATTCCAAGGTGATTTGATTAAATGATTAATTTATTTTTTATTTTTTTTGTTTATAAATTTAATTTGCGAAAAGAAGATATAAGAAGAAGAGAAAACTTGTATCGATTAGCTTTGTAAGAAATGTAACTTACAGAATCTCTTTGATGTGTTGACCTAGACCGTCTATGTAAATTACAGAAAGGTTCTTAAAAGAACTAGAGCATTGAAAATCAACCAGAATGGTACTTGTTCGACTTTTTGCGGAGCTTTTCTTGACGTTTTGAAAGAGGCCTACTAGCAGTAGGCTCTTCCTGTACCGAGGAGGCAGGGTCATTAGAGCCTTGGTTCCTGAATTTTTGTAATTGCTCAAGTCCCATACGTAACAAAGGAAAGGCTTTATATCCAACAAAGATGGGAACCTAAAAAGTGTGTTAGTAAAAGCAAAATAGGACGGAGAGTCATTGTTGCGTACTAGCAAATACAAGGCAAAAAACTTGGTAGAAGTCAGGGCAGAAAGGAAAATTACAATCCAAGAAAAGTACATATAATCAATCATGTACGATGTAACACCCTGCTGTAAGAGATCCTGGCCCACGTACAGCAGAGCGCCTTTAGAATCGTATTTGGGAGCGGCCGCACGGTAAAGCTGGTAATGTAGGAAACCCGAGGAGCCCGCAGCAAAGATATATAAGAGTTTGGAGAACTTGGAAAGAGGACTACGAAGAAAAAAGCGAAGCAAGACGAATAAGAAGTTGACAGTGACATCGGCCACGAGCATGAACATTAGAATTCGCTTGTTTTGCAATGCTAGTTTTTTTTGAGCAGCGTTTGCCATTTTGTAATTTTATGGATAAGATAAAATAAAAAGAAGTGCCAAATGGAAAGATAAGTGCAAAGTCCAGTTGTCAGAGTCGCTACTTTAAGGACGATATATTACACACTTTTCGCAAAGAATTATAGTTTCTTACGGTAGGCTACGGTTTTTTAGCAATGTTGCTATTTAATACTTTCAATTCAAGTAGACCCTTTTTAGTGAAAGGAAGGGAGCTAACAGGAAGATTGAAATCGTATTACTATAATACGATATTAAAAACCAAGTAAACAAAGACACGATCAAGCAAAAATTAAGAATAATATGGAATATATCAAAACCAAAAAAAAAAACCTGAAGGTTCCGATGATCTAAAGCAATTCCATTCTGAGTCTTGTTGGCTGACTGGCTAATATAAAAAAAGGCCAGTTCGTAAACAGAGGAGGTAAATTGGTATACATGTTGGTTTACATTATTTCGCCAATCGTATTAGCAATGAAGTCAACTGTTCGAACCAAAAACTCAAAGTCGTGTTTATTCTATGAGTCTATTTTACGATATCTATGAAACTAGCAGATGATATACGTCTGGCAGAGTATTATTGTAGCATCGATACGAAATCCAAAACAAGTGAACGAGGCTGTTTTATCAGATAGTACTTTATAAAGCCAAAAGACGTAAACAAAGAAAATGTTATCGCCTTCATAGATCCCGTCTAGGGCGCTTTTTTTCAAAGAATCCTTCTTCTCCATGGATTCCCCTTTGTCATGGCAACTTTGTCAACGAATACGCCTACTTCTTAAAACCTCGGTGTTCAGTTTCGCGAGTTCCTTCGAAAAAAAAGCCATAATGAATCGCTTAATTTCTCACTCCGAACCTACTTTTTTTTCGAGAAATAAAGCAAAAGCTTTATGCCCAATTATGCACTTCATATTTCCGAGTACGACCTTTGAATTTTCATTTGCTCGGTTTAGGGTAACAACGTGAAGTCACATGCTTTCCTACTAACCAGTCGGGAAGTGGTAGGCACGTCTGGTTCGTAAGTAAGTTCCATCACTGGTGGAATCCTTCACAAAAGAAGAGAATGTGGGAAAGGTAGTTCATGTGGTGGGCACTCAGTCGGCCATAGACAGATTGAATGGTAACCTAACAAATAAAGGGCATCCAGAACTATAAAATCACATTAGGAAACGTATTTGAAAGAACTAGAGAAAGTTCCATTTTAAGGCTGTTCACTAGAAGACAGGAATTGATTCCTGTTTTGCTTTAACTTTTCTTTTTTTGTTTGTTTACAAATTACAATCTTCATGATGCGTCCATTCTCCTTGAGACAAAGTTATCTAAGGTAAAACCCCCCTTTTTCCTCCTCCAATCATTGACTATCGTTTCGCGTCCCAGTGCACGGATAACTCGTCTATGCCGGCCGCATCTGGTGAGATATACATTAAAAAATTGTATGATTCGTTCTATTCCATAAGATACATATTTAAATACATTATATTATTTCTTAGTTTTTTTTTAAAAGCTTCCTTGTATTCAAATGTCAAGCGCTACTCGTGGGAACGGTAACTCCGAACCTTTCGTGTAGGGAGAGGAGATTTCTTACTGCGGGTTTGCTCCTTCCAAGCGCAATAAAAGCAACCATTTCCCTTCCACGTCTCTTTTCCCGTAGACTTAGAACTATGGCTCCCCGTATAGCCTCCCATTTTCTGGGTATGTAAAGAATTACTTTTCATGTTCTATTCTTTTTTTTTCTCCTTTCAAGAATGCGAAATCTGTCAGTTTGATCCATTCTTGTACGAGAATGAAGGCCAGGAACCAAATGTCGTTATTTTTTTTCTATTAAAACAAACAATCTCATTATCTGTTTTTTTCAGCTTGCTTTTCGAAATTTAACGTGCGTATTTGTATTCTCCACACATATGTGGGAGTGCTGCTAATATTTTCGCGTTGTCAGAAGCACTTTTCAGAATATGACTAAATTTTGTTTTATCGTAAAAGCATAGCATTGACATTGAGTTTCCTGGCGTTTATTTCAAACTATCATAGATTCTTTCGAAAAGTAATTTTTCATTTTTTCAGTACTAACCTTGTCTGTAGGAGGCAATTCCCTAGATTTTGCACCTTCCAGCAAGGTGAAAGATTATATTGCTTCACGTGGTGGACATACCGTAATCACGTCTATTTTAATTGCTAATAATGGTATCGCTGCTGTGAAAGAAATTCGAAGCATCCGAAAATGGGCTTATGAAACGTTTAATAATGAAAGAGCTATCAGATTCACCGTCATGGCTACTCCCGATGATTTGAAGGTAAACGCCGACTATATTCGTATGGCCGACCAGTACGTGGAAGTTCCTGGCGGTTCAAATAATAACAACTATGCAAACGTGGAACTCATCGTTGATGTTGCAGAGCGCATGAAGGTCCATGCCGTTTGGGCTGGTTGGGGTCATGCTTCCGAAAACCCCAAACTTCCAGAAATGTTGGCCGCTAGCAAACAAAAAATTGTTTTTATCGGTCCCCCTGGTAGTGCTATGCGTAGTTTGGGTGACAAAATTAGCTCAACCATTGTGGCTCAAAGTGCGAAGGTCCCTTGTATGCCCTGGTCAGGTTTGGGCCTCGAAAAAGTCCGCATCGAACCCGAAACCAACATTGTAACAGTCGATGACGACATTTATCAAAAGGCCTGTATCAATACCGCTGAGGATGGTGTTGCTATCGCCGAGAAAATTGGATATCCCGTCATGATTAAGGCGTCCGAAGGTGGTGGTGGTAAGGGTATTCGTCAAGTCTCTTCCTCTCAGCAGTTCACACACGCTTATCAACAGGTTTTAGCCGAACTCCCTGGCTCTCCTGTATTTGTGATGAAGCTTGCTGGTCAAGCCCGTCACTTGGAAGTCCAAATCCTAGCCGATCAGTACGGCAATAACATTTCCGTATTTGGCCGTGATTGCTCAGTTCAGCGTCGTCATCAAAAGATTATTGAAGAAGCCCCTGTCACCGTCGCTCCTCCTAGTACTTTCCGTGAGATGGAGCGCGCTGCCGTTCGTTTGGGTGAACTTGTTGGTTATGCGTCTGCTGGTACCATTGAGTATCTTTATGAACCTGAAAATGATAAATTTTATTTCCTTGAATTGAACCCTCGTTTACAAGTTGAACACCCTACCACCGAAATGGTTTCCGGCGTAAACTTACCCGCCGCTCAACTTCAAATTGCTATGGGTATTCCTTTAAATCGCATTCCCCACATTCGTGAACTTTACGGTCTATCCCGTGATAGCGAGACCGAGATTGATTTTGCTTTTGAAAAACCAGAATCCCATAAAATCCAAAAAATGCCCACTCCAAAGGGTCATTGTATCGCTTGTCGTATTACCTCAGAGGATCCCGGTGAAGGTTTTAAGCCTTCCAGCGGTATGATTAGAGACTTAAATTTCCGTTCTTCCAGCGATGTCTGGGGTTATTTCTCCGTCGGTACCGCAGGTGGTATTCATGAATTCGCCGATTCCCAATTTGGCCACATCTTCGCTTTTGCAGATAACCGTGAAGCAACGCGTAAGTCTATGATTGTAGCCTTGAAGGAATTGTCTATTCGTGGTGATTTTAGGACAACCGTTGAATATTTGGTTCGTCTACTTGAGACTGGTGAGTTTGCTCATAATGAATTTACCACCGCTTGGTTAGACAAACTTATCGCTCAAAAAGTAACTTCTGCCCGTCCTGATAAGATGCTTACAGTTGTTTGCGGTGCCCTGGTTCGTGCTCATGCAATTGCCGAAGAACAATATCGTGCCTTTAAATCTTATTTGGAACGTGGCCAAGTTCCTTCTCGTGATTTTCTAAAAAATGTTTATGATATAGAGTTTATTTACGACGGTAATCGTTACAGGTTCACAGCCTCTCGCTCTTCTCCAGGTTCCTATCATCTATTCTTAAATGGCTCCCGTTGTACCGCAGGAGTTCGCTCATTAACTGATGGTGGGTTACTTGTGTTGCTAAATGGTCAGTCTTATACTGTCTATTATAGGGATGAGGTTACCGGTACACGAATCTCTATAGATAACATGTCATGTATGCTAGAACGGGAAAATGATCCAACTCAACTGCGTACTCCTTCTCCGGGTAAGTTGGTTCGTTTCTTGGTTGAAACCGGCGAACATATTAAGGCGGGTGAAGCTTATGCTGAAGTCGAGGTTATGAAAATGATTATGCCATTAGTAGCCACTGAGGATGGTATTGTGCAATTAATAAAACAGCCCGGTGCCTCTGTTGGTTCAGGTGACATCCTTGGTATCCTTACTTTGGATGACCCTAGCCGTGTTAAACATGCACTTCCCTTTAACGGTCAGCTACCTAACTTTGGTGATCCTCAAATTGCTGGTAACAAGCCTTGCCAACGTTATCATCAATTGTTATCCATCTTGCTTGATATTTTGAAGGGTTATGACAATCAAATAATTCTTAACAGTACATATAAGGAGATTATTGAAGTTCTGCGTGATCCTGAACTGCCATTTAGTGAGTGGAGCTCTCATTATTCTGCATTGGTTAGTCGCATGCCGCCCGTGTTAGATAAGTTATTTGTTTCCATTATTGAAAAATCAAGAGCCCGCAGAACTGAATTTCCTGCCAAACAGCTAGAAATGGCTCTTCAGACGTACTGTGAGGGTCAGAAACTATCTTTGACCCAACAGTTAAAACAGCAAATTGCTCCCTTGATTGATGTTATCAATGATTATAAAGACGGTCTAAAGGTGCACGAATATAATGTTGTCAAAAGTATCTTGGAGGAGTATTATAACGTTGAGCGCTTGTTTTCAGGTCCTAACAAAAGAGAAGAAGATGTTACCCTTCGCCTTCGGGACGATAACAAGGATAACGTTGATAAAGTCATTGCTCTTGCCTTGTCTCATTCTCGTATCGGTTCTAAGAATAACCTTCTTATAACTGTGCTTGATCTTATAAAATCGGAACCCTCTACTTTTGTTTCATTATACTTCAATGATATTTTAAGAAAATTGACAGATCTCGATTCCAGAGCTACTGCCAAAGTATCTCTTAAGGCTCGTGAATTACTGATTTCGTGCGCTATGCCTTCGCTTTCGGAGCGGTTTTCCCAAATGGAACATATCTTGAAAACCTCAGTTGTCGAGAGTCATTATGGTGATTCTAAGTTTTCTCATCGTCCTCCTAATCTTGATATTTTAAAGGAGCTCATTGACTCTAAGTATACCGTTTTCGATGTTTTACCTGCTTTCTTCTGTCATCCCGATCCATGGGTTTCTTTAGCTGCTCTTGAAGTGTATGTGCGTAGAGCTTATCGAGCATATGCCGTTTTAGAATTAAACTATCATGTTGAGAGTGGTACACCTTTCGTGCTTTCTTGGAAATTCCAGCTTCGTGCTAGTAGTACACCAGGCCAAGGTGCCAGTGGTGCAAATGGTCTTCTTCCCAGCAGTGGCTCTCCTTCTTTGGAAAATGAAAACAAACGTCTTCAATCTTATAGTGATCTTTCTTGGTATGTAAACAAGAATGATTCGGAACCTTTCCGTTTTGGTGCTGTTGTTGCGGCTGAGAACTTTGATCAGTTGGAAACCAATTTTGCTCTGGCCATCGAGCGTTTGCCTCTTTCGCGTAATTATTTCAATGCCGGATTGACGTTGAACAGTGATGACCCTTCTACTGCTCCTCTTCAAGAACTCACTAATGTTTTAAATGTTGCTCTGACATCTACTAATGACCTTGAAGATTCCGCTATCGTGGACAGGCTTAGCTCAATTCTAAGAGAATTCCAGGATGATTTGTTAGAACATAACGTCCGAAGAATTACAGTGATTGGTGGAAGACATAATAAGTCGGCCCATCCATCATACTTCACTTATCGCGCTTCCTCAGATAGTTTTGAGCATCAGTCGGTTCGTTACGTTGAAGATGAACGAATTCGTCACATAGAACCCGCTTTGGCTTTCCAATTGGAATTAGGTAGACTCTCTAATTTCGATATCGAGCCTGTTTTTATTGACAATCACAATATTCATGTTTACCGTGCAACAGCTAAGAACATGAATACAGATAAGCGATTCTTTACTAGAGCTCTTGTACGTCCTGGAAGGCTTCGTGACGAGATCCCAACCGCTGAGTATCTTATATCTGAAACTCACCGCTTGATAAATGACATTCTTGATGCTCTTGAGGTAATTAGCCCTGAAGAAACTGATCTTAATCATATCTTTATCAATTTCCTTCCTGCTTTTGGACTTGCCCCCAAACAGGTCGAAGCTGCTTTAGGCGGATTTTTAGAGCGATTCGGACGTCGTTTATGGCGCTTGCGTGTAACCGCTGCTGAAATTCGTATTATTTGCACCGATCCTACCACTAATACTCTTTTCCCCTTGCGTGTAATAATATCTAACGTGTCTGGATTTGTCGTAAATATTGAACTTTATGCAGAAGTGAAGACTGAAAATAACTCTTGGATATTCAAAAGCATTGGCCAACCTGGCTCCATGCATCTTAGACGTATTAACACGCCTTATCCAAATAAAGAATGGCTTCAACCTCGTCGCTACAAGGCACAATTGATGGGTACAACGTTCGTATATGATTTCCCTGAGTTATTTCGTCGTGCTTTTAGCGATTGCTGGAGAAATTTGGACAAAGGTGATTCCGAGAATCCTATTCCACAAGACATGTTTGATTGTAAGGAGTTGGTTGAGGATGAAAAGGGTGATTTACAAGAAGTTAGTCGTGAACCAGGGACTAACTCTTGTGGTATGGTTGCTTGGTCAGTAACCGCCAAGACTCCTGAGTATCCTAATGGTAGAAAAATGATCATTGTGGCCAATGATATTACATTCCAAATTGGCTCGTTCGGACCTCGTGAGGACAACTTCTTTTTTAAGGTAACTGAACTTTCCCGTCAACGTGGTGTTCCCAGACTCTACTTGGCTGCCAATTCTGGTGCCCGTATTGGTGTTGCAGATGAATTGATTCCCTTATTCAATATAGCTTGGAACGACGCCGATTCACCCGAGAAAGGATTCGAATATTTATATATAACTCCTGAAGTTCAAGAGCGAATGGACAAGCAAGAGTCTAAGACTATTGAAACTGAAAAAGTTGAAACTGAATCTGGTGAAGTTCGTTACAAGATCACCACCATCATTGGTTCTGGTGAAGGACTCGGTGTTGAATGTTTGAGAGGATCTGGTTTAATTGCTGGTGTTACATCTCGAGCTTATGGTGATATCTTCACTTGCACACTTGTAACTTGCCGTGCCGTTGGTATTGGTGCATATCTCGTTCGCCTTGGACAAAGAGCTGTTCAAGTGGAAGGTCAGCCTATCATTCTTACGGGTGCTCCTGCTCTCAATAAGGTATTAGGACGTGAAGTCTATAATTCTAACTTACAACTGGGTGGTACTCAAGTTATGCATAGAAACGGTATTTCTCACTTGACTGCCCAAGATGATTTCGACGGAATTTCTAAGATCGTCAACTGGCTTTCTTATATCCCTGACAAACGTAATAACCCTGTCCCTATATCGCCCTCAAATGATCCCTGGGATCGTGATGTCGAGTATTATCCCAGCCAAAGCGGTTATGATCCTCGCTGGTTAATTGATGGAAAAGAGGATGAAGATTTGTTCCTGTATGGTTTATTTGACAAAGGTTCATTCCAAGAAACTTTGGATGGATGGGCTAAGACGGTTGTCGTCGGTCGGGCACGTTTAGGTGGAATACCAACTGGTGTTATTGCCGTTGAAACTCGTACTATCGAAAACACTTTACCTGCTGATCCAGCCAACCCAAGCTCTACAGAGCAGAACCTAATGGAAGCTGGACAAGTCTGGTATCCTAATTCTGCTTTTAAGACTGCTCAAGCCATTAATGATTTTAACCATGGTGAACAATTACCATTATTTATACTCGCTAATTGGCGTGGTTTCTCCGGTGGTCAACGGGATATGTTCAATGAAGTCCTTAAATATGGCTCTTATATTGTTGACGCTCTCGCGGGATACAAGCAACCTGTATTTGTATACATACCCCCTTTCAGTGAACTTCGTGGTGGCTCTTGGGTGGTTGTTGACCCTACCATTAATAACAAGCAAATGGAGATGTATGCTGATGAGGAAAGCAGAGCTGGTGTATTGGAACCTGAAGGAATGGTCAGTATCAAGTTTAGACGTGAAAAGCTTCTTTCATTAATGCGCAGATGCGATGAGCAATATGCTACTTTACAGGATAAACTTAACCAAAAGAATTTGAACCCAGATGAGCTTTCTTCAGTCAAGGTGCAATTGATGGAACGTGAGCAAAAGATAATGCCTATTTATCAACAAATTAGCATTCACTTTGCTGATTTGCATGATCGCGTTGGTCGTATGGTTGCTAAGAAAGTTATTCGTCAACCCTTAAAGTGGACCAATGCTAGACGCTTCTTCTACTGGCGTCTAAGAAGACGTTTGGATGAGCATTACTCCCAACAGAGATTGATGCAGCTTATTCCTGGATTAAGCCACGAAGAATCACAATGTTGCCTTAAACGATGGTATGAGGAATGGAGGGGTAAGCAAGATTGGGATACTGCTGACCGATCCGTTATTACATGGATTGAAGAAAACAGCGAAAGCCTAATTAAGCACACCCTAGAGTTGAAGAGCAAGTATTATAGCAATAGGATTGCTGAATTGATTCGTGCTGATAAGCAAAGCATGATTGATAGCCTTGCTTTGGTTTTAACCGAACTTGATGAAGCAGAGAAAAAGGAATTAGCTGCAAAACTTGCTGCTAGGAACTGAGAATAAACTTATGAACTCTGAGGATAATGTCTTGTATTTATTTCGTCCAGGCTTTCTTCCGTTAGTCTGTTATATGGATTACAAGCGCCCCGGTGGAAATTTCACCTTGTAAACCTACATAATGTACTTATACCCTGAATATAGGAGATGCGAATTTACTTTTCATTATTTTTGATAAATTATGACAAATCGAAGATTTGATCAATTTGTTGCATATACGCCGTTCGTTTAGGAACAAATCATCCTTTGAGGATAGATAGTGCTTTTCTATCAATGAAATAATTTTAATCTTATGAGATGAATATGAACATACTTTACTGATCATCTATGTACTGTTAAGATCTTACTGTAAATGAAGTTTATTGAATTTACAATGAGTTGTAGTTTATAGCTTGGATGTATTTGATATACATCAATAAACATATGAATTTTATTAATAGAAAGTAGCTTTGTATTAAAAAGAAAAAGAAAAACAAAAATGGCGGATCATCTAAATTATAATGAGTAACTATCATCCTCAGATACTGAAAACTGCAGCAGATATTTAATATACATTTAAGACTTAAAAAACTTCTTCAAAACATTAGCAAAACGTTCTATAGCAGTCTCAAACTCGGGAAGCTCAGCATAAGCAAAGGTGACACGGAAAAAGATCTTGTCATTGATTGAAGAATCAACCACAAACCAATTACCGCAGGCAACATTAGCACCATCTTGAATTGCTTCCTCATGAATATCTGACTCAATTTCGGCGATGCTCTTGCCTTGGTCAGCAAACTTGTACGCCGACTTGTCCACCTCGAACCAAATGAACATGCCGGCTTCAGGGGCAATGTAAGAACAGATAGACTTGGGAAGGTGCTTATCCATAGCATAGAGTAGAGCATTACGACGTTCAGTGTAAGAATAACGAATATGTTTCAACCATGCGAGGTATCCATCATGTCCCCAGGTCTTGAACAAGGCATGCAACATGGCTTGAGATATACCGGAAGCATTTTGAGAAGCAGTCTCGGTATAGCGAAGACTACGCTCGATGAACAAAGGTTGAGCGGTGATCCAACCAACACGAGAACCAGGAGCAACAACCTTTGAAAGAGAATCCATGCGAATGACACGACCGTCGACATCAATGTGTAAGAAAGATGTGATCAGATTATTGACGAACTCTTCATTTGTAAACTTGGGATCAACAGCCTCAGGTTTTCCCTGATACTCGTCCATTTGAAGATAATAATAAGGTTCGTCTTCAATGATTATAAAGTCATGTTGCTGAGCAAGGGCATATATTTTCTCTTTTCGTTCTACTGACAATGTGCTACCAGTGGGATTTTGACCACTAGGGATAGTGTATAAAACACGAGGTTTGTTTCCACCCTTCCAATTATTTAAAATTTCTTCTAAGGATTCAGGCAACATTCCGTTCTTATCCATGTCCACTGAGACAGCGTTCAAGCCCATAGGACGCATAGCCTGAAGAGCGGAGGGGAAGGTGTACTTCTCCACAAGAATACTGTCTCCACGGTTCATAAGCATACGAAGGCACATGTCCAAGCCTTGGGTATTACCGGTAGTAAGCAAAATGTCCCAGTTGGCATAAGGAGGGGAGTGAATCATTTGGGTATGTTCCTTCAAAAAGCTTGTCAATTGAGCACAACCAGAGCCTTTTCCGTATTGCAAAGCGACAGAAAGGGGTAAGTCATCTTGATCTTCGGAATCCATTGAGACAGAGAAATCTGACAATTTGCCCTCGTTTTCAGCACCACGAACCCAGGAACCGATAGAAGGAATTTCAGAGCCCATCTTACGGAAAGGGAAATATTGAGGATTAGGAAGTCCTCCAGCCAAAGAAATCACATTGATTCCCTTTTTACTCACAGAGCCTGCGATTGCCTTTAGTGGAGATGGCCTACGAGAAGCACTTTCCACCGAAAGATGATGAGACAAATCTTTAGGTTGAATTGACATGGCCTTTGTCTTTCTTTTACTTCTGAGAACTGCGATTCACACCAACTTTTTTGGGTGTTGGTTATGGTTAGAAATTTTCTACTTCGGTGCAGGTACTAGGTTTTAACCGCTGCAGATGCACCAACGATAAATTATAATATCGAAGGACTGACTATCAACAGTTGACTCCTTTTCTGATACTATAAAGTAAGGAGAGTGCTGTAGCTATATTTCTAAGTTGGAGCAATATTCAAACAAAATTCCAGTTTTTCCACTGAATATTTTTTTAGATCGGACGTACTGTAGACGTGTAAGTATAATTTCTTGTACATTCATACAATTACGGATTTCAAGCATTCCCTGAAGAAAATCAACTAGGGAGACGAAACGAATTCTTTCTGTGCTATACAGTAAGGAAGATCTAGCTCTTAGTTGTGTTGGAATTAGCATCTAAAATTTGGGATGAGAAGGGGCATTCTTCGTTGAACATTCGAGATATCCTCTCTTCTTTCTTCTTTTCGGTTGGGATACGATTGCAGTTAAGTTACCAATTCGCTTTGTTCATTACAAGGAATGAGTATATAACAAGGATCCAAGGAAAGGGTGTTGTAAAGGATGAATGGGTCATATTACATGAAACCCCATTATAGGATGTATTCCAGCGACTTGGTTAGGTATGCTTTTAAGATACAGCATGTCGAGAATAGCATTGCATGTATAAGGTCAGACCAAATCAGACTAGACCGACTTTGAAAAAAGCAGACTAACGAAAAATTTGCAAGAGGTTATCTTTTGTTTGCAATTCTTTCTTGCATCTGTTTCTGCGTCTTGTGGTTTTGGAATTATACTGAAAATGACACTGTAAAACGAATTGTCTTCATGAGCGCTTAGAACTTGTGAACAGACAGGTACTTGCCGTGGTGGTATGATGAAATAACTTTTGAAGTTTGTTCTGTTTGTAAGCTACGCTAGCTATTAGTTATAGTTTTTAATGAAAGATACCCACTTCTTCGAGCTTTTGCTAACAGCAATTCTTCTGGAACAGACTGACGAAAACTTTTTTTTTTTTTATCCACATATTCATTTGAGCTTTCCTATGAAAAGAAATGCTTACTTTGTTCACTCACCATCAGAGTTGTCGCATCTTTTCACCACATAGAACGGAAAGCAAAACGACGAAAACATTCTGTGTAAAACGGGTTTTTTCCTTTCAAAAGAAATCAAATTTTTTAAATTTCGGTTCTCCTTCTCGAGTCGTTTTCATTTACCGTAAATAGTCAGCGACTGCGTTTGACTTGACTTACTGTAAAGATTTATACATATTTAGTAGTGAATGAGAAATAAGACATGAAAGCCTTTGTTACTGTCGGTTCTACCAGATTTGATGAACTTGTTTCTGGTGTTTTACACGTCAATGTACAATACCAGCTGTTACAACATGGAATCACTCAACTGATTGTTCAGTTTGGAAATGGAAGAGAGGCTTTTGGGACTCCAAGCCCTATCGAAGGAATCTCTATATCTGGATTTGACTATGCACCTGAAATTGGAACATATATTGAGTCGTCTTCTATTGTTATTTCGCATGCCGGCGCAGGTAGTATCCTGCAATCCTTGCGTGCCCAGAAACCTCTCATTGTCGTCCCAAATGAATCTCTAATGGACAACCATCAGCTTGAGCTTTCAAACAAGCTGGCGTCGTTACAATATCTGATAACTTGTTCTTACAAAGACCTTGCTCAAGGTGTTGAGGCTCTATTCAATACAAAGTTAAAGCCATTTCCTAATCCTGAATATTCTGCTTTTCAGAAGGTTTTAAGCGATGTACTGACTAAATAAATCAACTCTACTAGCTTCCTGCTACCGCTCTTTTCTATGTGTGCGCGGCTGACTTGGGTCTCACTTTCAAATCCCACAGGAGTGCTTACCACCTCATGCCGTATACTACAGTCTGAATTTCGTTTTTTTTGTCTCCTAATACATAATGAGGGATTCATTTTGATATTTGCTTCTATGCTCACTGCAAATATCCAATTAACATGACGTTTCCATTCCTTAGGTAGAGCATTTACGGATATCGAAATGAATGATTTCATTTCTAACGAATAATTCGTTTCTTTTTATTCGCTCTATGAAAAACGAGTCATTCAACAGTGTATCCATTAACTTCATCTATTGTTTGTTTACTACTGCGTTCCTTAGTAAATCTCGTAAAATTTCTTATATAATACTGACTGATATAATGGTCAGTCCTCTAACCAGTTGAACTAAGGAGATATTCATCCAGAAAATGGGATATTTTACCTCAAAGTCGGCTAGAAGCATCTGCTCTCTAAAGCACATCTCAATTACTGCTGCAATTATTTCTTCAGCGGGTTATGCAACATACCAGCTACGTGAACAGAATGCCATTCAACTAGATCAACCCAATACGGTTTACCCATATCCTTCAAAGGTTCGCTTGCCGCCAAAGGATAGTGAAAGCATTAACAAGCAGTTGCGAGAATTCCAAAAGACTGTTTATGTGAATCGAGATGGCATCGCCAGATACGACTTTAATCAAGTGCCAAGTAATGATCCTTGTGAGGATGATCATGTAGAGTCGGTTTCAAAGGAGATCGATGATGGGAATTGGTACTTTTGGGGTGTTTTTGATGGTCACTCTGGCTGGAATACTTCTATGTACTTGCGTCAACATTTAGTTCCAGCCGTAGTTGATGAGCTAAGGGAAACAGCATTGAAAGTGAGGGAAAGTAAGGCGTGTCCTTCACCATTAAGTTACGAGCGATCTTTGTGCGACGCATTCCAGAAGTTGGATCATCGCATCGTACATGAGCATGTTTCAAGTGTATTTAAAAACCCCAAATCATTACAGAATGCAGCTAGCTTACTGTTACCAGCTATTTCTGGATCTTGCGCCCTTCTGACTGCATATTCTGCAAAGTCAAAAACTCTTCAAGTTGCCTGCACCGGTGACTCGCGAGCTGTATTGGGAGAACGAACTTCCGGTGGAATTTGGAACGCTGTTCCTTTAAGTCGTGACCAAACAGGCGCGAATCCAGATGAAGCTGCTCGTTTGGAAGTTGAACATCCCGGCGAAATTGTTTTACGCAACAACCGTATACTTGGGCGATTAATGCCTTCTCGAGCCGTAAGTTGTTCAGCATGAGCTTTATATTATGATTCTAACTAACTTTATAGTTTGGTGATGCAAGATTTAAATGGTCCCGACAAGTAAGTGAACGTTTGCATAAAGAGTACTTTTCCGCTGTCCCTATTCCTGTAAAATCGCCGCCGTACGTAACAGCTGTTCCTGAAGTGGAAACAATAAAGGTCGATTCTAAAAAACATAAATTTCTTATTATGGCTTCCGATGGCTTATGGGACACAATGTCTAGTGAGCGAGCAGTCGAGTTAGTTGGCCAATGGATTGATTCAGAATTCGCAGAAAATCATGCTTCTGAGAATACATCACCAAGTACGTTTAATCCATTAAAGTGGTTTCACAAAACGTTACCGGTTGTAGATGGAAATGCTGCTACTCACCTTATTCGCAACGCTTTGGGTCGGAAGGATGAAATGGTTTCTGCTCTCCTTACTTTGACCTATCCACTCTCCAGGAGATATCGAGACGATCTTACAGTAACGGTGATTTTCTTTGAAGAAAATGAAAGAACTTAAACGGTTTGTAGGGAATGATTTGAAAATTACAAGCAAGGAATGACCTTAATTACTACCAACATGAACTAAGAAGATGAAAAAAGTATCTTTCATCCTACACATGTATATATATATTTAATGTGACTATGAACAGTTGACACGACCTATGACCCAAGTACGGTTTCTGAATTGGTAGCATTATCAGCTATATTGTATTTATTCTAATTCTATGAACATTTCAACAATACCTGAGGTGATAGTATTTTACGTTGCATAAACACAAATTCTATTGTGTAACATAAGAGTAAAGTCTCATAGCAAGATATAGTAATACGGTCACTATATCTACAAACTGCTCGTCTTTAACTCACTGTCCATTCCAAAAGTTCAAAAGCATTCACATAACCAATTAAACTAAAAATATATAATTCAAAGAAAAAAATTCAATGGAACAGGTAAAAGCATTTTTTACGCAAAAAAAAAAAAAAAGAGTAGCGAAGTAAGTAGTAAAAGGAGAAAATATCGTATATACCATCTAGTGATGGATAAGCAAGGCCGGTGTACATTGTCAGATGAGCCAAAACTATTATATAGTTTCGAACAACAAAGTGATTTTCAAAAAGCGACACCTGCAGGTGAGTCTTTCAGCCTTTATAATTAATAATCGCGAAGATTCATTATGAGCAGCACGCGCAAGCTGCTTATACGTAACGTAGCATCAGCGTTCTTACTCATCTTGCTTCTTATCATTATTTAATTTTTCATCATCAATGTTATCGAAATGCTGGACAATGGATTCTCTGCGACTACTGACTTCACTAGGTGCTGAATCCGTTGGGCGCTTCATGTGAATCGATGGTTCTTTTGAGGGAGAGCCAGAAACTGCGACCCTGTGAGGAATTGTCTCCGGGGATGGAATTTCTTTCCCTATGCAGGTTATGCCGGCATCAGACGCCTTACCAGCTTTATTCAATGCATAGTCACCAGAATCGAAGTACTTTCTTCCTTGCTACCAAAATACCAAGTCAATATTCAACCCTAATTACGTATCTTTTCTAAAACTATTCAAACATACCTGCAATTTCTGAACTAAAAGATCTTTACGCTGAGGAAGTCTTCCATAGAGACGGAACAACTTTTGCTCCTCGGGACTGAGCTTCTAAAGGTTTTTAGTCAATTTTTTGCTCTCTGCCAGTGTCTTCATACCGCCATATCCACCGTTTTCTCTGGATTACCCGATGTCATACCTTCAAAGCAGTTTGGTTGTCGCCAACAATGAGGACTACATCAATGTCATGGGACCCAGTGATCGCGATAATTATATTTCCTCGATACGATAATATTTTTGTGTGAGAATAACGACTTCTATATACTGCATGAATTAAGAATTAGATGAACAAGTAATTACGAGTTGAGCTTTGTGTTTGCAAATTCTGTTAATTTCTTTTCGCATTAGCAAATTTTTGGAGTCTTATGACTTATATCACAGTTTGCTAGACATTTTCAGTTACCTATATGTTTAGCTGAGATTTCATCGATATGAAATTCACCGATTTCATATGTATTTAGTATTAAAAAATTTCAACAGAGTTTTACTTTTTGTGTTTTATTCATAGTGTAAGTCTAATATTAATTTCATATAAAAAGTGCCGCAAACACGTTTGATGAATAAAAAGTTAACTACTATGAGACGCATGGTATGTTAACGATTTTAATTTTGGAGTATGATCCTCAGATGAGTCCTTGGTAGAATCTGAAGAAGTTAAATGCGTCCTGCTTTGTTTCAAAGTGCTACTGTTGGAACCGTCGAAAATAGACTCAGGGTACGCGATTGTTTTTTGGTTACGCAGAGGATGAATTGAGATATAATCATCCAGATCTTTTTCTGTGTAGTATTGTCGACATTTGCACAAGTCCAAGAGTAATTGGTTGCAAAAGTCGTAAAACCCTCGAATAAAAGAATCTTTTTTAAATAGAACAGCATCAGTATTATACAGAAAAAGAGCGGATTCTGGGACCTTTCCTTCAAAAACTGCATCCTTTGTGTTCATATACATATGAATAGGAAAAGCATGACCGTTATTTCCTATACAATGCATCATAGATAACCAGCCAATGTCAGCTTCAGAGGAAGCAGAATGCAGCATTGCTTCAAAACCGCATAAATCATATGGAAGACTGCTCTCGCATAACGGTAACCGAAGCTGGAGATAGCTTAGGAAATTTGAACGTGTAACGGCAACCCAATTATTCTTTGCTTTGAGAGCATAAATATCATTCGGGTTAATAAGATACATGCGTATACATCCTAGTCTGTTTTGTAAAGCAAGCTTTAGTAGTTTAGTATGAGCAAAGTCATAATTTGAGAGATAATGCTCGACAGCAATCCAAAGAGATTCTTGAATTTCTGGTGGGTAAAACTGAAATAGCATCACATGATGAATCAAAACCGAGATTGGAATCGGGCCGGCACGAAGATATTCACAGAGATGATTAAACAAGCTACGATGACTTTTAAGTAATAATTTCACATTTTCCTGAGCGCATGTATTGCGTTGTGTAAAGTGATATATTTTGTCTGGCATAAAAAAACCAGACTCATCCAATTCATAGCTACTTTTTAAGTAGGTACCACTGAATGCATGGAAAACACTACTGAGAGAACCTTGCGTAAACGTATTTGGAATATCATAATAATCCGGAAGCTCAAACTCACCTAATCCTAACACTTCGCAGATACTAGGGATCCAGGGTAGAGAGTTCAGGAGTAAAAAATGAGTTTCTTTTGGTATGTCAATATCAGCATATGCAATTTCAACTGTTGGATCTTCACAGTCGCAATCTGGACAGCCTAGATCGCAACTGTCACAGGATACACAACATAACAAAACATCCAAAAAGGCGTTAACAATTCTTTGATAAAGCGTTTGCATGTGTTCTTCAGGGTGATCAGAATTGACTAACATTTCTCTGATACGTAAAAGTTGGTTGCATATGACTGTATTAGAACAGCTTTCAGAACCGAGAGAAAATGACAAGAACACTCAGAAAACAGGGCAATGCACTAGAGGAAAATCTCATGCAAGATATGTGTGATAAATAGGGCATCTAAGCTTTAAGCCTGATCCTAACTGTGTACAATTTTTAAGGAATAAATTTAAAAATAAAAAGCAAAAACAAAAAAAATCAGACTTAAAGTGAGCAAGTCGATAAAGGAAGAGATGCGACCGCTACATTGCCATAAACATCAAAAGCCCTTTATGGGCGTCCCTCCAAAAGTCAACAAACAACGCATAAACTAAACACCAGGAATGCAAAAATGTAAACAGTTAGCCAAAGCCAACCAACATTCGGGTTTTAGTGATATATTCCAAGTGCCCATAGACTGTAATAAGCGACTCTTACAATTTAAAAACATTTTATAGCTCTGCTAATAAACCCTCCTTCTTAAGCTCCATATGGAACAAAAGAATGCTAAGTAAATAAACATATACATTCATCTATGTACTTTATATCTACCAAGCACAGACCTATGGAATATATTCCAAAATCAGACCGAATAACTCAACACAGTACGTTTCGTACTTCAGTGCTTGACTCTTTGTATTTGTTGATCATCATATTTTGGATCCATACCTTCTAAGCTTAACTATCTTATGCAGGTTTGGCTTGAATCGAACAAGCTCTCTTAAACAAGAGAAACCACTCAAACCTTTCAAAAAAAGACGGCAAAAATCCTCTGAGCCCATGACTAAGCCCCATTGAGTTACATCTACTGGTGGATGTGATCGTATAACTATCGCCTACGACGAAAAAACACAGTTCAATGAAACCGTAAGTCCCGCAAAGCATCCGTTTTGCTCTTCCTCAAACACTTTCCTATGCACATTTCATAGACTTATATCTTTGTCTACTCCGTTCCGGAAGCGAAAAGCACATAGAAAAGGTTACAAGAAAAATCAAGACAGCGCCTACCACGGGACAAACATTCCATTGAAACCGCTGGTTCTTTAGGTCAGCGCGTTTCCGCTTGTCCTGGTTTCAAAAGAAACCAAGACGCAAGAGTCCGGGGACTTTCCCTAAAGCTGCAAAAGAAACGTAGTGTTTCGTTAGATTGCTTCAACAACGATCGTTCGAGCTCAAAGGTGTCTTTGCATAGCTGTAGTTCGGAAATCCAACAAATATATAGACCTTTTCGTGACTGTCTTTGGATTTGCCCTACCCTATTACAACGATAATGCATGTTCTGTGATATCGTATAATGTTAATCGAATAGAAAGTAATCGACAAAGGCGGTCGATTTTTTTTATTAAAATACCATTCTATTTCTTTTTTTTCTGCTTTTTTCGTTTTATTTGCTCGTTATTCGATAAGTTTGCTCCCTCTTTTAAAAAATTGATACAACTACCATCTCGTACAGTGTCAAACAATATATTCAGAAGTAATATGAAGAATAAAATCCACTAGGTACATTAATATATTAATAAGAAAATACATGAACATTTAGAGAATAAAAAAATCTCGTTGGCTTCGCACCTAAGAAACTTTGTAAAGTACGACACTTTTATATGTCGCCTGACTTTGTTTTTCGCCTTGTAAACACACAAGGACTTTGATTGAAAAGTATGAGTTTGTTCATCAAATTTTATTCATTTTTTAACTGACTCATAATTCTAGCAAACAAAGATTTTTGCTTCCTATATCACATTATGTCTAATTTTTATGCTTTTGAATAAGAGTAACATGCTACTCGAATTGGTTACGTTCTATCATGGGAGATGTTCATTGGGAAAATGCAAGGTTGAGTAGAAACGTCTTCATACAACTTCAGAACAAGAGAAATTACACTGCGAATGTAAGGAGTGAAGAATTTATACCCGTAAAAATAAGCCAGTGAAAGAGTTAAATTGCATTAACAAACTTACCGGATTCGCATATTCTGGGTCCAAAAGCTGGGTAGCAACAGAAAGGAAAAGTAAAGGATATTTTTGATTCCATTTACGAGCTATATATTATCGTGAATTCCCATTCCCATTGACGAAAGTGAATAATTTTCAAAAGCTATAGTCATTAGCTTGGGTCACGAAGTTTGGGAATGTTTACTCGGATAGGAATTCGTTCACCGTTAGCATCTCATAATGTAAAGCTTTTGAATGTTATGCGTCGAGGATCCTCTCGTCGTTTGTACAGCAAAGAGCCCCCTACCAAGCAAGCTTTAAGCAAACGTTCAAGTTGGACCAAGAGACTAGTCTGGATGGGGAGTATTGGAACAGGAATTTACGTTTGGGACAGATACTATAACGCCCAAGCTTTGACTCGGAGTATTCGGACCGTGTATACAGCAACCATTGTTGCATTGGATTACAAGCTAAACTTCAATGAGCAGAGAGCTGATCGAATTGAGGCCTTACATGAGCGAGTTGCTCAGCGCTTGGTGAATATGGTATCCAAAAATGGCGGTCTTTACATTAAAATGGGGCAAATCGTCGCAATGCAATCTTCTAATCTTCCTCCTGTATACGGGAGAGTATTCAAGGGAATGTTTGATGACGCTCCACAGATAGGATGGGATGAAGTATCTGAGATCATCAAAACTCAATACAACATGCCAGCAGAAGAAGTTTTTGCTACAATTGAAAAAAACGCTTCTGCGAGTGCTAGCATAGCTCAAGTACACGAGGCTATTCTTCCTTCAGGAGAGAAAGTAGCCGTCAAGGTGCAAAAACCATCCGTTTCCAAGCAAATGAACTGGGATTTATTGGTCTATAGATGTATGATGTATGTTTACGACAAATGGATATTCCATATTCCCTTATACTTCACGGTGGACTATGTTTCAGAACGACTTCGGTCGGAAGTAAATTTCATCGTTGAAGCCGAAGCGACTCGATCAAGTCGTGAAGCCATAAATCAAACAGATTATTTGAGAGGAAAAGTCTACGTTCCAAAGGTTTACGACAAACTCTCAGGAGAAAAGATTATGATTACAGAGTGGATTGATGGGATTCCCCTTTACAACCAACAAGCATTGTCAGATGCTGGTTTCAGTAAAAAGCAAATCCTCAGTAGCTTGTTTAATTTCCTTTCTTTTCAAATGTTTAATACAAAGCAAGTGCATTGCGATCCTCATCCAGGTAATATAGTTGTGCGGAAAGTAGGTCGACAGCCTCAGGTCGTGATTTTAGATCATGGATTGTATGTCCATGAATCGGAATCTTTTCGAAAGAGTTTTGCTCTTCTATTTAGTGCTGCTTATACGCTTGATCGAGCCACTATTATGAAAGTCATGCATTCCTGGGGAATTAGGGAGCCCGATCTATTTGCAAATCGAATGTTGAATATTCCTATTGATGGTGACTTTAAAGACGAGTCAGTTCTGAAGTCTCAAGAGCAGTTATTTGAAGAGCAGCTTACTCAGAAATCAAGGTTTGTGAGCTTTTTACAAGACTGTCATCGTTTACCTCAAGAATTACTAATGCTTGGTCGCTGTCTCATGCTCATCCAAAAGAACAATCAAATGTTTGGGTACCCGGTGAATAGTCTATCAATATTGGCAAACGTTGCTAGCCGATATGTAGACGAAAAACCTTCACCCCGATGGTACCAAAAGCTACTTTCACCCATATATTGGTTTTTTCAACACATAATGTTCCCTGGTGACATTCGGGTCCCGGAGATTCCTGATTAAGAGTACAAGATGATATCTGTTCATTGACTGTCCGAAAGCATAGGAAATTGAAACTTATTTCTACGAAACACTTTATCTTGTCCTTTGCAAACTATGAAGAGAGCAATTCTCTAATTAGGATAATATATGAATAATACAATTGAATTTCAACAAGACACTAAAACATTAGAAGATTACACAAAATCAACAATGCAATTCATTCTACATTTGACTGAGTGATGAACCAAGCTTCATTGAAAACTTTATATTTTTTAAATCCTTTTAATTATTTCTAATCATTTCATTTTTTGGAAAATTGTAGATATCATTTACTGAGAATCATTCCATTTTAAGAAAAAGATTATCTAAACGAGGTGATTTAATATCAGAAAAAATCAAGATGGAAAGACTTATTTAGCAGCGGAAACCGTTTTCTAAACTTGGACTTTACCAGCACGAGAAGTTAAAAAATGTCGGATTTTGGATTTACTGAATTGATTGAAGCTCAGCCTGATGCCATTTTTAGACTCAACAGTTTATACAGCCAAGATGAAGACCCTTCGAAGGTGAACATGAGCATTGGTGCTTACCGTGATGATACCGGTAGGCCATGGATTTTGCCAGTTGTAAAGAAGGCTACTGAAATTGTAGAAAAAGATCCTAACTTCAATCATGAATACATGCCCATTGCTGGTTATGGTCGGTTTACAAAGGGTGCCGCCGAAATTCTGTTCAAGCCCAACGAGCAATTATTGAAGGAAGACCGTATTTGCTCTATCCAATCCGTTTCTGGTACTGGTGCCAATTTCACGGCTGCTAGATTTTTAGCTGAACACTATGTTCGAAAGAGTGGAGCTGCCGTTTACATTTCTAACCCAACTTGGCCTGTTCATCGTACTATCTGGGAAAGTGTCAATGTCAAGGTAGAGACTTATCCTTATTGGGATGCTAAAAACCGAAGATTTGATTTTGAAGGAACTATGGACGTTATGAAATCTGCTTCCGAAGGCAGCATTTTCCTCCTTCACGCTTGTGCTCACAATCCTACAGGAATGGACCCTACTAGAGAGCAATGGAAGTCTATGTTCGAGGTTCTTCTTGCCCGCAAGCATTTGGTTGTGTTTGATATCGCTTATCAAGGATTTGCTAGTGGTGATTTGGACCGTGATTCTTGGGCTTTGAATGAGTTTGCCAAGTTTGACAGAGATTTCTTTGTCTGTCAATCTTTTGCCAAAAACATGGGTTTGTACGGTGAGCGTACTGGTTGTCTTCACTATGTAGCTAAGAATAACGATGTGAAAAGTAAGATGCAATCTGTGCTTTGCTTGATTCAACGCAGCACCATTTCGAACCCTCCGGCTTATGGTGCCCGTATTGCTGCTGAAATATTAAATAACCCTGAACTTTTTGAACAATGGAAGGGAGACTTAAGGACTATGTCTTCGCGTATCAATGAAATGCGTCGTCATTTACGTGACTCTCTCGTTGCTTTGAAGACTCCTGGTACTTGGGATCATATTACTGAGCAAATCGGGATGTTTTCCTACACTGGTTTGACCCCTGCTCAAGTCCAGTTCTGCCAAGAAAAGTATCACCTATACTTTAGTGCCAATGGTCGTATCTCTATGGCTGGCCTAAACAGTTCTAATGTTGACCATGTTGCCAAGGCTTTTGATCACGCTGTTCGTGAAGTGAATTGATCGCCCACCTTTTATTGCTCTTTTATTAACATGTTATGATAAATTAATAAAAACAAAAGATGAAGATAAAAAGGATATGATAAAAGATGAAAGACTTGACGACAAACGGGTGGTCTGAAAGACAGAAACCATGCTCTATTTTGTAATACATATATAGTAATATACTTTATTTATTCCTGCCAAGTGGAAATACAGGCTACCAGAATCTCAATATCTTTCTAATGACTCATTTAATACTTTTTTTCATTCGTGTTCATTTTTTTTCCAATTCTTCGGTTGACATAGAATAATGAAGTTCTTTGTCTATTGTTAGCAATAGACAATAGAAGTTAAGAAATGGAGCAATAGGATGTACACCCTTCCAAGTCTGTACAGGCATAGTAATCTGTTTTGGTCTTCTTGTTTTTGAAAGTTAAATCAATATTTATCTTCTACTATAGGTTTTATTTTTTAATACGTACTGCGAAATTTTAACTATTCTAGTAGGATTTTTGTGGATAATATTTTTTGACCGAACGTGACTAGATTTTTTGATAAATCTTTTCTAAAAAATGCCGAATATTCACACATCAAATCAAGTGGCTTTCATAAGCGCTACAAGTACCCTTTTAGGGCTGGTCATTGGATCTGGGTGCATTTTGAGCATATTTACGAAGTCTAGAGCCAGTGCTTTTGTCGCGATATTGGGGCTATTTCATGAATTAGAATTTTATATAACAGCACAGTTTCAAGGACCTCAGTTGTCTTGGGACTCTTTTGTTTTGAACAATGGGGTAGCGTATTGGATTGCCATGTCAATAGGTGCATTAGAATACCACTTCACTGATGGATCGAGCAGCTCAAAAATTCTATCCTGGCTCCATTTCCCTCCATGGGTCCTGTTGTGCGTTCACTGGGTATACACAAGTTTAGCAATTCTCTTGATTGTTTCGGGACAGTTACTTCGATCATTTGCAATGGTACACGCTGGTAAATCATTTTCGCATCACGTTGCTAGTGAGAAGAGACAGGAGCACAGTCTTGTTAAATCAGGTGTCTATCATTATGTTCGTCATCCGTCATATGTTGGATTTTTTGCTTGGGCTTTAGGAACGCAGCTCCTTTTACAGAATGTTTTCTCTCTGGTTGCTTTCACTATAGTACTGTGGGACTTTTTCAGCAAACGAATTGTTGCAGAAGAGATGTATTTGGTCAAATTTTTCGATGAAGACTACAAGGACTATCGCAAAAACACTCCTTCTGGGATCCCTTTTGTTCCTTAATAGTGTTTATCTAGTCCTTCTTTTACCCCATTTTAGGTTGTCGAGTTCAGTGAGTGAATTCTTTTGCCATGTGCTAACACGAGCTTTTTAAAAATAGAATATTTATGGAATAATTCACAGTTATAAATAGTCTTTTATTTTATTATATTTTTTCTACCGTTCCTATCTTAAAATTAGTTAGGTTTCCTTGATCATCTTCAGTAGCTCTAAGGCTATATATTTCTCTCTCTTTATATCCTTTTCAATCTAATTCCTTTGGTTAACAAAATAAAAAACATATCTTGCAAAGAGAATTGTTATTGTCGTAAAATCACTTTTAAATTCGTGATCATAGTATAAATATTACAACGAATTCATTCTACCATTTCCACACTCTCAAACATTGTGCTTCAAGTTATTGTAATTGACGAATTTTGAGGTCATATAACAATAAATATTAATCATTTAAGATTCTATATACCAGTTTTATCGTTTAAAAGGGCAATTGAGTGATTTCTTAGAAGGAGTATACAAAAGCCGCTTAAGTGCGGTGATGGACTTGTTGAAGCAATGGACCGAGCAAGCTAAGGTGGCCCTTACAGAAGCTCGTCAACTTTGTGGAGACGCTCATGAATACAATGAAGATGCAAAAAACTGCCTGAAAAACTCTGTTAAACAGCATCAACAACTAAGCGAACTAGCTAAACTAACAGCTTCTCAATGTGCCAGACTGGACTCTTCCACTTCCTTAATAAAACAACTTTTAAATCTTGTTCAAAATCATCCAACATTTGGACAATTAAATGATCTTCATGACCGCTTAGAACTATCGTTGAAAAGGCTTCGAGAATGCGTTTTGGATCCCGCTTTAGGAAGTGAGTATCCCAATCTTTATTCGTTTGTCGATGACGCATCCCTGGAAGATTTGAAGACAAGACTTCGAAGAGTCACAGACGGTGTATGGAATGCGTATGAAAAGCTCTCTGGATTGTTGGAAGAAGACATATGTGAACAATACCACATCCGGCTTGGAGCTATCTCTTTAGACTTCTTACCTCCTGTGAACAATGATATAGCGGAAACTTTGGCTGAATTGCTTCTTCAGGTAGCTCAACATTACGACCAATGTTCTGAGGCTTTGACAATTTATTCCGGTCTTTCAGATGTTGAGAAGAAGGAATTGATTGAGATTTTGCGATATGATTCAAATCATGTTCCTTCTGTGCTGAGGGATCTTCGAACTGGCCTTGAAGAAACAAAGACTTATCATTCTACCGTTCTTAGATACAAGCAAAACGTGGATGCTAGCACGAAGAAACTTGAACAACTTGCAGAAGAGTTAAATAAAAATCAACTTACCAATCGGCGTCATGAAGCAGCGCATGAGCTTATGAGTGCTCACACCGGGTTGGAGATACCCCAGTTAGCCCAAGAGCTGATACAACTAGAAAGACACTATACGCAATTTGCAAAATCCTATTATGCTCTCCTTCAAGAAATACATAGACGACAAGCTTACGAAAAGAGGGTACGCTCTGTAGTTGACAGTCTGGTATATAAGCTAGAACAAGAGCAGCAGACTGAAACGAAGGCTCGTATCGACTTTTGTACACAGTACGGTGATTATTTGCCGCAAACATTATGGAATGCGGTTACAGACCCACCTTTGCATTTTGAGATTATAGAGCATCAGTATACTGAGCTACCAAATGTAAAATCTCTTGTCGACAGAAAAGCAAAAAGAGATAAAGGCCAGCAACAAAACTCAACAAAGAGATAATGAAACGAGAAATAATGATGATCCCTTCTACAATTCTTCACTTTTGATTTCCTTTTTATGTCAAAGCTATATAGATAAGTTACGATGATTACTATAATTCTATTCTTATGAGAAATTCAATGAACAAATACCCAAATGAAATTTTTATGTATTATTATATCCTCTATCCATTATCCAAAATAAACCCTCCAAAAAATAAACGTAAAAAAAAATAAAAAGAATAAACATCTGGCTTATTTTTTACGACCTCCCTGTTTTATTTTACGCTTTTTCTCATACTTTGAGACCTTCGTTTTCCTTTTCTCAGCTTTCTCTTCTTTTACTTTTTGTTTACGAGCGCGTTTTTCCTCTGCACTTTCTTTTTCACGGCCACTCTTATCTTTCCTGACAGAATCATTGTCATCATCCAAATCAGAGGCGTCTGACTCTTCATCCTCTGTCACCGAAACAGAGTCATTGCTGGGATGAGGGTCATTCACATTTTCCGCATCGCTTTCCTTTGAACCAGTATTCAGTAAGTGTCGGTATACTAAGCTTCCTGCTTTTCCCTCCTCCACCATTTGAGTATCACGATCAATATCGTAAACTTCTTCCAGCGTTCGTGGTACGTACGTTTTCAGAAATTCTTCTTCGTGGTCATCATCAGGATCGTGGTCTCCCTCTCGAAGTTCTTCCAAACGGTTTTTCATATCTTGTTTCTCAACGCTACCTTTTTCCGTGACAAAACTAAATAGCCTTGGTAAGGACAAACAGTTTACGTCAAATCGCTTGAAGAATGTGGTAATGTTTAGTATATCCATTCTCAAAAATTCTAAACTTCGAGGGTGATCATGCTCAACGGATTGAGAAACATCAATTAAATAGATTTTTCCTTTGTGATAAAGCATATTATATTCTGACAAATCCGCATGGACAAGATGGCAAACTTGGTACATCGTACGCATATATCTAGCAACCATTCCATAGAGTTTTGTTGCCTCCTCTGCTGTGACATCCACATCTTTCAATTTTGGATAAGGCCAACCTTTCTTGTCACCTAAAAAGGACATGACCAAGACATGGTGCTTTAATAATAATGGCTCAGGAGAAGGGATACCTGCCGAAAACACTCGCTTCAGATTTCTGATTTCTTTTTCTGCCCAAACCCTAACCATTTTTCTTGGATTCCTCTTATTATAGCCATGGCGAAAACGAAATTCACCAGATACATAACGATCCCTGTCTTTAAATACAAGAATCGATGTTTTGAAAATTTTGATAGCAAGATGTTTTCCTTCTTCATTCATAGCATGATAAACATTTGCCTCTTTACCAGTACTAATACAGCCATTAATTTCCGAAATTGTTCCGTTATTAATCAACTTTAACAGAATCATTCGTGTTCGAGGATCTAAAACTTGCTCAGATGTAGCTCTGTCACTTTTATCTTTTGTGCTAGCTTTTTCTTTTTCATGTTAGTAAAAAATCCGAATAAACTCATGCCGATCGTCCTTTAACTTACCACTTCCGTCAAATTGGTCCTTTACATTCATGTGATCCATGTAACGGCTTAGGGTTGAAACACGATCCTGTCCCTTTGCTATTTTGGCTCTACTATTTGGCTGTGTAGACGCTTGTAATCCTGTTGAAGCAGAACCAGCAGCCTCAAAGGAAGCATAGTCTATGAGTTAGCAAATATTCTTTAAGTATGACAAAGTAAGCTGTAGATCAAAGTTGACCGACGCAAAGTAAAACTTGTTTCTTCACATAAAACAGAAAAGTGCATACCGGAGGAAGCTAATGTCCAGTCAATCTCGTCGAGATTTTCATACTGTTCGTTCTCTGAACCCTCACTATAATCCTCATATTGCTCTTCATCCTTTGCAGAATCTAGATAGGATGCTTCTCCTTTTTCTGTCATTATTTTTCCAGCTAACTACTAGAAGTATATGAGTATTAAGGAGAGGAATTATGATTTTACACTAATTTGCTGTAGAAAAGCTTGAATTGCTCTTACTAGAATAAAATCCTATTAAACTATTACTTTTAGCGACAGAATTCGTTAAGCGAACGTTTATTTTCCCTTGGGCGACAAAGTGTTTACTTTTATTTGTTTTACTTTTTACTTCTCAATATTTGAGTAACTTTTTTAGAAACATTCTATTTTTAAGTTGAATAAAATAGAAATCACCTTTGGTGCTATGCTGATTGTTTAGAACTATTTGAGTACCCACGGTTTGTTCGCTGTTTGGTATATTTCGTAAATGTCATAGTAGTAACTATCAATAAAGTCTTTCTTTAATTCTTTAATATATAATATGTATAATTGCAAACGAAAATGGTACATAGAACAATGTTAGTTGATCTTGTTCTTTGGTTGCTACTTATTGGTACATACGCGACGCGAGTCTGGTATGCTTCATTTGTCCAAAGCCAACAACAAAATCTATGCATATAAAAAAGGTTAGTATTGAAACGGATTGATCATAGTTAACGAATTTTAGCTTATTATTCAAGGGTTTAAGTCTTACAAAGATTATACTGTTATAGAACCAGTCAGTCCTCATCACAATGTGATCGTGGGAAGGAATGGTTCAGGAAAAAGTAACTTCTTTGCTGCTATTCGCTTTGTCCTGGGCGATGATTACACGCATTTATCACGTGAAGAAAGGCAAGCTCTCTTACATGAAGGTCCTGGTTCAGCTGTAATGAGCGCGTATGTTGAGGTTACATTCGAAAATTCTGATAATCGCTTTCCCACTGGGAAAGGTGAAGTTGTTTTACGTCGAACCATTGGTCTTAAAAAGGATGAATACTCCTTGGATAGGAAAACAGTGAACAAAAATGAAGTAATTAATCTTTTAGAGTCTGCTGGATTTTCGCGTTCGAACCCATACTATATTGTTCCCCAAGGTCGAGTAACTTCACTTACGAACGCCAAAGATTCTGAGCGTTTGGAACTTCTTAAAGAAGTTGCAGGAACGCAGATTTACGAAAGTAGACGCGCCGAATCCAACAAGATTATGACAGAGACGGTCCTCAAATCTGAGAAAATTGACGAATTATTAGAGTATATTGAAGAAAGATTACATGAACTTGAAGAAGAAAAGAATGAACTCGCTGTTTATCATAAAAAAGACAATGAACGGAGGTGTTTGGAATATGCGATTTATTCTCGGGAACATGATGAAATCAATGCCGTCTTGGATGCTCTAGAACAAGATCGCACTAGCACGCTTCAAAAAAATGAGATAGACTCTGGAGCGTTTATTGAGAGAGAGACGCGTATCGAGCAAATCAAAGGTGAAATCACCGAACTAAAGAATTCTGTCAATTTGCTTCGGCTCGAAAAACAACAGAATGACGAAGATTACACAAACCTTATCAAGTCTAAAGCAGCTGTGGATTTGCAATTTCAGCAATTGCTGCGTCAAATTGAATTTTCTAAAGAGGATGAGACTTCAAAGGTTGAAATGCTTCAGTCGTTGGAATCTGAAATCCATGATAAAGAATCAGAATTGACGAACATTATCCCTCAGTACAATGAAATTATTTCTCAAGTTGATCTCTTAAATCAACAGATACTATCTTTACAAAACCAGCGAAGAACCATTCTAGACAAACAATCAAGAATATCCCAGTTTGCTACAAGAGAAGAACGCGATATTTGGATAAAGGCCCAAATAGAAGAGATTTCTTCAAGTATCAAGACCCAAAATCAACGGATTCAAGAATTAAATATTGAATTAGAGAATGTTTCTGCAGCATTGGATGCGAAAGCTTTTCGTAAACAAGAGATTCAATCAGCACTTTCGTCTAGAGGCGAACTTACCGCTGGAGCAATGGCTAAGGTTTCTTCAATTAACGAACAAAAAGAGAATCTAATTGATAGACGAAAAGAACTCTGGAGGGAAGAGGCTAAGCTAAAATCCATGACTGAAAGTATCAAAGACGATCTTTCACAATCTGAAAAAAGCATGAGTACGACCATGGATAGAAACACTAGTAATGGTTTAAAGTCTGTTAAGGAAATTGCAGAACGCTTAAAACTGACTGGTTGCTATGGTCCCTTATGCGATCTTTTTAGCGTTGATAACCGGTTTAAAACAGCTGTGGAAGCAACCGCAGGAAATAGTTTGTTCCATGTTGTCGTTGATTCGGACTCTACAGCCGATCAGATTTTACAGGTAATGTATAAACAAAATGCTGGAAGAGTCACATTCATGCCTTTAAATAGGCTTCATCCAAGACCAGTAAGTTATCCTGACGCCAGTGATGCTTTACCTTTGCTTAATTTTCTTGAGTACGACACAAAATATCAACCCGCTTTTCAACAAGTATTCTCTAAGACTATTGTATGTCCTTCTATTGAGGTTGCATCACAGTATGCTAGATCACATCAACTGAACGGAATAACTTTAAGTGGTGACCGTTCTGACAAGAAAGGTGCCTTATCTGGTGGTTATCGTGATTATAAAAACTCTCGTTTAGATGCCCTTAAAAATGTCAAAAAATATCAGAAACGACTTGTTGATATTCAAACGAATCTTGAAAGAGTCACTACTCAAATCGATTCAGTTGATCAAGAAATAACTATTTGCTTAAATGAGTTGCAAAAAGCAGAGTTTGAATTCAAGCAGCTGGAACGTGATCATGCTCCCCTTAATTTAGAACAAGTGTCTATAACGCAAGAGGAAGCAGAAGTTCAAGGCTCTCATCGTAGAAAGGTTCATGATCTACATTTGGCAAAATTAGAACTCCAAACCTCAGAGCAGCAATTGAAAGATTTTGAAGAAGAACTTCAGTCAGACATGGTAGAAATGGATCCTAGGGATATGAAAAGACTTAAACATTTGGAAACTCAAATTGAGCAATTGTCTGTTGATTACAATGATATAAATACTAAACGAGTCGAAATTGAGTCCCAAAAGGTTAATCTTGAATATCAGTTGAATACGAATCTTTATTTAAGACGTGATCCCCTGAAGGTACAACTCGGTATGGATAATCTTGTTGATGAATCCGAACTCTCCAGTGTTAAGAAAACTCTCGAAAAACACGAGGCAAAGCTTCATAAACTTGAAGATGCATCTCAAAAACTTGAAAATCAAATCCAAAACCTGGTTAATGACTTGCAAGCCGAGGAGAAGGAACAGGAGACATTGGAAGAATTACAGCATGAAGCAGCAGCAAAAATAGAACACGAGTCGAAAGTAAATGAGAGAAATGCTGCTAAAAGGAGCCTTTTACTTGCTCGTAAGAAGGAATGTAACGAAAATATTAAGTCACTTGGTGTTTTACCCGAAGAAGCTTTCGTTAAATACGTTTCCACTAGTTCAAATGCTATAGTAAAAAAATTACACAAGGTTAATGAGGCTTTGAAAGAATATGGAAGCGTTAATAAGAAGGCATATGAGCAATACAACAACTTTACAAAACAGCGTGATTCCCTAATTGCTAGAAGAGAAGAGTTAAGAAGGTCTCAGGATTCTATTAATGAGCTTACAATGGTACTAGATCAGCGAAAAGATGAAGCCATAGAGCGCACTTTCAAGCAGGTAGCAAAGAACTTTTCTGAAATTTTTGAAAAGCTCGTTCCTGCTGGACGCGGTGAATTGGTTATGAATAAACGAAGCGAACTCAGTCAGAGTTCTGAACAAGAAAATACAATGGACATCGATAACCAAGCAGCTCAGAAAAGTTCAATCGATAATTATACAGGCGTTGGTATCCGTGTATCCTTTAATAGTAAAGATGATGAACAGCTAAGCATTCATCAACTCAGTGGAGGTCAAAAGTCTCTGTGTGCTTTAGCTTTAATTTTTGCGATTCAGCGATGTGATCCTGCACCTTTTAATATTCTCGACGAATGTGATGCAAATTTAGATGCTCAATACCGGTCTGCATTGGCGTCTATGGTAAAGGAAATGTCTAAAACAAGCCAATTTATATGCACAACTTTCCGACCTGAAATGGTTAAAGCTGCTGACACGTTTTATGGTGTTATGTTCAATCATAAGGTTTCAACAGTCGAAACAATTTCCAAAGATGAAGCTATGAAGTTTGTTGAAGGATAAAGGATTGTTATTATGCTCCGTTAACTTGTTAACTTAACTTATTTTATACATAAATTGATGACGCTCTAATGTTTACTCTTGAGTAATTTTCATTTGCAAGAGTTGGGTCTCCTACTTTAAACTATTAATATAAATGATTTATTTAAGGTAATACGTATATATGAGTTTAATTTACTTTTTATAATATGGTTTATAAGATATATCGTCTGTAGATCCTCATTTTTTTAAGTACTAAGCTTGAACATTTTCAAACTGGAACTGGAATTCAAATAAATTATTCATAGATAGTAGATTTCTAATATCTATGAATATAAGTTTTATATTTTCTTAACTCCTTTTTTTGTGGAATCTTCCAAAGTCAAAGTCACTAAGTCACTCTCAGTTAAGGTGGCCAGCGACTTACCTTCTGTACAAGTAAACAAGAATTGTGGACTAATGAGCACAAATAGTCCCTATCCAGCAGCTGTATCAAAGTCTGAAGGTGAGGAAAGACTCATGAAAATGTAGAGGCAGTATTTCTAACAGAATTTAGAGATTAAGTACCGACAAAAATGCAAGGATTTAAAGGCTAGAATATTACAAGTACAGACGGGAAATGAGTATCTATTAAAAAAATATGATTATATTAGACGAGCGGTTCGACGCGCAAGACTAGAGCGAGCTTTCTTGATGGAACAGTTGGAAAAGCAATCTCAAGAAAAGGCTGATCAGCTTGGTCAGCAATCTCGACAATCTCCTCCGGTAATAAAAAACTATTTGATTAAGCTAATTTTTACTAACTTCTGTAGCCACCTCCTGAAGGAATAAAGATAAAAATATCCACCAAAGGTACTCAACCACAAAGCAAGAAACGAAAGTCCCCTTCCACTAAATCAGAGACTTCGAAGAATCCAAAAAACGTTGCTGAAATCCAAGAGGACCAACAAATTGCAAATGAGAAGTCAGAGGAAACAACGAGCATCGGAGCTGGTACAAACACAGAGAAGGATGCTGCATCATTGGGTGCGCTGAAAAGTAGTGAACGAGAGGAAGGTCCAATAATAAATGCAGATGCTCAAAACACCACACAGAAAGCCAATGCTGCGATACCCAGAGTTACAAATTATATGGCTTTTACCTATTTTTCCTCTCAAGAGAAAGTGAAATTAAAAGAGGAAGGTAGTGCATTGAAGGGAACAGGATTAAAAAAAATGCTTGAAGATTCTTGGAATGCTTTGACAGATGAAGAAAAGAAAAAATACTTTGATGGTGCCGCTGAAGCAAAGGCTAAAAAAGAACCTAAACGAAAAAAGACAACAAGAGCAACCCCAAAACCAGAAGTAAAAGAAGAAGTTGGTGTTGATGAGCCTGCCGTTACCGAATATAGTCAACCCAATCAAGGAATAAGTGATGAACCCATAGCGACGAATGCTCCAGAAGTTGTGCGTACCGGTGGATTTACAGTCGTCAACCCTTCACCGAAGGTAGAAAAGTAGCTTCTTACTTTCTATTTCGTTAAAAAATACAATTTGAACTTACAGGTTACTCTCGGCTGATTATCTCATCTTAAGAATCAAATGTTTTACCGAACTTTGTTCAAAGTGTGTCTAAAATAATTTTCACTAATTTTTACTTTAATAATTTTCTTTTTGTTAAGCATATTTATGAGGGTGAATTCCGTTCTTTTTCTTTTTATCGATTTTGAGTTTTTCTAGCAAAACCTTCCTATTAAAGTACTTGGAAGGCTTGAAATAGGCTATTCATAGGATCCTAAGAACATGAAATATACAAAATCAAAGTTGAACGTTTTCTTATATAGAGTTGCAACGTTTTGTCAGAGACTGTTCAGTGAAAAGCGACGATGACAGGTGAAAAAATAATTTAGTGCTATGATCCTCTATTCAGACTGGTTTTTGGGAGTGCCGTATATCCTCTGAATACTTGTTTGTTTTACTTTCTCAAGAAACAAACATGACATAAACGTTGATGAATAGAATAATGACTTTTCATTTAGGCATTACACCTTCAATAATGAAGGCTTAATAAAGTACGAGCAATAATATGTGACAAAGTGAATTATATGGCTAGGACAGAGATATATAAGAAGGTAACAGGTTGGATCTAATAGCTCACCAAAATACCTGAATTTTAATAACTGAATCGCTTCGACGGTAAACCTGAAAGATGCAGTTAGATAGGAAGAAAACGTATAGAAAGGTTTATTTTCTTACTTATCCTGATATGAAAGCTCAATGGGTGTTGATTGATGATCAAGCCAGGAACGGTCGGATCAACGAAAAGGAGGATTAACAATCTTTGTTTTTTTTTATAAAGTTTCCTTTGAGTAAGACATTAAGTTGCATGTAAAATGTACAACCTCTGATCATTCAATTCGGTTTTCTAAAGAAGGCATCTGAGTCATTAAATCTGAGGTTGTTGAGGACCCTGGAATCGTTAATCGGTTGGAAAAGCAATAAATATTTACTGTAGATTTTGAGTTCGACTATGATTATATGTTTACGCAAAACCTATGCTTTGAGACTAAATTTAACAAATTAATTCATCTTAACATGTAAAAGAAATCTTCTTTGTACTAACAGAACATCAAGTTTATATATTAAATTCTCTTTTCAATATATCACAGGTATTCATAATCATTAAATATTAATTTCGAAAGGCCTTCACCAAGATCGAAATACCATATTCTCAATATGTCTGAACGTGAAGCCACGTATCCCATAACGTAAAGATCAAAAAGCCAAGATAATTAGAAGAACAAGATATTTTGGTTTGATCTTGTTTCTACAGCTTACTCGGAAGGCTTAGTGTCTACGGAGGGATCGGTAGGAGCGGCAGGTGTAGCTTCAGTATGCCCGGTAGTAGCATTTTGAGCATGGCTCTTGGAGTCAGCAAGTTTGCGAGCTTGACTGTGAATTCCAAACAACTGGCTTTTACCAGAGCCGTAAGCACTAGAAACCTTTTGACCAGCTGATGTGCCGGCAGCAGTTTCATAAGCTTTATTGAAATAGTTGCCGACTAGAGAAGTAGTACGGTTAAAGGTATCACTGATAGAGAGCTTGTTATCAACTTCATTAGCTTTCTCACTGACGTGGTAGCGCTCATTCATGGAACGAACACTAGACAACGCGCTTTCAAGAACACCTTTGAATCTGGACGAAACACCAAGGCTTTGATCTAATTGTATACCTTTCTCCAAAGTAACATCGCTCAGATGGTATCCACGACTTAAAAGTTCAGAAATAATCGCAGAACGAGGCTTATCTTCTTGGCTAGTAGCTTGATCTCCACCAGCACCACCCTTGTCGAAGACGTTACCAGCGGCAGCTGGGGCGTCGCTACTGCTTATTTGGATTTTGTTTTGTCCTAAGAGGGCATCTTGCAAAAGCAATGCAGTCTTCGTGGCGCTAGGGCGTTCAAATTGGATATTGGCAGTTTGAGTATCTCCTTCTTTGGCAGTTGAGATGCTGGAAACCTTTCCGCAGAAGGAAAAGAAATCGGAGATTTGCTTCTCAGTAACGTCTAAAGAAATATTCTTAACAATAACCTGATTACTCATTGCGTACTATTCGAAATACTTAGTTGGTAAAGGCTGACTACACATGAGGTCGCCATTATAAGCTTGAAATAAATACGTCATAAAGACTTTCTTATATAATTGTATGACTTAATTATGTTTTATTCATCTATAATCTTAAGGATTATAGTAATATGCTTTATAAGGATGACAGTAATATCAGAACATGCTAATTATGATATTAAACAAGCTAACAAATGAATATGCCATGAAACAAGGGAGCTGGAGGGTTTTAATATTCATACTTCTTGTTGTCCTAAGAAGGAATCATTGGTATTGTAAATTGAAGTGTTGCTTACCGGATAGGTATCTTTGAACAGTATGAACTTTCATTCCATTTCATCAAGACAGATAGTTAAAGTGAACACCATGCTTTATGAAGCAGCCAGTTTCATAGCTTTATTTTTAGTAACAATACGTATTTCTTTCTTTGGAACTTGGGATTGTTTACGGGGTGAACTTTTGGGCAGGTTTGTCAGGATGGAGTACATGAAATACATCAAACATAGAAATTGACTCTGGTCTCATGAAATCAACGAATAACGAACTAAGAAAGTAAAAGTAAAGCTCTCCCGCACCGAATTTCAGCCGAGTCTAGAAGGATGAACAGAAACGTTGGATGCTCATCATTGTTCTTGGAAACAGAATAAAGATGTAAAAAAATAATGAAAAAAAAAAGTAAAATAAACAATTTTTCTCTTTAAGTTACTACCAAGAATGAAACAATCTTCATGTTTGTATTTTTGATGGTAATAATTTTGGCGGTGGCTTCTTTCCAATTCCTAACTCATTGAGTCAAAAATGGCATCAAAGGCTGCTTATAAGAGGGTATAGGATCAAGAAAGTAATTCTACTAACATTTTTAGTTAATGAAAGAATATTTAACGCTTCAAAGAAATCCTGTAGAGTATATTGACGCCAGACCAGCACCTGAAAACATTTTAGAATGGCATTATATCGTTACTGGTCCTCCAGACACGCCATATGAGGGTGGTCAATATCATGGTTCGTGCATAAAAGCAAATGCTTTGTCTTTCTTGTTTGCGCTAACATAATGTTATACAGGAACTCTTATATTCCCTTCAGAGTATCCTTTTAAGCCTCCAGCAATACGGATGATTACGCCAAGTGGACGTTTTCAAACAAATACTCGTTTATGTCTGTCGTTTTCTGACTTTCATCCCAAGTCGTGGAATCCTGCATGGATGGTTTCGACGATTCTTGTTGGCCTCGTCTCGTTTATGACCTCCGATGAAATAACTACAGGTGGCATTGTCACGCCCGAATCCACAAGACGAGCCTATGCAAAGGATACTAAGCGGTTTAATTTAATGGATAATCCCAAGTTTGTTGCCGTATTTCCGGAACTTTTAGAGCAGAATCGGCGAGACATAATGGAACAAGCTGCCGCAAAGGCAAAGGTAAATGCCGAATCAGCAACTCAGAATAAAAATCCTAGTGCATCGGAGGCAGATTCGAATGCATCAAGAAGTCAAGAACGAAAATGGTTCAAAAGTCGTTGGGGCATTGCCGTTGTGGTTTTTCTCGCACTAGCATTAGCTCGTTTCCTTGGAACTGACGCTTAAATTATTCTTGCCGTTATCCGAGCTTTCATTGTCATAAGATGTTAACCCTTAATTCTATCTTTTCGTCTTCCATTTTATATTCAAATAGATTTCGTTTCTCTGCTTTTTCATAAATATCTATATAACAATGTAATACACGCTATAAAATGTTTGACGTTCTATCATTAATAAAGGATTTCGTTTTCATTTTATGTGCTGTCCTGCTATACTTTCATCTAGCCTTTAAATTTATCAATGCATCCTCGACTTTGTTTTATTTTAGACTTCCTACTCGTTTTCTGTTGCTATCCATGTCGTTGCATAGCCTGCTGCTACATAAGTGACCGCTCCTGGCAATCTCAAGTTTTTAGCCTGGTAAACATCTTGACGATCTTCATTAAATGCGTTTCCATGTTCGTTCCATCCATAAATATATGCTTCCATTGATTTTGTCTGCACAATATTGTGTTCGCTACCTCCAGCAATCGTTTGCGCGTTATTTTGTACAGTATGTGCTTTTTGAGCACGATCACCTCTGCCGAATGCATAAATTCTTCCATTGGAATCTAGTAAAGACAGTGTAGACCAATTCGAAGATATATCAACAATAAGAGAAGAAAGCTTCGGATTATTATCCTGCCATCGCATGCATTCCTCAGAAAGATTCCAACGATCACCGCCTAGTATACTTACTCGACCCGTTTCTTGGAGGAAGGCAGAAAACTGAAGTCCGCAACATACCTTATGAGCATGCTCTACTTTGGCCAAAAACTGAACTTTGTTGGTCATCTTTGGAACCACTGGTCCTAATTGACCCTTACGTCCGTCTCCACAGCCATAAACGTTACCCTGGTTCGTAACACAGATCCAATGTTTCACACTTGAAGATATGTCTAGTATAATTTCATTTTGATTAAGGTAAGGGATCATAATTTTCGTTAAAGACGACCCCCCAACCTCTCCCTGGCCTAGCTCTCCATGAGGACCAGCACCGCATGTCCAAACAGTTCTTCTGTCTTTTCCCACCAAGACGCTAAATTCCCATCCAGCAGCCACCATGGACCATTGTTTTCTGTTCGCGATTTGAAACTCATGAATATAATCTGACTTCAAAGGTTTCAGGTTGTTGATTAATTCATCTACAATAACGTCGTCAAACGTTTGACAACACTGTAACTTTCTGTTATCTCCACAAGCCCAAAGGTGACCATTTTGATCCAGAATCAGTGTGTGATTTCCTCCGCATGCAATTCTCTTTGGTTGTTCCGGAAAATTCACCTTCTCTGGTTTTGATATATCTTCCTCATGCTTTAATCCTAGCTGATAATTTCCATTAGATCCTAGAGAGTATAACATCATAATTTATCTTTATTCGGTCCATTTACCCAACTTTAGTGGTATGTTGGTGTGGACACCCAATCCAAAGTACTGTTACTTTCTATAAGATTGAGCAACGCTGTCAATTTTGTATTATAAAAAATCTTAAATAATAAAGAAAACGGAACAAAATAATACCAATATTGCTGGGGTTAAAAAAAATAAAGAAAAAAATTTTCACCCTGCCCTCATAAGGACCATGACTGACATTCTTTTTCTCTCCTCCACGTACCACCAACTTTGGAGCAAACAAAAGGGGATATCAAGATGAAATATGTACTAGTATCCGGAGGTGTTATTAGCGGTATTGGAAAAGGTGTGATTGCCTCTTCCACTGGTTTACTGCTAAAAACCTTGGGTTTAAAAGTAACCAGTATTAAAATCGATCCATATATGAACATTGACGCTGGGACCATGTCACCACTGGAACATGGAGAAGTATTTGTTTTAAATGATGGTGGTGAAGTTGATTTGGATTTGGGAAACTATGAGCGTTATTTGAACGTTACTTTGACTAAGGACAACAATATTACTACCGGTAAGGTTTATTCAAAAGTCATTGAGAAAGAACGCCGTGGTGACTATCTTGGCAAAACTGTACAAATCGTCCCCCATGTCACGAATGAAATCCAGGATTGGGTTGAACGTGTTGCTCGTGTACCAGTTGATCAAAGTGGTGAAGAACCAGATGTTTGTATTGTCGAACTCGGTGGTACGGTTGGCGATATTGAATCTGCTGCTTTTGTTGAAGCTATGCGTCAATTTCAGTTCCGTGTTGGACGGGATAATTTCGTGTCTATTCACGTATCCCTTGTTCCTGTTATTAACGGTGAACAAAAAACGAAGCCTACTCAACAAGCGATCAGAGATCTTCGTAGTTTAGGTATTATGCCTGATTTAATTGCCTGCCGCTGCAAGCTACCTCTTGAGGAAAATGTTATTGAAAAGATTTCTCTTTTCTGTCATGTTGGCCCTGAACAGGTTTTGGCTGTCCATGATGTTTCTAGTACCTATCATGTTCCTCAACTTCTTGAAAATAAGTTGTTAGATTTTCTTAAAATTCGCTTCAAGTCGGATCAGATTCCTATCTCTTCTGTAAATGCTGACGCCGGTTCGGTTATGTGGAACTCTTGGAAGCTTCTGACTTCTGGTCATGACCGTCTTTTTCAAAAGGTTAGCATTGTCCTCGTTGGAAAATACACACATCTTAAAGATTCCTATATTTCCGTCATTAAGGCTTTGGAGCACTCTGCTATGCGTTGTGGTCGTAAGCTCGATTTACAATGGGTTGAGGCTTCCCATTTAGAGGCTAGTATGAATCACACTGATCCCCTTAGTTACCACAAGGCTTGGCATTTGGTGTGCTCTGCAAACGGTATCTTGGTTCCCGGTGGGTTTGGTTCTCGTGGTATTGAGGGAATGATTGCTGCTGCTCAGTGGGCACGTGAAAATAACACTCCTTATTTGGGTATCTGTCTCGGTCTTCAAGTTGCCGTAATTGAGTTTGCCCGTCATGTTTGTGAAATTGAGCGTAAGTTACAAATATTGGTATCCCAGGTCCCTCGTTACTGTCTTTTTAGCTGTATTCAGTGAACATGCACCTACTAGAGGTTATTATCATTTCCCCATTGATTTTAACTGTAGACAGGTGCTATATTAAAGTTAGAAAGACAATAAATGGGGAAATAAATGGGATTTATTTTCCTGGGTTCTTTTAACTAACATTTTTTAGATGCTACCTCTGAAGAGTTTGATCCTCAAGCCGATAAGCATGTTATTGTTTACATGCCTGAAATCAATAAAGACAAGTTGGGTGGTACAATGCGATTAGGTTTGCGTCCTACTATCTTCCAGCCTAATAGTGAATGGAGTAAACTCCGTAAGCTTCATAAGAATTCGGAAGAAGTATTGGAGCGTCATCGTCATCGTTATGAGGTTAACCCCAAGTATGTCGAACTCATGGAAGAGAGGGGTCTCACTTTTGTCGGTAAAGATGAAAAAGCTGAGCGTATGGAAATTATTGAGAAGCGCGATCATCCTTACTTCGTAGGTGTGCAATATCACCCTGAATATCTTTCCAAGCCTCTCAAACCATCTACTCCCATTTTCGGGTTGGTTGCCGCTAGCGCTGGTTTACTTGATCAGTTCATTAGTTCTGGTGAATCTGTGGAATGGAGTGATGTTTCTCACTTTAATGCTGATTCGGCTCTTGCTGATTCATCCGAATCTGTAGAGGTTACCAGCCAAGCTACTATTGTTTCTACCGATTAAGTAGTTTAAACCGTATACTTCAATGCTTCTCTAAAATTGGGGATGGATTGGCTCATACATTAATATTGTCTCTCACTTTATATTTTATGATTACTTAAGGTTTTGGTTTTGGTACTTGGTTAACACTTAGGGTTGTTTTAATACACTTGATTTTAACTTTCAACTGGATAATGATGTGTTGCATTGAGTGGACACACAATACTATTTATTTCAAAATTAGAGTTATTGTAAGTTTTATAGAGCATTAAAATATTGTAAAACCTTTGACATCTGTTTTTGTGTTCATTTTTTATTTTGGATATAAAGATGTTATGAGTTCAAGTTTAAATACTTTCATTTTCAAAAGTAAATATTTAAATAACTAAGCTGTAATGCTTCCTTTCAACTTGTTTTGCATCGATTCCAATGATTGCATTTTTCACCCTCAGTATCGTTATTTTAATATTAATTGATATAACGAGTACATCTAATCGTGTCTCCTATTGGAATTCGATACATTTGTACTCTTCTATTTACACATTAGTAACGCCTAAATGTTATACCATTTTCCTTCGTTTTATTAATTCCAATTTTCATCTTTATATATTTAATTGAGGAAATGGATGACTTAGAGGAATTGGAGTACCTGTCTCTGGTTTCAAAGGTTGCCTCTGAAATAAAAAATCATACTGGTATGTTTTTTGCCATTGGCAATTAAAGAATTGGGACATTTTTAAAGAATTATGCTAATATAATTAGGGATTGATGATAAAACTCTTTCTGAATTTGTAATAAACTTGTACGAGCATTCCAAGACTTATGATGAATTTAAGGAAAACGTCCTAGCATCAGGAGGAGAGTTTGCAGAGTCATTTTTACAAAACATCGCTAGATTAATTCGGGAATTACATCCAAAGCTGAAGGCGAAAGCTCAAGATGATATCGTTGATCAAAATAAAATTACAGAGCCTAATTTAACGTCTAAGAGGGATGATGTGGGTCGAAAGCGGGAGTTGTTTCCTGGTCTAAGTATTCCCGATCATAGTAATCTTGAAAAGTCTAATGAAGACAGTGATTTAATGAATGATACGATGAACGAATTAAATCAGCTGGCCAGCTCTTCTCGTTCAAGAAGGCTGGATAACTCTAGGAACAGTTCATACAGAGAAAGATCAAGAAGCCCTCCTCCCTCTTACCGTGGTCGGGATCGATCTCCCACTGACCGGTATATACCTAATCGCCCTCGCGATGGTGGTTCTGCTTCTCGACGTCGAAAAACGAATGCTTATAGCGGGTTCCCCAAACTACATGAAATATACCCTGGTATTGTTTCTAGTATAAAGGATTTTGGTGCTTTTGTAACACTAGACGGCTTTTCCCAAAGAACAGATGGTTTGGTGCATGTATCTAATTTAATGGGTGGCCGACGTGTTGAGCATCCCTCTGATGTTGTATCATATGGACAACCTGTTTTAGTTAAGGTTACCCGGGTAGACGAAGCTAGTAAAAGGATAGGCCTCTCCATGAAAGAGGTTGATCAGGTTACTGGAGAGGATTTAAAGCCGAAAACTGATGACAATGCCGTTTATCGTGGTACTGGGGCTAACTCAGTGGGTTTAAACGGGGACGGGGATCAGAAAAATGGACAGGGATCTGATTTCTTTGATCCCGGTAGGAACAATGGAAGAAAGAGACTGACATCTCCTGAGATTTGGGAACTACAACAGTTGGCTGCTTCAGGAACAATCTCATTATCGAGTATTCCTGGGTTTCAGGAGGATTTTACTACCTTTAATAACCCTGAGTTGAAGCCTGAGGATGATGAAGATGTTGAAATTGAATTACGTGATGAAGAACCTAGATTCCTAGCTGGTCAAACAAAGCTCTCCCTTAAGCTTTCTCCTATAAAAGTTTTAAAAGCGCCTGACGGATCTTTATCTCGAGCTGCAATGCAAGGGCAAGTACTAGCTAGTGACCGTCGAGAAATGCGTCAGAAAGAAACGCGCTTACAAAGCGAAAAAGAACTAGAAAAACAAGACTTATCTTTGGTCTGGAATGATACAATGGCCCGTCCGGAAGATAAGAAATTTGCTCAGGATATACGCAATACAGCTGCTAAACAAATGACTACTCAGGCTCCCAGCTGGCGACAATCTGCAAAGGGTCCTGATATATCATACGGAAAGAAGACGTCTTTAAGTATGAAAGAACAAAGAGAAAACCTCCCTGTCTTTAAACTTCGGAAGGCGTTTTTAGAAGCCGTTTTCAAAAACCAAGTTTTAGTTTTGTTGGGTGAGACAGGCTCCGGTAAAACTACTCAAATCTCCCAATACCTAGCTGAAGAGGGGTATACGGATAATAGGAAAATAGTCGGTTGTACTCAGCCAAGACGTGTTGCTGCTATGTCAGTTGCGAAGCGTGTTGCTGAAGAAGTTGGATGTCGAGTTGGAGAAGAAGTTGGTTATACCATTCGTTTCGAGGATAAGACAAGTAGAATGACTCAAATTAAATACATGACAGATGGTATGCTTCAGCGTGAATGTTTGGTTGATCCACTCTTGAAAAAATATTCTGTTATAATTCTTGATGAAGCACATGAAAGAACGGTTGCTACTGATGTTTTGTTTGGATTGCTAAAACATACGGTAACGAAAAGACCTGATCTGAAGCTAATTGTTACATCTGCCACATTAGACGCAGAACGGTTCTCCTCTTATTTTCATAAATGTCCTATTTTTACAATTCCTGGCCGCTCTTATCCTGTTGAAATTTTATATGCTAAGCAACCAGAAAGTGACTATCTCGATGCAGCACTATTAACCGTAATGCAAATACATTTGACTGAAGGCCCAGGTGATATTTTGGTATTTTTGACAGGACAAGAGGAAATCGATACCAGCTGTGAAATTCTCCATGAAAGAACAAAAATGCTAGGGGACTCTGTACCTGAATTGGTTATTCTACCCGTGTATTCTGCGCTTCCTTCTGAAACACAAAGTCGTATTTTCGAACCTGCTCCTCCAGGAGGAAGAAAGGTAGTTATTGCTACAAATATCGCAGAGACAAGTTTGACAATTGATGGAATTTACTATGTGGTCGATCCTGGTTTTGTAAAGCAAAGTTGTTTTGACCCAAAGTTAGGTATGGATTCTCTTGTAGTTACTCCAATTTCGCAGGCACAAGCTAGACAAAGAAGCGGACGTGCAGGGCGTACAGGACCCGGAAAGTGTTATCGTTTATACACTGAAAATGCTTTCCAGAATGAGATGCTACCTAGTCCGGTTCCTGAGATTCAACGTCAAAATCTTTCTTATACAATCCTTATGCTAAAAGCCATGGGAATTAATGATCTGCTGAACTTTGACTTTATGGATCCACCGCCAGCGCAGACGATGGTTGCGGCTTTGCAGAACTTGTATGCATTATCGGCTCTGGATGACGAAGGATTGTTAACACCGTTGGGTCGCAAAATGGCTGACTTTCCTATGGAGCCACAATTATCAAAGGTTTTGATTACGAGTGTGGAACTGGGATGTTCTGAAGAGCTTTTGACAATTATAGCCATGTTAAGTGTTCCCAATATCTGGAGCCGGCCAAGGGAGAAGCAGCAAGAAGCGGATAAACATCGTGCGCAGTTTTCGAATCCAGAAAGTGATCATTTGACGCTATTGAATGTATATACGGCATGGAAAACTAACAGATGCTCAGACAATTGGTGTTATGAACATTACATTCAAGCGCGAGGGCTTCGGAGAGTAGAAGATGTACGTAAACAAATACTGAGATTGATGGACCGTTATCGTCAGCCGGTAATATCGTGTGGTCGAAATCGGGAATTGATTCTGCGCGCGTTGTGTTCTGGACACTTTACGAATGTAGCCAAGAGAGACTCGCATGAAGGATGCTATAGAACGACAGTGGAGAATGCACAAGTGTATATGCATCCCAGTAGTGTTTTGTTTGGTAAACCAGCTGAGTGGGTAATTTATCATGAGTTAATTCAGACGACGAAGGAGTATATGCATACGGTCAGTACGATTCATCCACGATGGCTTGTGGAGGTGGCACCGACGTTTTTCAAATTTGCGAATCCGAACCAAATATCCAAGTCGAAAAAGGGACAAAAAGTTGTGCCGCTATTTAATCGGTTTGAAAAAGCAGATGAATGGAGACTCTCAAAGCAAAAAAGAGGAAGGTAATGCTATGGGAAAATATTACTTTATCGTATTTAGGTATTTTGAAGCGTTTGATGAAAGGGAAAGTAGAAATATTTTTTATTTTGGAGGTCTCTACAGTCATGGATTTTGGGTTAGAATTCAAAGGTATTTATAAGAATGTAAGAATCAGTGGATGAATTTGTGAATCTAGAGCAAAATAAAAATTTTTAGGAAAAAGTATACAAAAAAATTCATGGTGCGAAAGAACTTTGTTGGGATGAATTGTTTACATATCGTAATTAACATTAAAACATGGGTAGTGAAATGTTAGGTATTAGATTGTGTCTGATTGACCCAACAGTCCTTTTGAATTCCTTTTTTCTTTTTTTCCCATGACTCTGCGATGTATCTTTTTGCGCTCCGCTTGTGCTCTCCAGAAAAAACAAAATAACACCACTACAGAATTAGGGAAATTCATGATGCAAAAGAAGACATGGGACACAAAGAAACGAAGAAAAGAAAAGTTAGAAAACAATAGTAAAACGTTTCCTTTGGAAAAGAAACTATTGACTTTTCCAAATTCAGAAATTTTTTGTTTATTTACTTTTTCTGGATAGGCACTTGCTTCTTATTGAAACCGTAGTAGGAGGTTGCTAGTACAAGAAAGTTCCAGCAAATGGTACACGATTCCTTCCATAAAAACAATAAAAAAAAAAAGATGTATTCAAAAATAAAGAAAAATAAAAGATACAACAAGCATATAAACATACAAATGAAGGACTTTCGCATCCAAAAAATGTAAACAAACAATTACTTGCCCCACCTCCATATCTTCAATACCAAAGTTTCAACTCCTTATCGCTATTTTTTTTTCCTTAGTGATGATTGGTGGCCGTGTCGCTAACGATCAATGAAACGCTTTTAAATAAGGAGCGCAATGGAGGAAAGAATATGATTGTGCGATGAAAAGCATTTGAACCCTTGACGAACAAACCAATGAACGTATCAAGAAAGGGAAAACAATTAAAATTTTTTTTGTTCACAAAACTGAAATCCGAAAATTTGTTCCAAAAAAACAAAGATGTAAAAACCGTTTCCTTTATCGAGCTTTTGACTATATCCCTTTAGGCTTCTTGACCAAGTAACAAGTCTATTACGCGATAGACCCGAAATTACGACCACGGCAATCACGCAATATACGGTACAATTTCTCAAGAACACAAATCAACGAAATATAAACTTGCCCTCTACCGCAATCTTTCTTTGTGAGTTTTGCTTTCCTTGTTTGTTCGTCGCTTTCCTAAAATATTTGGAAGCAAAGTTGAATCAGAAGGGAAAACCGTAGGAATTGCTGATTCTTTCGGTTCATAAAACGGAACAAACTAGAAATTCTCTTAACTGTGCATTTTGGATTAGAGTCTTATGATTTATTCTATCATTTTCATAGGAATTATTTAAATTCGTTGAATTCTTTTGGTTATAAATTTGTAAAGTTCTAATTTTTTTTCTTTATTTCGATATAATTTTGCTACTGTCATCGCCATTCAAGCAAACAGTTCTATTCTAGTTCACGATTTTTGACCAAGTTGTATTGTTAAACGGTATCTGTTCGCTATGAGCTTAAAAGCCTCCATCGCAAACACGCAGGAAGCAGTGACTCGAGTCGCTTTCCGATGTGCTGACTCCCTCTATGTTGTTCATCCAGCGAATGACAACCTCGATACAACCTTCCAAGAGGCTGTACAAGATTTACGGAAACTTGAGGCCCTTAATATTTCCGGTAAAACCACTTCTATTGTTTCCTTGAAATCTCATGCAGATCCTTTTGCACATATTACTGATTTCTTCTTTGCTGAGCAAGAATCCTTAGTCCCTACTCCTAAACATATTATTTCAGTCGTAGCTTCTGCTGATTCTCTCTTCTTTGCTACCCCCCATCTGTACAAACTCTCTCATCAGCCTGTTGTAGCCCACATCGCTCTGGATCCTACCGAAGCTTTTGATTTTGCCTCCGTACGTGACACAGGATTTGTTATTTTGCTTTCCGGAAACTGCCCCAACGGTACCGAACAAGATGCCCTAAACGACGTCCTTCAAACTGCTACTCTTGCACACAATCTCGCTGTCAGACAGAATACCGGTGTTTTGCACTTTTACAACCCCGTTTATAAGTCATCTGTTGCTTTGGAAGACCTGAATTCGCTTCCTTCCAAGGAAGATTTAGAGGCTGCTCGGGTTGCCGATCTTCCCTCTGAATCCCAAAAAACAGAAGAAGTCGAAAAGTCTTCGTCATATGTCCCCCCTGTTTATGATCAACCAGCTCGTGATGCCGCATCTTATGCTTTTCTTTCTTCACATTCTTTCAAGCCATTTGAATATTATGGTCCCTCAGATGCCGCCCACGTTCTTTTGGCTTTCGGTAGTGCTTCCCCTTTGCTTTCTAAATCTGCCCTTCAACAAGGCTCTGTTGGCATCGTCGTCATTCGCGTTCTGCGTCCATGGTTACCTGACGACCTATTATCCATCTTACCATCCACCGTGAAGCGCCTTGCTGTATTAGAACCCCTCAGCAACCTTCCTCGTAAATGGGACCCTTTGTACTTGGATATTTTGGCATCTGTTGTCTCTGCTAAATCCAATGTTCAATTATTGGCTGTTAAGTATGGTTTGCAATCTTCTGAGCACGTTACAGGCATAGTTTCTGCCGCTATCGAAAACATTAACAACTCGGCTAAGCCTTCTATTGTTGCTAATTTCACTGAGGGTGGCCAGCAGGTCTTTGTTCCCACTCCGCCCGCCATTGAGGATGCCTATCACAAGTTGCTTCAGCGCGTTTTTAAGGCTCGTCTTAATGTCGTAAATGACCCCAATACCTCCAAGCCTGTTGCATCCCCGCGTCTTATTATTTCACCTCAGTTCGCTTTGGGTACTGTATTGGAATATGAAAAACAACGACGCACCTTTTGTGATGAAGTTGCTTCTATTTTAAAAACTGAATCTGCTGATGTTTCAGCAGAATCTTTGCAGGTTCTTTCTAATTGGATTGTCTCTGTCGACAATTTGGAGTCACCTGTCGATCCTGAGCTCGTTGTCGCAGAACTCAAAAAAGATTCGTCCGCTGGTATCAAGTCTTTGCTTGATCGTTCTCACTTTTTTACCAATTTTTCTCATTGGATCATCGGTTCTGATTCTTGGGCTTACGATTTGGGCAACTCGGCTTTGCATCAAGCTCTTTGCCTCGAATCTAACGTTAATTTACTCATTATCGACACCCAACCGTATTCCACCCGTGAAGTCGCTCGTGCTTCTTCACGCAAAAAGGATATCGGTCTTTACGCAATGAATTTTGGCAATGCTTATGTCGCTTCTACTGCTCTTTACAGTTCTTACACTCAAGTCATTTCTTCTTTGTTGGAAGCTGACAACTTTAAGGGTCCTTCCGTTGTTTTGGCTTATCTTCCTTACCATTCTCCCAATGATGATGCTATTACTGTTTTACAAGAAACCAAGAAAGCTGTTGACGTTGGTTACTGGCCCTTGTATCGTTGGACTCCTGCTCTTGAAGATGGTGAAAGCTCCGATTTTCAGTTGGATTCTGAACGCATTCGTAACGAGCTTCGCGCTTTCCTTGAAAGGGATAACTATTTGACACAGTTGACTTTACGTAAACCTGCTTTATCTCAAACTCTTACCCAATCCTTTGGTGCTGATGTCCGTCATAAGCAAAATGTCGATTCTCGTAATGCTCTTAACAAACTTATTGAAGGTCTATCGGGTCCTCCTTTGACAATTTTGTATGCGTCAGATGGTGGTACTGCTGAAAATGTCGCTAAACGCCTTCACAGTAGAGCAAGTGCTCGTGGCTCCAAATGCAAAATCATGGTTATGGATGATTATCCAATTGAAGAATTACCAAAAGAAACGAACGTTGTTTTACTGGTTAGTACTGCTGGTCAAGGTGATTTTCCTCAAAATGGTTTTGAATTCTGGGAAGCATTTAAGAATGCTGATTTGGTTTTGAATAATCTAAATTATGGTGTATTTGGTTTTGGTGATTACGAATATTGGCCTCGTAAGGAGGATAAACTTTATTACAATCGTCCCGGTAAACAATTGGATGCAAAGTTCCAAGAATTTGGAGCCAAGCCCCTTCTTCCATTAGGGTTGGGTAATGACCAAGATCCTGATGGTTGGGAGACTGCTTACAATGCTTGGGAACCTGAACTTTGGGCAGCAATGGGCTTAGACAAGGTTGATATTGATATTGATGAGCCCAAACCGATTACTAACGAAGATATTAAGACGGCTTCGAACTTTTTACGTGGTACTATCATGGAGGGTTTGGCTGACACTACTACTGGTGCACTTTCAGAGCACGATTGTCAATTGACCAAGTTCCATGGTATTTACATGCAGGATGACCGTGATATCCGTGAAGAACGCAAGAAACAAGGCCTTGAACCTGCTTACGGGTTTATGATTCGCGCTCGTTTACCAGCTGGTGTTTGCACTCCCGAGCAATGGTTAGCCATGGATGATATTTCCGCGAAATGGGGTAATAAGACTTTGAAAATGACTACTCGTCAAACCTTCCAATGGCACGGCGTTCTGAAAGGAAACCTGAGAAATGCTATTCGCTCAATTTCTAAAGTATTTTTAACTACTTTAGGTGCCTGTGGTGATGTTGCTCGTAACGTTACTTGTTCATCCGTTCCCGGAAATGAGGAAATTCATGCTCAACTTTTTGAAGCTTCTAAGGAACTTAGCAATTCTTTGCTCCCTACAACCTCATCTTATCATGAAATTTGGATTGAAGATCCGGAGACGGTTCAAAAGAAGAAGATCGCTGGTGAAGTCGCTCAAGATGTCGAGCCTTTATATGGACCTACTTATCTTCCAAGAAAATTTAAGGTTGGTATTGTTGCTCCTCCACATAACGATGTCGACATATATACAAATGATGTCGGTCTGGTCGCTATTACGGAAGGTACTAAAGTAGTTGGATACAATTTAGCTGTTGGTGGTGGTATGGGAACGACTCACAACAACAAGAAAACATATCCCCGTCTCGGTTCGGTTATTGGTTACATTCCTAATGATAAAGTTGTTGATGCTGTTAAAGCCGTACTCATAGTTCAACGTGATAATGGTGATCGTGAAAACCGTAAACACGCCCGTCTCAAGTATACTGTGGATACTCTGAGCGTTGAGACGTTTAAACAGAAAACTGAAGAAGTAGGTGGCTTTACCTTTGAGCCTGCTCGTGAACATGCTCCATTTGTCAAAAATACTGATGATTTTGATGGTTGGCACCAAACCGAAAAGGGCCACTACTGGCGTACCATTTTCATTGAGAATGGTCGTGTTGAAGACAGTGGAGATCTTCTTTTTAAGACAGGTTTGCGTGAGCTCGCTGAGAAGCTTTACAAGAATAACTCCAAGGCCGAATTCCGCTTAACAGCTAACCAACACCTTATGTTGTCTAATGTTTCTTCTGAAGAGTTAGGATGGGTTTCTGAGCTTTTGGCTAATTATAAGCTTGACAATACTGCCTTTACTGGCTTACGTCTTTCTTCAGCGGCATGTGTTGCTTTCCCCACTTGTGGACTTGCATTGGCTGAAAGTGAACGATACCTTCCCAAACTTATTACCAAGGTTGAAGACATCATAAATGAAGCTGGACTTCAGAAAGATAGCATTGTTATGCGTATGACTGGTTGTGGTAATGGTTGCTCTCGTCCTTGGGTAGCTGAGATTGCCTGTGTGGGTAAAGCACCAAACACCTACAATTTAATGTTAGGTGGTGGTCACTTTGGCCAAAGACTTAATAAGCTTTATCGCGCTTCAGTTCAAGAGCGTGAAATTTTGGATCTTTTACGTCCTCTTATCAAGCGTTATGCTTTAGAACGCGAGGATGGGGAACCTTTTGGTGATTGGGTTATCCGCGCCGGAGTTGTTACTGAAGTTAAAGATGGCGGTGCAAACGGCGCTGTTCATGAAGGTGTTTCTCCCGAAGCGTTTTAATATGTCATTTCATGACGGGTTTTCATGCGTTAGTAACATAAAAAAGGATCTAATATGTGAGTTTAATACTTGGTAAAAATTAAAATAACAATTAAATTACTTGTTTTGTGTATCAAATGCATTCGTTATCACTGAATACATTTATATAAAAAGCTATTTGGTCGGATTCTTCATACCGCTGAATATGAACATTAATACTTTTAAATTCATAACACTTTTGAAACCTTATTTCATTGATATACTAGAATGATAGTGAGTATTGAGTACTTGACAGTTCGCATGGCTTGTTTACAGGTCTACTTCCATTTCATTTTAGGGGTAGGCGTGGCCTAAGAATGTTCACTTTGCTTTGGAAGTGTTACAATGGTCCCTTCATTAAACTTATAATATTAGAAATGCTAATAGTACTTGAAAATTAGGGAATATTCATAAGCTTAAAAAATCATCGCATTATACAAAGTAAACAATCAAAAGAAAAATAATAGGAGCATATATAGTCCAAACGTAAACTGTTAAATTGCCTGTCGACCTTTACCTTACACATCTTTAGCTAGTTTATCCAAAGGACATTATAACAACCATTAGTAGATGAACGTTCATTATATTCACACTTCATTTATCTTCCTGTGACAATATATCAAGATAACATGAACTTTTCTATTACTGTTTTATTTATAGAAGATAACTAAGAAAATATGACAGCGTTGCTCAGAGTATATTAAAGAAATCATGGGCAGATTCAGACAGTGTGAATTTTGTCATCACTGCAACAGGTCATATTTTAAAGCCATCATTCCCTTAAAAAAATTTATATAACGCTACAATACAATTCTCTAAAAATTGTTAGTGATAATTTGAATACTAAAATGGAACCCAACAGTAATGCGAGAAATCAGTAAGACTCGAAATCAACAAAGCGGCCACGACTTCAATGTACAGTTGAAGCCTTAAATGTGACCAATTTAGTCCGCCCGTTATGTCTTGGAAACTCATCCTCTTAACGCATAACGTTGGAAGGATTAACTTACACATCACACTACATTTAGTAACGACAGCTATTTAAACTGATAAATTTCAATGAAGTCTATGAAGGGTTAGCGTTGCAAATAGAAAAAAAAAAAAAGCACTAATCAGACAAGGCTGAAACTTAAATATATACAACAAAATTCAACACGAGTTATTCTGCTATATTTGTCGTTTTGTCATCACTTTATATCTTTAATTGTGTTCATTATATACTTACCAATTATTAACTAAAGTTCGGTAAAAACAATAGTAACTAATACGTATGTGTGTAAAAAAAGGGAGCGCGTTTGTCCTTATTTATTGTTTACGTGACTGCTTTTTTTGGTTACGTAGTCCATTTACCGTTTCTTACGAAATTTAACTGACGAGGTTGTTACTGTACGTTGTTGAGAACGCGGTGTAGCAGCACTCACTATAATCTAAACAAACAAATGTCAAAAATGAGTAGCGAAAGAAAGTGGTTAGACAGCGTCTATATATAGGATTTACATAAATAGAGATCTAAATTTTAGGAAGTAATGTTAAAAAAAATCCTTTCTTAGTATAAATAACCAACTCATATATTACAGCATGTATATAGGTCCAGCACTGGTTTCAGCATCATAGATCCAAAGATTATCTATGGGATACTGACGCTTACTTATTGAATTCAAGGCGTCTTGGGCAACAACCCCTCCAATGATTGAAATCACTGGCATCCATTGAAAACTGGAGTTATCAGAAAAGTTGCTTATTATAGTTAATAACATAGCGATACAAAAAAGGAACTAGATCTTACCTTAAAAATCCTTCATTCACAATTGCATTTGAGTCTAATTGCTGTTCATGACACACCTTCTTGATGGATTCCGGGTCTGACTTGTTGTACTTCAAAATTGCTATCCAAATGTTAGCTTGCTTGAATGAACCATTCTCCTCTGTAGCTAATAAACTTACAAAGTATTGCCGGATAAGCGGCAGGTACTTTTTTTGCCAAACGTGGTTTTAGCTTCGAACCAAGAGGGATATCGAGAGCTTCTTGGATGGGTTTTTGAGTAGCTGACAATGCTTGCTCAACTTTTTTATTTTCAACCGTTTTCTCACTGATAAAGGTTAGTTTATATTCTCAGTTAAGCACACGTTGATAGGCCATTGACTTACATTACAAATTCATGATGAACCAAATCTGCGAAAGCGAATCCGTAAAGTCCGTAGCAGCTCGAAGCATAAAACGGACGCTGACAAGAGCGACATAGAGAATTTACTTTGCAGAACTCTTCGTACTGAAGTTGAGTTGCAATAACCATCTGAAAAGAAGAGACTGTGCTTTCAGATAGCTCCGCAACTGGTGTATCCAAAGAGGAAAGTTTTACCAGAGGGTTGAGTTCTTTTAATTTTTCTATAAGGCAAGATATCTTGGACTTTCCTATGTCGGACTGTTCAACAAAGAACTGGTCAAACACGTCTTGTTTTTCAACAGAACGAGTGTCCTGCAAGCATAACTCTCCAATGCCTGCCAAAACTAAATTCTTTGCAATTTCATTCGATAAAGGAGAAGCTGTAATTAACAAAACTCGTGATTGCCTTAGTCTAAATAACGTTGGTTAGGAGTTCTCATAGATCAGCAAAACACTTACGCATGTTGCGCATTGAAGCCCCAAAGTCTAATTTGTCTATCATATAAAGCAATTTCTTCAGAATTCATGCCCTTTTTTTCCATGTTCACCCGGTTCAGTTCATATGAGACGTTTGGTCTCAACAAGCTCTTGTCTTCCTTTGCAATAGCTTTCAAGTAGAGTCGTATGTGGCATCAAATGACCCAGAAATTGCTACGTTTTCTAACCAGCATATTTGATAATTTTCTAAAAAAAAATGAAGCATATTATTAAAAACATTTATAATTTCACGACTATATAAGATTTTGCAATTCCTCAACTGATGATAAAAGAATTGTTAGTTTAGCATTTATAGGAGGTAAGCATTTATAAATAATAAAGCATTATAAAACAATAAAAAGGAGCGTGTAAGGAAATGAAAAAACGATTGGACTTTTGAGAATTCTAAGAAAGAAATCATATTCACAAAGGTGTCGGATAATTACATATAATTGTCGGTGATGAAAAGTAGACGATTCATAGACGTCTTTAAGGACCAGTTTCTTCTTCCAACACTCTTACAGCACGCTGACACTCCTCTTCACGTTGCGCGGCAAAAGCCTCTTCTTCTTGTTTGGTCTTTTTGTTTTGTAGGTGGTAGTAGAAACATAAAGAAAGCAGAACTGCTTGTAAAGTTGCGCTGACAACATACATCATATATGTAGTCCAGTTTGTACCAGGAAGTCTCGACAAAAGGTAACCGATCAAGAAGCCACCAGGAGTTTGTACCACCATCATAGGAATACTTAAAGCGCCATGGGACCTATGGCGGACTGTTGAAATAAATTGAGGGATGTATTGGACGATTGCGCAGAAGGAAGCACTAAAGCCAAGGAATGCTGCCCAAGCTAAGTTATAAGTTAAAACGGTAGCAGATAACAAGCAAATGCAAAGACCCCAGGCAAAAATGGCTAGTAAGCCGTAAGAAGTTCTACGCCAAGTTTTGCTTTTCGTGATACTTAAAGGTTCAGGAATAGGCTCACCGTTTTCATCATCATCGGAGACGAAATGGATAGGGCGGGGAAGGTACATCCAAAAGGATAGCAAAACGACTCCCATTGCCATAACCTGAGAACCGACTTGCATCAAACCGGTAGAATTGGCAAAGCACTGGCGCTTGGAGTAGAATTCATGGCAGCATCTTGTTAATGGAATGACTTGTAAAGTGATGACGTTGGCAAGAGCATTCAATACACCTATGTAGCCTAAGCCAAGGTAGGAAAAGCTAAGACCCTTGGAAGTTCCAAGCTTTACAATTCGGTATACCTGAAGCAAATAGGAAAGGACGAGGCCAATAATGATAACTATGGCTGATACAAAACTTGTTACAGTAGCCAAAGGGCACTGTGGCTGCTCATCATCGAGAATGAAGCTCCAAGACATCGTACGCATATACGGCCCACGATTCGAATGTTAATACACCAGTTAGCGAGACAATTTTTTGTCTACTATCTCTAAGGTAAGGAATAGATAGACAATCCAGCTGGGAATCGAACAAATCTAACAGATCACGGTACGAGCTTCAAAAGGGCGGTACAGGAATCGAATAAATGCTGTTTATCACGTGTAAAAAAACTATTGTTAAATGAACTACTCTTTTTAAAAAACCAATTTGTACCTGAGTGTGAATTGAAAGCAGGCAACGTTTGGTGGACGGTAAATGGTGGTTGGAAGAATCTGTAAGTTTAAGTCCTAATTAAGCGACTTTGACGCGGGGCAATGAATGAAATGAAAAGGAAGAATATGAGAAGATAGGTATAAAGAAAAAAATGAAAGGAATCGTCTTATAAAAAAAAACAGCCGATTTCTTTTGCACGAAATTGTCTTTTGGTATAAGAATTCGTCATTAAAGTGTAAATAAACAAATGAAAAAAAATTGAACGAAGATATGTACAATTGTGAACTTTATTGACATATGATCATTTCTTTTTCATTTAATGAATTTTTATATGAAAGAGTCTACTCGTCAGTGACAACGAAAAAGTGTGAAGAAGAAACATTGCCAATTTTTTTGTTTCTCTGTCAAAAAAAAAAAATTCCTTTGTGTTAAATGAACACGCAAGCAAGTTTTAAACTATCTTTTCTTCTTACTTTATTTAGTAACTGTATTCTTCGTAAACCCGTACACCTACCATCAACGAAAAAAAACAAAATTCACTTTGTTTCTGAGTAGCGTTCAAGAACCAAATTAGACTAAATAGCATTCCGATCACAATAGTGAATGAATCCCATGAGACCATTTCATGGTTGGACGCTTTGTTTTCGAGTAATTTCTCATTTTTCCTCCATCCTTCCATTCACAGTCACCTCCCGCATTTTTTCTTATATAACAGTTATAACAATGCATCCTTCTAAGTTTCGGGCATATGATGCAGTGGTAGCATGCTCGCTTTGCATGCGAGTTGGCCTGGGTTCAATCCCCAGTGTGTCCATTTTCCTTTTTCAAAGGCCATTTGATCCATTGTTTTTATTATGGATTATTTCTTTTTGCTGGGAAAATAGAGGAACAGTATATAAAAATTAAGCAGGAACCTATCCATTCTTAGCTTCGTCTACTGGTTCTACAAATACAATATTAAATATACATATATTTTGAGTGCTTATTCTCATCACGTTTCAGTATTCCTTTTTCCATACACACACTTTGACTTTGTCAGTTCTCTATATCAAGGCGTTGGACGTTCTTCTACTATTTTTAGTTCTGTTTACCATACCCTTGATCCTAATTGTTTCACAGACAAGAAGCATCTCGTCAAATTTAAGCTTATCTTTAAGCTAGGTCAAATATTTAGCTTGTTTCCCCATTCCGCAACGGTATCGTTGCACCACCTTATTTCAAACTTGCTTTCAACCACAACAGGAAGTAAAGCTCGAGGCAGACGACTTCTTTCCTTCTCATTTAACGGTTATATTTTAGTTTCAGAGGATTGACTACGCGAACCTTGCTCTTTTGACTTAATAGATATTCTAAATGTCAGACAATTATTCGTTTTCGTTGCGTAAATACAAGCTTGTCTTTTTGGGAGAACAATCCGTCGGCAAAACTTCTTTAATAACCCGGTTTATGTATGACCAATTTGACAATACATATCAGGTATGGAATGAATGAAATAAATTGAAGTGATTATCTAATTTCATCACACTTAGGCTACAATTGGGATTGACTTTTTAAGTAAAACGATGTACTTGGAAGACCGCACTGTTCGTCTACAACTTTGGGATACCGCTGGCCAAGAAAGATTTCGGTCTTTGATTCCTTCATATATTCGAGATTCTTCTGTTGCTATCATTGTTTACGATATTACAAGTATGTGACCAAAGAAAGCAAAGCATCTCTGCAACCTTTTGGCAGACAAGCAAACATACTTGCTATGGTGTTTGTTGAAGGATTTAAAAAAAAAGAGGAGTGACATGTTTAATGATGAACGTTTGCTAATCTTCCTTACAGACCATAATTCCTTTGTGAATACTGAAAAATGGATTGAAGATGTTCGTGCTGAACGAGGTGACGATGTAATTATTGTGCTTGTCGGCAATAAAACAGATTTGTCAGATAAAAGGTATGTCATGTTGAAAAGAAGCATAGAACTCCCTTTTCTTATGGACCCTCTTTTTTTGCTAATACTTTGTAGGCAAGTTAGCCAAGAAGAAGGAGAAAAAAAAGCAAATGAACTAAAAATCATGCATATGGAGACTAGTGCCAAAGCTGGTTATAATGTGAAACAACTTTTCCGAAAAATTGCTCAAATGCTTCCTGGAATGGAGAATGTTGAGACACAAAGTACCCAATTAATTGATGTAAGTATTCAACCAAACGAAAACGAAAGCGGATGTAGTTGTTAAGTGAAATTTTTGACCTTTTTTTTATTTTCCCTCTCGCCTCTACGCCCAAATACGTCAAAAATGTTTCATGAATGTGTTTAATGGATTTTATTACATTTTTACATATCTCATTTTAAGGTTGGCTTTGACAATCTTTTCATTGCTTTCAACATTATTTTGTCAGCGCACAGATATTTAATGTACGATACGATGAGAAAACCCTGCCTTCTTTTCAATGACTTTGATGGTTTTTATTTAAATATTCACCAACCTAACCTTTGTCTACATCCCAATTTCTGGTCAAGTACCTTCGTTTTTTTGCTTTAGGTTTCCTTTCACCGATATTTTCAGGAAAACTCTGGCTTTTCATGATTGTCTGAACCCGATAGGAAATTCCTTCCACCCCAAAGCCTTTTTTATTTTTCTCTTTTTCCTAAAAAAAAAAAGGACCTTTCTCTTTTTTACTGATTTTATTTTCTATGTATTTTGTTTTTCTTTCCATTACATAGAAAAATGTTATGATTATGTACACTTTAATAGTTTCGCCTGTTTTTTATACTTATCTAATTATCTTCCATGAACAATGAAACAGACATTTGTATATAACATGAAACACAAATTAATTATAAAGTAACGCTAAACAAGGAAACCTTTTAAACAAATTTTTTCTTCTAAAATCCAAAATAGGTGCGTCAAGTCTTGCGACCTTTCACTTTTTTCACATGTATAGATATAGATTATGGGTAAATATTTTGTTCAAGCACCCAAAAGGAATTTCTCTGGCTGAAAATCTTCTAAACTCATTAAAAATTCACACTGATCATCAACAAGTTCTTTTAATTGATCACGAAAAAGATTGAGAATCGCAGTATCGGGAACCCAAATGACATGCATACCGGCGGCCTTTGCACTCTTTACGCCAGGAACGCTGTCTTCGAAAGCAATGCAATCGCTAGGAGACAATGCGGGGAGATTTCTCTTTCTACGGTTTTGATTAATTAAGTTTAGAGCTTGAAGCCAGATGTCAGGGTGGGGCTTTCCACGGTTAGGAGGAATGCGAGGGTCATCACCAGTAATAACATTGTCGCCGAATTTGTCAAAGGCATGACGAAGATGGTTGGTTTTCATTTGATAGTTTGCGGTATTGGAAGAGGTAGCTAACTAAAATAAAGAAATAGGTTAGTCATGGAAGGTTGAAAGGCTCGTTCGAAGAAAAAAAAAAAGAGTAACTTACTGCCATATCGATGTTCTTTGTGTTTAAAAACTGGAGAAGAGCTTCAGCTCCTGGTAACAAGGTCATGGAAGGCCAAAATTTGGCCTGTAAATGGGGATTAGTTTAAGAAGGTAGAAAAGAAAACAAGATGCGTACACGAATGACTTGCTGCTCGTCAACAAATTCTTGGTTTGTCATGGGGATCTTGGACCAGTTGATTACAACTTCAGCAGCTTTTTCCCCGGGACGACCTGGAACAGGGTAAGCAAAGAATAATAGGACTAACGACCATGACCAGCGAAAGCCATCGCTTGAAACTGCTTACCCATCATTTGAGCCTTAATGGAGAGAGGCAGCGGACCCTTGCCATAACGTTCCAGTAAATGATCTGCAGGAGATGTTAGTTTGAATACCATATTGACAAAATCCATACTAGTAGTTTTGGTTAAGATGGTTTCACTATCGACAAGAAGGCCCTATGGGTAGTAACGGTTAACTCCTGAAAAAACAAATTACCATCAAGCGATATTTAAGGGAAAAAAAACGACATACATCCATATCAAACAAGCAAGCTTTATACATGCGGTTTTGAGCAGACATGTTATGATAATACTCAAATAGTTGCGAATGGAGAAAATACAATGCGAGTGTAAGGAAATCGAGTAGTAAGAACAAAAAGAAAAAGTAAACAGAGGGCCTTTATTTTGAAATGGACTTAAACTACGAAGATCAACACGAACGAAACGCGGTCCAATTTCAAAGTTCCAATAAAGAGAGTATGACAACGAATTAAGTGTGGTTAATTTTTGGAAAAGAAGAAAAAAAAAAAGCTTCAAATGTTAGGTAAACACCTATATTAGCAGCAATTTTTTGACCCACTGGGAGAATGAATTGACTTTCAGAATGTTTAGCGACATTTAGCTTACTCTAAGGGACCGCCTGTTATTCCAGATAGTGAGCAGGAACAAAGTACGATAAAATTAGTTGCATAAATTGGAACCTGTCATTGTCATGAGAGGTGTTTTGTTAATATTATATATATTACAGTACATTATGATATAAGGATATTGCCGAGTTATAGCAAATCCATCAGAGTAAAGGATGAGATATTCATGAACGATTTAAACGTAATAGACACCTTTCGGAACGGAGACTTTTCAGACAAAGAAACTATCAGCCACAAAGAGCTACATAGCGTTGACCATATCTGCAAAGGTATATAAACCTTTTCAGCTTACACACTTGAACTCAGCAAATTGGAAGATTCGACTGGACATTAATAGCTTCTATACACAAAGTACAACCTAATTCCATTCATTAATAAAACGATACAATTGCTTATTCGGTTGATATTACATTATTATATGGTGTGAGATTTCTACCGTGGCATTGAGCTATAAAAATTGTACTATAAATCTCGCCAACTAAGCGGATTGCAACATTCCTACTAAAGTGAAGCTAGAGCATCAATTGAATTCTTACTTAATAGGAAAATTAACCGTCGCTTACTCCATTCGCAGTTTCTTCAAAATTCTTGGTTTTATTCCTGGGATAAATATCTTCCTGACGGAGTGGGATAGCTGATTTGAAATAGAAACAGGACTTGAGTTTATTCGAATATAGACTTCGACCACAGATTGCTAGCTACGTTCACCAAAATTAAACACAGATGAGTGAGATGTCTAGAAAGAAGGTTAGTCGAATGATGCAGATGGATAAGAAAAATGAAGAACAACAACAGAAAACAAGGAATCTATTAAAACCATTTTCCAAACTATTCGAGGAACCTCCGAAAGTACCTAAACACTCAGAAAATGACTTAGAGATTAAATTGACAAGGGAATTACCAAAGTACAACCCAAAATTATTACATTATAATAAAAGGGAACTATCATGCATGAAAGAAGAGATGCAAGAATTATTAAATCAAGGAAAAATCCGTGAAAGTTCCTCCAAGTTTATGTGCACTCCTCTAATTATTCCAAAAAAGGGAACAGATGAGTACAGAATGGTAATCAATTATAAGCCTTTGAATGTAATAACAAAGCGAGATAATTATCCATTGAATAATTTAGAACAATTTATTAGACATTTAGGCGGAGCTAGAGTCTTTACAACGTTACTTATAAAGGATGCCTATCAACTGCTCAGAATAAAGAAAGGTGACGAGCACAAGACTGCTTTTAAAACCCCATTTGGAGTTTACGAATATATGGTCATACCGTTGGGATTAACCAATGCTCCGGCACATTTTCAGAGATGTATCAACAAAGCGTTATTGCCGTTTCTTGGCGTTTTTATTATCGTTTATTTGGACACCATCTTAATTTATTCTTCTTCAAAGAAAGAACACCAGAAACATGTGCGAGAAATATTAAGAAGATTAAGGGAAGCTGACTTATATCTGGATCAAGAGAAATGTTGTTTTTTTCAGAACAAGGTTAAATTCTTAGGCCATCTAATTTCAGAAAAAGGAATGGAAGTCGATCCCGAAAGAATTCAGGCCATTATAGACTGGCCGGTACCTGACACTTTTAAAAAGCTAAGATCATTCTTAGGTTTTGTTAATTATTCTAGGCAATTTGTGCCGAACTTATCAAAATTATCTAGACCTTTGTATGACTTATTAAAAAAGGATGCTAAATATGAATGGACAGATCGGCAACAACAAGCTTTTATGCAGATCAAGCAAGCATTTGAAAATTCTTCTATTCTCAGACATCACGACCGAACTAAAGAAACTAGATTAGAAACAGATGTTTTTGACCATGCTATAGGAGCTGTCGTGTCTCAAAAACAAGACGATGGAATATATCATCCGGTTGTATTCCATTCAGCATCACTTACAGGACAACAACGAACTTGGCCAACTTGGGAAAAGGAAGCCTATGCAATTATAACAGCTCTTAGAAAATGGCCCCACTTGCTTTCAGACCTAGATAAACCTTTTCATATTTTGACTAACCATGAGGACTTAATATCTAGAATCCGCACAGATGCTCGTTTAAAAATGAACAGGTGGACTTCAGAGCTGGATTGTTATATTTTTGACTCCTATTGTCGACCTAAACGAGACAACCGACACCATTTCTCGAAATCATCTAGCAACAGAAGTTGATCATGTAGAGAGCATCGTGGATTATTTGAGAATTGAAAATCGACAACACAGGAATTTCGAGATACTATAGATGGAGCAAGTACTAATTCCCAATACTCAGTAGGAGACGGGCTTCTCATAAACAACAATCGAGGACAGATTCTCATCTCAAAAATTCAGCAGTTAGTGCAGATGTATCATGACCGACCCCTTCAGGAAGACATTTTGGCACAAAGCTCACTGAATTGAATAAATGAAAAGTTTTATTGGAATGGCATGACGGTCGACATTCAAAGTTATGAAAAAAATTGCGATATTTGCCAACGACATAATACAGGAAAAGATCTATGGTCTGAGATTTTTGAAATATCATCAGTACCAGATAAACCTTGGAAGAATTTCTTTATGAGTTTCATCATAGGATTACCATATTTTCAAGGCAAGGAGGTTATTTTGACCGTCGTGGAATGTTCTACTAAGATGGCCTTGTTTATTGCTTGCAACGCATCAGCCTTGAAGTGAAATAATTAATTAATATATTCAAAAAAAAGGCTGTTTACATATATTCAGATAGAGAACGTGTCTTTGTTTCCGACCAAATGGAAAGAATACGTAAGATCATCACATAAACCTCAGTCCGCCGACGATTGGAGACAATATGAATGCGATCATTCGTTGCACCTTACTCTAACAGTAGTTGAAAAAAAAAACATATTTTGGAAAATTATCTTCGTTGTTACGCCCAAAAGAATTAGAATAATTGGGTAAATTATCTTCCTAAAGCCCAAATGGTTGTAATTCAACAGAGCATCCTGTTACACGAATCGCTCCTTATGCTGCTTTCTTTCGCTCTCCAGCCATAACAAATGATCGGGATGCGTGAATATTTGCTGAAACAGGGACATCCTGTGTATTGAATTTCGGTAATATCACTAGTGCTATGCAAGAAAAACCCAGAGAAGTGAATAAAAAAATATATGGGGAGTTATGATCAAGACAAACTTTGGAGTTTTTGAAGCAGACAACTGGGTACCAGGATGAAGTGGTTAAGTGGGGTATTTTTCATCAAAAGAAAAAATAGAGCCCACATTTGCCAGTCTTTGTATCTCCTAGCTAGTTTACCAGGCTTGGACATTACTATACATACCTTAATCTTATCGTAAGTAAGTAATTCCAAAGTATATCTGGCTTAGTATTGAATTCAAAAAAGTGGATTTATTCTACTTAAGTTATAATCATACTTTGGGAGTGATATTCCCATGGTAGATATGTGGTAACATAAACGAAGGGAAAAATGGAAGGCAGCAATGAATAGAGAGCAGTAGCAAGGAAAAGTCAATTTGGAACGATAACGAAACAAAGATATTCTCAGAAAGGTACTTCTATAAGAAACTGTATTGCTTGGGTAGTTATTCATATTACTTGTGTTTACTTACATCATGATACGCGATGATTCAACCTCAAATAGGCAACCGAACATTTTGTTTGATGTAGAAGAAAATCGCTTCAAATTCGGAAATTTTTAAATTGGCCATTTTTCTACTCGAGTTAACGATGTTATAAAAAAAGCGACTCATAGTAGCATCGGTTACTTTACAGGTCGCAAATGTAGTAAACAATGCAAAAGAATTACATCTATAAGTCACCACCAGTCATAATTCTTTGCCTGTTTTTTCTTTGATTTAATTCTTCGATTTATTATTTCTTCGTTACGCCTTAACTAGGTAGCACTGCAAAATGTTTGCTGTAAGTGTTTGTACTCCTCAACAGAATTTCGAGAAAAACCGACTTTGATATGAGATTATCGTAAGAAGTACACTGTAGTAGATCCACGAAAACTATGAATAAAACTGGAAATCCAAAAGTGAAATCATCGTTTGAATGATCATTGTCGCATAACATCATTACCTTCAACATCATTCTCAACATCATCATCATCATCATCATCATGAATATTTCGATGAAAAAGAAAGATATAAATAGTCGCCCATTTGCTCATAAATCGGCAGTATTTTTAATTTTTTTTTGAAAACTTTCATCCCACATTAGAAACCAAAATGAGTCCTCCTGCTAAGAACATTAACGAGAGAACTGTCGTTGATCTTTTGAGCTTAAAAGGAAAAAAGGCCCTTCTTTACGGATGTTCTAAGGGTATCGGCTTGGACGTTGCTGAAGCTTATGCCGAAGCTGGGGCTAGTGTAGTTATTACCTACAATAGAACTAATGCCGAAGACCAAGCCAAGAAGATTGCTCAAAGACATGGTGTTGAGGCAGTTGCACTTAAATGCAACGTTAGCGATTCCAACGATATTAAGAGTGTCTTTGACCAGGCTCTGAAAAAGTTTGGTCATATTGACATCGTCGTCGCAAATGCCGGTGTTTGTACCAACAAATCAGCCGCTGAGATGACTCCTGATGAGTTTGCTAAGGAAATTAACATCAATCTTAACGGTATCTTCAACATTGGACACGTAACTGGTCCTGTCTTTGAGAAGCAAGGTTTTGGTAGCTTTATTGCTACTGCTTCTATGTCAGGTACCATTGCCAACGTCCCTCAGAAGCAATGCGCTTACAACGCTTCCAAGGCTGGTGTGATTCATCTTTGTAAGAGTTTGGCTGTAGAGTGGGCTCCTTTCGCCCGTGTTAACTGTGTTTCTCCTGGCTATATTTCAACTGACATGACCGGTGGAATGCACGATGAATGGGTTCCCTACGTTCCCTTCCGCCGTATCGGTTACCCTAAAGAATTGACCGGTGCCTATGTATTTTTGGCTAGTGATGCTGCCAGTTATGTGTCTGGCTTGGACCTTATCGTCGACGGTGGTTACACTGCCATTTAAAACACGAGACCAAGAAAAGAACGTTTATAGGTTATTACCTACCAACCCATCTTTCCATCTTTGTTCCGTTAACATTTTGATTCCTTTGTTCAACATGCAGGCGATTATTTATTATTGATGATGAATATGACGATAATAACTATCAAAACCTGAAGATTATTCAGAAAAAGTGCACTTCTTATGGATAGCATCTCTTAATTGATAATCTTAATTATTATTATTTTATATGCCGTTTAAGTTGAAAAACAGTAAATACTCAATTTCTTATTTATTTTACAACATTTAGAAAATATCTACTATATCCTTTCTAATTTAGCATCAATTACTTAAGAGGAAACAGATTTTATACCAAAAACATACATAGAAAATTTGAACAAACAGTCTCATACTAGCCATACATTGCGAAATCATACGTTTCAAGGTTTTTAGGCCATCTGCCATTCTGGCTCCACAGGTACCTTGCCCAATCCCATAGGGACAATACCACTAATGTGGCATTCTGGTCCATACACTTTCAAGTTAAGGTTGTGCTTTTGGCCGGCCTCACGAATTACACGGAGACCTTCCTGATAATTGGGGCCAGCACGACGAACCCATATAGAGACTTTATGTTCATGCAACTTGTCTTTGAATTCGCCTAAAGCTCGAGAAATTGCACGGAATGTTACAGCAGGCGAAGTGAAGTTAGCAATACCACCACCAATGAAAAGGACTTTGCCCTCGGGATGAGGTTTGCCACGAGTCATCAAGTCCAAGACTGTCTTGGCATACTCATATGTTTGTCCATCCGTAGGAGCTCCACTGTATTCACCGTAGTTAGCTAATTCATCTGCAGCACCGTTCACAGCAACTGCATCAGCATATACCACTGAGGCACCACCTCCAGCAACAAGGTTCCAAACACGACCATTGGGGTTCATTATGGTCAACTTGAGGGAAGCACCTGTCTTGGCATCAAGCTCTTGAACATGAGCTTCTTCTTTGCTCAAGTCACGACCAAATGGAGCAGGAAAAGCCATGGGAGGACCATAATCAGCTGTAATCGGTTCAGAATCTTCCTTTTCAGTTTTGATGCCTAATGCTTCAGCTGTGCGAGCAACTGCCCACTTAGCACCGCATTCAAACTCGGCAGTTTGGTCAAGCTTGGCAGCAAGATCTAAATAGTAAACATCGGTACCGGAACCAGTAGGAATAACAACCAAAGGATTGATCTCCAAGTATGTAAATTGACAGTCAACATAAACTGAGTATAGACGGATAATGAAATCAACAAGGGAAGCATGTTGTTCCTGGGGAACATTTGAAAGAAGAGAAGTAGCAATTTCACTACGAGAAGGAAAATTCTCGAGAAGTACAGGAATCAAAAGCTTTTTAGCCTTTGCATCCACATCACCAACATCGACACCACCTTCATTGCAAAACAATATCCAATCTCCTTCACGCACAGAATTAATGTTTATGTAATATTCTGTTTCAGGTGGATGAGGGACGAAAGGTTCTACCAAAAAGGTACTTAAGAGTCCAACAGCATGTTGGACTTGTTGGGGTTGGCCAGCACGTTCACGAATCCATTCTTTGGCCTCATCCCAAGTAGCATTCAATTTCAAAAGTCCAGTTTTACCACGACGTTTAATTAATTGGTCTGGCTTTGCAACAAGTTTCGTTTCAAGGACCCAGGGATGTTGACGAGTCACTTCGGCAAAGACATTATCAACAACTTGCTTATAGGTAGACGAATTCGCAGGAATTTCATCATTAGGAACTGGAAATTGAATATGAGCAAGGCGAGTATCGGGATTAGTAGAAGGAGTCTTGTATTCTTCCTTCGAAATGCTAGGAGACTTGTTCAACCAATAAGCCAAAACGGCCTTACCATCAAACTAAAATTCGTTAGTAAATAAATACAATTCGTCCAAATGCGATGTCTCTGCTGCTCTTTTACCTCTCTAATGGATTTTGCCGACATTATGGAACTGGTCAGCAGTAAGAAGCATTAAGAGTATTTAAGACGGAAATACGAGGTGTTTCGTTGATTTCCCCAATATTACTTTATACTACGTGTAGGATAACGTAAAAAGAAGAATTTCTTTCTTTCTTCATCCAAATAAACAGAAAAAAAAAAGATGAAAATTACGAGTTCTTCTTTGGACAAATTGTTTGTACAAGGATGTTTTCGGTTCCCTTTGAATTATCAAATCCTAACCAAAAACCAATTGATCTATCACATTAAAAAAAATGTATGAAAGATATAGACTAGAGAAGTTATGACCGCTCGTTTGCTCGTTTGTTTGTTTGTTTGTTTGTTTGTTTAGTATATATGACAAATTTGATGGTCGAAATGAAATGACACATTCATAATAGTGGAATTGAAAAAGGCGCTCACCTCAACTATCGTAGAAGATAGAACTATGCTTATTTGATTTTCGTCTCTACCTTGTACATTTTATGAGTTGTTGATTTTTATCTGATTCACCCGCACAAACCAACATGGAAACATCACAAGGATTGAAATGTTTGAACTAGAACAAATAAAAATATCATGAAAGAATATCAAATGTACTAAAAAAGTATTCTACAGCATGAAAGAGGGTATCGTTCTTAAAAAATTACTCCAATGCATTTCTATGTGAATATTATTGCATTCGTGACACTGTATGCTGTAAACCAATTATGATACATATGGCTTCCCTTTGGAAAGTAAATCATGAACAGGAGCCTCTTCCGTGATTATGACTTACTTCTTTTTTGCTGCAGAGCATTGTTTTGTTTACCTCTTTTCAATAAAGTTTAAGAAGCGAAATCAATTCGTTGCACTGCTTTATGTTTATTTCTCTATAGAAAGAAATTGTTCTGGAAGATACTAGTAAACGACAATGTGACTGCTCTCATATGTTACTTAGCGGTGTTTTAACTAGTCTATAAACACTTACCACAAACCAACACGCATTTCTCCAGATAGATTATATATACCATTAAGCTTAAAGGTTGCGCAGTAATTAACTCACTAATTAACTGTTCACTTTTTTAAAAAAATCAAGTCTTATTATTGGTCTTGTTAGAGAAATAAAGAATTTCTTCAATTTATAGGCTGAATCATTCTTTCAAAATGAGGAAGTTTCAGCTCTTCAGCATTTTCAGCTATTTCATAGCTCTGTTTGTTTTTTTGCCTTTGGTTTTTGCCAATTCTGAGAAAAATGAAACCGAAAACTATGGAACTGTCATCGGTATTGATCTTGGTACTACTTACTCCTGTGTGGCTGTTATGAAGAATGGTCGTGTCGAAATTATTGCCAATGATCAAGGTAGCCGTATTACTCCTTCTTATGTTGGTTTTACTGATGAAGAACGTTTGGTTGGTGAGGCCGCTAAGAACCAGGCTCCTGCCAATCCCGAAAACACGATTTTCGACATTAAGCGCCTTATTGGTCGTAAGTTTGACGAGAAGACTATGACTAGAGATGTCAAATCTCTTCCTTTCCACATTATCAATAAGAATAACCGTCCTCTCGTTGAAGTTACCTACGGTGGTAAGAAGAAGGATTTCACTCCTGAAGAAATTTCTGCCATGATTCTTGGTAAGATGAAGCAAACCGCTGAAACTTACCTTGGTCAACCCGTCACCCACGCTGTTGTAACCGTTCCCGCCTACTTCAATGACGCTCAACGTCAAGCCACTAAGGATGCCGGTACTATTGCTGGTCTTAATGTTATCCGTATTGTCAACGAACCTACTGCCGCAGCTATTGCCTACGGTTTGGACAGAACTGATGGTGAAAAACATATTATTGTTTATGACTTAGGTGGTGGTACCTTTGATGTTTCTCTTTTGTCCATTGACAACGGTGTATTTGAAGTTTTGGCCACTTCTGGTGACACTCACCTTGGTGGTGAAGACTTTGACAACAAGGTCATCAACTACTTGGCTCGCTTGTATAACCGTAAGAACAATGTTGACGTTACTAAGGACGCCAAGTCCATGGGTAAACTTAAGCGCGAGGTCGAGAAGGCTAAGCGTACTTTGTCTTCTCAAAAGTCGGCTCGTATTGAAATCGATTCCTTTTACGATGGTAAAGACTTCTCTGAAACTTTGTCTCGTGCCAAGTTTGAAGAATTGAACATGGACCTCTTCAAGAGAACCTTGAAGCCCGTTGAACAAGTTTTGAAGGATTCTGGACTCAAGAAATCTGAAGTTGATGACATTGTACTCGTCGGCGGTTCTACTCGTATTCCTAAGGTTCAAGAACTTTTGGAGAACTTCTTCACTAAGAAGGCTTCTAAGGGCATTAACCCCGATGAGGCTGTGGCTTACGGTGCCGCTGTTCAAGCTGGTGTTTTGTCTGGCGAAGAGGGAAGTGATAACATTGTACTTTTGGATGTTATCCCCTTAACTTTGGGTATCGAAACTACCGGCGGTGTTATGACTCAACTTATCCGTCGTAACTCTCCCATTCCCACTCGTAAGTCTCAAATTTTCTCTACCGCAAGTGACAACCAGAATACCGTTTTGATTCAAGTATTTGAAGGTGAACGTACGATGACCAAGGACAACAACCTACTTGGTAAATTTGACTTGCGTGGTATCCCTCCCGCTCCACGTGGCGTTCCCCAAATTGAAGTTACCTTTGAAGTTGATGCTAACGGTGTTTTGACCGTTTCTGCCGTCGACAAGTCTGGTAAGGGCAAGGCTGAGAAACTTGTTATCAAGAATGATAAGGGTCGTTTGTCCGAGGAAGACATCGAGCGTATGGTTAAAGAAGCCGAGCAATATTCCGAAGAGGACAAGATGTTGAAGGAGCGTATTGAAGCTCGTAATGGTCTTGAAAACTACGTTTACGGCTTGAAGACCCAGTTCACTGATAAAGAACAGTTGGGTGGCAAGGTTAACGATGAGGACAAGCAAGCTGTTTTGGACGCCGTTGAGGATGTTATTGAATGGCTTGAGGTTGAAGGTGCTGATGCATCTAAGGACGAAATTGATGATCAACGCCAAAAGGTTGACACCGTCGTTCATCCTATCACTCAAAAGCTTTACTCTGAAGGAGCTGGCGCTGGCGAGGAAGATGAGGACTTTGATGATGCTGATGAACTTTAAAATATTTGATGTGGATTCATCGTTCAAAAATTTTCATGCACTAATATGACACTAAATCTTAAAGAATATTAAGGTTTCGAATAATTTTATTAATGTTTCTCTAGAAATGATTTATGATTAAATCAGTTATTTTTTAATGAGTTTAACTACAGCATTCATTCTCTTATTTTTTTTGAAAGCTGGATAACTGAATTAGCTGTCCGTCCGTAATTAATATCAGTGCATGTTATTCCTTTTCTGAACGATCACCCTTGGAAAGCCGTTAGCTTGGTTGATGTACTTTTTGCCAAGTTAACTGGTGCTGAAGTTATCTTTGCGAATAGTACGTATAATTTAGCTAACGTCTTTTGAGTTGTGAATCGTCTAGAACCCAGTCTAAGTCGGAAATCGTGTATAACAATTCATTCCTTTGTTATTAGCATGAAGAGTATTTAGTCTCTAATTAAAATAATACATTCTTTTATCTTTTATAAATATGTGAGCCTGTATTTTCATTATATATTCATGAAAGCAGTATTTTGTGAAAAGCAGGTAGGTACCTTAGAAAGTAGGAAATATGAGTTTAATTGGGTTCATTTATGTTGAAAACGATTGTTCTTTTTAATTCTACATTTAAGCAACTTGTATCGACCCTACAGCCGCCCCCTGACAGCAATTGCATTGAATGCTACTTTATGCAGAGAACGCACGAAAACTGAACCACATTACTAAACAAAGAGAGGATGGATCTTTACGATTATATGAGTCCTAATGTTATAACAGAAGACCAAAATGAGGAAGGATATGTGAAATTAAAAGAAGAAATGGGCTCTGCATTGGACGTATGTCTTCATATTGCAAAACGTCAACGTTTCGAACTGACAATGAACAGTCCTTAACTGGAGGAAAATTCGGTCCCTTTTGGAGTAAATTTAAAGAAAAGGTATGCGAGATAATTGAGGGGAACTGGCTAACTTAACATATGAAGAGCGAAGGTTTAATAGATAATACAAGAGAGCGCGCGAATACAGGAGTGAGTAATCTGAAAGCACAATTTGGAGATGGAAATTCTTCAAATGCTACCCTGGAGAATATTCGCAAAGTGGAACAGTCAGCGGGTCATTACTGGAGTAGCCTTGGAACAACAGTCAATGGATTTTTGGACAAAGCGTTGTACATTACGCCAAAGGAGGAAGAAGAATCAAGACTAACCAGATCCAAGTCTTCTCGTGCAAATTTATAGTAAGTTAATTAATCTCGGCGTTTGCTGGTCTGTGGCTCAAAAACCATCTTTCATAATGGGGATGGAAATCTCAATTATTACATTAATTTATTCAAATACAGTAGTGCTAACCTTTCTTAGCCTAAGCCGCCAGGAAAAACAAATCCTGCAACTTATTGAAAACACAGACCTTTTTCGAAAGCCTGTGTCTGATGAAGCCTACGAAGACTGGGAAAAAGGTGTTTCCATTGACGATAAGACAGATGAGATTTCAGATCTTCTTCAAACGTATTCAAGTTTGCGTAATCAGATGGAAACATTAGTGCCGTCTCAAGTTTCTTACGATGCATTTTGGAAACGGTTTTTTTGGTACAAAGAAGAAATCCGACCAACGAAATCTATGAGTTCTATTCATAATGAAGAAGAAGAAATCTTTAGTTGGGATGATGAAAAAAGTGATGGTGAAGAAGACAAAAATACTAAGCATACAAGCGAAAGACATGGGGATGTTTCAGAAGATACCAAAAACGAGCTTGTTTCCGAGGGAAAGGCAAAGAAGAGCACTGAGTTGGACCCTTCTTCTGAGCATCCTAGTGAAAAAGAAGACCAAGAGACTCCGAACACGGACAAAAAGAACACGAAGCCTAATAAGAATAATCCTGAAGATGATGATGACGACGATTGGGAGTAGATTCGTTGTTTACTAGAAGTGATATAATTACTTTTTTCTTTTTTTTCGTTGTTACTAAACTCTTATCTTCCAACGTTCTGGACTATCTATATCTATTAATGAATGCCTTTGATGAAGTTTGTCAAAGGAATTATCCACTTTGGAGCAAGACCATTAGTTTCTACTTGTCCATCTGATGAATATATGTATAAAGGAAATAGTACGAATATTAAAAAATGAAAACCTAGCTTCCTACGAATAAATTATTGAGTTGACAGCCCACGATTCGTCCAGCACCTTTGTAAATATTTCATGAAATAATTGGTCATTAGGGGATAGTAGAAAAAAAGAAATTACCGAAAAAAATGCAATTTGGTTTCCTGTAGGAATCTTTACTTCGCGTTTGCCGCTTCGTATCGTTGACGATTTACATCGCATAGGCGAAGGTCGACAACACGACCACAAGCCGCTCCATCCTCTTCTCCAACTAGGGCATACTGATCTACTAAACATTCTAAGCTATTAAGCGGTCTTGTCAGCACCTCGGTGTTGTAAGCACTCAAAGCAACATGGATATATATGACCAGCACCAATATCCAACTTGGAATGGCGAGTGCCCACCAGCGGGAAAGATAGGAATGGATTTCCAGGTAATTTAACACAGAAGATGGAAGGATCGACCAAAAGACGAAGAGGCCAAAAGCAACCATTGACACCAAGTACAAAACAAACCCATAGTACTCATAAGTAGGGACCTTAACCATAATGTCCCAATCTTGCTGATCCATTTCAGAGACGTCAATTTCGTCTCCTTCAGGTGTCGTAGACCGTGCACGTAGCATTGTAGTCAATGAAGGAGACGGCGGAATCAGCATGGGATGTCCATAGAATGGTGGATCGAACACTGTATTTGAGCGACTGTCATTAAAATCATCATCCACAGTCATGTGAAGTCCTTCTGATGGCGAAGAGTACTGATTCCCCGCCATTCAGACATATGTTTATAATGGTTCATGTCAATAGGAGATGTGCCATAGTATCCAAATAACGTAGTCAAAGATAGCGTGCTAGTAAGACTTTACGAAATAAAAACAGTGCGATGGGATGCATTAGAACCTTTTAGGAAGATGTTGCTTAGCTTTCAGTATAATGATTACGTTTGGAAATGATAGTGCTGCGTACAACGGTATGTTGAGTCCAAGGTAAACACTGCAGGAAAGAATCTGGAAATTGCAACATGTCAGAAGTGGAAGAGTCGGGTCCTGTATACTACTTTCCAGGAGACAATGTAAAGCTGTCTACAGTCGCAGAGCAAGGAACTGTCCGACTAGGCCCTGGCTTAGTTCATCAAAAACACGACCAGGAAGATGAAATTAAGGTATCTCGCGCTGGCTTTCTGCATCAGGGAGCCAAAAATACTGTTTTAGTGGACACTAGAATGAAAAGAGTAAGTAAAAAAAAATTTTATACCAGACGAGGCGAACATTATGGCTGTGAACGTTCATGAAAGACAAGGCAAGACAAAGCAAAGCGGGCGCCAAATGTACTTATTTTACTTTAAATTTTTTGATTTCCATGCTAACTCAATGTTAGTATGTTCCTGCTATGAATGATCAGGTCATTGGCCAAGTTACTTCCCGATTTGCTGAGGGTTACCGGGTGGATATTGGATCAGCACACAGTGCTCAATTGAACGCATTGGCTTTTGAGAACGTTACTAGGAAAAGCAAGCCAAACCTAGCAGTCGGAAGCCTAGTTTATGCTCGCGTATCTTTGGCTGACCGCGATATGGAACCAGAGCTGGAATGCGTAGATGCAACAACTGGAAAAGCTGGTGGCTTTGGAGAATTGAAGGATGGCTATATGATCACTGGGTTATCTTTATCTCATTGTAGAAACCTCTTAACCCCTAAAAACGCACTTTTGCAAACTCTCGGTACCTATGTTCCTTTTGAAATTGCTGTTGGAATGAATGGACGTGTGTGGGTTCACTCTGAAACAATCCCGACTACTATTTTGATTACCAATTGCATTAAAAAGTCTGAATTTTTGGACGATGATGAACGGGTTCAGTTAGTAAAGTCTATGGTAAAAAATCTTTAACCTCTCACTAGATTCCGAAAAGAGCGTTCATTGTACAGTAACATAAATGGTGATGAATACAATTGTTTCAATTCTCATGTTTTCCAAATGTCCTACTTACCTACATTAAAGAATAATTTTTTGTTTTAAATTCGCTCAAAAGACAATAGACTGTAGAAACCAATTCTATCTATAAGTATTTCATTGAAAGTATTATATCTTATCTACATAAAACTAGAATTTGTCTAAACTATATATATGAACATCTAAATAATAATAAAATAATATAACAAATAACGGCTACAAATATTGCTTGCTTATTTGGCGAAGCCTTCTACGATTGCGGCAACACCAAGAGCACCAGCATCGGGAACCTTCACATCACCGCCAACATAAACAGCACGACCAAGCTTGGCCTGTAAATTTGCGGTATTGTCAGCGCCCTCACGAGCAGTCTTAGCAGCAGTCTTGACATTGTCGGTTTCAACAAAATTTTCAACAAATGGAACAAGAGCATCGCACATGGTACGGTCACCAGGACGAGCAGGAGTATACTTGAATAGTGTGTCCATAGCAGCCTTCAGAGCTCTGGACCACATCTTCGTGGAAACATCCTTCTTTTCCTGTAGGTGGTCCTTCACTCCCTTGGCAAAGCCATGGAAAAATATGGCATACAAGGCGCCAGAGGTACCATCCATATTGTCTTCAATGACGTCTGCGATATCACGAACGAGACGAATTGGGTCGTCACAAAATTTGTCAGATTTGACAAATTTGGCGACACCTTCGGCGCCCCGCTTCAATGTGGTGCCGCAATCGCCATCGCCTGCAATTGTATCGAATCTGGTGATCTGGGGTTCAGCATCAATCAAATTCTGCATGGCTGTAAGGATAATCTTGCGAACTGCTTCCTTGTCGATTTTCACAGGAGATTGAATATCACTATGAGCTTCCTCTATGCTGATGTTGCCAATCTTGTTCTTAGATTCAAGGCTAGCAGGTTGACAGAAAGGCCAGCCAGGAGCCTCGACGGGTTGATCGAGCAGATCTAAGAAGGAAAATTCTTGGCCACCAATGTTTACGCGATCAGTCGTACGGAACAAGGTGATACCAAAACCAAGACCGTTCAAACTAGTGGTAAAAATCCCAGCATAAACACGGACTGGATGAATAGAATATTGCTTGGCAAGAGCCTCCTGCACTTTACTAGAAATAGCACTGAATTCAAGTAAGGACAAGCCACCAAGGTTATTCATAAGTAAAACCACCTCGTCTTTACCGTCAATTTTGACGTAAGCACGATCCTTATCAGATTGGTCCAAAAGTTGTTTTAACATTTCAGAAACAAGATCATCAATACAGGGTATAGGAGACATACGACGGCAACCAGGTTCATTGTGGATACCCATACCAAGTTCCATTTCATTGTGGGCCATGCTTTCATCTTCAGAACGAGGACTTTGTCCAGGAACATGGACATGGGCCAATGAAGCACCAATACTGACCATATTATCGTTAGCAGTACGAGCAAGCTTAACAAGAGTTTCTAAAGGAACACCGCGGGAGGCAGCGGCACCAGCCAACTTGTGAACAAGAACAGTACCAGAGAGTCCACGACGACCGACCTTACCACTCTTGGCACGGCCTACAGAGACATCATCACCCACGGCAATTAGTTCAGCCTTTCTTCCAGCAGCTCTTTCTTTTTCCACGGCCATCGCAAAGTGGAGAACGTCACCGGTATAATTTTTGCAAATTACCAAAGTACCGGCTTCCGACTGCACTTGTTTGATACCGGCATTAATTTGTTTAGACGAAGGGGAGGCAAAAATAGAGCCAGAAATAGCGGCCGTGAGCATCCCCTTGCCAACAAACGACGAGTGGGTGGGTTCGTGCCCCGCACCCCCGCCAGAAATAACACTCACGTTTTTCTTATTATAATCGTGGTAATAAACGAATTTTCCTTCTTCGTGAACACTAAGTGTCTTGTTCAAAGAAGTCAAGGATTTGAGGGCCTCGACAACCAAAGTTTCAGGGTCGTTAATAAAGTGTTTGTCCATTTTTAAAATGAAATTATTTTTCCAAAATAAATAAAGTGAAGAGATACTAAAAGATTGATATTAATCCAAAAAGATAGAGAGAAATAAGAGAAAAAGGAATGTAGGATTTTTTTGGGGTGTTTTTGGTAAATTTTTTTTGTGTAGATAGGATAAAGCGCGCTGTAGTACTAAAGTGGTTGTTGTGTGAATACTTAAAAGTGAGAGTCGGGTCTGTTTATATAGATGAACAACCTCATTGACCCATCAATTATGTAATGTCCTTATTAGCCCTACCAAAAGCTTATTTTGTAACGGAATGGATGATGCAACCGTTTAATAATATTTATAGCGAATAAAAACAATTTTTTTATGAAGTAAAACAAGCACAAGTGCGAATAACGGCTCGACGCGAATAGCGTTAAATTATGGAGGGTGACATAACCAATGCAAAGTATGCTTTCAAAAACTTATTGTAAGCTTTTGATAAACGCAAATAGCAGAGTCCCCAGTAGAAGCGCCCGTTAAAACAAACTTTTAAAACCTTTGCGACTTTGATTTGTCAAGCTTTAATCTTAAAACAAGAAAAAGGAGAATGTTCTCAGAGGCTCAGATTTTCTCCACAAAATAAACTTTAGAGGACCACCCCTCTCTTGAACCCCTGCAACTTCATTGAACGCAAGCCCTAACTATGAACTCTAATTTTGGTTTCTTTTGCACGTAAATGTAATGTAAACAAAAGGTCAATAAGTAGTCCTTCTACAAAACCCAAGCCTTACAAGGACATAACTCACAGGATATCAAGTTGGAAGACAATCGGTACAAGAGTTTGTTCATATTCATTGATTTGTTTGTTAGTTCTAGCCTAGATGGATGTATGGATGAAGATGAAGAATGATTTCAAGATAAAGACGTAAATTTAATAGGTTATTATAAATCTTTTTACGTTGGTAAGTCACCTACAACGAACGAGAAAAAAATAAAGGTAAAATAGCCGAAATAAAAAATTCCAGCTTAGGGGAATTATAAAGGATACATTATTTTTTCTTTTCTTCTGGCTTAGGACGAAGTCGTAAGCAATAAATCCCATACTCCTCCGTGATAGATGATACAATATGGGCAACAAAGTTGCCATAGATACCTAGTCCAAAACCGAAGTACGCAAATATGTATTCCTTTTGATAGTTTTTTAAAATTCCGAACGTATAGGCGTCCAAGGCATTTACCACAAAAGGAAGAATCAAAACATTCCAGTAAGGGAAGGATGATTCTGTGACATGAGAGACAATAATGACACCGACAGAATAGGCAAAGATGATCGCGTTTAATAAATAAATAGTGACAAATTGCTCTTCAAAAAAGTAGGGGTATTTCACATAAAGCAAAAAGACGGCAGTCCATTGTACAAGATAAGGAGAAAGTCCAAGCAAGGCCTTGCAAGCGCACTTCTGTTGTTTTTTCAAAGCACGCAATGCATTCCAAATGCTCTGAAAAACATTCGAAAAAAGACCAACGCCTAAAAGCTTAAAAAGACAAGAGCCATACGTATAGTAAGGAGCTAAAGAACGAAGGAAACCAAGAGACTCTGGGGTAGGACGAAGCCTTGTCCAAAAACCATCACCAGTATAGGCAGTAATAGCATACAATCCACAAACCAACAAAATTCCTTCGACTGGACCAGATACGTAAGACAAATACAGGATGCCCGTGTGATATTCTTCCCAAGTAGAAGTATAAAAATAAAACAGACTAGCACACTGAGTAAGGATGGACATTGGAAGATTTAGTTGAAGTAATTCTGTGGTTAACCAAACTTCCAAGCTCGTGTTGATGGCATCGACACCATGATCAAACAGTTGGCCAAGTGGAGAGGAACTATTGGTACGGCGTGCCTGAGAACCATCAATGGCATCAAAACTTTGGTATAAAAATAGACCAATAGCCCAAGAGGCGTACACCCAGCCAGGAAACGCGTCCAATCCGTATCCATATTTGTATACGAGCATGGTTATGACATTCACGGCAACAAAACCCAATCCCGTCAAGGTAATCAAATTCGGACTATTCACGAAGATGTTAGTTTTTCATTCCTTACTAATTCAACTTACGCCATGGACAATGGAATTATTTTGAGCAACTGGCTCCACCAGTATGGCTTCAACACATGCCGAGACAATAAAGAATTATCAACGCCGATATATTGATAGTTATGGAGGTTCTTTAATTGACGTCTATTTAAATGCATGTTAAAAACACGCTCTTCGGGTGTTTATGTGAAAGAACGGGTGTTTTGTAAAAATGAAAAGGTTTCGTTACTTCTCGAAAAAAGTACAAAAACCGTACTTCCTTCTTTTTGTCCGAAGGGATGCTTTAAATAAACTTTGTTTTTTATTTTATTGGTAAAACTCTCTAAAAGCAAAATTCATCTAACTTCGTCGTAAAGTATTTGACCTCTGATATTCAACTAACAGAGCCATTACCACGCGTCCACTTGCTTCTTAAAGACGATATTGTTCGCGAAACTTATCATTTATTTGGCTTGTGTTTAGTTATATAAAATTAATAGAACATTTCTTTGGGCTTGGGTTTGGTATTCTGTCTTAGATTGCATAAAATCTAGCAATTTACCATTTTTGTCGTGGCAATGAGTTCCACACCTGGATTGTCTCCATCTAATCAAAATGATACAAAGAAAGATGGTGTCTTGGGTCTTCCTACCAATGTAATTCTTCCTCCGCCAGAAATTCGAGAAATCATTGACAAATCCGCTGGCTATGTTGCTAGAAATGGCCCGGCGTTTGAAGAAAAGATCAGACAAAATGAGCAGAGGAATCCAAAATTTGCTTTTCTACAAGTGGACGATCCTTATTACAAGTACTATCAGCACAAGCTGGAGGAAGCCAGACAAGGAAAACTAAAAGCTACTTCTGGACCCGGACAGGGAGCTGCTAACTTGGCTCGTCCTATCACAAAATCCATTCAAACTGCCCCTCCCGCTCCTCCTCCGTATTTGTTTTCAGAACCCTTGCCTTCTATATCAGCACAGGATTTAAACGTTCTTCGACTCACAGCTCGCTACGCAGCAATTCGAGGGCCCTCATTCATTGCTAAACTTTCACAAAAAGAATGGGGAAATACTCAGTTTGATTTCTTGCACCAAAATCATGCACTTTATTCTTACTTTATGCGCATAGTACAACAATATTCCTCTTTGGTAAAGAATACCCTTCCACCTTTTGAACCTTTGCTTCGTCAAAACATCCAGGATCCCTACAGCGTTCTTACGCGAATTCAGCCTAGGGTAGAGTGGCAGAAGTATCAAGAGACCCAAAGGGAAAAACGCAAAGAAGAATTAGAGAGGGAAAAGATTGAATATGCCCAGATTGACTGGAACGATTTCGCGGTAGTAGAAGTCATTCAATTCACTGAGGCAGATGAAACAGCCAAACTTTCCAAACCTACAAATCTGGCTGATTTGCAAACCGCTACATTAGAACAAAAGTCTGCAATGTTCACTATGCCTGATATGAATTACACAATTGAAGAAGCTCCCCCTACTTCAGCTCCATGGGAACCTTTGAATGCACCTGCCAAAGCAGAGTTTGGCGTTGCAATGCCTTCGTCTGTACCTTCACAAAGGACGTCTGCAGAAACCTCTCCCTCACCTGCAGTGCAACCTTCACCTATGGGTGCACCTGCATCTACTCCAGCGCCCATCCGTGCTTCAAAACCCGCCAAATCTGTACCCAAGGCATTCCAGCGCCATGTACCTTTGGAGCGCAGTCCGTTTACGGGTGAGATGATTCCAGCAAATGAAATGGGAGAACATATGCGCGTTCACTTGTTAGACCCCCGCTGGCGTGAACAGCGGAAAATTGAAGAGTCACGAAGATCTACACTTAATTTGGAAAACGTTGACGTTGCAGCAAATATGAAACGATTAGTCAGTAACCGAACTGATATTTTTGACGTACACAACGGCATCGAGATCACTCCCGAAGAAGTTGAACGAAGGAAGCGTGCAGCTACACAAAGTTCCTTTGGTGCTACTCTCCCTCCAAATAAACGTCGCTGAGTCTTCTAAAAATTAATTACAAAATGTATTTATAGTTTATGACGGCTGAGCTATTACTTGTATAATACTACCGACTCCTTTTTATCAATCTCACTTTGTATCCTGCTCATAGTATACATTCTGCTTAGACTATTTTGGTTTACCATGAAAGATTATTTGGTTATAACAGAACATGTTGTATCCATGAATAGCGAACTTTTGATAGAAGTAGCAAAGACCGGCTTTCAATGTTTTCATAAAACAAAGATATTTTAAGATAATTCATTTTAATTCTCTTCTTTCGAGCTTCCAATCCTTTTTGTCTGTAAATTTCTGACTAGCAAATATGAATGAGTTCACTAATTATCATATGTGAAATTATGTATACCCGTGAAGCGGCCCCGTTTCACTACACACTAAAAACCATACTGAAGAGAGATTTACGAGTAAAAATCTGGGAAATTAAATCTATTTCTGGATATATTTTAACCAACTTCTTCATGTTTCGTGCCATTAATCATAGATACTGGCAGGCTGCTGCTCATCAAGCGAAACATTATGCAGTTCGTCGTTTAACAACAGAAGTGCCGGTTGCTGGAGGTCGAGTCGCTGATGTAGCTTTCGCATTTGAGTAAATAGTTTTTTTGTGTCTTAAAGAATTGAAAGCTAACGCCGTAAAGTATTGATGGTGTCCTTATTCGAGGAGGAAAGGGCTTGACAGAAGGAACAAAAACGTATGCTTACCTTCCTAATGCCAATATTATTTATTTTTTTGCTTACCTGTTAGTTTACGTTATCTTCAAAAGCATAACATTCCGTTCATTTTGCTCACGAATGGAGGTGGAATGCATGAAACGACACGGGCTGAACGCTTGTCCAACCTTTTGCAAGTGAACTTGAAGGAAGTGGACTTTTGTCAGTCGCATACTCCGTTCAAGAATCTTAAAGATAAGTATAAGCATATACTCGTTCTCGGAGGAAGTGATGACAGCGTACGAAAGACAGCTGAGATGTATGGCTTTCCAAGCGTTATAAATGAACTCGATGTAATCGCTAAGCGTGGTACTCCCTTTTGGCCCTTTACTTCTTTTACAGAAAACGATTTGAAACAGGCTCGCGATTTCGACCTGAACCAACCTATTGAGGCTGTATTTACTTATGTCGATCCAGTGAGATTTGGACTTGATTTGCAACTTGTTATGGAATTGGCTCAATCGAAAAATGGAATTCTAGGTACTGTATCTGAAAAGGGCGACGAAGGACCTGACATTTATTATTCAAAGTAAGCTCCCAAAAGACCCAACATGGTGATTTCAGTTTTTTACTTCTAATATATTAACCTTTTAGCTCGGATCTGGTTTGGCCAAATGAATACCCACTTCCTCGATTGGGACAAGGCGCATTTGCTTCTTGTTGTGAAAAGATTTATAATGAGCTTACAGGAAAGCAAATGAAATTGACAAAGTATGGAAAACCACATAAGGTTACTTATGATTATGCAACCAACATCCTTGAAGCAAAACGAAAAGCTTTAAGTATTCCCAACTCCCCCAAGGAAATTTTTATGGTTGGCGATAATCCTGAAAGTGATATTCGTGGAGCCAACGCCTATGGATGGACAAGCATCTTGGTTCGTACAGGTATTTTCCAGGGCGCCGATAACAGTTCGAAATACCCTGCTAAACATGTTGCTAAAAACGTTTGGGAAGGCATGCGATGGGCTCTATCCCGGCACGTGCCTGGTCCAAAATTGGATAAGACAATGGGAGGTATTCGTGGCTTCCATAATTCGTCCAAGCCACCAACCAAAGCAGAAAAACGTAATGAACTAAAGGGCTTTCAGTTGCCCATTCGTGAGAATGTATTTACATTGCCTAACATGCTGACCTTGTCAAGGCTTTTCTCAGCTCCACTGATTGCGTTTCTTTATGTGAATAACTACGCCAAAGCTGCTGCTTGTTTGTTTTTGTATGCTGGGTTTACCGATTTGGTGGATGGGTATCTTGCTAGAAAATTTCAGTTGCGGAGTTTTGCTGGTACTATTTTGGATCCACTTGCTGACAAAACATTAATGACATGTTTAACTCTTTGTTTAGCATACCAAAACTCAATGCCTGGTATGTTCTTAGCTTCGTTGACTTTTTATTGACATTTGCAGCACTATTAGCTGGTTTAATAATTGGAAGAGATGTTTTACTTGTGTCCATGGTCAGCTTTCTTCGCTATCTAGCTCTCCCGTCTCCAAAAACTTTAGGGCGCTATTTTGATTTTAGTCTTCCCACCACCGAATTACGGCCCACAAAAACCAGCAAGGTATTTCAGAGTCAGTTTCTTGTTGCTAACGAATTTAGTGGAATACTGCTTTTCAGTTGATGTTACTTGGTCTTTTAATTACTGAGCCAATGCTACCGATTGACATTGATTTTGCCAAATCCCCTCTATTGTAAGTATTAATATGTCTGACTGAGAGTTATGAGGAATCTAATTATTCACATATGTTTAGTTATCTGGTAGGATGTACAACAATTGCATCCGGTGCATCCTATATTTTTAGTCGCAACACATTTCGTATTTTGACTTCAGCGAAGAAATAGCTGTTGCAATTCAAAAAAAATTGAGTAAATAGAGGGTATAGGAAGGTGGAATTTTTTGTATCTACTAAAATTGAAGATAAAAACATTGCATTGGCTTAGATAAAAACGAACCAGATATTTGATATGATACCGAATGACTATTTTATTTTTAATAATGCCTTGACAAATGAATATAATGAACAATCATAGAATTTTGTAACATTCTTTGTATTTTTCTAAGATCAACTAGAAGTAGCAACTTAATGTTACTTGGTACATGGAATTTGCTCAGACTATGAGTATTATACTACACACACTTACTTTTTAGTCTTTGTCATAGTATATTTATATGACACCTTTGTTCTCTCTCTTAGCATAAATATCAAAAGGAATATTGCGTAAATAACAGCGTTGATTGGAGCGTATTTGCATAAAAATGGGCAAGTCGACACCGTCTGCTTTGCAGAGCGAAAAGCAGAAAAGAAATATTCGTGATGTGGAGCTTTCGCGGCCTAGAAAGTTCTTTACATCTAGGGATTTTGGAATTGTTTTGTTACTCTCAGTTGTTGCTTTCGCTGTTCGAGTTCAACGTTTAATGAATCCTTCTAAGGTGGTATTTGAAGAGTTAAGATACGTGAATTATGCCGTTGACTATGCATCAAATAAATTTGTAATGGATGTTTATCCTCCTCTTGGAAAGCTATTATTGAGCTTTGGTCTAACATTTATGAACTCCAATCCTGATCTTACGAAAGTAAGTCATCCAGGACAGGAATTCCCTTCTTTCGAAACTGCGAGATCTCTTCGCCTCATCATCGCTGCATTTGGTTCTCTATTGATCCCTTTAATGTATGGTAATGTGTATCTTTCCTCAAACTCAAAAATGGCTGCCTTCATGGCTTCTGTTTTTGCTATCTTTGACAATGGATTGATTACAATGAGCCGTTATGTAATGATTGAAATCCCTACTTTATTTTTTATGGGCTTAACTTCTTTTTTCTGGATGTACTATGAAAACCAACAAAAATATCCTTTTGCCCTAAAATGGCATATCAGCCTTCTATATACGGGTATCAGTCTTGGCCTTACAATTAGCACAAAACTTTCAGGACTGTTTACACTATTTTGGATATTGGTTTTGGCACTTTTCCATCTTTGGAATTTGATTGGTGACCTTACTGTTCCTATTACTCGTATTATTCGTTATGGTTTTAACTACACATTCTATCTTATAGGAGTTCCTATGGTTGTGTACTTGGGTATATTCGCAGTTCATTCAAAATTAGCCTATAAGTCTAATATTTATGATTCATTTTTGACCCCTGAGTATAAGTATTCTTTGGAGGGTAACGATTTTGGAGAAGAATATGCAGATGTAGCATATGGTTCTTTGGTAACAATCCGCAATGCAATTCCTGAACATGGTTACTTGCATTCAAACGAACTCGTGTATCCCGAAGGCACCAAACAACAAATAATATCATTGGTGGATCATCCTAATCAGAATACTCTTTGGATCATTGAGCATGAGAATGCTGCTGATAATGACCGCAAAAAAATTGAATTATTGAAGGATGGTAGTATCGTTCGTCTTCGCCATATTATGACAGGGAGAGCTTTACATTCTCATGATCACAGACCTCTTGTGAGCAATCATGATTGGCAGCTTGAAGTTTCTGGTTACGGTGGCTTTGGTTTCGAAGGAGATGGAAATGATTTATTCCGTATACAAATACTTGACCGTCCTTCTCGACATGCTTCTTCCAACGGCACCGTTGAAGCATTTAATACTTATTTTAGACTGATTCACGTATTTACTAACTGTGAATTAATGACTTCTCACCGCCGTCTTCCTGACTGGGGCCAAGACCATCGTGAGGTTACATGCTGTCGAAACTGTATTGAGCGAAGTACAACTTGGGTCATTGAGTCAAATTTCCACGATGCCATGCCGTCTGATGCTAGAAAAACGAATTACAGGAAGCCAAGTTTCTTTGAAAAATTCATAGAAGCAAACAAGTTGATGTGGTTGAAGGACCGAAAAATGGGAGATGGACATGAATTTGAAAGCCATGCTTTGACATGGCCTTTCTTGTTAGGACCTTTGAGATTTATGTCGGATCAGAACCTCCAAGTTTACTTCATGGGTAATCCAGTTGTTTGGTACAGCGTAGTGTCCCTAATTGTTTTCTTTGCGTTGGTAATGTTGTTTTTCGCTGCAAGATGGAATATGGGATACAACGATTGTGGTCCTAAGTTTTATCATCATTCGTATAACATTGGCAAATTTGCTCTTGCCTGGTTTATTCACTGGGCTCCTTATATTCTTGAAACGGATCGTGTATTTTTATATCATTACCTTCCAGCCTTGTACTTCGGAATTATGGCACTTGGTGTAGGCTGGGCATTCGTTGGAAATGTGATTTTTGAGCACCGTCCAGCCTTTTCTTTCGTTACAGCAGCCTTCATTACATTGATGTTTGGTGTTTATTACCTTTATAGTCCTTTTACCTTCATGACCCCTTTAACTCAATCGTCCTGCCAGTCCCTTGAATTGAAAGGTTCTTGGAATTTCAGATGCAATAGCTACATGGAATCCTTATCCCAATACAATTCTGGTATAGTAAATCCAATTTTCTATGAGGAAGCTGCTCCCCATCCATTTGTGTATAATGGTCCAGCTGAAAATTCTCACTCAGACGTTCCTCTAAAAGAGAACCTTGCAGTATATTATCCAGCTTGGGATGCTCAAGTTGAGATGGGTTACAAGATTGCAGCTGAAGAAAAGGCTGCTATGGAAGCAAAAGAAGCAGCATCAGCTGAAGCCGCTTCTATGTCTTCTGACGAGACTTCACGCAGTGAGCCATCAGATTAAGTGGGCGGCTAAGCTCATAACGATATAATAATAATTGACCTTTGAGTAAAAAGAAATTTTGAAGTAACTAATCAGTTACGAATTGCTCAAAATCTGGATTTACGATTGGTACTATTGCAAAGTACTGTTCTTATTTATCTTACAAATCAAAGTAATTACTGGAAAACTTCTCTTATAACTATTAATGTAGAATTTGGCGATCTTTTGCAAACAAACGGACTGTCTATCTATAGGTAGCAGGATGAGGTTGTTTATTCTTATCGATTTTGACTTGACACATTTATATCTGTTTGTAGATGTAATACTATTTTCTTTCTTTATGTGAAGGATACGCTATAACTTAAAAACCTCTAAAACTAAACTGAAACTGTATAACGATGACTCATAAATTCACTAATATTTTGAAATGAATGCAAATGTTGTGATATAAATTATGTATGTAATTTACATTGTACATCTACAAGAATCATTTGAGCAACTTTTATGCTTGAGACTCACACGAATCTTTTCTTCTTTTTTTTTTGAGAAAGTTCCTTTTTATCGAAATTTAATAACCATAACATTACGAAATACCTATAAGTATACATTTACTATTGCTTGATTCGTATCGATCGATCCACTTGGATACTTGGGAAATAACCTGACTCGCTCGTGGGAATTGGGAATCAAAAAGTGAATAATGTTGTGCTCATACTTCAAAATGAAGCAACCTCGTTGTTTACTTTGTAAGTAATTATCGATCAGAAAACGATGAAATATTATCAAAAGCTTTCTTTGCATTACTTGATAAAGCATGCTGAGAATTATAACCAAGAGAACGGACTTTTGATTACCGTAGTAAGCGAATCATGATTTGCACTTTTATAGTCGAAATCGATATATTCAGTTTATAATTTCATTGAGACATCTCTACCTTTTGAATTTTCGTAAGAATTTGTTTGTTTACAGACTGCATAATGTTACCTTCAGTTTCCAAGTAACAATACAAAATTTTCCAAAACACCAAGTACACGAACCCAAGTTTGGGCTCGTGTAGACACGAAGCTTGTTGGGCAAGATCGAACCATCCATGCGTTCATTTGCCTTGTGCTAAATGCTATAAAAGGGCTTTCTTACTTTTCTCCCACTTTGCAAAAGCTGAAACTTACGCTTGAATCCTGACCTGTGTTTTTTTTGCTCTTTTCTTTCACTTTACAGACGATACCCTTTCAATGGCCTCAAATTTTTCAACAAAAATTAAAGTCCTTTGCCTGCATGGTTATGGCGAATCGGGTAACCTTTTGTCGGTAAAAATGCGTGCACTGCGCGAACGTTTAGTCGACGATGTCGAGTTCTATTTCCCCACTGGTCCCATTGAACTTTCGAATGACAAAGGTCAAAGTGATTACTCTGATGAAGACTCATTAGACGGGTCCTCTATCACTTGGGGATGGTGGAGAATTGATGAGTATGGAGATTCCAAAACTTTAGAACCAAAGACCTCATACGAGCACTTGGCTTCCTACATTCGCGAGCATGGCCCTTTTGACGGGATTATGGGGTTTTCTCAGGGAACAAATTTGGCAGCCAATCTTGCGACCTTTGTCACCCTTCCGAAATACCAAAATTATTTCGGTCAAAAGCCGTTTCGATTTGGCATGTTCTTTAGTGGATATTATCGTGCCTTGGCTATCGATGGAGAAACTCATATAATGAAAATCGAAATGCCCACACTCCATTTTCTAGGAAAGTTTGATAACGTGTTGTCCACCGAAAGCTCTACTACCTTGATTCGAATCTGTGAGGATTCACAAGTGTTATTCCACCCTGGTGCCCATCATATACCCTCTCCTATTGCTTATGTAGAAGCCGCAGCTGACTTTATAGACTTTTTTGGCCGCGAAGATTGGCCACTCGTTTCGAAAAATATATCTCTAATTATTCCTACACCAAAACCCAATTCCCTTACTGTCTCCCAGCACACTAGTATGCATCATCTGGGTAGCAACAATAATCATCTGGAGAAAGAACTTATTTCAAAAATCGTGTCCCGGACCTCCAAAAATGGAGTCAATATCGTTCTAAGCAATCTTCAAATGTTTAATGAATATGAAGATATCCTGAAAAACAAAGTGTCTTCACTCGTGATTACAGACGGTCAAGAGCCCAAGTCCTTTGATGAATCCGTTCACTATGTTTCTACGTTCAAACAAGCTCTTAACAAATTGAAGGCTAGAGAGGATTCGATTGGCCGTATCTATGTTATTGGTGATAAAAGGTTGTTGACTTTGGGCTTGATGTGTCGTTGCACGAAGCGCATCATAGCCGTAACGGGCGCCAAAGACAAGTTTCAGATGGATCCTTCGGTAAACACCGTCAGTCACACTGTACCATTTTTGGAGTATAGCAAAGAATGGTTACAGGCCAAATCGTCTCAGATACGTCAGTGGACTGGACAAAGCCGTTTAAAGCATTTGAGTACTGATGAATCCGGCGAACCCGTGACGATGAAGCTGCAAATGTGGGAACGCTTATAATCAGCACTTTATGAACCGTGCTTGATACGTTGCATTCTTTGAAATGTTCTATTCATGTATTATTAGATCTTTAGAAAAGACCTCCTCAGTCCCAAATCTTTTTTTTTTTCGTCCGATTCCGTTGGATTGTTGTTTGACTTTGATTTTTGTAATTATTAGAATATTGTTTGACGAAATACACATATACCTTGATATAGACTAAATCCTCCTACCTCGTCTATAGGCAGTAATGTTTTTCCTTTATCAACTCAAAAGGACTCATAAATATTATACATTCATATTGTATATTATACAGAGAAAATAACCCATGTAAACAAGAAAAAGGAAATAAAGAAGGAAAAGGCCAATTCCACCTTTCAAGTACATTTTTATATCCAAGGATCAGCACCGATAACCATTATTAACTTTAGGTAAATACCAAAACCATTTTTAGTTTTCACGCCATTGAAATTTGCACTTGGTACAACGGTAGAAAGTACTCATTGGCTCATCAGCACTTCGAATTTGAAGCTGGAAGAAGTAAGCACGATTATTGTCACATTTGCTATTGTCACAGGCCACTTCTGTTTGTTGGTTCGATTCAAATGCTTCATCACCTCCTAGCACATCGTCAATTTTCTTTTGTGGAAACTCGTGTCTGCTATAAAGCAGAGCTGAAATAGGGAATTGATAAGGACATGTTTTACAATCAAAAGCATTACGCCCTTCCTCATCAATGGCTATAACAAGATGATTTCCGCAAGTTGGGCAAAATTGCATACTATTTTCAGGCTTCTTTCTCGTGAACAGTTCCTACTCAAATTCCTCTTTCTAAATTATCGTCGTCTCTATTTTCTGAACGTTTCAAGGTTTCGCCTCTTCTAAGGCCATGTACTATGGAAAATCCATGATTCCTGCCAAATAAAAGAAAATTGCACATAGTGAGTCATAGCGTCTGTTTACCAAATACGCGTTAAACGTGTAAGCAAGCGGTTTTCCAATGGTTTCGCTTCATCATCAAAGAAACAGAAAGGTTTAAGGAATGAAATTGAGTCATTGTTATGGAATCGTCTTTCAAAACGAATGGATCGCTCCGTTATGTTGGCTTCACGAGAGATGTGAAACCATCAACTTATCTAAAAGAACGGTAAGTCCTTTTACCTTCGTTCTCTTTCTTTTTGTTTTTTCCCCATTTATGAAACTTCGTTGTTCCAAAGACACTCCGTTTATGCCTGCAGCCTTTCACAAAACTCTTGTTCCTTTGTTTTTGTTTACTAATCTTTCACGTTGCTGTTCGGTATATTACTATACTGGGGCTGTCAACGTGCAGTAAGTTGGCTACCATGGATCATTCGACTGCGCAAAGTCAGACTCCAACAATGTGACTGTTTTTTAGGTGTGAAATTATTGACTTCTTGCCGTAGAACTTCCTTTCTCCATACCAAGCAATTTGCAGAAATGGTTCGTCAATCTGTCCTCTCCGACTGTTTGAACAACATTGTTAACGCTGAGCGTCGTGGACGTCGTCAAGTGCTTATTCGTCCTTCCTCCAAGGTCATTGTCAAGTTCTTGACCGTCATGCAAAAGCATGGTTACATTGACGAATTCGAGGAGATTGATGACCATCGTTCTGGCAAGATTGTTATCCAATTGAACGGCCGTATCAACAAGTGTGGTGTTATCTCTCCCCGCTACAACATCAAGATCAAGGATATTGAAAAGTGGGTCAACAATCTCTTGCCCTCTCGTCAAGTTGGTATCATTGTCTTGACTACCTCCCGTGGTATCATGTCTCACAACGAAGCTCGTGCCAAGGACACTGGTGGTAAGATCCTCGGTTTCTTCTACTAGATTTAGTCGCCGTTCTTTGCAAATAAAAAGCCTTTGACAATCTAGTCTTCATAATTTTGTTTGCAGTTTGTTTTCTCCTTTGGTTGTAGATATCATGTAGGGAAATCATGTAGTATGAACATGTAGCTTTTGGTGAACTTTACTTACTGTGAGTAGTGGGAATGAAGCTGGACGTTGAAAATGAAAGCAAGTATTGCTGTGAAATTGAAGATGTACCATTTCCTAGCCTAGACAGACTATTACTGAATGGAACACCAGAGAATTTTGGGGCTTCTTTGTAGGTTCTTGTTCTACAGAGTAGATTTTGGATCCGTCTTGTTTTGCCCAATCTACTTTTCATAAATCAACGAATTTTCAATAAAAGATTTGCTGTAGTAGCTGTGGTTTCTCGTAGAATAGATCCCACGATAGACTGACCATTCTGCTAATGCGATCAAGTTCTCTATAAACAAACTGTACATGAACAACACAAAATCCATTTCATCTGGAGAAACAGGGAACTTTTCATTATAGTTAAAAGGAGAAAAACAATACTAATTAAAAGCGATGGATGAAGTCTTGCATTCTTTCCTAGAAGGGAAGCTTTCGAAGGAGCAATTTCAGGAAATGTTCGCTTTACATTACACAAGCGAGCAACAACTGCACGTGGAGTTAAGGAATTGCATTCAAATATGTATCCAATCTGGTCGAGATGAGCGGACGTATGAAGCTGTTCATCATTTATTAGACATGGCAGCTGGTATATCTTGCCTCGCACTTCGAAAAAACCTGTTAGAATATATGTATGCGCAATTGTCGCCGTTAGAAGGAATTAGAAGTGAACTATTAGCCAAATGCTGCTTGCAGCTTGCTGCTGTTTTTGATGCCGAAAACGATTACGAAAACCTTTGCGCCGCTTTAGAGACGCTAGAAAAGCATGCAAACCTTGAAAGTGACTTGGAACAGCTGTTACTCTTAAGGATTCGTCTAGGAGAAAACTACATAAAGCTTGGTAAGCCAGAGAAGGCGATTCTATTAATGCGAACAAGTATGCCTATCGCACACAAAACGAATAATCATCAACTCTTGATGGAACTTCAGCTGTGCAATGCAAGGGCTTTAGATGAAACGTTCCAGTTTTTGGACGCCGCTAGAAGCTACTATAAAGCCCTTCAATACAAGGTGCCTGGGAATGAGATCGTCTTCATCGAAAACTTAAGCCTTGCTATACAATGTCTGATTTTAGCAACGCCTTCTATGATTGTTTTACAGTTTTTACAAGAACTTTCCCTGCTTCCAAATGTGACGGAATTGCCGCTATTTAATTTTATCAAAAAATATCTTCAAAGAAAGTTTATCACCCTGGAGGATGCAAACTCGATTTTACCTTTCTTACTTCCTCACCAAGTTCAGTATATGCATACGCTAATCGCTAACCCTAAGCATTTTCTGGAAACAAATCTTCTTTTTGTATCCGAGTTCTATGAAGTTGCATCTTTGGAGAATCTAGCAAATTACTTCCACATAACGGTGAAGGAATTGGATGCCGTTTTGGCAAATATGATTTTTCAGCAACGAATTCGGGCATCCATTGATCAATTTGCTGGCTATATTACCTTTCTTCCTGATTCCGAAAAAATGTTGAGTCGTCCTAATTACATTGAAAATATTTCACAGATATTGAATCAATACGGATAGGTTTTATTTCTCGATATGCTAATACACAACGCCTGTAGCGGTTTGGTTCAACTCTAGAGGTTAGGAGAAAGTTCAATTTATATTCTACTACTGCTTGTTTATTCGTTTCCTGTGTATATAAAATCCTCCTTATCAAATATGAAAAGATTGTCCTTATCAATGTTTTTTCCTAGACTTTCTTTGACCTCGTTTGTTCCAAGTCGGACGGGTCATCATTTGTTTGTTTACATGAACTTGTCTACTGCACTTACACAAAACGCAAAGCAAATGGAGGATTTTGAGCTAATTCGAAAAAATGAAGCAGATCCATATTATTTTAATCCTTGCCTTAAGTTTGAAGAGCACATTGTCGATGGATTTCTTTCCATTTGCAAGGCTCCTCCTCCCTTCTCCTTCGTTGCTTCCCAGGCTCGTAATAAGCAATCTGTAGGTGCAGTCACTACCGAACGCTTTCCTGCTTTAACTAATGAAAGATTTTTTGGAAATAAGAAAACCCCAGGCGTCTCCGACTCACAAGTGTTTTGCTCTATTGAACCTCAAGAATTGCCCTTTACTTTCGAAAGAGACACTTCGAAAGCAAAGCATAAAAGATCTCGAGCATTGCTTCTCAAAGACAAAAGAGCAAGGTATTAACTGGATTTTCCTATAATATTTACAATAAATCACTTTCCGGATCTTTCAATTTCGATTCAATAGCCATGTTTACTATTCATTCAGCTAATAGCGAAATTGTTCAAACTCCTAAATCGAAATTAGCGACTCCCAAGATGACGCGCAATTCAATTTGTCCCTAAATACTCTTTGAAGTTTATTTTTGACCTTTAAACATACTCTTTTTGGGAGGGATTGTTTCTGTTTATTATAAGAAAACCTTTTTCGAGGTTTTTACTGCTTTTAACGACTCATAAAGCAGTTTTCCTCTCAGACCTAGCTGTCCTTTCTACAACATAACTAGTAGGAAGTTAGGTTTTTACTACCGAATTAGAGCTGTTCCTTCCTTTTTGTTTTACTTTCTTAAATAATTAATTAAAAGCATTTGGAAATCTTATCCCAAAAGAGCCATTTGTCGCATTCCCAGTTTTTGTAAGGACTACTATTTGTAAAGCTTTATTTCCTGAAGCAAACAAAGCGAAATCTCATTTATCGCATTGGTTTAGCGTTAACTGGCCCAGAAGTAATCCTTCTTTTTTGAACTGGTATCCTTGAATTTGTTTTGGTAAGGTGTCGTAAGAAAAATAAATAAATCTCACGGTCCAATCTCTATACGGTATCATGAGCAAAAGAAAGACTTCCACCATCTTGGATTTTTTTCAGAAAAATAACACCGGTCGCAACATTTGGGGGAATGAGGCTGCAGCAATTGAGGCATCCCAACAACAGGGTAAAGCAAAGACTTCCAGTTTTCAAATTGAAGAAATTTCTCCCGAAGCTTTAGAACGATTTAATGATCCTTCGCTAAAACTGGAAAATGTGGAACCTCCTCAATGGTCGCCTCAAAGTGAAGCTGGTTTTCTGGAACCTTTAAAGTCCTCTAGTTACGAAAATGAAAAGGTCAGTATGCCAGAGGTAATGCTTTGCCCTGTTTGCGAAATTAATTTTTCGGCTCTTTCTGTTGAACCCAATGAGCATGTGAATGCCTGTCTCGATGGCCGAACGCCCGAAACTTTTGCTAAAAATGCTAAAACGAAACTATCTTTATCCTCCGCGAACACACAAGAACCGGATACAATCGTTGTTGATCCTAGAAACACGCCTTCCTTGGAGGCTGGTAAACTCGCGAAAAAATCCAGCCTTGTTCCTTTTTATAAGCTCATGCCATATAGTATGCCGTTCGCCGTTGATGCTTTCAGCTATGGAGCTATTGACGGTGTTGAAGCTTACTTTTTATCTCACTTTCACTCTGATCATTATGGTGGATTGTCCTCGAAATGGGAACATGGACCTATATATTGCTCCGAAGTTACCGGAAACTTACTTATCAATGTCCTTCACGTGGACGAGAAGTATATTCACAAGCTTTCGTTAAACGAGCCCCACAACGTCCTTGGTGTTACTGTTTACCTAATTGACGCAAATCATTGTCCGGGTTCGACAATGTTTTTGTTTGAAACTCTTCATGAGAATAAGACAAAGAGAGTCCTTCATTGTGGTGATTTTCGAGCTTCTCGGTCACACGTTACCCACCCGGCTTTGCAAGATAAAACCATTCATAAATTGTATTTGGATACTACTTACCTAAACCCGAAGTTTACCTTTCCTTCACAGAAAGACGTAGTTGATGCATGTGCTCGCAAAGCACTAGATGTAAAGAATGCTGCCAACTCGAGATTGCTAGTTGTTGTTAGCACATATAGTATTGGCAAGGAAAAGGTTGCCATAGCCATAGCGAAAGCACTTTCCTCCAAAATTTTTGTCGTACCTAGAAAACGACTTATTATTCAACAGCTTGGTAACCAAGAATTGCTGGATTTGTTAACAGATGACCCTAGCCAGGCATCAGTTCATATGGTAACTATGGGTGGTATACAACCCAGCTCTCTTTTGGAATATCTCGAGCAACATAATTCATTTGAGCGAGTAATTGGATACCGGGTCACTGGATGGACGTTTCAACCCCTCGAAAAACGAGCTGATCTCAGCAGTAACCTTGACTCTATTATTTCTCGGCCACCACAGTTTGTGTCTCATGACTTGCGTGCAATGAGAGGAGCAAGTGACAAAGTTGCTGCATTTGTAGCTCCCTACAGTGAACATTCTAGTTTTTATGACTTGACTATGTTTTGTCTCAGTATGAATATCCTCTCCACGATTCCTACGGTCAATATGGGTAGCGAGCGATCTCGAGAAAAAATGCAAATTTGGCTAGACCGGTGGGCATGGCGCCGCAAGAAACAAGGCTTGCTTTCTTTGGACGATATTAAATGGTAACATTTCTAGAGGATAAAATTATTATACATCGGTTTACATAGGGTTACACATTAGAGGAATGAAGATATAGCATCTAGCATATTGTATGAAATAGATAAAAAGTTTTACAAAAGGTAAGGTTTCTAATAAAGAAAATATACTATTTAAAAACCAGAAAGGATACTTATTGTATTCAGAATAACTAGTAAGTAAACTGTTGATGGAAACAAATCATACATTGTTCAGTTCCTCTCTATATTCAATGACTGCATAACTCGCGTTATTACTAGAAGACTTTTACCAAAACAAAGAAAATTATATTTCATATATGTGCTTCTTATACTTATGAACTATTAAACTAAAGGTCTATTAATCTGATTATAATGACATTCATTAGAAACTATACAAGAATTAAGAAAGTAGAAAAGTAATTACCCAAAAACGTTGATTACTCAAATCGACAAGGCAATTATATATGTAAATTTTAAGAAAACAAGACACCACAATAAGAAAAAAAAAAAGAATAAAAAAAGGACTGAAATAACGAAAACATAAGTCTGAACATTCATAAAAGGAACCGCAATGGTGGTAGCACGGTTGAAGGCTTCAATAAGAAATAAAAGTGCAGTTCAACAGATGTGCTACGATCAAGCTGTCCAAAGAAAACAAGAGTATAGTATCATATGAGAAGTATCATATGAGAAAGAAAGGCAGAGAACATCGTAAAAAGAAACCGTTATGTTTTGAGAATAAATAAAAACATAAAATAAAAAGTTTTATAACATAGCAGAATATGAAAACAGAATCTTTAAAACATACCCAAAAAAATGACGAATTGAAACCTGAGAGCATGAAACAGGGTTATCCAATAACAGTTTTATTTTTCTCTTGCACGTTTTTCCTCAAGAGTCCTTATATGGGCTTCCAAGGTTGTTTGCTCTGATTTTAATTGTTCAATGTATTCAATGGCACGGGTTAACAACTCCCATTTTGAAGACTTGGTACTCTTATCAAGAGGAAGAGCATTCCTCAAATCATCGAAGAGTTCCTTAATTTCCTTACGACGCTTTCGTTCGGCAAGTTTATGATTTGTGCGAAGCTCTGGGTTGCGCACATAAGAATTCATATACTCGGTATGAACGGGGACCATGGAGGTTACGCGACGTAAATAATTATTACGGCCATAAGGAACGTTCGCGTTGAGAGGATAAGGCTCAGCAGGCGGATAAATTTTCGGCAAGGTTGAATCCAAGGTAGATGAAGTAACATCGGGCTGCTGCTTCTGATGGTTGTAATAGGGCTGATACTCAGGGTAAGAAACTTGAACTGGTGTAGAGGCGGAAGGAGTGGATGGTTTGCTTGGAAAGGAAGAAATGGAAGAAGGAGGTAAATTCTGGGTAGTCAAATATAAAGGCTGAAGGGGAGGATTATGTACGGAATGAACATAAGTGGTAAAAGCATCATTTCGGATAGTAGGTTCGGAATTGGCGTATGTATGACTGGAAGACATGGGCTGCTGAGAGGTAAGGGGTATATAGTTGTTAGAATTGGTATAAGGAGAAGAGTGAACAGATTCGGGTGATTTATTAGAGGTGGAAAAGTTGTTATTCTTGGAGTTCAAAGAGGGTGTTGGAAAGGAACTTGGGAGATTCTGATTGGAGGAAGGAAGTTGAGGAACGCCGTAAGAGTAAGGCATGGAGGAAGAAGAGGAGGAGGGAGAGTCCTTCATGGCGGAAGAAGATACAGAAGAGGAAGGGGACGAAGCGGAAGAAGAGAGAGAAGGCCAAGAGGACTGGGATGTGTGCTGTTGAAACGGTTTGGCGATACAGTTAATGGGAGGAAGGCGAGGCTTAGAAGAAGAAAACGAGTAGGAAGAATCAGCCGAGGCAAGGTATTGAGAGGAGGAAGAAAGAGGTGGTGGAGGAGCTGGACCTGAGCCTGGGCCGGTGATAGAATGCAAATGTGGAAGAGAATAAGCATTAGACATGACTACAAATAATGATGATGGAACAAATAGAAAGAGGGAATTCTAAAACAACAACAACCAAATAAGAAACAAAGAAGGAAAGATAGAGACACACTCAGAAATACAAAGACAAGAAGAAAACGAGAGAATCAACCAAAGGAAGTAATACACAGAAGATCGATATGTATTGAACGCGCAAAAAAACAAAAAAAAAAAAAGAAGAGAAGAGAGAGAAATCGTTATATGTCGCTTGATCAATACTGACGAAAGAACAACATAAAAGAGCAAGTCAAAGAAATGTATAGAGGGATCTTAAAAAAAAAATAATGAAAGATGGGATAAAGAACCAAGACAAGAAATGACTACAAAACAAGAGAACCTAAAAGTAATAAAGGCAAAATTAAATGAATTGGGATAGAAAAGAAAACAACCCCGCGAAAATAAGAACGACGACAACAAAAAATAATCAAGGAGCTTTTTCTCTTTGATTTTTAATTGCGGATGGGAGGTACTTTACTATGACTCTTGTATTGGTGGCGGTGCTTATTGCAGCGTTGATAACAAAAAAGGTAAAGGAAAGATATGGTTTGCTGATGATGGAAGATCGGAACAGCGGTCGGTGGATGGAGTAGTGTGGTGGGGAAGAGAGATCTTTTTATAAAATGGGATAAATAGAAGAGAAGAAAGAAGATCGGCAGAGAGAGATGCTTGTGCGGAATGAAACAGGGATAAGAGTAGAATTTTTATGTCATATCTGACTAGCGACGTAATCAGGTGGAAAAAGCGGAGATCCGAAGGAAGTATTTTCGCGAGATAAAGAGCACTCGTTGGAGATACGAGATGGAGAGGGAAAAAGATTACACGGAAAGTAAACAAACCAACCAACAAAAGATGAAAACAAAAATGAAAAAATAACTGTTGATGGAGTTTTGCGATAGGAAAATGATCTGTAAACGAAAAAAAAAAAGAAAAACAAAAAGAAAAAAAATAAAAAAAAGATGAAAAAAAAAAGTAAAAATGAAACCCAACTCTTCATTTTTGTTTTCATCTTTTGTTTACTTTTGCAAAAACTTTTGAGTTTCCGTGCCAAAGATTTTGCGAAGTATCTCCTCAAATTAAAAACTCATTTCCCCTGAATGACAAACCTTGCGAATGAATCTTTCTCGGGTCCACCTTTTCAACTATGACCATATGCATTGCGCCTCCTTGCGTTTGTCGTCTACTTTCCCACACTTAGGGTCTGACATTTTTCGTTTTCGTTTTCACGTGTACATCTTTATTCTCAATTTATCGAAGAATAAACAAATAGAAATAAAACAAAAAAATAGTCCCTTCTAGCTACATTGTTTCACTGAGAGGTTGGATTGTTTCTGTTTTCTGTTTTCTGTTTTTTCTTCCTTCTTCATTTCCAATGTTCTACCATGAAAATATGTTTACATCGATTGGGTTTCAATACTAGGTTTGCCATTATGTATTCTTTCTTTTAAATTTCTTGTTACAATTTCTTCTTTGTTATTTGGAAAATAAAATAATGTAGATTCACTAGTCTGCTTTGCTGCTTTTATGGAGAAATGAACGTTCTTGTTTATGCAATTATCCTCTAGTTCATTCTATTAATCGTCACCTCCATTTGCTCTTCTTTTTCAGCTTCCTCACTATCATTTGCGAATACTTCTTGATACGGAGGAGGTGGCATTGATACCGTCGAGGCCGCGGCCGCGGGCGCCGCCGCAGGAAGCCGTCTTCCCCAGGTCGAATCCGTCGATGCTACTTGCATACGATCCATCGTTGTTTGTGTAATTCTCTCTTGCTCTTCTTCCTCCACTGCAAGTCGCTCCACTTCAGCGATTCCTGGCGATAATACTCCATACAAACAAATCACTGTTCCCACAATAAGTTCCGGCACATATCCAAGTCCGAATGCTATCCCTGGGTTCACTTTTGGATTGCTCGCATTCCAGTTGTATTTCCAGCTGGAAATACATCCATACACACCTCGTAGGAGCACCATCAGGCCTCCCATATAAACGCTCATCCATCGTTTTCTTCGGTCACGTCCATACTCTTTCAAATATACACAAAATGCTCCCACACAGCATCCTAATCCAAATAAATTGATCACCGCTGATGCCTTAAATCGTGCGTCCGTCGCGACTGCTGCCTCTCCCCGCGCTATTCTTGCCCAAGAATGAAACCCGGCCAGTAAGAATCCCAGCATCGACAGTATATACATCACAATTGGCATTCCGTATTCCATTGTCTCTATCCTTTTTCTTCGTTCACTGCCATCTGCTTCTCGTCCGACTACCGTCAGCTCTCGCCAGCGTATAAATCCAAACGTACTCACATAGTGCCAATACACCAACACTAGAATCGGTACATTCGAGTGAAAGCAAAATGAGAATATGCACATCGACAAACCTTGAACCGGATTTCGATCCACATCTATGTATGCAAACCCTGAGACCGCCAACACCAGGATCAATAAAATCATCCAGTAGAATTCGGCTCGTCTCTGGAAACCCTTTTGTGCTCCGGGGACATTAAATTTTCCTATGTTCATTAAAAGAAATGGGATTAACAGGAAACCCAAGCATGCGGACACGATCCCAACAGCCCCATGCCCTGCCAATTTCTTCACTGGACTATCGCAATTCACTCCATCCAAAACGGTTCCTTCTTCTGTTATGCTTGGCCAGTTATGTTGTCTCCACAAATAGCAATGCGTTCCATTGCCAACTGTACCATTTCCATACACTTGATAGAAAAAGCGTTCAAAGGTTTCTAGTTGAGTAGCATTCATCACAGCGTATTCTCTTGTTTTTCTAAGCAAAACCTTTAATAAACCTATCAAAAGTTCTTGTATTGTCTACTTTTGTCTTCCTTTGTGATGATTTCGTGCCTTGCTTCCTTTTGCCCAAAGATAAAAAGAGTATATTATACTTTCTGTTTAGTTCTCTAAAACGAACGATCAATATAAAACCATCTTTTACTTATTCGATTTAAATAGTTTTAGCAAACATTACCAACTGCTGACGCAAATTTACTTTTCTAGGTCTTAATTCTATCTGCAAAGGTACGATGACTTCAGGATGTTGTAAACTGCAATAGTCAAATAAATAACTCCTTTGATTTGAACTCGGTTTTCTTATCAATTCCTCATAGCTGTAAGTTTCTTGAATTCGCTCGCTTTTAAACTCGTCCCCTGCGTACGCATTCTGAAGTGGATGTACCATTGAAAAAGAACAGTAAAATGAACGTATTTGCTTAAGATATATTGGAAACTCTTAAACCTTCGTAAAAGGTACAGCCAGAGACGGAGTTCCGGAGCCCCAAGTCAAAAATCCTAGTTTAGGAGACACTGTCCAATGCATTGTATAGTTCGCTTTCAAGTTACTAAAATCATTGCTATACTCGTTAAATGGATGAGCATGTAAATTTGAAAGCGTATTCTCAAGTTGCAAATGGGATTCTTCTGAAGTTGACAGAATGCGATCCCAGACAACAATATTATTCACATCCTGCAAGATTAGCAATGCAAATTCCGGGTAGATGCACTTGAGCAACATACATGTTTTTCCGTTGGGTATGAGGCTACCAAATAGACGACAATGTGCTTGGTGTTCCAAGTCCATAGATTTGAAAAATCGGCATCCAAGTCAAATTTGATTTGAGCATAATTCTGCCGTTTATTGTGGAAGGCATGATAAAATCTGGCTGGTTTGCTAATTCTCAAACGTTAGTAATCCAGTGTTCAAGAAATCCAAGCAAATACGATCAAAATTCATCATCAAAACAATAACAAACTGGTATACTTTACCAATTCCTCTCATCCTCTCATTCTCGCACTCGAGTTTCTTGAACAAAGTAGCAAAGACAAAATTGGCTATAGTTTCGAGAGGAAAGCGTAGTAACTTTTCATTCAAGATCACACTTACTATTTAGCATAATGAACAGTTGCTGGAAGGATTTTTTCAGCACTGGGGTTTTCAACAAGATTCTGGAGAGTGATGATTGCACATAAAAGAATCAACATAGAAGAGAGCTTACTGAAAAAAGCACTGATACGATTTGAGGTAGTATCTAATAACATGTTGATTATATATTGAATGCTCTAGATTGTTTTTCAGTAAGTATTTTCATACACTATTGCTGTTGTAGATGTGCTTGCTTTAGACTGCTATAATACTCGGTAAATGCATATAGTTGCTTTTATCGAAAGGCTTTACTTTTACAGGTAAACTTGAATTTTAACGTGCATTTTTATGATATGATATGAACAATGTTTGTGTACTGTAAAACTTTTAAGGTTTCTTGAGATAAGAAAGCTTTTTTTTTATTTCAACATTATTCCCTGGTGCTATCTTCCAATGGTCCTTTTTTCTTAACAACTAGTATACAACATTACTATGTTAAAAATAAATAAAAAGTCTTAAGTAAGAAATCATTCCAATAGGCTTTGAGTCCAATCGAATGGACGAAAACGAGCTCGGAAAGCATCTTCAGCTGGATCCCTTATGCCAGTCCATTTGCCTCTTCTTCGTATAACTTCCGGTGGAAGGTTAAGCATACTTGCGAATACTTGCCTTGGAACTTGATCATGTTGACCCCATATTTTTTCATTTTCGACAACATGTCCAAAACCCCCGTCTACCGTGAACCAAACATGAAAATAGCCCAACTCTAAAAATGGTTAGTCTTGTTCGAGCATCCAGAGGAATTCAAATAATAATTCTCATGTTTCCTCACCTTTAACCATCATTTTTCGGAAAGCCAATTTTCCATATTTTTCAGCACCTTTCATTGTATCAATGATTTTGCGATGCTGCGACCATTCGTCATCAGAAGTTAAAATAGCTTCACGAAAATAAGCTGGTGCCAAAGAGAGTGTGCGTTTAGGTACAGGTACGCATTCTATTGCAGTATGTAGAAATCTTTGAGGTGAAGGAGCGTTTTCGTAGAAAATAACACCCATCCCCATAGAATCAAACATTAGAGCGATGCATTTCATAAAATTCTATTTCAAGGTTAATTTCCGCAAATGTTTTCAAGAACAAACATATAGACATACCCTAACCTCATCCCATTCATCTTCATCACAGGAGAGCATGTTTACACGGTGATTAGTAGGAACAATTAAGCAATGATACTTTGCTAGTTCAGGTTTCGTTGGTAAAGAAAGATACACACGATGGCTTAGTGCAATGACAGGTGCTAGCGGCTGTGAATTAATACTCATACACAACGGGCAAGAATCGAGTACGCGGTTCATTTTTGATAAATTTCCTCCTTGAAAAACATGGTTCATATCAATTTCTCTTCGATTCATACGATCGGCTAATCTGTTTGCGTTTTCATCGAGATAATCGAAATCATTCGAGAATCTGCTATCTCTGGTAATACGTTTTGCATAGTCCTTATTCAATCCATGCTTGTCCAATTTGTTCAAAAGCTTCTCCTCTTGAACCATTTCTTCGATAGAGGGGTCGCCTTTATTTAAAAATGGTTCCAAGCGGGACTGATCATTTCCGTCTGTGGTATCCTCAAACCTTTTATACATGGTATCATATTGCTGTTTCAAAGCTTCATAGTCTGAAGAGTTTTTAGCCTGCGCTCGTAAAACCTGCGCTTTTACTTTATTCAAATCATCCTGAGTAGGCTTTGAAAAAGAAGAAGAAGATTCTGGTGGTAAGGGGTTACTCTTTCGCTCATTCTCTAAGCGATTCCGATACTTTTCGCCTGTCGGTGCATCTTTTTTTATTTTACCCGTTGCTTTTCGATGATCTAACTCTTCTTTTTCTTCTAAAGCATCATCAAACTCTTCTAAAGAACCATACCTTTCAAGAGCCACATCTTCAACAGGTCGATGGCTATCCTTTGCCATGTCGAAAACACGCCGAAGCTTCATCATTCGCCAGCGTGAACCATTGTCACCAATTATGTACTCTAAACGCTGACTTTTTGCAGGCTGTTCATCTATCACCTCCCTAGTTGTGTCCCCAGAAGGACGATCTGATTGAGTAGCTTTGATAAACCGCCCAGGAGTTTGTTTAGGTTCTTCATAAGCAGGTTCTTTCGACATACGTGTTCCATACACTCCAAAGTCCATTCCCTCCAAATTTCCAAGCCTAGAATCGTTCCTTTGTGAGGTATCCTGATCTGTAGCTCCAGTAAAACGAGAACGAAAATAATCATTTTTCCGCGAAAACTCTTGCTCCGCATTTCGTTTATAAGATTCTTGACCCTCATAAGACCTCTTCCTTTGAGGACTATGTGACCGTTCACGTCGTTCTCTTCTTCTCAAGCCACGTTCATCCTGTTCATGACGCCGTCTACGGCGATATTCACGATCATGTCCATCATACCGAGAAGATGCTCCTCTCTCATCCTTCTTCCTATCTAAATGTTCATTTGGAAACATTTAGTCCAATATTTCTTTACGAATTCGCCAATTTGGCAGCGAAGGCAGCCGGTTTATATCGGTTTGGTTGTCGAATCCATTTCAGGGCTTAACGAAATTGCGTTGGCATTTCTAAGTAAATAAAAGGCCAACAAAGGGTGATAGACAGCATCCTAATGTTTTTTTGTTAGTGGCAAAGACAAAAGGAGCTCATTGTAAAGGGATTGGATCCATAACTATCCTTTATCAAGCCTTTTCTGTCTTTGAGTAAGGCGTTGAGAAGAATCATGCTTTATGAATCCCTCAGGCAGGAATCCTCTCAAAAAAAAGGGGTTCTTTAACTCAAAAGTAAAGAAAAAAGACAAAACAAAAAAAACAGTTTGAAAATGTACAGCAAGCGAATAAAAGAAAAGAAATCAAAAAAACTCTTAGTATGATTTATGTGTATGATATTGTAAAGTCACATAGAAGCCTCACCACCAAGCATGTTAGCGAGTCATGATATACTACTTTATTCTAAAGTTACAGACTACGTTTCCACTCGCAATTCACTAGTCTTCCAGATTCCTTATAATACAATCGTAACAAGGCAATAATTTGTAGAATCTTCGTAAGTGTTCTATTTCAGTGGATGTACTTTATTAAATTGTGCTAAATTATTGCCTTGTATAAAACTAATGTCTGGAGCACCGTATTATGAAGATGACGGCGGATCACTGAATTCTGGACCATATCCTTTTCCATTCGATGATGATCGTCGATTTCAGAATTCCTTACATCAAGCGATTTTTCATGAGGATGATCCTGGACGTAACGACGCGGGTGGTTCTGCTTTAATTGACCAACCATTTCACGATATACCGAAAACAAATGTGAACGCGGCTAACCCTATGGAAACTGAATTCAGTCAATTCCAGTCAACAGGAAAAGCACAAGATTTTGGCTCCTTATCTAATAATGGCTCTAAGGATGAGTTGCTGTTAACCGAAAATGACGATGGGCTGAAAGGCAAGACAAGGATTCCCTCTTCGACAAGTCCGTTTCATCCGGAGAGTGGTTCTCCAAAAAGTAACGAGTCTCATAGCAAAAGGCATAATCCTTTGGCTCCTCCTGGAGCGTCACCTCTTCCTCCAATGTCCATTGCCATGAATTTTGCCAGAAAAAAAGCTTGGCCTGCAAGTTTAGCAATTGGTAAGTAAATTTAGGACGTATACAGTATTTTTTTTCTAACTGATTATCTTTAGAACGTGATAATACCGCTGATGCAATCTTTTCAAGAGAAGAAGGTAAAGAAGAACAATTTAATATGGAAGGTGTGAAAACGAAGTCGGGACGTAAAGTTCATCGACCTAATCATTTCGATCCTTTGGTGAAATTACCAACCAGAAAACGTGGTCCTGGTCGGCGGCCTACTATTGCTTTGACGATGAAATGTTGTATATGTCAGCGCTTACAATCACCACCTACAAATCGCATCGTTTTTTGTGATGGTTGCAATGCCCCATTTCATCAGCTCTGTCATGAACCAAATATACCTGATTCACTTTTAGATTCTCCTAATGGCGAATGGTTTTGTAACGCTTGCTCGCAACGAAAACATCAAAAGCCTTTAATTGTAGGGTCTACTGCAAAAGAATTGAGCTTGTCCCTGGAAGAAAAAAGGTCTTATTTGTTTAGTCTACCAACCTCACATTTGGTTGACATACTACTTATGTGCGAACAAGCTCATCCAGAATTACCGACTTTAAGTCCGAATGCAGTCTCATTTATAAAAAATAAAAAGCAAGAAAAAACTCCTGTTGTATCTTCGGAAGTTATGTCCCAACCAGGATTTGGTGATATTTCATCCGATGCCCATGAGGTTTCTCAAGCAAACCTTCAAGGACTAACGTCCTCAAGCTTTAACTTGGATTCTGTCACTGATTCGGTTGTTTCTCAAGATCATATATTTCAATTCTCAGAAAAAGAGCATGTTCCATCTATCGATGAGTATATGCAAACTCACAGTAACGCCGACGAGGTGATGCTTGAAGTATTAGAGAAGTTTCCAGCCGTTGCTTCTCTTGATTCTATAATTAGTTATATTCAAAGGTTTGTTGCTCAAGCTCTTGTTTCATCAGGAATTACTAACGATTAAATAGCAATTATGGTGATAAACATTTAAATAATTCAGATATAATCAGAACGCTGAATCGGCTGGTACGAAAGGGGCGTGTTCTCCGGGATGCCACTGGTGTCTCTTACGAATTGGATCGAGCATTCGATAGACAAAAACCTTCCATTCGTAATGATGTTTCTGTAACTGGACCAATACCTATCGATTTTATGTTGTACACGCCAAATACAGACGAATTAGATGAATCTTTCTGTACTCATTATGTTTTCAACGACTCTGCTGTACTTTAATCATTATTTGCATTGTGATATTCTGGGACGATTGCATCGCATACAAATCCAAAAAAAAAATAATGGAATTGCTTTGCAAAATGAATGAAATGACTATTAGATGAATTTTATAGAATCTAATTTAAAGAAACTAAATAGAAATACAAAGCAATAAAAGTTTTGTGAATAGGAAAATTGTTTTTTTCTTTTTTTTTTTTAAAAAACGAGAGAACGGATAATAAACAAGAGATGAATCAATCATAATTAAATAACAGTTTAGAGGAAAAAAAATGACAGAAAAATAGTAATTTTAAAACAAGTCTTCTATATCTTGAAGATGCTGGCGAGAAAAATATTCAGAGGCCACAGCAGCCGTTCTTCGATACCGTCGTAAAGGTTGATCTGCATTTTCTGTGTAATTTTGTTCCTTAAGGCTTTCTTTCTGACTTTCGTCACCTACAGAAGACTCAAGTTTAACTTTCTTTTCCGGGACAGCATCAGAAGGAAGTTCATTCAGACCAGTAGGGATTACGTCGTATTCCGTCTTCTGCTCTTGAGTTACCTGAACCTCTGGGGAAGCTGTAGGAGAACGTTTCTTAACCTTTTTCGTAGTTTTCGAGCGCTTTGCACTCACCAGACTCTTTTCCTGATATGCACTTGGACATAGTCCCTTGGAAGCGAGTGTGCAAATATCACAGCGCCTTCCTCTTGGAAGACAAATAGTTTGCCCAAAACCAACGAGCATATAATTCACTTCATGCCATAGATGTTTTGGCAGAAAACTTTGCAGAGCCAATCGAGTCTGCTCTTCTGTTTTTGTGTGGCACCAGCCCAAGATATTTGAAATCCGGTGTACATGTACGTCGACGCCAATGCCGACAATTTTGTCCCAAGCAATACCCATGCAAAGATATCCCATCTTTGGGCCTACACCAGGTATAGACATCAATTCTTCAACCGTTTTAGGGATATCACCATCATATTTCTCTTCCAGAATTTGAGCCATTTGTTTTAAATAAATTGTTTTACGGTTATGGAATCCAACTTTTTCGATAAGCTTGTTTAAGGAATCCTCGTCAATTTCTCTTATTGCCCGTAGACATAGTCCTTGCGGCAAATTTTCCTTCAAGTTCTTCATGGTTGGTCCAAGGACTGTATCCTTCGTTTGACTCGACAGCATCAAAGCTACAAGAGTTTGAAATCGAAAGATTTTAGGGTCTGTTTTTTCACCTAGTGTATGTGAACCTTGTACGTCCACGGGAGCAACTACATTTTTTTTTCATCTCTCGAATCTCATTGTAAACAGTCTCCCAGTTATCTGGGAAATTTTCATTCATCGTTTGAGAGCTTTTTAAGCTTTCCATTCCCCTTGAAACCCATTATACAGAAACCAGCTTATAGAAGGAAATAGTTAGAGTAGAACAGTAGAATTTGCAAAAATTTTTACTGCATTAAGGAAAAACGTGCTCGTAAAAAAACAAATAAAGAAAGTAAAAAATGAATGAACAGGGTAGTTTGAAATCACTGATAGAAACCACTTTCAAAGTCGACCGCCTTTAGGAAGTCAGCTGTTATTATCACCATTCTTGAATCCTTGTAAATTTTGGGTTTTCCTTTCGATATGGAAGGAGAGAAAAAAAACGACACCAGCAGGATTTGAACCTGCGCGCGGAGACCGCAATAGATTTCTAGTCTATCCCTTTAACCACTCAGGCATAGTGTCTTTGGTTGAAGGCTGCTAAAAGAAAGAGAATATAACCCATTTGTTGATTACTGGAACCTGGCTATTGGTTTCAAATGTACGCCCATGCAAAAAAGAAAAAAAAAAAGGAAATTCTTGAAATAATAGCAAGACGAGAGGAAGTAATTTGGGAATGTTAGGTTGAACTCCAAAAGACCAGATAGCTCCAGTAGTAAAAGTAGTAGTAACAAAACTTTCTATAGGCTAGGTATTCTGAATAACCTAGATCATGAAGAGCACGATTGAATACGATTTATGTGAATTTGAAACCTTCTTTCTTGTTGCTAAAGCATTCTCCCATCATCTTCTCCCAAAGGGACAAGACAACTAGTAAACAATATGGGATTCATGTATTCGGTATTGCTCAATTCGCTCGCAAAACAAGAAAGGGTTTGAAATATGAAAAGGAATTCTTCAAAGAATGAGTCAAATTGAGTTTTCTTCGTTATTTGATGAGAAAAATTCTTCCATTTCTACCTTTGGATGCTTGTTGACACTCAGTATTTCTCAAGTTACGATGTTACTTTCAGGCGAATCGATGAGTTGAACTAGCAAGAGCAATTCAAAAGAATTGAAGGTTGAAAAGACGTATACAGGAACTATACCCAAGAGTTTTAAGTAGTAACTGAAATTGCATGTAGCTGAGGGAAAGCAAAAAATATCTGGAAGTTTAAAAAGAGAAAAGCAATCAAGGACGAAACTTTTATTTATAATTGTCACTTTTGACATCTATTTTTCACGCACTTGTCCATGGAAAACGAAATTGTCGCTTTATGCGGCTTTTTTGTTTCTATTTCCCTGGTTTTATCGTTTATTTCAATCGCTTCTCATTTAAAAAATTATAGAAAGCCTGTTTTACAACGCTCTGTAGTAAGGATTTTGTTAATGTTCGTTTTTCTCCTTTTTCGTTTTCTTTTTTCATTTTATTTTTTTCTTTGGAAATTGTTCGTTCATGAATGTTTTGCTAATCTTTATTCACAGGATTGTTACTTATTCTATCGTCTCTTTTTTGGCTGTATATAATGAAAGAATTGGAGCCTATTTTGAACCTTTCAGGGAAATCTACGAGGTAAGAGTTATGATTGATAAACTGCATCCTTGAGTCTACAAATGGGTGTCAAAAACAAGAGGGCTTTTTGATTTGTTCCGAAGCCTGTGTAATCTATTTTCTTGCTATATATGAACAATTTTTTGAGAATCACATCTAACATGTCCTTATAGGCATTTGTACTTTATTGTTTCTTTTGTTTGCTTATTGACTACCTTGGCGGCGAAAGAGCTGCTGTGATCATTCTGCATGGACATTTACCTCGTCCTCGTTTATGGCCATTGAATCACCTTCAAAGTGATATTGACTTAAGCGATCCTTACACATTTCTTTCCATTAAACGAGGTATCTTACAGTACACATGGCTTAAACCATTTCTCATTATGGCTACACTTCTTAGCAAAGCTTTAGGAGTATATGAACAAGAGGGAAAGCCGGTCTTTGTTACAGCTGCTTTATGGATTGGGTTGTTGTACAATATTTCGATTACTTTATCTTTCTATTCTTTAACAACATTTTGGGTTTGCTTGCACGAGGAGTTGGCTCCGTTTCGACCCGTCCCGAAATTTCTTTCTGTAAAAGCTATTATTTTCGCCTCCTATTGGCAACAAACCCTTTTGTCCGTAGCCAACTGGCTTGGCATTTTGCGAAAGACCCATGGGATATTTATCTTATTAGACCAGAATGTCCTTATGTGTTTAGAAATGCCTTTCTTTGCGTTATCTCATTGGCATGCCTTTCGTATTAAAGATTATATAACGCCATCATGGATATCGTGTTCAAGGATGCCGATTATAAAAGCCTGGAAAGATGTTGCTGGGTTCAAAGACGTTTGGTGCGACAGCATTCAAACGTTACAGGGCGATCGGTATGTCTATGAGAATTTTGAACCTGCTGAATGTCAAGTCCCATCAAGACATGATGCACGATTAAATCGAACAATCCGCGGTTTGCGTTACAGTCAAGGTGGCCAGGGCAAATACTGGGTTTCCCGATACGATCAATCACGCGTACGTTTAATTAACAACAACAACTCCCCAGCGTCAAGTAAAACTTACTTCTCTATCCCCGGTTTGTACAGCGAATCTCAGCATTATGAAGGAGGAATATATTTTGAAATAGATGACGAGATAGAACCGCTTTATACTCAGGCAAAGAGTATGCCTTTTGGTGATTATAACTATCCAGTACTTCCAATTCCTACTATTTCAGAAGCCGCTCCTATAAGAAGAAATCGTTCAGAAACATGATTACAGGTTCATTAGAATCTCGTAGCGAAAGAACTGAGTGTATTACCGAAGTTTAGTCCCCCAGGTCGCTTTGTTTTTGGCATTTGGTTTTTACAAGCCGCAACTATTTCGTTCAAATTGGTTTCTAAGACCAATCCACCGGAAACGATTTCAGCAAGGATTGCATGAATTTCCTGAAACTTAAACACCTGGAAATGAACGAGTTAGTAATAGTTCGTTTTTTATGATTCCTGTATAATATAAAGCATTTCTCTACATCTTCTTTTCTCTTTCTGCGAATCGTCATAGACCCGGTTTGATGATCTTCTGATGGACGTCTTTATCCACTTGAAGTCGAATGAGTCAGAATCTGTTAAAGCTCATTCAATTATGATACAGCATTAATCAAAAAATATTTTAAAAGGACCAAAAAAAATATCATGATTCGGTCAACAGAAAGAGGCAAGGACTTTGGAATCCGTTCTTATTGGAACGATGCACTCGAGACTTACCAAATCTAGTTCACAGACGTTATTAAAGCAGCGGTCTAAAGCTTCCACAAAAACCTGATTGTTAGCTTTACCGAATTAAGGGGAAGGGAAACAAACCTGAATGAGATCTAAAATCCCAAGTTCGCTTTCTGCTTCATCCACCACAAACACAAAATATAAAGTGGCATATTGACGATAAATAATCCTGTTTTTTCCAGCAATCAAGCTGCTCTCAAGAAAATTGCACGATGCAGCCGTACGGTTGGATACTGAATGATAAATTTCGCCAAGTAACCTTTGTTGATCCGATTCTTCAATTGGAGTATAAAACTTTGTCAGTCTAGGTTTCCCTTTATTATTGAAGATAAAAATTGCGTAAATCATGTCCAAGAGACTGCCTGCCCTTCACTACTTGTTGGTACCAGTAAAGACAAGCTTACCTAGGTGGAAAATACATGTGGTCTTGTTTCGGTTATGACAACTCTATTTTTGAGCTTTACTAACCGAAAAGCAGAAATGCGCGTGCCTGAAAGTCTCTATTTCTTTGCATAAATAATATATATATATATATACACTGTTTTATCTACATGTATAGTATATGAATGAATTTTTTTCATTAGATTCAGTCGATCATAATTGGCATCGTAATCCCTCCATGTACAAAGTCATTCTTAGAAACATATACTAGCTGACTTGTTTTGCTCATCGCTTTAAAGAGTCCCTGCTTAGGATTATCTTTCATACAGAAAACCCAATGTCTAAAGGTATACACCAACTCGTACTTTTACCTCCTCGCATTAGTAGCATTAGTTACTTATTTTAAACATATAACGAAATGTTACACGTACAATATCCTTAGTTAACGGAAAGTTACTTATTCCTTAGAGCTCACTATTCGGCTTAAGAACCACTTGCCACGAGGAAATGCTTGACAAATTCGCCTTAACCACAGTTCCTTTCTCATCGTCGATGTGCTTATTTTAATGCCTCCGTCTTCAAGAAATCAACGTGCGACTAAGAAATTACAAAGAACTCCTTATGACCGACATGAATCGGGAAATCACCGACCCTTTTTTTCGGCTTTGAAGGCTACAGTCGCTTCTGTTTTGCGACCATTCAGCAATAGTTGGTCGAGCAATGCTGAAAAAGAAACGCCTAATCATAAGAGAGCTTCAAGAAGTCTATTGGATCCAGAATTGAGTCCTCACTACTTGGGACGAACTCCGTAAGTACAGTAATAAAGAATGGAGGATTCTTTTATTCAGAACATTTTGCTAATTTCATATAGACATATTGTTCGCATAAATAACCGTAGTCACATTCGCACACTAGATGGAATTGAAGGAAAGTCAAATGAAGATGATTTGTCTTCTAAGCAATTTTCCCAGGATTTTGTAGAAAATAAAACCGCTTCCCGCAGAGGTAGCATGCAATCCGGCTTACCGCCAGAAAAATACCAACAGCTTTCTTCTGAGCCTCATCTTCAGACCCCACCATTAACTTCCTCTTCTGCGGCCTTGCTCGACATTTTGCGCTCCATTCGAACAAACCCCAATGCGGGTAGCTTACCTCATATTACTCCTGTATCTCAATTATCCACTAGTCAATCTAGCAAAAAGAATGTGCCTTCACAGCGTATAGGACGCCGTTCTTCGACAAAGAGGGATCTCCCCCAGAGACCCATTTCAGAAACTAGAAAGACTGATACAGGAAGGACAGATGGTCAAATAGCTCCCAGCTATTCTTCAGATGAACATTTCCAATCTGATCAGAAGTCGCAGCACCCTAAAAGTACCAGTAGTATCGAGTTACATCCCAAAAAGATCCGTAGGGAAGAGCCAGGATTGAAAAGTGTGACTTCAGCTTCAAAGGAAGCTAGGAAGGAAAAATTACGTCAAGAGTTGATTCCTATTGTTTACGAGACTCTTGAACGCATTGATTTAAAGAAACAGAAACTGGTGAATGCTGAAGTCCAAACCGAAGAGCAACCTGGAAATTCTAGTTCCGTAAACAAACAGGACTTCGTCTCTGAATATGAATATTCTTTCCCACCTGCCGCAGGGGGCAACAAAAAACGTGTGAGAGCTGCCTTTTCCGCATTAGATGAAGATTTAGATGAGCTTTTTGATAAAGATGAAGACACCGCTATGACCGATGCTGCTTCCCGTTCTATGACAAAGCATCATGAGCCACTCATTTCGGGTCCTGATAAAAAGGCTCCTAAAACTTTGCTTCCTCGCTCAGGTCCTACCTTTGAACAACTTCAGTCCTCATTGTCACCAAAGCGTAACCGTTCTGGTACAGAAGAGTCAGCAATCGTACCGAGCAGTTATCCTAAAACCCAAGAGAAGGAAGATATCCCAGCGAAGACAGCTGAATCTACAATTGACACTACATTCACTCCGGCTGAATCTCAAACCACAAGCACATCAAAGAGTTTTGCAGCGATACCCGAAAAGAAAGATACCGAAAAACTTCCAGAAAGTTTGTCCGACAATATTCCAAAATTCGAGTTTAAGTCTACTACTAGTGCTCCTAAAAGTATTGCTGAAACCGAAGGTACGGAGAATCAGAATAAAACACCTATCTTTTCTTTTGGTAAATCATCCGATAAAGCCAATGAGACTTCAAATCAAACAACTTTTACAACTGAAAAACCTGCAGCCACTCAAAAACCTTTTACTTTTGGACAGCCTTCTGAAAAAGACCTTTCCGTAGAGAAAACTGAGGCTCCGAAACCTGCTTTCAACTTCAAGCCTGCTTCACCAAATAAAGACGAGCAGGCTCCCGCGCTTTCGTTCAATTTCGGCAAAAAACTCGAAGAAAAAGAACCCGAAAATAGTAGTAAGCCTTCTTTCACCTTTGGTCTTCCTTCTCAGCAACAGCCGTCTAAACCTATTACTCCATCGTTTACGTTTGGTCAACCTACTGATCGCAAGATATCAGAAATTCCTACTAAACCTTCATTTAATTTTGGCCAGTTAGCTCCTATCAAGAAATCCGAAGAACAAAAAGTGGAAGTTGCTGATTCGACACCTAGTGACAAAAACAACTTGAACGTTCCCAAGTTAAACTTCAATTTTGGTCGGTCGTCCGAGAACAAGGAATCTACTGCCTTGAAACCAGCGTTTTCTTTTGATCAAGCTGCTACAACCGCCACATCGCAATCACCTCAACCGACGTTTACTTTCGGAAAACCCAGTACAGGACAAAAGAGTGCTAACATTGCTACTGAACCATCAACCAATATTGTACCCTCAGCTAATACAGAAACCCCGAAGTTCACATTCGGCCAAAATGCTGAAAGAGAGGTTACTGAAGCTTCAAAGACTACCGAAGACAAAAAGGAGGAAGTCTCGAAACCGACTTTTTCATTTGGACAGACTCTTAAAGGTGATGAGCAGATTGCTCCGGCTAAACCTTCATTTAGCTTTGGACAATCATTCGCCAAGAATGAAAATAAGGAATCGACAATTCCCGCTGCCGATAATAATGCTGCTAAGCCTACTTTCACTTTTGGTCAGCCCACGAGCTTAGGAACGTCGACTGCTACCAAGCCCACCTTTAGTTTTGGAACCTCCCAATCGAAGGATGAAGTAGCTAAAAATGAAAAACCCACTACTTCTATGTTTTCATTCTCTAAACCCTCTGATGTCAATGTGAAAGATAATACTGATCGTCAAAACGAAAGACCCGCGGATGTGAAACCAGCTACTCCTGTATTTTCTTTTGGATCTAGTGGAGCTACAAATACATTCAACAAAACGGAAAAACCAACTGCTTTTTCCACTGGTATAAATGCTTCTACTTCAAACACCTTGACAGCAAACGATGAGAACAAAGGTCCTACTGGAAAAATAGAATTAAATGACCAGGAGAAGAAAAACCCATTGAGTTTTACTTCCACTGATAAGCCTTTTTCTTTTTCTAAACCTACAGAATCCGATACCGCTCAAACAACAGCGCCATTTACATTTGGGTCCAATACTAATCCTCCTGCTCCTATTTTCGGCTCTTCCCCATTCAACACGGCTACTAGCGGGAATATGAAGGCGCCTAGTTCTGAGTTCTCAGCCAACGGTCCTACTGGTGCACCAGGATTCGGATTATCGGGTACATCAAGTACCCAACAGCCAGACACCGCCAACGCTTCTGCCCCATCTGGTTTTGGAAGTGGTTTCTCACAACCAAGTTCCCAACCTACTGGTATCTTTGGATCGTCAACTTTTGCAAGTACCAATTCTCCTTTCTCTTCCAAGCCAAATGCGGATCCTAGTGGTTCTACAAGTACAGCAAATACTTTTAGTAACACAGGCCAACCGCCTTCAGCAGGATTTACCTTTGGAGCTTCAAATAACACGAATCCTTCTGGTTTTGGAGCATCTAGTCCTAGTGGATTTACCGCCAATCTTGGTAATACAACGCCTGCTTTTAGTTTCGGTGCATCTCAGCCGTCCAATCCGCCCAATGCAGGATTCTCATTTAGTGGAGCCAGTACACCTGCTTTTAGTGCTGGTTCAAGTACTACTCAGTCTCCAGCCCCTCAAACTCAAAGCGGTATACAATTTAATTTAGGATCAACTAATGAGCAGCCGAATCCTCCTGCTGGAAGGAAGATTGCAGTTCCTCGCAGCAGAAGAAAACGCTAAAAATGAATTTTTATTAAATATTTGAATGACATGGGTAACTAGGATAGAGAAATAAAGTTATAGATTTTTTATTTACAGAATTGTCTAAGCAATTTAAAAAACATAAAAGAATAATTAACAACTGTTACTACCCAAAACCTATTTTAAACCTAATACCAATGCATATTCCATTCTTTATTTCTTCCCTGCAGCTCGAGTTTTTGTCATTCTATCCTTTTTAGTTTTCTTATAGGAACGGGGCATTTCCTCTTTTTCAAGCTGTTTTTTCCTCTTAGCTAGAGACGTTTTATCAGGGTTTTCAGAAGTTTGAGCTAATAAGTGTCAGCAAAAAGACATTATTTTATAAAACATACCTTTAGAAGCCTTCTTTTCCTTTTCACTTTGGAACCAAGTACGAGCGGGTCTGGAGCGAATTTCATCACTATGCTTAATAATGTTCTCTCCCTTTTTCAAATCACGTTCAGCAATTTTAATCTAACGGTATTAATATCTTGTAAAAAAAAAGAAAAAGAAATTCATCATAAAATCATACCTCTCTCTCTTGCTTCTCTTCATTCAAAACTTTATTGACTACGTCTTCCAAGTCTTTAATTTGTTTCCCGTATGATTCTACCTTATCGAACTCAAGATTTCGACTAACCACCTTTGTATTTTGGGCTGCGGAAGTTTTGAATACATCTTTAATAACTTTCCGATCACCTTCGCCTGCCAGAGTTACTGCCCGCCCGCTTAGACCAGCACGAGCCGTACGTCCAACACGATGAAGATAAATTTCATGCGATGAAGGAGCTTCATAATTAATAACAACCTCGATTCCCTTAATATCAATACCACGAGAAGCAACATCGGTGGCCAATAGATAATTACATTTACCATCCCGGAAGTCCTCCAAGGCACGAATACGTTGTTCCTGAGACAAAGAACCATGGATTTCGGTAGCGCTTAAGGATAAAAGTCCAAAGATAATCCTCATTTTATGTGCAAAGGCCTTGCTTCGGAAAAAAATAATGGTTCTTTTATGAAAAAGTGTCTTACACAAGTAAATAAGCATTGCTGGACGAAGGACTTCACGTTGAGGACGAACACGAATAAATTCCTGAGTGAGTAGCTTAGCAGTTGATTTTTTGGCATCTACGAAGAGACGGACTGGTCGATTTAAAGAAAGACGAATTAAATCGTCAACTTTATCAGTCATTGTAGCGGAGAACAGCATTGTTTGCCGAGATTTAGGACAGCTGTTAATAATTTCATTTAATTCATCAGCGAAACCATCATCAAGCATTCGGTCGGCTTCGTCCATAACCATAATTTCAATATGTTCAACCGTAAAGCCTTGCGAATTTCGCATATGATCAATAAAACGACCGGGGGTAGCAATAATGATATCAGGTCGCTTGCGAAGTTCTTGTTCTTGCTGCTTTAAGGACAAACCACCGACACATAAGCATGAAACGATATCAGTAAAAGCAGCAATCTTTGTAGCTACGCTGTGACACTGAATACCAAGCTCACGAGTGGGAACCAAGACCAATACTCTGGAAGTAGGTATTTTTTTAGGACGATAGAGTAAACGCTCTAAAATAGGGACAATGAATGCAGCAGTCTTACCACTACCAGTGATGGCAGCACCAACAATGTCTTTTCCAAGAAGAGCAACTGGAATTGTTTTTGATTGAATTTGGGTAGGCTGTTCAAAACCCATTTTGGAAAGACCCTTCAGAATAGGCCGAGATAGATTCATAGATTGAAAAGACGATTGCATTTTTATATCTGCGCTGTCTTTGTCTCCTTCGGAGAAATAAGCATTCTTTTTAGCAACCTCCTCTTCGTCTTCCTCGTCACTTGAAGCAGATGACTCTTCGTTTAATCCTTCTACACCGTTCTGTAAGGGTGTAAATGAGGGAACAGGTTCGGTAATGTCATCATCATCATCGTCGTTGTTTTCCTCCTCTTCCTGATCAGAAGCCTCCAATGTTTTCGCTCCAGTACCAAAACCATCGACGGCTAAATCTTCGTCATCTGAATGCAGGGTAATATCTTCTTCCTCAGGATCTTCCTTTGCTGTTGAGTTTTGTTCCCTTTCAGCATCTTCACTTGAGACATCCTTGATGCGATTACGCTCGATAATCGCGTCCAAATTTACTACATTCGAATCATCACGGTAACCAGATTTTGCGGAAAGGTCAAAATCCCAATTCGAATCTTCCTCTGTAACGAGACCTTGATTTACGTCCGTTTCAAACATAAAATCGTTGCTAAATTCACTTTCCTCCTTTCCTTTCTGCTTTTTCGATTTCTTTTTAGGTGTCTTTACTGGAACTTTGTCTCCCTCTTCTGCAGCATCGACATCGTTGTCATCATATTGAATATCATCCTCTGAGTCATCAATAGTTAAAATAAAATCGTCCTGTACCTTCATTGCAAAAGGCTGGAATAAGTAGGAGCAATTCGCACTTGGCTCTTAGTACATTGCACGTTTGCCATCAAGTGAAAATAAATAACGACCTGGTGTGCAATTTTGAAGCATCCGTATGTTTTTTTTGCGTTGTTTAGCATAACTGCGTAAACTAAGTTCTCTCGCTTTGTATTTATTTAGCTTTTAAGGAAATAAATCCTTTTGCAAGCGAGAAGGAAGCACGATTACCTATATCTTTGTCGAAACAATATATTCGCAAAATTAAGAGAAACAAAACAAGGATTTAATGATGAAGGAAACCTTCGGTTGATTTATTTGAATCATGTAATTCAATACCAAATATCATAAAATAGAGCCAGTAAAACCTAGACGCAAACCTTTGTAAAACGATTGAAACCTCGGTTCTAGCGTTCATATTATAATCACATCGATATTGTACTTCTTTCTCCTAAACCTCGTTGGGATTGAAACAAGTTGTCTCGAAAATAAGCCAATATAATGTTCTATATTTGTTAAAAAATGTTTATAAAATATGAAGACATACGCTGTAAATAGGAATTCTGCGAATTTGGAATACTGTATTACTAACTTTTATGTTTAGGTAATACCATTACTATATGAGGGAAGAATAATTATGCACGTTTATGAAGGACCGTTCCAATCGCCAGCAAACACCAAAAAATTGGCAGCGTTACTGAATTCTCAAAAGCCGAAATAACATTGTCCTGCATGTATATTTATTAACTTTAAGGATTTCTTTATGATATGAATTCATCGCCGGGAGATGCCGGAGATTTTGAAAGGACATACAGCAATGCTAGTAAATCCTATGCGGAAAACACCGCAAGGGAGTATGGGAACAATGGCTATAATGATTATATAGATTACAATTCGAATTTTGCTTCTGGAAACGAGTATGATGCCCGTCCTTCGTATTCGACAATGAATTCCCAGGATTTTCAGTATCCTTCTATTGAAAATTCGGGTTATTTACCATCCTATCCTTCTAAAGACGATAATATAATGATGGCAGATGACTTAATGGAGAATTCCAAGTATCATGCAGATGCCTACGGGTTTGATGGTAAAAACTTTGGGAGTCGACTAGAAATGGATGATTCTTTCGCTGATGCTCAATGGGCACATTTGGCTGGTAAACAACAGCATCCTTTGGAACCCCGTGAAATTCCTTTTCCTGTTACTGATCCCCTGAATCCGAAAATTGAAATGAAGCAGTTTGCGAATATCGCTGCTGTTCTTCGCTATCGTGGAGTCCATAGTGCTAAAAAAACGGCCTTTGTAATCTTGGATAGTAAGGGGAAAGAGTTTGCGTCTAGCACATGGGAAAAGATTGCTTCCCGAGCGGAAAAGGTTGCTCAAGTCATACGCGACAAGAGTGGTTTATTTAGAAGCGACCGAGTTGCCCTTATGTATCGTGATAGTGAAGCTATCGATTTCATTGTTTCTCTTTTTGGGTGTTTTATTGCCGGTGTAGTAGCAGTTCCAGTAAACCACTTCGATGATTTCAACGAGCTAACATCCATCTTCGCGACTACCGGCACTCGATTAGCTTTGACCACTGATGCTAACCTGAAGAGCTTTCAACGGGATCTTAATGCTAAAAAGTTACATTGGCCGAGAAACGTAGAGTGGTGGAAAACAAATGAGTTTGGTGGGTTCCACTTTAAAAAGAAAGGTGACTTACCGCCCTTACAGGTACCAGATCTCGCTTATATTGAATTTTCTAGGTCTCCACTTGGCGAACTACATGGTGTAGTCATATCTCATCGGACTATTTTACATCAAATGAACTGTTTTGCGGCCACTCTTTCTACTGCTCCTTCCTACGATTCTGATAAATTGGATTATTTATCCGTGGATCGTGAATATTTTGAAGGTGTTAGTAAGGCTGGTTTATTTTTGACTTACTTAGATTTACGTCAAGCTATTGGCTTAATTCTCGGTGTTTTGCATACGGTGTTTTCGGGTTACACAACTGTATGGTGCCCACAAAGTGCTGTTTTTGTGCCTGGTTTATGGGCAAATATCGCTACACGATATCGTGCAAACTACATGGTGACTGACTACGCTGGTTTGAAGGCAGTAGCTTATAATTACCAAAACGATCCGAAGGCTACTCTCGGATTTAGTAAAAAGCAGCCAGTCGATCTTTCAGCATTGAGGATGTGTATGGTTGATTGCCTTAACGTCGATTGTGAGTTCCAGGAAATTGTATCCGATCGGTGGTTAAAACCATTAGGTAACCATAATTCTCGTGCAACATTGGTACCTCTTCTATGTCTCCCAGAACATGGTGGTATGGTTATCTCTATGAAGGATTGGGTAGGTGGAGAAGAGTTTATGTCTCCTAGAGGATTCCAAGTTCCTCGTACTCCGGAAAATGAAATTGCTGAAGTGCTGTTGGATAAAGAATCGTTGAAGCTTAATGAAGTCGTTGTTTTGGCTGAAGATGAGAAAGCTCGTCGTCAATCGAAACACCCTAGTACTATTCGACTTGGAGCATTCTGGTATCCTTTTGTTGATGCTACCTTAGCAATTGTCGATCCTGAGACTCAAGTATTATGCATACCTAATGTAGTTGGTGAGATTTGGGTAGATTCTCCTTCATTGTCTGGTGGGTTCTTCGGTTTACCTAGACAAACTGAAGCTATATTTCATGCAAAAACTTACTTTATATCTTCTGATACTTTTGAACCAATTGCTTCGAATCAGGAATTTTTGCGAACTGGGTTGCTAGGATTTATCCATAAAGGTAAAATCTATGTATTAGGTTTATATGAGGATCGCCTTCAACAAAAAGTTGAATGGGTCGATAACGGGAAGCAGGACACTATATTTTTTCATCATTATACATCTCATTTGGTTACTACTATCATGCGTACAGTAACTAAAGTTTTTGATTGCTCAACTTTTGACATATACGTAAACAGTGAGCATTTGCCCGTTGTTTTACTGGAGAGTCCAGCAGCAAGCGTGCCAGCTGAAGCAGGTGGTACTCAGTTTTTACTAAACTATGATATGCTGAATCAAATAACCACAGAATGTATCGAATGCCTATTGGAATATCATCAGGTTCGTGTCTATTGTGTGTTGATTTGCGCTCCATTCACGTTACCAAGAGTGACTAAGAACGGTAGACAGGAAATCGGAAATATGATGTGCCGAAGGGCTTTTGAGCATGGTACACTTCCATTTGTTTTTGTAAAGTTTGCAGTTGAACGTGCCGTCCTTAATCTTCCAGTAGGTGAAGATGCCATTGATGGTATCTGGTCAAACTATGCTAGTAATATTCGACAAAATTTCCTTTTTGATCAAGAACTACAATATAGTGGTTACATCGAGCGTTCAATTCAGTTGGATGGAAAAACATTGGTCAATATATCATCATACAGAAGTATATTGCACATACTTCAGCTTCGTGTAAAAGAAAATGCAGATGATATCGCATATGTAACTATAGATGGACGTGGACGTGAGGGAAAAAACATAACTTGGAGAAAATTCGATCAAAGAGTTGCAACCGTGATTCGATATTTGCAAAAGAAGAAGTACCTAAAGACTGGAAGAGTTGTCGTACTAATGTATACGCATTCTGAAGATTACGTTTATGCTTTATACGCTTGCTTTTACTTAGGTTTGATTCCTATACCTGTTCCTCCTTTGGATAATACTCGGCTCTCTGAAGACGTTCCGGCGTTCTTGTTTCTCATAAAGCGGTATTATGTCAGTGCTATTTTGCTAAATTCGGAAGCTGATATGGCAATCCGAGGTAAGAATGCAGCGCAACACCTGAAGCAGTCAGCTATGGCTGCTAAAGTGGTTCTTCCTTCGTTTATAGTCACTTCTAAGTTGAGCAAACAAACGAAGAGTATTAAAGAATTAGGCGTAACGTTGGATCCTGTATGCTTGGACCCTGCTTTTCCTGCATTGGTATCGGCGTACTGGTCTCCAGATCACAAAATAACTTTAACGGCTTATAATCATGAAACGTTGCTCTCTTCATGCCAAATTCAGAAGGAAACATGCCAAATGACGCACAAAAGGCCTGTACTAGGTCATGTACGGAGCATGAGTGGTATAGGCTTTTTGCACACCTGTCTCATGGGTGTATTTCTAGGAACAACTACATACTTGTTGTCCCCTTTGGATTTTGCGAATAATCCGCTTTTGCTTTTCCAAATAATCTCCAAGTATAAAATCAAAGATACGTATGCTACGTTTCAAACACTAAATTATGTTCAGAATATGCAACCCACCAAATGGCCAAATCTATCTTGCTTAGAAAATTTAATGATACCTCATGACGGACGAGTCAATGCTTTTTACATTTCTGAATTGCAAAAGTTCTTTATGAGATATGGCGTAAGTCCGTTTGCTTTTAGTATTTTATACAGCGGCTGCCTTAATTCCTTTGTTACTACAAGGTCTTATATGGGAGCTACTCCTACTAAATACTGTGTTGATCTTCGTGCGCTGCGTCATGGGTTAGTACAGCCTTGTGACTCTGAAAATAAAACGTACTCCTTACCTCTTTTGGACTCGGGAATGGTTCCAATATCTACTCAAGTTGCCATTGTTAATCCAGATACTAGGGAGCTATGCCGTCTAGGTGAATATGGCGAAATTTGGGTACGTTCGAGTGCCAATGCCATTTCCTTTTTCCAATCCAGTGATCCAGTCGATATGATGAGGTTTAATGCTTCTTGTAACAATGAATTCATTGGTAATGGGCAATACGTGCGTACCGGAGATTTGGGATTCCTCCAAATTACATCCCAATCAATGGGACCTGGTAACCCGATTGTTGATATGCAGCTATTATACGTTTTGGGTCCCGTAGGAGAGACATTTGAGGTTAACGGATTAAGCCACTTCCCTCCTGATATTGAAGATACAATTGAAAGGTCTCATCCCCGTATAACGCGAGGTGGTTCTGCCGTCTTTCAATCTGGAGGAAATGTGGTCATTGTTGTTGAAGTAATAGGGTATGACTATTTATCTGCAATTGTTCCGGTGATTATCAATAGTATTTTGGATGAGCACCAAATCATCGTTGACACTGTCGCTTTTACATCTCGAGGAAACTTCCCTCGATCTCGTCTGCGTGAGAAACAACGAGGTAAGATTCTCGCTTCATGGATTACTAGAAGATTACGCACAACACAAATATTTTATATTAGGGGTTCTGCTGATAAGTCACAAGAAACATACATCCCTTATTTTAGTTCAAATACTAGTGCAACACCTTCCATTAGTTCGAGAAGTACGGCAACTCAACGAGTTTTTTGATGATACTTATTGTACTCATTTGAGTTTTTAAAAGATTCTTATGCGTTGGTCGAAAGTTGCATTTTTCTGTACTGCAAAATCGCGTTTATGATTACGTTTTAACGTCTTTTGAGGTTTTGGTTTTTTTTTAAGTTTTGCATGTAATGTATATTTATACACATTTTTTATCGACACCATTAATGGTATCTATGTACGTCCTTTTTCTTTCACTCTTTTTTCTATCATTTACGTTGCATATAGCATAGTATTTTACAGAAGAAGCCCATGGCTCCGAAGTTTCGTTTCATTTTTCTTACTTCATTCTATACTATCTTAATTACATTTTTCTTTAAGCTTATTGACAGTCGCATTTTATAAGCATATCAGAGAGAAGACTGACTTGTTTTTATACCAATTACTAAGTGGTGTAGTGAAATATAGTAGATATAACAGTTTAGTAAATTACGAAAGGTATATTTATCGTAAAAAGCACTATAGGGTATCTGAGTACACCGCACCGTATACTTATTACTGAGGCTGAGTGAAATGGTTCATCTCAATAAACAATGAAAAAGAATTCGGAATTTAGTAAACCAGAACCACTCTGCATTGAGGTTGTGAAAGGTGGTAAAATGGGTAAAAAAGGAAAAAAAGCTTCTTATGCCAACTGGGAAGATGATTTAGGAGAAGATATAAGCGGCCAAAATGAGTTTATACCTCAAAATGTTGAGGAAGCCAACGAAACAGATGAATTGAAAGAAGTCGAAGGTTTGGACACTTCTTCAGATAAGAAGTCGAAGAAAAAGAAGGGCAAGAAGGCGGATCAAGAAACGCCACTTGATGAAGAAGAAATAGTTGACGAAAAGGAAGCTCCTAGCGGTCCTGTTGAACTGACAGCTGTTACTGAATTAGACGATGATGAATTTGCTTACGAAAAGCCCAAGAAAGGGAAAAAAAATAAGAAGCAGCAAGTTGAAGAGGAAGAAATACCTGCTGCTGCTCCTGCTTCCACTGTCCATGTAAAGTCTAAAAAAGAAAAGGAACGTGAAAAGAAAGAACGTGAGAAGCAAAAGAAGAAACAACAGGGTAAGAAGCAGCCTTCCACAAATCAAGAGAGAGAAGGGGTATCAACGCCCGAGGTTGAAGAAGAGACTGTTTCTGAATCTGACTATGCGTCTGCCAAGGGCAAACAAGGTAAACGTAAAGGTCCTAATGTTGCTGCTCTTCAGAAGATGCTGGAAGAAAAGAAGGCTAAAGAAGAAGAAGAACGTAGACAAATAGAGGAGGAAGAGCGGTTAGCAGAGGAAGAAAAGCGCTTGGCTGAAGAGGAAGAGCGCCGAAAGGAAGAGGCTAAAGAAAAGAAGAAAGAAAAAGATAGGAAGAAGAAGGAAGAACTTAAGGCTCAAGGAAAGTACGTTTCGAAAAAGCAAAAGGAGCAACAAGCCCAAGCTCAACGCCGCTTGCAACAAATGTTGGAGTCAGGCGTTCAAGTCTCTGGTCTTTCAGAAAAAGCAAAGAAACAAAAACCTGTTTACACTAATAAGAAGAAATCTAGCAAGAGTGGATCCTCTTCTTTATCTTCTTCTGGTATAATGGAATCCCCCTCTCCTGCTACTTCTGCTCCCGTCTCCGGCGTAGAGTCTCCTGCTCCTCCTCAAGAATCTAAACCTGTTGAAGAGATTAAAGAAGAAAAGAAGGAGGATGATGCCGTTTTTGACGACTGGGAGGCCGCTTTGGAACAATCAGAACCTGAACCTGAACCTGAGCAAAAGCCAGAGCCAGAGCCTGCCCATGAGGAGGTTAAAGAAGAAAAGCATCAAACCGACAGCTCAGAATTTCCTGAAGCTACTCCCGTTGAATCTGAACCTGTAAACAATCTTCGTTCTCCTATTTGCTGTATTCTCGGACACGTCGATACCGGTAAGACCAAACTTTTGGATAATTTGCGTCGTAGCCATGTACAAGAAGGAGAAGCTGGAGGTATCACTCAACAAATTGGTGCTACCTACTTCCCTATTGAATCGATTAAGCAAAAGACTAAACCCGTTAATAAGAAGGGAAAATTAGAGTTCAATATACCCGGTTTGTTGATTATTGATACGCCTGGACACGAATCTTTCACCAATCTTCGTTCGCGTGGTACTTCTCTGTGTAATATTGCCATCCTTGTTATTGATATTATGCATGGTTTGGAGCCTCAAACAATGGAATCCATCCGTCTTCTTCGTGACAATAAAACACCTTTTGTGGTCGCTTTGAACAAGGTTGATCGTCTTTACGGCTGGCATTCGATTAAGGAAAATGGATTCCAAGACAGCTTATTAAAGCAAAAGAAAGCCATCCAACGCGAATTTAGAGATCGAGTCGACAGCATTATTTTGCAGCTCAATGAGCAAGGGCTCAATGCTGCATTATATTTCGAAAATAAACAAATGGGTCGTTATGTTTCTCTTGTTCCTACTTCTGCTCAATCAGGAGAAGGTGTTCCTGATTTAGTGGCCCTTTTGGTTGCATTAACGCAAACTCGTATGTCTGATCGCATCAAGTATATTTCGACCCTTGAATGTACAGTATTGGAAGTAAAAGTTGTTGAAGGTCTGGGTGCTACTATCGACGTTATTCTTTCGAACGGTGTGTTGCGAGAAGGTGATCGGATTGTTATCTGTGGTATGGGTGGCCCTATTATTACAACTGTTCGTGCTCTGTTAACGCCACAACCTATGAAAGAGATGCGTGTGAAATCGGCATATGTTCATCATAAGGAAATTAGAGCTGCAATGGGTGTAAAGGTTTGTGCCAATGACCTCGAGAAGGCTGTCGCTGGCTCTCGTTTACTCGTTGTTGGCCCTGAAGATGATGAAGAAGAATTAGCTGATGAACTTATGGCAGATCTTGAAGATTTATTGGGAAGTATAGACACTTCGGGAGTTGGTGTTTCGGTTCAGGCTTCTACTTTGGGTTCTTTGGAGGCTTTGCTTGAATTTTTGAAACAAATGAAAATTCCCGTAGCTTCTGTCAACATTGGACCTGTTTACAAAAAGGATGTGATGAAATGTGCAACCATGTTAGAAAAAGCCAAGGAATATGCCTTGCTTCTTTGCTTCGATGTTAAGGTGGATCATGATGCCGAAGCCTTAGCTGATCAGTTAGGTATAAAGGTTTTCTCCGCTAACGTAATCTATCATCTTTTCGATGCTTTCACTGCCCATCAAAACAAAATTATGGAACAGAAGCGAGAGGAAAACTCTGATGTTGCGGTTTTCCCTTGTGTTTTGAAGACCATTGCTGCTTTCAATAAGCGGGATCCTATCATTCTCGGTGTTGATGTTGTCGATGGTGTTTTGCGTAAAGGTACGCCTATTGTGTCTGTCAAAAATGTTCCCGGAGAGGAACCTCAAATAATTGAATTGGGACGTGTAGTCAGTCTTGAAATGAACCACAAACCCGTTGAAAGGGTTAAGAAGGGCCAAGCTGGTGGTGGTGTTGCCATGAAACTAGAAGCTGGTGGTGGTTCACAGATCTTGTTCGGTCGTCATGTTACGGAAAGTGATACCTTGTATTCACACATCACTCGTGAAAGTATTAATGCGTTGAAGGATCCTGCCTTCCGCAATGAGGTTCACAGAGATGAATGGCAGTTGATCATTCAACTTAAAAAGGTTTTTGGTATTATTTAATCTGCTTATGTAGGTTTTGGATTAAATATGAATTTATGTTGGATGTTGCGGAAATTTAATTACAAGAGTAATTGAATTAGCAATTAATTAGCCAAAGCGTACTGAAATATTACTTCGCAATTTTAATAAAGTTTTCTATTCTTGTTACAAAATGTTATAAAGGAATAATCCTCAAGTATTTCAGTTCGAGGCTTTACTTGCTAAGGATTTATTATGCCTTACATTTATGTACTCGTAACCTGCTCAAATGAACAAATTCTTAATGAAATTACAGTGTGCTTTCAGGAGGTATAAGCTTTAGCGAGCCAGTCCAAGGCAATAGCAGCAGTTACTAGAAAGCCTGTATTAGAGTTCTTTTTAAACCAGCTGAAGCAATCTTTTGGAGAGTCCAAATTTACTTTATATATCATGGAAAATATGCGGTAAGCAGCTCCTGCAACACCAATAGTATAGAATAAAGGTCCTTGACTGTTGCAAATCCCAGCAGTTGTAAGCATGCTCAGCTGAAAAAGAGCTAGGCCAGTCAGGACTGGTTTGGTATTGTCACCATAGCGAAGAGCCATAGAATAAACATTAGCTTTCACATCGTCCCGTTTGTCTTGATGAGCATAAATAGTATCGTATAAGACAATCCAGGATACTGCGCTTAAATAAAGGGGAGCAACAACTGACCAATTCATACAAGCTTCGCCTACTAAAGCCGGCCATCCCATGACAGCACCGTATCCAAATGTTAAGCCTAGTACGACTTGTGGATAATAAGTTATTCGCTTCATGGCAGGATATATGCAAACAGGAAGAAGAGATGCAACTCCCAATTTGATTGTATAAGGATTGAGCTGTAAAAGTATACCAAGACTTGCAGTTAACTGAACTCCTAAAACTGATACGCCCTCACGAACACTAACCAACCTACTGGCTAACGGTCTAGATTTGCTGCGCTCTACTTTAGCATCCAATTTTCGGTCCCAAAGATCATTCACCACGCATCCAGCACTTCGCATTAAAAAGGAGCCAACTCCAAAAAGCGCCAACATTTTTGATACATCGAAAAGGCTGCTATTAATGGAATAAGCGCCCATTAAAATAGACCACGTACATGGGCTGTAAAGCAAGAATGTTCCAGTCGGATTGTAAGCACGCGACAAGTGAGCATATGCAGTCCATCTTTCAGGTAAACGTGAAAACCAAGACCTTTTAACAGCTGGTATAGGTTGAGTTTTGTTTTGCTTCGACTCACTTAAAGAGCTATACCCAAAGGTCTGCCGCAGAGAGACAGAGAATGTATTATGCTTGTTAACCAACAAAATATTAGTCCATTGGCATTGTGTAGGAATGAAAGGATGATGAATTCTTGGGGCTGTTTTCAACATATTCCTGTTCTTCTAAAAGATTGAAAAAATAAACTAAATTGGTAAGGATGAAGCTTTGTGAAATACAAAGGCCTTTACTTCTAATCGTTTGCGCAACAATCTTTCCCAGAATAAATATTATTTTCACTAATTCCAAATGGACAACTTTGCTAAAATGGAACAAAAAAAGACGAATATAAAAAATAAAAAACAAATGAGCGGAATTTCCTTGATATGCGAGAAAGACAAAAACCCGACTGGGTGAGTGTTTGCTAAGTAGTAGATGAGCATTTTTTAAACAGGAAAAGAAATGTTTAACCGCCTTAAGATAACCTTTTTTATTTTTTATTTTTTAGTAAAAGTAAGAGATATTGTAATGATAAGTCCTTATTGAGTTAAGATTTATGAAAGGGAAGAAGAGCTTTCACCTTTGTATTACAATCTTCTTCGGAATGCAGTTTCATTATTAAAGATAGATATTAAACATTATACGTAGCAAGTACAACGGTTTAAATTGGTGATCATACTAATAATTGTTTAAGGGTGTATACTCAATCCTTTTTTCCTTGATGTATTCAGTTTTTCGCAAATTTGTTCTTGTAGTAGCATTTACCTACTGTGTTTTCTATAATATCGTTTAAGCGATATACTGAGACATTTCCTAAATCCATACTCATTTCATTCAACCCATCTAATGAAAGGTTTCGTCTTGTAAGAGAAAAAAAAAAAAAAGACTGTCGTAATTTACCACATAAATCGTTGTAAACTTCCTGGCTCAGAATGCCAGAAAAATGGGCGATATATAAATATATACACGCTGATAGTATTAAGAGACATATGAAAGAAAAATTCTGCTAACCAAGCATTTTTTGATTTCCACGGGACTTTCATTCGCCAAAATAAGAAAGGGAGAATGAAGTAACGAAATTCGACCAAGGGAGCCGGCACTAAAGTGAGCAAAGTAGCTAGAGTTATAATAGTAAAATCCAAGACAGATACGTATTGAGAAATATTTTTGATGAAGAAAATGTAACAAAATGCGTATATAGGTGCACCAAGGAATTTTAACCACCAATATCTGCGAATTCGATTAAATATGTAGAACACATAATGTCGATTATCAGCGAGGAGAAACGGGTGTATGATTCTAGTTTTGTTAGATATAATTCATAAAAAGAACTTACGTATTATATTTTACAATTAATAGCAATAAGGGAAGAAGTAGCAGAGTTGTGCGCGAGAATATAACAGAATGTATTTTAGGTTTCCACGATGCACTTTTGAACAATGGAGAAAAGCAAGAAGGAAAAGAAAAAAAGAAAAAAAATGTAGTAAAGTAATTCATCTGGGAAAGATGGATAACCGCATTATGATTTGATTTGTCCCCTAAAACAATACCTCCATTCCATACTAAAAAACCCATTGAAAAAGCAAAGACGAAAACAAATGGAAGTAGTTTTTTCCATATTTTTCCTAAATTTCTTAAAACACTTCCAATAAATGAAGTAATCGTCAAAAAAAAATCCACAAAGGTCGCTTCAGACAATACAGGATCATAAAACGACAAGTCGTTCGTAATTAAAGTGACCATTATATAACCAACCCAAAGAATGTTTGTTTGTCGAAAGAACAAACTGAAGAAGCAAAAAGCAGAACTGAGGATGGCGGCGTTTCTTAGTGCAAAATCATAAGCCAGCAGAACTATTACAGTACTAGCAATATCAGTATAATAAAGTAAGAAAGTAAACCATAGTGGAGGCAAAGAAGAAAGAACAAGTGGAGAACTGAAAGCCTTACCGCTCAATTGTTTGTTGATGTCAAACAAAACTGCGGGCAAACAAACGACCCCCAAGACAAAATTTAGAGAGCGAAGAGCAACCAAATGACACCCTAGAACAGGTTTCAAAAAATAAGACAGTAAGTATAAACCTGGAGGAGTAGTGATGGCCGGATCCCATTCCCAATCCTGATTGCAATATCTTTGGGTTTGAGAAACATGAAATATTTCATCCATATAAGGAATATTGACATAACGGTTTACCAAGAAAAATGATAGGAGGCTTGTCAGGATCCACAATACGGCGATATTTGAACCTGTACCGGCTCCATATAATGATTTTACCAGACGGCCTTTTTTTATGCTCATATTAAGTTTAGGAAAATTAAGATGGAAGAAAGAACTAAATTAATAAAGATATCATTGATTTTTCCCAGAAACGAAAAGAAAGTCAGTAATGAGAATTCCAAGTCAATTTCCTGTAGCTAGATTATGGATTACAATGGAGTTTCGAGAGAGTCACTAAGGTTTTGAATTTTTTCAAGAATTCATTCAATTTTTTCTGATTGTAGCAGTATCTTTGTTAGATTTTGTTTCAAAAGGTACACAAGAGGTATTTCTTTATGTTATACAAGTGTACACCTTCAATTGATGCGGTACCGAGCTCATATTCTGAGATAGATTAAAAAAATAAACCCTTTTAAAGGATGAAGTTTTGGACCCATTTGAAACTTGACAACCCTTTTGGGTGTCTGTGAATATCTCAACTTTGAATGCTCGTAAACAAGAAACAGCAAATTATAAAGTTTGAGGTTGAATTACTGTTCAAAGATCCTTTTCAGAAGTTAGTTGTTTTTTTATAAGCTTGCTGATACGCCTTGGTCTTCGACAAAGGTTTTAAAGAGTGTCAGTAAACAAACACTACGAAGCTTTTCTAGTTGCCAAATAGTTCTAGATAAGCAACTTTTCAGGCTCATCATAATCGTTGTTCATACATTATTAGAACTTTACCTTTTCCAAATTTCCATTCATAAACACAAACAATTTGATCGTTCTATCGAAATACCATTTCAGCGATTGATGTAAAGACAAGTACAAAATGGTAATTCAATTTGATGGATCTGATCTTTTGAACCCTTCACCTGATGTGAAAATTATCACTGGATTGTTGGTTTACGATTCCATAAAGTATTACATATCACAAAAGGATAGTAGTAGGGAATAGGTTCAATTCGTTTGATAGAAATCGAAATTTTCTTCGCAATGTTCGTTCCAAAAAGTAAACGTTTGTGTTTTTAGACACATATCCATTCCAGCGCTGACAGGATTAGCAAAACATAACCACAGAGGATTCGTTTCATGAAATCCCGAGGAATTCGTTTACGGTCAGGAAAATTTTTTTTGAAAAAACAGTTGGCTAAAGAACCTCCAATCCAATGTAACTCAAGCCTATAGTTGGAGTTGCTTGTCTGGCAATCTTGTTTGCTAAAGCATAGAGAAATGGCTAAGATGTTATTTCTTAAAGGCAAGACAAAAAGTAAAAAAATGGGAAAAACTTTGCAAGCGATACCAATTGTTTGTTTCTTGGATTGCGTCTGGCTTTGAAACTCACCGACTACAAGAAACTTAATGGATATCTTTTACCTGGTTTATTTTCTGACACACTTTTTTGCTGCAATCTTTGTAGATCTTCCAGTCTTCGAGTGGGTGCAAGACAAATATCCCTCTCTTTCTGCTGTTCGACGCTTTTATTTGGACAAATATGATGATCCAAATCTGAAAAATCATGCTCCATGGCAGAATGCTTTATTCACTTCTGAAGCATTTATTCAGCTTCCCTATTTCTTATGGGCCTCTTGTAACCTCTGGAAAGGCACACAGAGTCCTAAATTATGGCTTTCAATGTTGATGTATGGAATACATGCTGCCACGACGACTTGGATCTGTATCTTTGAATTGTATGCTCAACAAAAATGGATTCTTATCTCTTTTTACCTCCCTTACTTGGTGATTCCTTTGTTGATGTCGGTTCACATGTGCAAGCGATTAATAAGAGCCTGCACCGTTGCAGCATCCCAGTCTTCTGCCACCTCTTCCACTACCCAAAAAAAGTTTAAGTAAGACTATTTTTTATAGAAAATGAATCAATTATCTGTTGAAGAAATTCGTCAAACGATTTTATCGACACCAAATCTCTTAAATCGCGTACGAAGTGAATTTCCACAACTAGCAGAAGTCTTAGAAGATCCTGATCGATTTGCATCTACTTGGCAAACATTAAATTTTTCACAACTCCTTTCGATGCCCAGATCATCTGCTTCTGCTCCTACTCCATTTTCCATGCCGACGGTTTCTGTACGGTTGCCATAACATAATCTTTGCTTGTAATACTAACAGAAACATTCTAGGACGATGAATTGTTTGATGTAGAAGTGCAACGACGAATTGAAGAGCAAATTCGTCAATCAAATATTGCAGAAAATATGCAAAGCGCCATCGAAAATCACCCAGAGGTTTTTGGGCAAGTATACATGCTCTTCGTCAATGTTGAAATTAATGGTCATAAAGTAAAGGCTTTCGTAGACTCAGGAGCTCAAGCCACCATTTTGTCTGCTGATTGTGCTTCACGATGTGGGTTGACTCGATTGTTGGATACGAGATTTTCAGGTGTCGCGAAGGGTGTGGGCATGGCAAAAATTTTGGGCTCCGTACACAGTGCTCCTTTGAAGATTGGGGACTTATTCCTTCCTTGTCGTTTTACTGTAATTGAGGGTCGTGACGTTGATATGCTTCTTGGTTTAGACATGTTACGCAGATACCAAGCATGCATCGACTTGGAAAATAATGTTCTTCGAATCCATGGTCAGGAGGTTCCTTTCTTAGGAGAATCTGAAATTCCAAAAATGCAAGCATCTGTGGAACCTTCTGCTGCTTCCCAGGGACTCGGCATTGAGGCTGATCCTTCAGTCGCTTCTGCCTCAGCTGCCTCTGTTGGATCCCGTTTAGGTACAAAAGGTGATACTGCACCATCTCCAAGCGTTCCGGCAGCTTCAACTTCCTCTAGTAATCCTATCGTTAACACATCAGGAGATCCCACAGTTGAGTCGAAGATTGCTCAACTTACTGGCATGGGCTTTGATCCGTTAGAAGCTGCTCAGGCTTTGGAAGCTGCTAATGGAGATATTGATGTTGCGGCTTCTTTCCTTTTATAATGGCTTAATTATGACTGATAGAAACAGCCACGATAGACGTATGCACACCTTGGGAATTTTTCTTTATTTATGATTTCAATTATTAGAAAAAATTCAACTTTTTTATGATATGTAAATGAATTCCTCGTTATTTTTTTCCTAAAGTATCGTTTTTACAATTTCTGTAAGTAGTACCATACCAAGTAATGAAATTTATTTTCAGAAGACAAAAAGTTACAAATAAGAATCTCTTAGATATGTAATCAACGAATAGAAAGCACACAGTTTCGACGCCTTGCCTGATTCAGCATGAAAGCCACAAGCCCGTCTACTCTTCACCAAACTCAATTTTTGGGCAAACTTCAGAAATCTACACCCATAAAGTATGTTTCAAGTAAACTGGGATTTAGGAAGTGCTCCATCCAAAAAGCAAGAGCCGAAGGAAAACAAGAAAAGGAGGAATCAACCTGAAAAGACAAAACCTGTGCCGGTAAAGAACAAGGATCCCAAAGGTCAGGAACCGTCTAAGAAAAAGCAAAAACAAGAAAGGAAAGGAAATGAAACGACTGGTGATGAAAAAAAGCAACCATCTCTTGTTCACGAGGGTGAAAAAAAGCTAGCAAATGAAGGTCCCTTGACGGCGCTTCAGAAGAAAATGAAAGGGAAATTAGACGGGGCTAAATTTCGTTGGATTAATGAAAGATTGTATACTACAGAAAGCGAGGAGGCTGTGAAACTTTTCCAAGATAGCCCAGACATGTTCGATGTTTACCACGCCGGATTTCGACATCAGATCGAAAGCTGGCCGGAAAATCCCGTTGACGTTTTTATTCGCTTTTTGAAGGAAAGATACGACAAGAAGCGACGACCCGTCAGTGTGGTAGATCTTGGATGTGGAGAAGCTAAAATTGCCGAAACATATGAAGCATCCAAGTATATACAGGTTCAAAGTTTTGACCTCGTTTCGGCGAATAAGTTTATTGTAGCTTCTGATATCTCAGATCTTCCCTTGGAGGATGCTAGTGTTGACATTGCTATCTTTTGTCTGAGTTTGATGGGAACGAATTGGCAATCGTTTTTGCGGGAAGCACATCGTGTTTTGAAGCCGAATACAGGACAGCTTTGGGTAGCTGAGATCAAAAGCCGCTTTTCAGACAAAAGTGGTAAGATCTTTGCTGAAGAACTTCCTAAATTGGGCTTCGAGAATACATCCCTTGTTTTGGGGAATAAAATGTTTACGCTTTTTGAGTTTGTTAAACAGCCTTTGCGTCAAGAACCTCAGACTCTTCCCCCAATCCTTAATGCTTGCATCTATAAGCGCCGGTGAGCTTTTTTTTGTTAGATTTTTGGTATATGCCGATATGTCTGTACTGTATAATGGGTCTTTGGAATGATTGTTGAAATTTTCATTTTATTCTTTATAATATAGAAGCATTTGTTACTTAATAATAGAACTGAAACTATTTACCTGTCAGCTTTTGCTCATTCATATTCGTGCTATTTTTTTGTTTTTATTATTCACTGCAAGCATTTCTCTATTTAATTACATTTCTGCGCTCTCCAAAAAACTAAATCGCACATTGTTACAGTACGCTGAAACTTCCGTAATTAAGCTTCTTTAATAAGTTAATGAACCGTTGCGCAGTACTTTAAAACGAATCCAACGTTATAGTCCACATCTAAGTACCGTCTCCTGCAGCGGTTTATAGGAGATTGGAATTCCATAACTTAACCAAAGCCAACTATCTACTCAGGGCAAGGTCCTTCAGAATTGGGTGGTAAGAATGAAAATAAGTGACAAGCTTCAACATCCGAACTGGAAAGACAGAATTACATGGAGCTATGAGTTTTTTCCTCCAAAAACAAGCACAGGTATCCAAAACTTGTACAGTCGTATAGATCGCATGAAAAAATGGGGCCATCCAATGTTCATTGATGTGACCTGGGGTGCCGGTGGGAGTACTTCAGATTTGACTCCTGTGATTGTAAATGTTGCGCAAAAGGAATTTCAACTTGATACTTGTATGCACCTCACATGTACAAATATGTCGGAAGAAATGATTGAAACGGCGTTGAAGAAAGCTTACGAGACTGGTTGTCGTAATATTTTGGCACTAAGAGGGGATCCACCCAAAAATGAAACTGAATGGACCCAAGTGGAGGGTGGCTTTCGCTATGCATCAGATTTGGTTCGTTATATAAAAAAGAATTATGGAGACGAAATCTGCATTGGTGTCGCTGGTTATCCTGAAGGGTATTCACCAGATGACGATTTAGAGAGAAGTTTAAAGCATTTAAAAGAAAAAGTAGATGCTGGTGCATCTTTTATTGTAACGCAAATGTTTTATGATGCCGATAATTTCGTTGAATGGGTTAAGAAAGTGCGGAAAATGGGCATAACGGTTCCCATTTTCCCAGGCATCATGCCCATCCAAGCTTGGGATTCATTCATTCGACGAGCCAAATGGAGTGGAGTAAAAATTCCACAACATTTTATGGATACCCTTTTGCCAGTCAAAGATAATGATGATGATGTACGTGAACGCGGCACCGACTTAATGATACAGTTTTGTCGAACATTAATCGAAAACGGTATTACTCGTCTTCATTTCTACACTATGAATTTGGAAAAAGCCGTGAAAATGATCATTGAGCGACTTGGATTGCTAGATGAAGAAGTAAAGGACGTGACAGAAAAATCAGAAAATCAACTGACGACAAACCGTACAGAAATTTTTCCTGACGGAACGAAACGAGCAAATGAAGATGTACGTCCTATATTTTGGAGGACTCGTTTAGAAAGTTATATTTCAAGGACGGATCAGTGGGATGAGTTTCCTCATGGTCGATGGGGTGATTCGCGTAGTCCAGCTTTTGGTGAATTTGATCCTTCTCGTCATGGCCTCCGTCAGTCGACAGGTGAAATACTTTCTCTTTGGGGCAGTCCAAAGTCTTACAAAGAGCTCGGTGAACTCTTTGCGGATTATTGCATGAAAAAACAAAGCAGCTTACCCTGGAGCGATGTGCCTATCTCAGATGAGGCTAAAATGATTCAAAGTCAGTTGGTGAACATTAATAAAAGGGCTTATTTAACAATTAATTCTCAGCCTGCTTTGAATGGCGTGAAAAGCTCTGATCCTGTTCATGGATGGGGTCCTACGAACGGATATGTATACCAAAAGCCTTACGTTGAGTTTTTTGTACACCCTTCTTTAATTGAGGAATTGAAATCTTCTCTTCACCAAATGGGTGATACCTCCTACTTTTTTATAACTGTAGATGGGAAACTGGATACCAATGCCGCATATGAAGTTCCTAATGCAGTTACGTGGGGTGTATTTCCTAATCGCGAGGTAATTCAACCAACCATCGTCGAATCTACCTCTTTTTTGGCTTGGAAGGACGAAGCGTATTTCCTTGGTATGGCTTGGGCTTCAGCCCATGACCCTAACTCTGCGACTCACAAGCTGTTGGTATCGATGATGTCTAGCTGGATGCTTTGTGTTATTGTTGACAATAACTTTGAACGTGGCCAATCTCTGTTTGACGTTTTTTCAAAAATAAAAAGCTTGGAGGATATCCATCCTGAGCTTTATAACGGGGTGGCCATCTAATATAAAAAGGTGTTGCTAATCTTGTCTTCTATTCTTCACCTGTTTGTGTTTTGTTTGTATCGGGCTTCATGCTCAAAAATTAATGTAAGGTAATAACCCCACACTCTCTTTCAACAGTTTTTGTTTATTCGGGATGGTTTTGGTTTCAACAATTTAACTGATCGTTTTATGAATTCCTTCTCTATAAATGCATTGGCTTCAACAGTCATCCGATAGTTTTATCCTCATTTATCCTTTATGGTCACTAATATTAATGACATGTTTTTTCTTTGATAACATAAAACAATAACATTACAAGGAAGTATAGTAGTTGAATAAAAATTAGTTGAGAACCAAGCTTGGAAAACTCATAAACAAGAACGAAATTGTTCCAAGTAATCTTAATTTATATATACAATCGGTCGTTCGTACCTACGTTTCAAATATCTTAAATCCTTGACGAAGAGCGGAGCAAGCAGGACGGAAATGAGTTTTCTCATTTTTTCCAAATATATTGCAGCTTTTAAGTTTTATTAGAGAGAAAATACTAACAATAGCAACTTAAATTAGACTCAAGGATGGAAACTTATAGACTAACTAAAAAAATATTTTTATAGTGAATACTTTTGAATAGAAGTTTATTATGATCTTTACAGAAACTTTAGACTACTGAAATGTATAAATACATAAATATATATATACATATAACTTGGAACTATCAAACTGCTTCAGTAGTTTTGGTGTTAGTCTAAACTCAACACCAAACCTACCAAGAAGTTTACCAATTGGAACTGCATTTAGGAGTCTTAAAGTGTAAAAGAAACATGACCTTTCATGAAAAACAACATACAATAGAAGAAGAAAAAGGAAATGGATTTGGAGATCCATATTCAGCGGATGAGTACCAATACTTACAGGCATCACTCACTAGAAAATTGGGCCCAGAGTATGTTTCGCGGAGATCTGGTCCAGGTGGATTTTCAGTGAGCTATATCGAATCTTGGAAGGCAATTGAGCTTGCTAATGAAATTTTTGGATTTAATGGATGGTCATCCTCTATAAGAAGTATAAATATTGATTTTGTTGACGAAAACAAAGAAAACGGTCGAGTGAGTTTAGGAATAAGCGTCGTGGTTCGAGTAACTATTAAAGATGGAGCATATCATGAGGTAGCGTTCATACCGTAACCGTTAAAATACTAGTTGCTTTGGAAGAAGAAAGGCTAATAAATTTAGGACATTGGTTATGGATCAATAGATAATTGCAGAGGAAAGGGGTCAGCATTTGAAAAGGTATGCAAAGAATCACAAAGACTTAATGGTCGAAGAGTGTTTTCTATTAATGCTCATTGTTAGTGCAAAAAAGAGGGAACCACCGATGCCTTAAAACGTGCCCTTCGAAACTTCGGAAACAGTCTTGGAAACTGCATGTATGACAAGTATTATCTACGAGAAATTGGAAAAATGAAACCTCCAGCTGTATGTGATGTGAAATGAAAAAGCAAAGTTAGTACAGCTACTAATAGGATGTTTTACAGTATCAGTTTGATAGCGGCGATTTATTCCGTAAGTCGGAATCTGGTTCCAGAGGAGAATTTATCAGAAAGAAAAATGCTCAAAACAGGCTTAACAACAGACCAGTCATCAAAAATGAGGAAGGCTTTCATCCATCTACTGTTAAACCAAGGGAGGAAAACAGAGATCTAGAAATGTATTCTGATGAGGAGTTAGATAATATATTTGTAGAAGATGACATGATTGCTCACCTAGCGGTAAATGATACTGGATCTCCTGCTAATAAATCCTTTGAGGAGTCGGACGCGAAACCCAAACCAGAAATGCAAAAGCCCACTACGAAAACAATTCAACGAAACAATACGTATCCTATGACAAGTATTCCTCAGCCTATAAACGAGAGAACGAAATCTGCCGTCCCAAGTATACCTTCAAAAAGCGATGGCTTGAATCTAAATGGAACCTCTTCTTCAGCAAAATTCATTAGCGCTCGTGCTGCTGCAGCTGCAGACGGAGTTGTTTCTGCTCCTAATTCAGCAAATTTCAACCCCCGATTGGATAGTCCATCTATACGAAAGTCATCCGTAGTAGATCATTCAAAATCTGTTCCGGTTCATAGGTCAGTTGTACAGCCTGTGGAAAAAAGCCAAAGTCGACCGAATGGAAAAATTGGCGTACCGCCTAGTGATTCATTCGATCAGCAAAAATCATCTGGCACAAAGCGATCTCTTCAAGAAACCAGCCTTTCTCGTCAAAATTCAATGGAAACAAACAAGGGAACTTCGATTTCTGGAATGGAAACTAATTCAAAGCGGCCTGAAGACGACCCAGGAATTGATAAAAAACCTAAAACAGGCTGATAAGGACCCGGGAATACACTTTTTATTCGTTTGTATGAAATCATTTAATGCTATTTCTCCTAAGTCTATTCTCGTTTGTTTGATTTTTATGATGTTTAAGTTTAGGTATTTTGATTATGTAAATAAGTCGTCTCAGATAATATTTAATTCCTCCTTTTTGCCATGAATTATATTTAGGATAAAGAAAAGAGAAAATAGAAGACTGAAATGTAGGTTTTAAATATCTTTATCGATTAATCTTCCCCATGAAAACCTCAAATTCGCGTTTTGTGTTTCCTTCTTTGGTTTGTTTACACTTGTATAAACAAAGTCGATCCCATTTGGTAATTATCTTTCTATATGGTAAAGTGCTGACATTAGCGCGGTAAGTGTTCCTCTTTATCATTATATCAGATAATTAAGCATAAGAATATAACAAGGTCCAACAAGCAACAGTTTCATGGACAAAATAGTAGTTTCCCACGGATGTGATTTTAAGTTGCCCCAAACCAAACGCAGAACCAATTCAAACGTCGACGAGAATCCCAGAATTGCATCCTTTTGAAAAGTGTACAGACGTAAAATTGACAGCCAAAAAACGAAGGAAGAACGGTGAGAAGTGGAATCAAATTGATCGTTGTCGAAGATGGCTCAACCGCAATTGTGTGAATCAGAAAGGGCAGAAGGATTAAGGAAAAGGGTTCATGGTCGTCGACATTCTTCATACGAAGTTGAGAATAAAAAGGGCGATATCCCGGAAGATGTTGTTGTTTATAAATTTGATCTATTTCTCACTCGCCTGGGGGATCGAATGAAACGAATTGAAGAAGTAGGACTTCCAAAAATAGAAGAACCAAATACAACCTATGAAATTTTAGTAAGGTTACGGAATTCATTTATTGGTAGCACCATTTTAGGGAAAAACCAGGTTATGTACTTTCTTCGGATGATTGAGGAAAAGTATCACGACGCCTTGGCTGCTTATGATTCATTCCCTTCGAAAGTACTAGAAGCTTTAAATTTCCTGGAGACTTTGCTGTCTGATTTAGAAGATATCGCCAGTGTTGAAAGTCGAACGACAGTTGGTGAAATATTTGAAGATACCAAAGAAAAACTTCAGAGAGCTATCCGTGCTGGTGAAAGACGGCTTCTTGAGCTAGATGAAATTCCTTTGGAGTGGAAAAACAACCCCTTCATTTTACGAGGTTATCGGTTTTATTCCAGTAAGCGTCGATGCATTCGCTCCGTCCTTGCCTTCCATAATGAAACGTTCAATATCTGGACCCATTTAATCGCATTCATTGGATTTTTCACAGTTATATCATACTTTTATCCATCATCTACGTCTTGGATTTCGTCTTCGTTTTCGAATCGAATCGTCCGCATTTTCTTTTTAGTATCCGCAATGAAGTGCTTAGCGTGTTCGGTTACCTGGCATACATTTTCCAGTTTGTCCAAGTATGAGCATATGCGACGTGCGGCATGCATGGATTATGTGGGTATTTCCGCGCTCATTGCTGCTTCTATTATCTCGGTTGAATACCATGCTTTTAAATGTCATACCTTATTTCGTGTGCTTTATATAGCCATTACCGGGACACTTGGATGTATAGGAATATATATGCCCTGGAAAAAGTGGTTTAACGATTACAGGTTCCGTTCCTTTAAAATCTTTTTCTTTATTGGTTTAGCCTGCAGCGGATTCTTACCGTTACTTACAATGTGTTATATCCGAGGCGCCGTAGAAACATTTTCTTATTTGAAACCTGTTTTTCTGTCTATTTTCAGCTATATTATAGGAGTCCTTTTTTATGCTTTGCATGTGCCAGAGAAGCTCTATCCAGGCGTATTTGACATCGTGGGAAATAGTCATCAATTATGGCATATTGCTATTATTATTGGTATAGGATTCCACTATTATGGTATTAAGACATTTGAAACCTATCACCAAGGATTTGCCTGTGACCTGGTGTAATATTTATTGCAAAAAGCTCAATGATGACTAGGGGACCGGATCGGGACCGTACATGAATCATAATACGAAAGGACCTAATATCGACTCATTTTCTTTTCTCACTTTTTTCTTTTAATTTCTAATTCTTTTATTTTTTTTTTGTTCTTTTGGTTGTTGTTTTAATATTCGATAACTTACGTTTTGTACATAATCAATCTATTTTAACATCAACGAGAATTCATCGAAAACGATTCCCGTTTTTGTTGGTCGAAGTAGTTTATGTAACTTTACAAGTAGTTTTTATTTTAATTCTTCAAGAACAATGAAATGGATTCTATGAAATTTTTTGCAAATTTGTAAATACCATCCTAAGTCTATCAGAATGAATTGTGCATTTGAGTAACGTACCAAGTGGACAAAATCGATTAGCAGCACATTTAACTTTTCTATGATAAAATAAGATTTTTAAACCGAAAAAACAACCGAATTTGCATATTTCCAGCCTAGAAAATGCCAAAGTGTTGGACTCGATGGAAAAAAGCAGTCACATAATGTATAGGACACAACACAATAACTCAACTTGATTCTGTGCACAGCAACTTACCAAGCAAGTCGACAAAATGGTACGTAAATTTTATTGGATAACTTGGATGAAAAGCTAATGAATCGTGTTATAGCCTCGCCAGGTTACTGATATTAAGCTCTTTTTACAGCTTGCTCACAGAGGTGATGCGACTTCTGCCCGTGTGAAGAAGAACCAAAACAAGGATGTTAAGTTCAAGCTTCGCTGCTCCAAGTATCTTTATACTTTGGTTGTCGCTGATGCCAAGAAGGCCGAGAAGCTTCGTCAATCCCTTCCTCCTGGTATGTGAAAATTACGAAAAATGGAGTGGATCCATTCAAAGTATTTTGTTTGTCCGTTCTCGCTTTTTTTATTTTTTTTATTTTGACTTAGAATTACTAACGAACTGAACTAGCTCTCACCGTTGCCGAAGTTGGCAAGAAGGCTTAGAAACAATCAATGAAGTACCGGTTAAGAACAGGCAAACAGTTAGGAGAGGGAAGAATTTGTAGAAAAAGTAGTTCAAGTAATGTGGCCATAACGTAGTTGAAAAGGTTTTGTTTTGTAGAATCAATTGCCGGAAGATGGTTTTAAATTATTTAACTGTTTGTGATCGTAGGCAAATTCATCATGGAAGTCAGAGCGGGTTACCACCATACTGGGGGCCTTGTGAAGGTGCGCGCTGTAGAATTATGGGTACAATAATGACTGGTTTTCAATTTCACTCTAGTTTAGCGAACTTTACCTTTGCATAAATGACAAATCGAATTACATACGCACACAGAAAAACCAACCAAAAAGAAAGCGACGATGGGGAGATAAAAGGAATCCGTCCATACGATGGATCTTCGTTCGTATGCAGTGGTCTGAAACGAAAAAAAAAGACTTGCGCGGCCAGGTTTCGATCCTGGGACCTACGGGTTATGAGCCCGTCGGAGTTCCACTCTCCTACCGCGCACATTTATTACCGTCAGCAGCAGGATTTGAACCTGCGCGGGCAGAGCCCATTAGATGCCTCGAATGAAGAATTCGAGTCTAACTCCTTAACCACTCGGACATACTGACTACTGTGAAAGAATTAGAAAACTAAGGAATAATATATGTAAAAGCGACTCTTGGAGGAAATACATTGATAAAACATGGTTAGCATGTTTATTTATTTAGCTTGCATTTTCTGATTTTTGGAATAGTCGGGCATCAATTTTATGCAAAGGCATGCTCATTTTATAATACTTTTGTAGAAAAAATAACGCAAGAGTAAAAATAAGGTAGGTTGGGAAATTTATGGAAACGGATTTCGTTCCCTTATGTATTTCGCTTTCTAGCATCAATTGGAAATCCTAAACGAAAAGGTACTTGATGGATTCTGTTGCATGTCTTAATTTCTCTTTTCTTTTCTTCGTTGTATACATACGAGAGAAACAAAATATTAGATTAATATGTTATTTGCTTTCTGCTTTCAAAGATAGATGTTGGATTTGTTTACTAACGTACCCTTTTTTCAGATTCACTAGTAAACAATGGGGTAACTGAAAAAGAATAGCATTTCTTTGCTTTTCTATACGAAATTTAGAGATTCTTTCTTTTTTTTTACTTTCATTTTCAGTATTTGGCTCATCAACCCGAAAGCTAGTTTCGTTTGCAGTCTACAAAGCATGAAACAAACCAATCCTGCAAAGACGCATTCCAGGGCTTTTCTTTGCAGGCAGAAACAGAGGAAAATAACAAGCTTGATCAATACATATTGGGTCGAATGCGATACTAAGGTAATGCGCTTTGTATTTACTCATAAAGCAAGGCAGCTTTTTCTTTCCAAACTAGAATTAACACAGCACAGAAAGAAAATAAATACTAGTAAAATAATCTATGTAATTATTTGTTAATTTTAAATTAGAAAACATCTATTTTTGTATTGCTTTTCCCGTAGTGTTCAAAGGATTCATGAATCACAACAGAGATTTTCTATACGAGGTTTGCCATATTTTTTCCAATCCACCCTACCCACAAAATTCGAGCTTTCAAAGCATTGGCATTCAAATCTTACTCCTTGTTGATAAACACGTCCTCAGTTGAATATATTCTAAAAACTTATATAAGAATGTCGTCTCTTTGTAAAACTCGACTTCAAGAAGAACGCAAACAATGGAGGAGAGACCACCCATTTGTAAGTGGTATCTGGGATAAAAACTTTTTTCTTTTCACTCATTTGGACTTGAATTCTAACATCCTTATACAGGGATTTTTCGCAAAGCCTAGCAAATCTCCCGATGGCGGTCTTGACTTAATGAACTGGACGGTCGGAATCCCTGGTAAACCAAAAACTTCTTGGGAAGGTGGTCTTTATAAACTCACTATGACTTTCCCTGAGGGTATGTCTTCAAGTCTCCATATTCAAAGTGCTAGTCTTAATACCTGTCCTTGCAATTCACCATCAAAATTTGCCAAGCATCAAAGCAATTCAGTATTCGACAAACATAATTGAATGACTTTTTCCTTGTTTTTTTTTATTGTTTTTCTCCCTGCTAACTATTTCTCTCTAGAATATCCAACACGTCCTCCAAAGTGTATGGTTTTAGTTTTTTTTTTTTTTTTTTAAACTCCCCATTCCAAATAGCTTCCTAACACGATTCTAGGCCGATTTACTCCACCTTTGTTCCATCCAAATGTTTATCCCTCTGGTACTGTTTGTCTCTCTATTTTGAATGAAGAAGAAGGTTGGAAGCCAGCTATTACCATTAAACAGGTATATTCTTTCGGTTTTTCTAGACTTGTGTAGTGGTTACTAATTTCTTTTTTTTAGATTTTGCTAGGAATTCAAGATTTATTGAATGACCCCAATATCGCTTCTCCAGCTCAAACAGAAGCTTATACCATGTTTAAGTATGTTTCATATAGCAATTCCTTTTGCTTGTTTCTTTTTTTATTTTTACTTTTGTTTTTACTAGTTGCTAATCTTAATGAATCTAGAAAAGACAAGATAGAGTACGAACGGCGTGTCCGCGCACAAGCCAAAGAAAATGCACCGTAAAAATAGAGCTCCTTTCCCTTCTGTATCCCTAATTTATTATCATTGTCGTTACTAGTCCTATTACTTTTTACTACATTTTTTCCTAGAAAAAAACGCAATAAGTTAATCCACACATAAAATCAGCTGAATTATTATAAATAAACTCAGACCTTAAGCAAATAGAAATCAACACTAAATTCAAAAAAAAACGAGTGTACTTTTCAGGTTCATGTAAAATATGCCTTTTTCTATGAACGTTCGTTCATTGTCCAATTACCAATTGATCACATTCATTTATTGAGGTGGATTGGCTCCACGACTTTGAGCATAAATTTGTTGTTGATAGTACTGGACATACGCATTATAGCCTCCAAAAGCTGCATATGGATCGGCACCGGGTGCAGACATAGTTGGGACACCAACGCCAGGCGCATCAAGTCCTGGAGGACCAGACAATCCAGGAGCTCCATATACATAGGACATACCTGGTGGAACCATGGGAACCGTAGGAGACATACCAGGAGGATACATGGCTGCTGGCATTGAGGTGCCAGGTGGAACAATTGGTGCTGACGAAGTAGCGGTACTAACTCCAGGAACAGGTGAGACATTGGATATTGGTGGGGTTCCATGACTGCTAGGTGTTTCTGGTTTGGACGAGCGATTAGAGTAATGGTTACGATTAGTCTGTTTATATGCTTGCGATCCTTGATTATATTCTTTGTACTGGCTTTTCCATGTCTGGTATTGTTGATGTACATTCGCAATTAAATCCTCGCATAGTGATTTTGCTTTTTGAATATTGTTCATATCATGGCTCATTATACACAAATGTAATGGTTCGTCAGATTCTCGATTAGTGGACGGTTCAATAAAAGCAGAACCTTGTCCTTTTATTTGCACTCGAGTACGCGTTTCTTGTTGAATATGTTTTACATAAGCACCTTGAGGACCAACCACTGCTTGACGGAGATGGAAACCCTTAGTAGGTGTCAAATTGATATAAACCTTTTCTTCATTCCATCGTTTGCGCATTCCTTGAGATTCTATTGGACTTGAGATACCCTGAGGGGATGCACCTTGAGAAGGCGGGTTCCGGTCCACTTCATCACGTCTTCGAAACCTTCTCTCGTCTACAAGAGGACCAATGTCTTTGTGTATCCAAGATTCTATTTCACCTAGGGCCTTTGATAAGTCCGTCGTTGAACTGGCTACTATATGAAGGTATAAAGGAGGATCTCGATCAGAAGCTAGAGCTTTGTTAGGATAATAGCGGCCTTTTGAATACAACTGGACTCCACTCTTATCCTCAATCTCGGATAATGTAGAAGATTTAACTAGTATATAACGATTCCTAACATTATTAATCTCAACATTGATTGTAAAAACTCCCTCCCCTTCTATAACTTTCCCAGTAATATCAGCTATAGAGGGTGGTACCAAATCATTTAGATTTGATTGAGAGTTAGGAGGAAGCGGTGGAGCAGGTGCATTAGGAAGAGGAACAGAGCGCTCGATGTTCTGTTCTTTGATAATGTCTTTGCCTTCATCGGCGGGTCTACCAGATTGTAATGACTCTGCAACTCGTCTGGCGGCAGCAGCGGCTGCCTCCACCGGATCCAGAGGTGGTTTTTGGGTGTATCTGTCACCTTCATCATCATAAGAATAACGTTTTCTAGAAGCAGAAGGGCTTACAGACCTATTATCTGCACGGTAAGTCCGAGACTCTCTGGGACGTTCGTTCGCAGGTAAATCTCGGGAAAAGCGAGATCTTCTTTCAGAAAAGCCTTCATTTTGATAACCACGATGCCTTGAGCTCGACATAAAGGAAATTTATAAGACTGAAGATGCTATATGTTAAGTTTCGTCAAAAATTATTGATTTTGAAAAGACTATGTTTGTAGGTAGCAAAAAGTAACAATGTAATAAACGAAATAGACATGTTTCCAAAAACTCCAAAAATGTACTCAAATGGATTTGAAACAAAAGAAAAATAATAATTATATTCAATCAAACATCCCAAATTGAGAGGAATCGATTTCCCTCTGTTCATTTTCTCCAATTTAGTGAATGCACCTATAACTACCTAATGATACCAAAAAAATATAGTAAACAAATACAAAGTAAGTACTCAATTAGCTTAATAAAGCATCTTCCAGATGCGCAAACGATGCAAAAACTTATTGACGACGTCGATGACTTCCTTAGGATAGACGGCAGAGGGATCGAGCTGAGGAGCTAAAACAGTAGCTTCATGCTTACGTGCTTCATCTCTTGTCATAGCTACGAGATTGGTATGCTCAAAAGGCACGTGAGGGTTCCATCTAACCACACTTACTTTTTGGGATTCATGGGGAAAAAGAGCACTTCGACCACAGTAAACTTCTTCAATAAGATAGGACATTTCAGAAGCATTAAAAGTTTTGTCTAAACGAACATTGGCATTTCTCGCCTCAGCATGTAAACGCTTTACGGCTTCTTCGTAAAGACGAGGACGAACCTGAGTAGAAATGGGATCCATGGGATATTTGGCGATGCGTGTTAAAACATGAGTAGCAAGAGTAAGACCAAAGATACCAGGCATAGGTCCAATAACAGGGAGGATACGAGAGCGGAATTCAGGTAAAGCACTTAATTGATCAACATCTCCTTTATCAAATTCCTCTTCTGATAGGGGTAGCAGATTAGCTTTACGAGGATCGGGTTTTTCGGAAGAGAAGGCAACAGGGATTCCTTCCATAACTCCCAAAAGCCTTAGTCTACGACGGGTAGCGCGAGACAGCGGATCCTCGGCAGTAGCTGAAATGTCGGCAATGTTCATACGAGTAGGATCGGATTTGCAAGCTGAGCCGGTAGAAGCAATAACTTGGATCTTGTGATAATAGCAGTAAGCCAATAAATCCACCTTTGTTTGAATATTGTCAATGGCATCGATGACAAATGATGGATTTCCGGAAAGAAGTTCATCAGCGGAATCAGGGTTATACAGTGTATTATAAGCCTCGATTTCAATCCATGGAGCAAAGCGCTTAATGGCGCGTTTTAAAGCCACGGTCTTTGGTGTACCCACATCATCAAGATTAGCAATAGCATGACGATTAAGACTACTAAGAGAAACTTGGTCGAAATCAATAATTCGAATCTTTTGTACACCTGAGCGAGCCAACATTACGGTTGCCCAACTACCAACACCACCACAACCTACAACTATAACAAAGGCATTACGAACGTTTGCCATACCTTCTTCACCAAAGAATGCATAGTTACGGGCAAGTTGCTCACGAATTAATTCTTCGTCATATGGAATCTTCACATCTTTTTCTGTTTGATTCTCATCAGTATTTTCTTCATAATCAATAGGAATACCAGAGGGAGAGAGCTGAATACTTTTGCCTGAATCGCTTACAATCATCGATTGCAAGTGTTGGATTGAGCGATACTTCCGAGACTCCAATGTACCAAGAATAACAGCAGCTGTAGTCACTGAAGAAGATACAGCAATCCAAAATGATTTGGACATCGCCCAAGATGGAAGCTTCCAACCTGCCATTCTGGTTTTGTGCAAAATTCCCAGTGCAAGTAGTAATTTCTTTGTAACAGCATACTGGATTTCTGAGTGACATGCTACTTATGAATCACAATCAATTTCCATGTAAGTATTGCTTTAATTGAATTTTAAGAGGCAGAATACTTTTCAAATACTTTTGTTAGGATATAGAAGTTTGAAACATCACTGAATGGCCAGTGGATGAAATAGGGTGATGAACTATGTCTCGAGACACCAACTTGAGTAAACTCAGAGTTGACCCTTGTTCACATGACTGAAATTACCGAAATTTTCTTTTTAAAAAAAAATATATATAGAAACATTCTTCCAAGTTAGTCTACGACGAGGAATAGCATCTTTGTTTAGACCGATTGACGTTGTAAGTAACATGGACAAAAACCTGTCTTTGACACAAAACGAACTGCTTTCAATTAAAAACAAATGAATAAATATAAAAAAATAGGAATGATAAGGCCAAAAAGTACGGTTTACTAGGTGGCTTAAGAAAATCGTTCAATTGCCGTTTAAATGTATCTGAGAACGCTTATTAACAGTGATATTGTCTTGTGGTGTACTTTACATCTATTTTTTTATTCATTTCATATAAATCACTTCTTAATTCTGAAATGCTCCTTCTATTATATTGAGGGTATTGAGGGTATTGAGAGTATCGATGAAAGTAACTAGTGTTAATTGACCTAGCGCTATTCCTACCAAGTAGTATGGTAAAGTTGAATTGCAATTCTGAAATAGAAGCTACTATTGAACTAGTAGTGTTCCAGGGGTATGTTTGTAATTTGAAGAGTGATTTGCCTTGACCCGATACTTGGTTTACTTGGGCCTTCCTTCCTACTATGAAAGAAGTATTCTTGTCATTTAAACATTCGAAAACAACTATAAACAAAGTATTCCTGCCGAGTTTTAATTTTGCAAATTTTAAGTAGCAATATTAAGTAACAAGGCACTTCATATGAGAACATACCGAGTAGCGAACGAAAGTAACATTCTTTCGTATTCTGCTCTTGAAGTATGACCACGTAGTCATCGATAGTGCTAAACATTCTACCGTCTACACGCACGATTTTAACACTATAGGATTGTTGCAATTAAAAAGTTATATTCGGTAAGTAATTGAAGAAATTTCATTTTCGTAGGAGAAATGGCTGCATAACGCTTGTGAATGTCTCTGTTTTGCGTTTAAACTATTCAACTTGGATCTGCGTCAGAAGCTTTCGAGAAACAGATTGCTTTGAAAGGTAAATTGATGTTATTCTGGAAGGTTCATACATACGGTGAGCTTGTTCGGTTTGCAGCTGAGTGGATTTGCGTGAATTGGAAAAGTCGTATATTACATGATTACCGCTTTTGCTACTTTTGCAAGTTATGGAACCAAAACATTGCTTCCTATTACCAGTATTTTTGTTGGAAATTTACGAGGACGTTTCTTTGGTTGCGGATCGATATCTTGAAACCTTTATATAGCTTGACTTTTACAAGCGAGTTTGCACATTTTTCTGTTCATTTATCATTTATTAACATCTTTTTGCTTCTAGTCTTTGTTTTCTCATTTGTTTTGTGTTACTTCGATATACCAGCGTCCCAGTCTTCCTTACCTTCTTTTCGCGTTTCATATTCTCTTTCTCTTTTCTTTGTTAATTTTAATAGTTTGAAATTGCTAATAAGCACATTTATTTGAGTTTAAAGTCGCTTCAGACTTTTATTTGGCATTAATTGAATCTTGATAGTTTGTGCGAATCTTCACTATGAGTAAAAAAGCCTTTAAAGGAAAGGAAAATAAGCGTATTCGTCCAAGTCCCATTGGTCATGAGTCTATCAAAGATATTTCTCATACAGGGACCAGCAATAATTTTTTCAGTTGCTCTCTTGAAGACCCGAGAAACTTCGTTACAAAAGACGGAAGAAAATTGGTACAAGCTCCTCTGTTTCTTGTTTTATGGCAAAAAGAAATTTCCTTAGCTCTTATTTCATTATGCATCTTTCTTTATCTTTTACCGCCGACAAGGCCTTATGCTGAACCTTTTATGTTTTTATCGTATAAAGAATCATCAGATGTTTATGGTAAAGGACCTAAAGACTTTCTTTTTTCCTTTTATTGGTTAGTAATTTTCACTGCTATTAGAAGCATTGTAATGGACTATTGTTTCCGTCCTTTCATCCTGTCTTGGGGTATTCGGAAACGAAAAGTCGTTGTTCGATTCTGTGAGCAAGGATATTGCTTCTTGTATTATTTCGTCTTTTGGCTGCTAGGATTTTACATTTATCGAAATAGTGGATATTGGGATCACGAAGAACAACTTTTCGAACATTATCCTCAATATTATATGTCTACCCTTTTTAAATTTTATTACCTTGCTCAATTTGGTTTTTGGTTACAGCAGATATATGTCCTTCATGTGGAACAACGTCGTGCTGACCATTGGCAAATGTTTGCACACCACATCGTCACATGTTCGTTAATTTTCTTGAGCTATAGCTTTAACTTTCTTCGAGTTGGCAACGCCATCTTGTACATTTTCGATTTATCAGACTATATTCTGTCTGGGTCTAAAATGATAAAGTACCTCGGCTTTGGTAAAATCTGTGATTATTTATTCGGTCTCTTTATGGTAAGCTGGATATATTCAAGACATTACCTTTACTACAGAATTCTTAAAGTCGTGATAACCTCTGCTCCTAATATCATAGGCGGATTTAATGTGGACTTTTCAAAAGGTTATATCTTTAATGAACAAATATATTACGCTTTTGTTTTTTTGCTTTTTTCTTTACAGCTCTTAATATACATATGGTTTGGCATGATTGTTAAAGTTGCGTATCGTGTTTTCTCTGGCGCTGGTGCTGTGGATAGTCGATCAGACGATGAAGAAGAGCCAGATGAAGATTCTAAAAAGCAATAATTAATAGCAAGTTTGATTTTTGATTTCTTTATTATAATTTAACCTAATCATGAGGGTTCCAAAATGCAAATTACTCAAAAAAACGGCTGAAAGGATTTCAGGAGTAACCTCCAATACCTGTGAATGCTGAATGTTATGAGCTGTCTTTGATCAACCGATAAAAAAGTCCTGATAGTCATCTATGTAACGCTGTTTATTTATGCAGACAAACTTTTTAAGTGGTACCCGTTTTTATTGAACATTAATTAGAAAAGTTAGTTTTTCGTTCATTTTCATTTAAAAGATTGTCAGCCGATATGTTAGCATTTTGTTCAATGTTATGTTAGTTAACCTGAAAGAAAGTTTTACCTGATTGTTCAAGATCAACATTACTTTTGTTTGTTTATGTATGTATGTTTACGTTGAGCATATTTAGCAAGTGGTATCTTTGTAACGCAAGCAACAACCTGATCATTTCAGTAATTAAGTATGAAAGGATTTAAAGAGAACAAAGCTTCTAATTTAAATAATAAACGAGTCTCGTCGTTTGCTGCTCGTTTGGCAATGGAATTCCCAGGCAACCAAACTTCTAATTACGATCCTTTAGTCTCATGGATATCAGCTGTCCGTGAAAACTATTCTGAAAATGCGATAGAAAGTTCGGATAATGATAATCAAGACAATGATTCAAATTGCGACGCACTGGTCGTTTATAAAGATGAACCAAAACATACTAGATATTCTTTTTCAACTGGTTGCGCTCGTTTATCGTATATGAAATCCAATGACAAGCATAAGGATTCCTTGAATTTAAACGATACTCATACTAATGCTATTAATCGTATACCGGTTAGGTCAGTATCTGATAAAGTACCGCGTGTTAAGTCAGATCATCAACACCTGGTAAAAAACTCGAAGCCATCAGACGTAGAAGAGAAAGAAAACATTGGCTCCGTGGAAATCATTGAGCTTGAATCAGAAGATGAAAAGTTAACCGTCCACTCCCCTGAAATTATGAGTGATGCAGAGAGTTGCAGAGTTTCACTGATGGATGGTTTATCAAGCATGGAAAACGGTTATCCAGTTGATGGCCAAGGGTCCTTCGTTGACGTCGAACCGGTTCGCTACAATCCTAATGATGATTTGAAGGAACAGATTGGTTATTACCAAGAATACACCGACAGGTTTTTACTCAAAGAAACTATAATGAACTGGGAAGAAAGAGAACCTACAATTACGGAAATTTTATCGAGAAAATACTTAGAGGACCTTGCCAGTCGTGACCATCGTAGTGGTATCAAACCGTTCTTTTTTTCCTGAAATTTACTATGTTGATAGTGTTTAGTATATAGAATGTGTATTATTCACCAAAAATACCACCAAAAAGAAAAAGGATGTAAATTAACATCACAACGTATAGTCAATATATAAGATTAGCAGAGGTAAATAACATAAACAACAGTGCAATGACTGTGCAGTAATAATAAATTATAGATTAAAAAGATTCCGCAGCAGTAAATGATAAATAGACGAACCCGCCAAGCAAATAAAGATAGTGAGACATACCAAAAGACACATTGATGGACTTTAGAACCTGTCAGTACTAGGCGCTTTTTCTAAAATCTGATTTTAAAGAGTTTTTTTAAGGCTTTCAGCTTATTTCCCTTTTTCTTGGGCTTTTGAACAGGCTCACCATCCAGCATACTGTCACTATCGTTGGCAAACCTATTGTCATACGTTGTATTATCCACTGCCATAGGGGCAGCATCACTAAAAGTGTAAGATCTTCCTTGGCGATTATTATCATATTGAGATGGCTGTCGAAGAGAGTAAATAGGTTCACGTTGTTGGTTTCCTAGGTAGGACCCACGCATTGCATAACGGCCACCGCCATTGCCTTCCAAAGAATTATAAGAAGCACCAAAATGACCATAAGGTAAATCACGTGATGCCTTTGAGCTAGATCTTTTGGGTTTTAATTTAGCAAATAGGTTATGAGCACGGCCCCTGTTTTCATCGCGATCAAAGCTGCTTTCTGAAACAAATGACTTATTATCATCAGGAATCGTCTCTAACGGACGACTGTTGTTTGATGTAGGACTCATTCCATGAACTTTAGTATCGTCCATTTGTTTTAGCATTTCCTCAACCCTTTTCCTTGCAGCATCTTCTAAAGATGTAAATTGCATAGAATCAGACTTGACGGAGCGGGAAGGACTACGAGTACCATTAGAAGGGATAACAGAAATGCGCTTTGTTGATGGAACATAAAAAGCAGGTGTTGTATTCATTTCGATTGGCGCAGCTTCAAAATCTTCAGAAACATCCTCATAAAGAGACTCGGATGATGAGTTATTCATCCTTTCATCTTCCTTATCCTCGTAGATACTTACGTGTTTCTTAGGGATAGACTCGGGCAATTGTCCGTCAACCGAAAGTGCAGGAGAATGCTTTTTTAAAGCTGACTTCTGGGTTATCGCTGGTGAAGGACGACCTAAGGTAGTGGAACGTTGTAAAGGAGATGCACTCGAGTATGAAGTTTTTATATCAACTGGCGAAGACGGTACACTACTCGCACCAACTTTTCCGGAATTAATAGTGGAGATAGGAGGACCAAAATAGCTGTTTCGATTGGAGAGAGGGATGCGTTTCGTTGAGGTCGCATTTCCTTGTGTTGTTTGAACGACATTACTGGGTTGATGAGGGCCTTCTTGAGCGTATTGACGTGTCTTTATTTGTGATCTAGGTTCCTCATAAGTTCTGAGACTCGGAGTTTCCGAAACGTTACTGGAGATAGACGGGGCACGTTGACGCTCTATAGGAGAAGGAAAAGAAGGAGTAAAATCGTGCGCATAACTAGTAGGATTTCTCTGTCTTTCAGATTTTGTGAGATATTTTGCAGAAGCGGAAGTCAGAGTGTATCGTTTCCCAGTACTTGAGGGTGTATAATTACTAGCAACAGGGGAGGAAGGAAGATAGACCGAGTTTTGACTACGCAGATTGGTTGCACCACTTGTTCTTGGATTATACGTTACGTTCATTGCCTTTGATCGTAAATAGTCATACTGAGGAGAATAAGTAGAACTTGAGAAAGTAGATGTGCGGTTCCCAAGAAACGAGTTTACATTTTTATAGTTTTCATCATTATTGTATGTCGTCGGTCGATGAAGCGCTGTTGAAGCTGCTGCAGCAGTCAACTGCGCATTGTAATTTTTTGGACCATTGCTCATGATCTAAAATGTCGTGTCTAAACGGTTTAAACACGATTAGATGTTGGCAGAGGATAAGTTGTGGGATGACGACTATTGTTTTCAGACACTTCGCTTAAAAGATAAATTGCATACGTAAGAATAATGACGATGTGAAAACAAAAATAGCCGAATAAAGTAAATAATTAAAAGGATAGAAAATAAAAGAAAAATAAAAGTGAAAATTCGCAAAGCAGACAAAGTGTTAAAAAAAAAGAAAAAAAAAATTTTGAAGAAATCTGATACTAAAAGATTGAATATGAAATGACTGGCTTCCTATTATAGTTGCTGAGAAAGGCTAGTTATGTTCGAATGTACATGTACTCAGGTACAACTCTGTTTTTATTCTTCTTCGTACCCTCTATTAAATAAAATAAAAAGAATGAAAAAAATAAAGGCAATACTCCAAAACCCATACGGACCTCATTAGTCAATGGGTTTTTAAGTAAAAATTAGAGTCCTCTTGCCTTGGAGTCATGCAGAAAAGAGTATCAATCTTCTAAAATTGACTCTCTTGTACGATACGTATGACATAACATAAGCAAGCGTTTCCCAAACATAAAGTATATGGCTGTGTTATGCAGCAAATGTTTATGTTTACGTGTGTACAAAAAAAAACAAAAGACCTTGTTTATTTATGGGAGAAGGATTATGAATACTTACAAACAACAAGCATCTTTTTTTTTTGAAAAGCAGAAAACCATAATGCCTTCTTTCTCTAAAGTTTGTACTTTTCTTAAGTCTATCGAATATGTTAAGATTCCTTGCCTTTTTATGTTCGCAGCCATTGTCGGCATGAATCTCTCGCTGCTGTATTGCCTCATGCGAGGATGGAAGCATGTTGGACTTTGGAGCATTGGCACTCTTATTTCTGGATTCATTGGTACTTTTTTGGCTTACAAGGTTTGTTCACCGGAAGAAATGCTTTCACGAAACAGACGATGAATTGACATGCTAATTCTTTAGAAAAAAATCTCTTGGTCTCATCTTTTGCTTTTGTGGTCTACTGCTGATGCCTTTTTTAGCATGTGTTTGAGATCTTGCGTCCTTATTTACTTTTCCATGAATCCCTATATACTATGCGAAGTCTTTAGTAGTGACAACATAATGGTTTGCAGCTCCAATATGCAAAAAGTATTTATGGTTATCGTTGCTGCATCCAACATCTATAGCTTTTTCCAATTGGGTTGTTGCTTATTAGTCTTCAATAATGTCATTAAAATCCATTCTACTGAAGACATGGGAATCCAATATATTTCTGATGACATGGAACAAGAAGTTGCTTTCCATAACGGCTTTCAGCTTCCTGAAAAGCCTATTCAATTGTAAACAATTTTTCGTTCAGCGTCTTATTTTTCTTGAAAGGCTCATATGGTTTCCCTTGCTGTTCTAGAATATTGGCTCATTCTTTCTTTTATTGATATGTTTTTTTTCAGCACCAGTTTTTCTATTCCTCCATGTATCTATGGACGCTTACAATGACCAATATTTTTTTTCGTGCACATATTCTCATCGGCAAGAAAAGTATAAATACAATACATAGTACAAATATCTGTCGTGGTTTCTATTATTTTTTTTTAATTCACTTTATAACTTTATAAATTGTTCGTTTTTCGTCTGCGCAGCGCATAAATAAAAGTTACCAGATAGTATTTTTTATATAACTCAATTCTTTTTAAAAAAAAACACAGGGCTTCTTATTTCTTTCGCCTCTTCTTATTTCCAAAATATTGACCTATAATGATTTGGGCTTTACCAATGTACCAAGTATCCAGGAATCCCTAAGGAAAGCAATTGTTTTTTCGTGGGGAAAGCTCGACGCTTTTGTTTTTATTTACTATGGTGATGCAACCGTCAATTTTCATCAATTAATACGATATCATACCAAACGGTAAAGTGGCACGATTCCTATAAAGAAATGGAGTAAGAAAATAAAAAAGAAAAAGAAAAATAAAGAATAATAGGTATCCGCCTCCTTTTTCAATCTATGGTAATAGCTACATCGATTAGAAGCAGCTGTTTTGTTTACTAGTGCCACATAGTTGTCAGTTTCTGTGGTAAAGTCCAACCTACTACTATTATTTTCTTGGAAAGTTTTTTTTTTTTTTTTTTATTTCGCCCTAATCTGAGGTGATTGTTTGTATATACTGATTTTATGCATTTGTCGCCTCTCATACTCCAACATTATAAAGTAACTATAAACCAATCTCATTGAAAAGTATAATCGACCATTACTACGAAGACAGCAAGATCAGGTTAAATAAATGTAAATGTCTAAAGATGAATTGAAATTTCAAATGGAATATGCTTCCACATACGAAGACTGGCTTCAGGCCGCCGAAAAATTGGATATGGTAGAAGGAAAATACGAATGGCGGAAATATCCCGAATCAGATGAGTATAATTACAAGTTAGTTGAAAGCAGGCTTCATGAATTAAAGAAACTTCGGCTTGCTGGAGACGTACGGCTCATGTTTGGAGTATTACAAAATTCAGTTGCGAGAGATTTTGGAAACCTGGATAACAGTCAATTGTACAATTATGCTCATTCTGGAACAAAGAAACTTATTGATGAGTTTATTCAGGAAGTTCTTTACTGTCTCGAGTTTCTGGAAGAGACCCCGGTGCTATCACTGGAGGAAAAGCTGGTTGAGTTCTCAAAACTGAAGTTTACTGTAGGAAATACAGCTTTAATCTTGAGTGGTGGAGGAACTTTTGGAATGAATCATATAGGTGTTTTGAAAGATTTGTATGAACAAGGTCTCATACCCAAAATCATTTGTGGTTCTTCTGCCGGAGCCATTGTTGCATGCGCTGCAGGTGTACGAAACAGTGAAGAACAAAAGATACTGTTAAAACAGTTTCACACAGGTGATCTCAATGTATTTACAGATCCAAACGTTCCTCCGCTTCCTTTGTGGACAAGTGTAAAACGCTTTTTTACAAAGGGATGTGTCTTGGACATTTGTCATTTGGAAAGGGTCATGAAGCTTTTGATTGGCGACTTTACCTTCCAAGAAGCATATAATCGATCCGGTTATATTTTGAATGTTACAGTCTCTTGTGGGAGCTCGTATGAGATGCCGAGTTTGTTGAACTACATAACTACTCCGAACGTTCTCATTTGGAGTGCGGTTGTAGCGACGTGTTCAGTGCCGGTTTTATTTCAACCCGCAACACTGTGGGAAAGAGATCCATTGACACGAGAAGTCAGGGCTTTTTGCGTAACTGATGCCCCTCTGTGGATGGATGGTTCGGTCGACAATGATATTCCACACTCAAAGCTCACCGAATTGTTTCATGTGAATCACTTTATTGTATCGCAAGTGAACTTTCATATCGTACCCTTTATCATGGACCCCGCTTCTCATAGTTGGTTGGAACGATGTACGAAAAAGGTAATTGATCTTGCAGCGCAAGAGGTGAGTCTTACGTTTCGGCTTTTATCGGAAATGGGGATTTGCTCTACTCTGTTTACCAAGCTGCAGTCTGTTATTACGCAGAAATACTCTGGTGACATTACAATTCTTCCAAAACTGAATTATCGACAAGTTAAAAAAGTGATTCAAAACCCAACACCTTCATTTTTGCTCGACGCTATGGCAAGAGGAAAACGCGGAACATGGAAGAGGATCCCAGTGACTCGGAATCACTGCGCTATTGAAATGTTTCTTGAAATTGCGTACGCAAGGATCGTCAAAAAACTACAAGCTGAAGGAAAAACAAAACGTGAAATTGATATGATTCCTTATCGATCGAACATTACTCATCTAAACACACGAGCGAAGTAAAAGAAAAGAAAAACACAAACACAGAAAAAATTTTTGGGAAATCTGCAACAAGAATGGAATTAAAGGGTTTGCATATATATATATATATATATGTACTTTTCCATGCTCCCCTTTTCAGTGGACCTGAGGAAATGACAGTATACAATCATCCTTCCTCTTCCAATTTTGCATGCTTCTTTATACTGAACTATTTATTTACCTAATTTTCTTCATACCTCATACTTTGAATACGAAAAAACTCAACGTATCTTTGGTATAATGATTTGCATGATAAGAATGTTAGCAAAGGTTTTCGTACCCGAATGAAGGGGAAAATAGTTTCCTTAATAAGTATTTCGAAATTCCATCGCGCTGTTACTAATATGATAACGCTTTTCATGTAGTGATTGATAATACCTTCTTCGTACGGGAACATAACAAAAGGCTCCTGGCATATGATTGGCCGTCAAATAACGACGACGGAATAATGTCCTAACTTCTGGACAACGATCAGTAGATCGAAATGTTTTCTGGGGAAAGGGTACCTCCACTGTGGGTAAACCCATGTCCTAAGCCAATCAAATTGTAGTGACGATGATAAGATTAACTGTCACTTTTCTTGACGCAGACATACCGAAAGTTTTCTTTCTCCGCTAAAGAACATCCAATGGAGTCCATCATACGGGAAATACGAAACAACAAAGAGAAGATGTATTCTAGTGAAAGAAGTGACACCATGATAAAATACGAAAAAAAAATTTTTTTATTATGCATGTACTTCCCAAATAGAATTGGTTTTGTTTTCATTTTTACTCTAGGTTTTTATAACTAATTTTCAGACTATTTTTCCAGTTTCTTGACTTGTGGTCTCGCATGAACGCTGCTCTCAAGGGGCTTCTTTTTCTCCACTACATGGAATAACCAATTACATTTAAGAGAAACGGGACGGGTCGGACGTCTGCAAAAAAGTGGAACACAGTTCCCTTGTCTCCTAGTGTCGAGAGTTTCTCCACATTATAAAAGTATGGATACAGCAAGCTTGAAACATCAATGTGGGGCATTCAGTAAATAAGCACACCAACTTATAGCGCAGAACCTGAATACGATACAAATAAAAATAAATTATCTTCTGAAATCAATTGATTCAATTCTATTTCTTTCTACTAATTGTGTATGCATTTAAAAGTGTTTATTTAGCATATATTTTCGTAAAAATGCCGTCACATCTATTCAACAAGTTTTGTTTAGCATTAACGTAATTTGACGACACATTCATCCGTAGTACTTATTTCCTCAACTGGCTCTCACTCGTTTTCTAATCCTCTATTTACAAAGTACGCTGCGCTTCTTGTTTTGTATAAGACAGGATTTTCTGAATTTGTTCCGTTTTATCTCTTCTCTTCTTTTTTTTGTTTTCTCTCATCTCATCGTTTACTTCCTAAAAGTCAGTCAACTGTCAATTACAATCTTTCCAATCTTCTTTCTTATACAGCACAGCTACTTAATACGGTCGACTACATATTTCTTCCGTAGTACTTTGTGGATTTATTATTAAATAGGAGTGTTTCGTGTATTTTCCTCCACCTTCTCCGATCCCTTCATCATCTCCTGTTACTTCTCTTACTGAGAGAACTTGTTACCTTTTCGGAATCGTTCACACCGGCCTCTGATTGATTTACGTCGTTTATTCGGGGTAATCTCGTACCAAGTGACGTGCCCTTGAAATTTTCACTTTTATATAGTCATCTCCCACCACTTACAAATTTCTTCTGAAACTTAAAAACAGGAAGGTTGCCAACCAGTCAAAAATCTTCCATAGATCCACAATGTTGCTTCGTGGATTGAGTCTTTGGACCTTATTTTTGGCTTCGTGCCTTAATACATTTGCGTTTCCCGCAAACGAAGAGCCCTCTGTTGCTTTTGCACAAAAGCGGAAGAGTAGCGGCAGCAAGGAACCCAGTTACGCTCCTTTCTATGCTGATTGCCCTTCCCAAAACATCATTGAGTCTCTTTCCAATGGTAGCATTCCTCAAGCTGAGTCTCAGTATATGAGCACCCGTTCATCCATCACCAACACTGCCTTGAAGGATTTCCTTAAGAATGCCCAACTACCTAATATGGCTGCCGATAACCTTTCCGGGCAAAATGGACCTTCTATTGGTATTGCTTTGTCCGGAGGTGGTTTCCGTGCCATGCTTTTGGATGGTGGTGCTGTCGCTGCTATGGACGCTCGCCATAACAATCATACTGTTTTCTCTGGTCTTCTTCAAGCCTCTGATTACATCGTTGGCACCGACGGTGGTGCCTGGACTCTTGGTTCTATGGCTGTTAACAACTTCTCTGCTGTCGATGATCTCCAAAATAGTGTCTGGCAATTGGCTAAACCCGTCATGTACCCTAAGAGTGCTATTGTCTTCAATGCCAACTTTTACAAGTCCCTAATGAACCAAGTTAAGGCCAAGCAAGATGCCGGCTTCAACGTCTCGCTCTCTGACTACTGGGGTCGTGTTTTGGGTCGTCCTTTTGGTGACACTACTTATGGTTTCGCCAATGTCTCCTTCTCTAGCATTGCTGACCAAGATTGGTATAGAAATGGAGACTTCCCCTATCCCATCATCACTTTTGCTACCAACCAGGACTATTCTAATCAAATTGATAACCTCAATACGATTATGTTGGAAGCTTCTCCTGACGTCTTTGGTACTTTTGATGCTGGTATTGATGCATTTATCCCTACTGAGTACTTGGGTACAACCTTGGATAATGGCTCTAGTGCTAATGGTTCTTGTGTCGTGAACTACGACAATTTCGGTTTCATGATGGCCCTTACTTCCACCTATTTCAACACTCAAATGCGCAACTTTAACGACTCCAGTACCAAGAATGGTCGTATTATTCAAGAATTCTTGAAGAATAACTTTTCCGAGCATGGTGAACAAGTTGCACCCATTCCCAACCCCTTCCGTGGTGTTTCTAGTGCTCGTACCAGCCTTGCCAACAACTTGGGTGATGATGATAACTTGAACATTGTGGATACTTCCTTAACCGGAGAAAACCTTCCCTTGTGGCCTTTGTTGCAAAAGGGTCGTGATGTCGACGTCATCTTTGCTGTTGACAACAGCGCTGACTCTGAATACGTTTGGCCCAACGGTAACTCTCTAGTTAAGACTTATGAGCGTGTTTTGGATGCTGAAAAGAAGGGCAACGCCAACGTTAAGGGTTTCCCTTATGTTCCCAGCACTCAATCTTTTGTAAGCCTTCATTACAATGACCGCCCCGTCTTCTTTGGCTGTAACGGTCGTAACACTACTGCTGGTGACCGTCCTGTCACTCGTGATACTCCTCCTCTGATTATCTACCTTCCTAATGTTCCTTGGAATTACTATACAAATATTTCCACTGACCGTACTTACTATACCGAGGACCAACAAAACAACCTTGTTTTGAATGGTTTGATTTCTTCTACCATGGACAATGAAACCTACTTTGGTCAGTGTGTTGCTTGTGCTGTTGTCAAGCGTACCTTGGAACGTCAAAACATTACTGCTAGCCCTGCATGCGAGCAATGTTATAATGACTACTGCTGGAGTGGTATCTATGATGACACCTCTGCCAACGATGATCTCGTCTATGACCCTACTCCTCGTTTGTAAGCGCACTTGGTGAGATTTTTGGGATAGGATTTATCTATATAATTATAGGTAAAACACAAAGTATGTGTTTCAAAGCACTCTGTATCTATTACTTTTTAAAAATGGATGCATTATTTGTAACGGCAAGTAATGTTTGTCGTTACTAGGAAGCTTATGGTTCAATGTTCGAAATTGTGAATCGCTCATTTGATCGGAGAAGCATTCTCTTTTATTTAAAATTTTAATAGTTATCTCATATGAGGACGAAGGTATGGCGAGAGCTTTTGTCAATTTGCAGACTTTCATTTTTTTTAGTTGTTTTTACTCGTCTTCCGTTGATAAAAGTTGATTGTCTTCTAAGGGCTCAATTTCTGTATGGAAGTTCGTGACAAGTTTATGTTTATAGATAGGTTAAAACTCGTTTGTTTTTTTTTTTTAAATATAAAAGAATAAAATGAAGCAAATGTAATGTATATATGTAATTTGAATGGAAAGAACGGATGGTAAGAAAGTATGAGTTTCATAGGCTTTTTTTTTGTAAAGCAGAGAAAGAATCAATGATTGAGGCAGACGTAGTATTCTTTTACAGATTGAAAGAGGCCAATTAACTAGGAAGTTGAACAGCGAATTCAACATTACCTGTTTATTCCAGTACTCTTCAATCACAGCAAAACAAAAGGTTGTATAAAAACCTCTACAATTTTATAACTAAATGAAAGAAAACCAATGCGTTCGTTACAGTAATATAATAGCGAATTATAATTTTTTTACAGTTAGAAATGTGCTACGGAGTAAATTTTACAAAAGAAAACAAAATCCCTCAAGCAATAGACATGAAGGAAGGGGAAGAAGGAATATAAATTGAACAAAAGTTGATCCAATTAGACACAGAGGTAATCATAATTTTGAGGTCAATTACTAAAATTAGAACTCGGAATTTGAAAAGGTTCCGAAGCGAGAACGATCTCTGTAAACATGCAATTCAAATGAGAGAGAGGTTACGTAATACGCAGAACATGAGAAATAAATCTTCCACACTATTGAGAACTAACCCAGAGCCTACACACCATTTCTAATCCTTTTTTATTTTGTGTTTGATTTTCGTTTTCAGGCATTATTTGTAGGTGTAATATATAGGAAACTGGGTGTTTTGGTATAATCAATCTATTAAAGATTGTAAAAATAAAAAACAAGAGGTATGCAAAGAAACTCAGAGAAAAAAAATTGAGGAAATGTAAACAGGATCAACCGAAATGGAGAAACGTTACGAAGGAAGACTTGCAAAAGGAGAAACAAGTTGTCGAACGCTAGACGATGAGTTGTGGTCATCGTATGTATATATGTATTTGTGATTTGTGAGAAATCGGAAATTCGATCAAAGATTATATATCAATTGCACAGTAATTATCTTTATTTCTCTATTTCCCTTCATCTTGATACTAGTTTCCAGTTACTGATTTCGAGTGTCAGAATTTCAGTATGCATAGACGGATCATGTCCTGTATTTTTTTCTTCTTCTTTCCTGAACGGTATCATGAGTCTATTATCCACTTGTCTCAACAGCTACAGCTATCCAACCAGCTACATTTTTCTCTCTGAGCTTCTAATTTGTCATATGCAAATGCTAACAATCGTGTTGCAGTAAAATTGTTTTTATTCCGTCTTGAAATATCTCAATTAATTGAGAGGATCTATCTTTGTCGTAATTGTCTAATTTTCTTTTTGGTGATATAACTGGCTCTCTGTTTTACTTGCGAACATGAACCTGCTCTTTTCGTCTATTCTAGTCTTTGTCGTATCTCAAATTATCACTGCTTTACCCCAGGAACCTTTTTTGGAGCGTGCTCTTGATTCTTCATATGAACAGGTCCCCGATTTGAGCCCCGAGGCCGTTGAACTGGCCACTCGCTATGTGGAAGCCACGCGGATGCAAAAGCGTGATGATACAAGTTCTAAATATGCTCCTTACAATGTAACGTGCCCCAACGATCTCTTGCGCGATGGCTCTAAGGGCATTAGTGATGGGGAGCAATCTTACTTGAACAAGCGTATTGATTCAGTCAACAAATTAACTCGTGAGTTTGTTCAAAATGCTGGTCTTAACATCAGTGTCAATGATGTTATTACCGAGAAAGATGGCCCTCGCCTTGGTATTGCTTTCTCTGGTGGTGGATTCCGTGCTATGTTGAACGGTGCCGGGTTTTTCGATGCCTTTGACAGCCGCAGCCAAAATTCTTCAAAGTTTACTGGGCTTATGCAAAGTTCCATGTATATTTCCGGTCTCTCTGGTGGCTCTTGGCTAGTCGGTTCCATCGCGGTTAACAACTTCTCCAACATCACTTACTTGAAAGACAATGTTTGGGACATGGAACATTCCGTTTTCGCCCCTCATTCGAACCCAATAAAGTTAGGTCTCTATTATAATCATCTTCGAGAAGAAATTGATGCTAAGCAAGATGCCGGGTTTGACACTTCTATCACTGATCTTTGGGGTCGTTCTTTAGCTAGAAAGCTCGTCGATGCCCCAAGAGGTGGCCCTGGTATAACTTGGTCGAGCATACGTAATCAGTCATGGTTCGAAAACGCCGAGTATCCTTATCCCATTATCATTTCCGACAGTCGTAGAGAAGATGAGCACATTATTCCCGAAAATTCAACTATCTTTGAATTTACCCCTTATGAATTTGGCTCCTGGGATAACGGTATTAACGCTTTTATTCCCATGGAATACGTCGGTACTCATTTAAATAATGGCGTTCCCCCAAACAATCAATGTGTTCGTGGGTTCGACGATGCCGGCTTTGTTATGGGAAGTTCTGCTACTCTTTTCAACGAGGCTTTGTTGAGATTGAATTCAAACAGTACCTTAGGCCATCTTGCCGAAGACATTTTACAACATATCTCTGAAAATCAAAATGATATTGCCCCCTACCCTAATCCTTTCCAAAACTACACCGCTAAGAATTCTACTGTTGCCAATAATTTTAAGAATTACCCGACTGTTGACCTTGTTGATGGTGGTGAAGATAATCAGAATATTCCTCTTTGGCCATTGCTTCATCCTCAGCGTTTCGTCGATGTCATCTTTGCCGTTGATTCTACCGCTGACGATAATAGCTGGCCAACGGGCTCATCGCTTGTTAACACATACGAAAGAGTTACTGGTGTTAATGGCAATAAGAGCATTGATGTCCGTGGCTTCCCTTATGTTCCTGACGAAAATACATTTGTTTCTAAGGGCTTGAACACACGCCCTACCTTCTTTGGCTGCGACGGCAAAAACACGACCTTAAAGCAAAACTATGTTGATAACAAGACTCCTCCTCTAGTCGTTTATATGCCCAACTACCCTTGGGACTTCGACTCCAATATTTCAACCTTTACATTTGACTTATCGAACGAAAAAACGGAAGCTGTAATTAACAATGCTCGTGTGGCTGCCACTCAAAACAACAGCGATGACTTTGCTACTTGTCTTGCATGCGCTGTGGTTCAACGATCTTTGGAGCGTAAAAATATGTCTACTCCTGAAAGATGTAAGACCTGTTTTCAACAATACTGCTGGGATGGTAGTGTCGCTTCAATCAAAGCTACTGACTATAATCCTACAATCCTTTCTACCAAAGATTCATCTTCTGCTTCTCGTACCGTAAGTTTAGGACTCTCTAGCATCCTTTTATCGCTTGTTCCTTTTGTTTTTCTAATCGCATAAACCTTGCTTGTTAAGTAAAGCTAGATGCGATTCATATTCTTATTGAATAGTATTGTGGTTATCCGACATATTTATATTTGTGGTTTGTAGTACCTACCAAGGTAGGTTAAATATTTAAATAAATACTTCTAGATATATCTATTTATATAAAATAATATATGTACGTATAATGTACAACAATAACGTTTCTTCCTGTTCCAACCGTATCATTAAACAAGTATTTCTTTATTTACACAAGAGTAGTTTTTCTCGAACACGATAAATTAAAGTCCATCAAAAAAATCTGTTTTAGGAACCTTTCTTTTTGGGGCTGCCTTGGCAGGCTTTTTGTTGTTCCTTGATTTCTGTGTAGGTTCATCTGAATCGCTATCAGTATTGTCTTCAGATTCATCCGAGTCCATCGCATCACTATCTTCCTCACTGTCCTGGTCGGTTTCGTTTGACTCAGCAGAACCATCTTTTGTATCCCAAAATATCAATTCGGAACCACTGGCCGAAACAAGAAACTCGCCATTTTCGGAAACGTCAGCAGTGTCAACACCTGCTTTAGAACTGTGCTGTCCGATAACTCTTTCGTAATGATTTGGAAGGATGCTCAATTGTCTAAGGCATCCATCACTTCCACCAATATAAAGGGTACTTAAGTCAGCACGGTTCATGGTTTCCACCGAATAGTCGTTTGAACGGACAGGTGGCATAATGCGGTCCGTATGATCGCCCCAATCACCCTTTGTGAACAAAGTGACCACGCCGGAAGCTGTGCCTACCGCGAATTTCTTCTTGGGATTATTATCCCGGGTAAAGGCTCCACAGGTTAAATCATCATCTTGTTCTTCACTCATGACAGCTGTTTTGAAGTTTCTGGCATCGAGAATCGACAAAGTTCCATCACCACTGGTAGCAACCATATAGCGATCTTCGAATGGACATATAGAAGAAATATAGTCAATCTGATCCCTGTGTGAATGAAGGACTCCACCACTTTTTCTTCTATCCCAAATAGTAACGCATCCATCATCGTCACCCGTAGCAAATATATGATTTCCTTCCACCCACTCAACCACGCTGTAAGGGGAAGGTTCCGTGCTTGCTGTATCTTGAATCCATTTCGAGGTGACTCTTCCAGAAGCAGTGTCAGCTAATTTTAATACACAGTCGGAACCAACAGATATAAATTCAGAGTTGTCTTCGGTTAGTGATAAATTTCGACAACTGATTTTATGGCGTTTGGTGCTCCATTCTTGGACTAAAGAGTTGTTTTCGATATCATGGCTGTAATTTGCAACACGACCATTTGAGAATCCAACTAATAAATTATTTTTTTCTCCATAAGCCACTAAATGGAATATATCGTCATCAAAGACGTGTTTTAGTTTCGCTGCTGAATTCGTTTTGCTCATAGGAAAGAAGACACTTGGCGAAAAGCAAAATAGTGGTATGAGGAATCCTTACTACACATTCAACACCATCAGAAACAAACGCTTCCTTTCAATCGCATAAACTTAGCTTTTTGATCTATAGAAATTGAGTGTTATAAATATTTGAACTTGGTTTCTTTTTGGTAATAGAGTTATAGGACATTCACCTGAAAGTTTCGTTTTTGACTGGTGATTCGATTCCTACGTCCTTTTTAAGTGCCGTTTTGTAACATTTATTTATTAAAAAATTTAAAGGTACATATATATATATACATAATGCCTTCTTCAGCTTTGGAGCAGTGGACTAAAGATAATGTCCTTAAGCTTTTACCACTTGATGAAGAAAGTGCTGTGCTTGTGGCACAGACAGCATTAGCAGCAGAAAATGCTGATGACGCGAAAACTCACTGGATATCTCTGTTAGGAGAATCTCAAGAAACGATTGAGTTTGTGAGTGAATTTAACCGGAGGAGGTTTGCGGCATCATTTTCACAAAAAGACGCAATTTCTAAAAAGCTAGAGAGCAATAGGCCAAGCTCTTATTCTGCAGAAACTATGGCTTCCTCGAACATCAGCCAACGAAAACAAACTAATCAAGCACGTTTATCATCTTCTGATGGAGACAAAAACAAAAGCACAAAAACAGACGATGAACTATATAAAATACAAAAGTTTTCCCAAAAGTCTACAGGTCCAGGCACTTTGACGTCTGACCTAATGGGGTCTAAAAAAGCCTCTAAACCAAAAGCAGCTCCTCAGGTTAGTAAGATTGAGGGTTTAGCAGACATCGAAAGAGCTATTCATCAGGTGGAAATTTCTCAAAGATCTTCAAATTCGAATAGAAGATCTTGCGATTGCCAAGGCCGTAAACATCCTCTCAATGAAGCTGCTCCCAATTGCCTCAATTGCGGTAAGATAATATGCATGTTGGAAGGCATGGGACCATGGTAAGTTTCTATATAAATATCATTCTAACGAATCTTCTTATAGTACATTCTGCAAGACTCCTGTGATCAGTAAAACGCAGCAGTTGGAACTTCTACAAGAACTTAAGAAAGCAGGGAGCGATTTAAAACAAGCTTCAAATCAAAAGACAAAATCTAAGCATATGTCTTCCAAACATCAGTTTCAGAAACTTAATAACTCCTCTATACATTCTATATTCATTGACCCAAAACAGTTGGAGCAGAAAGCTATTGAAGCTGAACAAAGGAAAAATGTCTTGTTAAATTTCGATCGTACAGCTGCTCAACGAACTAAAATTATTGATGAGGCTGCTGACTTTGATCCGACAATGCTAGCAAGTGACACCTGGGCATCTCCTGCTGAAAAAGCTTTAAACTTAGTCAAGGTGCAGCAGGCACTCGCTCAAAAGGAAAAGAAGAAGAAAAAGGTTCTTTCAATTAGCTTGAGTGGTAAAAAAGTAGTAGTGGACCAGAAAGACGAATCATCAGATGAAGAGATGCCAGATGATGAGCAACGCAAATTTATGGAAACAAAAGATATTGAGGCTTCCACTAAACAAAAATCCTCAAATGTCACTCGTATACCTAGAAAACTAGCACGTCCTGTTTTTCGTCCTCAAGATCAACCCAAATTTAAGAGCGGTTTACCAAAGGAAATTGCCGAAAAAATAAATCGCAGTTGGTCAAAAGTACAGGACGCGGTTGAAGAAGACTGATTACTAACTTTATTATTTAATAAGAAATGATTTTACACGCCATATTTTATTCAATGCAGTACCTAATCAATAATATACACAACAAAATTCGAAAGTTTTCTATTTCATGAATCATTGCTAAATTATTATCCTCCAATATAAACAGCCACCAAAAAATCATAGATTAAATTAGGATATAACCATTTTTTTTGTTTTTTTTTTTCTTGACTAGTATACGGAAGAATTTTCTTTCATTTTTTTTTTACGGTGATGGGGGCACGTAGTTAGGGGAATTCCCTTCGTCTTCATTCCATCCACCAGGTGTGGGTGCTGCCCAACCACCAGGAGTAGGTGCTGTCCATGAACCATTATTATCATCAGTATCCCATGTCGTTTCAGAAAAGCCCCCATAAGCTGGACCTTGTCCTACAACATTAGAAGCAGCAGAAGAATTCCAAGATGGTGTTTTCCCTCCAGCATTCCAAGCCGGCGTTTTTGTGCCCGCATTCCAGGCGGGAGTTTTACCACCAGAATTCCAAGCAGGAGTCTTAGCACCAGCATTCCAAGCAGGGGTTTTATTTCCAGAGTTCCAGGCTGGGGTTTTACTGCCAGCATTCCATGCTGGAGTCTTATTACCAGAGTTCCAGGCTGGGGTTTTTCCTCCAGCATTCCAAGCCGGTGTTTTGGCTCCAGAACTCCATGCAGGCGTCTTACTACCAGAATACCAACTTTGAGTTTGACCACCATTGGCATAAGCTGGTGTACGTGCACCCTGTGCCCAACTTGGAACGCTTGGACCGTCCACGTTACCGATACTGCCAGGACGAATACCACGGCTGCGTTCAATAAACTCGGTATAAGTGATTAAGTCTCCATTCTTCGTAGTGTACAACAAATTTTCTTTGGGAACTGGTACTATTTTATTGCCAGTATGTAATTCGACACGAGCATTTGCATCCGTGGTATCCTTAATCACTCCCAACAATCCTTTCATAGGTCCTTTACGTATACGTACAGTAGCACCAATAGCTTTGTCACGACCAATAGTACGTTTAATGTTTGCAACTGGAGGTAAGGACGGACCGTTGTTTAATGCGGGATTCATCTTGGTCAAGTCTGTCGAAATACGAGCACCCTTTGCAGCCACTGTAGCAACATTACGGCTTCTGGCAACAAATACACCATTATTTTCCATAATCTCTCTATTATGAAGGAAAACAAACGCACGATAAATGTGCAATATTGTTCCTTCTTTGTTTTCACCTCCAACTTCTTTGACCTTATCACCTACACGAATTTCAGTACCATTTCTGTCGGTAGCTACACCACGGCGATTTGAGTGTCGCATTGTAATTTGTGATGCTTTAGCAGTCCTTACTCCGCCATGTTGATCAACGACACGATAAGTGTCTCTTTCAACCGAGAAAACACAACCGACTGTATTTACGTCTAGTTGAACAAGGTCATGTAAATCGTAGGCAGAGTTAATAGCCTGAGCGCTGCCAGCTTCACCAAGGTCACGAGAAAACACAGTTAGTTCTGTCATCATGGTATCGCTCAAGAATGTAACCTCATCTTTTGAGATGCGAACAACCATACCGGTATCATCCTTGTACTTCCCGGCAATGACCTTCACATAATCACCATGACGAAAACGTTTTCTTAAACCGCGGGAAGGGACATCTAATCTTAACCCGTCATTCGAAATAATAGTGACTACGGTTCCGTGAACAGTTTCAACGACACCACCAACGCCAGCTTGTTCACCAACGAATACTTCAACGACATCACCAAACTGAAATTCTGCATGATCATTCTTAACACTCAATGCAAGTGAGCTAAGATCCAAATCTTCATTACTCGGGCTGAATTTTGATACTTCGTCAAGGGTTGGATTTACACCCTCTGTGACAAGCGAAGAAATCCGAATATCTTTTACAAGGAAACCATCTTCAAATTCCTCATTGTTAAAAACAAATGTTCTGGGTCCCCTTCTATAAAATTTTGTAGGATTACTTTTGTAAGCCTCACTTTCATTAAACAGTCGAGATTGAGGACGAGTGATTGATTTACTTCTCTTGAGTGAGTTCGAGTAGTCGACACGAGGAACAATACGAACACGAGCGGTTAAGCCATTTTCAGATAAGTTATCCACTTGTGCAAGATCACCCGCATATTTACCACGCTTGATACGTACATATGCACCAGGAAGAAGCTCGACGGTCTGTTTTTGAACCTTCAGAAGATCCGGCATTTCTTTGATTGGTACCAAAATCATGTTATTCGTATAAACGTTCAAAATGCCATTTAAGGCAGCTAATACATGCGATTGTTTCCTAGCCTCAACGTAAACGTAACCGACTAGTGAATCACGTTGAAATGCAGAGATAATTTCCAATGGCATGCTCGTATACTGAAGATCCATAGCTTTTCTCATAATGGTAAAAACAATATCTTTTTCTTTTCCTACTTTACATCTAACAGCCCAAACATTAGGGTCGTTGACAGAAGGAAGAAGAAGTCTTTGAGGAACATTGCTAGTATCACTAATGACAGTTTGGCTCCTTCCATATTTTTCTCTATATTCCTCTGCCAAACGTTCTGCATCGACAGATTGTAACTCTTGTCTTTGGCGGTCGAGTTCTCGGTGTCGTCTATCATCGGACACATAGTCAGCTCCGCCAACTTCTTCCTCGATGAAACCATCTTCTCTTCCAATTTCATCTTCCTCGTCATCTAATTCCTCTTCATCTTCATCTACCTCTGCTTCAATATCGAGGAATTGATTCCGGCGTTCATGACGTGCGCGTTTTCTCCTACCACCGCCGGCTTCTTCTTCTTCTTCTTCTTCTTCTTCTAATTCTTCCTCATCTTCTTCTTCTTCGTCTTCTTCTGCTTCCTCATCAACTGCGTCGTTCTCTTCCTCATTTTTTTCGCCATTGCGATCTCCTTGAACGGCATCTTCTTTTTGTCCTTGTTCATCTTCATCGTCCGACACATTCTCTTGCTCTTTAGAATCAACTAATGAATCATTGGTATCATCATTTCTCCGAGATGCATTTGGAGACGTCTGCTCAGTAGATTCTTCATGAACAGTTCCTCCTGGAGGATATCTTTCTTCCCCTAAATCAGCATTTCCTACATTACCGTCCATTGCGACGTATTATCCGGGACTTGAATTAAATCCCTCCAGTTTATATTAGAAAATATATATATCCAGCGAAAATTAAGGCCTTTTATACCCAATTTCAAGATTTGCCGCTGTATCGTGGTATTAGAAGAAGTCAAGCCTGTAGTCGTTGTCACTTACCTGTAGGCAACACTGTCCCTCTGCAGAAGTAGCGGATGCTAACAACAAACAGTAAAAGCATAAACAGTAGTAAAATGAAATCAAAACTCGTTATAGATAAAGTCTTTTATTGTGGTTTGTAAAGTAAATATAAATGTATAAAACGAAGATGGAACTGTGGTTTATGGTACTTTGGATGCTCCCACAAGACTGTAGTATTTTGCTGTAATCACGATAGTAAGGCTCTTATAAACCAGCTGGCTATTTGTTTATCTTTCTGGAACTGATTCAATTCCCCAAGAGCCATCAGGAGCCTAATAGTTAAGGACCTAATTTTCACAAGATTGAAAATGCTCTCGCATACTATAATGACAAGTAGCCCTCAATTCATCTACTAGAAGGTTTTAAAGAAGAAAAAAAAAAAAAATTACCGATATAGATTTCCTTTCTTTACTTCCATTCTCAGTCGTCTTCCTTGTTGGACCTTGACGCCCTTTGACTTATACTTAAATAATTAGGACAAACCAAAAAAAGAAAAGAAAGAAACTCTTCAACTCTGATTATAAAAGAAAAAAATTACTATTAGAAGTGGATTTGAGTTCAACGACGTATTTATTTTTACAAGTTTTCGACAGCTTGCCATCTACTGTACTCATATGTTTTGAAACGGTAGAATGAGCTCTAGAAAACCGCTCAAGGGTTTCGTTATATGTTGTACTAATATTGAATTAAATAAACGTGTAAGTAAACATACAGGCCTCTGTAAATGATAAGCTTGAAGTGTTGAAGACTAAACGCTTACAAATAGACGGAAATTTCAACGAAAGCAATAAAACTTGGCGCCTCTTATAAATCTGATTTGACAAAAGATGTAACTCACTTAATTGCTGGAGATTTTGATACCCCCAAGTATAAGGTATAATGATAGCTCCCATGTGCTTCCTGCTTACATGTCTACTTAGTTTGCTGCAAAATCTAGACCAGATATGAAAATTGTCTCTCAAGAATGGATCCCAAGGCTTTACGATAGATGGGTCGAAGGTGAAGACTTAGAGTCGGATTTACTGATCAGCAAGTTTACTTTGCCAGCTCTTTTTAAATGTCGGGTATGTCTTACAAATATAGAGCAGCCAGAGCGATTTCAACTTGAAAATACTGTTTGTGAAAACGGAGGTACATTTTGTCCTGATTTAACTCGCGATGTCACACACTTAATTGCTGGGAGTACCGCTGGTCGGAAGTATGAATATGCTCTTCGGTGGAAGATTAGAGTTGTCTGTGTACAATGGCTATGGGAATCTTTAAAAAGGGGTGCTGTCCTAGAGCCAGAGTACTTTCAAATGGATATGCCTCCAGAACGCATTGGACGTGGTGCGTACATTAAATTGGCTCCGGAGGAAAACAAAAACAGTCAAAAGATATACGATGAAAACTTATCTTCTGACCTAAATCATATCAAAAATAAGCATATTTCCGAAGATACAGAGCTAGAACCAGTCGTTATGAAACGAGGCAAGAAAAGGGAAAGTAGTATCCTCTGGAGTGAGCTGAACACAAAAGACTTAGAAAATTCATTTACAGCTCAAAATGTTTCCCTTTTAGATGAATTCACACCTGAAGTTTTCCAGGCACCTGAGGAGAAAGAACTGTCTACAACTATAGAAATGAATACAGAACCTCGGCTATTTGACAAACTTCACTTCTTTCTACATAGATTTGAGGATGATAAATACAATCGTCTGAAAAAGTGCCTGAATAGAGAAGGAGGGCATGCATCGTCGACCTTAGAAGCTACAACCAATTTTGTTGTCGTCCCTCATCATCTGCCAATCGAAGAAATTCCTACTTTTCCTGTTCCTACCATAACTGAATGGTGGGTTGAAAGATGTTTGTTTTTCAAAAAAGTACTCCCTGTTGATGAGCATGTATTATCGAAGCCATTTTATCGTCCTTATTTTAACCATGAATTTGTCGGTATAAGTATTCACCTTTCTGGGTTTAAAGGTGTAGAAAGCTCACACCTAAAAAAGGCATTGGTACTTTGCGGAGCTACTGTTGATAATTTTTTAGGCGTGCAAAGAAGCGTGTTGCTTATAAACACAAACGAACCCTTTAGCATGAAAACAAGATATAAAATCCAACATGCCACTGGTTGGAATGTTCGCGTGTTGGGAATCTCATGGCTATGGCACATATACCGAACCGGCAAATTTACAGAGGACATATCCCCTTGGGCGATTGACAAAAAGGAAAATCAAAAACTCAAACGGTTTGAGCATTTACGTAAGGTCGCTCAGTCAAGTGAGAAATCCGTCCTTAAAGATGATGCTCCGTTTGCTATTCTACCAAATGCTCAGTCTACACCTGCGCCGAATTTTATATTTGAGCATTATAGAAATTCGGCAAAGCAGCCGCACAGGTCCAAGACAACTTTTAATGATACTGATGCGAGTTTAAAGGGATCTCCAACAAAGAAAATTAGGTCCGTAACGGAACCAACCACTGATTCTAACGCTCGTTTGAACAATGATCTGAGTGAAGATGCATTAAATAAGCAAGAACAAGAAAGTGTCTCATACGTTGATCCGGACGCACAGAGAGAAAAACAAAAAATATATGCTCAGCTGACTTCAAACTTTAATGATTCCTTTCCATTGATTAATGAGTTTTCTTCTCAAGACAATACCTCTATTTTAATAAGCAAGGAAAAACGTAATTTACGACCGAGGTAAAGCTGACCAATAATTTATTACAAAGTTATATAAATTTACTGTTTCCTTTTTTTTTTTTTTTTTTTTTTTTTTTTAACCAAAACTATTATTTTATTCAAAACCTGTATAGTTAATCTATTCCAAACAATTCCAATTCTAGATTCCTAGTATATTGTTAGAAACTTATTATAGACGTAATGCAAATTAGGAAACTTACTGTTTTTCTTTTCTGGCAAGCATTAAATTACAGCTATTCGGGCTTCGCCAGACAGGCAGCAGAATGCGCATATCAGTGTATGATCCATCCTCAATCTTGGCATGTGCATTGACTATGTTACACCCAAAAACCATTTTCTCGGATCCGGCCTTCAATTTCCCATTTTCGGGAAACTGCTCTAAACGAGGATAATCATTCTTCATTAGTATCTTTAGGTCCTCAAGATTGGCATCGCAGAAGAATTTCTCGTTTAGATATGGGCTAATGATATTAACACCATCACTATGAATCCGAAAATTACAAACATCCTTGTTAATTTCCAACGACGGGTTACTTTTTAGTAAAGGGCTGATATCTTGCTTGACAAAAAAACGGACTCCGCCGTGAACAAATTTGACACGGTTGATGTTATTTTCTATTATTTTCTTGAACAAGGAGCATGCAAAATATACAGATCTTGTAGGTGTACCGCTTTGATTACGAACGAAAAATTGGTCACGAGGAAACTTGGGATCTAAACCATAAAAATTACTTAAGGGTTAGAATAGAGTTCGTTGAAATGTTTTCGATACTTACGAAACAGAAGAAATGCTTTCATCATCTGGCTTAATATAGACAAATGGTTCTTCATCAAAATAGTTATTACCAGTCTTGGTAGTAGGATGAGGAGCGGGAGATGGTACAGAAACTTCTATATCGAGTTTTTGGCGTTTAGCTTCCGGTGCTTCATCTCTCTTTAAACTATCAACTTTACTCGCCTGTAAGGGACTTTCCTTTTTCAACATAGCGATAAAGAACCCTCCCGTGTTTTGATTTTGAGGATAGATACGTGCACTAGATTATGTTAGAAACAGAAGGTTACTATAAAAACAATATACCATCGTTCAATGTGTTGTGCCTTCATTTCATCCATTGACAAAGGCCACATTGTAGAAGTAAGGGTGATGTTTTCGGAATGACACTCTTCAGGAGTATTGTACTCCTGAAGAGTGTCATCCATCACCTTCCAAGTAAATAGACCGGATTCGCGCTTCAGTTCCGGAAGCTTCTCCGTGATGTCTACAAGAGATATAGATTCACCTGTAGCCTTCAAAGCAGCGGAAACTACTGCTTCATTTTCGATAGGGTTCATAGAACAAGTAGAATAAACCATATAACCACCAACCTTCAAAAGCTGAAGACCACGGATAAGGATTCTCAACTGAAGGGGATGGAGGCTCAGACCACTAGTTGCAGTCCAATCCCTCCATAGAGAAAGATTTTTACGAAATGTGCCGTCTCCAGAACAGGGTACATCAGCCAAAACGCGGTCATATTTCAAGATTTCTTTCTCGTTGAGTTTATTCGACGAGGAAGAAGGGACGAATATATTCGGCATAGTTGACGCATCATGATTTACTACTAATACATTCGGGGAGTTCAAACGATTTATTTGGTGTACAAGCATTTGAGCACGTTTAGGATCTGCGTCATTAGCGATGATAAGCCCTTGAAGAGAACTGAGATTAGCACTGTCCTGGACGGCGTCTTTCACATGTGCTTGGTTGTAGATTGCTTCAATTAATTGGGCAGTTTTAGATCCAGGAGCAGCGCACATATCCAAAACCAGATGATGCGGAGACAAGTCTAAAAATAACGGTGGTAGCATGCTAACAGCCTCCTGACGATTGATGTTTCCGGCTTCGTTTTCACTTACAAGGAAGCGTTGGAGGCGCTTGAAAGGTGGACTCTTACGAATAATATCTTTTTGAGCGTCAATGCTATAAGCCAGTTGGTTTGGATACCAAGGGATAATTTGAGGAGCTGGAATCGTTTTCCCTTCAAACTCGACATTCTGGAGACGGGGGATATAGTGTGTTTCGAAATGCTTCTTTAGTTCAAAAGCATGTTGCAAATAACCGCAGATTCGAAAAGTCGTAGGTAAAGGCTTTTTTAGGAATTCTATCAATGTTTGAAACTCATTTTCGGAATCGCTTTTGCTACCAAAGATGTTTTGTTTACGGTAATATCCCTCAAATTTTTCGTTTCTACATACCAAATCGTTAATACAGTCAATTCTTAAGAAAAATTCTAACTCAATGAAATTCAAAGGCTGGTCTTAAATGCTTTTGACAAAATATAGGACTGTATAGGATGAAACTACTTACTTTAGCACAATCTCACTTTTATCGTTATAAGCACGCTTTCCTTGCGTGGGCTATTCCTGTTAATAAAATGTAAGTAAACATCACTTTACCTTATTATTTTTTTTTTCCCATTCTTGAAGTATTTTCCAAATCCTGAAGTAACCTATACTAGTAGTAGAACTCCGCTCTAGTGAAGCGTTGTTTCGTTTTGATATACCCTTTAGGGAAGCGCTGTATTTATTTGTAAAATATTTTATATAATGGAATGGTATACGAAAAGTTACATAACGATTCTTAAAGTTGTAGAGCGTACTCCCTATTTACTAAAAGGTACCGAAAACACAACACTCTCTTTGCCAAGTATGCGAATTCAAACAAAGCTATTGTGCCATTAGTTAAATAATTTAAAGATAGTAATTTTAATTTAAGAAAAAAAGAGAATTCGTATTTACTTTTTTTTTCTTATCTTACCTCAAAACGGTAATCAATGCCGCATTTATCTTTTGTTCTGTGGATTACTATCATATCCATAATTTTCCAAGTTTGTAACTCATTTCGGATTTCAGACAAATGGGTACAAAGACTGCTGCCTTCAGACGATTTTGTTAATGTGCAATTGCGACACGTATTTCATCATGGATTAAACGAACAGTATAATCAACAGTATCGTTTAGATATACACAAGAAAGATGTTTATGAAAATAGCAATGATGTTTTTCGGCTGAAAATGAAGAATTCCAAATCAATGACTCTGAAAAATCAGTCTCGTGAAGCATTGAATCACTATCGAGAAAGCTCCATGCGCGGTTTGCATACTGAACAATCCCATGTGGATTTATGGGCGGAGCGCAAAATTGTTTTACCAGATACTACGGATAAGGCAACGATTTACTCTCTCGGAAAGATGAGCTTCAATGCATATCAAAAAATTCCATTTGATGGTGATTGGCTTGACATTGGTCCGGACTGGAATATAACACCTCCAGAAGGATTTGGTTGGGATGAAGATGGGCTCCGTGGCCATGTATTTTCCAATAACGATAATTCTACTATAATTATTGCCATGAAGGGTACTTCTATATACGGTATTGGTCGGGGAACGTCTCAAAAGGATCGTGTCAATGATAACTTGCTATTTTCTTGCTGCTGTGCGCGAGTAAGTTGGGCATGGACAACTGTGTGCGACTGTTACAGAAGCACCTACACTTGTAGTCAAACGTGCTTAGAGGACGAAGTGCAATCCGGCAATCGGTACTACTCCGCTTCTCTCGATATATACTATAAAGTGAAGGAACTATATCCCAATGCACAAGTTTGGTTAACTGGTCATTCTTTAGGAGGTGCCACCGCTTCATTGATGGGCTTATCTTTTGGTATTCCTACCGTCACGTTCGAAGCTCCAGGTGAACGTATGGCTGCTCGTCGTCTCCATCTTCCTATGCCTCCTGGGCTTCCTGATGAGGAAAGTCTTATTTGGCATATTGGTCATACTGCTGATCCAATTTACTTGGGTAAATGCACCGGACCCACTTCTTTATGTTGGGCTGGCGGATATGCTATGGAGTCTGTTTGTCATACGGGCCAGGAATGTATATACGATGTTGCCAAAGATAAAGGTTGGCATATTTCCTTAACGCACCACCGTATGCAAAGTGTCTTGAACGATGTGATTGATAGTTATGATGAGGTACCTACTTGCACTCACTTACCAAATTGTGTGGACTGCGCCCTTTGGTTATTTCCTGATGATGAAAAATGAAGATAACAGCTGCTTTTAATGCCCCTATATCTTAATGCTAGTTATGAAAAGTCATGTCTTAATTCTTCCAATTAAATTCTCTCTTGGATACTATAATCGAATATATCATTTAGTACTCATGCTCTCCAACATAGATGCGTGTACATTTTTATACTTCATGATCACGAACTAGAAACAGTCGAAAAATTACGACTTACACAGTAAGATTATAAACCCATTTAACCTTTTATTAAAATTTAAACCTCATAAAGACGAAGTCAAAAGAGAGAATATAAACAGAACCTCCTAATCTAAAATTTCAAATATATATAGATATAGAAAATAACCTCTTTCTGACAATGGTCAAAATTCGATAATACCTTCTTTTTTGTTTTTAAGAAAAAAAGCAAAAATTGTAGTCAATTGACTTTATAACTTATTTTCTTTCTTTTTCTTTTTTTAATCAAGGAACGAAAATAGTGACTAAGAATTCCCTGTTAATGACATTCTTTGCCCTCAAACCAGAACGTTAGCATAGCGAGGGAAATAGAGATATTAAGAATCTATTAAACACAATCCTTTAGATTAGGCACATATACGGTAACTGTTGTATCTTCCACTAGTTTCACTCTTTCGCACAATCTTTACAACCTGACCACGCTTCAAGCCAAGATATCTTGCCACGGGATCAGCTAATTGGATACGAGGCAACTGAGTTTCTCTAAGCTTATAACGTTCTAAAAGCTCTTTTTTCTCATCCGGAGTAAGTAGAATGTGTTTCGGTACGAGCTCATGATGGGTGATGTTAACAATCAGGTCACTCTCTTGGAATGTTTCAATCGTAAATTGTCCAGTAACAGTCGAGATAATTTTGGCAGCGCTTGGTGTCATAGAATTAGCGTAGATTAAAATGCCGGTCTTGTGATTATGATCCCCCAGTGTATGGACGAAAGTACGCATTTCCTTAATGCCTACCGATGGCTCCTTCGCAAATTCAACATAAATGGTGCCTTTGTCAGAATCAGCCGGAGGTTTGGCATAAAAACTTAAAGTAGAACGACTAAACACAAGTGTTAGGATATTATCGGAATTCAAGCATCACTTCTTAAAGAAATGACTACATAGTCCTTTTCTATATAAGAGAGCAGGAAGATACTTACTCTAAGTTGCGGCCCATGCCACAGTGCATTGCCTTGAATTGGTCTAATGTGAGATCAAGTTCTGCTTGAGAGACGCCGTATCCCTTTTACTAAAGTTAGCAAGCTACATAATAAGGCATTTTTCTATAGTATCTTACCCTATCATGAACCAACTGATGAGCTGTTTTCCAAGCTCGAAAAACTTTGACAATGTTTCTTTCGTCCGCCGACATCCTTAGAACAACTTTAATCTTTAATCAATTTGTAAATTTACAATGCTTGATTCCCCTTAGTAGCCGATTAAAGAAGGAAAGGGTAATTGGAGGTACCGACAAGGCAATTAAGGCGCGAAGATGGTACCCACCTCAAGAAAATTTGGTGGAAGTTCTTCGGCGAACTCGGTAAATGTAGGTTTAAGTCACCGAACTTCACCGAAAATATAAACAAGGAAGCTTACATTAAATAAATTTGTATAGTAAGAATTGGGACAAGCTTTTTTGTATCATTAGTAGATGGAGAACTATTAGGAGTCTATAGTGAACAAACGAGGAATCTTTTTGTTCCATTCATCATCCCAACGATTCTTAGATTCTTCAAAAGCACCTTGTCGTACAGATTGAAGTACATGCTCGTCAGAACAAAGCAACTATTATGAAGGTTAGAAACATTGAATAAAACGAAGATGATTCAGCTACAAGTAACTTTCCTAAAATTTACTGCTCAGTTCTCTTCACATACCTCAATTTTTTTGAATAGCTCGTTGGAATCATTAGCAATAAATCCGTTTTTGTGATCATGAACCAGCTCAGAAATAGCAGGAAAATTCCACGCAACCACGGGGACACCACAGCCAAATAAGTCTACCACTTTCATAGGTAAGTCATGACCGCTAGAACTTTGGTGAAGAGAAACTCCAAAATCTGCACATGCGATGGCTCGAGGATAGTCTTCGGAACTAAACCAAGGCAAACAAAATCGAACTTTGCCAAGAGGATTCTTTTGCAGGTGCTTTACAAAATCGGGTTTTCCTGGCCCTTTACCAGTAACGAGAACGAGAAGAGGTACGGCGTTTCGTGTTTCGTTGTACATTTTAAGAGCATCCCAGAGGGCATAAATATTCTCATCAGGGGTCCAAGATGTGGAAGTAACTAAAAGCTTTTCCTTTTCGGGGTTAAACTCTTCAGGAATTACATGCAAATTTGACTTTCGAGTTGCATCTTGTACAGGCTGAAAGTGAGCTGGTGGACGGTCGTAACAAACATGACAAGGTCTAACTGTTAGTTAAATCTATGCGAATTTCGCCTATATATATTTAACCCTTACCGAATTCCCCATTCCAACAATACTTGCTGCATGCTATAGGAAACAGTTATATGAAGAAAGGCACCTTTGGCAAGTACACGCTCATATATGCGCAAAAGCTTTACAAAGGGGTGCTCTTTTCCTAATTTGAGGGCAAGAATGGTATATCCAAAATTATGCCAGTCAATGACAAAGCGGGTCCCGCGTAACAGATAAAGGACGTGTCCCAATAAAAATGTAGGGATTGAGGGAGGATTTTGGACAAGGAAATAGGATGCCTGCTTTATTTTAAATAAGATAAAAAGGATCGACAATAATTGGTGAAGTATTTTTACCGGCGCAACCAGTAAGAAGGATAAGCGCGATCGAAAAGTAAGGCTTCCAGGAAGAGTTGGAATAGCATAGCTTTGTATATTTGGATGATTCTGAAACAAGCCTGGTCCTTTCTTGTCTACACGAAATAGGTTAGAGAATGTACGAATAATTTTATAGAGAAATATGCAATCAATCGTTGTTAAGAAACATGATGTAGTTTTCCTTTGCTTAATAAAGCATATATCAACTATTTACCTACCTTGGTACCCAACTAAATCGACTTTCCATCCTTGTTTTGCAAAGCTCAGCGCATGATATTGCATACGCGGACTTTGATCAATTCTTCCCAAAACGAGAATAATAATTCGTTTGCTTTTAGCAGATCTCCTAGAATTGATAAAGATGACTGCGGACAGAAAGAGCAGGATTCGAATAGCTAGCATCTTAATAAATTAATGTGCCTATTGAATAAAGCATGAACGAAAACGCTATATATTTTCAATTAAAATACGAAATCAAGCAAAAGCTTCCTTTCGTAAAGTTATTTGACAAAGACACCCTCCTTTCAAGGTCTTAGTATGGCTACAAGGCAAACAGTAGTGACAGGAAACGAAGGTCATATAAACGCTAAGTGGTAATGTTTTTATTACCGTGAAAATGTTAGGAGTTTTCATAAAAATATAAGATACTATTAAGAAATAAATTTCAAATGTGATCGAATATTTATGCTTGTATATGATGTTAAGCTGAGCTAGTTATCAGAAAGATGGATTTCATTTCATTCATAAAAGCCGACCTATTTATTTCCAAATGATTGTAAAATGAGCCCAATGAGTACATATTCAGAACCTTGCTTTCTAGTTTTAAATTAACACTAGACAGTGACAAGAAAATATAAGCACCGACAAAATCGATATCCAGTCTTTGGGACTTCAGAAAGAAAAACGAAGAATAAAATTGAGAATATTTACAGTCTTAAAATAAGATGTCATCAATTATTGTTCACGATGCTGCTCAATCACTCATAAGTATATCCATACCAACCTGGTGGGAAGCGTAGATCTTCAAGAAAACGAAATGCTTCAATTTAATATAATAATAATGTATCCGAGAATAACAAGTGTATAAGGGACCAGCCCTTCATTCAATAAAAGTAGCCAAATATTTCCATTGAATACGTTTACGGTACCGATACCACGGCCACAGCCCTAATATCGAACCAAGACGAACACCAATGCCACTATACAAAAGAAAACTAGCCAAGTCCATATGGAAATACCACTACTCTTGGAAACCTTATTCAATCGGCCCATTGTGCCTTTCAGTACGTTTTTTGTCGTAAAGTATGATTCATTCATAGTATCCATTAGTTTCGTTGACGAAGTAATCTCTGTACCAATATTCATCGTCAACTTATTCTGTTAGCTTCATATTCATTATGAATTTTCGTTGTTCCTTTATTCAGTTCTACTCACCGATTTCAGAGACTGTACTTTTCCCGTTAAGTTTGCAATTCGATCTTCATTGATGCCTTCCAAATCGTCCATATGCGCCGAAGATCGTGTTTCATACAAGGGCAAAACTTCCCCATTGCGATCTTTTCTTCTACCAAATCTTTATGTAAGCTTGTTTCACCTTTATTCCACATACCTTGCAGCCATTGGATCCTATATATTGAATTTTTTCCAATCACTTTCTTTCAACAAAACTATATGGTTTAATCAGGTTACTCTTGCCTAAGAAAATTGGTTTATTCACAACATACGAGCATGCCAAGAGAGCTAGTTGACCTACAGATGTCAAGTAACAGGCAAGTGACGACTAATTTGGTTAAGAGAAAATGTTTCTATACATCTACTGAAAAAAGGCATCAACAAATAAACAAAAAACAAAAACAAAAGAAGCATGTAAAATAGAATCCATTACAAGAAAAACAGTTATCGATACATGTTAGCATAGAGATAAAAGCGTCTACCTGTTACTTAAAGTGAATTAAATAGAGCAACTAGTTAATTATTCAAATATGATTGAAACCATTTTACTAGGATTGAATAATTATCTTCCATCAAGGTTTCAATATACCCAACAAGAATGTAACTCCTACACGCTTATTGATAGGGTCTGGCCAGGCTCGTGCAATATGAAAAGTTGCGAAAGGAAAACGAATGCTTAAATACGCCGCCAAATTAGATGATGCATATTAATTTCAAAGATATGGAATGGAACGCAAAAAACGACAAAATTAAAGCACAAAAGTGCTAAACAGTGTCTGTGGTTAATACAGAAGCAGAAATTAAACGAAATGCGAAACCAAGCAAGTGCTGATGAATAAAAAAGGATGTTTCTCGTAACAAAGAAAAAGAAAAGATGAAAAGTGAGAAAAGCCACATGCGGCGATTCTTTCAACAAAACTTCATATCGGTCAGATAAAACCTATGGAAAGTATTATGCCAGTTCTACTTTATGTAGATCAAGAAGCGATAAATTAGTAGGAGGGGCGGTCGTTAGCGCAAAAANAAAAAAAAAAATATTTGAAGTTATGGAAAAGAAACAAAGGATGAAAAAGAGAATAATCCATTTTCTTTTTTTTTTTTCTTCAAGAGAGATGACTGGCAGGTATAAAATTAAGAAGCATGGTCATCATTCAAGGGGTTTCTTATGTGTGGAGTGTAATTAGCCTGAAAAGAGGGTTGGATGATGTTGAAATCATTACTTTGGGAGGTTGGACGGAGCTGACAAGGAAGGGGAGAGGGAGAAGTACATTGGACGACATTGGTTGAATAAGATTGAGGCGTTTTTGGCAATCGATCAGTGGGTATACGGCCAGGTGAATTCTTCAGGCTAGGTGTCAATTGAGGTGCAATGGCAGCAGGAGGAGGAGACACTGCTGGAGACGGTAAGGCACTAAGGTTTCCATATGTGTTAGGAGTCTTATTAGCAGTGGCAGAGGCCGCGGCTGCAGCTGCGGCACGCTTTTGGTATTTTAGTATCATCCAGTCAAAAACATAATCATACTGATATCCCTTTCGTATAAGCAGATTTCGAAATAACCTTCTTAAATAATTATAGTCAGGTTTTTCGGTAAAAGAAAGTTGTCTCGTGTAGTACATATAAGAAATAAACTCTTCAGGAAGGCCTTTACATAATACTTCCAAAGGAGTATTAATTTTTGTATCGCGAATCTTCTGATACTTTTGTTCTTTCGTATCCGCTTGCAAGCCCTGCCAGGGTAAGCTTCCCCGACAAAAATATAGCAACACATATCCTAAAGATTCCAAATCGTCGCGCCTCGACTGTTCAATCCCTATATGTGTATTAATACTTGCATATCTGGCTGTACCCGTAAGGTTTTTATTATCTCGGTAGGGAATATGAACGTAAGTTTTGAAATCTCTGTATTTCTTGGCCAATCCGAAATCAATCATCGTTATAACGTTGCTGTGTTTTTTCAGGAGAAAATTATCTGGTTTGATGTCTCTATGGAGAAATGACTTTTGATGCACATATTCGATACGGCTAATTAACTGGTCTGCTAATAGAACAACCGTTTTTAAGGAAAATTTTCTTCCACAATAGCAAAACAAGTCTTCTAGAGAAGGCCCTAACAAGTCCATAACCATAGCGTTATAATTGTTTACTATACCGAACCAGCGAATCATGGGAATTCCAATGTTGCCTTTCAGGATACTATATACTCGAAATCTTTCGATATGTTAATAAAACCATCCTGAAATTTCATGTCATATATGAAAAGCTTAACAAAAAAATAAAGATATTTCACTGAACCCCATCCTATACTCTAAAGGGGAAACCAGTGAATATATGTTTACTCTATTGAGGAAGCAGAAAAAAAGGAAAAAAAGAAAGCCATTAATTTGGAATTTCTTTTTAATTTTATACACTTACTCATATTCCAATTGATGATGCCGGGACTTTAAAGGCTCAAGCTTTACTGCAACTTGCTCTCCGTTAACAACATTCAGTCCCAAGTAAATTTGCCCAAAAGACCCTGACCCAATTTTCCTTCCAATTCTATATTTATTTCCAATTTTTATATCAACTACTGACATTTTTTCTTGCTTTGTTTTCTTCATCCGTAGACGGTAGTAGGTAAAATCGCATCATAAAGAATTCAAATAATAATCATAATACCGAATTCCAGCGTGGCTTTGCAATTTGCGTGTATGGAAGTGCATAGCATTAATAGATAAGCGACCTATGCGAAGATTACTTACTTTACTTACATTCATATCATCAGAAATAAATTATTTACATAGGGTACATAGCAAAAAAGTACAGTATATAAAAGTTTGTCTCAGATGTCGTAGTAGAAGAAATCGTTTCTGCAAGAATCCTGTTTGAAAAAAAAAAAACAAGGGTCCAATACAGTATGTTTGCAATATTTATCTATACTTTAATATGGGTTGCATAGTCTAGTAGATTCTTTTTTTTTTTCATGACTTTTGGTATTTCGAAACGAGATGGGAGCCCTTTAACCCAAGACAATCCTTAAAAAGGTAACAAAAGTAGATCACAAATCAGTAAACTAGAAGAAGCTTTCTAAAATTTTTGCATGTAAGAATGGAATAAAAGACATATATTTATTGTCTGAATTGTACTTCTTTACTAAAGGTGTTTCTGGTTGTACTTCATGAAACTCAGGGTATACTGGTATGGTATGGTATGGTATGGTATGAACAACCAAAAGTTCCAAATGGGTTTTGCTTGATGAACTAAATCTGCGAGAAAACTTCTCGGATGCTGTGGGTTTATTTGTAATAAAAGTTGGTTGATTGTGTGGTCGTTGACAAATTTTTGTTTATGCACCAGATGAACCAACGTTGCAGAAACAAAAAGCTTCCCCAGAAGCTTTTTGTTTCTTCAAGGAGATGAGGCTCACATGTGTATAAGTCTAATGGAAGTGTTTAGCTGAAAGATTTGGTGGTATTTGTGTATGCGAACGGAAGCTTTTTATCGAATTCCGGTTTACTCTCTCGTCAAAAGTCGCTTTGATAGCTTGTAGCGGTTTCTTTTCTTCGTATAGAATGAAATCATTATTACTTTCTACATACCATTACACACTTACACAGAACGAAACACAGATTCAGGAATCCTTTATGGAGCAAGCGCGTATACGAATATGGTAAAGAAAGAGAAATACATTGGGTTGTTATTTCAACTTATAGTTATCGTTAATCAATTCAACGATGATTTCTCTTCATTGTCGGAGACAAAAGAGCACAGAGAGAAAGGTGCATTCATTAATGACCAGAAGCAGGTTTCTCATCCTTCTTTTCTTCCGCTGCTTAAAGTCAGCATTTCTGAACGTTTTCTTCTATTTTTAACAAATATTCTTACCGGCAAGAAGAGTATTACGAAGTTTGTATGTTCCGTAAAAAATGACAGCACCTAAAATTGTTAGTCTCCAACCCAATTCACTTCGTCCCTGCTTCTTTAACTTACCTCCTAAAAAGAAAGGATACATTGGCTTTAAAATAGGTGTAGGATAAGCTCGTAGTCCAAAGAATGCCATGTTTGTTCAACAATACTTTATAAGTGAAGAGGGGGGGAGTAGAGGATAGATGAGTGGAACCAATTCGGGAGTATATAGACGATACTTCCTATGAAGGATAGCCTTGTCCAAGTTCTATGTTTTAGAAACTTTACAATATTTCCTTTATATTCTGGCTTTACTTTTAATTTTATTCTTCTTTATTGACATCCATTCTTTGCTCCCATAGCATGCAAGGATATTCGGTCCTAAGATCAATCACAGTATAATACAATTAACATATCAAATACATTTGTACGTTTTCGTTTATTAAGACTTGCAAATGCTGAACTCTTTTTTTATTGAGAGATTAAGAAAAAAAATGATGATACTTATTTGCTGTAAGATAACTATATATTAGTATTGTTTAAAATTAAATAGAACAGAAGAATAGCTCATAAATAGGTCCATATTTACAGTATCATTGAACGCTCCCCTTCTTTTTTTTACTTTTTTCTTTTCTCGTGTTAATGTCAAGCGTAACTTCATAGGACGTTAGATTAACGGCACTCTCTAAAGTATCAATAAATATAATAATGTCCGTATTTACTAAAGCCTTAGATTCAAAAGGGAGCGTTTGAAATAACAGCAAAGGACAAAAGGAATCAACCTCCAAGTTCTTTTGCTAATCCGGCCCGTGAATAAAACATAGCTTCACGCTTATGAATACACTCTGTCCAAGTTTTCTCAACAGAGCATGAATCCCATACGCCTTTGGCAACCTGGTATAAAAAGCATATAAATCCACAAACGCTACGTAGTCTAGCGACACAATAATTACAGCAGGCATAGGACGTACCGTCTGGACGAGATCGAAATTCAAAAGAGCGAAGGCTGCTTTCCCGATTATCTCCGCAAAGGGAACATGGAGAGAAAGCCTGTGATAACGATGAAGGCACAGGATTAATAATTAAAGAAGCATCCATAATAGCAGCATATATCGAGCGGCGTGCCAGCCAGGAAAGGCCTACTGCGTGATCTAAGCGCAAGGTCGGATCAATGTCCTCTTCAACGCATCGTTTAAAAAAAGCAAATTCTCGAAGAGATCGTGAAGCGGGTGGCAGGAAAGTTGACTGAGACGGTGACGAAGACAACGGTTTTACATTAGCTGGCGTAGTCACAGAACGAGGTAGTACAACGGTATTTTTCAATGACGAGGAGGAAGATGTACGGTTTAAAGTAGTTCTTGATTGGACCGATTTCGAGGAATACGTTAATAAAGCATAAAATTCGGAAAATGATGGATTGCTGGAATTCATTGCTTGAGATAAGTTTGACTGACTGATAGTCCATAAAGCAGGATTCATAGGCGTCACACTGTTAGCAGAAGGAGGCGGTGAATCTGTGACAACGACTGGGGTAGCAGGAGGAGAGGCACTGCTAGACCTATCCTCGACAAGCGTCCGTACACGATGAACATGAGAAGGGTTATGAAGACCTAGACTAGTAGCAGCTCTTTGATCTTGCACCGGCTCGAAATGCCGGCGAGCAGCCGGATACGCATAATTGGAATTACCTGGTGTCCTAGGGCTTTCAAAAGAAGCCGATTTTACATGTCCAGGGCTATTTCGAGGAGGATTCAAGGTTTCTTCTAAAGCAGCTGTAGAAGAACCTACACTAACAACAGAAGCCGAGTCATGAGCAGAAGACCCGGGCCGCATGGGAGAATGAATCGTCTGTTCATAGGAATCGGACATATTCTGCATGACAGATTTTAGCTCCACCAGCTGGGATTGAGCATTTATTAAGAGTGTTTCGGTATCAGCCAGCTGTTTTTGGAATTGAGAAGCGCGTCTCTGATAAACGAGGGTTTCTTTCCTAGCATCAGCGACCATTCGATTCGCTTCTTCAAATAAAGAGCTAGTCAACTCTTCAATCTCACTTTGCACGCGATCTCGTTCTGACTCTGCGCTTTGGTATTTTGCCTCCGTTTGCCGTAGTTTCTCTTCTACACCTTCAAATTCATTCAAGGGCTGTCTAGTTTTTTCCTGGTGCAAAAGCTTCCCTTCTAACTCTCGAATTCGTTCTTCTAACACTTCGTTTTTATGGATTTCATCAGCGCATCGTTCGTCTAATGCTGCTTGTTTTTCAATTGCAACCAGCAGTTTGTGTGACAGTATTTCTTCTTGAGACATGGCTCTTTCTTCGTCCTTTATTACTTTCTCATTATCATTCCATATATTCGTTTCCAGTGAGCTGAAAGGATCAGTCGACTCAACCGACACATCAGGCATATAGACTACTAGGCTTTTACGTTGTGATAAAATCGCCTAATCACTTGTCTTTGGCGTTTAGCAGCACCTAAATTTCTAATATCCCATGCGGAACTTTTATTCTTTTCAATTGTTTACACTTACTGACTCAACGTTGCATAAAGTCTGTCACAAGGAAATGAGAAATTTCCATGTGTCATCGTCTGTCCTTTGAATCCATTTCTTAATAACCTATGCTGCACCTCTGTAAAGTAATTAACGAGAGATTATCACAATGAAAAATTATGCCATAAGTAAGCTTAGCGAAACTTAAAGGGGAAGTGCTAAATATTTCGTTTAAAAACACTTAAGACGATGGATTCAAAAAAATATAAACCGATTCCCAAGGAAAGCTTTATACGCATCACGAATAGAAAGAATCTCGTCTATAGAGAAATTTACCAAGGTTAATTTAATAACTTAACCAAATGAGCCTCCTATTTCAAGTTCTCATTTAGTGATGATTCGATAGCATTTGCAATTTCAACGTAATGTGCAATGTTGCAAGGCGTTATTTGTTCGTTTATATAGTTCTCGCGTCTTGTAACAAGCTGTTTTATTGAGCTTTGAAGAAGCATTGTAAGTTCCTTAGTCCTTTCTTATTTTTAAGTTGCTTTTAAAGAATTCAAAAGCGTACAGTTGGTAGGGAATTTACGCGTCTCGTCTTTCGATTTGTTCCACCAAGGATCAAGAAAAATTTTGAAATTTCAAGAACCGTATCTTAGTTCTTTAATATGGATGAAGAATTACAAGCTATCCGTCAAGCTCGTCTTGCTCAACTAAAGGGCCAACAACAACCTTCCGGGTAAGTAAACTATTTCAGTGAAAAGAGGTTATGAAGTACTGACTAAAATGAATGTCAACTTTCTAAGCCGATGCATTCGTTAGTCAAAGTATACTTTATAAAAGGCTTAGTCCTTTCAGTGCTTTTTTTCATTTTTTGACTTTGCTTGTGTCACTGTTGATTAACATGCAATTAGACCCGGAAACGCTCCTACAGATCAAAATCAACAAAAAGATGCTCAAGATGAGCTTCGTCAGAATATGGTATGCTTAATATCACTTAATGAAGCATTGATTATTAATGACCTTACAGCTTACCCAAATCTTGGAACACTCTGCTAGAGACAGACTCCGTCGAATTGCTCTGGTAAAACCTGATCGTGCCCAAGGTACGTCAAGCATACTTTTTCTCTATTTTGTTTTCTTTAATCTTGAAGATTCTAACTTCTTTCTTAGCCGTTGAGGAACTATTAATTCGAATGGCTAGAAGTGGACAAGTCCTACAGAAGATTTCTGAATCCGAGTTAATCGAGCTTCTAGAAAAGATCTCTGGTCAATTATCAAAACAAAGAGAAACTAAGATTGTTGTATGTACTCACGTTTTCATTGGATGATGCTTTATGCAAATCACCGTTTTGAAACCCTCTTGCTGAATATTAACATGTTTGATTGCAGTATAGTCGCCGTGCTGTTGATGATGAAGACGATTGGGATCTTTAATCGGAATAGGAGAAGGAAAAAGAAACCATAATTTTTAGTTACACACAGTATGCAGTGGTTATATATAACTATACTAAGATATTTTGAAGGTTCCTCATTTGTTGAACTTCAAGCTATTTACAAACTTATCGAGAACCTGGAAAATAATGTAAAATTATCGAAGAAGGAATGAGATGTATTTTACAATGATATGAAGAAATTAACAACTTTAATTAAATAAATCCCATATCGACAATAAAAAAAGAAATAAACACGAATCGTAGAAAAAGGAGTGAAGTTCATAAAAACCCGGAAGTATGATAACAGCGAGGCAACGCTATATACTATAGCTTGTTGGTTTGGTGACAGAGCATATATGCCTACTTCAGTCAAGGAAAATGCAATAGAATGGCCAAAACGCAGAAAAAAGCCATGTACTGTGTCAATATAAGATATTGAAAATAATAAAAGAGTGAAAGGCGGATAGCAGCAAGTCGAATGTCCTATAAAAAAACTTTTTTTGGAGATGACAAGAAAGGGAAATATGGCAACTAACAGGGGGAAGCTAAAAATTCTAGCCTGTAAAAGGGAACGAAAAGGATTCTATACAGTTATTTAAAACAAGTATGTAAAGGGAGGGACGAATTATAATATAGTACATTAGAAAAATGCCTTCCAGTGACCAAACTTAGCAGATAATACAACCAGTGTTATGAAAATTATCAGCATTGTCTTTTGCACTTCGTGGTTGAGCAGCCAAAGCTACCCGTGCTGCTTCTGTGAATGCCTCGTTGACGCCTCTGTTCAGTTTTGCGCTACATTCGAGGTAGCGAACAGCATTGATCTTTTTTGCTGCTGCAAGACCCTCTTCGTAGCCTATAATTCTGGTGGAGTTTGGTTGGTCGTCATCTGCACCGCGCAAATCACATTTTAAAGCAACTAAAACAAGCTTTACTGACGGACAATTACTAGCAACTTCCGGCAACCATTTTGAGATGACATTTTCCAAAGAGTCCGGCGAGTCAACAGCAAAACAAATCATAATGACATGCGTGTCAGAGTATGATAACGAGCGTAATTGATCATACTCTTCTTGACCAGCTGTATCCCATAAGGAAAGTTCTATGCTATTTCCGTCCACAAATATATCGTGAATATAGTTTTCAAATCTAATACTTTGTTAGAAGCAAGGATCAAGAGCATGAATGGTAAGGTTGAAGTAGCATCGCAAGGGAATTTCTGATTGATTGCTGAACACACCACGACAAATCTGGATACTCGCCGAAGAAAGAGTGATCTTTAAAACAAAGAAAAGCAAATTCAACCTGGGGAGGAATCAATGGATGGGTTTCCTTTGGAATTTCCTTCTTACAACGAAACTTACATAGTAGGTTCATATACTTGAGGGAAGTAGCCCTTCGTAAACACATTTAAAAGACTAGTTTTTCCAGCAGCACCTAGAGAGATTAGCCATCTTCACGTTTCTCGTGCGGTGGTTCAATATGCACCGATGCTCTTACCATCACCCAGAATCACAATTTTTCGGTAAATCGATCTCTTCTTGCGTCCAAAGCAACTGAACATGCTTGTTGTTTTCTTTCTTTCTTTGGTTTTTCGTGATTAAAAAGCTTTTTATGCTTTAATTAATTGAACAAAAGAGTTTGGTTTAGGATGAAACTTATACAACTGAAGACACTACTACGCAAGAACCCCTTGGTTGAAGTGTAGTTCCTGTGACCCCACATGGAATTCTTGGATTGCCCCACTTAGTGTGTTTTCTTAAAAATAACATTGTGAAGTCAGGTTGCTACCTCATTGTATGGTTTTACAATATGAAGTTCGTACGTTATAAGCAAAAAAATGAAAAATGATGAATTAAGAAATGATAATTTCGGCGTTTATCAGCTTCGTTTTTCCTTCTAGAAAAGAATTCTATTTATAAAAAAAAGCTCTATAGCTCAACTATCTATTTACAAATAGATGAGAGACTTTCTTAAGCAATGTTTATAGGTAATTACTAGTTTCAAATGGAGTTGCTCGTACATATGTACAAACTAAAAACAATTCGTAAGTAAGATGTAGTTTTATCGTAAAGTTAAAGTTTCAATACTCTTTGTTGAACCAAGGCAAATTCGTTTAACAAGTCAATGTACTGTTGTATCATGATTATCCATTCAGAGACAAAAGGTAGGATTTGATGGTTTTTCTGTTTTCTTAGATACTTTAATTGAAATACATAGAACCATGCTTGAGAAGGCTTGCAGTCTTGAAACTCTTTTGCGACTTTCATGGCAATTTCAAACGTCTCGGACAGTTTTTCGCAGATCATCCTACAGAATTTAAGCATCCGCTCAACATGATTTTTTAATACTCCCGTTAGTTTCTCCAAACACTGGTTCTCCGAATCTTTAGAATGCTTCCAACGGAGATCCTGTTGACAAAGTCTCCGTTTAGCACGGAGCAAAATAATTTTTCGTCGACTAAGGTGTTCGTTTTCTTCATCAAAATAATGAAATGCATCCTTTGCAAAGTTTTCTGGTTCCTCCATATTGCTTTCTGGGTGCATTCTAGCAACCCTCCCAAAGGTAGCACATTCATCATCCAAGTTTTCCATGTAGGACTCCCATTCTTGTATAGAGTCCACCAGAATGTTTGGCATTGACTTTACCATGGTGGTTGAATAGGAATTGCAGAAGAACGATTCTTGAGACGCGACGATTGTGGATTACCAACGCGTACCTCTCATATAACACACAAAGAAAAAATTCCCTATATGCAGCATTGTGTAGATGAAAAATCTATGCAAAATGAACAAATACTTGAATGTATAATAAAAAAAAGAAATAATGAATTGGTGATTAAATGAGAATTCTGCCGTTGCTACTTCTTCAGTACGTACTACTCGCTCAACTAGAAAGCACACTCATGTATTGAAAGAAGAGTAAAACTTGTAAACTTGATCTTTATTATATTCCATTGTTCTTTGAAACAATAAGGCTATGAAATATTTCTTAATGGTAGATTATTATCATATACGACTCTTAAAGGTTCAGCCTGTATATGCAAAAGGATCGAAAACGGGAACTATTAAGGCGGTCTTCACTCTAACTACAGACCTTGGAGAATATTTTTATCCACAACATTGTCGACTGCAGGCCGTGGTTGTAGATGTCTCCAAAGGCAAACCTACTCCTTTAATAAGTGAATGTATCATCTGGAAGGGCTACGAAGTTGCATCGACTATTTCCCTTACAATTCCAGCTACCTCAAACAAACTTCAGTTAATCATTCTTCCGCAGACGATTACTCCTAATGTTTCTTCACATGAATCTCATAGAATACTGCCTGTTTGGAGTGACTCCTTCTCATTACATATAAATGAAGGACCGAAGTATGTTTGGCGATATTTAGAGCATAACCAGTGGGAGCCATTGGGTTTATGCTTTATGGAACAAATGGGAGAGAGCATCGCAAAACACATATGGGACGCAGGGATTGTTTTATCTGAAAAGATGATTGGACAAGAACCAGAATGGACCTTTCCAAAAAACAAAAATTTACAGGTGTTGGAACTTGGAGCTGGATGTGGAATTCTAGGCATCTCTGTAGCATCAAAGTATCCAAATGCATCTATCTGTATGACTGACTTGGAAGAAGCCCTCGGTGTCTTAGAACCAAACATTGCTAAAAATAAACATCTCCTACACAATAATATATCTACTGATGTGTTTCTATGGTCATCCCAGATAACTCCTAGCCTTCAAAAAAAATGGGATTATATTCTCATGTCCGACGTTATGTACAACGAGTCTAGTTTTTCGGCATTGGAAACGGCTCTGAAATGTTTGATGTGCAAGCAAACCAAACTATTTATTTCCTACAAAAAACGCCATGAAAATGAGAAAGCCTTCATGGACCATCTTCTACAGTGGTGTTCGCTGGAGCACGAAACTGTACTCGGCTCTATCATTCTGTATTCCTTAGTTAAAAAATAACAGTTATCTACTAAAGTGATGTTTGGGAGCCTCCATCGCATTTTAGAACGCTCAAGCAGATAGAAGGGTACAAAGTACCACTGAGCTTAACCTTTATAAACAGGGATTGCACGAATTTGACGGCATCTTAAACAATTTTGGATACCAACTTAGTGATTACACATATTATTTTTACTTTCTAGAGTCGTTTGTACCATCTTACTTAGATTTTGCCAGATACTAAATAGAATGAGATTTGTTTCTCTCCTTTTTCCTTCTTTTTACTTTTTTCTTTGTATATACATTTATTTGATTTCTTTTCCTTGACTTGTTTATGGTTACGTCACGCTTAGTTTGACTCTGCCAGCTTACCTATTCAATTACATCCTGGCAATTTTAAGAAGTACCAACAACTGTTTAAATATGTATATTCAATTCTTGTTTAAATTGGCAGTCTTGGTGGTGTCTTTTAGGTTTTTTGTAGTACAGAGTATGTACTTTTGTTGAATCATTCATACTAATACAGGAAGGTTTTGGTGAAATAAGGGACTTGAGACAAACAACAATGCCTAGTGTCCATAATACGAAAACAGAAGTTGTTCAGAGAACCATTTACGTTGAAACGCCCTACAAGCCTACATCTGATTCCTGGCCTCAACGCAAGCTCGATGATTTTCTGAAAAGCCATGGAGTAAAGTCCTTGGACGCGCAAGCCCCAGAGTCAACGTTAGGACCTTGGAAGTCTCCTTTGCAATTCATTTCTAATTTGAAAGAAAAATACTATCCCCATGAGAGTAATTTAGACGAATTGCGCGAATCATTGAGTAAAATTCCTGAATTGGGTGTATGGATCTTTGATGCTTGGTCGAATTCTGAGCTCTCCGAATGGCTAATAAAACATAATTTCGAAGTTCCTGAACCTGGTACCAGGGAGCAATTGCTTGAAACGGTTTTTCAGGCATTTTTGGAAAGCACCGAACTTACCAACGGTGAATTTGAATCTTGGTCTACTCATTTACTGCTTAGCTTGTTGGATGAAAAGAATGTACGTATTCCTTTGGGTGCATCACGTGAGGACTTGACTATCCTTGCTAAACGCTACTGTTCTGCGATGCCAGAAGGGAGAGAAAATCCGCTAAGCTCAAGGGATGAAACGAAAGAACTGCCCGCTTCTTATATGAAAGAAATCATTCATCTATGGTCCGATGGTCGCCTTATTGATTTTTTAAGAGAAAGGGGTATTCCCGTTTCTGTTCTATCTCCTCGTGAGGATTTATTGAGAGAGGTATATAATGAGCGCTTCACCCCAAGGACGTTCTCTCCTTCAAATGTTTTAGATGGATGGTCCTCCGAAGATCTTTTGACGTGGTTGGTAACCTATCGTAAAGAAGATAGCTTAATTTCAAGCGTGTCGTACAACTCTCGTCATGACCTTCTTCGTACTGCAAAGTTATTTTATATGGATGCTGTTTCCGAATGGACTCCTGCACAACTTGAAATTCTGAATGATTCTTTGTTTTCTCATCCTGCCATCTCCAAGCAATCCAGTTGGACCGAAGATGAGTTGAAAGAAGAACTGGAATCTTTTGGTGAGCTAGTCCCTGTTCCTTTTAATAAACAAAAAGCATTTGAGCGTTTACTTCCTCATCTTCACTACTACCTTCAAGGCCCCTCCTTTATACGACGACTGAAACACTGGAAAACAGCTTTAGCGAATTATTTGAAGGGAGCTTATATTCTATCTCCCTAGAAGGCTTAAAAGGTTTTAAATAGCTTTGGTTTTTTTGGTTGTGGTTACAATTCTATTTCTATGTTGCCTGTCGGTTTTTGTCAATTCTTTTTCGTTTTTATGTCTTTGTTCATTGAAATCAATCCATGCAAAGCGTTGCGGCTTGCTTATAAGCATCTATGTATTTATATTTACTTTTTTAAAAAGGATAGGGCTTGATTAGTTATAAATTTAATATCAAGGTCGATAACGACGTATATAAACACAAAAATATGTGCATTTTCAATCGTATTCGCTCTAGCATGTGCAGCCAGAAAATACATCTGCAAGTAACTGTCGTTTGAAGATGAATTGACATTCAGAAGGCCGATTAAAGAATCAATTGCGCATATTTTCTTCTTTTTTCTCATTTTCTAGAGTTAAGTCTCGTGAATTTTGATATTCCCTACGAATGCGAATCGTTAATAATCCAAACTGAATACTTTGTTTTCTTACCTTTGTTCCTTCAATACGGGTTGCATTATATACAACTAATATTACCAAGTTAGATTTCTCTCCTTTTTAAGCAAAAATCTACAGATTCATAAATTCATTTCCTAAGACCGTAGAACTATAAAACGTTTATAATTAATTACATACAGACGAACAAACTCCCAAAGTCAGTGCTAACATTAACGCTGAAGACCTTCCGCCAAAAAACGGATTCATATTGACTGATTATCAAAACGTCAACTGATGTTGAGTTCACCACATGGGTTTCCAGAGGTATGTATATCAAGGATGAATGAATTTACTGGATAAGTTACAATGGAATTATGCATAAAAAAATAAACAGATAAAATAGTCATTAAACAACATGAATTAGGAACAAAAAAATTTCAATGTTTTCGAAAGGACAGTTTCAAAAAAAGTAGTTTTCAAAATAATGGACGGTATACAAACGATAGTTAAATAAGCAATGCACAAAAAGAATCTAAGTTACAAGCAATGAGAACAAGACAACTTGTAGGTTCAGTCATCATATTGCTGATTGATCCATTCATCAAGGGAGGCGGCGGATGGAAATGCACAATTCTGTAAAGGGCAAGATCCTTTGTGAGGACGCCGTACTGGTTCTAGTAACTTGAACAATTTTGTTAGGCGTTCCTTTAGTTGTTGCTCGCGAAGATCACGAGGTTTAGGAATGGTTTTTTTATACAATAATTGATACAATAAATAATGTAACCAGAGAATGTTTGTCTTTGGAAAGTATTCACCCCATTGCCCTTTAGTGACCTTGGCCATCAGTCGGTAAATATCAAACTGATAATCACCTAAAATTATGGATTAGTTTCGTTCATGCTTTTACTTGGAATAATGTTAAAACATACCTCGCCCACTGAATAATTCAGGATCATCAAACTCGTTAAATATGGGAGACGACGAACCTGTATGTCTCATTCGAGCTAATGTAAAATCAATTAAGGTAATTTCAAGTGAGTCGGCTGTAAAGCTTCGTTCAGACACCGGAAATGAAGTATTAGAGTCTTCGAATTCATCAAAGGACACTTCATCCAATAAATACGAAAGGTCCTCATCGTTTCGTCTCTTTATTAAAATATTCCCCCAATGCATGTCCCTGTGTTCAAATTCGAATTTCCTTTCACCCGTAGCAAGAGCCTTCGCTGCTTTTAGGAATATATTCCAAGTTTCAAACCAATCAGACAGTTCCAAATGTTCCAAGTCAGTACCACCATGACTTAAGCATAGTATACAAAATAACTGAGATGAATGAAAGAAATCTGGACGCTCATTCTCAGATTCCTTTTGCCTATCGTATCTGTCCCATTCTTTGATCAAAATTGATGGATACGTTCCCTTGACAATAACTGCTTCTTGAAGATCAACGTAACCTTCTAGACTACTAAGCCTTTTAGTAATCTTTAGCTCATTTATAATATCTGAGCAGCGAATCTGATTTTCCTTTCCAAAAGGCATAATCTTCAAAACGATCGGTTCATCCTTCTCTACTTTAAAGACTTCACTATAACTAGCTTCCCCGATCTTATAAATAGAAGATTTAAACGTTTTTATATAATCTCTAAAAGAGATTGGAATTTGTTGATCTACTAAACCTAGTAGGTACGAAAGTTGCGTTGACTTCCTTTGAGGACGATTTTGAAGCCCTGCATTTAAATTCTCAGTCATCTTCGATTCAGTAATGGATGTATTAACATCACTATCACTTGTTTTAGCAATATTCCTACCATGACTTGGAACAATAATCGTAGGCACCAAATGTGAATTACTTTTTTTATGTCTTTCTTCTGTTTTATCGGCAGCTTTAGGAAGTAATTTAACAGATTCATCTTCACTTTTTTTAACACACGAAGCTTTTTTACCGATTTCAATTGAAAAAGAAGAGGCATGCTTATTAAGTTCGTTGTTTGTTACATTAGTGTCAAGAATGTGTAATGCTTGAGGTGATTCGTCTAATGAGGCCCATATGGCATTATCTTTACTCACATAGCGCCGACCGGTACCATACGTTCTCATCCCGGAAGACATTTCCACATTTATGGAACATGTGTTCCTGTGTTATGTGATGGTGGTGGTGACTCAGGAGAAGCTCAAAGCACATATATAAAAGTAAGTAGATATGTTAATAGAAGAATTTTATCAATTAATAAAGAAAGAAAAATGATAAACCTTAACGAGAGAATTGCTTATCTATAGTCTCAGAGAGTTTTGTTATTTTCTCCTCTAACTGAGCAATTTTCCAGTCTCGAATAGGCATCTCCTCATTATATCGTTTCTCGATAGCTTCTAACTTTTGACTAAGACTACCTTCTTGTTCAGGGGAAGAAATTGTGGGCATACGAGACATGGATAACTCTTTCTCGCGTTTAATCAATTTATCATTCACATCTTCTTTAATTTCACCCTTCTTTGTTTCTAAAGCTTTTATAGGAACAGGAACTTCTTCCTGTTCGGGAGCTTTTTTCTCTGACTTTATAGCATGCTCAGGTAAAACCTTGTCTTCTTCTGGTTTTTTCTCCTTCTGTACATGTTTTTGTTCAATTTCTTTCTTCTCTTCTTTAGGAAGCTCCTTTTCTTCTTTCTTGTTCGATGGAATATCTTCAGCGGCCTTCTCTTGTACGGGAGTAGCCCCAGCTGGTTCTAGTTTCTTCGAAGGCTTTACCTCGATAGGATTTTTATCAGCATCCTTTTGGACCTCTTGTGTAGGAATCTTCACAGCTGTTGTTTTAGATACTGGACCTTTGGCCTCATAGAGTAAAGACATATCAATTCTATCAACCAGAGCATCCTTGCCTGAAAACCATTCATCTGCCGATAAGCTTGGTTTTCCAGAAGGGGCAGGAGGATAAATATCACTCTGGTAGGCTTCAGAACGTCGAGGAACGATGAAGCTAATAGGTTCGATGATCGTATCGTTAACGGATTTATAGGCACGCATAACCTCGTTTTCAGCAACGTTTACGCCTCTTTTTGGAACGAAAGCTATACCACGCTGGGGATCAACAGATTTAAATTCAGAAAGATAATGGAAAACATCATTTTCCAGCTCATAATAACGAATATTACCATCACCTTTTCCGGCAAGGTAAATGACATTAGTACCGTCATCCCAAAAAGGCATTAAAATACCTGAACCAGCATCCAAGGTAGTAAAACCTCCAATTGGTTCAGACATATTAGCAGGATCCCAGAGAGCGAGCTGTCGATCACTCATCTTGCTAAAACCGGTCGTGGCAATGCGGTTTAAGCTTCCAAGCCAAACGCTTCTCGAATTTTTGGCTCCAGCATGCCCATTGGTGACTGAAACTGGTTTATCAGTACGAGGATCCCAGACTCGAATTTTCTTATCGCGACCAGTGCTAACAAGCAAATTTCCATCAGCGTTAAAAGAAATAGATTGACAGATTTCATTCATGGGAAGTGATACATGAGCAATTCCTTTCTCGCAATCCCATAATTTAATAGTTTTATCAGCGCTCGAAGAAGCCAGCACATTCGCGGCAACAGGATGAAATTGTACATGTCCTACTTTGCTTTTTAACAGTTAGTCAAATAGCCTTCTTCATCTAAACATACCGACTATGTCCTGTTAGGTGAGCAACAGGATGCACATCTTCGTAGGGCTCCAAAACTGTGTAGTCTTCAGGAACTTTCCATAGCATAATCTATCATTGTAAGTAAATATTCATAAATTAATGAGTCACGAACCTTGGCGTCATCACCTCCTGAAGCTAATACTTGATCATGGAATGGATTCCAATCGGTATCCAAAACAGCAGCAGTGTGACCACGGAATAGGTTGGTTTGGTCGGGGAGTTTTCCTCGATTTTCTAAAGGAATGACGGCAATAGCACCGCCAGCTCCTGAGTTCCAATTGACGCTTAAATAGAAAGGATTCGCGCTTATTAAATTAGAATCCCATGCATTATTACTGATCTAATTCAACGTTCAGTAACCGTATACACTTCTACTTAATAACGAACCTTTAAATTATCATAGCAAAGCTCTTTCTTGCATGTTTGTCCAAAAATGTGACCTTAATAAGTTAATTTACACCCTTGAAACAAAAGGCATACGATATTTGCTAGCTCTCACGAATCTTCCACTCATTGTAGAAATTAAAGCAAAATCTTACTTCAAATTTTAAATTATTCAAAAAAAATTATAGCCAAAATATTTTTTGGCCGGAATTGGGAAGGACGCTGGTTCTGGCGGTGGGAAATTGGTTTAACGAACTGTATTAACGAAGAGAAGATTTCTTTTCAGGTATGCAAAAACAAAAAAAACAAATGAAAAAAAAAAAGAAAAGAGAAGGAAAAAGGATTCCTTTGTCTATTAACTAGTTGGTTTGAACAAATCAAACTCGAACGGACTAACTATGATGATTATTACTAAGAGTTCAATATTTCATAGATGTATAGAAAGTGTTTTTGAAAGACTAAAAAGCACAAATTGTATTAAATTTGTTTTAAAAGTTTTAAGAATCAAGCTGATAGCTAGACTAATAAAAGGTAACTACTGAAAATAAATCAACTATATGACTTATGACTTATGACTTAAAGTGGTAAAATGAAAGATTCTGAAAACAATTGAATAGAGTAAATTTACACATTTAAACCATTTCACTATTATTGAGTTTCCTATTTAGTTTTTTGTCGCTTCCGAGATCCTTCTTTCAATAATTTTGGAAGCTTTTTTGCAATCTTTTTGTATTCATCAAGTTGATTTTGGTAGGCTCCTTGAATTTTGTCAAGACGATCCGAACGGTCTAGCTGAAGCAAAACGTCAAGGTTCTGGCGAAAGATTCTTTCCTTGATCAAGAGACGAAGCGCTTTTCTTTCTAACAGGGATAAATCCTTCATTTTCATGGTAAGAGCAATCTCGCAACAACGAAGAAACTGGCGCTACATAAGAGGTTAGAACATAACTTCACTATAATCATTCAATATACCGGTGGTAGTTTAGTGGCTGATCTTTGCGAGTGCAACCATTCCTTTGATAGAGGCAAACGGAACTCTGGACTAGTAAATATATTCATGGATTTCAGTCGCTGGAAATCACAACGATCACGAAGGTCGTCAAATGCCTCAGATGAGTCCTCCACTGCGAACTCAAGAATTTTTGGATCCTCTAGGAATATATTTACAATGGTATTGTAAAGTCTAGAACCATGGCCTTCTCTTTGAAAAGGAGGAAATATCACAAACTGAGAAATGCGAGGACGCTCACCATCCGTTCTCGTCTTATCCCATTTGTAATAGTGATAAACGGTACAATACCCTCGTAAACAATACTGTTCCTCTTTTATTTCATATCTAAAAACAGCTTGTTAGTCTTCAACTGTCGATATTCATCATGACACATACAATAAATAAATAGTCCATTTAGGATCAAATATATCAATAAAAGAGCCACCCTCGATAAAGAATAGAGAAAAAATTTGCAAATACTGCATTATTGCAGCTAGGTCACTAGGTTTACTCTATGCAAGTTAGTAGATCATAAATAAAAAGCTAGGAAACAATGCCAACCTTTAATATACAGAATTTTCGTTCATCAAAAGAATAAGTCTCAGCGACCGGGATATTACGAACATCAACCGGCTCCAAGCTTTCTGGAACCCGATCATCCCTCAAGTATTTTGACAACGTTTTATCGACGTTTGTTGGTTCCACTCCTGATTCTGGAGCAAGTCGATCAGAACACGTAACTTTTAGCTGTGGCTTCATTGAAGGAGATATATATTGAATCTTTCATTCGTTAACATAAATGCCACTACTAAGAATTGAAAAGTCGCTACATCGTAGATGAAGAAATACATACCTCGATGTTAAGGTTTTTGTAGCCGTATAGAACTTCCGAGTCTCCAAAAATACTGTAAGTAAAAGTAGGATGGAATTCACAGTCGACATCACCCTTCTCATTTTCTATGAAAGATTTCGTCAGCAACTGTATCATAACTCTATAGCATACTTTGAACAATTGATATACATTCATTCGCATTATGAACCCACTCGTCAATATTGCTCATTTTAAAGGATGAAAACAAGCCAACTGCTTTCGATTGGTATGTTTTGGTAGAATTTTGGTGGTGACCTTTGAGGTTACATCGTTACCCTTTTGGTAGCTTTCGCATGTTGAAGTCATGCGTGAAAATAAACAAACAACTGCTGCCTACATCGGATGACTTTAGAAGCATACTGTTAATGAATTTGATGGAAAACTTTATATATTCATAAATTCATAACGGTTGTCCGTGAAATCATAGTGTACTATAATAAATAGACTATAACGATAGACAAAAAATCATAGAATCATCAAACTGTTTGCTAGGAAGAATCATTTCTGCCTTTTAAAGAGCTTTAAGGTTGATTTCTTTGATGACCATGAACTCTTCAACACCATGACGACCTGCTTCTTTTCCAAATCCACTCTGTTTGATACCACCAAAGGACATGAAAGGTTCGTCTACTAATTCAATATTTGCACCAACAAGACCAACTTCGAGTTCCTTAGCAACATGGACTAAAGTTGTGAGGTTCTTGGTAAAAACATAGCCTGCCAAACCGACCTCTGTGTCATTAGCCCACTCTAAAACTTGATCGGTATTGTCAAATTTGAACAGAGAAGCCAATGGACCAAAGGTTTCTTCGCAAGCAACGACCATATTCTGGTCCATTCCTGTAAGAACAGTGGGCTCAAAAAAGTATCCACCTTTATCGGTAATTCGCTTACCACCTGCTAGTACTTTGGCACCCTTAGAGACAGAATCATCAATATGCTTTGTAATTTTATCACATCCTTCCTTAGAAATCAAGGGACCCAAGGCGGTAGAAGGATCAAGTCCGTTGCCTACCTTGATACTTTTAACTTTCTCTGCAAGCTTTTTACTGAAGTCTTCGTAGATGTCCTTGTGAACGTATACACGATTAGGACAGACGCAAACTTCGCCAGCACTAAAGAATTTAATGTTGTAAAGTGATTCAACAGCTTGATCAACAGGAAAGTCGGGGAAAACAATAAAAGGAGCATTTCCACCCAATTCCATAGAAATCTTCTTTACTGTGCTAGAACTTTGGCTCATGATGATTTTTCCGACATCGGTACTTCCTGTGAAAGAGATTTTACGAATCAAAGGATTGGTAGTCAGCTCTTTGCCATTTTCACTAACATTAGAAGTAGTGATCACATTAAAAACACCTTCAGGGAAACCAGCTTCCAGTGCCAGTTTGGCGAGAGCAATGCAAGTGTAAGGAGTTCGTGTTGCAGGCATAGCAACTAAAGTGCAACCAGCGGCCAATGCAGCTCCTCCCTTTCGAGTAATCATAGCAGAAGGGAAATTCCATGGGGTAATTAATCCGGCAACACCGATGGGTTGTTTCACCGACAAAATAAAGTTGTTCATCTGTAAGCTAGAGGGCGCTACGTCACCATAAATACGAACAGCTTCTCCTGCATACCATTTGAGGTAACCAATGGAAGTAGAGACCTCCATATCAGCGTGCGAAACAGGTTTACCATTTTCTAAAGTGACCATCTTTATCAAATCTTCTTTATTTTCCTCTAGCAGGCTAGCCCAGCGACTCAATAGTTCACTTCGCTGCACATGAGTGGTGTTTTTGAAGGACTTGAAAGCGTTGGAAGCAGCATCTACTGCCTTCTTGGTATCCTCCACGGTCAAATCGGTTACTTTACCGATTTCTTGAGCGGTAGCGGGATTGTCAACAGAGAACCATTTGTTGCTATTAGAAGTAAACCTATTTCCATGGACTGTTGTAGGAGCAACGGGTTGATCAAAACCAAACAATTCAGGACGATGAAAGATAGAAGCAATCGATGACATGATGCTAATAAATAATTTACCTGTATAATATATAAAATAAACAAAAAAAAGAAAAAAGAAAAGATAAATAAATGAAATAGATGAAAGATTAAACGGGAATAAATATCACAATATCAAAAGAAAGGTAAAGGGAATAAGGAATCCAACTTTGAATCAAACAATAAATTAAACCTCAGACAATTGATGCATTCTTGAATTTCTCGAGCATTTTATAATTTACAAAGGGCGATGATATAATGTAGTAAACAATAAAGAAAATCTTAGTTACATCATGTTCGGTAGACGGAAATCTCGGGAGCTATATGAGAAAGTATTTTCCTGGAAAACCAAAGTTCAAACCTGAGGCTAATAAGAAGCTAAGTAATTTGTAATCGTAAGATTACGAGTAACAAGAGCCAAGAATGTCTTCCGAAATGAGTACAATGAATCATATTTCTTATAATCAACAGGTCAAAGTTGTAAGCAAAACAGGAAGATGGTGTAATGAACGGAATCGAACTAAAAAGAAAGATACAAACTAGGTGACATTTATGAATAGCAAGAATTCGAAGGAAAAGCTTTTTATTTTATTATTTTTTTTTTTTCTTACACATCTATTGATGGAATATAGGCTGAAAATTTAAGCGAAACGGACTTCTTGCGTCACTCAATTAAAGCTGAAAATAAGCGAAATCCCCGGATATCTTCTGGGAGTTTTTTTTTTTTTTTATGCATTCCGAAGGGAGACATTAGGTGAAACAGGATCGACTTACATAGCTATAAAAAGTTACAAACGCTGGTTGATTCGGGCGGGTAATCTTTCCTCATTTAATAAGCAAGTGTAACTCGCTCACCCAAACGTCACTAAAAATAACTAGTTAAAGCTGTCTCATTTCACATTACGTAGCCCCTACTTACCAAAGAAGGTAAGGATAAAGGCACGACTAGCGCAATCTGGGATGCTCAGGTAAAGATCGGAAGAGTAGCTAATAGAAAATAGTAAACAAACAGAAAGACAGAATAAAATTAAAAATAGGTTAATTGTTTTCTTTTATAATAACACCTTAAGGGAAACTTCCCAGTTGTCGACGATGGATGTATTTACCAAAAATTTAGGGATCTCAAGCACTAGAAATTATCTTTCAACTACTTATCTTTTTCTACTCTTTTATTCTTATTTCGTCTCTTTTTATCTGATCCTTTTTTTTGTGCTTTGTTTTCAAAGATTGCATCTTGAAACCGTGATTTAGCTTAACTCTTCGCATATTAATAAAGTTGAGCATACCCCCTGTTATCATTAATATCCTTCTTCGTCTATGAAACACTTTCTCCATTATCCTCCTTGAACACACGTGTACAATGCTAGGTGGAGGGAAATAAAGTTGCCTGGCGTATTGGTGGATATCTCTATCAGATTGCCAGTTAGTTTTCTAGTCCGGTCGTTAGTCCTCGTCTTATCTCAAAACACAACACTTTTTTGCATTTATGACAAAAACTTTTTTGATCGTTGGTTGTGGCGTTTTCGGCCTTTCTGCTGCTGTCGAATTAGCAAAACAACATGTCTTTGATAGAATCATCGCCATTGATGCAGAAGCTGTACCATCTAGCATGTCAGCTGCAAATGACTTAAACAAAATCGTACGTCCAGAGTACGCAGATATAAAGTACATGAAGTTGGCATTAGAAGCAATGGATCTATGGAGAACGAATGATCCGGTTTCTTCCTCTTACCATGAATGCGGCCGGTTAAGTATCACTTCAAGTGACCCTAATAGATCTCAGTTTGATGCTGTTTCTCAAGCGAATTTGAGAAAACTACTAGGTGATTCTGCATTAATTAATCTCAACACTCCGGACGAAATCCGTCAAAGATTTCCAATTCTATTATCAAATGCTCCTTTAAAAGTTAATGCCTCAGCAGTCTTAAATGAACATGCTGGTTATGCTAATGCGTCCGAAGCATTAAAAACGATGGAGTCCGAAGCTAAAAAATATGGAGTTGAGTTTCGATATGGAAAACGTGGCTCTTTTAAGCGATTTGTTTTTCCAAATACTTCCTCTGGTCCCAATACCTTGGCCGCTGTCGAGACTGATGATGGCTCAATCATACAAGCGGATACCATTTTACTGGCCATTGGTGCTTATATGAATGCGTATGTTCATACAGATCGCCGTGTTATAGCCAAAGGACTACCAGTTGCTCACCTCCAATTAACGGAAGAGGAATACAAACAATATACGAAAATGCCAATTATATTTGATCCTGATGTCGCATACGTTTTTCCACCGGATCACAAGTCCAAGTTATTAAAATTCTCCAGTACCGGCTATGAATATGTCTACAATACACATACTCATTACGATCAATCCATCATTACCTCCATACCAAACCCTCCATCTTTATATACTGAAATCCCAGATTACGCTAAGAAAAACATTCGTCAATTTCTGCAAATGTATCTTCCTAATTTGGCGGACCGTCCTTTGCAAAAGTGCAAAATGTGCTGGATTTCCGATACTTCCGATTCAGAATTCTTAATAGACAAGTTGCCTGGAACAGAGAATGTCCTGATTGCTAATGGGGATAGTGGTCATGCTTTTAAGTTTTTACCAAACATAGGTAAGTACATTACGCAAAAAGTATGTGGTACATTATCACCAGAATGGCAAAAAGCATGGAAATGGAAAGATTTGAAAAACCAAAGCAAGGAGGTCAAATGGAGAGGTACTCGATCTTTAGTTGATTTAAAGAATACTAGTTTTACGACAGACAATTGATTTTTATTTTGTAAAGTAGCTGAGTTTGAAAAGAATTAAACAATTCAGCGCCTTTAAAAAAGAAAAAGTGAAGTAAAGTATCCTTCGTATATGATATGGTATTAACTATTACCTACAAAACAAATAAATAAACCATCTTTCTATTGTATAACACATGTATAGTAATTGTGCAGCTCAAAGTTAAAATGGGCAATGTTGAAAAATCGCATCCCAATCATCCTTTACAAAAGTTAGTTAAAAAGTTTCAACTATTGAGAAAACTTACCCAGCTAATATCCAATTTCGACGGATCTAGAAACCCCAATTCAGGTATGTTTTCGTCCGAGACTGCTAAATTATTAGATGATTTTAGTCCTAATTTTTCCCAGACATGGGTTCGCGAAGTTTTTAGTAGTGACCATGCCTGATGAAAGCGTTGTATATCCGTTATTTTAGGAAATAATGAAAATATTTGGTTAATCATGACCACTCTTTTATCATCCGAATATATAGTTTGTTCAGAATGTAAAATATCTAAAAAAAGAACAATGCACGGATGAAAAGGGGGATATCTCCAAAAGAACCATGAATACATAGAAAACTCCGGAGTCGTGCCAAGCTCATACAAACAGGATAAAGCATCTAAAGCACATTCAACAGAACGGATACGACTGTATGAAAAAGCTGAAGCACCTTTCTTTAACAGAAAAGGAAAATGAAACAAAATAGGAAACCGCTGAAAGATGTAAGTCGTAAAAAGGTGTAATAATCTTTCATGAACAGTTGTAGGTTCAGGAAGTAGCTCTTGCTTAATTTCTTTATAATAATCAGTCAGTTTCTGATCCATTTCCAAAATTTTGCTATAATTTGGAGACTTTAAGCCTAACAGCATCCGCATGTACTTTGAGACTTCACGTGATGCTCTACCAGATATACAAACAAAGCGTCCAGCAGTAAAAATTGATGGATCCGCTTGATAGTTTTCTTCTGGTAAAAGACTAGGAAAACTCGTGTCATAACTGTCCTCATGGATTCGTGGAGGTATTCCTGTCATTTCAGATACTCTAAGGTCTAAAACCAATACAGAGAACCAAACTCGTCGTCTAATTTCAGCATAAACACTATTTAATCCATACAAAGATCCATCTCGATGTAGTCCCATAAAGTAAGCAGTTTGTGTAATTAAGCCCACCATCGAGGGAGGAGCAAGGGTAGTATCAGAATCAAAAGCGACCTGAGAAGTTAGTATAAGCAAAAAATGGAATAGAGTATTTACCTGACAGATAATTAAAGCTCTTAAAGCATTGAGATCAGGATCAAATAAAAAGTTGGATGATGCTAACGCGTAACGAAATGCCAAATGATAATCAACGGACAAATATTTTTCTTCTTCTCCTAAATTCCAACTAAGTCGAGTTTCTATTGGGGTAGCAAGTAGGGCACTAGCAAACATAGCAAAAAGAAGAGATGTCATTGCTGGCTTTCTCTCAGCAGGTTCCTCCCAAAATACTTTGTACCTTTCCATAAACGTAGACTTATGTAAGACCGGTATAAATAAATGACAACGAAGAAAGTAAGCCTCGATGAGAAGATCTGAAATGTGCTTCGGAGGAAGAAAGTTTCGAGCGTGTTCCCGAACAGGAAGGCGAAACAAAAACGATTCTTGCGTAACTTCCTTTCCATCTTCAGAAAAGTCATGGTCTAAGTTCAGAGAATTCGTTTTTCGTAAATGCCAGGCCAAATGATAAGATGAAGGATAATTAACATAGGTAGTTTTTGTTGAATCTCGCAATGATAGAGTACCTATGTTTCGTTCAGTCTCATCAAAAGCAGCAGAATCTTCTTTAACTGGGGTCAACGGTGCTGAAGCACTATCTAATAACAAAAGGTTAATACAACATTAGGTGATAATCGATTTTTACCTTGGGAAGAGCCACGGGGGTTTAGTTCTCCGAGCATATGCTCAAGATGAGAAATCCTACTCAAAAGCTCATTTATCACAGAATCGGTTTCGTTTCCTCCATCAAAGTTATTTGTTGATGGTTGTCCTTGTTGCAAGTATATACACGAATATGTTGTTGCTCTTTTCTTACAGTTTGAACAAGGTCTTCCATGATCGCATTTCAGTTTCTTTTTTCTACATGCCAAGCAAGAATGGATAGCACGACGCGTAGTTTGACCCATTTTTTTGGGAGTGACTTTAGACGATTCCATGTCTAATGCTGCATAACCAGGTTAAAGTAGAGAAAAAAACATAAAACCAGCAAGATAGTTTTCACACCCAAAAATCTAAAGCAAAAACACAAAAAAATAAAGAAAAAGAAGCGTTGGCCAAGGAATAAACCTATCGGATAATGAAGACACTGAAAATCTCAGGTTTTTTTTTTCACTGTATCCTCACTTGATATTTTTGTACAAAAAAGCATAAAAAATAGTAAGGACCCTAGTTACTTTTGACAAATTCCTCGTATTTGGCTTGGGAATGGCAAAAAACGTATTCACCCATCATACCTTGAGCACAACCCGCTTCGCTAAAGGTATACTTTAAATGACCGAACCCCCTAAAAATGCAAAGGAAGGCGACTTTGAATGACGTTTAAATGTAAGTAAAGGTTTTCATAAACAAAGCAATGGGGTGTCTTTTTGTTTTGTTATATCGGTGTTTCAAGAGACTATCCAGCTTTTTATGTTTGGCAATTGAATTAAATATTGGACCAGTTAACCCAGCAATGCGCTGAAAAGTTCATCGGTGGGTTTTCACAAGATTTAGTAATTGATATGTATAATGGTCATAAAACGAGAAATAAAGGTAAGCCAAGAGAAAAGGGGTTGACAAACAAGGTTCTCAAAAAACTCAATGAATCACAAAGCACTGATCAATGTTCCTGCTATTTTGACAAAAATAAATAAATTCTCGTTTATGTTATAAGCATATAAGATACCATGAATATTAGGAAAAGACAAAAAGCTATTTACTTTGCCATGTTATAAGTACAGGAACTTTTAAACCGCCTATTTTTGATAAAGAAAAGTTACATAGCGAATGTCATTCCATTTACCAAAGTTTTTCATTCATGGAATTTCTTCATTAAATTATTCTGCAGATCAACTATTTTATATTTTTTTTATATATATCCTACATGTTTATACCTGAATCCTATATTTTCAGTGATTAAATTGTATAAAGATATTAAAAATGTAAACGTAAATAAATATACTTACTTTAGTACCGACGAAAGTCATTGAAAATTTACGCCGATATATCGTCTTACCGAGGATGTTTATAATTACAAAATCAGATAAGAAAGAAATGAGATTTTTTCTTTTATTAGTGAGCATTCAGAACACCCCCAAATTGGTGAAAGACCAGCTTTACCACAGGCAATATAACCGTTTAGATCGTTTATACCAATGGATCAAAAATTACAATCCGCTGTAAGCGAGTCGGCGAATGTTGCAGCAAAACCTCCAGTACAACCAAAGAGACTAGGACCGGTGATGGGGTTCGTTTCTGGAGGCATTGCTGCATGTGGTGCGGTTACTCTAACTAATCCTTTTGAAATCATTAAAACTCGTTTTCAACTTCAGGGCCAGTTGACAAAGGTGGACGAATCGAAAAAAATTTATAAAAGCGTCGGGCAAGCTTTTAAATTGGTTGCCAAGCATGAAGGAATTCAAGGACTCCAACGAGGACTTGGAACTGCTTACATATATCAGCTTTGCCTAAATGGATGTCGTCTTGGATTTTATGACCCCATTCGTTCGTATCTAAATCGTGCCTTCCTTCAGGATCCAAGGGGTAATAACATGGCTATCAATGTTCTTAGCGGTGCTGGTTCTGGTTTTTTTGGTGCTCTGTTTGGTTCTCCTTTCTTTTTGATTAAAACCCGAATGCAGTCGTACTCTCCCGCTTTCCCTATTGGTCAACAGTATGGGTATAAGCACATTTTTGACGGATTCAAGCGAGTTGTTAGTGAAAGTGGGATTCGGGGAATCTTTGCTGGCGCTGATGCTGCTATTATCCGTACAGTGTCAGGTTCATCAGTTCAGCTTCCTATCTATAATTGGGCTAAACGCAATATTGAATACTACAACCTTATGAAGGAGGGAACTCTTAAACACTTAACTGCTAGTTCAATTTCCGGTTTTGGTGTATGCTGCTGCATGCAAGTCTTTGATACGATCATGACTCGTATGTATAATCAAAAAAATAAGGAACTTTATAAAAATCCTCTTGATTGTTTCCTCAAGACAGTCCGTGCAGAGGGATTTTTCGCTTTGTATAAAGGATTTGGCGCTCATTTAGCTAGAATTGCTCCTCATACCATTTTCACGCTTACTTTTGCCGAGCAAACTAATAAATTCTTTTTGAAATTCGCTAGAGATTAGCTTCTCTTCTCTATTCTCTTACGTTGAACCATAATCAAGAACTTTACATATGTCTGCATTTTGTTTCTTCTTTTTTGCTTCGTATTTACTAAAGCGATTGCTTCTTTTTCATCCTATGGTTTACTCCCCTAGATACAGCTTACTTTAATTTTAATAAGAGTTGTTTTATTTATTGTATCTAATATTTACAACGTTTTTTTTATTTTTTTTTTATATATTCCTTGGTGACAAAATCGCTACATCAAAAACAACTAAATGTGTTAAGCAGTGTCGAAACTTTTACGGATTTATCTAACTTCCATATTTTATGCTAATTTTATATACCATAATTTAATTCTTTTCTTTTTTTTATTATTCTGAATGTTTTCAAGATAAAATCCATTTATAGTGGGGTTTCCAAGCTAAACAGACCATTTCAAGTACTAAGTAATGCCGCCCATTAGCCTTTTTAACCTTCTCACATAAGTGTCGACAATATATGCATTAACTGAAGGACTTCAAAAGGACGCATAACTTATTAATAAGGAATTAAAAAGTCAATTAAAAGTCGCATTTCTTGATTCAGCATATTCAAAAATGACTAGTAAGTCCAAACGTTTTTTAACTGTTGCAACTAACATCTTTTCACAAAGTACACTCTTTGGAATTATTCTTAATAAAAAATAAGCATGAATTTACATGTAGCATATCTCAAATAGCCAACAGGAAACTGGGAGTTGATGCCAGTTATTTTCTAATAGAACTTTTAAAAAGACTAAGCCCGGAAGAGCTTCAAGCAATTTCTGTGGATGGAGAATCCGAAATCCTTTACGCTTATGTTAATTCTTTTCTTGAAGCCTTGAAAAAAAATAATGTTACTCCTTTATTCGTTTTTAATGGCATTCCCTTAACCTTTGAAGCTAGCAGTCAAAGTGAAGCTTTACATAAACAAAAAAAGTTATACCAGATACAATATTCATTGTCAAGCTTTGATCCGTACGATGCTAACATTCACACAAATTTGTATCGAATGGACCCAAATGGCAGTCATCGTAACAATTTTGAAAATCGACGCACCTTTCTCTACAGTAGTCAACGAGATTCTTTAGATAGATTATGTGATTTTTTGAAAAACATTTTGGACAAGAAGAAAATTGACTATTTTGTTGCTCCCTATTTAGCTATGGCACAGCTTTCCTACTTCCAGAGAGGTGCTTCAAAACGTTATGTTGATGCTGTATATGGTCCAGAAGATCTTCTTCTTTTCAACGTGAAACGCCCTATCGTGTCTATTACTATTCCATTTTTGCAGTCGGAGTCCTTTCGTTCTTCTCTCTCCGTTCCTCACTTAATTAAAGAGGAGAAACAGTCTTCCACAATTCAATGGTTAGATGGAGAATCTATCTATCAAGATAGCAGATGCACATCCTGGAGTCAATTTGTTGAAGCGTGTCTACTTTGTGGTACTGCCATTTCACCCACACTTCCTCAATTTGAAGGAACTTTCTTATTAAAATCTGCTATAGAATTGGTAATGATGCTAGGTTCCGCTTATCGCGTTGTGGAAGGATTTGCCGACACATTGCCATCCGGTACTGCTCAAGAATTAGTTCAGCAATACAGACGTGCCTTTTGTTACTTAAATTACTGTGTTATCATGAACGAAAAGGGACTTACTATCCCACCTGTGCCAGAAGATTCCGTTCCTAATGATATTAGCGCGTACATGGGTACGCGTCTTCCTAACGAACTATACTATTATATTTCTCGTGGCTTGCTCCCTTCTAGGATGATTGGAGCCCTAGTGTCTGGTTGTTTCAGTGATCCGGTCTCCATACTAGAGCAGCATGTTGGGGATTCCTCAAGCCAGGAAGTCAACGAAAAGCCAGACCTCACTTCCCGTAAAAATGCTGCTGCTCTGGCAGCAGTTAATCAGCGGAGGTTTGTTGATGATCTAGAGGAGATTTGGTCTCAAGGTCTCAATCTATTAACTCAACCTCTTCACCGATTTTATCAAGCTCGAGATGTAATTTCCCTTCACGGACATAACCAGCAAGCATCTTTGAAGGTTATGCACAGCTATGATCCTCCGCTATACAACGACACTAGAGCCTGGATGATTTACGATGAATGCATACCCCTGAATATTAAGGAAGCTGTGGGTGAGAATAATCGTATAAGTATACATAGTATGCTTAATTGTTTAAGAGATGAAAAATTTGTTGAAAAGAGCTTCTGTCCGGATGGTGGTATAGGTATAAAAAACCCACCCAAGCGTTTGCTTTCTACCACTCCAGAAATAGTATTGAGCTCCTTTTATCGATTCCTGCAGATCCGATCGTTTATATCTACGACCCATCAACTTACTTCTTGGGGCTCTCCTTTGTTGATGGCTCTAGAAAAATGTGACGTTCAGTATCAAAGTTCCATGTGTGTTCTGTTTGAATTACTGCGCTTACGACAAATTAAAGAGCCTAAATTTGATTCTGCAACTTCTTCCACTCTTTCTATCCCCTCTGTTATAGAGTTCTTATCAAAACTTGCTACATTCCTTCCAACTGAAAAAGAAAAAATTTATCAGTTATCTGCGCCTGACCGCGATTTGTTACAATTTTATTTGATGCAAACAAGCTTTGGTGCCAACCTTCATGAGTTGGCCGCTATTTTAATAGCATCTGTTATTATGAACGCTAATGCCAACAGAAATCTTGTAAACCCATACTCGATAAGAAAAACGTATGCCTGTTACTCTACCCGATTAATCGTTTACTAATTTTGTTTTAGATTTCCTTTTCGCCGAAATTTTTGTAGCCTACTGTCAGGTATAATTATGAATAAGCTTCTGCAGACTCTGTCTGGAAGTGATAAGGATACGAACAAAGCAGGTGCTGTTGAGAATACTTTTAAACAGATAAAGGAGGAATTCCCCTACGTCACAGATGCAAAAGTCTTTATAGCCAGATTTTTGGGTTTTTGGGCTGCTTTTATGGAGGGCGTTAAGGAAGCCGAAAATACTAGTGCCATTGGAAAACTTGTTGCCAGCAAACTATACCTTACTAATGACTGGCTCATGTCTTTGGGTTTGGTTTAAGACAACAAGGATTTACAGTCTTTAAAGTCTCCTAATACTCTTGGTTTTAGGCTGCTAGTTATATATAAGTTGTTTCGTACAAACCGTAAGATCATCACATTTAGAAAACTTTTTTAGATGTTTGTTTAATGCTACTTCCCGACTTACACGAAGATTTTGTTGTGCTTAGTATATTTCAAACTGCTTCCTTTTATATGATTTGCACGAATTTATACGAACATAGTATTTCAAAGCTGAGATTTAGCATTTCTTTTTTTCCAATGGTCAATCATAAAATGCAGCAGACAGTAAGAAAAGAATATTAAATGATAAAAACAACATTTGTTTATGTTTTAAATAGTGTATCCTAACGATTTTCGTTAGATCAAAAGTCATTGGAGGAGACTTCGGAGAGCACTTTTCTTGCTTGCCCATTCCAACACCGAAGTTCAATTCATACAAATGCACTTATGAAGTCCAATGGCAACGATAACGATTTTACTGGACTAAAAAGACAATCATCGAACGATCAAGACGTTGTAGCGAATATTGATGCTAACGATGAAAGTGGAAATGTAAATAATCGAATCGTAGAACGTCGGGGAAGCGTTCATGTGCGGTTCCAGGACTTGTCGCCGCCGTCAAGCATTATAGAAGATGAATTTCGAGATGTTAACATTGATGAGGAGGAGTCTAAAACAAAAGACAATGCCAGCTCTGACGTCTCCGGAACAGGGACTGAGAATGAAGGGAAAAAGAGAAGTAACTTAAAGTCAGTGTTTGGACTTACAGCAAATTCTATGAAGTCCGCTTTAACTCCGTCAGTTAAAACTGACAAGTCACCCTCAAAGGCAAAGAAAAGAGTTCATGTCTCTTTTCCAGAAATTGAAGAAATTCCCTTGGATGATATGGGAAAGCCGTCGCATGCTTCGAATGAAGTTGAGATTGCACCAGAAATTTATGGCCGTAAAAATATTCCTAAAGAATTTTTGCAGAAAAATCGCAAGAAATTCTCGGTTCCAAACCCCTTGACATACCTCAGTACAAAGATTTCATCCTTGTTTCAGAGGGACTTCCGCCAGTTGAAATCAAAAGATGGAAGACATATTATCGTTGATCCATATGATGACTCTTCTCAAATTGATGAACGTATGGGGAAGCCCTTCATTAAGAACAACATTGTATCGTCTCGTTACAATAAATATAACTTCGTTCCTTTGCAGATCATTGCTCAATTTTCAAAGACTGCTAATTGTTACTTTTTATTAATTGCGATTATGCAAATGATCCCAGGATGGTCCACTACAGGCACTTACACTACTATAATACCGTTGTTGATTTTTATCTCTATTGCTATCTTACGTGAAGGCTTTGATAATTATCGTCGTTATCGTCAAGATCGTGTGGAAAATCGGATTCAAGTTCAAGTCCTAAGACACGTTGATAATGCACCTCCTATTGTAGACGAACAGCCTTCTTTTTTTCGTAGAAGAAAGTGGAGAAAACGAAGGTCCCAGGATACTGGATCTAGAAGTACTACCTACTCCAACTCCCTCCAAGAAATACCTGACCTTCCTCCTCCACAATCACCTACGTTCGTTCAATCGCAGGATGTTTCTACAAATTTAGATCCACAAAAAATAACTCCTTTTGAAACCACACTCAAGCCTACATTCTTTTGGGCTAACTGTGATTGGAAAGATGTGCGTATTGGTGATATAGTAAGACTAACCTCTGACGAGTCTGTTCCTGCTGATATAATTGCTTTATCGAGTCCGCACCCCAATGGCGCTGTTTATGTCGAGACAGCGGCTTTAGATGGAGAGACATCTCTAAAAACCAAGTTGGTTAACTCTACCTTACGCTCTTGTTGCAAAGACATCAATGACCTTAGCCGTCTTTCTGGTGAATGTATAGTTGAAGATCCTAATGGAAACTTATATGAATTTAATGGAAGGATGCAATTAAATTCAGAAGAGAAAGAGATTCCTATAACTAATAAAGATGTCATTTACAGAGGATCAATTTTAAGGAACACTCCGGAATTGTTTGGGTTGGTTATTTTTACAGGAGAAGAAACGAAGATTCGGATGAACGCTTCTCGTAATCTTCGAGTTAAGGCGCCTGCCATGCAAAAGGATACTAACAAAATTGTAATTTTCATTTTTGCTTTAGTCGTCAGTATGGCAATTTACTGTACCGTTGCATATTTTATATGGCAGAAAAAGGTTGAAACCAAGTTGTGGTACTTATCAGATGGAAGCCTTGCTTTTGTCCCTATTCTTGTATCATTTATCATTTTATACAACACAATGGTTCCAATTTCTTTGTACGTATCAATGGAAATTATTCGTGTCTGTCAGACTTTCTTAGTTCAGAGTGACATTGATATGTATTACCCTGAAACCAATACGCGCTGTGAAGTCCGAAGTTCATCTATCCTTGAGGAGCTTGGTCAGGTGACTCATGTGTTTTCAGACAAAACAGGAACCCTTACAGACAACGTAATGCTATTTCGGAATTTATCCGTGGGAGGTTTTGCTTGGCAACATGTAGGGGCCGAAAATCCAAGGTTACTTCCGACAAATAAGAAGAAAGAAGATAATGATGAAATAAAAATTCCTGAACTGTCAGAAAACATTGAAGGGACTACTATTCAATTGCTCAAATACGTGCATGACAATCCACATACTACTTTCTCGAAAAAAGTCAGAATATTTCTTTTAAATATGGCTGTGTGTCACACATGTCTTCCATCTTACGATGAAAAGGAAAATATTTATCGTTACCAATCCACTTCTCCTGATGAACTAGCTCTCGTACATGCCGCTCAACAACTGGGATATATTGTTGTGGATCGTGATATGGACACTGTGTCCATCAGTTTACATTATCCTTTAGATCCTCGTTCCCAGCCCATTACAAAAACCTATAAGATCCTGAATGTTATCGAATTCAGTAGTAAAAGGAAGCGTATGTCGGTAATTGTACGAATGCCAAATGGTCGGATTTGCTTATTTACAAAAGGTGCCGATTCTACAGTAACCGAAAGACTTCGCCTTTCGGTGCTTGCAAAAAAGAAAAGTCATACTGTTACTAAAGCAGAAAAGGCTCGAAAAAGTATTGAAATAGATAAAGCTATTATAAGAAACAGTATGAGTACGGCTAGACCAAGTTTGACAGCATCCCGACCCAGTTTGACCAGAAGACGTGCAGATTATATCAATAATGTCACTTCCTGGTTAGATGAACGTAGACAAAAAATGGGCTCGATTCGGCCACGAGCTAGCACCAGTATATTAGAAACTAGGCGCCGTCCTACTCCTGGAAGACACTCTTTTGCAGTAGGAGAACGACTCTCCGACAAGAAATCTCGTTCTAAGAAAGAAGAAGCAGAGGGATCGATGTTTGAAAGTTTAAGTCACAATGATGCTGCGATGTTTGAAAACACTTTCAAGCACGTTAATGCATTTGCTTCAGATGGTTTAAGAACACTTATTTATGCACATCGATTTCTCGGAGAGGAAGAATATCAAGAGTGGAAAGCATTGAATGATGAAGCATTGAGCAGCTTGACTAATAGACAACAGCTATTAGACGATAATGCTGAATTAATTGAAAGGAACTTGGAATTTTCAGGTGCTACTGCGATAGAAGATAAACTCCAGACAGGCGTTCCTGAGTCTATTAATTCACTATTCAGAGCTGGCATAAAATTTTGGGTGTTAACTGGAGATAAAAAAGAAACTGCAATTAATATTGGTCATTCTTGTGGAGTTATAAAAGGGTTCTCGACTGTCGTGGTTTTAGGATCTATGGATGAAAAATCTGGAAGCGACGAAACTATAAAGGGCGGACAGAGACTTTCTTTAGAGCAACCCCAAGAGATTGATACAACAAACCTCGTAATTCACCAATTGGTGTCGTGTATGAAAGCAATGCAAAGCAACTCTGTAGCACATTTAGTCCTTGTCATAGATGGTGCTACTCTCGACAGTATTGAAAATGACCGTGAAGTTTTTACACTTTTTATTAACACCTCTGTGAAAGTTGACTCTGTTATATGCTGTAGAGCTAGTCCTATGCAAAAAGCGCTCATGGTAAAAAACGTACGCGAGAATGTTAATTCTGCTGTGACGCTAGCGATTGGAGACGGCGCAAATGATATTGCTATGATCCAAGAAGCCCACGTTGGGATTGGTATCGCTGGTCTTGAAGGTCTGCAAGCAGCTCGATCATCTGATTTCTCAATCGCCAGATTCAAATTCTTAATTAAACTACTTTTTTGTCACGGTCGGTGGAATTATGTACGTCTATCTAAATATATTTTAGGTACATTTTACAAAGAGCAGTTTTTCTTCCTAATGCAAGCTATTATGCAGCCTTTTGTTGGATATACCGGTCAAAGTTTATATGAGAATTGGGGGCTTACATGCTTTAATACTCTCTTTTCGTCTTTATGTGTTATTGGTCTTGGTATATTCGACAAAGATTTAAATGTTAGTACCGTCATTGCTGTTCCAGAACTATATCAAAAAGGAATTAACAACGAAGCTTTTAATTGGCGTGTTTATATAAGCTGGTCATCTATGGCATTTATGCAAGCCTTTTTAGTATTTTACGTTACATATGCGTTATATGGCGTAAAACAGCTCACCGATAATAACTTGTTTGCTTTTGGGCAGCTCATTTTTACTGCTGCAGTTGTTGTGATGAACTTTAAGCTCATTTTTATTGAGATGCAGTATGTAAACATTATTTCTTTTATTGTAATTATTCTTACACTTTTGGGATGGTTTTTTTTCAATATGTTTATCAGTGACCATTATCCCGATGAAAATATTTACCTTGCGAAATCACAATTCTTTCATCACTTCGGTAAAAATGCTGGGTGGTGGCTTACAGTGTTTTTGGTTACTGTTGCTGCTTTAATGTTGGATATAATTTTACAAATGATCCGCCGAATGATGAAACCGACAGATACTGACATTTTTGTGGAATTGGAAAGCGATGCGTTCATACACTCTCGGTTCGAGCAGGAGAGTAAGGAGTTTTTCAATTCCAATTCCAATGAAAACGATGAAATTGAACAGTACCTTAAAGCTCGCGAGTGATGATTAATTTTAATTTATTATATCTATTAAAAAAAGTGCAGATTTGGTACAATTTTGTTTTTATTTATATTTTGCTTCAATTTTGTTAAGTTGTCTGGTTTTTGAAAGAAAATCGACCCATTTTTTTGGCAATGTTTTTATCTCTTCTTTTTTTTTTTTTCCTTCATTATCTGTTTTTCGAGTTGGTTATAATATTGTTATTAGTTACGTTTTACATTTTTTAATGCATATATCGTTCTTTGTTTTCACATGCGATTATCTTTTATGTTTCACAGTTGGTAGTTTTCAAATTGTCGGGTTTCACTTCAATGTAGTCTTATTTTTTACAAAAGTTTCTATTTCTTAGTACATACCTTAATACAATGTTTATTATAATAGCAAAAACGTCGATTAATTCATCAAATGTGGAAGTAAGAATAAGTCTTTCTTTCAGTCTTGTCCTTCCAATCCTTATATGCAATGAGATAACAGAATAACAAATCTTGGGTATTTTCTTTTTAAAGAGCTCCCTTCATAGTGAGGTAATTAAATTTTTTATAAGTATATCCCAGGAAGGCCATATTTGTTTGTTCGAGAGTCCTTGGATCCACATTTGCTTCTGGGGTTGCAACAGGCTGATCGGGAACTCGACACAAGTCATCCACCGGGAAATAATGAGTGTCAGTGATCGATCTTAAAGAAGGAATAAATGGAGCGGGGCTTTCACGAAGGTGATCCCAATCAATTCCACTGAAATAGGGATGCTGCATAATTTCGATGGCACCACCACGACCCAGTCTATGTTCTGAATCAGTCATAAGACAATTCATTAAGTCTAGGGCTTCAGCACTAAGGTGGATATCGTTGGGAAAATTTAAGGTTTCTCTCCAATTAATGATTTTACGATAGGTTTCATGTGAGTTTTCACTGCAAAACGGAGGCCATCCTATCAAGCATTCAAACATAATGGTACCCAAACTCCACCAGTCACAATCCTGACCATAACCGTGCTGTAAAAAGATCTCTGGTGCAATGTAATCGGGAGTACCGACAGTACTATACGCCATAACACGGCGATTCATTTTCCAAGTAGCCATTTTATCTTTTGAAGACATGGTTAGCCAAATAGAGTCTACCATTTGTCCTCTCTTTAAGGTATTGCCGCTTTTGGGAGGTTTCATATAAGAAGCACTTTGATCCTGTTTATAGAATCCAGTGGACAAACCAAAATCAGATAATTTGATATGGCCGTCACGATCAATGAGAATATTGTCTGGTTTAATATCACGATGAATGTATCCCATTCGATGAACATCTGCAATAGCTAAAACACATTCAGCCATGTAAAAGCGAGTTACATCTTCTGAAAAGGTATCATAATTAATCAGCATAGTCATTAAGTCCCCTCCGGGTAAAAATTCCATAATGAGGTAAAGGTAGAGAGAGTCTTGAAACGAAAAATAAAGGGAAACCACCCAGGGAGAATCTGATTCTACAAGCAAATCCCGTTCCGCCTTGACATGAGATAATTGATCCCTTTTAAACATTTCAGTTTTCAACAAAGACTTCATAGCATAAATTTTTCCAGTATCCCGCTTTTGTACCAATCGCACCTATTTTTGTTAGTAATACAGAAGGACAATTAAAAACATACCTCACCAAAAGCACCTTTTCCAATGACTTTAATAGTCGCAAAGTCTTCCAGCGAGAGCCTCGTCCTTCGAAAACGCAAAAACTGTGATTCCCTCTCTCCCAACGCTCTTAGCTGTCTGTTTTTTCTTTCATCAGAACCACGTTCCGTCGTTAACTTTCGTTCAAGCTCAATTCTTCTACAACATAGTTAATATAAGAGTTTTCACTAATCGTATATGAATATGATAATTCCATCACTTATTTGAATTATCTGCAGAAGCTGCGATTCTTATGGATCAAGACAGAATTGGCCTCTAACGAGATATAGCTAAATCGCGGACACTTTACGTAATTCAATGTTGAAATAGATTGATTTTTTTTATATTTTGGAGCAAACGTAGATTCGAATTCTCCAATTGTAGCATTCCACTTACCGTTGATTTCTTTCTACAGCATGTTCCACTGCTACCTTGTAATAGTGCTCTATATATTTTTTAGTTTTTTGCGTTTTTTCTAATGTCGTTCCCGGCAAAAGGGAAGGGTTTCTCTCAAATTGAGCATATCCATTGTTTTCCATTGTGTTGATCATGCAAGTATCTTCAGGATTGGAGAATCAATTTACCTTCAGTCCAGATAAAAAGGGGTACATATACGATAAAATTAATAGAATATCTATGGCTATAGAAATAATGCGAATAAAGGGATATGGATTCTCAATGGTATAAGTAGTTGAAAAGTAAATCTTTTCGGTCACCTTGAAGGACAGATTACAGGTATCATTGTTACTTATTTCCAACAGAGGATTTATTGAAGATATTTTATAAATAAGTCGAGATGTTTCCTTTTTCTTTTTTTTGTTTATGTTATATACTATACTTACAGCGGGACGTTTGACATAGTTTTCATTTATACGAAATTACCCAGCAAGACAACAGAAGTTGAATTTATTATATGGAACGAACAAATTATTAAAACGAAAGGAAGAGGGGACTTTTCCAAAACAGAAGTGAACTTCATAAAACAGAAACTAGAGACATATTGAAGCTCAATCTTCCAATTTGGTAACCTCAGAAATATGATGGACATCAAGGGGCTCATGCTTAAAGGGGATCTTATTAGGACCGACACCGTAGGCGGAAGCAACATGTCCTTTTCCACGAAGTTGATACTTATATATAGTTAAGCCTTCTAATCCCATAGGACCACGGGCGTGAATTTTGTTTGTACTGATACCTACCTCAGTACCAAAGCCATAACGGAAGCCATCCGCAAAGCGGGTAGAAGCATTCCAATAAACACCTGAAGCATCAATACCAGACATAAATTTATTTGCAACAGATTCATTCGAGGTCAAGATGCAGTCAGTGTGTTTTGAACCATGGGCATTAATATGTTCCATTGCTTCTTCTAATGAGGAAACTGTTTTAACAGCTAGAGTATAATCCAAAAATTCAGTATCATAATCCTTTTCCGTAGCGTGCTGGAGCAATGAAGCGGCATAAGGAACCCTTTCTAAAACCTCAAAGGAGCGGTCATCACATTTAAGAACCACGGAGGCTTGGGCCAATTTTTCGGCAATTAAAGGGAATTGGGTGGTGAGCGCATTTTCGTGAACCAAGAGAGTTTCAACAGCATTACAGCCAGCAGGATAATCAGTTTTAGCGTCGAAAACAACTTTAACCGCGAGGTCTTTGTCGGCATCATCATGAACGTACATAGAGCATAAACCATCTGCATGACCAAGGACAGGGATTTTGGTGTTTTCTTTGATGTAGCGAACTAATTTATCGCTGCCACGAGGAATGACAAGATCGATATAGCGATCAAATTGAAGAAGTTGAGCAACTTCTTCACGGCTTTGAACTAGTTGTACTGCACCTTGAGGAACTTTGCTCCTAGAGAGAGCCGAGCGTACAACTTCCGACAGAGCAGCAAAAGACTTTGTAGACTCTGTACCTCCTTTCAAAACGACTGCATTGCCAGACTTGATGGCGAGAGCGGTGATGTTGATAATTACTTCTGGGCGAGCTTCAAAAATCACCAAAAGCACACCAACGGGGCAAGAAACACGATACAGATCCAAGTTGTCATCAAGGCGACAGCCATAAGTAACACGGCCTAGAGGATCGTCGAGGTTTTTAACGTCTGAGACACCTTGGACCATTGATTCATATTTAGCAGAAGTAGATAAGTCAAGACGCTTTAACATAGATGAGCTCAATTTTCCAGCTTCATTCTGTTTCTTTGCAGACTCCATGTCTTCAGCATTAGCTTTTAGTATAGTGTCCTTTTTCGATATTAGCTCTTCTACAATTATGTCTAGTGCTTCATCTCGTTCCTTGACTGAGAGTGTTTGAAGAGTAATGAAGGAGTCTCTAGCCGTCTTTACGTTTGCTTCCAAAGACATCTCTTAACAAAAGGGATGAAACCGTCTATAATGAAATGAGAAAAAATAAAGAAATTATGTCCAAAAATAACAGACTAAAATTTTGCTGAAGGTGGACCCTCTGAAGATGCAGTGGAGGTAAAGTAACAGGGTATACTCTGTTACCTGTAGGGTATCGTTTCTACTATTCTGAACGCACAGAAAAAGAAATGAAAAAAATCATGAATAAACGAAAAGAATAAAAGAATAAAAAAACTTTTTTTAGCATAAGTAATGTAGACCATTAGCGCTCTCTTGGATGAAAAGAAACGTAAGACAACAAGGATTCAGTATGTAGTTGAAACGTCTACGTCGTTTACTGATACTTTCTAGACATTAACTCTAGTTGCCAATGAATCTTTCTCTTGTTTTCCTTCTCTAATACAATTCGTCGATTTCCAGCAAAGCCACCTGCAAAGAGTACCGATGTCAATAAATATAAGGACTTAGAAAGTAAATTCGAGACATAAAAAGACTTGATTACGAACGTTAAAAACAGGGGTTTCATTATTCATTGATTTCAGCTTCCGTAATCTTACATTTTGTTTTACCCATTGTTTACAGATTTTCACTTCCGCAAATCTACCAGATCTACGCCGATCTATTTCGTTACTGTTACTTGTGGGGAGTTCCCTATACGCATATAATATTGTAATTATAATCGGCCTAGTATTTATCAAAGCCTACACTTTAGTCCCTTTTTTTCTCTTTTTATGAATCTCCGATTTCTTTTTTATTATATATATATATATATATAGGAGAGAAGGAAATGTTTAATAAGCAATTTTATTCTACGTGAATGATCTACAAAGTAACAAGTTAAGTCACCTTTCAAAAAGAACTCGCAAAAGTCGCTCGTGAGGCTTTTGTTGTATCGGGAATAGCAAAAATGCATCAGCAATTCATCGGTCTTTTTAATTCTCTCAATTACGTGCCCGTGAGCCTTTTTACCATTTATTCATCAAATAAAAACACGGAATTCGAATTGCGAATGTGTCAATCTTTTTTGTTAACTATAAATCAAGCATTCACCTACTATCCTTTCCCATTTTGCCTGCGCTATAGTGGGTCGTTAAGTATGAAGATTGGTCTCCAGAGTTTTCGTCAGACAAGCACAATGTAAACTTGCAGCAAGCATCTGGGTTTTTATTATTTTTAATGAATATAAAAAATTAAGGGTTCGATGTCTTCCTTGTCTTAAATTTATAGTCACTTACTTATTGTTTTCCTTGCAAATAAATTTCAAAGGAAGATGGAGCGAATATGCTCCTTCAACAAAACCCCCCGCGTGGAACATGGTGTGAAGCTGTTTTTTATGAGACTACACTTCCTCTCGTTTCTTTAAGCGTTCGGCGATTGACCCCCATTTGATCTCAAATTGCTGCTTTCCGAGGTAAGCTCGGTTGGATGAGTGAGTCTATTTGCCGTATTCGAAGAAAAATTGCTATGCATCCGTAAATATGAATACGGAAACTTTGCAAATATGAATGTTCCATGGAAGGACGCACCGCTACGTTCCATTTTGTAAACTAGATTACCGATGTGGAAAGCAAATTCCTTCAAGGACGATACGAAAGGGTTAGCTGACTTGGTGATGCTTTGGATGATTGGCAGGCACTGACGCTGATTTTCTCGAAACCAAACTGATGTTTTTGGAGTGATTTGTCATACCAAGCTAAGGGAAGCAAGTGTGGATACATTTGAATTTTCAAGTGCATGGTATTTAAAAAACAACAATCTCTAATTTTATAAAAAAAGGGCATGTAGGTCAATTTTGGATGTATAAAGTGGTATTACCTGAGATTATATATAAGGGTGACCACGTCAGCTTGGAATTCAACAACTTCCACTCTCAAGTGAAACATCCTGTGTAAAATATTCCCCTTGAATTATTCCAAAATGAAAGCTGTAGCAGTTCTCCGTGGTGATACCAAAGTAAACGGCGTTGTGACTTTCGAACAAGAAAACGAAAAGTCCCCTGTCACTGTTTCTGTCGACCTTAAGGGCAACGATGCTAATGTCAAGCGTGGATTCCATATCCACCAATTCGGTGACAACACCAATGGCTGTACCTCTGCTGGCCCTCACTTCAATCCCACTGGCACTACTCATGGTGACCGTGTTGCCTCTGTCCGTCACGTCGGTGACTTGGGTAATGTCACCACTGATGCCAATGGTGATGTCAAGACCAAATTTGAAGACGCTGTCATCACTTTGTTTGGTCCTCACAACATTGTTGGCCGTACCATTGTCATTCATGCTGGAGAAGATGACCTCGGCAAGGGTACAAGCGAGGAGTCTTTGAAGACCGGTAACGCCGGTGGTCGCAATGCTTGCGGTGTCATTGGTGTTGCTGTTTAAAATTGGTTGTTTATCCCATTATTCCATTTACTTGATTTCCAAATTATTTTTGGATATCTGTTTCACGATGTTAAATGATGGATCTTTTACGCCAAAAGGTCCTTTATGGTGATGATTCGTTAGGTGTTGAGGTTTAATGTATGATTGAATTTGAATGATGAAAATATTTTTCACAAGACTCGTTTGTAAAAGAAGACGTTTAGTAACAAGGTAGTTAGTAACGCATGCTTGTATTTATACAGTTGTTTTACCTAGTTTAGAGATTTATTTATGAAAAGGTAACTCGTGATCTAAATTTGGGACTTACATAATACCGGATTTTATGGTGAATAGAGCTGGCTGATGCTCAGTTTCCGACTTGTATGCTCGCTTTGCTTCTACATTCCCAAGAAATGATTGAGAGACCTTTTAGGATGAAGGATGAGCGATTGGTTTTCTGTTCATTTGAAGTATTCTTTATGGAATTGATGTGATAGATCCTGGTGCCATTGACTTCAACGAAGGAAGTGGACTGACATGATCAGATAAAATCTATCATGAAACATTCCCAGTAAATTTGATCTATATTTCATGTTAAAGTATGAAGAACGATTTATTTTTAGTTTGAATTCGAAAACGATATCACCTTTTCCATATCACTGAGCTAGATGTAGAAATCATATCAGATGAACATATGAAGTAATATCGAGGAATTGACGCGTTTGAGAACCAGTCGTTAATCCTTTTCAAAAGTCATTAAGAAATTACTTTTCTTTTATCATTACTATTATTCTTATTCTCATTTTTCAAATTCATTGATATTTTCTGCAAGAAATATATGGAAAAATTCACAAAAGTTGCTACTTTTCTTAATGCTTCAACGATACCTAGCTGAAACCGAATAATTACATACCAAATGTTACGATAGATGCTTTATAAATATTTTGAAGTATTACAAAAAATTATCAAAGCGTATTTCTGAATATTAACAAATGCCATAAGGCTAAGGATAAAATATTACAAATAGTAAACGAAGCTTAGAAAATACGACAAAAACAAATTGGACAGCTATGGGAACAGAGACCTTTCATATATTTCATTTAGTTAACCAGATCCTTGGACGTTATTACTATTCTTCTACGTAGTTCCAAGTTGTCCATATTGAAACATACAATCCTGTAATTGTACTTACTATATCCGCTCGATAAACATTCTCATAACGTGTGAGATTATTACCGTGACACTGATATTAAAAATAATATTTATAAGTATGTGTCTATACAGTCTATATGTATGTCTATATCTATATACACCCAAACAAGAGATTCAATTCTCTCAAAAAATTGAACAATAGTCCATCAAACGTCTTTATCAAAAAGACCCAAACAAATATGCACAAAATATACGATTAACTGATTAGCCCCTTACTTTTCATTCACAAAAAAGGCAGCAAGCAAATGCAGAAGCATCATTATGTTAATCCCATATTGTAACACGTACCAGACGTGTTCTTATGTAAAGAAACAGTTCATTAACAAAAATAAAAATAACAAATGTAAGCGGAAGCATTTTATCATTGCTTGTCTCTGCTTTCAAATAGCGCCCACTCAATTTAGTTGGAAACAAGTCTACCACCAAGGCAATTATAAGCATCAGAATCATAGCACGCGCTACCGCAGGCTTGCATTGGTTTATTACCGACAATGGGACAGAGTAAGTTACCATAGCATACATAGCTCATAGAATTATACCAAGCCAAACCACATTGAGCGATAATCGGAGTAGAAGATGCTGTGGCAGAAGGAGAAGTTGCTGTAATAGACGAAGAAGTAGGAGTAGCACTCGTGGCAGTAGTGGCACTAGCAGTGGAAGATTCTGAACCATTTTTGTGAAATACTGAACCATTTTTGCAGGTAAACTTGGAGGAATTGTAGCAAGAACCGTTGCATTCTTGATAGACATCACCATCAATAACAGGGCAAAGAACATCATTTTTATAGCAAACAATAGCACTAGCATCATACATGGTACCACCGCATGTATGCATTCCAGAAGTGGGTCTAGGTGATTCAGATAAATTAGTATCTGTTGAAGGGGTACCGGAGGAAGTGCCTGCGGTGGGTGCAGATGTACGGATAGAAGACGATATAGTGTAAGAAGAAGTGCCTGTAGGCAAGCCTAAAGCGTTGTTGTAGCACCCGTAATGAACTGGGTTATAGCAAGCACCGTTGCAATTCGCGTATGAAACACCATTCACTATAGGGCACAGTACATCATCATCGCAGACATATAGAGATGGATCGTACACAGCCTTGTTACAAATCTTCAAGCTTGAAGTTGAAGTAGAAGTGGGCACAGGTGCGAAACTGGATACGGAAATTATAGTAACAGCAGTGGAGCTGGTATCGATACCGTCGGTTGGGAGGCTAACCGAGCTCGTGACGGAAGTAGTTCGATGAACCTGGCTTGTTGTGGTAGTAACAGAAGCTGAAGAAGAGCTAGAGCCAGATGAAGAGGAAGAAGAATCGGAATCAGAAGCGTAAACGTCAGTAGGGTAGTAAACAGCATTTCTACCGTCCAAACCAGCGGAAAATGCTAAATACCAAGCACGAGAAGCACCAATATCTAACCAGCCAGCTTGGAAGGCGGGTGTAGCAAAATAGTTGTAGCTGGTCCATGGTTCTGCAATAGCATAATCAGCATACAACAAGGTTCTCCAAGGGGGACTAGCTGTTGCAAGAGCGTTGATAAGCATATTGTTCCATTCGTTTCTAATGAAAGATTGCTCTCGAATGTAGGCGGAAATGGGGGTAATTGGAAGCATCTGAATACCTTCGACATATTCAGGATTCATTCCGAAGTAGGTAACGTGAGTAATCTTGTTCATGAAGGTAATACCAGCAACATAGTTAGGTTGCATAGATTTAGGTTGAACATTTCCATCCGAATAAAGAATATACTTGTTTAGTGCACGCTTTAAAACAGATAGAATAATATTTGCACGATCCACCATAGCATGATCACCGGTAACCTCACCCCACAACTTCATACCGTAGAAGAAATTATAGTCTTCTGAAGTGGATTCTTCATCCTTGCCATCATTAGCCTCAAAGAGACCTCCTGCCCAGGAATGACCATGGTAAAAATCAAACATTCTTTGAACAGGGAAATAAGGATCATCGCTAGTGGGATTAGAAACATCACGAATAAGCGAATTGATGAATCTCTTGTTGTTACCAACAGTTAACCAATTAGGGTCAATATGAGCAATAACGGCAGCTGTCAAAACAAAGTAACCATAGTGAAAATGGTGATCATTGTAGTAAGTATTTCCAAAATCAGCCATTGCATAGCCAGAAAGTCCTGCTTTGCTGACTACGCCCTTCCAGGTAGAATCATAAACCAAAGGATTAATTTGCTTGTTATCGACGAAGCGAGCCATGGCACTTTCTAACTTTTGCACACAGGTATTGCTCGTCTGAGTATTATTAACGATATCGTTAACTGTAAGGCAAAGCATAGCATACTTGGCAAGAACCTTACCGCTATAATACATAGAGTCCAAATTACTTTCAGCAGCCATATCACCGTTCACCTCTTGATCAGCAACAGTGGTGATCATATTGAGTGCATCGGTTGAATAACCAACCTTCTTACCCTCAGGTGACCAGGGCAAGAAATGGATATCTTTAGGAACAGTATCAGCAAAAGTAATTGAACTGCCGGCAACAGCTGTCGCGTAGCCACTAACAAGTGAAACCAAAGAAATATCGGTAGTAGATGCACCAGAGGACAGTGATTCAATTTGGTGGGGCAACAAGAAATGCAAAGGCGTAACAGAACTATCACCGGAAGTCTTCAGGTTGAAGGTATAGTAACCTGTGTCGCCATCAACATGACCGGAAACAGAAATACCAGTTACATAACTGCCTGCATGTTGGTCATAAATAGACTCAGCTTTAGTATCGCCAAAGGGAATCTTTGCTATTTGAATGTAGCCATTGAAGGAGTTTGAGCCAACAAGAACTTGGTTTCCGTTGGCGTTCAAAGTAAGGTGATCACCAAACACATAAATGAGCCAGATATGACCATCGGACAGTGTGACTTTGTACTTTTGAGTAGCGGAGGATCCAGAAGCCGATACCACAGCATTCATAAAGAATGTAGATGTGAAGATTTCGGGAACGGCATTGCTGTATTCAGCAGTGGTAAAGGCCAAACCTTCGACCAAAGAGATTTTCATTGAAGAAGAACCCCAGTTGAAATTTACGCGAGCGGACAACTGATCGATTTCGTCGACCTGGGGAGCAATGGCGTTAGTCAATCCAGAGCCACCAAAAGCTAAAGAACAAAGACCAATTGGATTATAATAGAAATTGGGAACGGTGCTACCCCAGTCGAAGACACGTTGATTTTCATCAGTATGAGCAATGCATATACCAGAATGAGTAATGGACGACTGCCACCAATAGCGGTATGGGTCAGCATAGAGAAAAGAGGTTCTTGAGCCGATCAAAAGGTTATCATAGAACTTGTTTGTTTCGGTAGGCTTTCCACTTTCGGAAAGCCCGGCTGGGGTCAAAGGATGGCTTGCGGAGCCAAATAGGGTTGATGGATCAGATGTATCAATGACTTGATTGAAGACATCAGTTGAACGTTTTTCGAGTTTTTGAGATGATGCTTCCATAACTTCTGGACCATCATACAATGGAGAAGCCGTAACAAGTTGAAGGCAGCCCACTAAGAAATAAGCGAGGGATCGAGATGAGAATCCCATTGTCTATTATAATACGGTCCAAGAGTAATTATATATACAAAAGAACAACGGAGAAATTATAGACCAATTAAGAATATATCTAAGAATAACCACCGCAAGGTTATTATAATCAATGGTTCAACTTATGAGGAAAATACCGATTGTAATACTGAGGTATTAAAAAGATTCAATTAGCAGTTAACCAATATTACAACCGACCTTTGGAGAACCACCAAAAAGCCTAAGTAATATACAAATGTGAACTGACTGGCGAACATAACTGCAGATTTCCTCGGCTTTATAGTAAATTGGATTATAACTCAGGGGTTTTTTTTCATACGATATTCAGCGCTATACCAGCCATATTAGACGAGTATGTGAAATGGAAAAAGTTGACATTTGGTGGTGAGTCCAACTACCAGCCATCAGAAGCCTAAGCAGAATTATGTAAAAGGAAAAAATGTCTTCTCTTTCAAAAGAAAGAATTTTGGTAAGTATAATAATGTCCAGAATTTCTTGATTCATATAAGAGAGAAAACCTCAGTATGATATAATGTTACAATGTAGTGCAAAACTACAGACTGTTTCACTGGGAAAGAAGAGAAAAGAATCGATATGAAACAGTAAAATCGAAATTGAAATTAAACAAATGAACTTTTTTATCTATGGGTAGCGGATTGAAGGAATGCTATATGTCGTTTCTTTTGAAATGTGTCCATTGTTTACTATAGGTTTTTTAAGCGATCAGAATCCACTAAAGATTTCATCGATCTGTTCTTTAAAATGCCCAAAATTGCATTGTTACGAATGGAGTAAGAAAAACAAAGGAAGACTCAACTGCAATCATAGCAACTGACGTTTCTTTCAATCTTTGCAAATTGTATCCCCCTGTCACCGCTCACTGTTTACATGCTTGTTTATTTACAATGGTCGCGAGGGTAACGAAGGGTAAGGGTTTCGCGGTTGGATTATAAACAAGTCGAGGTGGTTGGAACTTGGTGTAAACAAACCACTAACAGACTCAAAAATCCCGATTTTGCAGAATTAAATTCTCTGTTACATTTTATTTCTCCTAGGCTGGTCCTATATTGAATGTGGTAAAGGAAAGCTGGAACTTTCCAATTAATTGCCATTTTTTGTTCTCTGAGCTGGTCTCCTTCTTTGTTTTGATTTTCCCTTTTTATATTCCTTTCTTTACACACAGGTGCTGGTCACTTGAAAAGTAAAAAGTAAAAGAAGACATTGACAAAATACTGAGACCTTGTCAATAGATTCTTGGATTACACCCAACATATATTTCTTCGTCGTTCTTTTTCTTTAGTCTCTCTTTATCCTCTTAAGCATTTTTGTCGTTATACTTAAAATTAGTATTCCTATAAAATATGGACGTTAGCAGCAATTTGTCTTATGTTTCTAAATTTTCTACCCCTACGAAAAAGAGACCTCTGGTATATCCAAATAGTCCAATTACGCCTCTGCACCAGCAGGCTCTTCTGGGTAAAGTTAGCCGCTCAGCGAAAAAAAGCCCAACAAAGACTTCCTTCAATTTTGTCCGAGGCTCACCAAAACTTGATGTCGTTGCATCTGACTGGTCATTGCCGACTGCAGTGAATTCTCCTCGTGCTAAACACCGTTGCTTGAATCACAGTGACAGATTCATCCCTTCAAGACAAAATTCAGCTAACGCATTTGTTAGTAATCAAAAACATGAATTGTCGGCTGAGTACAATGAATCAGTAGCCGAAGCTTGTGGTTTGGATTTAAATACACGCATCCTTGCTTTTAAACCAGATGCACCTGAATCAAAGAAGCCTGTAGATTTGCGTGCTCAATATAACCGACCTCAAAAACCCGTTGTTTCACAGACAAAGCGCAAGTTTGCTACCACGCCAGAGCGAGTCTTGGATGCGCCTGGCATCGTTGATGATTATTACTTGAACTTATTAGACTGGTCTAATTTGAATGATGTAGCTATCGCACTCGAGAGAAACGTTTACGTTTGGAATGCCGACAGCGGTGATGTTCGTGGTTTAGCAGAAACGGATGAATCTACTTATGTAGCTGGGTTGAAATGGTCTCAAGACGGTACATTCTTGTCTGTAGGACTTGGTAATGGATTGGTTGAGATCTATGACGTTGAGTCTCAAAAAAAGCTTCGAACGATGGCCGGTCATCAGGCGAGGGTAGGTGTTTTGGCTTGGGATCGTCACATTCTGTCCAGTGGCAGTCGCTCAGGTGCTATTCACCATCATGATGTCCGTATTGCTCAGCACAAAGTGGGCGAATTATTGGGACATGAGAGTGAAGTGTGTGGACTGGCATGGCGTTCGGATGGTCTTCAGTTAGCTTCTGGTGGTAATGATAATTTGGTTCAAATCTGGGATGCTAGATCGTCTATTCCTAAGTTTACAAAAACCAATCACACTGCGGCTGTTAAGGCTGTAGCATGGTGTCCTTGGCAAAGCAATCTATTAGCAACCGGTGGAGGTACGATGGATAAGAAGATTCATTTCTGGAATGCCGCTACCGGATCGAGAGTCAACACAGTGGATGCTGGTAGTCAAGTAACGTCGCTAACATGGAGCCCTCAACTTCGAGAAGTTATATCCACCCACGGTTTTCCTGATAATAATTTGTCGGTCTGGTCTTATGGCACGGCAGGTGTCACTAAGCAAGTGGATATACCCGCACATGATAGCAGAGTATTATACTCAGCTCTCTCACCCGATGGACGAATTTTGTCTACAGCAGCTAGTGATGAAAATTTGAAGTTTTGGCGAGTAAATGACAGTGAAACAAAGAAGAGGACTGGAATATTTGCTAAAGCTGGACCTTCCAATATGACTATCCGGTGATGTACAAAATATACTTACAAACGTTCAATGATCGACCTTGTCCTTTCGGTTACCAATCCTCTTAATGAGCTGACTATTTATTTGCCTAATGCATTAATGACGTTGATAAATTCTTATGATTAATACTAATATGTTACTTAATGGTCTTTAACTGAACACTGTATCCATGGTATAGTTGAAAATTAGATTGGTAAGGAGTAGTACGACATTGAGACACATTGTATTGTGTTGATGGGAAGTAATTGAAAGTGCGAAAAATAGAACAGTTGTATGTTATTACTTCATCCTGTGTAGACGAGACGTTGATGGTTTTTCTCGGTCATGTTTATATATTTTGTAAATGCGTGTATCCTGTACTGAGGGTTTTAGCTTCTCCAATCAGCAAATTTAAATATAAAACTACTTAAGTAGGATGAGCTGATTTGGTTCCTGTGAATTCATCCAATTATGGAATAAGTATGGTACAAACTGAAGTTTCAAGAAATTGACAATACATGAATTTATTCTATAATTACACACTTCTGTATAAGTTTCTGTAAACATATTAAAAAGCCTGTATTATTTACTTTTATGCTTCCTATTTGGAAGGCAAAAAAAGCGGACTACATGATAATTCTTTCCATAAAGCTTAGACTTATTTTTTAATTGTTGATAATTATCAGTTTTATGGTGAAAATAGCCATGGTACTTGAAAAGTGTTACATCCTGTTTTTTTTTTTTTTTTTTTTTTTTCTTTCGTCTACCAAGTGCAGCCATACCACAACGAACATTGTTTATCTTTTCTTTTTTTTTTGAAATAATTATTTGAAAAGAAATAGACAGAAGGAAAACGGTCATATCTATAAGTTATAATTTTACTAATGCCTGATTGTACTAATTAATTATATTGTAAGGACATAGTTACAGCTGAATTGGAAGCTTTTGCAATTGAAGCCTGAAACAGCCTAATATACCATCATCTCATTCCTCATTTAGTTTCTATTATTGACTGTATCTCATTTTTTGTTTTGAGAGCTAGTTCTTTTGATTGTGGTCCTTCTTTTTTGCTGTTAGCTGAAGGGGTATTATTTTTTTGTGTTAGTTAAAAGGTTCCTCTTTCGTGAACTTTGAGTTTTTCTTTTTCTTTCTTTTGAGTTGTGTTTTCTTTGGTTTAATCATTCTTTCTTTATGTTTTAGCTGAAAATTTCGAAGTTTTTAGCTCGTTTACAATATTCATGTTGAGTAAGCTTTATATTTTGCTATCCACTGTGTTTCAATCTTTTTTCTCAGGGGATTTTGTTTCTTTTTTGTTGATTTTTTTTTTTCCCTCTGAAGTCTATTGATAATACTTGGGTTTCATCGTTGTCAGTTTATACGTTTTTATTATGAAACCTTACGTTGCATACCCAGACGCTTCTGTAAAACGATTTCGAACAACACCTGTTCTATCTAATTCTTCTGCGATTCCTATACTAGCTAAGCAGCAACAAGAGCAGTCGCTCAAACCTGTTAAGCGAAGAACCAAGACTGGCTGCCTTACTTGCCGTCGGAGGAGGATTAAATGCGACGAGACAAAGCCATTCTGTGTTAACTGTTCTAAATCGAATCGCAAATGTGAAGGTTATCCAAATCCTTCGACCACTCCTCAAGCAACTGAAAGCTTATCTCCTCCTAATGTAAATATAAACGCCGCTTTGCTACCACAGCAGCAAGCATCTTCTTCTATCACCAATATGAATGCTGCACCTATAGCATCTGGAATCCATTCCTCTGCGAATGCGGATCCTACCTTCAATACCTCCCATCAAGATTTTCTCCCTAATGAAGTAAATCATTCTTCAATAACTCCGAACCTTACGCACTTTAATCAACCACCAAAGCAGCATCCTCAATCATTTCCAATGACTGGGTACTCAAATCCAATTCCATCCGGTTATCCTCAATCGAACCACCAAATGCAAACTCCTGCGCCCGTATCTTCTGCTTCATCGAATCCATATAACTACACAACTATAAATCCTACATCGTCTAATATCATGAACTCTACTTATCCTTCATCATCTTTACGCTCTGCTGGTTCCATCGCTTCTAATTTAGTCACGATGCCCTCTCCAATTTTGGAAGTTTCTCCTTTTTATTTTCATTATGTTGTACCATCTATTGTTGTATTTGAATTTGAAGATGCGATTGCTTTGCATTTTTGGTTAAATACTGTGCCCCAGTTAGCTCAATCTATACCGTGTATCAATTACTCATTACTTGCATTTACTGCAGCTAAGCGTTTGGACAACTGTAACGCTTATTGTTGTATTGTTAAGGCTTTACGTACTCCTATACCAAACCCAAATTCCTTTGAATCATTGTTAGCGTATGCCTTGCTAGCTGTGAGCCAATTAAGCCTCCCAAACTGCGATTTTAATTTTGTTAATAATGCTTTCAGGAAGTTGAGTTGGTCTTCTGCTGTTCGATCTAATTTTGTAAATACGTTACTAGCAATGGTAATTCGTGAGTCAGTTCTTGCTTTGTTACCGCGTCAAAATGTATGGGGGTTTGACGGTCTATGCATGTCTGAAGTATTTAACGTTCGAAACAATGCGGCAATTTCAGACACTCTTTTTAGAGAAGGAATAAAGATATTATCACAACCTTTGGCTCGTGGAAATGTTCATCTTGAACGTATCGTTTCTTGGAGGGACGAATTCCACGTTCCTCTATATTCGAATTCTTCAACAGTGACATTCAAGGCTTTAGATTGTATTGGTCACGCTTTGACAAGAAACAGTAATGATTTACTTGAAGCGCTTCAAATTCTAGCTCAAGAGGATTGCTCTAACTCCGCTATCACTTATTCTGTTTACCAGTGCTCTATGTCGTTGCAAAATCACTTTCCTCGCATAAGCAAAGAAGCCCAAGTGCTGTTCCAAGTCCAGGGCTATTACAGCCGTCTTCTGTTTAATTGCTTTATGGAATGTACCGAACCTGATAGGCCGACACTTAGCATTAGCAAATCTTTTGATTCGAATGTTAACAACAGTGAGATTGTACAATAGGTATTTACTAAGTAATAAATCTGTACATTTAGATGTTTTTTTTGACAATTAGGTTGGATGAACAAGAAAATTCGGTTACTAAAGATTTTGTCCACATTACCTTAGAATAAATTTGAGATAGAATAAACTAATATATTATTGAATATTAATGCTTGTCGAAAAGTTGAAATAAAAAAGACTAATTTGCGATAGTAGCAGATGGGTGAAGATGGTCAGTAGGGAAAGTAGGAGTAGGACTTGCCATTCTAGAGGCCATGGAAGATTGTTCCTTTAAGCTGCTGAGTTGTTTGGAACGGAATCTTTCATAGTGATATAAGGAAGTAGTTTCTATAAGATCATGCAAATGAGTGCGCATTAAAAAGTTACGAAGGAAAACAAATTCACAGTGGTTTTCATCATCGACATTAACGACACCCCATCTGTTCTGTCGTCCACGAATAGGCTTTCCATCGACAATAATATTCTTTTCTGAGCCGACAACAGCAAACGGAATAAGATTACGAACGGCTGCATTAAGGCTTAGCTCTTCATCATCAATATCATCGCTATCATAAGGATACAATTTAATATCATGCTTTGCAATCTCTTCTCTAATCTGTTGCTTGAAAGCACCGCGCTCTTCGAGAGTTAAAGAGTCTGACTTGGCGATTACAGGAACGACGTTTACGAGCTCAGTAAGGCGTTTCAAGACAGCAATATCAATAGGGCGTAAAGAATGACCAGTGGGACGAATAAAGAATAGACAGCAATGCACTCTGGTGTCTTGAAGACGCTTTTCACGATGAGAGTTTAATTCACGTCGCAAATAGGAAGAATGTTGATCACGAATGTACTTGACAATAGGTTCCCAACTTTAGAAATTTTGTTAGATATTCATACTAGTCCTCGTCTCACTTACCATTTGTCATTGTTTATTTGGTCGCCGTAACCAGGTGTATCAATGAGATTTAACTGCAATTGAACACGATTTTCATGTACCGCTAATTAAGTTATTAGTTAGTAATTATAAATTGGATTGTAAAGAAGGGGAGAACTCGAACTTCAACGCGTAGTTATAGCAAGAAAGTACATGAAACTCGAGATCCAAGAATACCTACCATGACTGGTAACATTAATCTCAGTAGTCTGGCGATATGGAGTCTGAATATCAACTCGGCCTTTGCTGTTCATTAAATGAGCAGAGAATAAGGTATTAACAAGTGTACTCTTTCCACTTCCAGAAGGACCTTTGAAATTCAATTAGCAGCTTATACATTATAATAGAATGCTATAGGAAAAAGCATACCCACTACCATAACGTTAAATTGAAATCCACGGCGGACTAATTTACGGTTGATTTGGGAAGTAATGGAATCGAAGCCTAATAGTTTAGTACTATATGTTCATTGAATCTCGAATTGCTTACCAACATAATTATTTAACTGAACAGATTGTGGATTTTCCATCATTCAAACGTGGTTGAGAATGTTAAGATTCTTGCTATGGATGGGTGTGGTGGTATGGTAGACAAATGCGTAACCCCTTAAAGTAAACAAAGAAGTAAACACAAGTTTCAGTAGTTGTAGTACGAACACATTAACTTGTTTATGTTAACGTTTTTACAAAATAAAAACAAACATTACTATATTGACTAAGCTATTATAGCATGGAAAAGTAAATCAAATCAAGTTATACGATAATTTTTGTAGTTAGAACTTTTGTGAACGGATTCGTATTCATGTGATTATACTCAGGTCTTTAGAATAAATGTGAACTATCCGATTCAGTAAAGGTCTGGCAATTGTGGATAAGAAAATCTTAATTGGCATTTGTTATTTTACTGTACTACTCAACTAACCCTTGCTTAGACAAAACTTTCTAGCCTGAAAGCAAAAGAAAAAATAAATGCTTTTCAACCACCTACCAGTTAATGACAAAAGCACTAACAGATTACGAAAAAATACATTCAGCAGGTCTACACAAAATCAAAGCCACCGTTCTTTTATTAAATTCATCTAAGAAGTATAAGCGTTACGCACACCAGATAATTTAGATACAAACGACAAGCTTTGCTCATCAACTTGAGAGCAGTGTTGACCTAAATAATGATTAGTAAAAGCACAAACGTTATTGTTTTATCGACATACGAATTTGAGCACTTATTAACAAAGAGTCGAGAAGACGAGGTTCAGCAGGAAGCTTAAAGATGCGCTTCCATTCGTCTAAAGGCAAGAGAGGACGGTTTTCTGCAGCACGATTGGCATTTTCAGCCTTTCTCTTGGTTAACCATTGCTGAATCTTGGCCTGCTCTCTGGCAAGTTGACGTTGGTGGAAACCAACATTACCTTGCTCATAATGGTATTCATCGACAGACTCTAAGAGATGTTCGAGATTCTTTTTGTGACCAACTCCAAGGTTGAGATCGAAATTGCTAAAAGTTTCAGTCAAAGGCAATTCGCGCTCCATTGAGTCAAGAGCAGCTTCGGATGAAAGCAAAGACGAGGGTTTAGAAGGCTCACTAAGAGAGTGAAGAAGACAAGTTGCCAAGTGCGAGTTGTGGATTGCAACAGGTAATTCACGCACAATGTTAGCGGGTGAAACATGGTGCTTGTTTAGAGAAGTAACAGTCCATGTCTTTTCTTCATATGCAGCCATAAACTCAGGAGTGAGTTGGAATGCACGGAGAATCAAAGATCCATTGCAAGACTGTGATAAATCATAAACGAGAGCAATGCTATTAGGGCTCTCCTTTTGATAAGCATATTGGGTCTCAACGAAGAAAGAACTGTTAAGGAAAGCTCCAACATAGGTTCCTTGGTACCAACCAACGTGACCAGTAACAGCACCCAAGTATTGCATACGATTCAAAGTAGCTTCGGTATGAGCTTGACGTGCTCTTCCTGAAACAGACTTATTAACAGCCGATTCCTCGTTTTCAAGGACAGAAGGGGATTCAAAACTACTACTAACTTGCAAAACACCGTCGATGTCAATGCCCACAAGTTGACCTAGAAAGTATTAGCGTGGACTCGCTATAATAACAAATCAATTGCCAAAGTTGAACTACAGGAAAAAAAGGTAATATTTTTTTCCGTAGTCTTCAATATTCACAACAAGGTTCATGCTTTCACTGAGACAACTAAAAAATCCAAAAAACCTTACCTATAGTGCCTACATTTGTGATGGAATCACGACAATGCTTTATTATATTCATCACAAGCATTGATTCCAACTCAACCCTCTCGACAGGGGGAGATTCCAACTCTGGGCTATTCTATTAGCATAATGTCCCTCTAGATTTTCAACATACATGTTCACAGATGTCGTTTCTGACATGATTCCCAATTTTCCTCGTTGGTTAGTTGGTGTAGAGTACTAAAAGTAGTAGACAGGGAAGGTCAAAGCACCTAAAGTGACAAAAGTAACAACTTTTGAAAAGCACCTACACATAAAGAAAAAACCGATTCTTTTATTTTATTAACTTTTTATTAAAGAAAAACAAAATTCACAAGCTTTTTCCAGCATAAAAATGCAAACTTTTTTCTCTTAAATACCGAGCTCTAGTAACCATCGTAAACTATTTTGTCTGTAGTACTGCGCATCTTGTTGCACTTCCCAAACATTTTCTATACGGTGACGTGTATCAGATTTGATTCGCTGATGATGACTGTTTTCGTGACTGCTTTTTGTCGGTGTGTGACTGCTTTTGGGTGAACAGAATAGTATAAATACCACTGCTTTCGCTCATTTGAAAACCATCGACGATACTCCATAGGATCATTTCTATAGTATACGTCCGGCTTGGGTTTCCTAACCTAGCCACAGAACTCAACACGGATGATGATTGGTAGCGCCATTGCCCGAAGAGTGAGATAATACTTTCTTACTGAATGGATGCTTAGTAGTTGGATCCTTAAAGGATAAAGCTGCATTATAGCATCTGTTCAAGGCGATGATCTCTTGCATGTCATGTTCCTTTTTGGTCATGATATGTAGGGTAGTTGGCGTTTTCTGACGTGTACTTCTTTTAATTATAGATGTTGTGTTAAAAATGCTTGATCTATAATTAATGGGAGTATTCTAATATAGAAAAAGTTAGATGGAAGTTGCTGTTGAATGTATTGTTTTGAGGCTGGATTTGATTTTTACTACAATCATAATTGTGAGTAGTGGCTAGGGTACTCAGTTAATTGTTTGAACTCAAAGGCTATAAACGTATATATAGGACTATGGTCAGTATTTTTAATAGAAGGGCATGTGGTGTAGATGGTTATCACGCTTCCTTAGCATGGAAGAGGTCCCAGATTCGAGTTCTGGCTTGTCCAATTTTTATCACTTTAAACTCTGAAGGTAGAGCTAGAGAATACTAAAGTATGCTTCAATACATTAGAGGTAATAATGATTCGGTGATCACTTCATTCATTGTGAAAGTCTGCCAAGTAGAGACTGATGATTATAGTAATTACATAATGTAACGATACGAATAGGTACCTCGTTACTATCATCCTTGACATCAAGGGCCAATGTCACATACTTTTGGCACTGTGTGCCTAATATCACTACATAGAGTTTCTTTGTTATGGTCCTCCATATTGCCTATCCATTGAATGAAGACAAAAGTCAGCTTGCTCATAACCAACACTGGTGGAAATTTTGGAGATTGACAACTTTTACGTAAATAAAAGCATAGAAATTCGCTCTGCTATCAAGAAGAAGAGTCTCGTTGTAGGTTACCTGCTAGAAGGATTGAACTGTTGTTTTAGCTCGCCTTGTCTTGTTGGAACGCATTTGAAAGCCGAGAACTGATTCGAACGGTTTTGGTGTAAGACTAAAGCTTTTCTAGTAGGTATTTACGAAATAAGCTGAAGATAGACAGTTACGTATCCTTGAGGACTGAGAAAGTTTGTATCAAATGAACTTGTCTTCCGTTAGCGGCGGTTGTAAGTACGAAACCCGTTGTATTCAATATCGTCGACGTATTCCGTATAGTTTAGGAACAGATCCTTTACTTCCTTTAAATCCTTTATCTTTACAACCGTTATCGGATGTGGATACAGAGCACTTGACATCTCAGTTAAACGAGTACTTTCATTCGATTGTCTTGGACGAAGATGGTGTACAAAAACGATATCAATTTGTTCGCAAGTTGGAGGCCATACTCCAGAAAAAATGGCCTGAAAAGAATATAAAGACAGTTCTGTTTGGATCCACCGAGTCTTTACTTGCTGATAAGCACGCAGATATCGATTTATGTATAATGACTGATCCGTCTCAACCGGCCCCTACCACCTGCCAAATATCTTCTGCTTTTGCTGAAATTGGTATGGAAAAGGTCGTTTGTATTTCTACTGCTAAAGTTCCAATCGTCAAAGTTTGGGATCGAGAATTAAGTCTGTCATGCGATTGTAACATTAACAAAACAATTTCTACTTTAAATACCAAGTTGATGCGGACTTACGTACTTTCTGATCCTCGTGTCCGCCCTCTAATAGTGATGATCAAATACTGGGCTAAAAAAAGGTGTCTAAATGATGCCGCGGAAAACGGTACTCTCACTTCTTATACAATCAGCTGCATGGTTATAAACTTTTTACAGAAAAGGAACCCTCCAATTCTTCCTAGCTTACAAATGATTCCTCATCTACAAACGAACTTAACTCTCAATGAAGACTTAGATGTTTCTTTTTGTGAGTATCCTGAGCTAATTTCGGGATTCGGTGATAGAAACAGGGAGTCTCTTGGTACTTTATTTATTGAATTTTTTCGTTTTTTTGGTTATCTTTTTGATTATGATCACTCCGTATTATCCGTGCGTCATGGTACAATTCTTTCAAAGCGTGCCAAGGGCTGGCAATTCCAACTGAATAACTGTTTATGTGTTGAGGAGCCCTTTCGAAACTCTCGAAACTTGGCTAATACGGCAGATGATATTACCGTCAAGGGTCTACAGCTTGAATTTCGCCGAGCTTTTCGTTACCTAAGTCAGAATTATAACTTAAACGATGCTTGTTCACAGTTTGTATTTCCCCCTTTAGAAAATACCTTGTATATGGAGAGCTATGTTCATGAATTACTTGCTGAAACTAATAGTGCATCGCTGGGTTCCGATGCAAGTTTCTCAAACTCTCCTCCAGACCTTTCTCAAAATAATTGGGTTTATGATTCTCTTACTTTTATGCCCCCTCCTTTCGTTACTACAGCTTTACCGAACGTAGACAATAGTGCCTTGTTTGACAAATCTCTCCCTATAATACCTTGTACATTTGTGGATCCGTATGCCTATGCAAATTATATGAATAACTCTAACTACTTACCACCGTCTTACCTTGATCTTTATGGATTATATGGCCGAATGGGTTATTCTAATCATAATCGCTTTTATGAAAATAAAGCAGACTGGAACCGTCGCGACGGGAAACACTCAAATCATTTCCGTAGAAATGCTCGAAATCACAAGTCAAGGAAAAGGAATCAAGGCGATTCATTTAATTCTGCTGCTGAGGCTCTCCCTTTATCATCGAAGGATAGTGATAATATCCCGTCACATACCTCTACGACTTCAGAAGTTCTTTCTCCCGTTCATCTTCATAAACAACCGATCCTTCAACCTGTTCCTGCTTTCAAAAGTTAATTTATTAGGGCATCCATGTTGTTAGCATAACCTACTTATTTTGATAAATTGGTGACCTATACGTATGCTTTGAAAACTTTTTTCTGCTCTTATTGTTCATTTTTTTTATTATTATTATTATTTTTTTTTTGCATATCAACTATACTGTATCTTATTATTAATTCATTTAATTGGATTGAGTGATTGTTTTGAAAAATCCAAAAATTATGGAGATACAGCTGCCAAGATAAAAAAATACCTAACTCATTACTTTTTGGTTTTATCGAATGAAAGGAAGAACCGTTTTCTGTTTTGATATATATTCCTTTCACAAGTCGCTTTAAGTTTGGTTAATTTATGGTTTATGAAAAAGTCCATCTTTTCTCGAGTTGAGCTAGCTTTACTTCATATTTCCTAACTACTTAAGAATCTTCTTATACCTGATTAAACCCTTCTTCCCAGTTGTGTTTGTCGTTTCACCATTTTTTAACATGCTTTTTTTTCTATGCCCATAAACAAATTGTCATGATAAGCTGCCCACGATCAAATAGGTGAACTTTGAGCCAACAATAAAGAAAACATGGTATTTGAATGTTTCAGGCTATAAAATCCTTGATTCGATTTTTATTGTCATTTCATCCAAAGTGTTTATTGATGTCTATTGACAGTAATCGCTTCATCGAGATATAAATTTCAGTATAAGCCCTTCAGAAGTTCGCAAATAATCAATATGATATCACTATGGTTGATTTACTCTACTGATTATCCTCTTTAATCATGCTTGCTCTTCATTCGACAGCTGAAAATGAAAAGGCGGGCAAGTTATCAGAAAACAACAAAACCATATTTCCTGATTACATCCTTGTCAGTTATTATTGCTTTTGTCCTCTGTTGACACAGTTGCAATGAAGAGTTACGAAAGAATATGTATATATATATGGTCGATTCGAATTTTAAAAAAAAAAAAACAGAAAAAAAGAAACACTTAGTGATTTATCCTTCTGATTCCAACTCGTTTTGCAATGATACACTGTTAGCCCTCCTCCCTGGAAATTACGACCGATGTTATATGACCCAAAATGATTTAACGATAAGGTAGACGGAGAGCGTTTGGTAGAGAAACGGCTTTTGCTTGGTATTACACCTTGCTTTTGTTCAACGTGATGTCACCTTGCGTATGATGATGTTTTTGTCTTATGTTACCTTAACTTTATTGTAGCATACGGTACGGAGCATGTAAAACATCGTGAACTGAGCGTGAGCCGCTTTTGGAGCAATAATTTCAAAAAAAGTAAATAATTAGCATTATTTTAAGTAATTTTAACAAAGAAATTAGAGACAATTCGACAGCGAACGGTTTTGTGTGAAGAAACAGATTCTCGTCGAGAGATAATTGTCAAGGATACGAATTGGTGGGCATTGACTGGATGTTGGAGCCTAAAAGATGAATGCAACAGTTCAGGCGTATAATAATAAGCCCCATTTTGTGGAGGGTTCGTCGAATGGAATATCTCAAAAACTCCGCCATGCTCAATCACTGGTTCGTCGTCAACCAGCCAAAGTAGAGTCGGATAATGGACATCGTCGTCGGTGGAGTCACTATGATGATTTTCAAAATGGCTTAAATGCATATCATGGTGAAGGCGACATGGAGCCGCCCAAGTCGGGATATTCAACGGAGCAGGCACTAGCTTCATTCAATAAAGGACGTTCAGCAAGAAATAACTTAACTGTTGCTTCAACTGAGCTAAAAGCAACACTCCCATCATTAGACGAGCGTCGCTTAAGTAGAAGGAGTCATCAAGATGTAGGTGTTCCAGTTGGCGCTAAATTGGAGTCTGAAAACCGAACAAGTGGAAACACGAATTTCCCTTTAGTACCCCAAAAATCGCTACGAAGGTATTATTCGAATCGAACAGCTCAACGACTGGAATTTCGTCGGTCAGGCTCACCTTCTAGCAGATTCAGTAGGGCGAGCGAAATAAATACTACAGATCCTGCTCGTTTTGCAGATGAAAATGATGTTCCTACAAACAATGACTTTAACAATCGGTTTACGGATCCTGATTTTGAGTCTGGTAGGACATCAAGGTTTTCAGAGACTTCGGAAATGGCAGGAAGAAGGAATTCAATAAATTTACAAGCCCGAATGAAACCAATGGACTCGAAACTGGTATCCAAGAATGGACAACCCATGCGTGTTTCCCAAATAACAGAACCAGAATCCTCGTTTTCAAATGTTCTTGGGCAAGAAGCTAATCATAACCCGCTAACTGCCAGGTTTTCTGGAAACAGTACATCATATGCATCCAATGAATACGCTTTCGAGGATCAACCTACTTCTGCGATACTTAGTCCGTCCAAATATGCTAATGCTCCTGCGTTCGAGCAGAATATTGGATACACGAACGCGACAATGCAGGATCGTCGACGTCCCTTTTTCACGGATGTGGATTTTCCAGGTGGTAATATGCAGGCTTCAGGCGTGCATACAAATGCGGATGATCCTTATATGAATGATTCGGACAGCGAACGCAGTTACCGGCGAGTGCGAGATCAATATTTATCAAAGCCTCGTGTTCCCAAGACAGATCGCTATAGTACTTTATCAAATACCGCCAGTCAAATTACGCCAAGGGCTTCTCAGGCCAATATAAATTTGCAGAATAACCAAAGACCTGCAAGTCATTATTATGAAAAGCTGCATATAAAAAATAACAACAATAACAGCTTTCAAGCCTTACCATATGAAACTACAACTCCGGCTAAGCGGCCTATGCCTGTAACACAGCCAGGACAAGCAACACCTCAAAAAAAGAAAAGAGGTCTTTTCAAGAGGCTCTTTCAGAAAGTTTCTCGTATATTTAAATAGTCTCAGTCGAAAATGATCCTGATGTTTGTGCTGGTTAATAAGACATGCTTCTATTCTTCGAAAAAAATGTCTTACAATTGTTTTGCTTCTCTTTCCCGTTAATTTTATTTGCATATTGTGTTTGCAGATGTTCCCTATGTTCGTTTTGTTTTTTTTTTTCCTTTTTCCTGTTACTTTTTTATCAGTATACCCAAAAGACCTTGTCTGAAATTATAAAAACTGGTGGACTAAAATTTTCAGTTTTGCCGGTATTTGATTTGAGTCTATATTTTATGGAGGGCTATGGCAAGAAGGCTCCTACCTATTGCGTCGGGTTTGAAATCTTGTTATCTTATTAAATGTAGGACTAATAAAGATGAATCTTGTCGCGTTTAATTATTTTAATTGTTAGAGCTTCTACGTCGATTAGAAAGCCTTTTTTTGATCGGCGTATAATTCAATAATAAATAAAATCTCTATATATATAACAAACACTTAATTGAAAGGACAAGAACTTACATAGATTTTTTCTGTAAAGTTCTTTCATATCAAAAGTTTTAGGAATAAACCTCGCTTAATGATGTTCACTTTGTCTCGATATTCGTATGCTAACTATTACAGTACACATTAGAACAAAACGAGAGATTGCCATTCTGAACCTTTGTCTGTAATTAAACGATGCAATTTATTGTATATTGAATATGGATCATCAAATTCCTTTTAACCCTTTAGAAGATCCTGAGACATTGCTTCTTGATTTTATACACTTTGTTCGTAGTAGTTCTCTTGAAGAATGTAATTCACATGGAATTATGGGTATGGAATAAGGAATGAATTGCTCTCTTTTTGTAATGAAGATGTCTAATAATCGTATGAAAGTAACTGCTGCAATGGATCATTTAGTGAAAGAATATTATTTTACGGACTCAGAGGTATAACGGACGTTAGCATTCTTATGATTTCTGATCTTTTATTAATAGCTCTATTTAGAAATACAATCTCGTCCTTGAAGCTATTTCTCATGCCGCTCAACAGCCTACCATATCTGTGATTCATGTCTGTTTTCTCAAAGAACTTTTGCGTCAAAAGCAGTATGCTGTAGCTGCATCAACTTTACGTTGGGACACCATCAGCAAAGTATGTCCATCATAAAGATTGTGATGATCATATAGATTAGCATGTCGTGTCTTTGAAGCAAGTTCGTGGATTCCTAGGCTTCTAACTTTTCATAGTATCTACCGACCAATTTACTACTCGAGTACTGTTTATTGGCTGCCTATCATTGTCTTGGTAATAATGAGTTATATGAAGCTCAAGGATGGCTGTTTTCGGTATGCTAGCTAATCTTCCAGCTTCCCTTGCTAACCTTTAATCGATTCTGCAGATTGTATATCTTCCCGTTACGGCTTTGACTGTCTTTCATGAAAGGGCTTTATTTAGCTTTTTGTTGCTTCACCTTGGACTGAATGGAAAGGTATGCAAAAACAACGTTTACTTTGCTTTGTGTTTTAACTTTTATGACAGAGATATCCTATAAATTCCACTACTTGTGGTAATCTTTTACCCTTAAAGACTTTTATGGCTCCCTACGAAAGCTACATAGATGCCTACCAAAAAGGCATTCATCCTCTTCGAGCAGTTTTAAAAGAGAACTGGTTAAGATTTGAGACGGTAAGCTTTATTTAAGAAGTAAAAAACAAGTTGGGAATCACTTATTAACATTTCTTTAGGATAATGCTATCCCTTTTATACTTTTTTCTCTGGAACAATTTCCAAAGCATCAGATACATAAATTAAGAAGAAATTTTCGGTCTTTACCAATAAGCTACGTTGCTGACATGCTTTCTCTATCAGAAGAAAAGGCATGGGAAATTGTTAGAAAGTATGATGACAAATCCAAACTTATCCAGAGCGAGGATGGTCAATACTTTGTTGAATTCGACCCGCTTGAACCCATAACCTTTATACAATGTAAGGAGCTCTCCGACAAACTTTCTGAGAGCGCAAAAATCCTTGAGAGTGTAAAGGAAATGAAGTCTATGTATTTCTCGAAATCGCCATATAAAAAGTCTACGACTCAGACCAAAGCCTGAAATACTTTGGTCAATCGAGTAAGACGTTGCAACCGTTTATGATAATGTAATTTAGGAATGAAAACTCTTCCACAAGCAATTGCAGAAAAGTATACGCAATGAAAAGTTCCCAATAGCGACCTACATGATTCATTAAACCATCTTGTTATATTTCCTATTGTCTCAAGCTATTGACGTTTCCAACAAATTGAATTTCTAACATTATTCTTCAAAATAGGCTTATGGTTTTCATTATTATTATGAACTAAATAATGATATATAAATCGATGAATTGACTTTTCTAGATGCGTAAATCGTAAAGTTTAAGGAACATGTTTAAAGGTGTAAATCCATTAAAATAAAGAAGGGTTTCAGCTATTTATTTAACCTCAGTAATCTCATCTTTTTCAAACCCCAACTTTTCCCATAATTCCTTGGGGTTTTCAAGACAATCTGTAATGAGGTTCCATAAATTGAAAAACATTTTTCTTCGTTCCAAGTAACCTTTTTTAACAAAGTCATGATTTGATAATGTATCTTTCATCTCCTCCTCCGTAACATTTTTAATGGAACCAGATTGCAGACACTCCAACTTTGTACTCGTTTCTTCAATATCTTTATCCAAAGTAAGAATTTTTTTATGTATTTCAGCAGGACTAGGAGAATTGTTTAAAATTTGAAATTCTATCGTTCAGTTAATAACTCCAATTAACTTAGTTTTCAAGGCAAGCCAAGTTTAGATTATTACAGCGAAAGAATCCAGAGCTTGCGAATTTAATACCTGTTGACTTCATTTTGTAGTCCGCCTTTACGCCTTCAAGATCCTCTTTTAAAATTTGGATTTGGCGATCCAAATCCATTAGTTGGTCAGAAGATGCCTCTCCAAGGCAATCTTGAAGGGATACGTAAACGCTTTGTTTTCCTTGAATTGAATTAGTTTTATAGTAAATATACTATGTTTACCATATGATTTTCCGTGTATTTGGCCATTGTCGCGCAATTGCTCTAAAATCTTTTGCGCTACCTGTTTAGTAACAGCGTTTTTCAAATTTGCACTAATATCGGCTTCGAAGTTGTTAATAATGGTTAACGAATAAAAGTAAGCGTGCTTACTAGCTGAGAAGGGACGATTTGTTCTGCGTAAATAGTCATGGATCAGTTTTTCAGCTAAACGCGTGTGAGACGGTTTTCTTTTTTGCTTTATGTATTCCTTTGTTACCCTCTTCTCCTTTAACACTTTTGGGTTTCACCTCTTTTGCTTTTGCCATTTTTATATAGGTGAACGTTAAAGATGAGTACCGTGTCAGCGGAAGATATATATATATATAACGATATATGAACGAAAAAAATAAAAACAAAGAAATAAAGAAAAGATATGTTCTAATAAACAAAAAGAAATCAGAACGCTTCATGTTTTAAATAGAAGTCTTTTGTAACTAACTTTGAGCTTGAGCATTGCTATACTCAAAGAAGGAGCCGGTCAAAATAAGGAAATAAGGATTGAAAGAATATATTGTTCAAGAAAGAAATTCACATGTGTCATGTAGAGAATCCATTGCAGATGAATTGCGAGAAGTAAATGACGAGTTTCGTTTCAGTGCTTCTTGTTGGAAGGAATCCGGTACGTACACAGGGATCACTCGAATTATGTTCAGAAGCAAGGTCTAACAAGTCCGATTCGTAGCAAAGGTAAATAGCAGTCGATTCTTATAGCTTAATTCTAGAAAGTGAAAGTATTCTCTTCTCCTATTACCTGTTTTCGGTGGAAGAAACCACTTGAGGAGTAACCCAAGTCAAAGGATTTGGATCTCATAAAACGCCGTAGTTTTTTAATGAAAAAGGTAATACAAATGCAAACAAAAGCCAGTAACTTAAGTTAGCACCTTATATTTCTTTAGGTTAGAATGCTGAAGTCCAAGTACAAGTCGCCGAAGGTTATGGTTTAGCTTTTGGTTTGTTTTGTTTTCTTCGAGTTTGGTTCATTAAAAAATGAAACCTTAAACAGCATTAATTCCTTTTTCGAAACAACTAAAACCTCAAAGAACATTGTTGTAGTGAGCTAGCTAATTTTGGAATTACTTTTCTTCCACCAACACCATCACTTAAAATGGTCCCTCAAAGGATCTGTACGCAAATTGTTGATGAGAATAAATCATTTAATAAGGATATACCTCAATTCATGCGACAGGTAAACTTGGCAGATGCTGGGTTTAATTATCATGTAGTTGCTGTCTTGGGTTCTCAGTCTACGGGCAAAAGTATGGTTTTCTTGTGTTTTTTTGCTTCTTTTTAAAGTTGATACTAACAATGAAAGGTACGCTATTGAACCAATTGTTCGGTACAACGTTCGATGTTATGGATGCTGGTAAAAGACAGCAAACAACAAAAGGTATTGTCAGTTTTATGTGTAGGGAAAGGATGTTGGTAGTTAACATGTAAGGTATCTGGCTGTCAAAGGCTCAAGAATCTCCCATCCTTGTTATGGATGTAGAGGGAACTGATGGCCGTGAACGAGGTGATGATCAGGTATGTATGATTTGATAAAAAGCTGTTAGATTTTTTATAAGTGGCTATTGTATAAGCATTGATGGAATATGTTTTACTAATGATCTTTAAAGGATTTTGAACGAAAGTCAGCTCTATTTTCGATCGCTACTAGTGAAGTAATCATCGTGAACATGTGGGAACATCAAGTAGGGCTTTATCAAGGCTCTAATATGGTTTTACTGAAAACTGTGTTAGAAGTCCATCTTCAACTGTTCCACGCAAAGAAAGAAAGAAGCTTACTTCAATTTGTAATTCGTGATTACATAGGCACTACGTCTATGGAAAATTTGTCTGAAACGATAAAGACAGATTTGATGAACGTCTGGTCTTCGCTAGCGAAACCCCCTGGCTTGGAAAGTTCTAAGATTACCGACTTCTTTGACCTTGGATTTACTGGGCTTCCCCATAAAATACTTTGTTCAGAAGCATTTGATACAGCGGTTGACTCACTTCGCACAAGATTTGCGAACAACGATGCTCCCGATTATGTATTTGATCCTAGCTATCACAAGCGTATTCCTGCAGACGGATTTTCTCTGTATACACGAGAAATATGGGAAACCATTGAAAATAATAAAGATCTTGACTTGCCCACACAACAGCAGCTTCTGGCACAATATCGCTGTGATGAAATCATAGCCGAAGCTATGGAACCTTTTACGAAAGCTTGTAACATTTTACAAAGTGAATTCTTACCAGGAAACATTTGTGAAAACTTGCCAATTCGTATGCAGGAAATGTTTGATCAAGTTATGAAAGATTACGATCGACAAGCTAAGAGGTATAATAACGCCATTTATGAGAAAAAGAAACAAGAATTATTACGGAGCGTGGATACATCTTTGTATGTCTTTTTCCAGGCTCAATTGAATGCTTTGCAAAAAGAGTTAGTCAGTTCATTTATGAAAACGGCCGAAAATTTCCCGTGTAACAGACCATTTAAGGAATTAGCTGCTAAAGAAATCGAAAAATCTAAAACTCGTATGCAAGAAGAGGCTCAATCTCTAATGATTGCTAATATTGATTGGGACTCAAAGCAATTCTTGCTTAAATTATCGGAAGAGTTAGAAAGCTCTTGTAATTCTGTTTGCAAGCAAAAATTGTCTTCTAAAATAACAGAAATGCGTACTACCCTGGAAACTCGGGTTGCGGAATCACTTGAAATTGCACTTCAAAAGCCTAATCTTAAAGTTTGGGATGGTTTGCTCGATGAACTTTTGACAAATCAAAAGCAGGCTACGGATGAGATTACTCGTCTATTTCCTCTCTTTATGGATTCAACAGAACCGGAATTAAACCAAAGCTACATTCATGACTTTAAAAAAGACTCATGGATTGCATTTCGGAAGAAGGTTGCGCTTGAAATGTCTGATGTTCTTCTTCAGCAGCGATTGCGCATGTTTTTTGAAGAAACATTTCGATATGATTCTGATGGCATGCCAAAGCTCTTCAAAAAGTCAGGCACGCTTGATCGCGATTACAGAGATAGTGTTACCAAGACGTTGGAATTGATACAAGTTCTTTCCTGTATCAAGTATTCGGATGGAAGAATTCCTGAACTTGGAATTGACGTGAAAGAGATTGATTCCTCATTTTCAACTCCTACTGAATTTTTGACAATTTTAAATCGAAAGCGAGTCTCAAGTACTTCTGTAAACCTTAAGAGAACAGCGGATTTGATATATTTGGATTGTAAGCGATCTCTCGTGAGTACACAAACAAGGATTCCACCATACTTTTGGGCATTGCTTTTGGTACTTGGATGGAACGAATTAATGGCCGTTCTTCGAAACCCCTTCTTTTTTATGCTTCTAGTGTTAGGAGGGTCCTTATTGTATATTCTTTATGCGACAGGAATGATAGGGCCAGCTAGAGTTATTGCCAATCGAGCAGCTGCCGGTGTGGTGGATTATGTTACTGATAAGGTTACAGATTCCTATGAAGATCGCACAAATATGCAACGAGAAAGTAGCTTTTCAAGAGAAAATTCCTCAGAAAAAACGAGCATAGACGGTGAACTAGAGAAAGCCGCTCTTTCCTAAGTGTTTTGTGTGGACCCTTTTTCTGCTAGGCCTGCGCGATATTGTTTTGTTGAATGAAGTAAGATATATGTAACGTATTTTATTTGACTTTTATGCTCAAACATGATTTTCGTTCATGAGTTAATATACATGTTGTTAAAGTATTACAGATAGAAAAAAAAAATATCCTTTTGTTTGTCCCTGCAGTATGATTGTGATTCTATGGTTTGTATGCTCAATTCTATAAGTATGACTATGCTGTACGTATAGTAAGAAATCCATTTCTATCCATCCAAAGAACATTCATCAAGCAGAATAAAATGATACTATGAAAATAAATCAACCTCAACTACTATTCAATTTTACTATCAAATTCATTCTAATCGACAGACAGCAAAATACAAAACGGTTCAAATTTGGAACACGAGCAAGTAAATAAAATAACTATTGATGAATAGATATCTGTAAATAGACATTCATCCATATAATAAAGAGCTTAATTTTTGTAACTGAATCCATTTTAAATTTAAATATCATCATGTAACCATTCTGCTTTATGTTTTTGTTCCTTGTATGTTTGTATTCACTGATATAAATAAACAGACATCATACTACGGAATACAATATACTAGGACCAGTCAATGTTACCTGTCCATACATACTAGGTAAGAGAAAGTGGATGAGTGATCACCTGTCCAATCACTAACATTAAGACTATATATGAAAGAAAGGACCAATTCTGTGTCAAGAACATATAACAATTACTAAACAGTTTGGCGCTCGTCGCTTTTGGTCGCTTATTGAACTTCTGAAAGAAGTCGAACGTGAATTGAAACCGGAAAGTCAATTGATTTGGGCTAGTTAGAAGGAAAAACAATAAAGAAGTAAACAAATATGAAGCAATGTTCTTTAAATAAGCATGGCAATGGCAATTTGTCAGATAGTTCCAATTCCGAAAGCAATTCTGCGAAAGAATCAAAAAAGGTACAGTTTTCTCCTGAAATTGTACAACCGGAGCCAAGGAACCCGGAACGGAAGCCTCGAAGGCCATCAATTGCGGCGACTAGAGAGATCCATTCCGGTATAAATCAAATACCTAAAAAAGAAGACATAAAGCTCGAAGATTTAAGTCCGAAGCCTCCTCTGTTATATGATGTCAAGAAAAAAGCAAATACTAGTGAGTTATTTCCTTCCATACGAGAAGAAGATGGTGGATCTACTCCATTAGGAGTGAAAACCAGAAAGATTGCCAAACACCAGATCCGCCAAGAGTCAACAATCGATATTCCTGGTCTGACCGTATCCCGGAAAGCTGAAAATGAAATGAATTGTGGATCCTACGGCATTAGAGAAAAGTTGGTGATTGTGCTTGTGGGAATTCCCGCAACAGGAAAGTCGTATATCGGTTCCAAGTATGTCTCTAGAAAATTATTCCTCAGGTGCTAATACATTTGTAACATTTAGGCTTGTTCGCTATTATAATTGGCTTAGGTATAATTGTCGATTCTTCAGTGTTGGTGATAAACGTCGTGAAGAAGGAGCGAGCAAATATTCCATGTCTGCTCCATTCTTCGACTTTGAAAATCAGGAATTAGCAAATTTTCGAGAATATCTAGCCATGGAAACTCTTGAAAACCTATTGCGTTGGTTACTGAACGAAAATGGTGTAATCGGTGTATTAGATGCCACCAACTCTACGTTTCAAAGAAGAAAATTAATATATGACCGAATTAGCCAAGAGGAAAAGTTAGGTATAATGTTTTTGGAAAGCGTGTGTACTGATGAAGCCGTAAGTCATAACTTTATTTTTATAGTTACCTTTACTTTACTGACCCTTCCTGTAGCTTTTTCAACAAAACATGGTTTTAAAAGCTAGAGGCCCTGATTACGAAGGGTTTGATGCAGAAGAAGCATTAGTAGATTTACAAAAGCGTGTTGAATTATATCGGAAATATTATGAGCCTATTGATGAACGCGAAGAAGGCCTTCCCTTTTTGCAATACGTTAAAGTTATCAACGTAGGAATTAAAGTCATTACACATAACATTGAAGGGTTTTTGACTGGTCAAGCCGTCTACTTCATGCTCAATTTGAATATCAGGAAACGTCAAATATGGCTGACTCGGCCTGGAGAATCCAATGATACCATTGCTGGCAGAGTAGGAGGAGATGCTCCATTAACCGACCTTGGCGTGCAATATGCCGAAGATTTGGCAAAATTTGTCGACCGACAACGTGTGTTATGGCAATTACGTGAAACGACCGAAAGATTGAACTCCAAGAAACTGAGCTTTGAGGAAGAAGGCTTTAATGTTTGGTCTTCCGTTCGACAGCGTGCTGTGGAAACATCACAGTTCTTTAATCCTGCGGTATACGATGTCAAGAAAATGCGAATGCTGAATGATTTAAATTTTGGTTCCCACGAAGGCTTAACACTGAAAGAATTTGCTGAAAATTTTCCTGAAGAATACCGGGTCATTCAGCAAAAAGACGTTTCTTACCGATTTTCTGGGCTTGGCGGAGAAAGTTATTTGGATGTTGTTCATCGCTTGCAACCGATCATTGTAGAATTGGAAAGGAGCTCTGCAAATGTTTTGGTCATCGCACATCGAGTGGTGTCGAATATCCTGATGACCTATTTTCTCAATTATAGTCCTGAAGTATGTGTATAATTGCTGCATGTCCACTTTTAGAAAAGCTAACCCTCTTTAGGAAATTATTGATGTAGGACTTCCCTTACATACTCTTTATTGTATTGAATCAGATCGCTATTCTACTGTATGTAAACTCTACAATTATGATGCCGAGGAAAGGAGTTTTGTGAGGGTTTCTGAATGACATATTCTTTCAAGTACCTATATTTAATTTTTTAATTTCCATTATTCATGATCAAAGTTTGTTACGAACTCGAACTCTGAGAGATAAACTTGTTGACGATTGATTATATCAGAAATATACGTTTGTGAAATATAATAAAACTCGATTTCTCTATTCTATTGACAAGTTGAAGAAGAGATAAAAAGTAGCACAAATATTATTGAAAAATTTAGAAATAGGTAAGCATAAACAAATTCGTAATTCATAAAAATGAAAGCATAATACTGAAACCTTGAGGGTTCTTCACATCGACTTTGGTTTCAAGGACCGCCAGCTTAGATATCCGTTGCACTGTACCGCGCCTGTTCGTGGAACCCACCGCGGTAGTCCAAGACTTAATGGTAAAAAAACCCATTCATATTATAATCCAAAGATTGAAAGAAAGATTTGTTAAATAAAATCATTGTTTTTAAATACAGCGGAAACGCGTTTTTATGACTTTTTACATCCGAGCTTGACCTTGGTTCAGCAATTTCCAAAGTAACATCGGTAACAAAGGAATAAAACGAAAATATACAAAAAGAATTTGATATAAAATATAAAAGATTTTATTTAATATATCTATTGTATTTTTTATGTAAGTGTTGGTTACGGACATAGGACCATATGGCTTGTTACATGGATTATAAACTCACCCTTCGCACACGATCGGAAGAAACCTACCGCTTACAAGATGCTGAAGAAACAGGCGCTTAGCGGACTTCGCCAGTTTTCTTTAGCAACAAAATCCCCCTTTGTTACGAACAGATTACAAAACTCTAAAAAATCATGGCTAAATGCCGCAAAATTTGCAAGCCTTAGATGTGCTTCTACGGAAGCCGCTAGGAAGAACAAGGGTACCATTAAACAAGTTATCGGTGCCGTTGTTGACTGTCATTTTGAAAATTCTGAATCTTTACCTAGTATTTTGACCGCTTTGGAGGTGAATATGGCCGACAAGCGTGTTGTATTGGAAGTTGCCCAACACGTCGGTGAAAACACCGTCCGTACTATTGCTATGGATGGTACTGAGGGTTTGGTACGTGGTACCGATGTTATTGATACCGGTGCTCCCATTAGTGTTCCCGTCGGTCCTGGTACTTTAGGTCGTATCATGAACGTCATTGGTGAGCCTGTCGATGAACGTGGCCCCATCGATGCTGTCAAATACTCCCCTATTCATGCTGATGCTCCTTCTTTCGCAGATCAATCTACTACTCCCGAAGTTTTGGAAACCGGTATTAAAGTCGTCGATTTGCTTGCCCCTTATGCCCGTGGTGGTAAAATTGGTCTTTTCGGTGGTGCCGGTGTCGGTAAGACTGTTTTTATTCAAGAGTTGATCAACAACATTGCTAAGGCTCATGGTGGTTACTCTGTTTTCTGCGGTGTTGGTGAACGTACCCGTGAGGGTAATGACTTGTACCACGAAATGCAGGAAACCGGTGTCATCAAATTGGGAGGCGACTCCAAGGCTGCTCTTGTCTTCGGTCAAATGAATGAACCCCCAGGTGCTCGTGCCCGTGTTGCTTTGACTGGTTTGACTGTCGCCGAATATTTCCGTGACGTTGAAGGCCAAGATGTCTTGTTTTTCATTGATAACATTTTCCGTTTCACTCAAGCCGGTTCTGAGGTATCTGCCTTGCTTGGTCGTATCCCCTCTGCTGTCGGTTACCAACCCACATTGTCCACTGATATGGGTGCTATGCAAGAGCGTATTACCACTACCAAGAAAGGTTCCATTACTTCCGTCCAAGCTGTTTATGTCCCAGCTGATGACTTGACCGATCCTGCTCCTGCTACTACCTTCGCTCACTTGGATGCTACTACTGTCTTGTCCCGTGGTATTTCTGAGCTTGGTATCTACCCTGCCGTTGATCCTCTTGACTCCAAGTCTCGTATGATGGATCCCCGTGTTATTGGTGAGGGACACTACAAGCTTGCTGGTGATGTCCAACAAATGCTTCAAGAATACAAGTCTTTGCAGGATATCATTGCTATTCTTGGTATGGACGAATTGTCTGAAGCTGACAAGTTGACTGTTGAACGTGCTCGTAAAATTCAGCGTTTCATGTCTCAACCCTTCGCTGTCGCTGAAGTCTTTACTGGTATCGAGGGACGCTTGGTTTCTTTGAAGGATACGATTCGTTCCTTCACTGAAATTGTTGAGGGTAAGCACGACTCCTTGCCCGAATCTGCTTTCTATATGGTTGGCTCCATTGACGATGCCATTAAGAAGGCTGAGAAGATTGCCCAAGAGCTTAAGGAGTAAACAAACGTGGAATAAATTTTAAAAGTGTTCCACTTGTATGTTTATTATGCTTATGTCTACGCTCATTTAACAACTAGGCATATCGTGATATGTCCTTCTTGATCAAATTAATTAACTAACGTCTGATGACATTCTATCTTTTTAACAGATATCTGACTTTGATTTTACTTTTTACTATCCTTCCTCTTCTCATCAGCAGCAGACAGTTATAATGCTTTTTTCTCTGATATATGTAGTATTCAAAAATGATACTTGTTTTCAGAGGATTCTGGTTTAGTAGCGTGCTAGTAATATTAAACGTAGTGAGTGATTCAAGTATCGCTTTGAATGAACGTAGATAGTAACTTTCTGCTATTGTTCGTAATGTAAGAACAGATAAAGAACAGTATGAAAAACGAAAGTTTTGGTTGATTTATCTTGTAAGAAAACGTCAACGTGGCTTGCCTGGATGGGAAGTGAGTTACCACGTAATTAAGCCTATTGACTTACCTTTTCCACGTAAGCTCTTGTGACACTGTTTGAAAAAGAAACGCAAAATGGACAATACATTACGAGAATTTTTAGGAAATTCCAAAGAAGGAGAACGAGTTTTTGTTGAAGGGCTGGAAAACGACAAAAAAAAGGTCTGTCGGTTGAATGAGACAAACCAGTTGAGTTGCGTTGAACTTGGGGGTTTAGAGACCCAGTTATTTTCAACATTACAATCTTTAGGGTACTTGCTATAGAATAGCCGTTTCACACTTGAGCACTAACATAATATTCAGGTATATATGCACATTATCGGCGGACCCAAATCGGCCGCCTAGCTTTGAATGTAAAAAATTTATGGATTAAACCGTCTGTTTGCAACTGTTAAGAAGAAATGATTCTTACAGTATGTTTCGTCTCGTATCTCCCATCTCTCAGTTGGAATTAGCAAAGTTTACGACTTATAACTTTTCAATCCTTACGATTTATTCGATAGCATTCGATAAATAATATGTATGAGTGTCTTACGCCTTTGTTTTTTTTTCTTCTTTGAAACGTGTTTAAACCGACTGCCATTGAAGGGTTACAGGGTTATTTTTGTTGGAATAAAGTAATGTTTAGGAAAACCAGAAATAGCAGGATCAATACTTTTACAAACGAAAAATAAACCAGGAAGGCCGAGTTGATTAATCAAATTCATTAAAACAAACGCAAAAGTAGAATTATCCAAAATACAGGAAGATATATTAGGACAGAATATTAAACAAGCGAGAAGAACATAATGCCCATGCTAATGCCGAAGAAGTATGGGAAAGGTATGAAGAAAAATAAAACTATGGACAAAGAGTAAGTAGCACAGGAGAAAGCGATTCTTAAGCCCATTCAACGGGATTGTGGGTTGCCTCCAAAAGAGCTTTATGGCGCTCTTCCTTGGGCTCATAATTGTAGCGCCAAGAAGCGTGTAGAGGAAGTGTCATAAGGATGGATTCGACGCGGGGATTAGGAGCTTGAAGACCAAACCAAGTACCACGATCATACATAACGTTGAATTCCGTGTAATATCCACGGCGGATGAGCTGGAACTCTTTATCGGCTTCGGTAAATTCCATGTCCTTTCTTTTTTCCATGATAGGTATATAGGAAGGAAGAAAAGTGTAAGCACAATCTTTGACAAAAGCGAACAGATCTTTAGGGTCCTTTTCGGACAAGTCATCAAAGAAGATACCACCGATGCCGCGGGTTTCCTTTCTATGCTTAATGAGGAAATAATCGTCTGCCCACTTTTTGAAACGAGGATAGAAGGTTGGATCATGGCGGTCACAGGCATCTTTGTGCAACTTATGGAAATGCCTAGCATCGTCCTCAAATAGAACACTGGGAGTCAAGTCTGCACCTCCGCCGAACCACCAAATCTTTCTCCCATCGCTGTTAACTAGTTCAAAATAGCGGTAATTAAGATGAGTCGTAGGGGCCATAGGGTTGCTTGGGTGGATCACCATGCTAATACCCGCAGCAAAGAAGGGCAATTCTTTCGCACTGCGATCAATACCTTCATGGTTGGCTCTCATTCTTTGGACAGCATCTTGACTTAAAACCCCTTGGACAATACTGGTGTTAACACCACCCTTTTCAAAGACATTTCCTTCCTGGATCACACAAGAAATACCGTAACCGCCTTCGCCTTTGGTCCATCTGTCTTGGTAGAATTTTTGGCCATCAATGGCTTCGAGTCCAGCAACAATTTTTTGTTGGACATCGAGAATCAACTCTTCCATAAGTTTACCCGTAGGTTCGACCTGAATACGGCATGACATGTTGTTGACAGGAAAATGCAGTGAATCTATAGAAGAGCAGTATTTTAATTTCTCTTGTTTCTTCGTAGGTTTATAGACGGGATATTGATGCAAGTATTAGAAAAACAAGTCCTTAACTTTGTGACAGTCAAGTTGTTTCTGAATAATGTAAACGTGAACAGTCTTGTTCTATGCACTGGATTGGGACGCTTTATATACGAAAAAGAAGATCTGAAAAATCACCTTTTTTATATAAAATCGGACGACTTTTTCCCTTCGTAGCACCTTAGGATGGAGTACACCCAGCTTCCCTAAAGCTATTTTTCCTTGTCTTTGGTGGTCAGGTCTCCTTAGAGTTCCTACGCGTTCGTTAATAAACAAACACAAGGTATTCCAAAAGGAAAAAAACAAAAGTCTGAATGGTTTTAATCACAAACGTTGTATCTATGGATTTGCAGAGCGTAGTCTAAAGGATTCTTTTGAAGGTTTCTTGAAAGAGACCAGGTCTTTTAAACATAGAGGAATCTTGTTTTCCTTCTCTTGCAGATGATTTAAGAAACATGCAAGGCAAGGCTTCTCTCGTTAAAAACCCCGATTTCTACATAAGGAGAATCAGGAAGAGGCGATCATAACTTGTCGCTCGTACTTTAAGCTTTGACAAGACATTAATGGGTCCAGTGTAGTTTTATGAAATCGTCCAACGATGATGGCCTTGGTCGTTTCGGTTTCAAAGTTACATAGCTTACGGAATTATCTAATTATCTTTTTCATATAAATTCCTAATTCTCCTTCCTAACCCAACGTCTTTTAGATGGGTTCCTAGAAAATGAAAATCGTCCAAGTAGCATCTCAAAAAGTTATGGTTTCAAATTTCGAGAAAGAAGTTGAATCATTAATTTAGTTTCAAAGGATGTATTCCTTCCATGTTGACAACATCAGTCTAGTGCTTTGGTTACCTTGTTTGAATCCCTGCTTTGGATTCCTACGACATACCCTTTTCCACACCTTCTTAACACTTGAAGTAAGAGAAGCAGAAAAAAGAAAAAAAAAAGAAGAGACTACTTTCTGTTTATTGTTAAAAATTACAATTTCTTTCTAGTTATAAGGAAGACTTTTGGTAAGGATTTGCTTGTTGTTTTTCACCTAGTGCTTTCCTCTCATCTTTCCAATTTGACGACTGCTTTCTCGTCGCTTTCTTTTATTCGTTAGTTTATTGAATTCTCTACTTTTTCTATTCTGCAAATCTTTTCGTTTTGTCCTTAAATCCTATAGATCTTCCTAGAGTTTGTTTACGAACAGTTGGCATTCTATGTTTCATTAACCTTTCTCTGGCGATTAAATTCAAGCCACCTTTTAGAAACTAGTCTTCTCTCTATCCTACTCAAAGACAAATTTGAATGACTGAAATTGAGAGCTGGGACGATGATCCGGATTTTGCATCAGACGCTGACAACGTTAGCCTGTTTGCTCAGTCCATAGCTACCACCACCACAAGCGCTGACACTACTCCTGATGATGACTTTTCCTTCGAAAACTCTCTCGGTAGGCTCAACTCTCTTTCCCTCAACCCTTCTTCCAATTCTCCTTTACTTGACAAGTCGATGAATTCCAATGTTTGTCAGCTTCACGGTGACTCGAACCATAAAGGACGTGTCGACGAATATGAAGACGACTTTGATTTTTCCGAAGGGGAAACTAACTCAGAGTTTCAGACTGTTCGACCAAGTCATTTGTCTTCTGCAGACCAAAATCAAACCATCCGTGCTTCACATCCAACTACCATTCGACCTAGTATACATACCCTTGCACCCGAAAGTGACTATGAACCGCACGCAGATACTGCTGCCAGATCTTTTAATAGTTCTAATTCCGCTTTGTATGATGATTTTGATGATTTCTCGTCTTTTGAGAACGATTTAGAAATCGATCCCGATACCGATCTTGCTGAGATACTACAAAGGAAGAATAGAAATATCGATCCAAAATCCTCCTTTTCCAGTGTCGAACAATCATCTCTTCGAACCCCCTCTTCTGCTAGAGAAGAAGATGATTTTTGGGACGATTTTGAGCTTGATCCGACAGAAGAACCAGAAACTATTTTTCGTAAGAAAGCTCCCGAACTTAACACTGTTAATCCAAAGCATCCGTATATATCCTCCACCATTGCTTTCCATCCAAAGGTTCCCCAGGAGACCAGAGCTTATCCTTTATGCAAGGAGATTTTTCCTTCTCTTTCAAATGAACAAGCGCCATCTTCTAATCCCCCAAGTCCCTCAAAACAACACCCAAATTCCCCATCGAAGTATACTCAGAACGGCTTCCCTTATTCTCATGACACAATTCGAGCTTCTCACATCTCATCTTCTTCAAAGAAAGAAAATCCATCAAATTTTGCTACATGGACACCTTCCAGTTTGAAACAGGAAGCTCAGAATGCCCATAACTTTTACTTAGACATAGATGATTTAAAGTCGGCAGCAAAAACGAGTAAATACAGAACTCGTCCTAGACATGTGCGCAAGTATGGTGACGGGACAGAATTAGACGCATTGGAGGACTTACCTGTGAATTATGACTACGAAAATGGATACCAAGGTAAACTTACTTCTTCTGTGCCGAAACACTCACATAATTCTTCTATTCGCCCAAGCTCTACTCGTAGCAAGAGAAACGATAACTTGTTATCTAATATCACTAACATTCAGAAAAATGATTCCTATAACTATAAGGGCAATCGGAAAAATGCGGTTACTCCCTCAAAAGAAACGACTTTGGAAGCTCTATCTAATGACCAACTAAACGCTAAAACTATAAAATCTTTCCACAAAAAGAGAGAGCCTACTTTAATTAAAAACTTGAGCTCTCCGAAGACTCCTAAGTTGGTTGGTAAAATGCGATATAACCCTGCAAAACAATGTTGGGAAGGTAATGATCACGCTATAAAAGATTTTGATGCTCCTATATCTCCTTCAAAGCCGGCACTTATTTCAAACATTTCAGCTAGGAAAGGCATTCAAGTGGTGGGCGGCATGGTTTTTGATCCCACTAGATTTCGATGGATTAATAACGCTGAAGCTATAGATGAAGAACCAGACCCTTTTGCTGGGCTTGATGACTTAGACAATGAAGATTCTGTTTCGCAATCAGCGGACAACAGTAATGACAGTATTAACAAGTCTATGAACTCTCTTTTTTCTGACGCCGGTGAAATTTATGATGTCGGCCCAGAATTTGAGAAGAAACAATACACAGAAGAGAAGCTTTGGCGCAAATGGGTAGATGGCTGGTATTTGTCCACGAAAAGGAACAACTTGAAGCGGCTTTGGGAACTGTACAATATATTAAATGCTGAGCAGTAAACTTAATTTTTGGAAATATGCATTAGTTGACAGCATTTTTGTACCCAAGTTATTTTTTTCAATATTGTATATATAATATTAATTCGGTTAAATATATAATTACTCTGGTATCTGCTACTAAATTGAACGTAATTATTAAGCTCTAAGGTTGTAATACAAGACAATAAGTACTTATTTCTTATTAACAACGCTTGAACAATTGAACCGTAAAACCGATTATTAACCCATTTATTTTTCCATTAATTAATTAACCGCGAACCTTTACATTATTGTGGTTGCCAGGGAGGCTGTGTTGCATAACCTGATGCAGAAGAATAATTAGGATCATAGTAAGAAGAATAACCCGGGTTATATACATTACTAGGCATAGCACCGCCATTGTTCCAACCAGCAGAAGGATCAAAATGTCTTTCTCCTTGATGAGGTAAACCTCCACGGAAAGGCTTACGTCCCCGTAATCTGTCATCACGTCGTACAGAAAGGTCTTTACCACGTTTACTTATAGCTTTGGAACTAATACCTAACCCGATTTCAATGTCTGGTTCGTCAACAGCAACACCAGGAGTGATAGGAAGACCCCCAGTACCACCGTATTCAGCTGATACAAGCCACGTACGATCGGCATCAGTCAATAAGCGTATAGGAATTATACTCACTCCAGAGCTAAAATCAGAACATTCTCTGGGACCAAAACCAACACCCCATTTTGTCTATAATATAGTTAGCAAACGATCAGAGGAATAAACCCTAAGTTTATACATACGCGAATTGTAGTATCAGCAAAAGGCACATTCTCCATAGCAACTTGTGCTTTTTCGGCAGCTTCACGACGGAACATTTTAAGGAAACCATGTCTATAATTGTGATTCAAAATTAGACTTTGAACTGCACCGAAACGTTCAAACATAGACCGCAACACTGGCTCACGAACTGCTCGAGTAATGCCTCCAAGGAAAAGAGTACGACTAAAAACTGTACAATGGTTAGACTTTGGGAACGCAAAGAAAAATTTAACACACCTTTTATGGAATCAGGAGGAATGGTAATATCACGCTCTAACTTACGGGGCATGCCATCAGGGGTTGGCTTTGGCATACCATTAGCAGGCATAGCAGAAGGAATAGACATTTGTGAAGGACTAGGCGTACGACCAGCTCGTTTACTGCGAGGACTGGGACTACGAGACCTATGTAGAGGTTCCATAATTCCTGCTGAAGGGGCAGTAGCAGACAATGCAGCCGGAGGGCCTCCTTGAAAAGGAGCGTTATAAGAAGGAAAAGCAGCTTTAATAATAGTCTCAATTTGAGGAGCTGGGACGTTTTGAGAAGCCAAAACATTAATAAGATTTATTTTTTGAGATTCCGTATCAGAGGCAGGAGCTGCTGGGTTTGGTACCGTAGGCCCGCCTAACATTGAGGGAGGAATACCAGCCATAGGCTGGTACATAGGGGTAGGCATTGATGGAACCGGCTGAGGAGGTAGTGGGTTTAAAGGGGAAGTCGTAGCGGACGGAACAGGGCTAATGCTCGCTGCTGCTGCTGGGGCAGGATGGGATGCGGAGTCTTGGGCAGTTGGCGTGCCTGAAGCAGTAGAGGTTGATGAAGGTGCAGGGGCCTTCTGGGCAAAAGCAGCAAGTGCTTCTAGAATAGAAGCTGGGTCATTTGTTGAAGCACCTGCGGGTTGCGAAGGAGCAGAAGGTTCTGTAGTGGAGGTGGTTGCAGCTGCAGGATTTTCTACGTTCGCTTGCGCAGATGAAGCTGTAGTATCAGGTGTTGAAGTATTAGCCTGGTCAGAAGAGCCAATAGCCTGCCTGATTTTAGACCGAAGAGATTCTAATTTGTCTTGATGGAAAGTGGAAGCTTTTTCCCATATGTCACAAAGTTTTAAAATTTTAGGCTACAGGAAACGTTAGTAACATCCTTACAGCAGTAGAAAAAACAATAATAGCTAAAGATAATTGGTAAACGGGTTAATACAGCAATACTGACAAGTACTTTCTCTTCTAAACATATACAATTGAAGAGAAGCATACAAAATAGAACACAACACATTCTAAACCAAAAGGGGCCAGAGATTACCAACATAGCAGAACCTTATACCAATACCAACGCTACACATACCAAATGAGCAGAAGGGGCATGATGCATTGCATCAGCAACTAAGCTTTCAGTGACTTCAGCAGCTTTGCACCAACCACCACTAAAAGAAGCATCCACTGGAGATTCAAATGATTCATTATTCTTTTTAGCGCCATCCTGAAAGCTACGTACGATGGAATCTAGGATATACAAGGCGCCTAACTTATGGGTACTGGGAGCGCGTTTCGCATACTTATACACACTAGTAATGAACTGAGCATTTTCTCCAACATTTTCCATTGCCAAATTCGTTAATTTTAAAATTTTCGAACCAGATATGCCTGTTTTAGAGTGTTCTAGGGATTCTAAAATCCCTTCAAACTCTGAATTTCCTGACATTCTTCTTCTACTTTGTAAAAAAGCTCCAGATGGAAATTTTTCTAAAAAGACAAAAGAATGCTTTACTTGGATAAATTTATATATAGAAATACAAAGATATGAGCAACTTTGAAGCTTCTTAATTCCAGTTGTGGTGTTATGCTAAGGACAAAGTACTCCCTACCAATACTGCAGAAATATAGGTCATACTGGTAGCTATCAAAGAGGCAAACTCGCCCTGAGGAAGGGTAATGCAGCTTAGAGACTCACAAGATAAAATTTTTCAAAGGTTTAAATATTAAATCTCAGATAATAAAATTGAATAAAACATTTTTATAAATTTACTTTTATGCTTGCTATACTTTTGCAAACAAGCATTCATAGAGAGCGGCAACTAACCAACCAATGATTGACCTTCTAGTATTTTCCAGGGTAAGGGTTCTACGCAGCAAAAAGGTATATATACTGGCCCTAATACTTCATGTTCAGTATTCTCTCTTTGCCTTTTGGCTTAGATCAAGTGTAGTATCTGTTCTTTTCAGTTTAATCGCTGAAATCGCCTCACTGAGGTGTTTCCGATTAATCTTGTTTTTGGTCCATGCTGGAAAGCCTCTGGCTTGCTATGTTTTCCGGCACCGGTGTCCTTGCTATTGCACTACCGGCAAGAGACGCCGAATCATCTTTTGTTGACAAATTTGTGATTCATGGATTTGACAACAAATGTTGGTTCGTTCAAATGTGACATACATAGTATTTTTGATTGAAAGAATGGTGAGATGTTTGAGGATCTGGAGCTTGTCTTGAAGGATAAGAGCAAGGTTGAGTCAGTGCATGATATGTATTGCAGATATTTTCAGGGAATGTCTAGGTAGTTCTTTGGGAAAGCAGTTTGTAGAAAGAGTTAGTTGGTGGATGATTGCGGCTTTTCTTCTTTCCTTCTTTTATTACGCCGTATAGCGTACAGTCGAAACTGAATTCATTTGCTGATCAGCTTTTGAAATGATAAACTGAGGGTTGAAGCATTTCACTATCATTTAATGGTTATCACTTTGGATGTTAGAAGGAACATATCCAGGAGCTAGTAATTCTTCAATCAAGAAATAAGAAAGCCAAGTCATGAGAATACTTTGTTACTGTAAAGAAGCATAGAAAATACGATTTGTTTCAATCGCCATACACTATTCTTGCATATCGATAGAAGTTGCTTGCACAGCCATCTGTCAATACAACTTGAAACTAAAATGGTTACACCTTTTGAGGAATCTTTCGTAGTTATTAGTTTACGTAATTAAAGCTTGAGACATGACTTTCTTTGAGAATGTAGTGTTTCAAGCGAAAGAAATTGCTAGTAATGATGGCTACAATGAGCAAACCTGATCAAATGTAATAGGCATGGTCCAGCTAAAAATTAACTTCTTATCTGCTACCGGTGGTACATGTATAATTATTTTCTATTTTTCTCTTTTGTTTACACCTTGACGAGAAGCATTGTCGCAAACATCGTTAACCTTATCCAATCAATCATTATGTAAAGGAAAAAAATGCTACGCGCTAATATCTAATCAGATAATTTTATGCACTGGGGGCAAACTCACCTTGGCCACCAACGCTATGGATCCTTAAAGTATATAAAATAGAAAATTTCCTGGCGAAATTTTACGAATAAAAGAACACTGGTTCGTGGACGTGTTTAATAGAAACGACCTTTTTTGAAGGCCATCCTTTTGGTTAGTATATTGAAGAAACTTTTTCGCTTGGGTTTCAGAAGGATTGATTTTTGCCCTAAGTTATTTTTTTAGAAAGTTTTCTTTTTTGTTGGATTTATTCTCTTTCTTTTTCCTCCTTTTTTTGGATTCTTTCATTTGTGTATCGATATGTCATCGGCTTCTATGTTTACTAGCTCTTCTCGCGTTCATGACCCTTCGAACGCAAAGGTTCGTATAGGTGTGTTGGCCCTGCAGGGAGCTTTCATTGAACATATTAATATCCTGAACTCCTTTGACGATGTCTTCTCATTTCCCGTAAAGACTGCTGCCGATTGTGAAAACATCGATGGCCTAGTCCTGCCAGGCGGTGAGTCTACTACCATGGGCAAACTCATTACCATTGACCCTGATCTCCGGGAAAAATTAGAAAGCTTGGTAGTCAAGGGGGTTCCTATGTGGGGCACTTGTGCTGGTATGATTCTTCTTTCCAAGAATTCTCTAGGTGGAAAGTTTCCCGACCCATACTTGTTGCGAGCAATGGATATTGATGTAACTAGAAATTACTTTGGTCCTCAAACCATGTCGTTTACTACCGCTATTCGACCCACCGATCTTATGAGATTTCATAATACGAAACGTCTGGAAGCCTTTGATGCAACCTTTATCCGAGCTCCGATTGCTTCGTCTATCAATTCTGAGGATGTTCATGTTTTGGGAACCATTGTTCATGAGGAGAAAGAGGTGGTTGTAGCTGTTGAACAGGGTCCATTTTTGGGAACTTCGTTTCATCCCGAATTGACTATGGACGATAGTTGGCACAAGTGGTGGGTCAACGAACGTGTAATTCCTATGAAAAACACTGAAGCTTAATTTATTCTACTTCAAGGATAATGCATATCCCTATCTAGAAGAGGACGACTAAATATAGAAAACGGTTCACTCCAGTTCAGTTGGCAATCTTAAGATGATACCCTATGAATATTTATTAAACCAGTATGTACTCTTAGAATGTTATATATTTATATATCATATTTACGTGACTAGAAGAAATATAATACCAAAGGTGGATAAGATATTTATGAAAGACAAAAAAAAATTAGTAAATCTAAAAAACTTCCGTTGCGGGGAGTCGAACCCCGGCCGCGTCGGTGAAAGCGACGAATCCTAGCCGTTGGACCACAACGGATTTGCTTTCTACTTCTCTACTCCAGAGATATGTATACAAGTTTTGATGTGTCGCTAGTGTATATATATGACTTTTGTTATTACTGACTTCTCTATTATTGAAAGAAATTATATATTATATGTAAAAATCCGTAGTTTTTTAAATTTGTTCTGAAGAATAGCTTTTTTAAGATTTCTATTTTCACGGAATCGACGTTTCTCTGAAGGATCAGTTTGAAAAGCAAGGTAGAGTACATTACGAGAACCAAAAAAGAAATAAAGTAGAACGATCTATTTATTTATCTTGAAATATAGTATAGAGATGCTTGTACATATTTCCTTTCATCTCCTTCATTATATATTTTACTATTGGGTTCTATTTGTTTGTTTATCAATGCAGGTTACACCATGCTTCGCCAAGGTAGCAAAAAAGACTGCCACACAAAAGTATGTTTACATTGCCTGAAACCTTCCAGAAACAATAATTGAAGGGAATTCTTTATAAATAGGTTAGTGAGGTTATATCGAAGAAAAGGGTTGATGTCTGTATTTATTATCTTTTAAAAGATCCTTTCTTGTGAGAGTTTGCTGGAAAGTGTCAAATGCTATATCACAATTCCGGTAGTTTATCTTCGTCCTCTAACACAGATACTCTTGCTATTGATCAGGCTTTATCCTTACGAGAAGATGGGAAATTAAAAGAATTGTCTACCAACAGGCATGGTATGTGTTCTTTTCCAAAACATTAAAAACTTTTGCACCCATGCGCTCGGTGGTAATCTTATGTCAAATACTAACAACTTGTTTTTTAGGAAGACTTTTATTTACGGCTTTACTAGAAAACTTTTGTCGTATGTTCCAAATCTGACGCGTATAAGCATATGATATACTAACCCTTTTCGAAGAATTATATGATTCAGATCCGTCTCGCTCCAGAAGGCTCTTTACGTTAATTTGCCAAACTTTAAAACGTATTGGAATTGTTGATGAAGAGTATATTGAGGAACTTGCTGGAATTCGATCGACTTATCAAAGTGCTCTGCATCACTTAATCACTCAAGCTAGGGGGGTCTTGTTCGAGGAAGATCAAGGTAAGCAAGCACCATTGCCTATAGAAAGATACATTCCAGAGAGATCTTATGAGGAATTGCAAGGAGCTCTTCAAAGAATCTCGGCTTCTTCCAATCCCTCTAGTTCCCAACAACATTCGCAACCAAATAGCTTTACGTCTGATCCGTGGCTGCATACGAAGCATTCTCGATATGCGAATGATTTTGAAGAGCTACAAATCCTTGGCAAAGGTGGCTTTGGCGCCGTATATCGGGTGCGCAACCGTGTCGATGGCGCTGAATATGCCATGAAAAAAATATTTCCTACTTTTCAACAGATGCCTTACACTAAAATCTTTCGCGAAATAAAAAGTCTTGCAAAGCTGGATCATCCCAATATAGTGTAAGTACCTTCTTTTGTGGTACACTAATTATACTAACGCTTTTCAAGTCGGTACTATGCTAGTTGGTTAGAAAATACTTCTGAAATAGTGCCAAACGTACATAAGCCTACCTTGTCTTCAAGTAGAATGATACAGGGCCTGGAGTCTCTAGACATTAGCCGCGAAGATTCCATCACAATAGCCAACAAAGAAGACTCTCTTTATTATGATGACTATTCAAATAACGACAGTATCATTTTCGCAGCTGAAGTATCGGGGCAGTCGGACAATATATATATTCAGAAAGCATCGCCCGAAGCTGGCGAAACCAGTGACTCTTACCATGATCGAGATTCGGCGAGTAAGTATGGTTCTTCCTATGATGACATTATTGAACCTCCAGGTGATTCAAGCGTTCGTTACACTTCTACTATAGCTCCGTTAAATTGCTTTATTTTATACATTCAAATGCAACTCTGTACGGACGATTTGGAATCATATTTGTTTCGACGAAATTCTAGGGTTTCGTTTCCCTTGTCCACGATAGATGCTCAGATTCACATAGATTTATTTCGAGCTATTTTGCACGGTGTCATTTATATTCATGAAATCGCTCATCTAATTCATCGTGATATAAAGCCGAGTAATGTCTTTTTGGCAAAATCTCTTACAGTAGATCGTGGCTCTGTACCTTTGTACAGCTATCGGGACAAGGAAAACAATGACTTGGATAACTATACACCAAAGTTGGGGGATTTTGGTTTGGTGATTGACAACGAAGGGAAAACGCTCGAGTCTGTATCTTTTTCGAAAGATCTTCAACATATATCTCCAATGGATGCTACTCAGCACGTTGGTACTATGACTTATGCTGCTCCTGAGCTACTTGATGCATTAGCGTCTCATGGTAACGTTCCTGTATCCGAGGCCATAGATGTTTTTGCTTTGGGTATGGTTCTCTTTGAACTTCTTCATCCTTTTGATACGGCTATGGAGCGGGCTTCAAAATTAAGAGATTTACGACAAGGTGTCCTACCAGATAAATTCATTGAAAATTACGTTTGTGAATCTAGTCTGATTTTGTGGATGACGGCAAGGGATCCATCCAAACGCCCGATGTTGTCTGAGGTTTTAAAATGTAACCTTCTACCCTCACACGTCGCTGAGGTAAGTTTTGAAAAGCCTGAAGCTATGTTCCCATCTCAGTCCATTGGAACTGACAATCGTTATTTGGTGAAGATTATTGAGGAAAACAGACAATTACGAGAAGAAAACATTCTTTTACGAAATGAACTAGAACGACTGAAAAAAAAGTAATGAAAGGATTGGTTTGTTGGGATTTACGCGGATTGATAAAAATTACAATTGATATGAAGCATATATAGTTGATGAAAGCTACGACAAATAAACGGTTTTTGGCATAAATACAAGTAATTATTAGTAATCAAAATAAAGTATGAAACAAAAACCCTTTTCCTAAAACCAAAGAGTAGGCATAAAACCTGAACCCGAAACCCAAAATTCCATTTTTTTGGAAACCCTTTACCAGGCATGCTCTTGTTGAACGGCCGGAGCAGTCTCATGTTCGCGTTCATATTCAACGTGTATGTGAGGACCATGTCTCTTGCGAGACTTTTTATCTTCAACAGACTTACGTTTCTTAGATGTCGCATCTTCTTCGTCTGAAGTTTCTTCATCCTCATCGCTTTCATCAGAAGTTGCAGATTCTTCAGAACCTTGATCAGCCAACCAATCTTCTAAATCAGAAATCTCTTCCTCCTCCTCATCCTCGTCTTCATCAACATATTCGACTTCGGCATTTTCGATATCTTCTTGTTCCTTCGCTTCGTCAACCAGACCCTCACGAGCAGACAAAACCTTTTGCCAAATTTCCTCGTTCACGTTGAGAGGCTGATCACCGTAAACACCACTCTTAAGCCGCTCAACCAATTCTCGCTCGATGTTCCTTTCTAATTTGGCGGCAATCAGAGCTTTACGTTCTCTAGTTGTTTCGCGGTGCTTTTGCTTGGGCTTTATGGGAATTAAAGTAGGTTGATGTTTAAGAGCAAGCCTCCTGGCTTTCATTAAGTATTGAGTAAGACGAGTAAGTCTTTGCTTGCAACGATGAATCTGACGCCCAGGCCAGTACAATAAATTTTGATTAATTTGTTCCAAAGCTTTCGTATAGTTCTTGGACAGCTTGATCCGTTGCCATAACTTTGCAGGCGAGTGTGCTCTTTCAATTGTTTTCATATACAGATACAGCTTTCCATTATCCTCTCGAACTGTAGCATAACGAGAATTTGCCAATGGACACGACTGTCGATTACAAAGTCCAGTAACGTTGTACTCATTTCTGCAAAAATTTAATGCTTCACCTCTAACTCAAATGTTAGCACTTGTATCCTTCTAACTCCGTATCACTTACTTTATCCTATAAGAACAGAATTCATGACCAATAACTTGCCAAATGACTTCGTCTTGCTGCATTTTGGCAGATGGTGTTTGGCAAACTCTTCTTTCCTGCAAATTCTGTGTGTGTACGAAATAGGGTATTGTAACGAAAGTTAATGAGTTTTCTAACAGAACGCTACAATACACCTTCAAAAAAACACATATTTTTGTTGAAGAAATTGGGATTTTTTTTCTCTCAAGGATCTTTTTATTTTTGTATTTTTTTTATTGTATATTTCACACGTAGTAAGTGAGAACATATGAAGTAGCATGAAAAGAATATTGATTTGTTATAACCTATAAACTCTACTGAGCTTATTTGATACTGTATTTTCATTAAAAATTTAGTTTGCTTCTATTTTTTTCTGTACTTTTATCAAAGTTCTACACGCAAGCTCATAAGGGAATACGAGTCGGGTCTTGAAGACTTCTTTGTATGAAAGATTGAAAAAGAGGTATAGTAATGCAACGATTTCAAGGTATCTCTCAATTTGTACCGACGATTTATGCTTTATCGACTCCTGTAGGTCGTGCAGCCCTTTCGGTTGTCCGTGTTTCAGGACCTTCTGCCAGTAAGGTGAGCAGTTCACTTTCAATAAACATAGACTAACTTGCGAATATTTTAGGTAATTCAAAAATTGACTGGAAAGGTACCACCTCCGCGCTTGGCATCTTTGCAAACCATAAAACACCCTATACGGTCTCAAATTGTTGATAAAGCATTGATTCTATATTTTCAGAAACCGGCGTCGTTTACCGGGGAAGACATAGCAGAGTTCCATTTACACGGCGGTAGGGCAATTATTGCTGAAGCATTGGATGCAATTGAGCAAACCAAGTTGCCGAATTTGCGATATGCATTGCCTGGAGAATTTTCAGAGAGAGCGTTCTATAATGGAAAAACTGACTTGACGCAGTTAGAAGGACTTGCTGATGCCATTGACGCTGAAACAGCAGAGCAACTCTATGCTGTCTCACAACAAGCTCATGGCGACCTGTATCGTATATGTTTCCAATGGAAGAATAAGTTAGTCGAAAGCAGAGCACTTTTGGAGGCTACCATTGATTTTTCAGAAGAGCATGAATTGGATCAAAAAGAGTTCGATCCTATATTAAAGGAAATTCAAAGCTTAACTATTGAAATGGAACGTCATCTGTCCAAGGCAAGACCGACAGAAATCCTTCGACAAGGCATTCGAGTAGCTGTAGTGGGACCACCAAATGCTGGTAAATCAAGCTTGGTGAATTATTTGGCAAAGCGAAAAGTATCCATTGTTAATGAGCAGCCAGGAACCACTCGAGATGCTATTGAGACATTGTTGGATATTCATGGCTTTCCGGTGTTCTTAAGCGACACGGCTGGATTCCGACAAGGACCAGACGTTCAAGAAATCGAAAGCATTGGGATTGAGGTTGCGAAAGAAAAGGCAGAACAGGCCCAGGTAATTTTACTTATATTACCTTCTGAAACCTGGACCGGAGAATCATGTGTTTTAGAAAGCGAAATTTTTGACCTTATCGAAAATTTTAAAGCTCAGAAGCAACATGTTCATGTGCTGTTAAATAAAACCGACCTCGTTCAGGAAGCGTCTGAAGCAGCGGGCCCGGTGCGCAAATTCCTGCATCAGGCGCTTAACATCCCATCATCACATATCCACGAGGTGTCTATTAAAAGTGAAAAGGGTCTTGAACAAACACTCGATGCGCTGGCATCATCATTCCGAATTATTTCACGTGTGCAGACTGAGAACAACGGTGACACTGGATATGGCTGGAATCAACGTCAAAGAGAAGCATTAAAAGAATGCATAAAACATTTAAAGATATCCCTTAATCATGCTTCCGACGTGGTCATAATAGCAGAAGAAATGAAACTTGCGACTGATGAAATTGGTCGTATTACTGGAGCAGTGAACGTTGAAAGTTTGTTTGACATTATTTTTTCTAGGTTTTGTGTAGGAAAATGAATTATTTCTTTTCTGATTAAATGAAAAAGTCTTTCTCTTATGCTTACATTTAAAGTACTAAGTGTTGTCCTTACAATTACTACATTGCACGAAAATTGTATTTCCATTTCATGAAAACATAAAATTAGTATTTTATTTTCTAAAAGATTTATTTTCATTAAGAAAATTCATAAAGCTATAAACCTAGGGACGCCTTGCTAACAACATCACGAACCACAAACTCCATAGCGCCAAAAAAAGCCATGGAAAAACCAGCAACAGTGGAAGATTTAGACATCAGTTTAGTTCCAAAACCGTTTCGAAATCCGAACTATAAAGCTCAGTCCAGAAGAAATCGAAATTTGAAGCAAACTTTGCAAAGTGACCCAATTCAGAATGATCCCACTAAATTGTCCTACAGTTCCATAGAGGCACCCCCAAGCGTTCTTCCACAACCAAAATATTGCGATGTTACAGGTTTGCCAGCTCCCTACACTGATCCAAAGACACGTCTACGGTATCACAATAAAGAAATTTATGGCTTAATTCGGGAACTACCATCAGGTGTTGATCAAGAATATCTTAAACTACGTTCTTCGGATATTGTTTTAAAATAGTGTATAAATAGGCTCTATAGCTTGGAGGTACGAGAGCTAGAAAACCCAGACAAGACATGAAAGGATTGAGAAGTCTATCTAGCCTTGAGGTACACTCATATGTGTTTGTATATGTTTATTCAATTAACTATTATTTATTAAAGATGATAAATATCGGAGATTAAGAAAAGTGGTGTTTTACTTCTGTGCTGTGTTGCTGAATGTTGAACTGTGTCTGAAACGCATCCCAAATTCGGCTGGTTGAAAGAGGACTCGTTTTGTTCCGCCCAGGTATAAATCCAAGTTTTTTCATAACCGGTAAAGAAACTATAATGGACGAGAGTAGATTTTTCATGGATGAACTTTAAAGTTGAGAGATCACTTTGTCTAATGCTCGATTGGATTTTAATGCGTTTCTCAAGACATCCTGAGCTGCAATGGTAGTAGAAACAACGCTTCCTGTACCATCATTTTTTTCTCTGACGGTTTGTAAAACGCAGCTACCACGAGAATAGTGATTTGTGATAGACACTGTTCTGCCAAAATCAAGATGTTTAGCAAGTTCTTGAGCATGAAGACATGCATCTGTTAATTGAACAAGTGTTGGTTTATCAGACACTTCGGGATAGCACAAAATTTCTTGTAAATTGGCGTCCGCGGCATACATGACAGTTTTTTCGTTACTGAATAAAAAGGTTTAGCTCAAAGAAATATGGATATGTAGACATACCTTGCGATCTCTGCCAATTGTTGAGAAACTGACATGTTGAATCCAAATAGCAGTATTCAATGACTGCTGTCAAGGGGAAGAATATGGAAAAGAGGTCGATTGAAAAAGAATAACAGAAAAGAGGTTCCGATAATTGAGCTTCGACTTTGTTACCAAAGTTAAGCCATAGCAAAGCTTCTTGTAGGTTGTTTACGGTGGATGAGTCTTAGAGGATTGCGTTCATAAACACGCTTTGCTAAATATGGATTACGAGTGATTTGTACAACACAAAAGAAAGGTAAGGCAGCGTAGCATTATCTAACGAATTGCTTTTGACAAAGAAAGAAAAGAAGTAAAGTAAAATAAAATGAAAGAGAATAAATTAATTAAGGAGTTGAGATTGTAGTGACAATTCCATACCGAATGAAAAGGAATGCAACAAAACCGTGCAATGTAATACCAGGGCTAAGGCTTTCGACCAGAGTTATCGTTGATTTGTAGCAGGGACAAGTTTTGTAGATTGATACAAGAAAAGGTTTAATTGTCAAATTCATGAATCATGTCCTTTATTCAAATTTAGAAAGGAAGGGAACAGTTTCAGTCTCCTGGGCCAAGTATCTACCAAAAAATCCAAGGGTTACCACCGAACAAGCCAGAATTTACATTCCATCTTTTCAAGTAAAAAAAGGTTTCAAAGGACTTTCTTTTCTCCAGCAAAGCAAGCCTCTGATCTGCTGCAAAAGCCTCGAAACCCCATTTTTTCTAAATTTGTTTACACTCTCCAGCTGTTACCTGAACGTTACCTAGTCCTGTGAAGTTGGACAGCTTCCATAGACAAGAGAAAACCAAACTTTTGCCCAAAAGGAAGAATCATAACGCCCAGTTCATTGTTTGGAATTCAAATTTAGCCAACATGTCATTTTTCGGAATCGGAAGGGGAAATCAATCTGTGAACCCTCAAAACATTGCTTTGGCTGAGCAGGAAGTAGAATTAAGTGTGGAGATTTTCAACAGGTATGTTTCGTCGCTTTTATAAAGAATGGTTGACAAAGACATAATCAGCCTTAAAGAATGGTTCTATTGAATGCTACGCAGGTATCGGAAACCTTTGGAGTTGCGGGCGGTTGAGCATGTCTTTTCCTAATTCATTTTCACAATGATACTTCTGAATTTTTTTTGTTAACAATTAACTGCAGAATGGTATCTTCTTGTCATAAAAAGTGCATTGCTACACCATACAAGGAAGCCGATTTGACCAAAGGAGAAAGTGTTTGTATTGACCGTTGTGTTGCCAAGTACTTTGATACTAGTAAAGTTTTAGGTGAGCACTTGAAGAAAATCGGCGAACAAAATGCTCCCCCTCAGTAAGAACTTTATGACAGATTTTTCTATGGATGGTTTTCACTAGTTTCCCAGAAAACCATGTCTCATCATGGAAAGGAAAATGTTTGTACAATTCCTTTGACCATGAACCTTTATTCCAAAAATTTTTTTAATACATTCTATTTTGTATTTCTACAATGGCTCTCATCGTTCTTAAACTATACTATTAACTTTCACATCTCTTGAACCCTTCAAACCTGCTGACTTTTGCTGGACTTATTTTTACAATCCAATCCAAACTTGGTCGTCGAAACTTTTCAAACTTTTTCAAATTCATCCTTTGCTATCGTTTTACACCAATGTTCTTTCAGTAACACTCTTAAAGCAAACTTTCATCTCGATCCCCTCCATCTTCTCTTTGTCTTTGTTTATGAACATGGAATTCGCAATAAAATATGAGCCCCATGGCTGTTTCTTTGTTTCAAAGTTTTTTAAAAATGAATCTAATTTGTTTACGGGGGTGCTTTTCCCAAGTCGAGTCGATCGTCAGATCGTCAGTCTTCCGTTCCAACGAATTGTTCCGTCAAACCTTTTTGAAATCAAAGATAACTATCTTATACTTGCAGTTGATGTTGATGAGTTCATTTTAACAATTTAACTGTCTTTGGCTTCTAGAAACCAAAGTTGCTTCCACCTCCTAAAGTCACTTCAAATAACTGTGTTGCTCGTCGAATTTACTGATACAAAACATGAATTTCTGATTCTTAAACCGCAGTATGATCATTTAACAAGCAGATGCTGAAGGCTCTTTACGTTAATTTTTTATTGCAACATCTGTCTGCTTTATTTTGTTACTCCCTTATCCAACGAACGTTCTTTTAGTTCGATTCAAGGGGCGTTCCATCATCTCGTTATTAAATGAAAAACAACGACATTGTCTGACTTCATCGGAAAAGAAATTTTTTTCTAAAAAAATTGTAAAATTCAAGTATTTTTTTTTACAAAAGTCTTGATTTTGGTTTATTCTTCAATCTACCGTTTCCAAAAATGGCATGACATAAACGGAGTGTAGGTACCTCCCTTGTCGGGAACCATTTTAGTGAGGAAGCCTCATATTTTCTTAGTTCAGTTTTTACTTTCACTACTCCTCCTTTTGCCTTTTTCCTTTCCGTTAAGCAAATCTCAATTAAAAGAAGCTTTTTCGCTCGTTCAAGAGGAATTATTCTGAACACAATTCTACCAAACTATTTACTGGCGACTTATTTGATTCTAAAACTCGTCTGTTGATCCGAAAAAGCTAGAAGGGTTCAATTGACTTATTTGCATTTCATTCTACGTGTGTGTGTGTGTGTGTGTTTTTTTTTTTTTTTTTCTTGACTATCTCATCCCATTAAGAGAATTGAACATTGGATGTTCTCGTTGTTTTTGCAGAATTGATTCGTCCTTCCATTGCTCATTGCCCTGCAGATTCCAACCGTTTATTTCCATACATTTGAATGTCTGTATTTTCATTAAATTATTGATAACAATTTTTTTGATATCCGTGACATTTCCAAGCTCGGTGGTTTGGCAGCATCGACTGATTGTTCATTATACGCTAAAGTTTTTGAAGAAATCTTCCATTCTTTTCCCTCGAGTTGTATATGATAATTAGTTTTCCTATACTTCCTTTAAGCCCTGTTATTAAGCATAATTTTACTTATACTTAAGGCAACCTCTTCTTCTTATTGTTTCTTTTCTTTTCTGGTTGTTTTTTATCTTCTCTTTACGACCTTTATTGTACTTCCTGGTTGATTTCTCTTTATTTTATTCTTTTTTTTTGATCTTTTCTGTTTCGCTTCTTTCTTTTTAACCCACTTTTTGTTGGTTTCAAGTTGTTTATTATCTTTTTATCATCTTTGTTACTCGTTTTAATTCACCATGTATGCTACTGTAAAATCAAACGCGAAAGTTTCTGATGGCATGAGTGAAAATGCCCCGTTTAACTTTTCTTCCGGATATACCGACGGTCGTCCAAGCTTGATTTCAAGTGGTTCACCTCGTGAAAACATGATTTCTTCGTTATCACCATACTCCCAATCTTCTGGAAGTGATGATCACTCTGATACTTCCTCATCTTTCCTCAATCCTTTTCCGTCTTTCCATCGGTTGTCAATGAACCAAGAAACCGCAGATACCGTCTCTCTGAACAGTGCGCATCCTTTTCGAAACAAACATCTGGCAAAACCGCCTCTTTCTTCTTTAACAAATTTACAGGATCCCGTTTTTACTCACTATCCTGCTAACATTGAGTCTCCATTTCACTCTAAAGGCCTTGTTGATTCGAGTAATAAAAGCAACGCCCTTAACCAAGACACCAGTTCTCCCTCAAAGGTTAATTTATACGGTCAGCTCGGCTCTGATTCTGGTGTTCGCTTTCCCCAGTCTTTACAAAACTCTGTTCCTCCTTTAAAAGCCGATTTAGGAAGAACTCTTTCTAGTGGTCTTCCTCAAACACCTTCTAGTCGGATTTTATCTCGCCATACTCGAGCTCACTCTGACTTTTGGAAGCCTGTTAATCGACGTGCTGTCCGCCATACGTCGCATTCTTCCATCGGTGATATGGCATCTATTACACAAGCGGCTCCATTATCCGGAACTTTGCCAAACTATAAGGATAAGCTAGATGTGAATTTTCTATCTCCTCCTAATGTGGTAAATGAGCGGAATTCTATTTCCGCAACATCTCCAACTCTCGCTTCTGACATATCGTCTTCTTCAAAGTCTGACCTTACTTCTATGCCTCTTGTTTCAAACCAATCCGTTTATCCAATTGCTAATCCGACGGTTAAACACAATGCATTAGATTCTTCAAGGTCTTATGCAAATATCAACCAGGATTTAGCTCCTGTAGGTGGTTTTGGAAGTATTCCAATCGATGGTATCTCAAATCCGTATCCGACCTTAAACGTCGAGGATCAGTTACTTAAGGGATCTCATGGACATAATTATTTTTCTCAGTCTAAGCTACTGCATGTCTTCCATAATAATAAAAAGAAGCGATTCGAGCTTTCTGATATTTTAGGAAACGTCGTTCTATTCAGTAGTGATCAATATGGCTCAAGATTTATACAACAGAAATTAGCAACTGCTACTGAAGAAGAGAAAAGTGCTGTTTTCGAAGAGATTATTTCTAGTAATTGCTTACAACTTATGATGGATATTTTTGGAAATTATGTTATACAGAAATTTTTAGAATATGGTACAGACAAACAGAAAACCCTTTTGGTTTCCAAAATCAAGGGTCACACTTTTGTATTGGCTGTCCACATGTATGGTTGTCGTGTTGTACAGAAGGCAATAGAACATATTGCTACAGAACAGCAAGTTGAAATTGTTAGTGAACTTGATGGTCATGTATTGGAGTGTGTTTGTGATCAGAATGGAAACCATGTCATTCAAAAGTCTATTGAATGTATAGACTCAAAGAAGCTTGGTTTTGTTTTTGAGGCTTTGCGACCTCAAATACATGTGTTATCGGCTCATCCTTATGGTTGTCGAGTAATTCAACGAGTTATTGAAAAGTTTACATATGAACGTCAAATTATAATTGATGATCTCCTTCCTTATTCTTTACAATTGACCCAAGGTCAGTATGGTAACTATGTTGTTCAGCACATACTGAAAAAAGGCACCAATAAGGATAAAAACTTTGTTTTTAAACTAATAACTAAGAATTTGCTATACTTGAGTTGTCATAAGTTCGCATCAAACGTTGTTGAAAGATGTATATCTTACATTTCCGAAAACGATCGCGCCTATATTATTCAAAAAGTGCTAACTGAAAAAGTTGACAATGTCAGCATTTTAATGTTGATGATGAAAGACAAGTATGCAAATTATGTGGTTCAAAAGCTTCTGGAGGCTTCAAACGAAAAGGAGCGTGAATTGCTAATTTCTTATATATACCCTCATATATCAACTCTAAAAAAATACACTTATGGTAAACACCTGATCATGTCTGTTGAACGATATCGTCAAAATCCACGAAGCGAAAACTCAAAGGAAACAAGGCTTGATAAGAAGGACTAATTTCAGAGGTTTGTGAATATGAATGATTGTGTTTTCCTTATGTTTAGTTGCTCGATTGGATTCTGTATATAAATTCAAAGGTTTTTTATATTTTATATTTTTAAACGATTTTTATGATGAATGGATTCTAGTTTGTTTACGAGAAACAAAGCTACGTTACTGCTATGTTACTACTATGAATATTTCTTATTTCATGTGTTTATATCACTTTTTTTTAGCATCATATGACGACGCGTCTGACTCTAAACACCTCACGGATTTTCTGCTTTATATAAACGATTTACGAACGCTTAATTTCTAGACAAAATGAATCGACTCTAATTTTTGATAAAATCCTTAGTGAATTAAATCGTCAGGTATAATAAAAAAAGTTAAGAGATGATAACTTTATGCGATGAGACGACCGTGTTCCTCTGATTCTAGATGAGCAGCATCTCCAAAAGTATAAATATGTCCTGTACCTTCAGAAGTAACTTCGACTTCCGTAATGCTAGTGTTGACAGTAAGAATTTTCTTTTCCAATTTGGTACGATCATAGGTATAACCCTTTTCTTCCATAAAATGAGCACGAAGAGCATTGATTACACCTCCATGACAAAGGACAACCACAAATTTCTTTTTTTCAGATAAAGGAACAACGTGCTCGTCCCAAAATTTAACAAGTCTTTGCATTAAACTTGAAAAACCTTCTCCGTAATGATCAGGGTGCTTAGTACCCATCAGGCGTTTTGCTTCAACCACGTTCATTCCTATTGTTTTCTCATTAGCACTTCCAAGACTTTTGTAGGTATATTAAAAAAGCTACGAATACTGTACCTTCCAATTCTCCATAGATTCTCTATTACAGTCAGTAAAGTATGAATATAGTACCAACTTACTTCTCTGATTAAATCTGAATATTCAATAGGAATTTCCGGCCGTAATTCAAGTAAAGGGGCAATAGTCTATAATCTATGTGAGTTTAGATATTTCTCAAGTTTTCATTTCGCAAACCTCTCGGCAACGGCTCATTGAGCTGCAGAAAATTTGATCGATTCCTAGAGTCGAAAGTCTGCGGCCCAATAATTGCGCTTGAAGTTGACCAGTTTCATTCAAACTTGTGTCAGCAGATCCTTGCTAAATAGAGTATTAACAAAATGTCCCAATATGTAATAGATGAGAAAACAACTAGTTCTTTCATGTTTCATCATACCAAGATTCCGACTTTGTTTTGCTCCGTTTGACCATGGCGAATCAAAAAAACTTTCATCTTTTTATATCTTATGTAAAATTATAAATGTGATACTCAAGAAGGTAAATAGTTGTCTAGTACTGCGAGATTAGTATATATTTGGTGTATTCAATTCTGTTAAGGTAAAGAACGACAGAGCGACATAACGTTATGAATGGTATAAAAGTAGAAGATATGGGAACATACATAAGTAGTTGTAGCACCAACTGAAGTAGATCGTTCTCACAGAGACTAAATATTCGTGATTCAATGTACACTCTGTTTACCGCTCTTTTATTAGACTTATTCTATTTCTGAAGTCTCTTTTTCACTTACTTGTTTTTTAACTGGAAGAAAAGTAGCAAATTTATGGTCTATTTGGGTTTGTGCAGGCCGGGATAGTAATGTGTACTACCTTTCTGTTCCTTCATGACTGAAAATCAAAGTCATGGGTTTTATGATTTACAAGATGGGATTGAATGGATAAATAGGGCTTCTGAGGCTCCTGTAGGTTCTAAGAAAGTTGTTTCTAGTCGTTTACGACAGTTCCAAGGTTTGGCTTCACAGGAAGGCTTGACAAACGAAGCAATTGAGTCATTGCTGAACGTAGCTTTGTCTTTTCACACGAAATTCGATAAAAGCCAACTGACGATTATTATAAAAAGCTTGTATCCGAAGCAGTTAATATCGCACTCCATAGCCGTCAAAATTTTAGGCTGTTTGGATCCTTATGGAGTCCGTTATGCATATGCATACCAAGAGAAATTGTTGAACTGGTTAGCTCATGTGTATGAATTTTTAGAAGATAAAGATCGCTTTGCAAAGTTCTATGGAGTCTTATTTCATTTTCTGGACTATGTCACCCTCCGTCCTTCTCTTGTGCGTTTACTAATTTTGACGACGAAGCACTCTTATATAAAGAGATTCAGAATTTACCAATTGTTATCCTTATATCAAAAGCCAGGAAATGCCAATGATCCCTATATCCTCGAATTGTTGTACACTTACAAGCAGCATTATCCAGATGTCATAATAGGCTCGTTTCAACAAAGAAGGGCTATGTCATGGAAGATGGATGTCTTTTGGGTTGCGAGGGTTTCAGATTTGATTCATTCTTCGACGGTTTCTTCACAAAGTATGCTTCGGTTATCTGAGAAGCGCAAAAGAGTACCAAGTTTAATTCCGGAATTGCTCACTATGGAAAATAAAATAGAAAATGTTTCTTTGAATGAAGTATTTACTATTTCACAGCTCTCTTCTACGTTCGAAAAAGTGAAACAACCAAACCAAGTTGCAGCAGTTCTTCATAGCTACGTTTTTTTCCTGTACTATCGCCTCTTAAATGAAAATTCTTTAATAAGCAGACTAACGGAATGGTTATATGCTAGTCTTTATCATGGGTTACTATTTAATTATGCAACTCTTGAACAACGACTTGAATTTTTTCATTTTTTCTATCGACATTTATTATACTCAAACAATACCTTTCCATTTCTTTACGATTTTATAAGAAAATACTTAATGAAGCCTTCCTTGCCTTTTAAGGAATATGAAGCTATATGTCACTTAATGACCTGCCTGGATGTTGCGAGGGATGAGCAAGAATGTGCTGAGTTTTTTAAGCAACTTAATCTATACACAAAAAAACTATCTTTGAGAGAATGTGAGATCCATCTGAGTTATATATTTATCTGGACATTGCGTCTCGTCAATAAAACAAACTCGAGACAGAGGTTGGGATTGGCAGGTGTTCTCCTGAATTACATTTTCGCGCATTTGTTTCATTTACTAGAAACATTTTTTTGGAATGACAAACTTTTCCCTCCTTTAGCCCTGATTATGACAACCATCTTTAATTCAATGAGTGATACAAAACTTCGTGTATGGTCAGACATTGTCCCTATTCAAAAATTCATACAATTTCTCTTTATGAAAAGCTTTCCTTATGCTATTGAGACTAGTTTTCGATTGATCCAGTCAGCAGAACAAAATTTAAGAAATCAAGGCCCAAGAGATTTACAAGAACATATGAAGCTTATACATCAGCAAATGATACAATGCTTATTAAATAATTCAAAAAAATCAGAGTTTATCCATGCTATCTTTTCTGATTTGAATCTACAATCAATGGATTATTTTGAGTCTGTTTCTGACACAATCTGGTCTTTAACATCTGGTGCCCAGTTCAGTTACTATACTTCACAATATTTACAAAAGAAACAGGAAGAGGACCCTACTTTCATTCAGATCCCTTCAATGGGATTAACAGAACCAATGTATCTAGAACTACAAAGAAAGCTTCACTTAGCACAATCTTGGTCTTCTTTTCAAAATGGTTTATTTTCTTATTTAAAAACAAAGCATTATAAAGCTATTCATCAATCATTGCTCTCTTTATCCGGTCGTTGAAGGTTTTTTTAAAAAGTGTTATGTCCTACTTCATACAACCAAGCTACTAATAACCCAAAATTTTTCGTTGAGACTCAGGACGGCCATCGTAAACAAAGCTTCCTTTCAATTAGATGGTTTCTTCTTATCCAGCTTTGAATTATAAAGTAATCGCAAAATGCTCAACAACGCGTGCTAGAGCAAGCATTCTTGAGTTGCCGCATGGTCCTGTCGAAGGACCTGTTTTTATGCCCGTAGGAACTCGTATGTTCACCAGTAGACCTTTAGTAAAAATTTACTAATATATTGTAGAGGCCTCTTTAAAAGGTGTTCTACCAGAACAGTTGGACAGAATGGGCTGTCAAATAATGTTGAACAATACTTACCATTTGGGGCTAAAGCCAGGAAAAGAGGTTTTACATAGCCTTGGAGGAGCCCACAAATTGCAGTCGTGGAAAAGAAACTTATTAACTGACAGTGGTGGATTTCAAATGGTTTCATTGTTGAAGCTTGCTACCATCACTGAAGAGGGAGTAACCTTTTTATCTCCTAGGGATGGAACACCAATGCTGTTAACCCCAGAGCACTCTATGGAGCTCCAAAATACAATTGGGTCTGACATTATGATGCAGTTGGACGATGTAGTTCATACCTTGACTGAAGATACCCGAATGGAAGAAGCTATGTATCGATCGATACGGTGGTTGGATCGATGTATAGAGGCACACAAAAATACAGATACTCAAAATCTTTTTTGTATTATTCAGGGAGGATTGAATAAGAAGCTACGAGAGATTTGTTGTAAGGAAATGATGAAAAGGGATACCCCAGGAATCGCAGTTGGCGGGTTATCGGGAGGAGAGGAAAAGACAACTTTTTGTGAAGTGTAAGTATGCAAATGTCTCTATGAGAAATATTAACGATTGTTAGTGTCCACACATGTACTGGTATACTTCCTGAAAACAAGCCTAGATACCTTATGGGTGTCGGGTATGCTGAAGATCTAGTGGTTTGTGTTGCTTTAGGTATGGACATGTTTGATTGTGTCTATCCTACGAGAACAGCAAGGTTCGGGAATGCATTAACGAGAAATGGCATCCTGAATCTTCGAAACCAAAGATTCAAAACAGACATGAGTTCTTTGGAAGAAGGATGCCTATGTCCTTGTTGCGTCCCAAAGGAAAAAGGTGGATGGGGAATTACCCGAGCTTTTCTGAACTCATTGGTATCAAAGGAAACCGTTGGTGCTCACCTCGTAACAATACATAATACTCATTTTCAATTGCAACTTATGCGTGACATGAGGTCTAGCATTATAAAGGACTGCTTCCCTCAGTTTGTCAAGACATTTTTTTCTATGTGGCATAATGGAGATCGTTCTTCTTATCCCGAATGGGCTGTAAATGCGTTACGTTTGGTGAATATTGATCTCTTAGAGGACTAAGAGGAAAAAATTAAGTTTTTAAAAGCTATGTGGGCTTTAGTAGCTTTCTCAAAACGATAGTTAGGTTTGTTTTTTTTAGACTGCCAACTTGATAGGAATAATATAAAAAGAACTTAATTAGATTCATCGTGATTAATATTACTTGTTTCCTGCTCTATAAATCATTATACCAATAATAAATAACTTTGCAAATCGAATATAATATAAATTGAATATTTCCTCAAGCACTTTTAAGGACTTTTGATCATCCTGACTCAACTGCTCTCGTATACAACCAAACAATGTTATGACTGTTCACTACACCGAAGGAGAGCATTTTGTAAGCTCCAGGCATCTATTTCTATGGCCTTTGGCTGAGGTTTATTTTCGAGAAGCCGAAAAAACTCTACAGCACAATGGAGTTACAAGAGCTTTTAGTGATTTACTGACAGGTGGTCTCCGTTGTCTTTATGCGGTTTTACTGGTTCGTACTTTTTATTAGTAATTTTTATTAGTACATTTTATTGACATTATTTTACATAGGATAGCACTGTTGAACCACGAGTTGAACTATTTACTAGAAAGCGTATATGCGAACTTTTGTTGCACCATACACAAGAATATGCTGATGCTGAGGCTATATTAAATCGAGCCATGCTAATTGCGAAGCAACACGTACGTCTTTGTGTCTATTATATGTCTCTAACGTTTTTTAGAATTTCGTCGAAGAGAAATTCAGCTTACAACTTCTGTTAGCGCGTATCTTTTGTAAAACCTCACCAAGGGCTGCGAAAGTTTTATTACTTCGTTGTATCAAAGAGGCAGAAGAGTATGCAAAAGTAATGGAAATGTATGGCACACAAGGTGTTGCCAATGCTCATAAATGGGTATATGAATTTTATCTCTGTTCCTCGTCTTTTCAAAGTGTCCAGCAACTTTCTAAAAACATATATAATTATGCCAATGATCATAATCATCAAGAAATGGCTCTTTTGGCATTGATATTGAATCAAGATTTACCAATGGAAGAAATTCCAACACGAACACATCAATTAGCTGTCCTTGTTTTGATAACACAGATTGTGAAATGTATAAATGAAGGAAAGATTTTGAAATCTAGAGAAAAGTTGAATACTGTACATATGCTTCTGGAATCTGATACTCTAAAATGGGGATCATCTCACATTGACTTTACGATAGACGGAGAAACCTCGATATATCTGAGATGGCTTTCCATCAATCAAATTTATATTCTCGCTTATTTAATTTCTGGAGTCTGCTACTTACCGGAAACTAGTTCGGGACGTGCCAGTCGATTTCTTCAAGAAGGATTACGCATTTCAGGAGATTTTGTACCTCATGAAACCTCAGTGAACAGATATTTTGAAACGGATCAATGGTTTGATTCTATTATTGATAATCTTAAGTGTTATCTGGTAGCGGCACATTTGAGCCGTTCAAAATTTTCGAAAGCCGAGAAAATATTATTTTCAAGCGCGGTTGAGCAAAACGACTTTCGAAATTTATTACACGGTATGCTTAAGCATAAAAAAGGAAAATTTGAAGAAGCCGAATCTATTTACAGATTAATTATTAAAAAGCCTGATACTCCCAAAGAGATTTTCATTTTGTCTACGCTCAATTTGGTCAACTTGTTACAAGATAGTACTGAAGCTAGCCACTCTTTAGAATGGATAGAAAAATCTTGCAAGGAACAGAAAAATCTAATCTATACTCTGTGGTGGATGATCCTAAAAATATCTCGAGAAAACGCTCATGTTCAAAAAACAAACAGCTTGTTGAAGCTTACCCAGCATTCAATAGACCTTTCGAATACTCAGTTGCAGTACATTGTATTTACAGAGTTGTGTACACGTTTAGGAAATATTGAGCAAGCTGAGAAAATGGCTAGCTCAGCACTCACTTTAGCCAAAAAAAGTAAAGATGACATTTGGTCTTTCTTTTCTGGAACAAAGTTAGAACGTAAGTTTGTTTGCACTCAACGGATTAAGTTAATCCCAAGACACTCAAATATACAGTTGATTAACTAATGACTCTAGTACTATATCAAGATATTCACGATTTTGAAAAGTTGACACGTCAAAAAGAAGAGAATACGAATATGTGGAAAGAGATTCAAAATTTCTTTTCTTAAATTTACGGGTAAAACATAGAGGATTGTTGGTATCCAAAAGTTCGATACTGAAGCTAAAGTTATGTAAAATAAATCATTAAATATACAGAATAAACATATCCAAATCTCCAGATTCTTCCTTGCTGGGTAGTCAAATACGTACTTCATCATAATATATAAATACTGTACTCACCTATATGTTCTGACAAACCACCATATCAAAAGTTCGTTTACAATGGCCATTCTTCCAGAGTTTATAAGGCAGACTCCTCCTGTTACAAGGTAAATATATTAAGTATGAAATTATAAATGTTAACAATGTCAAGATACCTCATTTTTGGCACTTTATTGACGACTCTGGCGGTAGTACGTAAAACATAGTAAAGCATAGAACGCGAGCTAATCGTTCAAGAATTTTGGATACCTTTCGGAATTGAAAATCTTTTTTAATTGGAAATTATTTTTATTCAAAGGAGAGGTATGTTGCTAGATCGATGTGTAAACATTCGATATGAGATGTAAAAATATCAGCCAATAGCGACCGGAAAACTGATATAGTCTAGTACTGGAGGGCTATTACTACTTTTTTGTATATTGGCCCGCTAGGTTTGGAGTCTATTTTGTACCTATCCTTTCTATTACGATTTATGAGTATGCTTGAAGAGTCAAGTCCTCCTCCACAGACAAAGAACTTCTTGAAGACACTTGGCATCATCTGTGGATCTTTACTAGTCACGTCATATTTTTTTCTTATGCCATTTGCGGCTACTTACTTTTCATTCAGTATGCTCTATATCTGGTCTTGGAAACACCCTTTGTACAGAGTTTCCATTTTAGGGTTATTTGATGTAAAAGCTCCATATGTTCCATGGGTTTTGGTTCTTTTACGATGGTTTCGTAGTGGAACCTTCCCTCTTTTGGATTTAATTAGTGCCTTAATTGGCCACGTTTATTTCTTCTTTAATGACTTTGCGACTATTTAATTGCTGTATTTATGTTTGTAAAGAAAGGCAAGCATGAACAAATGCTTGCAATCTTGAGGTAAAAATGAATGGGATCGAAAGTGATGATATACAATTTTACTGAGTCCAATTCTTTTAGGTGACTTGCAATTTTGTCTTATCCATTAGGTTGAATTTTATAAGTTTCCGTAAAAATTAACGATTGCAGTATGTATGAGTGGAAAGCTGCTTTTGGTTAAAAAGACTGCTGATAAATCCGATGTTGTATGATGTCTCAACTTTGTCCACGTTTACGAATGCGTTAGAAAGGGTTTTATAAAAATTGTCTGTCGGTTTTTTTAGGATTTTTCTGTGAGACCATCGGTTCCCTACTCAGCGATGTATGAAATGGCTAGCGTTTAGACCTTTGCCGTTGCTAAAAAAAGAAAAGTATTTGGTTTATTCCACTTGCTTTCTTTTTCTTCCTGTTGTATATAATACCTTTTGGTAAGTTATACAGAGGGATCGTTTATAATTGAGATTTAAAATCCAAAGTGAATATGGTTGCCGAGTCAATACTTTGTTAATGAAGACAAGGAAACAATCCACTGTATGGGGCTTTCATAGGTTGGATTGTTTTCCAAAAATCAAGGAAAAAACATAATCCAGCGTAAAAAAATATTACGATCCTTTCATCCTCACGTATAGTTAAGCTTGTTGTAATCGTAAAGCCGGTGATATTACTCTGTTTGTTCACATGTTTGATTTTCCAGTGTTGTTTTTTCATCCATCTTGATCGGTGACTCGAAATTCCAGGTCCTCATCCACAACCTAAGAGGAACAATTTGTATACTTCCAGACTTTTTTGAGAAGAAAAGTCCATTTTTCATAAAGACACATACTACAAACAAAGAATAGCAAATGATCACTACTAACATGGGTATTGAAGATGTTTTAGAAGTATTTTGGTTCGATTACAAAAGGTCATCTACTATTGCATATTCTTTGGCCATGAGAAAGAATGGTCCTGAATCGTAGATCTCGTAGTTCGTTCAGTGTCTGAAGTATGAAAACTCATTTCAGCTCGATCCCGCAAAATCTGAGGAAAGGCAACAAAAAATAAAATACATCTTTCTTCCATACGGAAACAAAACATTCGTAAACATAAATTGGCTGTCCCCATCAGCAAGCTAATTGGTCGAAATGCCAGTAACATCGACAGTTCGTGTCTTTCTCACTTGATTTGCTTATTTCAGTGTAAGACTAAAACATCAATGAATTCTCCTCATGGGAATACACGTTTCTTTTCTGAATCACTGATTGTTTACGAAAGTAATACAACGTGGTACGTAATCTAAAAATTCGTTTAGTAAGAGCTTAATGTAAACAGGCCAACCATCTCGTAATTAAGAAATCAGACCATTTTCTGTACAGTCTTATACGCTGCTTCGCAACCACTCTTTTTTCAGCACTCTGCATACTCCATGGATTATTTGCTGGATATAGCCGATCATTATGTCTTGGATTCTGTTTACAATAAAGCGTATCCTTTGGCTCGCGATCACATAGTGCGTGAAGCAATTAGTTTGTTCTTTTTAACATGGGTCGGAGGTTTCCTTTTGTATATAACATTCTCTTCTTTGTCTTACCACTATGTTTTTGACAAGAGCCTAATGAAGCATCCAAAATTTCTAAAAAACCAAGTATGGATGGAGATTTGGACGGCGTCAAAAAATCTTCCTGGAATGGCATTACTCACAGTACCTTGGTTTTTGGCCGAAGTCCACGGTTATGGCTATTTGTATGATCACATTAGCGATTACGGGAAAACTTATTACTTCATCTCTCTTCCCTTGTTTGTTCTCTTCTCAGACTTTGGCATCTATTGGGCTCATCGCTTTCTCCATCATCGCTGGGTTTATCCTCGTCTTCACAAGTTGCACCATAAATGGATCATTTGCACACCATATGCTTCTCATGCATTCAAGTCCGCCGACGGCTTCCTCCAATCTTTACCATATCATCTTTTCCCTTTCTTCTTTCCTCTCCATAAATGGACTTACCTTGCCCTTTTCACTTTTGTTAATTTCTGGACCATTATGATTCATGATGGCAAGTACATTTCCAACAACCCCATTGTCAATGGGGCCGCTCATCACAACGGACATCACATATATTTTAACTACAACTATGGTCAATTTACTACACTCTTTGATCGCCTTGGAAATTCATTCCGTGCTCCTGACGAGGCTTGGTTTGACAAATCTCTTCGCACAGATGATGATGTTTTGAAGAGGGAGCTTATGGAATATGAAGCCATTCGCCGCGAAGTAGAAGGCGAAGACGATCGTGACTATGCTGCCGATGGAAAAAAAATTAAGTAAACCATCTTCTTTAACTTTAGCTTTCTTCTCCCAATGGCGTTTTACCTTTGTCGTTTTGCTTACTATACTATCCTTAAATTACAACTTATATTGAATTGATTTTTTCCTCGTTTATTGAAAAAATAAAGGTTTATCCTATCTTTTCTTGCATACTGGATTTCTTTTCAATGACTACTACCATTTGCTAGTTTATAGCATCTTTTTTGTTCTCGGTGTATCTTTTTGTATGCACTTTTCTGGACAAGCCGGATCATGATTTTCTCGCCAAAGCAGTTTTAGATACGGGAGAAACTTCAGTTGTATTGCATTATAGTGTCTTTTTCCATTCGCTCCTTTTAGTTGCATAATACTTGGCATCCTAAAACTTTTGTAATGAATTAGCTTTCAAAATTGCGTGTTTAATAAAACCCTTTTACTATATGGTTTATTATACGGGACTTTATTCTTGATTTATTGAAATAATTCCCATATCGTATGTAAAATTCCTTTTTTTATCAATGTAAATATTCAATCCTTCTTCTATGTCAGATTCATTATCACTAGTACTGCTGCTCTATACATTCACAGGTGCACTACTTTTGATGACACATTCATCCGGTAAAACAAGTACCTTATTTTTCCAATAACGTTGTAAGCATGTATATACGTGTATATATAAATAAGTTCCACGAACAATTAAAGCAGAAATGATCAACAAAATAATTACTGGAAACCAATCAACATAAACATTATCCTGTTCGTGATCCTGTAGATCGTGTCTCAAATTCTTAAGACGCAATTTAAAAGTCCTATTATCTTTTGGCATTTTAGTCTTGCATTTCTCTTTCTTGCACTCAATAAAAATATTAAAGAACAACCAAAAACAACTAGATAACCTTTGAAAGTTGTAGATAGATAAATCGCATTATGATAAATATTCAAAAGAAACAAGAAAGCTGCCAAGGAGCAAAAGATTGATCGAAAAAGTGCCAAACAGAAATCGGAAAACTATCGTTTGCACTCACACATTTGCAGAGCGACATTGGACTTTCACATGTTTGTTCTTTAGTCAATTTGGGCACGCTTGATTTCAACGGGGACAAAGTTGTCCAAATCAACGGGTAAATAAGCTCGAGCATGAGGAGGTATCAATTTTTTATTCAAATCAGGACGAATAGAGAGTTCCTGATGACTAAAATTGAATAAATCTGGCAGTGGACGAGGTGGATTTTGAGGATTACGAGAATCCGGGAGTCTGGTATTTGGATCACGGAGTTCATCAAAGAAAGGATGACACATAGCTTCTATAGCAGTTAGACGGTGGGTAGGAGTGTATTGCAGCAATTTTGTTAGTAAGTCAATAGCTTCTGAAGGTACGTTTCGCGAAAAAACTCTGGAGAATGGATGAGGGCGTATTTGTGGAAATCGATGTTCCATGTAATTAGGATTCATTGTTTTGATTTGTTCTCGGGTAGGAGTACCCAAAATTTTTATAATTTCTACTAATTGGTCGATGCCGCTTTCTCCAGGGAACAGGGGTTGACCCAGCATGAGCTCGGCCATGACACAACCAGTGGACCATATGTCAATTGCAGGAGTATAGTCTGTCGCACCAAAAATGAGCTCGGGAGCACGATAGTAACGTGAGCAGATGTAGGAAACATTTGGTTCACCGGCTACAAGAATCTTTGCACTACCAAAGTCGCAGAGCTTCAAAGCACCAGTTTCAGGATCCATCAGCAAATTTTGAGGTTTGATATCTCGATGGCATATTCCGCTGGCGTGGATATAGGCCAATGATCGTAAGAGTTGGTAAATGTAAAGTTTGACTTCAATCATAGGCATAGATAATTTTTGACGAGCATATAGTCGAGAAGCACGGTAGATTGTTTCGGGCATGAACTCCAAGACCAAGTTTAAGTAGACCTCGTCGAGATTTTCACCAGTTGTGTAGTAATAAGCGATCAAATCGATGATGTTGGGATGCTTTATGAGTCGCATAATTTGGAGTTCTCTATTCTGTTAAGGTTAATATCAAGTTGGAAAACAAGAAAAAAAAAAAAAAAAAAAGGCAAGTTAAGCCAAACCAGACTCAAACCAAAATGGGGTTTTACGATGGTCTGAATTTGGCTAAAATATTACGAAAAACAAAAGAAAACAAACATACCTTGAAACGTTTATCTTGTAAAACCCGCTTAATGGCAGCTTTACTGTCGTGTTCAATGAGATGAACTTGAATGACGACACCAAAGCTTCCAGAGCCAACGACTTTACTAGAGGTATAAGAGAGTTGCTTTACTTCGCCAGTGGCTCCATCACGAGCGGTTTCCTTGATAATTCGGAATGGGTCCACAGGATCTGAAAAGAACATAAGGTTAGTAAATTGAAATGAAGGAAAAGACTCAAAACCGTAAACCAGAGAAATGCATAAAATACGTACGATGCAGACCATGATTCATTATGAAAGAAAAGACGTAGAAACACGAGAACAGACGATGAACTTTTTAAAGCGACGGCAAACCAGAATCAGCTTTCAGAAGAAAGACTTGAGGTGTTATTTGTACAAAGAAACCAATGAAAATAAACAGAAAACGCGGAAATACAAGATGGATCTCAAAGGGAATACGCTGGAAGAAGGAAGCTGGAGAAGTGGTTAGAGGAGGATGGAGAGAACGTGTGTAAAGCAGGTAACAAAATATGTGGAGAGCAACTGTCGTTACTCACACTTGCTAACTCAAGTAACGTTGTCTCCTCTTATCTTGAAAAGCACGAAGCCGTAGAAAAGAGGCAGTCCATGACGCCTACGCAACCTTGTAAAGAGTATAAATAATAAGCATACGGTTAGCGAAGGCACTACCGAAAAGAAAAGTAAGAAGGTAAACAAACCAAGAAGTTTGTGCTTGGAGTTACATTTCTCTTTCTTGTTTTTCTAAAAAAATTCTTCTTTAAATCTTTTTCCTTGGATGCAACTTTTAGGAGAAACTTCAAAATCCCAATCTTCCTTGATCCACCTCTTTCAGATCATTCGTTGTTAGGAACTATCCTTCCTTTTCTTTTGCGCTTTTTCCACAATCGTTACATCATCTGCAAACGCCTTTTCTTTTGCAAATCAACCGTTTGTCTTGCAAAGATATCACCACTCCTCTTCTTCCTTCACACTGACACTTTCATCCCAAAGTACTATGGAGGAGGTCGGGAACGGATGACGACGTTCATGAAACAATCAAAAGCTTATTGAAAGCATTTTTTATTTTCTAACAGATTTTCGTTTTGTTAAGGAAGAGAACTAACAGCATCCATTGTCTCTCTTGTTTGTCATAAATAACATAATTTCTCCAATATGTACCTGTGTTATAAATCGTTATGATTCGGTAAGCTTGCATAACAATGTGTTTCGCATTCGTAAACAATTTGCAGCGCTACTTTCTACATTGTTCTACCGCATAAAACCGTTTGCAAATTACAAGATACGCTTCGCTATTCGAATTATTTGTTTTGAGAACGTACTTTTGCAGCTATTTCTTCTTATTCTTTTGTTGTTTGTATTTTGATTCTTTTATCAACTGTTTTTGTTTTATGTTTCTTTTTTCCCACCTTTTATTGACACTGCTTCTTTCTATCTACTGGCCTTCCTTAATATTCTCTCTTTTGCATTATAAATATTGAGTACAATCCTATCCTTGGTAGAATACAAGCACCATCTGATTTTACAGACAACATTGTTACACTTGTTCATTCTTGCTAATTCTTGATTTTCTTCCATTTATCCTTTTCTTTCTCTTGCTTTCTTTCAATCCTACGAAGCCGTTTCATTCTTTGCATGCTATAGCCACTTGAAGCAATCCTTCCTTAACTGTACCATTTTTTCGTTGTTTAAATTTTTTGTCTTATATCTATCATCCTCGACTTTATTGTTCCCCATTGTATTATCAAATTTCTTATCTAATTCATCATGTCATCGTCGTCTATTGTCAAGAAGACTGTACTCATGGACGAAGAAGCTGAAGAGGCCTTTGATCTGTTTGACGTAACTCACAAGGGCTTTATTGACTTTGAGGACTTGAGACGGTCATGTGCTTTGCTTGGTGAAGATTTGACTCAAGAACAACTTAAGCTTATGCTGGACATTGCTGGTACCAATGGGAGAGTCACCCGCGAAGAATTCGCCCAGCTTTGGATTCACCTTGCTTGAGAGTCTTTTTTCTTGCTCTTTGCTCTAGTATCTGTATCTCTTTATACTTTGTCGCGTTTTCTGTGTTTGCATCCTTACATCACTCAGATCTTGCACATCGTTGATGTGTTTTGGAATTCTGGTGATCCCTCCACTTTCTTTTGCATACGAAATGTCCATTCTGCTTTGTTTTGTTGGTTTATTCTATATTTTTGCCTTCACTGATGCTAAAATGTGTTGCATAATTTTATAATGATTTTTTTTTGTGTTTTATTTCCTTGTTGGGGGTTTTTTTTATTTATATCTTTTTTTTTGTTCCTGCTCCGTCCTTATATAATCCTTCAGTATTTATCTATCTTTCGGTCATATGGTATTGCATCCGGCATATTAAAAGAATGCTAGTAAGGTATTTCTGAGCTTGGTGGATTGCATAATTTGCATCGGTAAACGGAAAAAAAGAAAACAAAAAAGATTTCAAAGAAATAAGATTGGTCTTATTTCGATGGATTCATCCTCCCCATTTGCTAGCAAACATGGTAGTTTGTTTTCTAGTAAACTAGCTCTTCCGAAGAAGATTCTTCAATCCTTACTCTTAATCTTATTATAATCGCTTTTTTTGATTTTTTTTTCTTTCATTCTAAAACCATCATAAACTTTCTGCTATGTTGAAGCAATCAGAAGAGCCTTTGAAAAACATCTAGATTTCCTTCAAATGAAATGAATATGTATTTTTATGACCCAAAAAGATAAATAAAATATTTGTTTATTAAAAATCCCTTCCACTTTAAACAACTTTCGACTCACTTCTCATTCCTATCCCGCTGTATCGTTACATTTATTATTCAAAAGCATTTATTTTTTTAGGAAAGAATTTTTTTCTTTCCTAGCTAAACCTTGCTCCTAATAGTGATTCTTAACCTTTAGACAACTACTCAAACAAGTGAAACGTACTAATAATTACTTTTTTTTTTGAACAGCGTAGCTAGCCATGAATGATACCTCTTTTGAAGATATTTACAAATTTGATGAAGAAAAAGAAAGAAAAGTCTTGCGCGAAGCACCATGGAAACACGAGTATGCTAAAACTACATTAGACTAGGATATACCCCGTAACATTGCGATTGAAATGTTTTACTGACATATTCCTAGTCCATTCTATTTCAAATCTGTCCATATTGATGCTGTTGCTCTTTTGAAAATGCTGCGACACGTGTCGCAAGGAATGCCTTTCGAGGTCATGGGCTACGTACAAGGGAAGGTGAAAGACAACAAGTTAATCATTTTGGACGCCTTTGCTCTTCCAGTGAAAGGAACGGAAACTCGCGTAAATGCTCATGAAGAAGCTGATGAGTATAGTGTCCAGTACCAAACCTTGTGCAAGTCTGTTCATCGATATGAAAACGTCGTTGGTTGGTATCATTCTCATCCAAACTACGGTTGTTGGCTTTCAGGGGTTGATGTTGAAACACAAAAGCAAAACCAGCGCTTTCAAGACCCATTCGTCGCAATAGTCATAGATCCTAAACGTTCCTTGGAATCTCATTACGTCGATATCGGTGCTTTTCGCACTCATCCTGAAAATATGAACAAACACACATTTTCTCCTTTCAAAAACCAAGATATCTTTCTCTATGATAATCTGCCTTCCTCCAAAATCGCCGATGCTGGTGCCCATGCCGACGCCTATTATTCGCTACCTATCTCTTATTTTCATTCCCCTACGGAAAAGAAAGTTACAGAGTTTTTAAAGACGAGAAAATGGTCTGAAACCATATCCAGTCCGTCAATCTTAGAGGTACGTTAAGCATTCTCTTTATTTTCATTAACAGTGTATACTAACTTTGAAAAGGACCCGTCTTTTTTTAAGAAATCTGAAAATTATCTTTTGGAATCCATTGTACAGGCAACTGTAAAACGTCCATCCTCTAGTGTTCAGGAATTTGAACATACCAAACCATATTACAGGGAAGCCAATTCATTTTTGTCTCAGTTGGAGCTTCAAGATCGATTATTTAAAAAATGATCGTTTTCTTTTTTTATTTCCCCTTTGATTTACTTTATTTTTGACCTATATTACCGACCATAACCCATAACCTAGACGGGTTTTCCGCGGAAGACAGGGGAAACCCCGAATACTTGAGAAGTCAGTTCGAATCGTCTGTTTTTGTACTTATCCTCTTTAGATGGCCTTTTACTTATATAACGCTAAGGCATCTTAATTTTTTATTTTTTATTTTAAAGGATCATGAGTTTGTTTCTTAAACGTTTGAATATCGCCATAACCCGGCCTTATAGTCGTTCACTGTTTACATCGGGGGGTATGCCAACTTAATGCCATACGACAAATGAATGTCATTATTCACATAGTTATATTAGCAAAAAAGCCAAATTATCCTGGCCATGTTCCATTGTCTCCTTTACAACGAATTTTCCTTGTTGCGGGTTCTGCTATAATGGGGTTAAAAGCACCTTGGCGAGGAGGTAAGGTTACGATATACGCTTGACTCTTCTGGATATATGCTTGAAAGTTATGCTTTCTACGTCAAAAGAGATTATAGTCCTACTTAAAAACATTATAAACATCTGGATTGGTACTAATTGAACACTCTAGACATGATTTCCATCCTAGGAGACTCATCTGGTCAGCCATTTTTCTTACGGCGTTTGCTTAAACAAATGCTTTCTGATGAAACTGGTCGTCAAATTTTAATGGAAAAGCCACGCATAACTTCAGCATCTTTAAATCTTCCCTTTTTACGGACTCTTCCACTGAATACACTAGGACGTATCTATGTTGACTGGATTGATAGAGAGCATGTAAGCCCGGACACACGTTCTCCTACGCGATATGTTGATGACCCAGAAGAAGCATACGTTATGCAGAGATATCGTGAGTGCCATGATTTCTACCATGCACTTTGTCATATGCCCACAAACATTGAAGGCGAGCTCGCTATTAAATGGTTAGTGAAATTATTATGAACAGTGACTTTTTTATGAATGAAATTAACTTTTTTAGGCTTGAATTTGTTAACATGGGCTTACCTGTCGGTGCTTTATCTGCTTTGTTTGGTCCTTTTCGTTTAAATTGTAATCAGGCAGCCTTATTCCGAAAAATATATATTCCATGGGCTGTACGTAACGGACTAGTTGCTAAAACACTGATAAACGTCTACTGGGAGAAAGAACTCACACGAGACATCAATGAGGTGCGACAAAAAATTAGGATTGAGGCAGCTCCACCTTTGCATTAACGTTGCTGTAAATGATATACCTACGCTCGTATCTCTAAATCGTTCATAGCCCTTTACCCTTTCCTCTATGTAACGCTACATATGAATAAATTAATGATGAATTCATGAAGCAAAAGCTTTATCAAAATTAAATTTGAAACCTTAGTCAAAAAAAAATATAACCATAGTTTTATTACCCAAAATTATATCGAACCTATACCAATAAAGAACCTTTTCCATAAAGCATACTTCCTAAACTATATCGTTTATTTACGTTTTTTCTTCTCAAGACGCTTTTGCGCACGAAGATCTTTCTTCATACGAGAATCCACCATTTTGTATTTACCTTTGACACCCTTTGGACGAGATTGGATACCCCTGTTAGCACCTTTCGCAACAACAAGTGTCGCCTTTTGTTTAGGCTTCGCTTTCATTGCACGACTCATAAGGCGTGAAATTTCTTTGGATTTTTCGCCTTCGGTCATCTCACCACTTTCAGTAATACCCTCAGCCTTTTTAGCAACATTTTGCATACGTCTGACAGTACGCATCTTTTTGCGTCCTTGAGCTTCAAGAATCTTCTTAATAGGACGAGCATTTATAGCCTTCATTTTCTCTCGCAAGGCCATGACGGCTTCTTTAGTGATAGGCTTATTTGGTTTGTTATGATGATTTTCTTCATCAACAAACCAATCTGGAAGTCCATCCTTAGGTTGAAATGTCCAGCGGTTGTATCCATCGTCGATGAGCTCAGATGTCGACTTTTTGCGTGAAGCAATTTCTTGGGCTAATGTCATTGCTTCTGCCGTCACTATGTCAACGTTTTCACCATCGTCACCGGAATCTGAATCCCAATCGTCCTCCTTTTCTTGGGCAGAAACAGGTGGAACAACTTCAATATCTCCTTTCCGAGTTTTTTCTTCTTCATCAGAACTTTCATTTTCATTTGCCTTCGCAGATGATCTTTTTGCCTTGGCAGCAGAATTCATGGCAACGATTTCCTTATCAGCGTCATCGTCATTACCGATACCTTCAAAAATGTCTTGATCAAAGAAAAGACTAGCTTTCTTACTTAAACCGTTTTTGCCTGAATCCTTTTTGTCAAGTGAAGTAAGAAGATGCTCGTCTTCTTCCACTGAAGCTTCGTTCGGCTCGTCTTCTTCGTTTTCACTAGCCTGTTCTTGAATTCCTTCCCATTCCTCGTCATCAGCGTCACCTCTAGATCGTTTGACCTTATACTTCACGTCGGATTCTGCTTTTCTTTCGGTGTACTGAGAATACATAGAGTCCAGCTCAGCTTCAAGACGCTCCTGTTCATCTTCACTGTCATATTCTTCTTCATTTTCTTCCAAAACTTCATTTTCTTCTTCTGTGGGAGGAACTTCTGGAGTTGAAGCATCAGTTAACTTATTGAGGCCATGCTTCTCGGCTGTAGATAATCCAAACATGCTGTCGTCTCCCATAGTGCTCTGTTCCATACCAATCTCCATAGGGGCCTCCATCCCCATTTGCATTCTAATAATTTCTCTTTGCTTGCGCTTGTTGGCCCTACGACGCTCACGTTTGACCTTAGTGCGTTCAGTCTCATTCAGATGTTGTAACTCTTGATCCATTTTTGTTTCTTCGTCAACCTCGGGAATTTCTTCTACGACGGTCTTTTGTTCGGTTTCCGGACGTTTGCCTAGACCCAACTCATTACGAACCTTGAGTCGCCATTTAAGCAGTTCCCGGAAATCCTTCTTGCCTAAAACTTGTAAATCAGAGCAATGAATTAAAATATCTTCATCTGTTGCTTCCGAATTCTTCAGACGCTGAGAATCTTCATCTTCTTCAGGAAAAACAATTTCCGCGGAGGTACCTAATACCTGAATTGGATCATTTCCTTTGACAAAATCAGACGCGGGTACTGTTTTATGAAGAGTATAGTCATTGTCGGCATAACCTTCACGATTTCTTTTTTTTTTTTCGGGTTCAAAAACTTTTGCCTCTACGTTTGGAGTTGGCTCCGTAACTTCCTCAAACACAGTGCGTGGATCTGTAAAGCGAGGATCTAACTTTTGTGGAGCCTTATAACCTCTACAGACGACGAAAATTTCTGCAGACACGTTACGCGAAGAAGGGGGTTTCGTAGCATCGACCCTATTGAATAGTTGTTTGAACACCCACAAAAGATTGTTATAGTCACGAGAACGGAAAACCTTGGTAACGAATGTACCGCCGGGAACCAAAAATTCGCAGGCAAGCTTCATAGACATCAACACCAACTCTGCTTGACCATATGCATCTTGCAACCAAGCAGCACCTACGTTTGGAGCACCGTCGTGAAGAACTACATCTGCCTTCCATGTCTTCAAGATACCTCGTAATTGCGAGCGACATTTATCAGAAGTAATGTCTTCTACAAACGTTTGACAGTTTGGAACAGGTCGAATAGGAGTCAAATCCACACCGACAAGTAAAGAACCGGGCTTACATGCTCTAGAAGCTACCTGTAACCAGCCACCAGGAGCAGCGCAAAGGTCAATAACCACTTTTGCTTTTTCTAAGAAGTTAAACTTCTGATTCAATTGGACTAATTTGAACGCAGCACGAGAACGGTATCCCTGTTCTATTAATTGTCAGCAATCATCAAAATATTGTAAAATTGTTACACGGTACTGAATCCAAAAATTTCCAATGGTTCAACACCGTTTTTTGCAATTCTTACCTTTAGCAAGCTTATACCATTTATCCAAACGTCCTATAATATGTTAGAAAAAGAAAACTGTTGAAATATAATACCCTTTGCCGACTTTTTTTGAGTTTTTCCCATTTTAATCCTGTAGGGGTGGTAAGATGGTTAAGGACAGGAGGCAAAAGTTGCTACCCAAAAATCTATAATAATGAATAACCACTATGGTTTATGAGAAGTAGGGCGTATATTATTGAAAATAGCAATTATAAAAAGAATTATGATTTTAGAAATGAATATTAGACCTTTTCTGAACCTATGTTTTAAAGGTGAAGGGAACAAAAAAGAAAAAAAAGGAATCATTATGAGAACATTAATTAATTAGAGATAAGTCTGACAAGTACATACCCCAAATACTTTAAAGTACGAGACAATATAACAAACTTCCTAAGTATAGTCTCAGTCAATCCTTAGGACCATTTGGATCACCCTGAGTCGGGGTGGAAAAGTGCAATCCATGAATGTTATTCCTCAGCTTTTTAGAAATCATGTCTTTTGAGAATGAAAAAGAATCTAGCCGTTTACATAGGCGCTCTTCTTCATGACTGCTCATCTTTCCAAGGTAGGAGTTGTTATTGTCATCCTTGGTGCATGACATTAAAAGATGATTTTCTTGTGTATGAGAGCCTGCAAGATTTTCTAATGCAGTGGGACTTCCTTTTGGAGGGATATATGGTTGAATCATTTCTCGCAGAGACCTTGAGGGTGAGGGCATAGACGATTGATTATTGATATTGTTGACAGACATGAAGTGATTATATTGAGCTTCAACCTGGCTTTCAAGACTTTCGACATTCGCATTATTCACATCGGTTTTGCTGGATGAACGAATTAATGGCGACGCATTTCGATGACTTACTCTTGAAACAGAGTTTTCCGTACCTTGTCTCTTAAAAGGAGAGACAGAATCTTTAACAGATCCAATTTCTGATTCAGATGCATTTCTGTTAGGATAGGTTGGGCCTATTGTATCATTATCATGAACATCATCCGTTTTCATTTCTGGCTGGGATCCATTAGTTTGAGTAGAGATTGGACGTTGATCATTAGTTGGAACATTAAGTTTTTTACTAGACGAACGCTGTAAAGGGTATGAATAAAACTGTAGTCTATCAGACAAAGGTTTCCCAAAAACTATGATTTTTCTTTCGTTTTCTTCTTCCCAATTTCTTAAAGAATAAATTAAATTTGCACGTGTGAGTTGAAAATCTTTTTTTAGTCTCTTCAAGGTAAAAGGTTTCGAGGATGGACTTGATGAACCTTTAACGGTCTGCGATTCTTTATATAATCTAGCCTCCAAAGCTAAATATTTTCGAATCAATGCATTGATTTCACCTCGAAGATGAGTTTCTACTTCCATGTTGTGAATTTCCTGTTTGAGTTTATGCAAAATTTCCAAAATGTCATCCTTTTTCAGATTTTCAATGATTTCCTTAAATAACAAGTCTTTCTTTGATATAAATAGCGACTTCGCAAGAAGCAAATAGCGCTTCAATAATGATTCATACTCCTTACGATGCTTTATCGATACAGAGTTACTTGAAGGCTCTTTTTCTTTCTAAAAAAGTTAGTTAAAATCTTTTGGATTGTATAGAACCCTTACGTTTCCATTAACTCGTCTACTGGGACTTGTATAAGCACTTGGGGAGTTCACCTTAGGACTCAAATCAGAATGAACACTCGATCGAGATGAATAATTTTCTTTTTTTTGAACTAAGCAGTCTAATTTTTCCTTGTATTCCTTTATTCTTTCCAGATAGCCCGTCGACAAATTATTGGTATTTATCTCGATTTTGGTCGAGAGGTGCTTTTCCAAAGGTAAAATCTCCTTTCTCTTGTTTAATAAAATTTCTTTTCGTGATTGATATTTTTTTTCAATACTCTCTTTCAAATGATTTAGCTGTTCAATCTTTGAGTCAGAAACGTCTACAAAAGGGGAATTCTCCAAGAATAATCCTTCAGAATTTTCGCCAAGACAAAACAACTGGTACAGTACTTTGCTTTGAATTTCTGATACTGTTAGCAGGAGGAATTTGATATTGTTCAAAGAACTGAAAGAACCAGAAAATAATACCTTTTACTAGCTGAAGTCTAGAGTCATATTCCCTTTGGCTTTTTTCTTGTAAAGAAAGTAAATGCTGGTAATGCGTTTCTAAGGGTAATTCATTTTCAATATGTTGTTTTCTCCCTAGACACCTATCAAGCTCATACAAATGAGACGTAAGTTTGTTGCATTTTACTCCTATGTCCTGTAACTTTGTTTTCAAATTTAAACAGTATTCCGATAAGTTATTGAGGATAAGATTTCTGAAAATCGTCAAATTGAAAGGAACATTAAGGCTAGACGAAAGTTGCTTTAACTCATTGTAATAATTCTCAAGAGACTCTTGAAATTCCTCATCCGTCATATTCTGTTGTCTATAAATATAAGAAAGTTAGGAACATTTTTGTAAAAGTTGTAGCCCAACTTGTAATGAATGTGTTGAAACCATTATTGCTATACAGTTAATTAACAACGATGTCAAAGAACAAAGGTTAAACAAATTCAGTAGTTTTAATGAAGATGATATTGTGTTTAATATTTTTCTATTAAAAACAAGCAAAAGAATTAGGAATATGAAATATTTTCTCGCATCTTTTCTCAAAAGATTGTAACGCTATTATTAATGAGAAGTGTCAAACATTAAAGAAAATAGAACAAATGTAGTGCTTAAAAAAAAAAAAAGAAAATCAAAATACATTAAGTTATATTAACAAAGAGAAAACAAAAGAAAGACTTCTATACTTAAACTAGTAATGATAAAGATATCGTAAGGCGTAATTTAGATTTTTTTTCATCATCTGGTTTATGTTCATACGAAAATACAAGTGCTTGAATGCAGGTCATCATTCATAAATAATTAACCAACAGGGCATTAATAGAAGAAAGAGAAAAAAGAACGACGATCTTGAGGTGTATCGGGATTTTGAAAGATCATTAACATATCTTATATCGAGCTTTACATAGTCAATCAGCAAACTAAATTGGTGTTTATAACGTCGCTGTATCTTCTTCACCCTTGTCCTCCTGGTCCGAACCCAATTCCCATTTAAGGCCTTCATACACTTTCCTCTTAAAACGCTTCTTTTTGCTTCTCGTTTTCTTCTGCAGCTTTTCAAGACGCCAAAGCATCTCTCCCATCCTTTTACTGCTGATCCAAACCGAATCAGGTACTTTAAGCGGCAGCTTTTTGCCCGTAAGGTACTGATCTATCAAAAATAAACCAACAATGAATTCTTCTCGGTTCAACATGTGTGAATGATTTCGATCCACAAGGTTATAAATATTTGCTAGGACACTTGTGGGAGCACCACATCTTGACCATAGTTCGCGGACTACTATGTCACAAACATAGTTTTCCGGATTCGCTACATCGGTATCACGTAAAAGATACCCTTTATTGGCCGCCCACAAGCCTTCATATAATTTTCTCCGGTTTTCATCAATCACGAAACGAGGAATATCAACTTTCTTGGATATTTGGGATACCCTTGCATTTTTATATCTACCATTGCTTCGTTTTGAAAAAAAGTTCTTCTTTTTAGTAGGTCCTCTTAACGTACGCGGTGATGGCTTTTTCAGTGTTTTTGATTTTAAAGGTGGTGGTTTTTCTTGAACAACTGGGAACGACCTATCTGCAATGGCTGCTGCGTGAACCGCTGATGAAGAATCTAAAGCTTCACGATGTAAATAAAGCAAACTAGGTACGACCGCTTTCTCAGGTTGAAGAACACCTGCCAATCGCCACTTCAATGCTTTAGCAGTATCATTTGAAAAATTTAAAATCGAATCTTTAAAGCTAGAGATGGGCCTTCCTTTTTCAACCAACGACAATTCATCCCCAGAACTATCAGTATCCGAGTAACTGCCTAGTTTATCCACTTCAGCACTCACAGGCGATTCAAAAGATTCTTCTGTATTGTGAGATGAATCATACATCAATCCTGGTAAAGAGGAAGGAGGAGCCAATGCACGTTCATCATCTACAGCATCATAAAAAACGTCGTCGCTTGCTGAAATTTTTCGATTGGGTAACGGACCTGACTGACGATAGGGAGGATGATAAGAAATTGATGGTCTAGCAACTGCGACGCTGTTCTTATTCTGGGCTACTAAAGAAGTTGTATTCAAGGGCTCATTCAATGTATCGGGCCGTAATGAAAGGTTCACTTTTTCGTTCGCGGCATGATTAGCAGCGATGTGAGCAGATGAAATAAGTTTCGGAGAATGATGGTATGAAAGACTCTCATCTAAAGGTGATTGACTTTTTAAATCAGACACTTGATTAGCCGCATTAAATGCAAAAAGTAAAGCTTTGCTGCCATTAGAATGAGAGTCTTTTAAACTCTGTGAGTCATGTTTGGAAAATAATGCTGTACTTCGAGCAGCAGCTAACGGTATCTCATTAGGTATGGAAATATTGTGCTGAGGTTGCACTTTTCTCGCCAAAGATGAGAAATGAGTTTTGGTAGAAGCTTCATATGGCACAGGATGAGATACTCCTGTTTTATACAGTCCTGAAGCAGCAACCTCTGACGGTAAAGTGCTGCGTTCGAGAGTATTTCCGGGATTTTTTTCCAGATTGGAAAAAGGATTACATGCTACCACAGCAGCATTTCGTACTGATGGCTGTAAAGAATAGGAATTACTTTCATCACTAAGCTTATCATTTGAGTCTTCATTCTTTAAAGCGAAGGATACAGCAGGTAAAGGCTCCTCGCTTAAACTTGTATATGGTAAAGGTTTAGGTTTCGTATAATTCGGAAAACTTTGTTCATCCTTTCGTTTTTTCCAATCAACTTCAGAGTAGGCGGATGTAAAGCTGGATTCCGCAGCTTTCTTGATAATAGATGAATGGGAAACCGAATCGTCACATCTTTTTTTTATAACAGCTTTTGATTGAGGAGCAGTTTCTACTTCAAGAGGACAGAAGTCATAAGATGTTTCCGAACTTCGATCAAAATTTGGACTTGGATACTTATATGCAGGTTTTGCCCTGGATGGATGATCCGAAGACTGGTACACCAGATAAGGAGACTTGGTTTTCCCGATATAGTCTTTATACTTCGAAATTGAATTTTGACTAGCAGATATGTAATGCGAATCAGAAGGACGAACTTGTGATGAATCACTAGTGGGACTTGCAATACTCTGTCGATTTCTTATTCGAACGGGCTTTTGGCTGGCGGGTGACATAGAAGCTGAAGCTTCCGTTGCGACATTAAAGCATTCGGATGGATCTTTGATTTCAAATAAAGAACCAGATGTCAAAAATTCTTTATGAAGCCGCTTCGAATTCGAAGAGGAAACCCCTTGACGACGCATTCCGATACTAGAATCTGGTACGGAATGGGATTTTGATGTCGATAATCTAGAGGCTGCCTTTGCTGCAGCATTAGAAACAAAACCCGACATTTTGGAAGGAGATTTGAGAAGTGAATTATGATTTTTGTTGTAACGATCAGCCTTTGATGTACCAAATTGATCTTTCCGCCCGTTGATCATCTTCATGCGTTCGCTGGACAATGGAACACTGGCCTTTGCAGCAGCAAGAGGCTCAAGTGGGTTTGCAGGCTCGACGCTTACATGAAGACGCTGGTATTTAGGAGGAGAAGACGCTCTAGAAGTGAAGTCACTGGTGTGAGACCGGACAGAAGAACGTTGAAGCTGATGAAATGGTAGATGCAAAGCAGAAGAAGAGGCTTTTCCTTCTACGGGAGACGATAATTTTATGTCTCGTTCACCATTTCGCAATGACGAGGAATGAACACTCATAACACCGTCTGTCTCTGTCCGGCACTAGCGATTAATTCATAAATCGCTAACGTTTGAGCAAAAGCGCTCTCAACACACAATTACTATTTTGATAGTTGTCTGACTCTCTTGCTAGCTTGCAGTAGTAACCAATTCCGGAAACAAATCACGATCTTCGATTCGGCATAAAACTACGGTTTAATGTAAGCCGATCACCCCGCAGTCGGAAAAAGTACATATGTATCCACTCCAAATGGAGGTTTCAACGGCAAAAGAACGACAAGTAGCAGCTGCGAAAGGAAAACACTGGATCAGACAAATAGAAATACGCGCTTTACAGCTTCCCTATTGAAATGGTGGAAAAAGAAGCAACCCCAAAATAGAGAATGTCAACGATGCTACGATAAAAAATTAAACAAATTTGCTAACACGTCTCTATAAGAGCGATTGGTTATGGAGAGGTGGTGGTGATGAAGAGCATAAACATTGTAAACTCTACTACGTTTGGAAAACTGCGATACACTAGAACATCGTATTTGGCAATAGGGGACAATAAGCATTGCGCAGTTTTCATAACGAGCCTTTGAAAAACAGCGCATTAGTAAACAAAGCCAGAACGAAACAAGTCTAAAAAAGGCAAAGCTAAAGATAAAATTGTAATCAACAGATTCTCATTATGGAAAAAATAGCAATAGTTATCGCTCTTGATTATAGCTCTAAAGTCGATTATCATGCCGGATATGGTTTCTTGGGTTATTTCAGATATTGCAAGAGAATCAGCAGACACAAAACGAAAAGGCCTTTCTAAACAGAGAAGACATAGGATATGATAGCAAGTCGTTATTTTTGTTTTAAAAAAAAAGAGCATATAGACAAAGAAATCAGCATTCCACGTTATAAATAATGATCCATTTTGGCTTAAATGCAGTCAATCATGTTACGACATTCGTAAGCTTCTAAAATGAAGATAATGCTTCAAAGCTTAGTTACAGCCTTACTATCCATGGGAAGGCCTGAAGGATCAATGTTATTTTTACTCATCGTATCTCGAAGGTAAATGAGGCGAGCTTGATCGAAGGAGCATTGTTGTTTTTTCATTATGCCCTTAATTTCCATAGAAGCTGCCTCATCGAGACCAGCTCGAGGGTCTTGTGCAAGCACATTCTGGATAAGATCAAAAGAATTGGAGGTCAATCCATTCTGAATATCGGATTCAAACGAATCATGCACAGGAAAGTATCGGAATTGACGCAAACGTGGTCCCCAAATACTTCTAGTTGCATAGGTGATTCCCGCTATAATTGCAAGGACGATAGTAGCATAAGAAAATAACAAATGAAAGCTAGCCATCTCGTATAAAAACCAGCAAATATAGTATGTCAGTATTCCCTAAACATATAAAAGACAAAGCAAATTAACCGTCTGTTCCTTCTTGCAGAAATAATTTTATAATTAATGAATAAACCCCTATTGAAACAAAAGTAACAAATTGAATCAAAACAGTTAGTTGACAAGGAATTGCAAATAACTATCGCTTTAAAAAGTTTTAGAGAAGACGTGCCTTCTCCCTATCCACTATTTCCTAGATATAGGTCAATTTACTCCCTCAATGTTTATAAGCGTTGGTACGTAGCATGTGAAGAATACACCTTTTAGACTATGCACAGGTATGGGATGAGATTACGTCGATGTCAAGTTGCTGAATGTAAAAAGATTGCAAAGTAAGGGAAGTTCCTAAAATGTCTATATTTTTTTCTTTTAAAAAAATATTTCAAAAGTTTTGCTTCCATTCACATATTTTGTTTCTTTCCGAGTTATAGCCAGAGGACTCAATCGTAACAATCAAGTTGCAAGCTATTCGCTTTAGAGAAGCTAATTGAGGAACAAAATTCATTTATTACTAACGTTTGCTATGGAAAAGAGTTCTGATTTACTCATGCTCTACTTCAGCATCCCAGTCATTGATTGATTTTTCAATGCCCTTGACCAGATCAAGAGTGTTAGAAGTAGAAGTATAAAAATGATAATAAATTGCAATTTTCCTTTTCAAACTCTTCTCCCTCGAAACCATTTTTATAAAATAAAGTATAAACCCATTCACTTACTTCTTCTACCAACTCTTCTTTGTTTACAACTTACGGTGCGTTGTATCTCAGAATACTATACTTAGTGAGGCCCTGCCCGCTCGAACACACAACAAAGCATAGCCCTAAATTTCCAATGCCCAAAAAGGCAGTCACACAAAAGTAAATGTTTCATGCGTCAAAGGCGAAACTTGTCAAGCACTCACACCATGTCTGTTAGCAACGATCTCATCTGGCAAGTTATCCGTGATAACAACCGCTTCCTTGTTAAGCGCTCTGAGTTCGGTGGCATCCAATTCAACCGTGAGCCCTTCAACGTCACCGGAAAGAACTCTCAACGTTTCTCTGGTCTCACCAACGACCGTGCCGTTGGTATCAACGCTAACAGCCCTCGTGGTGTTGTTTTGGTCACCAAGACCAACCCCAAGAACGCTCAAAAGCCTGCCAAGCTTTTCCGCAACGACGTAATTGCTAACAAGTCTTCCCGTAAGACCTACAAGAGCGTTGCTGGCCGTGTTGGCAAGACTGGCTACCGTCCTGACCTTTTGAACGTTTCTATCGCTCGCTCTTCTGCTATTCTTGCCTCTCAACGCCCCAAGAAGAACTCTGCTTAAATGTGGTGTTAGTAGAAAATAAAATCTGACTTCATGCTTATCCATCAATGTGTTCGTATTGTTGTTATTATATTATAAATTAACAGAATAATTATTTTTGTTAAGATCAATATTCTAAATAGAAATCCATTATCATTCCCATGTTGTTAGAGCACCGTTTTATTTTTTTCGTACACTATCACTCGTACAATCCCTCTTGTAATTACGTAGAGCTATTAAACGGGAAAGAGGTATGAAATTCAGAATCCCAATTGATTCGGTTATCATCCTCTTCATTCCACAGCGGTCCAGCCGTCTGCAGTGGTGTCCTCTGTCGCGTGTCTTGTATTTGAGGTAAGCTTAACATAGACCTCCCTCTCGAATCATCATAACTAAGCAGATCACGGTCAGACTCCCGGATGGTGAAAGGTGGCCGGGTTGGAATATTATTATATAACACTGGTTGATTGGGTGTATAAATGTTTGACAGTTGTGATTCTCTAGTATCCGACCTAACAGATGGGGAGCTATTATTGGGGTTCGCTCCCACTGGAGGCAGTACTAAGTCACTGATTAGTAAATTCGCAGGGTCATTGGCAGTCGTCATATGGGCTCCTGGAGTGGAATTATCCATCACTGACGACCTCGACGGCATCGAAGGATGATATATAATATGACTGTCGTCGACTGGTAAACTCCCTAAACGAAAATCTCCTCTAGGAGGAGGAGTATTGACAGGAGGAAAACTTATCCCTCTGGAGCTATCAAATGACTCTGTCGGACGTCTGCCGGAATATGAACTCCTTCTAGATACGTAATTAGGGTCATAAGTACTGTAAGATCTATGAGAAGTCGTTGTAGTAGAGGGGACCGTAGTGGTGCTTGGCGGTGTTGATGCCTGAGAAATACCATTCACAGAACTTTTTGGTAACGAAAAGTTTTCTGATGGAGTGGATTCTGACGGTTGGGAATTTCTTTGAATAGGGCTTGGAGATGCTGGCTTCGAATAAGATTTATCTGTCTCCTTCGTTGCTGATAAAGGGGGAGACGCTGTAGCTGAGGGTTCTTCATCGTCAGAAATAGTAAGATCAATTACCAAAGATTCTCTCTTCTTTTTATTTGTTGAATTGGCGGCGGCAGGTGACGCCTTTCGTTTTGGTACATTTGGAGGTTCACTAGGATTTGCAGGCGTAGCAGATCGCTCTTCGTCGCTCAATTCTATAATCTGTTCCTTTGGCAAGTTTTCTTCCTCGGAACTTTCACTTTCTTCATCAAAAGTATTCATGCTCCAATTTCCTACGGGATCAACGGTAATTGTTTCGGAATTACTGGGGCTATTCTCTAAAATATGTTGCATGAACCCATCGACAACCAAATCAGGATAACGAATGTGTATATTACAAACAGGACACATCCACGAAGGAGTTTGCTGATTCATCTCTAAGAACGCTCTAGCATCAAAACATTGAATGTGCTTGCAGTAACTAGATCTTACCGGTAGAGATATTCTGGTAAATGATAACGGACACTTTAGAGAAATATCTGTCGAAGTCGCAATAATATCGGTATCCTCGTTTTCACTCTTAATACGCTCCACGATTTTTTCTTTCGTTTCAATTTTTCGTTTCTTGATATCATCAACCAAATAATCAACAGAATACGCCTTAACAAGAGCAACGACAGCAGAATACCTTTTCGTAGCATTCATATAATAAATAACAACATTATTTCCCGGAGGACCAGCGTATTTGGTTATGTAGTCTGTTATGTCAGCTGGGTTTGTAGTACCACTTCTCCCTTTCAAGCCGCGATAGTTAGCATGTGCAACTTGATTATTGGCCCGAAGCTCCATTTGAGGAGTAGGATACTCCATTAAACATTCACCAAAACCAATTGTATCTGTCGGGGTTGAGAAGAAGTACACTCTATATTCCTTCGGATTGCTTAATAGTTTTGAGAGAGCCATTGGCGTCAATTGAAAAGAAAATGATACCGTATTACGTGCGCCAACACAAGCCGGTATAGAAAAAGGTGTATTGAACGGTTCCAGTATATCGTAGAATGGAGTTTTCCGGAAACGAATTCGTGAATGGACGACTGGAGCGAACGGTCTAGTATACGCTCTACTGCCAGAATTATTTACAGGAGGCGGGATAGCTAAAGTCTGAGGATAAATTTGCGAAAGATTAGATTGTAATGTACAAATAGCACCAGAGATGTCTCCATCAACCGCTTTTTTTAGTGAAACCCACGTGTTCATGTCATTATTAATAGCTATTTTTTCAACAAACTCTTTGATTCGGGCAATAAGTTCAGGTTTTGTGCCTGACAGCCGTAGTCCAAATACTCGTAAAACATCTTTTAACTGAGGTATAATAAGCCCAGATTCTAACCGTTTATATACATGCTAAAAAAAGTTAAAATAATTTATCCAGATTATTAGTGTATACTTACTGGAAGCTCTTGCAAGAAGTCTGCCTGGTTCATTGAGTTTCCGAAATGAAATTGAACCTCTTTGCCATCCGCATATGCAACGTTTTGATTATTAATTCGATACGATACGTAAAAAGATTTTAAAACAAAATTCAGAGTAAGAAAGACGGATTCAAATCGAATTTCTTAAACTAGTACCTATTCTGGATGGTGAATTCAGAAAGGCCATATTCAGTGAAAAGATTTTACCAACGTTCGTAGCGACTCGCTAAAGTTTTGAGAGGGAAGTACGGTAAGAGTAATCATAATACAAGGCTGAAATCATTATAGAAAGATTTAATATACATAAATGAGGTTTTTTATATTTCACAAAGGAAACCTTCACCTTGAAACAAGAGCGTTGTTCTAACCCATTTGCTTTTCAAGGAATTGTCCATTGTTCCACCAAGCGAGATGCTTCTTCAAAATGCTCCCTCGAAACCAGTTTGCTGGCTAAACTTTTTGCATAAAGGCGAGAGCAATTGATCTCAATAGAAAGTACTTTTTCATTTGTTTGAGAACCATTTCGCCTCGAACCAACATAGTTTGATTGAATGAACTCTAACATATCATATGGTATGTCAGTAGCACGAGTCCATAATTTGAGATAATTTGACAATGCTTCCGATTCGTCTGATGGTAGAGATGTCTCGCTTGACATTGATGACTCGTCGAATTTGCTTGCATATACAACATTAACAGGCAAGATTGACTTTCCATGGCTTAAAACAACGATTCGCACGTCCGTCTGTATGTTATAGCTACTAAATGGATACGCAAACGTAATTTCTTGTTGAGAAAGGAGAAAGGATAAAAATGCGACATTACGAACGCCTGTATCATTCAAGGTGCCACTCGAAAGTTCGGTTTCATCCAAAATCAGTAACGTTCCTGGCGTCAATTGCAAGCGACCAATTGATAAAGTATCTCCATCACTTCGAGGATATAGCGGCTCCTTGTTTAGTTCGTGCACGTTTACTTTTTGTACGACTGTTCTGTTTGTCAAATCTTTCAACAGGCTAATTATCCTAAATGCACAGACTGGTGTGCAATTGGTCAAATTCAGGCTAAAAGATCCAACGATGAAGCTGTCTGCCCTATGAACGACATTTGAAAGCAAGCAAAGCAGCAAGGACTTGGATGCCACATTGTCTCCCAATACTTTGTTAAATTGAGTAAGCAACTTTGATTGTAGTTGTTTAGCCTCTTCCTCAGACGGATACGTAGTGAAAGGTTGCTTATAGTCTTGAAATGTGATCAAATGAAGAATAGGAAGCCCATCAGAATATTCACTCGGCTCTTCGTACATGCCTAACATGTCAACAGCCTGACAAACACGAATTCGAGTTTCCATTCCGCCGTAACATTTTACACAAAAGCCAAAATCTCCTTTCTCTAACGTTCTGTTTGAATATTTCATGGTCAGTTCTTTAAATACCTCATTTTCTTCTTTCGTTTCCAAATAATTAGATTGGTTTGGAATCTGTTCGCCAGGAATATTAGTTACAAATAAAGAATACCGTTCATCAAGTGCTATTTTACTCTCATCCACATAAGATTCATCTTCGCTGTAATTGAGAACGTAGCGACATCCCCGCCAATATTGATCATTCATTTTGATGGCACCTGCAAAAAATTCATGTCCAAAATTTGTATCTTGTACCATTCCCTGTAGTCGAAGTAATTGTCCGGTTTTTAACTCGTTGGGATTACAAATGAGAAAATTTGGGATCTGAGTGTTAGCGCCATCATTCAAAGATAGGTATAACGGCATAACTTACTTTTTCTAACTCATCCTTATGTAAAAACAAATCAGAAATTGCCTCCTCAATACCTAAACTTCCTTGGAGATCAGGTTTTCCTGGGTTTGACAACGAGGCATCTTGGATTTTTTGAAGAAAGGATTGTGGGTCTTTTAAAAACACTTCGGATAATTGGACCACCATACTTTCCTTATACTATTCCTATGTATAGAGAAAAAGGAAAGTCTATATATTTTTTTAGATATATGCTATGAGATTGTTCAATAACCTGTCTTGATTTACGAAACCAAGTTTGTAGAAATAAAGTATGGGGTAGATTCGCTTACTTCTAGCTCACACTAAGCGAAATGAAACAGAATTGAAGAGCTTTGGGCTTTCAGTAGTTCTTATTATGGAACGTTATATTTTATATAGAATGAAATAAAGAAGAATAGAACAGACTTGAATCTATTCAAGGGTTGATTTATGGTAAAGGAATGGTCTCTGATTTCTCAACTTGGATGAGCCCGGATGCATAGCTTTTCGCTTCAAGTAAAAACTCTTTCATACACACTGATTTACTTGGTTTTTTCTTATTCTTTTATACGGATGAAGCAGGTATCGTAACATTACTTGACGCTGGGACTTTTAAGCGTCCACCCTCCACCGAATACTTGCCCAGAGGTAGACCGTGCGCAAAAATGGGCGATGCAGTTATGTCTTCTTCAGGGACAAAGAATGTAGCAGTACGATATGAGTTACCTTGGTAAGTTTGAGCAGGAAGAACGTGTCTTTTTTAGCTTTGGTGGATGACAAGTCAAACGGTTGGTTTATGAGAAAGGACGATGAATTGAATATTATAGCCTTGTAAAAAGCTAACACATGAGATATAGGGTAGAAAAATATAGACCAGTAGTGCTTGATGATGTCGTTGGAAATGAAGAAACAGTCGATCGTTTAAAAGTGATAGCTAAGGATGGCAATATGCCTCATCTTATTATTTCGGTATGCAAATTTTGTTTTGGTAACAACTAATGGATTTAAGGGAATGCCAGGCATTGGTAAAACTACTTCAATTATCTGCTTGGCCAACATGCTCCTGGGTTCAGCCTGTCGAGAGGGGATACTAGAGTTGAATGCATCTGATGAGCGAGGTATTGACGTTGTAAGAAACAAAATCAAAGGTTTTGCCCAGAAGAAGGTGAACCTTCCTCCAGGTCGTCATAAAATTATTATCCTGGATGAAGCAGACAGTATGACAGCAGGTGCACAGCAAGCCTTACGAAGAACAATGGAGATTTACAGTAACACAACAAGATTTGCTTTAGCCTGCAATCAGTCCAACAAAATTATCGAGCCTATTCAATCTCGTTGTGCTATTTTGAGATACTCGAGATTGACAGAACAACAAGTCCTGCAGCGTTTGCTTGAAATATGTAAACTAGAAAACGTAAAGTATACGGATGACGGTATGGCCGCTCTCATTATGACTTCTGAAGGAGATATGCGTCAAGCGATCAACAATTTACAAAGTACAGTATCGGGATTTGACTTAGTTAACGGGGAAAATGTTTTTCGGGTAGCGGACCAACCGTCCCCAGTAGCGATATATGCGATCCTTCAAGCATGTCATTCTGGAGATGTCGATACAGCTTTGGCAAAGCTTCGAGACATATGGGGTCTTGGCTATAGCGCGGTGGACATCGTAACGAACATGTTTCGTGTTGTGAAAACAATGAATGAGATACCGGAATTCAGCCGTTTGGAAATGCTCAAGGAAATTGGAACTACGCATATGATTGTTTTAGAAGGAGTGCAGACACTGCTTCAGCTGAGTGCACTTGTCTGTCGTCTAGCAAAATCACAAATGAATCAACAGTTATTTGTGGTATAATTTTTTTTTATTTTAACAAAAGAACCCCAAAATACTGAGGTATAGTACCCATTTGATACCGAAGTTTACGAATATAGCAAATTCCAGGTAATGGCAAAAAGAAAGAGCCCGGTAATTAGTAAAATATAATAGATAGTCGTCTGCGATTTCGTTCCAATTTTTCCGTAAAATACTGGCAATCCCATAAAGTTGCAAAAAGAGTGAATCAGAAAAGTAGGCCATAAGCTATGGGTTTGTAGGAATACATACGTGCTATACCATCCAAATATTGTCGTATAGAAGAATTGCACAAGGAATTGTACCATTGCAATAACGTATGCTCCCGGATAATTCAGCAAAAGCTCATAGGAATGATGAAAGTGAGCAAAGCCGAACAAAAGGGGTGCCAAGAGAATGATTTCTTTCCAAGAGTAATCTAATTTTTCAAATAACGGAACCATTGCACAACGAAACATCAGCTCTTCTGAAAGAGGTCCCTAACAAGTCAGTATACCTGGATGCAATAACAATCATGCTAAGCTACATACAATAACTAGGTTTCGCCAAGTCACTGGATCTTTTATTTCGAAAAGAAGGTTCTTTAGAGGAACCTTGTACATTTTTTCAACGAAGAAAGTCTGATATAATGGTCCTAAAAAAAGGATTCCTACATGAAACAGATACTTTGTAATCTGTTTTAAATTGAGAAAAACAAGAGAATTGGTGTTGCATAACCACTTGGTCAAAAAATACGAAAGAAAGGAAGCAACTACTACTCCGGTGCATCGTGCCAAAACTACATTGGGATCATTACGAACCAAACCAGGCTTTGGTCTTCCTACTGAAAAGATGTATAAAGACCCAATGTACAAAAGGGTATAACAGCTAGAAATAAGAAAAGGATGGACCATGAAGAGTATGTTGTATATATTTACGACGGTCGTCGAGTTGAAGGAAGAGGTACGGAGATGTGATTGTAGAAAACAATGATATGTAGTTTATCTAGTTATAGTGTTATTGTTTGATACAATTATTTAAAATACTATTAGAAGTAGAATGGATACGTGTAAGAGAATAATTTTTAATATTCACAGTTTATAAACTTCAATGAAAATGAAATTACAATATTCCCTAAATAGCCGCTTTCAACCGAAATCCCATAATTATATATGTCAAGAAAAGTAAATGACCGTTCCAATTAGGGAACATAACACAAACGCTTGAAACGCTGTATGCATTTTAAATTAACAGCATCCAAAAGGAAACGCATGAGCTTGTTGTTCACAGCCAAATCAAGCATCAATCTGCATAGATTGATTACTATCCTGGAGTTCCTTATTGAAAGAGTCTGTAACAACGTCGCAAAGATCCATTAAATCATCTAATCCTTTCTTTAGTGCTTCAATTGCTGTTGTACTTGCTACAAAACGAAAGTTAGTCACTGGTCATATAAAAATCAAAAGAACAAGTCAAAAGGGTATCCCTAAACGATGAGAAGTGAGGAAAAAAACACACTATCTTCTTTTTCACCTTTTTGTGTTTTTTTTTTATAGCTTTGGTACTTACGAATTGTCTGGATTCGAAGATTCATCTTGGCTTCTGAGGGATGAGGGATGGAGTACCCACAAAATTCAACCTCGGGGCTAATGAGTGGTGAGCAGGTATTCATAATGAATGGTATTCGCTTACTTTTTCATAATCATATAGCGAAGAGAGTTTCCCAAAGTATGATCTTCTTTAAGAATTTGGAACGTGACAGAAGTAAAGTCTGCAGAATGACCAGGCAACTAGCAAATTTTGTTAGTAAACCATACGCTTAGCTTCTAGGACATAGAAGAGAACATCCAAGCGCCTCCAATGCTTCTACGCAATCTTAGTCACGTACAATTGTGATCTTTTCACTACCCAACTCCATAGCAACGGAGGTAGGGTCTGTAACATCTGTCATTGCCGCCATTTTTGATGAATGATAAAGTCGCAGTAGCGTTCTAAAAGAAGCGTCCCAATATGCTTTTAATGGTAAATTTCAAGATTTTTTTATTGTTGACAAAGCATCTACGAAGCGAAATGGAACGCGTATTCTTAAACAGCATTTAGTGGTGTTGGTAAAGCCTTAAAGCAGCACGTTCCAGTTTACTAATAAATAATTAATGTATAAATGAAAACAAGTATGTACAAAACAGAAGGATCATTCTTTGCTAATGAAAGAAAAGGAAAATAAAAAGATCTTGGAAATTATATATAAAAAAATAGAAAGAAAGCCATTGCGATATCCATTTCACATAAACAAAACTTCAAAGTTGAGCTTTTATAGAACCAATTGCAATTGCAGGAGCATTGCCAACAAAAACTGTCCATAGCTTTGCAAATTCAGATTAAAAACCAAAAGCATAAACAAACTTGAAGCCACTTCCATGAAAGAATAAGCAAGCGTCATTTTGTTTAAGCCAAGGTGAAATAACTGTCGGATAGACCTGTACCAAAATAATAAAGAAAAGAATTGTATAACAAGAGATCATCTAACTATTGCTGACTAGGTAGACATTGCTTTACAAGCAATTGAGTGTGAATTTCGTTGGGTGACAAATGTACAGCTTTTGGTCGTAAACAAAATTAGAAAAAATAAATAAATAAAACAAAGCCAAAGATAACCCTTTGTGGTGGTTAGATGTCCTAAATTTGATCCCTTGGGATATTCCTAGTAAACTTCAACTACACACAATTACAATATCATTGTTACCAAGAAATGCAATGGTGCTTTGGATTAATCTCATATGCTTTTCTTTATTCTTTTTTTCAATTCAAGCACAGGCTGCATTGCATAGTCGGTCAACGTCAATTGTAGATTTACTGTCTTCAAGTCCCAACTTTTTTCGTTTAATAAGGCACCTACAGCAGGAAAACTTCATTCCTTACTTAAATCGAAATAAAGGATTAACGCTGTTTGCTCCTGTTAATGAAGCATTTCGTAGAGACACGATTGATCCAGTGTGGCCCTACCACATATTGAATACGACTGATTTGAATCGTACAGTTTTCGCTACTGAATTCAAAGCGGCCGATGGCCGACCAATCGCTTTAAAAGTAACACACAGAGAGGAGTCTAATAATCCTTATGATCTCGTAAACGATGTCTACATCATCAAACCCAACTGGCGTGCCGATAGCGGTGTTGTCCAAGTTGTGGATCAACTGCTTCGCCTTCCACCGACATCGTTGGAAATACTAAGTTCTGAAAGCGAGTACAGCATATTCTATCGTTTATCTTCTGCCTGGGTTAGTGAGTATGAATCAACTACTCTCTTTGTTCCGACAACGGATGTGTTTGTGAATACTTTTACAAGTACCCAACTAAGCTATTTTTACTCTTTTTATGCCACTGAAGATGTAAAAACTCTTTTCAATCAACACTCTGTCATCCATGAACGAGTGTATGCTGACGACGTTGTTGAACCCAAGAATTTTACTCTAAGAAACGGGCCTATTATAACCTTGCAATACGATAAGCCCAAAAAAATCTTATACTTCAATGACACTCCTTCATATAATTTTGATATAGTCACCCGCAATGGAGCTATACATGTCTTACCTGCTCTGCTAAATCCTGAAGTCATTACGTTTACGCCCGCTAAATATCTGATAGGCTTAGGAGCAACCTGGTTTAGTGAAAAAATTTCTAAAGAAAGAGAATATATTGCTGTGGATACATCATCTCACAGAGGAATTTTTGCTCCTACGAATTGGGCTTTCCGTGAAAGCTCTGATATCGATTATCATATTATGGAAAACTTTTATATGCCAGATGTCAACAAATATTACTTATCGAGGACTAATGCCAAAAGCCATGATGAACATAGTGCTTTAATAAGAGTTGCTACAGATACTGCTGGTGCACTTTACGTTAATTTCGACTCGCATTCCATTGACAAGGAGACGATCGGTAATGTAAGTTTATTTGTTCTTGAAAAAGACATTGAACCCCCTAGGCCTTTGCTCTCCCAACTTATTTTGCTGGATGAAATTTCCATGAGTATTCGATACCTAGCCTCACTCGGCCTTGGAGAAGATCCCAACAGTACTTGGTTTTTGGTTGAAAATGATGCATGGGCAGAGTTGGGACTTTTACGAAAGGCTTTAGAACATAATTTGGAGATGATGCAAAATGTTTTGCTTGAGTACATTTTCCAAGGAATCCATTACTTCGGGTCAACTGAGGATTCTTGGACTTCTGGAAACTATACAACCTTGTCCGGTAGAAGTATAATGGTTGAAAGCACGAATGAGAACAACGATATATTAAAGATAAATGGACTTTCTTACAATGTGAAAACGCGTGATATGTTGGTTCAAGAAGGTGTCGTTCATATCTTGGATAGATTAGTTGTTCCCTTTGCTATACCTCAACGTGATATGATTATTGCGGGAGGAAGGAAAGAATTTTTAAGTTTACTCGAAAAGCAGGGACTATTAGACATGTTAGAACAAGGATTTTCTGTTGTAGTCCCTCCCCTATCGGACTCTGATATCAAATCAAAGGACTTTTCCTTTGCCGATCGACACATCATTGACACTGGAAAACAGTCATTTATTATCCACGATTCTCTTCTATCAGTTGATAATGGGCCGTGGGTCCATATTGAAGAAAGTGGTTTCTCTAGTTGTGGAAATGTTTTCTTTGTACGATCTCCAATTCCTACAAAACGAGACGCTAGCTGGAGGACTTTCGCGATTTCTCTCCTTGGCTTCTTAACTGCTGCAGTCTTTACCAATAGTGGCTACAAGAGTTACAAAATATATCAACAAAAACTGTGGGCTGCAGAAAGAGAACCTTTGTTGGTGCCAGCCCGCCGTTCCTCATCAATTCATCGTTCCGGAAGTCCTGCTCACTCAGTTTGAAAAATTCTTCAACATTTGTATATTATATTCACAATGTTCGACCAACGACGCTAAATGATTGGAAAAATACGAAAAACCCTAATATTTTCATTCTCGTGAAATAATTTTAATGATAATAAAGAATAGAACGTTCCCATGAAGATAATTTTAATGCTATCCTGAATTAAGATTCATGCTATCTGCAAGATAGACTAATATTATTACAGCATCAGAGAATACTCTTATGGTCTAATTTACTGTTTATAACATAAAGGATCTAGTCAATTAACAAGTTCACGCGGCAGTATAATTTTATATGTAGCCTAAAAACTACCGTTGAGACGATAATGACATTATGAAGCTACTTCTTTATATACTGTTAGTAAATCATCATTAACATATGCGCTGATCTACAGAAAATACTGGAATCAATCCTTCAGGTATGTCTAAGAAAAAAAACCGCCAGTCGTCGTAATAAACATATCAATTGCGATATCTTATACGCTCAAGGATACACCCTTAAACTGCTATTAAATATGTATTTTTACAATCAGTCTATAGTAAACAAACAAAAATCACCTGAAGTAACAAAGTATATGTGGTAACATCCACAAAAGTTGACAACGTTTAGAGCTTCGCAAATTAACCCTAACCTAGAAAAACCATAGCAGTCACATAGAACACTTTGACAATTCCCAAATTTTACGAAACCAAACTTCTCCACAATGGCTGTTGGAAAAAACAAGAGACTCTCCAAAGGCAAGAAGGGAATTAAGAAGCGTGCCGTTGACCCTTTCGCTCGTAAGGACTGGTACGACATCAAGGCTCCTTCCTTCTTCGAGGTCAAGAACGTTGGAAAGACTCTTGTCAACCGCACTGCCGGTCTTAAGAACGCCAATGACGCCCTTAAGGGACGTATCCTTGAAGTTTCCCTTGCAGACTTGCAAAAGGACGAGGAACACGCATTCCGCAAGGTTAAGCTCCGTGTTGAAGACATTCAAGGTAAGAACTGTCTTACCAGCTTCAATGGTTTGAGCATCACTTCTGACAAGTTGCGTTCTCTTGTTCGTAAGTGGCAAACCACTATCGAAGCCAACCAAACCATCAAGACTACTGATGGCTATCTCTGCCGTGTCTTCGTTATTGGCTTCACTCGTCGTCGTGCCAACCAAGTCAAGAAGGCCACCTATGCTCAATCCTCTCAAATCCGCGCTATCCGTCAGAAGATGTTCCAAGTCATCCAAAACCAAACCTCCTCTTGCTCCATGAGAGAGCTTGTCCAAAAGCTTATCCCCGAGGTTGTTGGTCGTGAGATTGAGAAAGCTACTAACGGTATCTTCCCTCTCCAAAACGTTCTTGTCCGTAAGGTCAAGATCCTTAAGTCTCCCAAGCACGATGCTCAAAAGCTTCTTGAGCTTCACGGTGGTGAGGGCCAAGATGTTGGTACTAAGGTTGTCAAGGATGTCACTCCTTTGGAGTCTGTATAAACATATCCTATTGAATTTATTGGGGCTGCAAATTGAAATATATAGAATAGCTAATGAGAAGAGCGTCTATTATATAAACACCTGAAGTCTGTAGTTCTGAAATTGTATAGTATATTGTAATTTCCTTAGTTTGTTTCTTACAATATTTTCCTGATTGTATCTTATAATCTTTTCCATTGTACCTATTTAGTAGGCTATATTCTATTTATACGTAAAGTCTATTGTTTTGGAGGAGGGAGTAGATTATCAAGCCAACTAGTTTGACATCAACGATTAATAGCTGGTTCATAGCTAATTTAGCTTAGTCCGACGATAGGAATTTTACGACAAGTTCAGTAAACTCTTTGGCTTTCTCAAAATGAACCCAATGACCACAGTCCAACGTTTCCAATTTATAATTTGGAAACATTTTTTTAAACACAGGCAAGGCTTCGTCCGGTACAAAGGTGCTGTGTTTAGCTTTAATGACCAATGTTGGTTTTTTATATTGATCAGCACCATTTTCATTGACGGAGAATCCCGCTAAATCAGGGAGGGAATTGTGAATGAGTTCAAGAGGGATTTGGGATTTGAAAATACTGGGATTTTCTGGGCTCTTCCTTAAATTAGAAAGTAAGAATGCCCGGACTAAAGTATCATTCTCTACCTCTTTCAACATCTTGTCTGCGCTGCTTTGTTTTTTGAAATTTGCTTCATCGATGCGCATCATAGCCTTGATGTAAACTTTAGTTTTCTCAGGAAGGTGAGTATAGATGGGTGAATTATCGGCGACAACTAATTTCTCAACCATGTCCGGGTACATCAACGCAGTTGCCATGGCGGTTTTTCCTCCCCTAAAACCAGTTAGTATTGTAATTTATATATAGGGATTTTGAGAGTAATACTTACATAGAGTGACCGATAATAGAAGCCTTCTCAATGCCATGTGTTTTCATAAATTGTTGAGTATCAAAAGCTAAGGACTGGTATGACAGAGGACCAACACCAGGTGAATCTCCGTGACATCTCTGATCGATGTTGTATACATCTCTGTCAAGTTTTGAGACAAAGTTTTGTGATAAAGATCGCCAATTTTTTCTAGAACCCAGAAGTCCATGAAGGATTAAAACTGGAGGCTTCTTAGGAGCTGCAGCTGAAAATTTTTCAAATGCTAGTTGAACAGGTTTAAAGGGCATCTTTACTTTGAAAAATTTTCAGACCTTTAGGGTATACGTTTTTGACAGATAGACTATCGATTATTGAATTTATAGGACTGTGCAAGTCCCAGGAAAAAAATTTTATGAAAAACATTGGTTTGAAATACATCAAATAGCTTCTTATATATAAAAACTTTACTATAAGTATTTTTTCTTTTGATCAACTGTTTAAAGAACAATGCTGGTGGCAATGCTCTGAATGTCATTTGAATCTGGATATGAATTGTTGGTAATGGAGGAAATAAAATACATAAGATTTGTAAACACAAAATGCAATATCAAAGAAATGATTTGTCATTAGTTTTATCTAGTGAAACTCGAGTAAGAGCTAGAATTTCTTTCTCTTTCATTACATAGTCACGCGCTTTGCGCAGAAGCTGTATAATAAAAGAAGCAAATTATCAGGGAGTGTATAAAGATCAATGTGAAATTCGCCGCCTGTAAATCATAAGTTAACAAAGGAAATGGAAGTGACTATTCGTGAAAACATACCTTCAATATCGTTACGAACGTACATGTCTGGTGTCTTATTTTCATTTACCATCTGTACAACTTGTAAAAGGTCATCTTCTTGTAGTTTTTGAAGACCATCAGCCAGTTTTTCCATGTCCACCTAAAAAAATGGGTTAGAGAAGGAAGAACCGAAAAAATAAAAACAAGCATCATACAGGTTTCGCTTTTGTTTTTTTCTTTGCAGATCCAGCATCTGCTTCCGGTTTTCGCTTATCCTTTCTTGTATCATCGGCTTCAGGTGAGTAACCAGGAACAGGACCTGTAAGGGATAGAGCTTTTAGTAAACCTGGCCGACCAGCAGTAATTGTCTAGAAGAGAGTCAGTAAAACAAGAATAGGTTAGAAAAATGGATTACCAGCTCAATGTCTTCATGGTAGTGCTCTTGTTGGAAATGTAAGTAGTGAGAAAAGCGATATTCACCACCTTTGTCTGAATAGTAAATGATGATTTCCATCTCAAATTCACCCCAACCTTGCTCTCGAATCATAAAGGGAGGCTTACGGACGGCTATGATGAAAGTTAGTAATCTTTCTCTCTGCAAATCCCAACCAACTGACATAGAAAATTCAAGATCTAATGGTGGTTTCATAAAAACATACTTCTAGTGGGATTTTGAAAAGTAGGATGTAATTTATAAGTCACGCGATCAATAAAACTTGCATCTACTTCTTCTTGCTGAGCGTCTAAACAAACAACTTTGATAGCCCATTCTCGCATAGCAAAGCTTTGATCATTCAAGACGGCAGCTTCCCCTCCAGGTAAAATATGCTAAGGAATGAGGTTAGTAGGGAGCAAGCAAGCAACAACGGTGAAAACGACAGCGAAGAGATCCTTGTAGGGAAAACGTTTTTTATCAACAAAGAAAGAGAATAGCTCTTCTCCATGTATTGATGTCTCTCCTGCTACCTCTTTTTCTCCTGTCAAACAATCGATGGAACCAATCGTGAATAACGTACCTGATCAGTAATTAATCGTAACGTTCTTTGAACTGTAGACATGACGAGAAATAAGATAAATCGATAGTGTTTTTGTTTTCTTTCAAATATAAAGAATGAAATCCAGGAACAGTTAAGTTAAGCAAGAAAGTAGACAGGATTCTTCCTTCGAAACAAGTCTATTTAAAGAATCCAATAGGGAACTTGGCTTTTTTTAAAGGAACCGTGAATCTCCTTTCTTTTGACAAAATGGCAAAATTAGACTCGAATGCTACGAAGCATGCAATGTCTTAAGAACAGCAAAAATCAAAGACAAAAATTAGCAAAAGTGAAGTTGATTGCTCTCGTTCACTGGGCGTTTTTTTGTGGTTTATAACGTCGCTGCTGCTGCTGCTGCTGCTGCAAGGATTGATTCTCATTGAAGCCTGGTTTCTGGAATAGTGATGTCGAATGTAATCCTTATTTTTTAGTACGACACTCTAACGCGGATGAGGTAGTTACGTTCGTCAACAAGGAAGAAAAAAGAAAAGAACAGGAAAAGAACAAGGATGAAAGATAAAAAGAAAGAAGTGGAAATGTAGAGAATCCTTTGGAACGAGAGTTAAAAAAGAGCTTTCCATTTCTTTCTTTTTATTTTTCATCCTTGTTCTTTTCCATATTTCAATTGTTCTTTGCAAAATCTGATTGTTTTAGTTTATTTACTTGTGAGTTGTCGTCACTAACGCTATTCATACCGAACGCAATGCGTTCTCCTCTTTTAGTAAACAAACCACATGAAATCCCATCTGTTCATCCAATTTTCTGGATGTTTTGTTTTGGTAATTAAAATGATGTTGCTTTATTTCTATTTTTTTCCATTTATTCAAAAAGCAATCGCTTTTTAACAAAGCCTTTATACATGCTTTTACGTACTAACATTCGTATGTCACTCCACCGCGCAAATATTTATGTATATATATAGTACAAGGTCCTTGTTGAATTCTTCCAACTCAGTCACCAACAAAGAAAAGTTCAGGGTCTCTTTACTTTACGAAAATGAACAGCAATCGTCGTGAGGAATTGGCTTGCTTAGGGATCTTTCCCTTAAGCGACCGAAGTCAATTGGAAGGTGTGTTAACACCTATTTTACAACTTCGGGTCAAGTTTTTGCTACCTCTTAGCAGGTTTCACGAGGCATTAGTCTTAAATAAAGAGTTCAATGAAGTTGAAGGGAAAGAGTTATCTGGTTTTCTAAAGCATTTTAGGCCACAAACTGCCAAGTTTGTTAGAAATGAACATCCTGATGAGGGTACTGTTTCCTACATCTTTGAAGCAGACAAATATGAATTTGAAGTTTATTACTTTAAGAATGACCATTCCTTGAAATTCAACGGCATGTATGATATCGAAGAGAAGCGAAAACAAAAACAACAAGAGCAAACCGTCCAACGCCTGATAAAAAATGAGCAACAAGATGAGAAGACTGTTTCACCTACAAGATTGGAAGAAAAAGCATATTGGGATCGTTATGACGTGGATCAACCTTTGGAGAATGAAATCGATAGCGGTTCACGCACTTTGCCTGAACGAAGACGACATCCGAACTTCGACCGTCTTGGTCTTGACAATCTAATCGTAGAACAAACCGCCAGTTTGTGGAAGGTATGCCGACATAATGGCATGTCGATAGATGAATTTTTGCATTTTATCCGTATCGGACTCGAGCCTTTTCCAAGGAATTCCAATCATGCTTTATCTTTCTTTGGACGCTAAACGGTATGATATGTATGAGATTGTTTTCAATTGATTCCAAAGTTCGTTTCCTTCAGAATATCAAAAGAATGTCTGAAACTCAAACTACTTTTTTATAGCATTTTCTCATTTATCTGTTTTTTCCCTACAATGATTCTATTATAAACGCCCCTTTCTTCTTGGATCTTGTTTCCAGCATGGAAAGCTAGCTTTTTAACACCGACTCTTGACGACTCTACAAATAACATTGGTACATGGAATTGAGTATGTGTTTTTTATTAAACAGCAACTCTATTTTTGAGATAACTTTATGAATGGACGATAAACTAAAAACGTACACTAAATTAAACCATTGAATAAAACACTGGAAATCATATTTTCTTAATCTTGTTTTTCTTTCCATCTTTCCTCCTATTATTATTTTAGTTCACATAACACATCGCAGCGTACCTCACTAAGATAATTTATGTAACGTAGCGATACGCAAAATGGTTCGTTTCTCGCGTCGAGGAAAAGTTTCAACAGTTCTCTCTTACCTTTTTTTTTAGTATGGCTATAAAAAAAAGAGCAAGAGGAAATTCCATTACGCAAGAAAATGATGAAAAAGTACCAAGAATGAACGGTTCTTATGAACCTGCAGAACTAGAGAATCAACTCGTGGAGACAGCTCCATCTTCACATCTTGCAGAAAGTGGAAAGTGGAAAGAATCAATTGCTCGTGTAGTTCGTAGCGTCGTTTCTATTCGTTTCAGTCAGGTTGCTTCCTTTGATACAGATGAATCTGGCACTGGAGAAGCTAGTGCATTCATCGTGGATGCCAAAAATGGTTATATGTTAACCAACCGACATGTAGTGTGTGCCGGTCCCTTTATCGGACATGCAATTTTGGATAACCATGAAGAAGTCGAGGTATACCCCGTTTATCGTGATCCAGTTCATGATTTTGGATTTTTGCGATTTGACCCCAAAAAAATTCGTTACATGAATGTCGAACAATTGGAATTACGTCCTGATTTGGCAAAAGTGGGAACAGAAATTCGAGTTATCGGTAATGATGCTGCTGAAAAATTAAGTATTCTCGCTGGTTGGATTTCCCGTGTTGATCGTAATGTGCCCGACTATGGTGAACTAACGTACTGTGATTTTAACACCAACTATATTCAGGCTGCTGCGAATGCAAGTGGTGGTTCTAGTGGTAGTCCTGTCGTCGAAAGAAGCGGTAATGTCGTTGCTTTACAAGCGGGTGGCCACATGGTTGCAGCGACTGACTACTTTTTACCATTGGATAGGCCATTGCGTGCTTTACGATGCCTGCAAAATAAAAAACCTATTACTAGAGGTACTATTCAAACTCAGTTTTTAATCAAGCCTTTTGATGAATGCTCTCGCTTAGGATTAGATACGGCAATTGAAGAACAAGTTAGAGGCCTTTTCCCCGGTGCCACTAGCATGTTAGTCGTGGAAACGGTACTTCCGGAAGGACCTTCTCACAACAAGTTGCAGGAAGGTGATATTCTTCTTCATTTGAATTCAAAATACTTGATTGATCTCATAGAATTGGAAAGCATTTTAGATGAATCCATAGGCCAAGACATTGTTCTTACCGTTCAACGAGGAAACAGCACAGTCGACGTTACCTGCCGAGTACAAAGTACTCATGATATTGCTCCTGACAGGTATGTAGAAGTCTGTGGTGCAAAATTCCACAATCTTTCCTACCAACTAGCTCGCCAATATGCCTTGCCAGTGAAAGGCGTTTTTATTAGTGAGCCTGCTGGTTCTTTCCGTCTGGAAGGTCCAGAATACTGCTATTTGCTTGAGAGCGTCGCGTACAAACCAGTGCCCGATTTAGATACCTTCATCAATGTCATGAAGACCATTCCTGACCGTTCTCGTGTTGCTGTGGGCTATCGTTTTATCCATGATAAACACTCACTGGTTACGGATATCATTGAAGTTGACCGTCATTGGGCTAAAGCTTTTCGCTTAGCTAGTAGAAATGACGAGACCGGTTTTTGGGATTTTCAAACCCTTGGTGATCCGTTACCTGCAAAGCCTAATATTCCATGCACCACTTCTATTCCAAAACTTAATGTCGAGAACTTTGGTCCTACTGCTGATATCAATAATTGCTTCGTAAAAATCACTTACTATATGCCCATTCATCTTGATGGTTATCGAAAAAGCAGAAAACAAGGAACTGCTCTAGTCCTGGATAAAAACAATGGTATAGCTGTGACAAGCCGATGCACCGTGCCGTATGCGCTGGGAGATTTGACCATCACGGTTGCTGATTCTATACAAATTCCAGCTGAGGTTTTACATCTCCACCCAACTCAAAATTTAACTTTTATTAAATATGATCCTAAACTGTTGGGTGAAACTCCTATTAAAGCCGCTAAGTTGCGCAACCATTATGTTTCACAAGGAGATAACGTAAATTTTTTCGGGTTTAATTCTAAGTCTAGAGTCGTCGCTACGAAAACTTCAGTAACTGATGTCATTACTATGGTTATTCCTCCTAATCCGATGCCACGATTCAGAGCTGTCAACTTTGAGTCGATAACCATTGAATCTGGTTTGGGATCTCAATGTGGGTCCGGTGTTCTAACAGATGACGAGGGCCAAGTTGTTGCCCTTTGGCTTACCCATTACGGCGAGCAGACAAGCCGCGGTACCGATGTGAAATATCATCTTGGTCTAGCATCGCCTGTCGTCTTGTCAACTTTAAGACGATTACAGACTGACGTTAATCCACATATTAGAATACTGAATGTAGAATTCCGTGCTATTCAATTAGCTCATGCAAGAAGTATGGGATTATCTGCGGAACGTATTCAGCAAATCGAAACTGCAAACGAAAAACGTCATCAACTCTTTATGATTACTCACGTCGAAGCGAACACCCCTCGTATTCTAACCGACGGAGATGTAATTTTAACTGCTAACGGAAAACCCGTGACCCGTGTCCAGGATATCGAAGCTGAAGACACTGAAGAAATTGAGATGGACATTCTTCGTGGAGGAAAGGAAATGAAAATTAAGGTACCTACTTTCCCTACCGATAACTGTGAAACAAACCGGGTAATTATATGTTGGGGTGCAACAATTCAAGCTCCACATAGAGCTGTTCGCCTTCAAAGTGAGGGTCTACCATCTAATGTATTTGTCACAAATCGCAGCAGAGGCTCACCTGCGGATCAATATGACTTGGGTATCGCTCAATTCATCACTGCCATCAATGGTATCCCTACTCCAGATCTTGAAAGTTTTGTTCGTGAAGTTCGCAAAGTTCGCGATAATTCTTATGTGAGAGTGAGCACAGTAACATTTGACAAAGTACCAGTTGTTTTAACCATCAAAATGAATGAACACTATTTTCCTACTCTTGATTTGGTGCGTGATTTTAAAGCCGAAAATGGTTGGCGAGCTGTTCAATATGATGAAGGGCGTGAAGAAGACAATCCCTCAATGGGTTTGGTCATTGAAGAAGACGTAGATACCAATTCTGCTGCTGCAGATTAAAAAGAAAAGGAGGTCTGAAGGGTTACTTCTTGAAACTTATACACTTTATCAATACGTGCGCATATTTTTTTTTGTCATAAATCACTAAAAAAGCCTACACGAAAAAATTTTGAATAAAAAATTATTTATTTGGGTTCATTAGAAATGAAAAATACATTTTATAGTAAAGCAGTAGCTTTGTTTTCAATCAAGAGATCTACAACTGTTCCCATATTCTTGATGACCTCCAAAGCAGCCTCATAAGTTTTATCTTGTTGGGGCTCATCGAAAACAATTAAAACACCACTGCCTTGGTCAAGGATTCCGTAAAACACTTTGTCTAAAATCATTTGACTAAGTTTACCTTCAACTTGTACAGTAGAAAGCCCAATCAGTTTGGCAATGTGTGAAACTTCGATGCGGCTGTATGGTTCGACGACACGAAGTAGATTTTGTTCTAAAAGGTTATCATACAAAGTACTAAGGTGAGAGCGGATTATGGGATCGGAGGCCAACTCTAACTTGTAGTCCTGTAGAGCCTTTTCAAATTCGGCAAGAGAACGATTTTCATGAGCTTGAGCAACAGCACGCATAGCGTCTATGTCTTTTCCAGAGTATTTTACAGCGTGCTTTCCTGTTAAAAGAGATTTTACTTCAGATATAGAATTTAACATGATCTGAGAGAGTAACATATATTTGAAAGAAGAAAGAGCCTTTTTCAAGTCATCCAATGTGTTATATCCTTCGTAAGCTTCATAAAAATAAGAATATGCGGTCTTGAAGTCTGCTTCTTCAGCATGCAAGATACCACTTTGCATATCTAAGCTGGCTTGAAGGACAGCAGGGCAGTATATGGCATTAGCCGCTGTTCTGGCAGCGGTAAGGGAAGCACGGGCTTTAGGGATGTTTCGAATGGCATGATAAACTCTAGATTCTAGTAAATGAACTTCGGTGAGGAGCATTTTATCGTCCATCCTCTTGAGTTCAAAAAGAAGGGTATTGGCCAAGTCGATAGCATCGGTGTAAGAGCTGTTTTCATAATATAAAGAAATAAGTTTTGTGTCTAAGGCTTGACGAAGAAAAGTTCGCTTTCCTTCGATAGCCCATTCTCTACAGCTTTTCGTGACTTCAATTTGTAAGGGAAGTGAGTTTTTCGTACCGGAAAATTTATCAATCAATGTACGAACTAGTTTTTTGTTAGAACAATTCTGGAAAGCAATTTTCGAGCCTTACTGATTTTTGCTGCTTTGGCTTTCGAAAAATTCGACATCAAGGGTCTAACTTCTTGCACGAATTTAGCTAAATCTTCATGACGACTAAATTGTTAGCATCTTTCTTTACAACACTGCTTTTTTATAACATACTTTTCAGCAACATAGAGATCACTCAAGCCGACCATCGCTTGTTCTTGCTCGTTAATTAGAGACTCATCTTTCTTTACATCTTTTTGCAGAATCTCTTTATAAATGACCTCTGCTTTTGCATAATTCTTGCTTTTTAACTCAGCTCCTGCTAGTTCAATGCTTGCGTTTGACGACATGTTGTTGGTAGCTGTTTGCTCATGCTTCTGCTGCTTATTTCATGGAAGAAACTTACAAGTAGCAATGTTACTTTATTAAATTGAGATTAAAAGGGAAGAAAGGCGATTCCAGTAGAAACATTTATGATAAAGTTTGTAAATTTCTTTAAAGAAAGCATTGGCATTTGGGATAATCGTCCCAAGACACTGAAAGACACCAGCTTTTTGGATGTCAGCCATGATCATACTTAACCATCATAATTAGACAGAAATGGGTATCAAAAAAAAGTAGAAATTCCGAAGAATTAAATAAAAATAATTATCATTGCCAATTCTCAACACTTTGGAAAGGAAAATGGATCCACCTACTCAACACCACCAGTTCTTCCTACCTAAATACCATCATCCAACGATACAGTTTTCCAAGTTTCTAAAATTTTGAACGAACCAGCGAATTCGGTCGTACTTTTTATTTCATTTTATAATTCATGTCGGGAAATGCTAATCTTAACGGGAAAATAAATGAACGAGATGCCAAAGAAGCAGGTGAACTAAAAAAAGAGATCCGGCTCATAGAACGTGAAATTCCTGAAAAACTTTTGGAGACCATTCCAGAAGCAAGTCAATATGTTGAGTTACAGGAAATTGAGAAACGTTTAGATTCATTAATTGTACGGAAGCGCTTCGACTTGCAGGATTCTCTTAGTCGTCAATCAAAAAAGACCAGAGCAATACGGATTTTCATTCGTAAGACCCTAGAAAATCAAGCCTTTCAAACATTTCAAGAAAACAATGATTCTCAACCTAATGATTTAAGTTCTCTTTCTGTTCCTTCTTGGACAATTCATGTGGAAGGAAGATTGATTCCTGTATGTTCAAATATTCATGTTTGATTAAAAATGGACTAACAGACAAAGGGAAACGATGAAGACAAGAAGCGATTGGACGAAGTACCTTTTACAAGTTTTTTTAAAAAGATTGCTTTTCAAGTACATCGCTCTGAAGAATTATATCCAGAAAGTAATTATGTAGAGTGGAATAAGCTCTCAAATGGCTCCAACTTGGCGAATGAGCTCAAAATAAAAAGAAATGGAGATCAGGATGTGAAAATAAGCATACTTTTATATCCAGATGAACAGCCTGAACGGTACAAATTATCCAGCTCATTCGCCAATCTTTTAGGTATAAAAGAGGGAACACGTCCGGCTATTGTGGCTGCTCTATGGCAGTACATCAAAGTAAGTTAAAGGTTTAAAAATTTTTTTCTTTTCTCTTTCTAGCCGACACATTCTAACTTGAATATAGTTCCATCGACTTCAGGACTTGGAAGAGAAGCGTTTAATTAACTGTGACAACAGGTTAAGAGACGTAGGTTTTACAAAGTTTTATTATATTAATTAACCTACTTGTAGCTTTTTGAAACAGATAGACTCTACTTTCCTAGAATACCCGAGTTGATGAACCGGTTCTTGGAACCGATGGATCCTATAAAGTTGTCATTTGAATTGAAGTATGTTGTTTAGGCCAGATGAAAGATGATTAACGAGGTTCTAGCGTCAATGAAGTTTCCGCTAAGCCGTTTGCTATTTTCGATGTTTTTATTAATGCAGACGATCCTAAACAATCCCAAATTCGTACATTTTTGACCAACGTGATGAATCAAAACGAAATTAAAGTCCTTGACGAGAAAATTTCAAGCTTTATTGAAGCTATCCATTATTCCAAATCAAAACATGATTTTATGCGACAATTTTCAGATGATCCTGTGCTCTTCATTCATCGATGGACTGAATCTCAGAGTAGGGATCTAGAGGTTATTTTGGATGGATCTGAAGCAAATTATGCTGAAAGAAGGGACTCAAAATACTATCAACAGCCTTGGGTTGAGGAAAGTGCATTTCATTATTTAAATAGATTAAACAGCAAAAAACAACAAGAAATTCTTAATGCATCTTCTAGAAAATAAAATGTCATGGATTCTAACTACCAATGCACCGACCATTCAAGGAAAGTGAATTAAAAACAAAATATCATTGTATAATTAAAAAATAAGTATATATACATATATATACGAAAACTAGCGTGTAACAATTAAAAGAAATCATCTACCTATCAAAAAAGCCATTGCAAATACAGAACCCCATACTTCATAAGAATAATCAAAAACGATCATGACAACACTCCCGTAAGAAAAAAAATCAATGCACGATTGAAAGTCCCTAGTCCTTTAGACGAATGTATGCTCGCATCATCGCTCGAGCTCCTCTACCAAAGATACGTCCAGCACCTTCACGATCCATTTCCAAGATCGCTAAGGCATCGCGAGCGGTAATGACACCCTTCTCTTCGGTTTGAATAGGTAATGTTCCATCACGAGCCATCATTTTTTGAGTGTTGGTTTCTTTTTTACGAATTCCAAAACCACCTCCTATGGCAGGGGTAGCCGGGGTAATGTCTGTGGCCATCCAAGAGTATTTCTTACCACCGGAAGGTAAAGCACTTCCCGCCATAATACTTGCAGTGGCATTTGTCATCCTGTTCTGAGCATCTTCTGAAATATTTTTTGCAGCAGCCGATGAGCTTTGTTCTTTTTTACGACGACTGGAAGATCCCTCTTCACTGTTTGCATTTGTGTTTAATTCGGCGAGTCTTGCTTCGTGCTCAGCTCGGCGAACGTTCAAGACAGCGCGTCTTCGTTCTTCGCTCTCGTATTCCTTGTAAGCGGAATTCGCTAAGGTTTGGCGAACATTATCAAGTTGCGTATAATTTCTCGTATCAAGGCGTGCAGTACGATGATTGCTTTCGACAATCATTCTTTGCAACAAATTGGCCATGTAGTCACGCACTGCCATAGAGATGAGCGCGTGGATATCAGTATCCATACTCTTTAAACGGTGTAAGCTCACAATGCTGCTGACTGTTTGCATCAAGGTATACGAATTCAAAAAGTCGCACTTTTTCGATCGATCTTCAGTAGAAAGCGCAAATGTATTTAGAGAAGCTGGATCATAGAAGGAAGTAGAAAGATTTAATTCTTCTTCTTTTAATTGAATACCACACGATATCAAAGCATCCTGCAGTTGATCTGCTTCTTGGCGATCGCCGGTGGCTGCTGTGTTTCCAGCAGCGCCTGAGGACGAAGGCACGTTTCCAGGTCGAGAAGGTCCATAATGTAATTTACCAACTCCAGAGCCTTGATTTCCTCCAAAAGATGCCTTCCTGCCGTTCACATACGCTGGATATTCTTGGTAATCTTCATTTCTTGTACGTTTCACTTGAGGTGCCTCTTCATCGTCTCCATACCTTTTCATATTGTCATTACTAAAATCCATTCAATAAATAATTAATCTCAATAGCTGGATGTCAATGCTTTTGCCTTTTACTTCCAATTTCTTGATACCGATGCTTGTTCTACGCAGCTTCGCCTTTATTCAAATCTAGCAAAACACACGCCCTACCCTTACTGTATTCAAAAACCTTAATCTACAATTGCAAGGTGCCTTACGCGTCTTTAAACACGACCTCTACCTCTAAATAAGGTTTATAATAGCAGAATCTGTTTGACTACTGCAAACACTCATTGTTTACTAACTTTGAGTAGTTTCAGTGAATTGTTGAGGAAATTGGAGCTTCCTGTGGCCGATTTTGAAGTTTTGTTTTTTTGTAGTGTTAATTTCGTCCAAAAGCGTCCTTGCTAGCAACGATTTTAACTTGTCGTTCCTTATTCGATTCGCGATTCGCGCATGTTATTCAAATTTGGCGAAAGAGCTTTGAATGGCTAACTTGTTTTACTTTCTTGAAAGACGATTTATACTGAAGTCGCTTATTTTGCTGTCAGGTTAAAATCGTTCACCATACTGTACCATACCATACTTTTGCTCTATTTTATAAACTGAATTGTAGGAATATCTCGTAGAGCTCTGATTTTTTTGTTCATACTTTTGGTTGCTTGCTTGCTTGCTGGTGTATAGTTTCTTTATATCTTCTTTCTTTTAGATCCGCTGGTTTTCGGAAATTCGACCGAGTTTGGCGAATATCGGTTATAGTGTTTGTGTTTTCGTTTCAGTCATTTCGTTTTGTTCTCTACTTCTACTTTTCTTTTCTTAGAAACTTTTGGCCGATCATTAGGTTCTACAAAAGATATATACCTGTACTTTTTTTTTCTACGACGTATAGAAAGGCTCTGGGGGTTGCTACTGCTTTGATTCTCTAAACTTATATTCGATTTTTTACACTTTGTCTAACTTGCGCAGTCAACAAGTTTCTGTTGATTACAATGAACACACACGAGGCCTTATCGATGCAAATCCAGGAAGAGGCCTCCCAGCTGTCCATCAAAGAGGAGACGACTTCACAGGTCAAATCATGCTTGCATTTGAAAAAAGGTGTGAAACTATCGTATATCAAAAACAATGCCCGGACTCTCCGTGACCCTAGCAAACACATGTGTCTCCTTTGTGCAGTTGGCTCAAGGACGAATGAAGATTTTGAATTAAATCTCTGCGCCAACTGCGGCTATCTTTTTTGTGCCCACCACGATGTTAATCATTCGCTAACTCACTACAAGAAAAACAACAAGCATTCAATTTTTGTGAACATCATTACACTGAAATGTTTTTGTTATGCATGCAACTTGGAAGTCCTTCCGTCTGAAAAAAAGAATATGGTAATTCGAGACGTTTCTCAGTTCATCCGGATCAATCTTGTTTCACCTTACACTTCTGAGCAACAAGATGCTTCATTCAACATGAAATCTCAGGAAAAGTCATCCACGTTTTCAAAGCATTTCTCCCCAAAATCCTCTCCTTCTCCGAAGCTGCACATCATTCAACCAGGGCTAAAAAACATGGGTGCAACATGCTACTTTAATTCTGTTTTACAAGTTTTGTCTGCATCCGAATACCTTCATGACTGCATTAGCCGGCATCCTTTCCATCCTGATAGAAATCCAAAGTTTAATTTCGGAAATCATTTAGAATCCTCTTTGCTTTCCGCTTTCGTAAGGTTTATGGAATCCTTCTACAAAGCAGACGGGTCCGTACCCGTTTTCCGTCCAGGAATTCTGTTCGGCGAATTTCGATATCGTCATCCTCAGTTTTCTGAAGGGATTCAACAGGATGCACATGAACTTTTAAGGTACTTACTCAATGATTTAATCACTGAGGAAAAGGAAGTTACCAAAGCCGATAATAATAATGGGTCGCAGCTGCTCCAGTCAGATTCAAACATTTCTCCTGAGAATGGTCATTCAAAACGGAATCCCTTTTCGAATGGTCATCAATCAAGTAGCAACCATGTTTCTGCCAGATCTTTGATTACTCCTATAAAAGGGGCTGTTTCAGATGAAGGTACTGATTCTGCCTCTTCGCATATACATTCCCCTATCATTTCTTCCACTCCTTATGCGAGTAAGGAGAGCCGCTCTTTAGAAAATTCTGAGCCTAACATTGATAACATTGCTGAAAAACTCCCAAGTCAGAATTTAGTCACTGATACGTTTCATAAGGATTCAAAATCGGATAATAGAGAAGCCTTTACCATTCCTTTGCCATTACATTCCTCATATGATGAACCCAGCGAGACGAATATTCATTATTTGTCAAATATGGACAAATCTGCAGTCTCTTCTGATGAATGTGATAATTCAATTATCTTAGATGATGAACCTGCCCGTACGGTGATTGATTCTTTATTTACAGGTCGCCTCGTAAGTATCATTTTATGTAAGAATTGCAAAGAAGTTAGCAAAAGCTACGAACCTACCCAAGATTTCTCTTTGTCTGTTCATGCAAATTCAAAATCTTTAAGCAAGCGTCATCGATTTCATCGCGCGCTGCGGTCTCGCTTTGGAAGATCACCAAAGAGGTCAACAGGAACGCCAGATGTTAAAATCATTATTGACGATGTTGATCCCGAGAACGAAAAAAATAAAGCTGATGATTCCCACGAAAACAAGCCTGAAACAGCTAGTGAAGGTGTTCCTGCTGAGGATGAAAAATCAAATGGTGGTTCATACTTTCAAAATTTACGCAGGTTGAGTAATCTATCTAATAATTCTCGTCGGTCACAAAAACAATTCAGCAATCTATCGTCCCTAATTTTCCCAGAGTCGATGATTGCGAACGGTGCGTCTGTAAGCGAGCCAAATTCCGTTGTTGATTGTTTACGAAACTTTACTCGCATTGAAGAGTTAACCGGCGACAACATGTTTGCTTGTGAATCTTGTGGCCGTAGTTGTGATTGTAAGTCCCCCTCTAACCATGGTAGTGTATCGCAAGAAAACACTGAAGATGAAAGTGCATGTGATTGTTCTATGAATTTCACTTATCGAGAAGCTTATAAGCGACTTTTGATTGATTCCCCATTACCACCTGTGTTTGTGATTCATTTGAAAAGGTTTCATCATAATTTTTCAGCTGATGGAAGTTGCGATCCAAAAAAAATCACTGGGTTCGTTCAGTTTGACCAAGAGTTAGATATTAATGAGTTTGTCATGCCTACGTTACGATCATCAAAAGGAATTAAATATAGACTATTTGGTATTGTTGCACATTCAGGGACTTTAAATTACGGTCATTACGTTGCCTATGTATTGTCTCACAAGCATGTTCCAGCGGATAAGTCTATGTCTCCGACAACTGAAAAACCAGAGTCTGGGACAGAACCAGGAAGTAAAGAACGTCGGTGGTTATACATCAGTGATAATATTGTCTCGAAGGTTACATGGGAAGAGGTCTCTAAGGTGGAAGCTTATATGCTTTTTTATGAAAAGATAAAATGAAACTATAGCCAGGAACACTTCATTGTTAAATGTACATTCTTTTAAAAATTATCTATTTATTATTTCTTTTTCGCGAATATGTCTATAATTCTATTCATTTTCAAACTTGGCCGTTTACTCTTAAGTGTGTGTATAGAGGATCTGCTATATCCATAGTCTTCAACCTATCTTAAGTTCTCCTATCCTTTATATAATACAAAATGAATCTTTTATTTTTCTCCTTTAACTAGTCTTTTCTTATTTCTATGAAAACAACGAAATTCGGTTTCATTACATGTTTTGTATATATAAGCCTGCGGGGTGTTTGCATTCTTCTTCACGCTTTTCTTCAGTTAAGCATCTGTAATTCAAACTAACAAGCTGTTCACCTTTGTTTTCAATTTCTATTAGTAACCAGCAAGCATACTTATGCTTGGCTTACAGAACTGTAAACTTTCCTGCATGACTTTGGTTGCTGTTTTAAAAACCACTACGTTTCAGAGAAAGAAATTGAAACCAATATTAGCACTGGGTGGCTCTAAAGCATTCCAGGTAAATTGAACTACATTTTGGCGAATTCATTTGAGTTTCGTTGAACCAGTTTCAGTTATAAGTTTTTTTTTATCATTTGTTTGTTTAAATAATTCATTCTCACATAGACGTATTATTGTGTTTGAAAGTTTGCATTTGCAGTCAACCAAAAAAAAAAAAAGTCATGAATACGGCTGGTAGTAATGTCGGTACAAATTTACAGGATCATGAACGAATAAACAAAATGCTTGAAATTAATAGCCATCTGTTGCGAAGATGTGCTGAGTTACATCAAATCAAGAAAATGTATGCTAGCGATACAGAAGTGCAGAGTAAAATGGCTATTATGCTAACAAGGTAAGATTTAAGCACTAGATACTATTTACAAGTAATAAAAGGTTCGAAAGTGTTTAACTAGCTAACAAACTAACAGGTATATGCGGCGCATTAAAGACAACCTTGCGTTCTTGGCATCTTTAGCCTCGGGGCGACAAGCACAAACTCCTTTACCTCCTTTAACTTGCCCTGAAGGAATGCCTTATTTAGAACCCCATTATGAGATGCTTCGTCAAATGTTTCAAAAGCCACAATTTAATACGCCCTCGTATCCAGCACAAAATGCTGAGTCCAAACCTCAAAGTTCACCGTTTGGTCATTTGAATGCTAAGAATTCGGAAGCTTCTTTCCCTAACAAATCTTTCGATAATGGAATGAATCCTAGTGGGCAACGTGCCTCCCCAGCAGTCGGTAATACTTTACGAGCGCAGCAAGATATAATAAGCCCTTACAGCTCTTACACATCAAATCAATTTGCTACTATGAATCCAATGATGGTCGGAAACTCTACAGGTATGGGTCCTCCTGTATCAACGGCTACGACTACCCCCGATACCATTCAATCAAATCGTGCTCCGCAAAATTTATATTCCCAAGATGTATATTCAAATATTCAGCAAAAATTACCGGAGACTGGTCAACAACAAGTTCCAATGTTCAATCAGTTTCAACAGAATATCTACCCCAAATGAAAAAATTTAAATTGTCCGTTGCTTCGTTTATTTAATAAAGCTATTTCTGTACTTTGTTTTGGTGTTTTTCAAGTTTCTTCCTTGCAGTCTCAGTGTAAATCAAATATCCATGAAATTATGTTTGAGGAAGCGCCGAGTTGTGTTTACGTGAACATTGTTGAGAACAGCAAGAAAAAAGGAGAAGCCTACAGCGCCCCGGATTCCCATGTTGTCTCCAACCATAGTACTAACGAGGCCCCTCAGACGTTTTCACTTAACTGCAGTGATCGGACGGGAACTGATGTTTTTCGCCTATGTATGGCCGTAGACAGTTCCTTCAGTTCAAAAAGGTAATTTATAGGTTTTTTTTAATCCTGAAGAACCCATGAGGGCTACTTTTTGGCTGTAGGCTGTTACTCACTTTCAAGTGCAAAAAGTTTTTCAACAGTTCATAGAGAAATGGGATCTTGCTTTGTTTACAGAGGTGTAAACAAACGCGAAATTAGCGAACTTTGTTACTTATAATTTGTGACTCAAACGTATCTTCAACGATTTATTAACAATAATCGCTATAAGAGATAGCGTAACTGAACCCATCACTATCCTGAGCAAAAATGTTGCGTAAGTGATGCGAAATTTCTTGCTGGAGCCAACTTTTTATTTCTTCAATTACTGCCAATTGGGCTGATTTTGACGTTTATTTTGAGCTTTTGGAATGACCAGGTAGAGCTACTTTAGTTTTGGCTGCTACTTCTGTTGAGTTTTGCATTTGCGAAATTTTTGCATCGAATACGGATCAACAGCTTTTATTTAACGCTCTTTTGCTAATATTACATTGAAATTTCTCTTTATTTATTTTTAGGATGTCGGAAAAGGAGCTAAAATTCGATTCAAGCGACCCTCCTGCGTACAGTCAGTCGAATGTTTACAATGTTGATTTAGAGAAGGGTCTTTGTTTGGATACACAACAGAACATCAACAAATCGTCCTATCCAACTTCCTTCAATTCTAACAATAGCCAGAAAACGCCCAGGAATGGATCACAAAATTCCATCGCCTTGATAAAGAAAAGCTATGAGGAAGTGTTTAAACAACTTTCCCTTCGCTTTTCTGATAATCTTGTCATTATCGATGAAAGCCAGCGTCTACCTTCAACATTCTTCTTTTCGTTGATGTGTACATTAGCAATTTCATACAGTTTCAAACTTCTTTCTTGGCTGGAACAAGTGTATTCGGACGATAAATTAAGTTGGGCCCTTCTTCCACCTTTAGGCCCTTTGCTTGTGATATGGGCAAGCTTGTTTGGTCTATTTTATTGTAAGTGAAGCATTTTTAATAAAAAAAAGGAAAGATGCCGTTACATTTGCTAACAAAAAGTAGACTTTACTTCACTCGCTGTCAAAATAACAAGAACTGTTGCACAGATTATATTAGGTGTTGCAGTCGTAATTGGAGGTGTTCCAGTCTTAATTGGAGCCTTAATTGGATGTGTTGGAGCTGCTGGAGTTTTTATCGTTGATCTTGTGTGCTGTGGCTTTTATAACATTACTGTTTTTGGTCTTGGAATGGAATTTGAGCGCCCAGCTGAAAACACCGGTTCGCCTACGCTGCCCAGATATCAACAAAGGGATGATGCACTAGCTCCTCCGCCGACAACTACGAACGAAGAAATAGAGCTGCAGAGCAATCCTACCACTCAAAGTTAATGCTAATTTGTTTACCTTTCTTTTGCCATGAGTCTTAACTCTTCCGATTGAAAGTCACCAAATGAAAAAGGGAACATTACAAGCGGTTTATTCCGATGAAGGCTTATTTCTATGCCTTTGCTTTGTATCAATATGAATTGGAAATGACGAAGAAAAGTGGACAATAGAAAGGCATGCATTCAATCCGCGCATTGAAAGGAACCGTAATCTGAGATCATTGGGATCATACTAGGTTCTTAATTATTATTATTCCTATTATTCTTATTCTTAATTGCAATTGAATACGATCGTTCCATTTCTTTTCATTGAACTTGTAATTAGTCTTTTGTCACTTGTAAAGGAACAGCTTGCAAAAATTCTATCGAGAAAACGGTTGCAAGCAACAGTAGTAGACGTATTAAAAAAGAAAAGCAAAATGAAAAAAGTAAAGAGCAACAAAAGAAAAGCCTACAGCACCCCGGATTCCCATGTTGTCTCCAACCATAGTACTAACGAGGCCCTCAGACGCTTAACTGCAGTGATCGGACGGGAACTGGTGTTTTCGCCTAGGTGTGGCCGTAGACATCATAAGACTTATTATAAGATAAATAAAGATATTTTAGTAACTGCAAAAAGTTATTCATATTCTACTATACCACTTTTCGAACACAGGCCTCCTTTTAAATTGGCTTCATCAATCTTTTATATCATTTTACTTTCGTCAAAAGACCGTGGAGGTTTGCGGAAAAGTAGCAATTAACGTAGCTTCCTTGGTTCTTTTTTCATACAGAGGTATTTGGATCTTTAGTTAAAGCATCGAGAAAACTCATAGCTATCAAATCACGCTATTCGTCTTTGAATTTGAATTTGATTTGAATCTAGAGGTGGAGTTCTATATCCATTATCAATCATCAGTTGAACTCTCTGGTTTCTCGATTTTTATGTTGATGCTAATTTCTAACAAAGATCCTTACTTGAAGCAGACTGTGGACTCAAAATTTGAGCGGGTGTTTCAATCATTGCCTAAATCAAAGCTCATAAAAGAAGCTTCGGAACTCTTAAAGCAAAAAACTGTTTTAAAATACGAACAGAAAAAAGAACCGTTTTCTCCTACAACCAGTCGATTGAGTGTGAAATCAAAACTTGATTCAGAAAGCAAGGGAAAGAGCAGACGAATTCATGACTCCACAGGAAAACAGAAAAAGGAGTCTAGCTTGGCTACAAACAATGATGATCCCAAGAGCCCTTATATAGGCAAGGCATCTGATACAAAAAAGGAGAAGAATGGCTTTGAAAGTGTATTTCCTAGAGAGGCTTTTACAACTCCCATAAAAGCCCCGTTTGATATCACTCAAGACCGGTTTGTGGTCCCTAGCGCGAATGGGGATTTTGAAATACCTGAAGTTCAGAAACAATCCTCTCTCTTGAATGACATTAATATATTTGATGATTCAAACGGATTTAACTTCGCGAACGGTTCTAAGGAACCTTCAACTTCTTCTTCTTCCAATAAATACGCTTCAAAGTCTCCGGAGTCACATTCAAGTTTAGACGATGTAAAAAAAGATGTGCTTCAAGAGCGAAGTTCTTTAAAAAAAATAAAAGTCAGTCGGAAGCGCCCTAAAGCTGAATTGAGCAAGCTACAGACGTTTGGAAAATTAATTATGAAAGAAGGCAAACGAAGGGAATCACCGACGCTCTAATTCACCAAAACCGCTGTACATTCTACTATTAATCAGTTTAAATTTTCTGAAACTTTTAATTTTATTATTTAAGTATTGACTACTTTACCGTTAATGCATGAACCAAGTCGTTTATTTTTTGTGAGGTCTCCTTTAAAAAGGATGACAGTTCAAAGAAAAGGAAGGACTTTGTCAACAAAAAGGCATGAATATTATGTAAAAACACGTACATTTGTAAAAGATTGATATAATTCTCCCAGTTTAGTCTTTCTAGTGGTAACTTTATAAATGGACATCGCTAAAATTCCGCTTCTAACATAGTCTTCGCTCTCAACTTCCTTTACAACAATTATGGACAAATTGAAAGAAAAGGGATTCGTTAAGCTCAGAATTACTCTCAGTGATTCTGAAAAGACTCAAAGTATATTTTTAAGAGCTGACAGCGAAGATCCTGAAGAAAAATCTGTATATTTAGTAAATGTGCCGGTCACTACCACTGAAAAGGTTTTACGAAATGCCATCTCGAAATTAGGAGGACGATTCGTTTCTGTATACCCTTCAATTCAAGGATTACTTAAAGCAGGAACGAATTTACGCGTGAAGTTATTGGAAAAAGCAGAGGTAAAACAGGTTCTAAAGACAGCATCAAAGAAATCAACCACTATTCCTTGGAATACTACACAATCATCAGGATTAAAACGTAAGTTTTCTTATGATTCGTATTATAAATGTTAACTTTTCGTTGGATAGGTTATTTGGAAAAATATGATCGACAATTTCCAAATGCTCGAGTCTTGGGAGAAAGCGTTGAATCGTATATGAAGAGATTAACAAAACAAGAAATTACTGAAAAGAATCGACTTCGGAAGTTGAGAAACCAACCCGACGAAGACGGTTTTATCCCTGTTGTTCGCGGTACTCATCAACCTGTTGGAAATCCTGAAGATGCTGAAAAGCTTTTACAAAAGAAGAAAGAGACAGGAATCCACAAAGACTTTTACCGTTTCCAACTACGAGACGAAAAGAAGAAAAAGTTGCAGGACTTGGCTCACAAATTTGAATTGGACAAGCAACGAATTCAGCATCTTAAAGTCAATCGGCGTTTTAAGCCTTATTAAGACATTTTTATTGTGATAAACTTCTACTTGCATGGTTTTGGTATGAATGAAATTTGGTTTGGTTTTAGGGAAAAAGTTTTTGTGATTGATCAAACGTAGTTAAAAAAGTCATAATGTTTTTATTGCAAAAAAATGGTTATGAAGTATTAATCATGGCTGCCGGCGCCTTCGAGTCGTCCTTGACTGGAGGGTTAATTTTTGCAAGATCGAAATCAAGTCCACTGAACGCTTCATGTAAGCATCGAAGATGGCAATCTTCAACTCTAAAACCAATTGACCGATTGGGTTCCTTGGCAATTTTATCCAGAAAGCTGATCACGATTAGCATAAAGATTTTCAAGAAATAGAATACATACGGGTCATTATAGTTCTCTATAGAATAATCATAATATTTGCTTGTATTTCGTTCACCTGCAAGCGGGCTGAAAGGCATCTGCTCTTCTTTGAGCCTTTGTTGTGCCAGGTTTTGAAGATCGGGATATGCAGCAGAAGATTGCGAAGAAATTGGCTTTGGAGAATCCCTTTTTTCCCGATGCTTCTTAAGCGTCTCTGTAAGTTTCACAATCTTATTTGGATCTTTACCGGACGTAGCCAAGTCATGAATGATTTGCTGTTCGACTTGTTCTCGCCGTTCTCGCTCCAACTCATGTTCTCGTATAATGGCATCTCTAGCTTCTTGTTTCTGTTTCTTTAACAGGATTTCATTTTGAGCAAGTAATCGAGATTCTGCTGCAGCTCGTGCAGAGTTGAGTGCAATCGACTCGCGGTTTTGTTTTTCGTATTGCTGAACCTTTTTTTCTGTTTCTTCGACGTCAAATTGATAGATAAGGTTAAAAGCTAGATATAGAATTAGTACAAGTTGATAAATTGCACATTTTTGTTACAGCATACTTAAATTCTCAACTTCTTCCAAGTAGTCATTGTATTCTTGTAAGGAACCAAAATCTTGCTGACCTTTATTAAATCTGGATTTCTCGTTAGTAAGTTCTAATAAATTATTTCCATACATTTTTGCAATTCTCCGGCGTACGTCAATTTCCCGCTCAATTTGTGCATCTTCGAAGGTCTGTTCACGAAATTTAGCTTTTCGGAGAATTTTGCCGCATCCTGGAGTTGGACAAGCAGCTGGTCCTGTAGTAAAGATTCTCTAGAAATCCATGATTAGCTGTTCGCTCTTGATTAATGTGTAGCAAACACGAAAACCCTCATAACATACATCGACGCAAGATTCACACATTTTATGATAGCATTCTGGGTTTATGAGCAACTTCATATTGGGGTTTAAGTAACGATCAGCTCGACAAAGCGGGCATTTCTCGTCTACAGTTGTATTAGTATATACAATATCGCATAGTATTCAGAACATACCATTTTTCTTCGGGACCTCTGGATCCTCCATTATTACAGCAATACAGAATTATTATTTAAATCAAAAAGGTCAATAAGGGGGATTCCAGTCATAGAAATTCAATATTGTTTCTATGTAGCGTACTAGGTATAAGTGGACGACTTCACCCAAGTTTGTCCTTTTCACAGCTAAGAAGAAAACCAAATTGATGGACCGTAAAGTCAATAAATTTTGAATTTCCAGAATAATACTGAGTAGGAATCTCTCGAAGGAGGAAGTCTGCAAATTTATAACTATGCTAGTTTAGCGCAGAATACGAAGGAATCAACCTCCGATGTGGTAAGAAGAGATGATCAATTATTACTGTCTTCAAAAATTGACTATTTGTATACAGTTACTTGAAGTAGTGATGGTTAAATTACAGGGCTTGAATCAACTCATCATTTTCTGTCCTTTAGATATCTAACGAATTAATGAAAGCTTACAATATAGAGATATTTACGCGAAAGGACGCGTTTCTTACTGACCTACTTGCTCATATATAAACGAACTTTGGATATTACTTGATTCATACTTACGCTTTTTCTTTCATTGCAAAAAAAAAAAAAAAAAAAGGATCAAGATAAATAAAAATAAAAATAAACCATTAAGCACTCTTTTGTTGAGAATACTCTTAACTAGGAATGTTAAAACTGTTAGCATTTGTTGAGAAGGCTGGGTAGAAACGTCGTCAACAACCATTATCCTGTCGACGGTAATGGGTACCCCAATTCGCTGAATTAACTATTCAAATCATGGGAGAAGATGTTCATGATGTGAATCAGAGAAGAGCTGCGCGAATGCGTGGTGCTGAGTATGAAAATTGAAAATTGTAGTAGAAACTAATGATTTGTAGGCGGTACAAAGTTAAAGATGTTGAGTTTTCTATTGATCCAAATTTTTTAACAGAGTTTGATTCCTCTCCCTCAAATACTGAACATCGTAGTCTCTCTTCCACTCCTAATGATGGTAAAAATAATAGAGGATTGAATGGAGCAGCTACTGTCGAATCCCAGGAAGTGAATGGAGTAATTGATTCTCAACAAGCACAAGTAGACAAAGCTTTTTTATCTCATAAGAAACCCCAGAAACGGCCTGAACCAACTTCTTCGTTAAAGACAGAAAAACGAGGACGGCCTCGAAAGAATCAGACTCCGAATGCATCCGCTGGTAAAAATAATCCAGCTACAGACAAGCGACAACCTTCCACAAAGAAGGGCAGTGATAAGAAACGTAACAAACAAGAAGCTGTGCGGAAATTATTTGAACCCTTCATTCAACCTTACCATTCCAATGAAAAAACAACAAGCATCCAACAGGAAAACGAGAAATCTCCCTTATCTAGACAACAGCAAGAAGAATTTGCTACTTTTGAAGATAATTTTGAAGTAGAGCAAGCAGACTCTAGTGTCAGGGCCTCCGTTAGTTCAGAGGCTCCTCAAGAACGAATCCCCTCGCCAATATCATCTTCCGCTCATCATATTTATGCAAAAGAAATAGAAAAAGAGACGTCAACTAACGACGCCTCTATCAACAAATTACCAACAAAAGCATCTTCGGCTTCTGGAGAACAGTCACCGCCACAAGCAACGGACGAACTAGTGAGCATCGAGTTGACAAGGCTATCAAAAAATGTAAATGGAACGAAGAAACTAAACAAATTTGACGTAATTCAACAATTATTTCAGGAACTGCTTGCAGAAATTGAACCGGAAGATCCCTATCTTTTAAAGGTGAAAAATGCTTTTGGAGAGCATGTCTCAATACGGCTCTTAGAATTCATTGATTTGCTGAATGTGAACCAAGCTCTCTATGCAGCTTCTAGAAAAGCAGCTAAAGAAAAATTTGCTTTACAACAGGAACTGTCCGACGTTCGGCAGGAAAGACTTGCTCTTCAAAATAAAAAAAACGAGTTGCGATTAAGCTATCGAGAAATATCTGATACTTCTCAAGTACGCAAATTACTCTTTATTCTACTTCCAATGTACTTTTTACTAACGCAATTTTAGAAAATGGAGAATTTGGATGAATTTTTGATAGAATGTGAATCCCTCAAGCGTTTACTAGATATCGATAAAACGATTCCTTCTGATGATGTAGACTATTATTCATTAGACGAGTTCTCAAATGCATTATGTGGTGAAAGGGGCATTTACGAACAATTACAAGAGCTTCAACAGCTGCTCAAAAATGTATATCGAGGGCTTTCGAATCCCACTTGATTGTCAGCATTATCTATATATTATAATTTCGTCCTTTCTGCATTGTTAAAAAATTTATCTGAAAAACTATCATCCGTAGTGGTCAGGAATTTTTACTTTTTTGATTTCCTTGGTTTTATCATGGTTCTGTCTGTTTACTGTTTTTTGTGTATAGAAAAAGCATTTTGTACATTAGTATCGTTAATTGTTAATTTTATTTTTTTGTTCAAGTCTGTACTTTTATGAGAGTCTTCTCCAATAATTGAAGCAAACCTTTCATGCATCAATGTTTACTTTCCAGCGTTTATTTTCTTTGCGCTTAATTTAACTTAAAAATTTCTTACATCATGATTATTATACATAAAGCAATTCTAGAGTGCTTTTTCTCTAAACACTTTTTTCAAACAACTTAACTTCTTTCAATTGTGAAGAGAAATGATGTTAAAAATATGAAAAATCTTAAAGCCTTACTGGGAAATGCGGAGGATTCTCCTAAAATTGTGAAACCATACATGCAGGAAACATCTGCTCTCTTGAAAAACTTCAATCCATTAGAACGATACAATTTAAAGGGTATACACTTCACTTTCTACAAACGGCGACTTGCTAATCCTATTAGAAAACTTCAATGCCCTCGCAAGCTTTGAAAATGGGGAGAAAGTCTGGACCGAAGATGCCTTGTAAGCTTGAGAATGAAAAGAATGATTCATTTATTTTCTCTGTTATTCCGTAAAGTTACTGACGATGATCCATTAGCGTTACCTTTTTTGGGATTCCTGATACCTTGCAGCTTTCTTCGTTTTTTTATCGAGCAGCCTGCTGTTTTGGTTACCATCATCATAAGCATCGCTGCTTAACGTTTTCAGCTCTTTCGAGGTTCTTAGCGTGTTTTACGAAACGACATCAGAATGTATGGAGCGACAACGAACGACTATTACTTATTTTTCATAGTTGGTGTGACTCAGTTCCTCAGGAAAATAAGAGTATACTCAACGAAGTTCATGAAAGAAAAACGGCTCAGGATGTAGGGAAAAAGTCACTTGACCCAAAGAATTTGCCTCGTATGCGAATTACAAAATTTCACCGAGTTTGTGTGTTAGTATTATGCATCGTCGATCTTCAGCCGGGTGAATCCATTGGTTACCATATAAACGAAATTTCAAGCCCATATTATGAAAAAGCAGAGAAAGTTGCTGATTCTTTAATTTCTGGCATTAACAAAGACGGGACAAATCAATTTCTGCTTTTCGACGACTTTATAACTTTTCTAGATGAAAATGTGTTCTTCCTTGATCATCTGGGGTATCTGTTTGACTATATCTTCTATTCACATCCACAGTATGCTCAACCAGCTCAGGATAACAGTTTATGTTTCAGAAACTTCTCTGTCTTGAACCCCCTTCTTTATGCCCAATTATGCTTATTTATTCCTAATCCTTCACTTAATTACAAAAACTTAACTTGTCTTTTTAATGCTAATTGTCATGGTTACTCAATGTCCGCAATTGAACGTCATGTGTTGAATTTTTACGAACCTACTATCCTACTGCTTAAAGGTCATAAAATTCCTGAGAAGAAAAGGAATTCTCGACAATTCACTTTTGAAAACACATATCCTAGAAAGTATCCGAATGCTCCCCATCCATGCGCGACGATATTAGGATTATTGGAGAATCATGAACCTGAAGAAGAATCTTCGATTGTCCTTGGTGCATACATAACAACTCCATGGAAGCAGTCTCATTCTGGGGGTTTCGGTAATTCAGATTCTCTACTATTTCAGCTCCGCTCAAGACATCAAGTTTTTCGAGCTACGGGAAAGGATTCCAATTGCTGTGTATTTGATAAAAATTTAGGTATATGCTTTGGGCTCAGGCGGAACCATGTTACGAATAAACTGCAACTCGAAAGCCCCGGGGTATCTATGCTAATCGACGACAATTTGGAGTATGGGTTTTTTAGACATGCTGGGCATGGGACATTCGGAGAAGGGAAGCAATTAACGGGAGTATTGTTTGAAGAAAGATTTCTAATTCATGATCTTGAAATTATCGGAATCAAACATTCGTCCGGTATGAAAAATACGATTAAGCTTGGAAAATGAGCTTTGACTGAATCTATTGAAAAAGTAGATGAATGATAGTTTATGAGAGATTAAATTCTCGTTTTCTAAGGTTCGCTTGCTAATGTTGTTACACTTATTGTTTATTTTATATTGCATTCTTTAATTCTACTTTGCTTAATAGCGTTTAATGAAGTATCATCATCTCCAGCTGCTGCGATATAAGGGCTTTTGCTTTTCTTTTGCTTGTTGTCCTCCTTCCCATCGTCGTCTACCCTTCTTTCTCTCTTCTTCGTTTCCTTTTGGTTTTCCTTCTCCCTTGCCTCTTGTACTTCACTGGGTTCGGGCAGTTCAGCAAGTTGATGAATGAAATCCCATTCATCTTTATTGACTTTGGAAATACTAAGTCGTGCCCGATTAAGTAAGGACATATGTGAAAGCTTTCCATTAATATGCATTTTTAATTCCCTAAGAGTTACAGGCCTTTTAAAAGGATATCGTGATTGTACACCTACCGAGTACCATCGCGGCTTTTCCTTGGTTGATTTGGGATCATAGTAGGGATCATTCGGGTCCCAGCAAGAATCTTCAAGTAGGTTAAAATACTGTCGAAATAAGCAGGTTGCACTTACCATCCGGATGAGGTTCTGAGCAAATCTAGACAAAAAATTGTGTTAGTAAAAGGACTATGTGTCATACTCTTGAATGAATGGATAAAAATCTAAATAGACTCTAGGTAATGCATCCACTGTAGCTTAAGAAGTATTTTGTGATCCTTTTCAAATCCATTCAATATTGAAAATCGAGTTACCTCCATTACTCCTTGAAATGCATGTCAGTATTCTAGCTATAAAGATTGAAACCGTTCACTTACCTCTAATATGAGGGAATTTACAATTGGAACAGTAAAGGAACGCATAATCACCTATAGACATTTGATCTCGAATCATATTACGAGCCTCATAATTTCTGACACCGCTCCAAGACTCCATCTTTCCTTCTTTTGTAATTTTTTCCAGCATCTCAAATGTGAATGCAACGTCAATGCCTTTAACAATACGGGACTCACCTTCAGCTTTCATGAGCCAGTATTTTCGATTACCGCCTTCCCTGTCTGCCATTTTAGTGCAATTTCAGATTATAATGAAACTTCCACCAAGCTGTAGAATATAAGGAAAGAGAAAGGGTAGAAAGATAATTGAAATGTTTCGACCACCGTTCGGGAGTAACTGTTTGGTAATAACACACTGCGATGGTTGAGGGTTCATAACGAGATCGTTAGTTGAGCCAGCAAAATTATCGATGTAAGTTCCATAACCCATATAATCTTTCATGATAGACCTCAAAATCAATCCTCTCCTTCATAATAGCCATAGAACATTGGAAATACCACGTTTCCTAAAGGACACCAAGGATGTTTACTAGTGCCCTATAAGAAGCTTTGTAAAATTAAATAGCGCATTGGAGCGAGGTACTTCATTCTACTTAGTAAAACCAAGTCAAAGACTGGAATTCGCTTTTTTGAGTCATAATAGAAAAGAGATTTCGAGCTGCCAGTGATTGGAGGTTTTTAAACATTTTGTATTTTGGTGTAAAAAGGTAAACAAATATCCTCTATTTTCCGCTATAAGTGTGACCGTTGGACTCGCAATTCGTCGTTTAACTCAACTTGAAGAGGGAATCCATTCACGCGTTTAAGCCTTGGAAGGTAGAATCAATTGTTTCCGATGGATATCATTTCCTCTGAAAAAGCCGTTGAATCTTTAGAAGGAATTCGGCAAAGAACTACGCAAATCGTCCACTCTTTGAGTCATTTCCTGGCGATTCTGCACCAAACAGAACAACTCGCACCATGGTAAGTTTGAAGGAAGAAAAAAGCTCTTAATCAAATTTTGATTGACTTTATTTGGGAACTCTCATATTAATGCAATCAATGATAGGCCTACTATTCATAAGAATTTCAATATTCTATTATCCCAAATCCATTCCCTAAGCAATACTCTAGCTATACATTTTCAAAGTTTACGAACTACTAATATTTTTCCTTCCGAAGAATTTCCAGTCCGTGAGCAAGAACCGCTTCTCACAACCTTGTTACGAACTCGTCCTCTTCCAAATGTTGAAGAATGGGAGGCTACAACTTTAGAGGAGTATGAAAATGATACGTCTCTAAAGTCCAAGAACCAAAAGCAACCTCTTCGTCAAGATGAGCTGTGGGAAGAAGCAAGAGATTTATTAACGCAAGAACGTGAACAGTATAATTGGACCGGTTATGTAACTCGACAGGAAGAGCTGCAAGGCGAAATAATTAATCAAAAAGAATTAGAGGCAGAAAGAGCTTTTGAAGAGCAAAGCGCCCAACAAACATTAACAAAAATACTAGCATTTATGAAATCAGGACGAAGGTAATTCTTGATTTTCCAAGTTGGGCAAAAATGACGGGTTGGATACTGCAACACCATTCTGTTCTATGCGTGCGATCCTCCTTAATGCTCGTAGCTGCAGTCCTTTGGCCCCTGTCAATACAGCTATTTCATAAATAGTCTTTACATTATTTCGGTTCAGCGTATTGTGCAAAAGATGTACAATATATTGGAATAACGTCTCCATCCCTTCATCATGTTTGGCAAGAATTAATAAATTACACAGTGTTTTTGTTGACAAGTAAGTTTCGTTTATCTTTCCACAATACAAGTAATACAGGAAAGTAGAGCATGTTTCGAAGCTATAAGGCATATATAACATTCGACTTCCAGTACTGTTTATAGGTGTAAAGGGTAGCTCCGTTACCTGAGGCCCAAGTTCGGAAAGGCTCATTCGAAAGGCATCCTGATTCTGTTCGGCTGCTTGATCTAACAGTCTCTGAAATGTTGGCCATCTCTTGTACAGAATTTTGGAAAGGCAGGGAATACGGTTTCGTTCTAGAGTCAAAATTTCCATGTCACTTACTCCGGTTAATAGCAGCTTACCTAATTTTTCGCTTCTTTCCGAGTAATGTGGAATCTTCGGTTTTCGATATATACCATATGCCTCAAGCTCAACATAAACCATGTTATCGTAGTTTGATTGTCGAACATTATAGTCTTGTATTAGTTTCCTTGTTTTATTCCCAAAGATAACAAGCTGGTTATTTTGTTGCATACTTAGACATTTAAACCACGAGCCATGATTTAAAAGACCCAAAGTATCTAGTTGAATCCAGTTTGCACGATCTAACGAATACACCCACAAGACGAACGCCTGGCGAGAACTGGTAAGATAAATTCCAGAAAGTACCAAATTCTCTCCGACCATGTAAACACGTGGAAAGCGAAGTCCTGGAGGCATGGAGGAACCTACAAATTTTTCACTTATGTCTTGTTCCTCAAAGTAAAAGCAGGAGTTAGATCCTTCACGTTTATCTGTTCCTCCTCCGTTTCCTTTGGTATTAGATACTTTGTACAGCTTTAATAGAATAAGTTCGCGTTTAACGTTGACGAAGTTTGAGTTGAGGTAGAACAGTAATGAACCAACAAATTGGTTCTGTCTTCGAGTGTTCTCTTCATCATTGTTATTGTTTTCAGCAGTGCAAAATTTAGAAAAATCACTGTCATGATCTAAGGAAGTACAGTTTGATCTGTAAACACCACAATGATAAGCAAATGGAGAACTGTGGACCCATTTCTCAGTTATCAGGTCAAAAACGTTGATCTGTTCGATGTAATTATTTGACAGATCTTGTCCACAGTATACAATCATATAATCTCCCAAAACGCAGTATAAATGACCATACCTTGGTAGAGGCTCGCATGTAGACGTTCCTGCATCACTTTCACTTCCGGTTTCACTTTCTTTCGCTGGAATAATTCTCCACGTTTTGGTCTCCAGGTTAAAAATCTCGGTCGTATTTAAACCACACAATGAATTCTTATCTTCGTCAAACCCGATGCCTCCAAAGAACACAAGATTGCCGTTCCAAATAATACCAGAATGGAAGTATCGTGGAGTAGGTTTTATAGATCCTTGATTTTCAACCAATTTCCAGGAGGACGTTTCTAAGTCAACGATGTACAAATCATTCGTGAGGCTAGAATCTTCAGCATCCCGACCACCAAATATATAAGCGTGATTACCAGATTGAACTATTGATTCTCCAACAACCGGCTTTGGAAAAGTTCCTGTACTTGTTAAGAGTGAAGAAGTAAATACATTGACTGTGTTTTTCAATGTTGTGTTTGACGCTGTATGAGGCATCTCAAATAAATATATTTTAACTCAAAGAAAAAAAAAACAATAGCCTTAGACAAAAGCTAGGATCCTGGATTTGTATTTTCAGCACGAACTGAGTTTGTGCATTGGTTATTACTTCACGGGAAATTTAGAACATGTACAGCTTTTTTTTACAAAAAAATTAAGATCAAAATTTAATAAAAAGGACAATAGATGTTCCTCAAAACGAGGCTAGTATAGAAACGAAGGCCTTATTGAGAAAATGAAGTTGGGATATGCGTAATCAGATATTATACCTTCTATAAGCAGAGTAAAAACACTATTAATTCCTAAATTATATCTATTTTTAAATACAATAATAATTATAAAGTTCAATTAAATTGTAATACTTTATTTCTCATTGATATTCACTTAAACTCAAGTTGGGCTTTCCATAATAATTCAAGGTTACCTCTGGGATATGTTAAGGTTGATTTCAATGGTATAGTACGAAATCGGTTTGTTCAGCTGAAAATGAAAGATCGCATACCTACTCAAAGTTAACGTGCACTACATCATGAAATTTACAAAGATTCATTAACATAAGTAAACATTATAAAGGAAGTCATAAACGGAAAACGTGATAATTAATGTAGAGGTCTCCATCATCTCTGACTTAGGACTGCTTGAAAGTTTCAGATTATATAGTAACCGCGATGTAACCATGTTTCGCAATTTCGATCGTAAGGATTAACGATTCACAGTTGATTTTGACGACCGTTTCGGTGGGGGCATGTCAGGTTTTGATATAGACGGACTGCTCGGGATATTAGAGTACTTCACTTGTCTTAAGAGATCTTTGGCCAACTCTCGTACTAACACGGAATCACTTGTCCGGCTTTGCTGATGGATTAAATCAGGCAAATCATAATGAGTGATATACATCTTGCAATATGAATTACTTTCGCACATGGATTTGAGCATTTGGAAAGCATTCAGTAGTGTAATCGGTTTGGCCGTTCCGTGTAATAAACGATCTCTTAATTTTTGGAAAATTGGAGGCTGACCGTAGCTTGCTGCTAGTTTAGGAGAAAGCTGACATATTCTACTAATGCCGTCTAACAAGCGATTGAATGAAGCGGACTGAGCCGAACAGAACACTTTGAGGACTAGATGCACATATCGTTTTTCCAAAAGAGCATGTTGTATCTCTTTAAATTCATACTGAAGCCATACAGATATAGTATCCAGGGAAGCTGATTGCCAATTCAAATCTTGAAGAAGTGAGAGAAAAAATTCAAGCCCTTTGTTTTTCCATAAGTATTGCCTACAGATGGGGCTACACTGTGGCAGTGTCAATAAGATTGGCAATGCAAATTCCTTTAGAATTTTGTCTTTGACGGCTGTTTCTTGTAATAGAGGTATAGCTCCAGCAATAACCGCTTTTTCCTGTGATTTCTTATCTAAACGACAGATATTGAATAAAGTAGCCAAAGATTCATTCCGTATCTCTTTTCTACTATTTTTTAGTTTTGCATCTCCGAGTATGTGTGTTAAAAGGGGGATTAAATGCACCTTTCTGAGTAAGTTTATTGAAGACGGCACCATAGAAATTTGCTTAATAAACTGCAACATTGTTACCATTTCTTCAAGAGGTAGATATAAAAGAATACGTAAGTTTCTTCGGAAAATGTTTTCATTCAGGAGGGCTTCCTTAACATAAGTTTCTGACTGAGACAGTGCTAACAATATTTCACAGAGCCTTGACAAACAAAGCCTAGAAGAAGGATCATCCGCAGCTAAAGCCTTAAGCATACTTTTTGTCATCGGCTCTAAAACATCAGAACGCACGACTAGTCGACAGACATCATTCTTTGGTATACAGTCTTGTTGTCTAAGTAACTTCCATAGTCCTTCAGCACCTACGAAAACTAAATCTTTACTTTTTGTATAGTCTTCCTTTAGAAATAGCAACAGAACATGAAGCCCTGAAACACCAATAAACATTTGAAGGGATAATGACGATGCTCTGTACATTTGCTGAATGAAAACGGCGCTCTCATAACGAAAATCCCATGGATAGGAGCTTTGAGAGAACTTTAACACGACGGGCAATCCGCCTGAGAAACAGAATCTGTGTAACGTAGAATAGTTATCATAAATAATCTTGTCGATTAGCTAACGAAAACTTCAGTTGTACATACCGTGTTAATGAGTTTTAATAATAATAGCTGTAAAGGCATATCGTTAACTTCGCTCAGCGTTTCAATAAGAGGGAGCATCCCATGCGCCTTCACCAATTCGTCCTTCAGACTTATATCCTCAGTTAAAATGGAAGCCTAATTATTAGCATTACAAATTTAGAAGTAAATTTCATACAATTTGAGTGACAATAGGTTGTCTATCTTCCGGTTTTTTCTCAATCAATCCCTTCAAAATATCTTTCAAATAAGAAATTAATCGAGATCGTTTATCCAGTAGGATATTATTCTCCAAGTTCAAATTTTCGACTTCAGAATCGATAGAATCGAAAAGCTCATTTTCATCCTCAGTTTCTTCATCCTCATTATTCCACGAATTATATGATTTATTTAAAACTAGTGTTCCGAACCCTTTTTCTTTCCGGAGGCCCTGAATCTTAATTGAAGAAGCAGGAAACACATCAGTGAACTCACTGTCCTTCTGGGTTTCGATGAATTTCTCCAAACCATCAGGAACATTTTCTTTTAGTTCTATCTCGATTAGCAAAGGATAAATCATATTTTGCTTACCAGTTGAAAGATATCTATGATGCTTGGGAGTCTGTTGAAGATCAATGGACCTATTAAGCGCAGGCTATATCCATTAGCATAGGAAAACATATTACAAACACTTACTGTCAATAATTCCGGTGATGAGCGTTTTTGTACATAGTCCACAACTTCATTCCCCCGATCAACACTAACGGATTTTCTGCTTTTTGAAGGAGTCGAATTTGTAGAACTTGAAGTAGTGTTTTTACCTTTAAAATCGTTATAAAAGTTCACAAAATGTTCAGATTTCTCCAGTACATCGTTATTGATTTTTAGAGTCCCTTGAAATTCGTCATCCCAAACATCGCATTCTGAAGAAATAAGTTAGTATAAAATCAACGTCAAAAAATCTTACTCTCTGTTTCAATAGGTGGAGGTGTTTTAGGTGGCTCAGGAGGATGATAAGAGGACTGTCTGTCAGCATGCAACGTTGGATTAATGTTATGCGTTGTGGTTTCATTAATAAGATTCAGATTATCTTCGTTAACTCTCTCGTTGTATTTTTGGACCTCGTCAATAGCATCTGTGAATTTGGTAGACGTTTGATGAGCAGTAACCCAGTGATGTCTTAATAGTTTTTTTGTCCCGACTCGAAGATTTGGATCCTTTTGGAAACATTGAGCCAAGAAACTCTTCGCTGATAATGAAATATTAGAAGGAAAGGGAGGATGCTCATCTTTGACCATGTGAAACAAAGCAGCAGTAGGATCTAAATTATAATAGGGAGGTGTTCCTTCTAACAATTCTATCACTGTGCATCCAACACTCCAAATATCAGAAGAAGTAGTTGCTCCGATCAACTCAATAACTTCAGGTGCCACTAAATAAGTTAGTCAAAACATAGTTACCGAATGTTTTGTACGTACTCCAGTATGGACTACCTACGACACTATGCTCGTCTAAAGCATTCATTTTTGTTGCAACTCCGAAATCCGCAAGCTTGATTGTTCCATCTTTTGTTGTCAATATATTTGCACCTTTTATATCGCGATGAATAACACCTTGATTATGCAAGTAATGTAGTCCCTGTAAAACCTGATATGTATATATAGCAACTAAATTTTCAGGTATCTTTCCAAAATTTTTGCAGATTGAATGTAATGACCCATTCTCACAATATCTAATGTACTTAGTTAGTCCGGTACGCAGAATTGTAAATTATGCATACTCTAACACAATACAGAGTGAGTCATCAAATTGATAAGAGCCTCTGTATTTTACAATGTTGGGGTGCTGTCGTATTATTAGTATTTTCAATCGACAACAGTAGAGAGCATACATCTAAGTTTTTCAGCAGATCAATCTCCATCTAACAATACACGGTTAGGAATCACTTCGTAACCAGAAACAAAGTTGAGCTTCGTACTTTGATGACAGAAAGGTCCATTTTCATGATTTTAGACACCTTGATGCGTTTTACGGCTACAGTTTCTCCATTTTTTATATTTAGTCCCCGATAAACAGCCCCGAAGGCTCCTTTACCTAGACAATCGCCCAATGTCTAAATTGATCAGTGACACATTCTATAAAGAAATCGAAAATTAGCTTACTATGCTCGACGCATGATCAAAATTATGCATGACTTCAAAAAAAGGCTAGATAAATAATTCTATTAAATTAGAAAAAGCCAATACAGTTGCCTTTTCCCTTAGAAATGCTTTCACCGTTTGCTTATTTATTATGGGTGATTTGATTAGACAGCGAAGGTAGTAGGGATTCCGGGCACCTACTCATATGTTCCCTTTTCCTATAGAAAAGCAATGTAAAAGTATTTTGATTACTTAAAAATTAATAAACATCTGTATACTGCTTTTTTTTTTAATCACTATTGGCTGATGGATGAATTCCTTATAGGATGAACTAGTCACTGATCATTGTTCATAAACAACCGTTTGTGATTATGGATTCTTGGTAAGTTGTTTATTTTTGAAACAGGTTTGGAACGTCGAAAAGAACTCTTTGAGATCGGAAGAAGAATGTGATTCTGCAAAAAAAGGTTTTGACTTTGGACAACAGCAATCGATTTTACGTACCCAAGGAAAATGAAGGATTGAATCTATAGATGAGCTGGGTTAGGAGTTAGTAATAACAGAATTGTCTTTTTCGCGCCCTGATGTATTCGCCGAAGTGGTTGTAAAGCTGGCAGACTCCTTAATGCTAGATCTTGATTCCCAGGATACTGAGTAGTGCCTTCTTTAGAATCTTCCTATAAATTCTGAACGTATCAACTATACATTCTATCCTTTAGTTTTGCTAACTGGAAGGGAATATACCCAGTAAAATCGACTTTGATAAAGACTCCGCACAACTAAAGGTCTGATCGGATCCCACAATATGCTAAATTTGTTATTTAATGGCTTATAACTACTAGATTGTCGTATGCGTTATCTCACGCTCTTCACTAAAAGCTTCCGGTGCTAAATATGTCAATCTGTCAACAGCCAACTTAATATTCTCTTGGATTTTGAATATCCGTTTTTCTCAATTACTGCTTCACTTGTCTCGAAGTCACTGATTTTCACAACCTATCAAGATATTTCCTGTCTTAAGATCTCGATGAGGTATTCCATTTCCGTGTAAGTAGTTAATGGCCCTTAGGATCTGCTTTTAAAATCAGTATTTATCTTCAGTTGTTGATCTTTGTTTTATAACTTGGTTCAGTAAATCTCCTTGTTGGCAGTACTCTTGAATTATGCATAAATGTATATGCCGATTAAAATTATGTTTGTTGTTACACATGGGATGTACCCTTTGAGGATATTTATGTTGTCTCGCTGAGAATGAATGGCCCATTCTGTTTTAAAGCAGGCAATACTGTTCTTATTGATGTTTTTTTTGAGCGCGTTAAGGATTACCTTGGCTGCGTACAAAGCGTTCTTCTATTGTTCCTGTCTTTCATCTGTTCAATGCGGATAGAAGCACTTGATCATTCAGCAATTCCTTCAAGATGCCCATAGTGAAGTTGCTACTTGCAATTAAGAAGTATATATTTGAGAGAGGAATTCAGAGTAATGGCAAAATCGTTAGCAGCAATCGATTGTTCTTTAATTAACCGACGCAGCAGAGTATAGTCAGTTGAAGATCTTGGTTCAATAATTTGCTCATCTTCTATATCCTTCTTTTCTAAGATAAGTTTTTCTGAAGAGAACCATCGCACAATTATGGAACTAGACTTGTTATTCTCCTGTTGCATCGCTGATGCACATGTATCAAATTTGGATACCTTCTCTGATTTTTAGTCGTCTAAAATAGTTCCAGAACGCTGATCATTTTTTGAAGAATACTTTGTTCAATAGCACAGTTCATTCTTTTGCTATTAAATGAACTAAAGATAAGCAATTAATCTTTTTTTGGGTAAAGCAGCTTTATGTCTGAGAAATTAAAAAAATATTAGCTAGATAGAGAATTGCTGCAAAAATCGCCGTGGAATTGCGAAATATTGTCAAGCAAATAGTCTTGTGTTTACATATCCAACTTAAATGACTATAAATTTACTTAAAAATGGACTTGTGGAATCTCATCAATTATCTAGTTCTGATAACGTATACTAAGTACTTAATTGAACAATAAACGAACCGTATTCATGAGCCCGAATATTGGTGACTAAAGAAAGGAGCAATAACCATTTCTGTTTCTTTACTTTGTCTTATTATAGGGAACATTTTCAAAGCGACCGTGAGCAACATCGTCCGATTTTAATTCTTTAGTTTCAGTTATTTCGTTAACTTGCTTGTTGTTCTTAGAAGAGTTCCTTTGAGGAAATTCACGTAAACTCATTTCAATAGAAGGAGTTTTAACTCTAGTTGATGTCTCGGATTTAATAGAGTCTCTCATTTGTAAGCTTTGTTTGGATTTGAGACTTGGAGAAGCAGAATTAGTATCTGAATTTGATTGCGCATTTTTGATCGCGGATTGACAACTCGTCTGTGAATGAGAAGTTTGATCTGGGACAGTTTGATGAATTTCAGACTCAACCGTCGTTTCATGATGGGTAGTTTCACTTAGTTCGTCAGGCCCTAGCTTTGGCTTCTCATGGTCAACTAGCATATGCCTATAAATATAATTAGCATTTGAATATAAAGTAAACAACATACAAAGAATTCGAGGATAACGAAGCATTAGAAAGCCTTTCTGTACGATAGGCTTCATAATAAAACTGCTGAGTAATAAACTTAAGGTGTTGAAGGTGAGAGATGAACAGAACAGTCTTCAAATCTAAAAAGTCTGAATGAGACGGATCGTCAACATAAAAAGTTCCCCATGGGAAGTGTTTAGCAAGCTTGTCGGAATCCTGTTGATAATCACCCACGGCAGCGCCAGAAACAGCAAATGGAAGGATCGACTTGAGCCGCTTATTTTCCTCGATAACTTCATCTTCATCTTCATCGTCATCAAAAGGGAAGTCAAAAACTTGGATGTTCTCATCAACGAGTTCCTGAAAGATTCTCTGCTTGAAGCGATTCAATTCCTCCTTTGTGAAGGCATTGGCAACTCCAATGACAGGTATGACATTTACCCTTCTGGAAAAACGTCTCATTGCTTCCAAATCAAATTCGGATAAACAATGTCCGTACGGTTCAATAAAGTAGAGTAAAGCATCAACTCTCTATTACAAGTTAGATATAAATAAAAAGAAAAGATTTCTAACCTTATCAACAAATTTAGAGTTTCTTCGAATCTTGGATTCTTCAACTAAAACTTGGTCGAGTTGATTTTCCAAATACTCAGTAACAACATCAAAGCTATCGTTCATTAGCATACATGTCAAAATATTTTCATAGCTCATACTTAGAGGATCTATCAAGCATATCGCCAAAACCGCAGGCCTCAATGACAGTCAGAGCAACACGGAATTCCTCTCCTTGAATATCTGGAAAAAAAGTTAGAAAACAGTGGCTAGCTATGAGCGTACCAGCTTCATGTTCCTTAATCTCTAAAGGTCTCTCCAAGTGAGCTTGTTCAGGATCAACTTCCAATTGCTCGTCTAAGATGTGTTTTTCGCAAAGAGCATTAATACAAGACTGATATCCAGTACAACTGGAACCAGTGACCATAAGTCGAAACTTTTGTCCTTTTTTAGAATAAAATCTGGGAGCATATCTCATTTTGAATATTGAATTGAGGGTTATTGTAGAAAGGAAGTTGGAAACGGTTTGTTTACACTTGCTTCAATACCGACTTTGACAACAAATTCGTTAGTGAAAGTAAACAACAACAAAGATAAGTAAATAAATAATAGATACTTCTGTTTATTCCTCCCAACGAACGAGTAAATAAAGAAGTTTTTGGGAAATGTGTCTGAACAAACCATTGAAAGTATTAAAGAAGCCTTAACTTCAAATCACCGGCAAATGCAAAAATAAATACAACGTAACCGTCCCATTTAGAATAAGCTTACATCCTCTTTACGGAAAAAATAAACACAGCCTAATACATTCTGGAAGAATAAACAATCGATACATTTTGAGGCTTGCAAAGAATAGTTATAAGAAATGCTTTAAACGGAAGCAAGAGTAACCAATTCATCTATAAGCTATAACAGTAATAAATTTTCACAGTACTCTCAATGTCTCTCGATAGAAGACGTTGTTACTGTAAGGAATGGATGAAAATGCCAAATGTGGCAGTATCGTATCGTTTACAGTATAAGCTTACTTTTAATAAGAATTTGGGATAGTGCAATGTTTGTAAACCTTCCATTTTTCTAATGTTAATTTGCCAATATAAAGGAAATGCTCACGGACTAGAAAATTGAACGGGAAAACCTTTGAAAAGATTGTGACCTATATCTCATCTCAGACTAGCAAGCATCAGGGAATAGATGGAACAAGTAGTTTTTCATTGATCCAGTTTGAATAGAAACAAAGTTTAGGGGAAGCTAAATTGCAAATCGAGTTCCTGAAGTATTAAATGGAAAGAAACTTGCAGAAATAAATACATGTAGGCGACAGGACATCGATTGTTGAAGGTTAAACCTGGTTCCCTTCAAATTAAGAGCAAGAGCGATCAAAATGGTTTCATGTAAGAGTATGAAGTACCTCTATTACTATTGTGGATGCTGGAACGCATATACTAGTGCACAAGTGATGTATGAGCTAAATCATATACGATAGAAAGTCCAAAATCTTAAAGACTCTCTATAGCGGTTTACACAACTGCATCATCCTGAAGTATGTTTCTTGATAGTGCGAGGAACAAATTTACATTATTAATGTTCAAGATGAGTAGATTATGAACGCTAATGGAATACTTTCAATTACATGGCTTTAAGCATAATCAAATCGAAATCAAGGAGCGACTTAACTTAACATTGCTATAATTACAGTGCGTTTGTGAATATGCCTAGCTAGATATTCTAACGGTAAAGGATAAAGGTAAGACCATATTATACTCGGAATGGATTTCTAGACTCGCCGATCGTTGAATTCTGGGCTATTCTTTCAATCTCTTCGGATTTCCTAATTGTGAAAGGATTTTTTGAAACATTAAAAGGAGTAGAGGTAGAATGGTTGGGGACGTTCATGGTGTTTTGCTGGCTCAAAGGCAGTGAATTATAATTCGCACCCGTATTATAGAAGTCGACAGACATTGGTCTCTCCATTGTTAAGCCTTTCGGTGCTCCAGTAAATGATGATGGAATTTCGGTGCTAACATAGGATGCGGAATCCGTCGGATATCTCTGCAATGCTGCAGGAGTCATTGAAGGTGATTGAAATCCTGTCGACTGTGGTTGAAGTGTGTTAGGACGGATATAGTTTTGGAAAGGGTTTCTAATATCCAGATTTACAGACTGTGCTCTACTTTGAGAGTTGTAGGGATTAGTAACTGGTGAAGGAGTGTAATCAATTTGCATTGGCGGAGCAAGAGACGAATTTTGGACGTAAGGATTAGCAGGGGAGTTGTATGGTATTTGAGCATATGGATTTCCTGTCATTTGTGGAGCCGACATAGGAGCAGCTTGAGGTTGCTGTGGTTGATACGGTATAGAGGCATTTAGGAAGGGATTTAATGAGTTCGGCACAGACTGCTGTGGAATAGAGGGAATATCAAACGCTGTTTGATTAAATGAAGGAGAGGAATTTTTTAAATTCAATGGAAGGTTGTTTCCTTCTTGCAACATTTCATCTACAAAGGATGAAGCATTATCCTTAGGAAGCGAGAGTTTCTCCTTCGTACTTCCTTCTGGTGCTTGTGGATGAATAGACTCGGAAAGGTTAAAAACATTTCGAGGCATATTTGGATTTGTCTTTTTGTTCATATATTGATTACGATTTTGTTCAAAATCGGGGTCATTTAAGTATTCTTCCAGTGATGCCGTCAAACTAATAGGGGCATGTTTTATGTTTGGAACCGGGAATTTGGTGACGAATTCCAAGGAACGAGCAGTGCTCAAAAAGTTTATAACATCCTCTGTCTGCCGGACAAACGTTTTGTATATGCGAAGGGATTGTTCTGCATCAGGATGACTCATCTCAAAATAATGCTCTAACAGTTTGATTACACCGATGTTCACTGCTTTGAATAGCACTAATAAATCACCCACGAGTAAACGGAAAGATGTCACGGTAATATCGTTGTCAATCTCTTCTACAAGGAACTGACACTTTAAGAGACGCCGAAGCTGAGACTGGATGCCTTCTACATGACGCATAAGACCGTTGTCGACAGTCAATTGTTTGAGTTTCTTGGCTCCGTCGCTCGCTTGAGCATAATCAAACCCTAAACGGCCATATTGTTTTACCCTTTCACTTAGAAATCGGCTATAATTATATATATTTTGTCCTTGAGTTGTCAAGGAGGACGCTCGCACCACCTCTAGAATACGAGGTCGCTGTGACAGAGCTACTATCGTAGTACCAGGGGAGCCATCTTTTAGCATTAAATGAAATACTATTAGTGATTTAAAAACGACAGTCCATGAAGAATCCTTCATCCGCTCACAAAGATCCTGAATGACTGTATCTAGTGTGTCAGGATCTTCAAACGTAGCTTGCAAAATCAATTCCACATGTTTACTCTTCGGAGCAGCCAGTTTGATTTTCGTAGCCTCTAAACATTTATTATTAGTGTTTTATAGAAAGTTTGAAACTTACTTTTCACAGCTCGGTCATATGAAGACATCCACTTGGAAGGGGGCATTTCGGCTCTTCTGCTCAAGTATGAGTCCCTTCTATGTACACCAATTCCTTGATTTAAAATAAAAAAAAAATAAAGTATTAATTAAAAGCTATAGTTTACACTTCAAGAGTTCGTCCTGTTTATGGTAAGTAGCAGACCTTTACGGAGGTTCGTAAACCATTAGTATCGAATAAGGCAGTGCATAATGTTGGATAGTGGCTTTTAGGGTTTCCTCATTATTTTGTAAACAATAGTTGAACAGAAGCTTTACAATGCATTTAAGAGTAAAATAATTTTTTGATAGAGGAGTTAGTTGATAGATAATATGTAGTGAGCGTAGGAAAATCTCTAATTCCTAGGGAAAATGCTCAAAAATCGCAATACTAGATTCAAAAGACATGCATTAAGGAAGGAAGAGTAAGACGTATGTATACCTAATTGTTTCGCTTATATTGAGATGGTAATATGAGCTGTTTCCCTTGAGACCAAAGACCCAGTTCTTTCTTCTTAGCTTTCTTTTCAAGAGATTGCAAGTATTCTTTTTTTGATGGATAAAAGACACCATCATTCCCATCGTAAACTACAGCTAATCCCTTTTGGACCATAATGGGACCAATATCCCTTTTCCAGAAAAAATGAGAGATTGGATAGTACTGTACACCAGCTACCAGTCTAGAGTATTGGTCAATCTTTAGAGGAGTTATCCGAACATTTTTGTTTAGAATCGTTTTCGACAGAAATTGTTTGGCATCTAGGGAAAATGGTTGGGCTTTCTTTCCAAAGTAGCCTGATTCTGGTGCATCCACCCCAGCTAATCGAACAGAAATGGTTTTGGAAGCCAAAGCAGACCGTGAGGAAGGCACTTGTCGCAACCAATGCCATCCTAGCCAACAACCTCCAGGCGTATGGTAAAAACGAAAATTATCCCCATCACCCACTCTGGTCACATAGCCGAATAGTGATCGAAAGGTTTGAGTTCGATCCGGCAGCTTTTTAGGAAAGAGAGCTTTCGGGATATTATGGACCGTTTCGAACCTCCGAAATCGCCAAACCGCCCAAATACTGAACAGGGACACTGTCCCTGCGGCCGTCGCAATATAGATATGTGAACTCTCTGTTTTCTCTTTCTCGAAACTATGCATACTCGCTTAGCAGGAGAAAACAAACAAGGCAAAGTTAACGCTAGCTTTTGGAGGAAACAATGACTAACCCGTACGAAATCTAAGTTGAAAATTCATCAAAGGAACATAGGCCTTCTTACCTGTCTAGGCGTTTCAATTGTAAGTAAATTTTTAATCTCGATTTTGTTATGGATGCTACTTATACTGTTGAATCAACCAATCTTTTATGCAAATGTTATTGTTTACAAGAGTAAATATAATTTCAAAGAATAAACAAATTGACATAATATCATATTATGCGAACGTTCATGCTGAATCATAATCGTTGATGATACACCTAACAATATATCATTCAGTAATAGATCAAGACAAGTCCGCCAACTACAATGGGCAACTCTTATCGCTTCTTCAGACCATACGCCAAGCAATGGTCCATTCAACTCTTCCCATCACATGCTCGACGCAAACAGAATAACACGTACTTACTAGGCGCAAGGCGTATAAACCCCATTTTAATAACCGATAATCATTTCACAACTTCAAGAAACCTTTACCTATCTCAGAGCCATACCCCAACATTGGTAAAGATATCCTAAAGCTTAAAGCTTTAGAAATGGTTTACAAAAACTAAACAGTCAAATTAGCACACCTTGCAAACGGCTGTTTCTGGTAAAAGGCAAGAAACAGATACGCTAGCTTTTGCAAAATGCTTTGACGCACAAAGAAATATGTGCCAAAACAGCAATATTTATACTTTCTTAACTGATAACCCTAACCCTTTAAAATTTTTTACGCGGTACTGAGAAGAAAAAGACCGATACAAAATACATGACATATATCAGAAAAATGTAAATAGTTTTTTCTTGATTATTTATATACTGGATTAGGAATAATGGTTTTTTTCTTTTCCTTTCCAAGAGTAACTAGTGCATTGGCAAGCAAAAACTGGATATAATAACGATGCTCTTGAGTACTCGTTAGTAAACAATACGAGAAGATTTATTTACTTTTTCATGCTTCCTGAAGATACAAACAGAGAGTCTATTGATTATTTTCGAGTTATTACACACACAGTGAGAAGGCTTCAGACATCTTTAATCCATAATGTATAGCAAGTTTTCGTCAATGTATTCTCCTTATTCCCTGATACTGTATTACTCAGGTATTCTTAAATTCATCGTATTGAGGTATGTATTTCAGTAATTTTCACTTAATTCCCAAATAATCATGCATCGTCTTTCATGGTAGAAGTTCGTTAGTCCTTAAAAATAATCATAATTTCGTTTATAGATTCAATTGAGAGGATCACCAAACCTTTAAAATGATAGCTCATTGTTCACGAGAAGATCATTGTAATTATTCAACTTTTACATTATTTAAAACTTCTTCTTTTATTTGTATTACAATTACGATTTATTTTTTACTTTATTTCTTCATTCGTGCATGGCAATATTTGTTTATATTTATGATGGTCCCACACTTCTTCATTGGCTTTTATGAATATATAAGGGACCGTAACGTGACATCGTTAATCGGGTCCACTGAAACGAAATGGGGAAGAGAGGAACTGCTATAGGGATATATGGCTCAACCTCACCTTTCCATCTGCACGGCGTTCTCTAAACCAATTTATTCTACAGATTAACGACTTATTGTGGCAGAGTTTATATAGAGATTTTCTCGAGTTTGTTGTGTACTTTCTACAAGTCTCTTGAAACAGTTTTTCATTATTGTTTCGCGCGTTTTCCAAGGCAGGGATTCTTTTGGTAACCTTTTTTGAACCTCTCTTGCAACATTAAAACAATTTTTCTTTTTTTGTTTATGGTACTTCAAATCCCAACATGCTCTCAATCAACCAGTTTTCACGTATCTCTCGGTCTTCCGTCGTCTCCTCCCTTTGTAAAAGATTCCAAAGCACAGCTCCAAGCCAAAAAGATGCCAACTTTTTGCAACACGATTACAAGGAGGCAGTCAAAAGTATCCGAAAAGATTATGCCACCGAAGCCGAATCTGCCATGAAGCGCAGTGAAGAAGCATCCGCAAAGCTAAAAGATGTTGTACAAAGACATCGTACCGCAGTAAAACAAAAAAACGAGAGGGTGGATATCCGAGTACCAGGAATTGCTCCTGATACTTACCCTCTGCCAGATCCTGATGCGGAAATTCGCAAACAAAGAAAACAGGAAAACATCTTTGAAAAAGAATACCGTTCAAAAAAAGCATTGGTTAAGCAGTTAGCCAAGATATATTTCGCCGACAGCAAAAAGTACGTTGTGGACATGGACGGATTAGAAAACTTAATCAATAATGCTTTCAATAATCCAAATGATGTTTTTACTCAACTTCCTACCAGAGAAGAATCAAACTCTTCTAGCATCTTTCTGAACAGTTCTGAATCCAGAACGAATGAAGACATCATGAACCATGCAGCAGAAACTGTGATGGATCAATTATATTCACGGAAACTAGCGTCACCTAATGCTAATGAAGATTCCCAAAATTCCTCTTAAGCTCGTGTGTATGAATGTGAATATGCATATTGATGTACTGAACTCTAATCTAATGCTGATGCTATTTTTATTCCTGAAGGATTTGAGACAATGATCACGCAGAACGAATCCACGGGTTTCCAAAAATATCAAGAATAAAACCAAAATTTTCCTTTGATGTTCTAAGGCTTGTTGGGCCATATAGGCTCGGGTGTCACAATAGTCTCGTCTTTCTCTTTCCAAATGCTACCTTGACTGCTCTTATCACTTCCGGTTTTGCTTGGTACCATGGGAAGAATTTCTTCCATTGATGTCTTTCCTCCTACCTGCTGCTCATCCTTTGGTTCAGTTTCCATGCCTTCTAAAAGGTCGAGTTCTTTAACGTTGACAATGCTTGTCTTCTTCCAGAGTTTCCAAAATGTATAACTGATTACCACCAAAGGAGCTGCTAAATACGCTTGGAAGAAACTGATTGGATTTGGCGGCCTATCAATTGGAAATATAGCCACATAAAGTTGGGCTGCAAGTGCTATAAAGGTCATGACTACTCCATATATAGATCCATAAATTCCAAACATACTGAGAAATGGAAGTTCTTTCAAAGAATGATTTTGTGCTTTCCATGCTCTTCGGAATTGAATGTGACTAAGACAAATGCTTCCCCAAATGAAGGTAGTCGAGAGTCCACAAATAGACAAAAGCCACCCGAAGAGAGCACCTCCCACTCCTGCCTCTGTAAAATACGCAATGCTTCCGAGTAATAAAGTAATTATTATCGCATAAATTGGATGCCCTCTTTTGGTTGTTTTCATAAGGAACTTTGGTGCGAAACCATTTTTGGCTAAAGCGAAAAGTGCTCTTGAGGCGGCATATGATGCAGAGTTGCCAACCGAAAGAGTAGAACTGAGAATAACTGCATTCATAATACTGGGAAGTGCTTTGATATTTGCTAATTGAATGGCGATTACAAACGGCGATAAAAGAGCATCCGATTCTCCAGTGGTGCGTAGGTTAGGGTTATTTGAAGGTATAACCAATGTTAGCATAAATAATGCTAACACGTAGAAAAGAAGAATTCTCCAGAAAATTTGACGGACCGCTTTTGGAATTGTCTTATGAGGATCTTTTGCTTCAGCAGCAGCTAATCCTACTAACTCTGTACCGGAAAGTGAAAAGATTGCTATGACAAGAACAGCACAAAAGCCTTTAATTCCGTTATTAAACGTCAAAGGCGATTTCCAATAGGAGACGCCAATCACACCTCTGGTATCTGTCGGCACCCCTCCAGCAGCAATAATGATACTAAGGAATAAGAATCCAAAAACAGCAATAAGTTTGACAATACTCAAAATGAATTCAACCTCACCATAGCCCGCTGTTCCCCAAATATTGATGCCGATGATTATTACATAAAAGACGGTAATCCATACAGAAGCACGCCCAGGGGCATGCCAGACATTAATAATAAGGGGTGCCACTGTAAGCTCAAGCGGAACTGTAACTGCAAAGGATATCCAATACTGGATTCCTACCGCAAAACCCCATGCTGGATCGATGAAGCGGGAGAAATATGTATAAAATGAACCAGAGACGGGATAGAGAACTGAAAGTTCAGCAAGAGCACTTGTGGTAAACAAGACGTAGAGTCCAATGATGGCGAACGCTATGATGATGCTAGCTGGCCCGCCGTCTGCTAGCGCATTCCCGGAACCAACGAAAAGTCCTGTTCCAACGCAACCTCCGACGGCAATCATTCGCATGTGACGAGGTTTTAATTGTCTTTTAAGGCCTTCATCAGCATTGTTACTTTTGATGTCCACAGTGTTTTCAAGGTCATGGTCAATGTCAAGTTGTTCAAAGCTCTGAGGGTTTTTGTCAACAGGTGAACTTAATCTTTCTGTGTCTTTTAACATTGCCTTTTCAAGGTTTGTAGTTATGTCTTCGTAAAAACTGGAGGTCATGAACTTTTGATTTTGCCTATACAGGTTCTTCAGACGATAGATATAAAAAGTATTTGTGTCGCTACAACGATAGCCACTAGGGTTCGAAAGCAATGAAAGAAGGAATGAATGGGTTATCGCTTAAAGTGTGGAGCGAATATCGAGTCAGCGTCTTTGGATATTGACCAAGAATGCCCTTTTCAATGTTTATCAGAAAAAATTTATTTCGTTGGAAGACGGTACTTAAAAGGAATTGAGAGGATATGCGGTGTTTTTGAAGTGTTTTGAAAGGCTATGTTCTTATGATGATGGAATCGACTGTCTCAATGAGTTACCGATGCTTGACATCAATTGAGACTGTTTTCAGGTAATTTGAACTCAATCAACAGACCTAAAATATATTCTAAAAAGTGGAGAAATAGTACTTAGCTTTTGGGTTTTGGCAATATCTGTAGTTTCATTTGAGGTTGAAAAACCGTTGGCATTACAATTGTTCACACAATCGGATGAACTGACACATATAATTACTTTAGTTTCGTTAAATGTATACTTCTAAAAGATTTGTTAGACAATACAATTCCTTGTTATTTAAGACATGGACTATGATAATTAGGCCCTTAGGTGTAAACAAACAAAGGCCTCAAAGCAAATTACCTCAACTATATTAACTATAGTAAGTGCTACTTTTTTTACAAAACAATAAAAAATGTGAGAGAAATAGAGAAGCAATTCAATAGTTAAAATGCTGTACATACACGATGGATTGGTAACTTATGATTCATTCACCTAAACTTACCACAACTGAAAAGCAAATTTTTATAAAACCCTGTAACAGAAAATTAGCATACTTATTTACTAGAGGGATCCATTTATTTTTTTTTGTTTCCTTGAAAAAGTAAAAAACGTAGAAGCACATTTCCTAGACGTTGTATTTCAAGAAGCGGAGCGAACATTGCAACAAAAAATTCAACGAATGGAAACGTTGCACCTTTAAACCCAGTTTTTACACTCCAGATTTGTATTATTTTAGGGTTTTTTGTTCTTTAGCTCGAACTTATAAGAGCAAGCGCTATGGATATTGAAAAGTCAACCAAATGGTCATATGTTAAGGAGCGTAAAGTAGGTGAAGGAACTTATGCAGTGGTCTTTTTAGGTAAGTTATATGATTTTTCATGAAGATGCCGAAATTTTAGCAAATTTGATCTGTCAAATACTAATGAGACATGACTTAGGTCGCCAAAAGGAAACAGGCCGAAGGGTCGCCATTAAAAAAATCAAAGTGGGGCAGTTCAAGGATGGAATTGATTTGAGCGCTTTACGTGAAATTAAATTTTTGAAGGAAACGAGACATGTCAATGTAATTGAGTTAATGGATGTTTTTGCAACCAAATCTAATCTTAATATTATTCTTGAGTTCCTTGACAGTGATTTAGAAATGCTGATTAAGGACAAATTTATCGTTTTTCAACCTGCGCATATTAAGGCCTGGATGCTTATGCTTCTTCGAGGGTTACACCATATCCATTCTCGTTTTATTCTGCATCGAGATCTGAAACCAAACAACCTTCTGATCTCTAGCGATGGAGTTCTAAAACTAGCAGATTTTGGTCTTTCAAGAGATTACGGTATGCCTAATCACATGAGTCATCAGGTCATTACTCGATGGTATCGACCTCCTGAGTTATTCATGGGCTGTAGAAGCTATGGAACTGGCGTTGATATGTGGAGCGTTGGATGTATTTTCGCAGAGCTCATGCTTCGTACTCCTTATTTGCCAGGTGAAACAGATTTGGATCAACTGAATGTCATTTTCCGCGCCCTTGGTAGCCCAGAGCCAGCCGTTTTGCAGAGGATGAAACAACTACCAAATTACGTTGACATGAAAGCCATTCCACCTCCAAGCGGAGGAATGGAAGCATTATTTTCGGCTGCAGGGACTGAGGAATTAGACCTTTTGAAGAGGTTTCTTGATTATGATCCTTACAGCAGGCCTACAGCTCAACAGGCTTTAGAACATCAATACTTTTCTTGTTTGCCACGCCCTACTCATCCTTCCGGATTGCCCAAAAAGGGTGGAGAAGAAGGTATCAAGCATGTATCAAGTGATTTGCAACGTCAAGTTAACAATTATGCGCGTCCGAATATAAAATTTGTAAGCTAATTCTTTTTGGATCCCTCTTTCTCTCATTAGTCTTTCCCGATTTTTCTATGAAAAGTTTCCTACAAAATTTACGAATGACGACTATATAACATTATTTTATTGTTTCCCTACGTATATCAGATTCATATACATTTTTGTGTAATTCAAAGCCTGATTCTGTCTTCATGAACATTCACTTTTTGCTTATAGCATTTCTTTAAACGTGTTGGTTTCAGAAGCTTTATGATTCCCACGTTTTCAAAGTCATATTATATGTTTCTACTCTTACAAACAAATTCTATTTCTTCCAATTCCTTCAAAATGTAAGTTTATTTATTACCAAAACGCAACGCACTATGTAACATAACTTATTACTTCGGTATACCAAAGCAAAGCAGTCACATATAGCATTAGGCCAAAAATTTGGCTTGCTGAAACAGCATCCACCAAAAATGGTTCGAGGACCCAAAAAGCATTTAAAGCGTGTCGCCGCCCCTCACCACTGGCTTTTAGACAAGCTTTCTGGTACTTACGCTCCCAAGCCTTCTGCTGGTCCTCATAAGGCTCGTGAGTGCCTTCCCTTGATCGTTTTCTTGCGCAACCGTCTCAAGTATGCCTTGAACGGTCGTGAGGTCAAGGCCATTCTCATGCAACGTTTGATCAAGGTCGACGGAAAGGTCCGTACTGACAACACTTTCCCTACTGGTTTCATGGACGTCATTAGCATTGAAAAGACCGGTGAACACTTCCGTCTTGTATATGATGTTAAGGGACGTTTCACCGTTCACCGTATCACTGCTGAAGAAGCCAAGTACAAGCTTTGCAAGGTCAAGCGTGTGCAATTGGGTGCCAAGGGTATTCCCTTCCTCGTCACTCATGACGGCCGTACCATTCGTTACCCCGATCCTTTGATCAAGGTCAACGACACCATCAAGCTCAACTTGGAAACCAACAAGATCGAAGGATTCATTAAGTTCGATACTTCTGCCCAAGTCATGGTCACTGGTGGCCGTAACATGGGTCGTGTTGGTACCATTATTCACCGTGAACACCACCTTGGTTCCTTTGAAATCATCCACGTTAAGGATGCCTTGGACCGTGAGTTCGCTACCCGTCTCTCCAACGTATTCGTTATTGGTGAGACCAACAAGAGCTGGATCTCTTTGCCCAAGGGCAAGGGTGTCAAGCTCAGCATCACTGAAGAGCGTGACCGCAGACGTGCTCTTAGGGGAGTTGCTTAAATGTCTTTAGGAGTAGAGAAATCAATTTAGTTTTGATCTTCAATAAAAGTGAGTGTAGTGATTACAAGAGAAACGAAGTACCAAAGGGCAAATGGTATAGTTTGCTCTGGTATGAAGCTTAGTTTCGTGACAAAAGCAAACTTTTATTTGTAGTGTCCGTTTATTTTAGATGCTACGCATTCGTAGTATAAGTACACATTGGTTTGTACAAAGTATATACTTACATTGCTAAGGGTGCTGTCGAGAATCAACTATACAAGGTAATAGAACTGCCAGTCATTCCATCCTTGAATTCGTGATGGTTTCAACTGCTTCTTTCTAGATTTCATACTTCACTTCTCTCTCCGTTTGTCTACAAATACGCTACTTATTTTCTGATAATTCCATCCTTTTTAACAGTATTTTTAATTTAACGATACCCGTTTCAATTCGTAAACATTTGTAGAACGATGGTACGCGCTACGTAATCTTTTCCTTCTTGATATTGAGAGAACGATGTAAGAACAGAGGAGTTTCCAAACGCCAAGAGGAATTCGAAACGTAGGATTCATGTCTAGTGCAAAACGCAAGCTTTACCGTTTAATTCGTAAGTTAAGATGAAGGAAAATAAATGCTAATGCCAGAAAATGCTACGGAACCATTCACATTTGAGCCCGACTTGGCTCTGAACTTGGACATTACGGACTTAATCAATCAAGCACAGGGAAATATGTATGAGTGAAGCCATTGAGCTTGTATTCTTAATTTGGAATTTGACTGACATGTTCGTTTTTCTAGTCCGCGTGAAGCTGCTTTCGCAATTGTCCGGAAAGTGAATGATCGGAATCCAACAGTAGCTTATTTAGCCCTGAATGTATGAACCTCAATCGTCGTTGCCCTAATACTAATCTCTTTTTTTCCTTTAGCTTCTCGATATTTGCGTGAAAAATTGTGGTTATGCATTTCATTTGCAAATCGCTACAAAAGAATTCCTCAACGAATTTGTCCGTCGTTTTCCTGAGAGACCACCTTCTCGTTTAAACAAAATTCAAGTTATGATCCTTTCTCTTATTGAGGAATGGCGACGAACCATCTGCCGCACTGATCGGTACCATGAAGACCTGGGTTTTATCCGCGACATGCACAGACTCTTGTCCTATAAAGGTAAGAGAAAAATGACACAATATGAAAACTGATTAGGGATTCTAACTTTTCTAGGCTATACATTTCCGGAAATTGCAAAAGATAACCTTGCTGTATTAAGTCAGAAATCCGTGCTAAAAACTGCTGAAGAACTTGAAAAGGAAGACCGTGATGCTATGTCTGCTAAACTACAGGAACACATTCGCCGCGGTACCCCTCATGACCTTATGGAAGCCAACAAACTTATGAAAATAATGGCCGGTTTCGACTCTGAACATAAACGCCGATACAAGGAACATGTCTTAGTGGAGCTCGAAAAAGTGAAGCGAAAGGCCTCTCTTTTTGGAGAAATGCTTAATGAAATAACGGAAGCTGATAAACTCTCTTCGGGCGATTTGTACGAAGAACTTGCTTATTCCCTTAAAGCCGCCGTCATCAAAGTAGATAAGATTTTGGAGGAATTGGATTCTTCGGATGACTATTACAATAGTGTTATTGACCTTAAGTCTTTAATTATCGCTTTACTCAGCCAGTATGACCATCTTTTAAAGGGTGACTTTCACTCTGCACAGAATACGTCTACCAACGCTCATGCTCTGCTCCAGTCAACCTCTAACCTTTCCAAGGATACAAATGCAAATTCCAGAGTCAGTTCTGCTCCTGCATCTCAGTCTGCCATGGACTTGCTAATAGACTTAGATGTTGGTTCGTCTCAACAATCTGACACTTCAAATGTTCAGATACCATCCATGAAGAAGAGCAATCCTTTGTTCGATTTGTCTGCTGGAGTACCCAAGTCCCTTGATAGAACTGAAACCCCTCCTGCTGTAGGTGCAATCTCTCTCTCCGACAACTTTTCAAACATGTCTTTATTATCTCACCAAGCAGATTCTCCAAACACCACCGTTTCACCTACTACTGTTTTCTCTAATGAACATGTAAGGTTCCAATTAGCGCCTAAAAAGGTTTCTGACGGAAGATTTGTTATACTTGCTACTTATTCCAATTCCAATTTTTCCGAAAGTATCGAAAACTTACAATCTTTTATTGCTTTACCCAAAAAGTACTCTTTGGAATTAAATCCTCAGTATGGCACGCGCTTGTCTCCTCTACAACAAAATGGAATTCATCAGGAGATGTTCGTCTCAAATGTATCTACAGATACTACTGAATTGCCCATTCGATTCAAGCTTACATATTATGTGAAGAACGTTCAACAAGAACATATAGGACAATCGACAGTTAAACTGACTTAGAACAATTACCATAGATTTGATATGTGCCCTTGTGACTTAATGAGAGCTTCTTGTCATACAGTTTTTTTTTCCTAAAAACAAAGCATCGTAGTTTTAGCTATACGTAGTGTTCATTTTTCATCGATAAATCATTTATTAATTAAATATGAACCCACTTACTCCCATTGTATACCAACCCATTCCTTTGCATAACCAACTTGATTCTTATTTAATGGCGGTCTGCAATCCATAGAGCAAGTAGCAACTAAGATTGTAGACCATTCTGCCACTTCATCATTCAGCACAGATATTGAGTAGGGCATAAGCTGCATTTCGAATATTCTTGGAGACTTGCAAAGAGAACAAGTGGGAAAAGGATTACTGTAAGGATTAACTTCGGTAAACATATTTCCAACTGTATCTCTATTAGAAGCTAACAAAGGTTTTCCGCCGCGTTCATAACGCACGCACTGAGTAGGGTTGTGTGATATAAGTTCAGTAAACTTTCGAAAAGCCTTTTCATAGACAGCAGGTGATTTCTCATATGATTCATTATCCCAGGTTCCATAGGCATCCAAATTTTCCTGTAACTTATAAGAACTTGAAGCTTCTTTCATTTCTTTTGCCCTCAATGACTTCGGTAGGTATTCCGAATCGAACGTTAAGAACATTCCTGGAAATTTTGAAATAATAGGATAGTCATATGTAGTAGTAACCTGAGGATGAATAGGCATATTCTGAGCATCAACATACACCTTATCAGATGTGGAGTTCTTCGATTCCGGATTTTTATTAGCACCAGAAAGTGCCATAGAGGCAAATGAAGTCTGCGTTTTCATCAGATCCTTTTCATCATTAAGCTGATTAGGGTGAGAAGATGGCGGTTGAGAAGACAAGGTGAAAGGGTTGGGCGAAGAAAAGGAACTAGAGAAAGGATTTGCAGCCTTTGTTGTATTGGAGGAAGACGTGAATGGATTAATCTTTTCCGGCTTAAATATTTCTTCCGTTAGTGCCTTTTTAGGTAGTTCAGTTTCTTGTTTCGCAGGTTGGATGATTTGAACCCCACGTAAGCAAATCATTGATTTGGGAGATCTTCTACACGCCTGTTCATGGCAAGCCCATATATACAGCACACGCTCTTTGCTTTCATCCCCTTCTATGGGAGCATAACATTGAAGTACAAAACGGCAATAAGAGTTACAGTTTCCACAGCGAATGTCATCTGGGTTCACTGAAACATTGTTCAAAAATACAGGGGAATCACCTAGAAACGTAGAATACTGATCTGGGACTTCTTTATTCGAAATATTCACATCTGGGGTACCTAGCCAAACTTTTGTAGCTAACCAATTACGATTCATAAAGCAATTTGCTGAAAAGAAAAAAAAAAAAAAACGAACAACGGATTTTAAAAAAAGAAAGATAAAAAAATAACGATATGATAATGTTGTAAATTCTTTGGGATTTTAACCAGTGTCCAGTAAGTCTTTTGCGTTAAAAAAATTAGGGAAACTTGTCAAGTCCGTTAATATACAAAGAAGAAGAAAGAAATTGTGTAATTGCATTTCTGCATCCGTAGAAAGCAATTAGTAGAATTGAAATCAATTATTACCAAAAAGATAACGAGTTAAGCATCATTTTTGAAATAAACGGAAACGACATGCTTAGGGACGTTGTAACCCAAGAGTGACAGTGCCCACATAATGAGAAACATGGGAATTGGGGTTAAGAGAGTATGAGTATCTTTTAAAAACGGTAAAGCTTAAAGAGTGGTTAGAAAGAGTATGTTGACAAATTGTTTTTGATAATAATAAGACGTACTTTGATATCCAATGAAAGTTAAATAGGTGTAGTAGCACAAAGCAACCAAATAGAGCGAGTTTCCTAAAAATAAAGAAATACTTTTTGTTCGTTAGAAGTTGAGAGGTATGGAAAATGAATGGACATACAAATTAGAACGGCTAATAAGGGGCAAAAGAATCAGCTGAAGAATGTATAAAAGAACAAAGACAGGAAAAAAAGAATTGCAATGAATATCGAAGCAATATTTCCATTCTAACTGACTCTCAAATGGCCCAAGGGTTACAGACTCTCGATAAATGTCTTTAAGTAAAAACTTCTTTGCAACAAAATAATAAATGGATGAGAGAATAAATCCAACAGCCAGAAAATCGACAAACAGCATGGAACATAACAGGGAAATGTAACCTTTGAGAGTATTTTCAAAAAAGAATGCCCAACAGAATGATGTAAAGACAATTAACCCGGAAAATAAAATAATAAATGATAGGTCTTCACGTCCATACTGGTTAATAGTTTCTATATTACATTCGATTAGCAAATTAAACCAGTGTTCTTTTAATGTCATGTCTTTCGTGACAGAATGCTCTGCATACGTTTCTATACATGTGTTAGAGAAAGGTAAAGCTTTCAATTCATTTTTGATCAGGAAGAATTCCATAAAACTACATACTCGTAAGCTAATGGATCGATAAACGCGACGAGGCGCACGAAACAAGTTCACCATGTCCCATAACGATCGTTCAAGGTCCTAAAGATAGAGTGATTAATAATTTTCCGCCATTAGAGAAGTCATACCATCTGTGATAGTTTGAAAGAACGTAACTTCTTGTGAACTGAAGCAGACATGATCGGAAGGACGTAACACTTGGGAAATATCAGGTTTGTTTACGTTCTATATGGAAGGGATGAACGACCCGTTTGAGGGAAGCCACTCAGATAGCGAGCTATGGTAACGTATGAATGACTAAGGTAAAGAGCGACGTTTACTAAAGTTCTTTATAAGACATAGAGAAGTTTAACAAAAAATAACGATGACAAGTAGATAAATAAACAATAAAAATGAGAAAGAAATCCATCTAGTAAATTCAATTCACTCAACTAAGTAAAAGAAAACAATATAAAAGAAACTGTTCAATCCAAGAAAAAGTAATACACTTGTAGAATCGAGTCTTAGAAACTAATGTGAGCATAGTAACCAGAAATGAAAGTAGCTCAGCTCTTTTATAAGAATTGTATACATATCGAAGTAATTTGAAATTCCACTCTGGATGCAGAAAGGCTCAATATTTATTATAAAATTGAATCAACCGAATAAGAATAAGAATACAGGTTTGGTTACCGAGACACAAAAATCAACAAACTAGCGTAACTAACAATTGCTGTTTTTCATTTAAGTACTCTACGGAACGATACAGGCAATTGTAGTTAAAAAATATAGATCAGAATTATTACTTACTGCAGAGATACAAAAAAAAAAATAAAAATAAAAAAAAAACACATAGAATACAATAAACTAAGAACTATTAAGGCACCTCCTTTTTAACCATAAGTAGAAAATGATTTTATTCAATTAAAATTTCCTATGATTTATTTGATTTTTATTGATTCGATAGAAGTACAATTACTTATCATTTCTTATAATATAAGTACAAGTCTTTTCTTTAATTGTTTAGAGAAGAGAATAAAGAGAATAAACTAGTGCTTTTAAACTGGATCTTTATTGACATTAATTGAGACAACTTTATTTGACCTTAGTTTAATTATTAGGTCGAGATTATTACCATATCCTTTCCTTACATTGATTACTATTGAGGTTATTTTGATGACTGGGGTTTAACTTGATAATAATTATTCAGTAGCAATTTCCACTACGGCGTACCTTAGTTCGACTTAACCATACGGTTGGAATGGTTGAAAAAAATTGACCCCGCCAGGAGTCGAACCTGGAATCTCCTGATCCGTAGTCAGGCGCCTTAACCATTGGGCCACGAGGCCTGTTATTAACTTACTATATAATAGAATATATTTATTAACTATTATCTTCCTCCAAAGAAATTGGAAAGAATTCAAACTATCCTATTCTTTACTATTTCTTTTTAATAATTTGTTTTAAAAAGCAGTTTAAAAGTAAATTTTGCGAGATATTCTTGGAATGCTTGAAATTCAGAGATTTGTTTCTCGCTTTCGATTTGAAATCCATCTTCATTTGATTTATGCCTGGTTTCATGATGAGTATACGTAGGCATGACTTTTGTTTTATTCAATGTATCCGCTTGCCATTTATTCAATGAAGATTCGTCATAGACCACTTCTTTGTTACCGAACAGGTTTTGTTTACATGGTAAACAAAAGGATTTCACGATACATTCTAACTTGAAATGAGATTTTAGATTTATAGGTTATCTTATACTTTCTGTTATTTAAGCAAAAAGTTCTAATTTTACCTGTGTTCTCAGAGATTGCTACTGAAAGACAAAGTAACATGATTTATCAAAGTATTCTTGTTTGCATTGGATGTTTGAAATTACAATAAATATATTCCATGTATATATACATCTTTTTTATTTTTATTTTTTAAAAAAAATAAAAGTTAATCCTTGTAGTCCATAAAGAAGTACGAGGTACACTTAATGGATGTAAGCAATTGAAATCCATCTAGTTTTCTATTTGTAAACTCCCTGGAAAACAAAAGGAAGGATATAGAGATATGGAATACTCTTAATAGTCATCCCCTATTTCTTTTATACAAGGAACACTCTCTATGTCTTTTTCTTTCATCAAGCAAGCTAAATACCAAAAAGATGGATTATTATTCCATAGCAAAGAAACTTTTAAAATGAGCTAAATGAATTCAATTAGTGATAATTCGATTGTAGGGTATGTCAAGTTTTATGGATGATTTAATATAATTAGGCATCCGTCGAATCGTTTTCAGCAGGTCGAGATGTCCGGCGCTTAGGGACTCCTTGTGCCGCTTCTTGAATTTGGATATTGAAGTTTTGAGTTTCCAATTGCTTACGGTAATTACATCCTTCCCATGAAACCAAACTCATGCCAAAATATGTGCCGAATCCCCAATTTAAAGCTTTACTAGGAGGAGCTAGACTATTGTAAGTAATCTGATCGTCTAAGGAAAGATGAAAGATCGCCATCAGACTTGACAAACCATCCCCATTACCTTTCATAAACAAATGGATGCATCCTACTCCAATCCCGCAAAGAACACTAGTAACAACAGATTCTTTAAAGCAGGGGTGATAAAGCATATGGACAAAGTCGTCTTTCTTTAAGGACTATTAAAATCTCGTTAACAAATCTTCTACTAATCGATTTCAATTCAATAAATTACCTTAAATGCCTGGACAATGTTTTCTTTCGGAGGCTCATTCTGTTCACTCATGGTGGAAACTGTTGTTGTAGCGGGTGAAAGCCAGGAGGTATCATATAATATGCAACCAAGGGTTCCTTACTATACTAGTTTAGATACAAAGTGAATTCATGAAATACATATGTTTCAACAAACTAAGAAAATCTGTTGCATTAGATTACGGTACAGCAACCAAATGAACAGAGCAAAAAACAAAAAGCTCGGCTGTTTACTGTTCATACCAAGAAAGCAATCCAATCTATGTATTCTATCATTTTTGAAGTAAAGCAAGATCTAACAAACCTTTTCTCTATCCACTGACCTAAACTTGTCGCAAACGTGTATAGGTTTTTATTGTTTCTAGGGCAATTCCTCCATCTAACATCCAAAACCATAGTAAGACTACATTTATTGAAATAACAATTCATTGATCAATTGAAAACATAAAAAAAAGAAAAAGAACTCAAGAATCCATCTGTTTACTTTCTGAGGGAGCGCGACGCGACGCGCTTTTCATTTCTTGTTCTTCTCGCTCACTATGTTACCCTTTCCTTCATTACCACAACAACCGTCCCAAAACTTGGCATCTTGACAATTTTCAAATGCATTTTGTATAGACTAAGGCGAATTCTATCAATAGTTATTCGTATAAATAGTACACTCTTTTACGGTCGTTCCATCTTTATTGTCATTTTTGATACACTCTGACATTCTTTTCTTAAGCTGTGTTTCATACATTTTCTTTTTCTTCTTTTGTTTTAATTAATTAATTATTTATTTATAATGCCTCCCAAATTTTCTGCTAAGCGTCCCAACCTCCCTCCCAAGTCGTTTCGAAATATCTATAAAAACTCAAATGCCTTCCAGGGCGAGGTAAGAAGGCCTGCGGAGGAAAATGGTCTAAGTGATCCCATGTACTATGTCAATCGGAAAAATGAAATCGATCGAATCATGGGTTTTGATGCCTGTGAAGGAGGACCTCCTCGTGAAGCTTGGTTAATAAACGTTCATCCAACTGTTATTGAGAGCCAAAAGCGCAACTCTACATTAAGTGCTGTCGACTTTTACTTCATTCAGGACGATGGTGAAACATTCCGTGTCACCATTCCTTATGCACCATACTTCTACATTGCAGCACGGGAAGGAAAAGTAGCAAGTGTAGAAGAGTGCATGAAAAAAAATTTTGCTGGACTTGTGAAGTCTACCTCACGGGAGTACAAGGATGATTTGAAATTGAAAAACCACATAGTTGGATATAAAAAACTATATATAAAATTAACATTTGACAATTTAACGGACCTTCAATCAGTTCGACGTGCCATTATGTCTGCAGTAAAGTCAAATAATGTCAAGGAAGAAGCTTTCAATACTTATGCGCCTCTTAATGACTCAAACGATTTGTCTCTCGACAATGCCTATGATGATCCAATGGACCACATAACGGACTTTCGCGAATTTGACGTGCCATTTCATGCTAGGACTCTGATTGATCTTGACATTCGTGTGGGTATGTGGTACACAGTATCTTTTCGCGAAGGACAGGTACAAATAGCCCATCTTCCTACTCGTATCGAGCGTGCTGAGCCAACAGTTATGGCGTTTGATATTGAAACTACAAAGCTTCCTTTAAAATTTCCAGATAGCTCATTTGACAAAATTATGATGATTTCTTATATGATAGACGGCCAAGGTTTTTTGATCACAAATCGCGAAATTGTTGGTGAGGATATTGAAGATTTTCATTATACTCCCAAGCCTGAGTTTGAGGGACCTTTCATTATATTTAATGAGCAGGACGAGTTGAGCTTGTTACAGCGTTTTTTTAAACATATACGATCCGTCAAGCCTACCATCATAGTTACCTATAACGGTGATTTTTTCGATTGGCCCTTCGTTGATGCTCGTACTACTTTTCATGGTTTGAATTTAGCAGAAGAAATCGGTTTCAGCAGAGATACAGAGGACGAATACAAATCATCATATTGTATTCACATGGATGCTTTTCGTTGGGTAAAAAGAGATAGTTATTTGCCGCAAGGAAGTCAAGGCTTGAAATCCGTCACTGTAGCTAAGTTGGGTTATAATCCTATCGAATTGGATCCCGAGTTGATGACTATCTATGCTAGTGAGAAAGCTCAAACGTTGGCACAATACTCAGTATCAGATGCTGTCGCGACTTATTATCTGTATATGAAATATGTACATCCATTCATTTTTTCTCTCTGTAATATTATTCCTCTCAATCCAGATGAAGTTTTGCGAAAAGGAACCGGTACGCTTTGTGAGACACTGCTTACTGTACAGGCGTCTACGAAAAATATAATTTTACCTAATAAGCACGTGGAGACACCTCAAAAATTTTTTGATGGACACATGCTTACTAGTGAAACATACGTTGGTGGTCATGTTGAAAGTTTAGAAAGTGGTGTTTTTCGCAGTGATATTCCTACTCCCTTTGATATGGATCCGACTGTCTATCAAGAATTGATTTCCCAGCTAGATAAAGCATTACAATTTTCAATTGTAACCGAAAACAAAGTTGAAATGGATGATATAGAAGACTATGAGGAGGTTAAGTCTCAAATTCTGTCAAAGTTGTCCGATTTACGGGATAAACCAAAACGGTCCGAAAACCCTAAAATTTACCATCTGGATGTTGCTTCTATGTATCCTAATATCATGATTACAAATCGTTTGCAGCCTGATTCTGTGAAGGATGAATCATTTTGTGCTACATGCGACTTCAACGTTCCAGATAAAACGTGTGATAGACGAATGGTATGGGCATGGAGAGGTGAGTTTTACCCGCCCAAAAAGGATGAGTATCATATGATCCTCTCTGCCTTACAGGTTGAAAGATTCCCAGGTTTAACACCCTTTTCTCCATCCAGATCATTTGACGAACTCTCACCTATAGAAAGGGCTGAGAAGATTCAAAAGCGTATAGCTGACTATAGTCGAAAGGTGTATCACCGACTTCATGATAATAAAGTCATTGAACGAGAGACCATCATATGTCAGAAGGAAAATTCGTTTTATATTGATACAGTTAAAGCGTTCAGAGATCGTCGTTATGATTTTAAAGGCTTACAAAAAAAGTGGAACAAAGCCCTTTCGTCCAGATCAAGTTCCGGCAGTCTTGCTGAATTAGAAGAAGCTAAAAAAATGGTGATTTTGTATGACTCTCTTCAACTTGCACACAAGGTTATTTTGAATTCTTTCTACGGTTATGTAATGAGAAAGGGATCTCGTTGGTACTCAATTGAAATGGCAGGTATTACTTGTTTGACAGGGGCTACTATTATTCAAATGGCACGTCAAATTGTTGAAAGAGCAGGACGTCCCTTAGAGTTAGATACCGATGGAATCTGGTGTATCTTGCCAGAATCGTTTCCAGAGAATTTTGAGTTTAAAAGAAAATCTGGCGGAAAAGTTTTTATCTCCTATCCTTGTGTTATGTTAAATCACCTAGTTCATGAAAAATTTACCAATCACCAATATTCACTGCTAAAAAATCCGGATACCTTGGAATATGAAACTACCAGTGAAAATAGTATTTTTTTTGAAGTCGATGGACCTTATAGGGCTATGATTTTACCGGCTTCTAAAGAAGAAGGTAAAAATTTGAAGAAACGTTACGCTGTTTTCAATTTTGATGGAAGTCTAGCTGAGCTTAAGGGTTTTGAAGTCAAGCGAAGAGGCGAGTTAAAACTCATCAAGGATTTCCAATCGCAAATCTTTAAAATCTTTTTAAACGGAAGAACTCTTGAAGAATGCTATAAACAAGTCGCACTAGTTGCAGATACATGGCTTGAAATTCTTTTCACAAAAGGAAAAGACGTTACTGATGGGGAGCTATTTGAGCTGATTTCAGAAAATCGAAGCATGTCGAAGTCACTTGCAGAATACGGGTCACAAAAATCCACATCCATAACCACAGCCAGACGTTTGGCGGATTTTTTGGGCGATCAGATGGTTAAAGATAAAGGTCTCGCTTGTAAGTTCATTATCTCTTCAAGTCCTAAAGGAAGGCCCGTTGCTGAGCGGGCTATTCCAGTGGCCATATTTTCAGCTGAAGAATCAGTTAAGCGACATTTTCTGCAACTTTGGTTGAAAGATAATAGCCTATACAATATTGATATTCGAGATGTATTAGATTGGGACTATTATATTGAACGTCTTGGTTCAGTAGTCCAAAAGTTAATTACTATTCCTGCAGCTTTACAAAAGATCTCTAATCCAGTACCTCGAATACCATTACCTGACTGGTTGCTTAAACAAATTGCATCGCTGAATTCAGGTTATAAGCAGAAAAAAATTGATGCAATATTTAGCGTTGCTCCTCCACCTTCTTCAGCTCAAGTTAATGATATCGAAGATTTTGGATCCCAAGGTAAGAGCTTAGTGCCGACTATCGCTCGCGTATCTAAAAGAAAATCAGCTCAACCATCCGGAAATGAGATCCAAGTTACTTTTAACGAAAAACCCGTATCGATTTCTGAAGGATATAGTGCATGGTTAAAATACCTGAAAAAGAAATGGAAATACCAAAAACAAGTTCGTACTCGAAGACGACATCTCGTAGGATTCCAATCTAGACAATTTACGAATGTTTTTAAAGCATCCGCTGAAACCATGTACCAAAATTTATGGCATATTGTGCAATTGAGAAACACTGACAGTCCTGGAGTTTTGCTTGCGTGGGTAATTATAAACAATCGGTTAACCTCAGTCCGTTTTAACATTCAGAGAAAATTTTTCATTTGTTTTAAAGACAACAATTTGCCGAACGTTGAAATTGAAGACTGTAAGATTGAAAAAAGTAATGCTATCCTTCCTCATGGAAATGTCTCCGACAAATTATTCACTTTGGAGATACCGGAGAAAACTTACTTGAATGAAAACAACGCTATATCGATGATTTTTGCACACCCTTCAGTGGAAGGTACATACGAAACCAAGATAAAGCCTATCGAGCGTGGAATCCTGCACGTTGGATGCCACAGACGATTTAACAATACACTTTCGGGGGCTCTCGGAAGAGCATTTGAAACAGGCTTCGAACCTGAAATGTTCGTGCACCCTTATGAAAGTGATGCTGATTATCTCGAGGGTGTTGAGATGAACTACATATATGCATTCCATATTTCATTGAACCAAAGATTTGTACTATGTCTATTTCTACCTCATTTAGCCAAAGCCGAAATTATCGTTTATGACAGTCTTTCTGGAGATGATACCTCTTTCCCTCAAATCGAAGATCTGTATCATGAATTGCGGCAAAAGTATAATGACATGCTTAAAATGTCAGTTATAGACTATCCTGAAAGTATCACCTTTTCGGTTTCCTATAGCAAAAACGAAAAGAAAGCATACAAGTTAATTGACGAAAGAATACTTCAGTATCTTTCTGCGAAAACCAAGAACAGTTTGCTAGTCATTGAAAGTACCTCTCCAGAGAGGCTTAAAGCGAATCTTAAGCAATTAGAGGAATTGCCTTATACGATAATTAGTCGCCGAGAAGCAGCAATCCAATCTCTATCCTGGAAGCAATACGTTTCCAAAAAAATGATCCAACATTTTCTAGCTGTGGGTGCTTGGATAAATCATCGAATCCAACTTTCAAGATATGCGGACATTCCACTCTGCAATTTCGAAAGTGACGAGCTACAATATGTCATTGATTTGCTATATGCAAGAAAACTTAAGGAACAAAATATAATTCTTTGGTGGAACAAGGGTCCAATGCCAGATTTGGGTGGTTTAGAAAAGGATGATGTATTGCATGTAGCTAGTCCCAACGATTCTCTTGAGATTAATCGATCGGGTGCCTATTCAAATGCTTGCGTGGATGTATCCTTCTCTAATTTAGCTGTTTGCAGTATCCTTAACTCAGCCTTAATCAATGAGATAGAAGGTGCAAGTGATTTGGCTGCCTTGAATGATGGCTTTACCGCAAACGTAACGGATGATTTAGAAGCTCGCTTAGGAATGTATGATTCAGTTGGCTTAGCACATTCCCTTCCTGTACTTAAAGAACTTATAAAAAATTGGTGGCAGGAAGCTGCAAGTGGAAACACACTAGCTGATCTAATGATTCAGCATCTGGCCAGGTGGATTTATTCATCAAAGTCGTACTTATATAGTCCATTGTTGGTCAGCCATATACAAGTTGTCATGAAGAAGACGTTCTTACAACTACTTGCAGAAATAAAAAGACTTGGAGCTCAAATCATATACGCTACTACCAATAGAATCCTAATAGGAACGTCCAAGACCACGGTTCAGAATGCTATATCTTATACGAAGTATATCTTAAAGTCGCTCAAAACTCTTCCCTTGTTTCACTTTTTGGACCTAAATATTCAAGAATATTGGGATTATTTATTATGGATGGATCCAGTAAATTATGGTGGAAAAATGATTTTGCCAGAAACTTTAGCAATTAGTCCACTACGAGAACCAGAAACGGTTGTGTCATGGCATATCAAAAGTCATTTACCTGCTCTTGTCCAACCTGAGTTTCAGAATTGGGTAGTTGAATTTATTGAGGAAGTCTACAAGCAGAAATATCTGAAACAAAATGGAAAAAGTGCGAATATGCGAGTGCGCGATAATGTTTCTGAAGCCGAAGCAGAACTCCAAACTCTGGGAGCCGGGATCCTTAGTGAAAAGATGATACATCCATTAAAAAGACAAATTGTTGCATTACAAAGAAGATTCCAAGAGTTTGCTTTGAATGACGAAGTTATAGAAACTTCTCAATTCCCAAAACTTCCAGGTTCATTTAAAAAGTTTTCCAATGTCACACTGGAGTTTATAAAAATGCTGTGTGCTGTTTACGGTTTAGCTGAAAATTTAAGCTTGGAGACTCAATTATTAAGGAAAGATTTGTTATCTGTGCTGCAAGTACGTGAATTTTCTACCATTGCTCAATTTGAGTATCCAAGCCAAAAACTCAGATTAGAGCAGATTTCCTGTCAGCAGTGTGGTATGGGTCATGATTTTGATCTTTGTCTTCATGAGCAATTATGGCCTGAGCGTAATGAGTCTGGAAGTTTAAGCTTTCCAACAGGTTGGACTTGTCAGGGTTGCAATTCACCTTTTGATCGATGGGTATTTGAAGAAACCTTAATTGACAATATTCACCATCAGCTCGTTTTGTACCAAGTCCAAGATTTAACTTGCTCAAAATGTAAACGTGTAAAGGAATGGAGTCTCAAAGAACGTTGCATATGCGGCGGAGAATGGGTATTAGGATTATCACCGATGAAATTTCGGGAAACACTGAAAGTTTATGAAGCAGTCGCTGACTTTTACGAATTTACAATTCTACGAGCGACAGCAGGATCAATAGCTGCCATGCTGTGATGTTAAATATCCCTTTTGTACTTTATATTTGGATTATGGATCCATAATAAAATGTAAGCGCCGGTCGCTTTATTGAGTTTTTTTTTTTTTTTGTAGAGTAAACTTCAATAGACTTTCTGTTTACATATGGTTATTGAGGATAAAAACATAAGACGTATTCGATCTGATACGAGTGAGTATGGGCATAAACAAACCTTTTTTTTATATTACTTCACGATTATATTTCCTAAAATATTAATGTTTATTAATGTTCTGATAAATTTTCACATTTCCTTCAATATCTTTACCGTGGTGTAACGTGCCTTATACTATTTCGACTATGGGTGGAAGAGTAGTATTGTTCGCGACGTCCTTTCTTCCAAGCACCAAACGACTAGAATTTGAGTTATTTACAGAATGTCTGTAGGGGCCCCTCAAATTCCAATTATTGGTATGTATATGATCAAATAATAGCTTCTAATGAATGTGATGTAGTTCTGAAAGAAGGCACTAATGATTCGCAGGGTCGTGGTCAACTGCTCTCGAACATTAATGCTTGCGTCGCTGTCCAAGATACCATTCGGACAACCCTTGGACCTTTGGGAGCTGACAAATTGATGGTTAATGACAGAGGTGAGGTTGTCATTTCGAATGACGGCGCTACTATCATGAAGCTACTTGACATTGTTCATCCTGCAGCCAAGACTCTTGTGGACGTTGCTCGCGCTCAAGATGCTGAGGTTGGCGATGGTACTACGTCTGTAGTCGTCTTTGCTGGTGAATTATTACGGGAAGCCCGCAATTTTGTGGAAGACGGTGTTAGCTCGCACTCAATTATTCGCGGCTACCGTAAAGCTGCTCAATTAGCAGTCAACAAAATCAAAGAAATAGCCATTCAATTAGATTTATCAGATGAAACGTATGTATAATATGAGCAAGGCAATGTGAACTGTGAAAATTCGAAACCTTTGAATTTTCCCCTTATGATTTTTTTTTTTCGATACTAACCGGTTAGAAAATTACGCGATTTGTTGACGAAATGTGCTGCTACTGCCATGAGTTCCAAACTAATTCGTTCCAATTCATCTTTCTTTACGAAAATGGTTGTAGACGCCGTCCTTACTTTAGACAGAGAAGATTTAAATGAAAACTTGATTGGTATAAAAAAGGTTCCAGGCGGTGCTATGGAAGATTCTCAGCTGGTAAATGGTGTTGCTTTCAAAAAGACTTTTTCATACGCAGGATTTGAGCAACAACCCAAATACTTTAAAAATCCTAAGATTCTTTGCTTGGATGTCGAGCTGGAACTGAAGGCTGAAAAGGACAATGCTGAAGTTCGTGTCGACAAGGTTCAGGAATACCAAAACATTGTGGATGCTGAATGGCGCATTATTTTTTCAAAATTAGAGGCTACTGTTGCCACTGGTGCCAAGGTTGTTTTGTCTAAGCTTCCCATCGGAGATTTGGCTACTCAATACTTCGCTGACCGTGATATCTTCTGCGCTGGTAGAGTGGGTACTGATGACTTAAACCGCGTTGTTGAAGCTGTCGGCGGTTCCATTCAATCAACATGTTCGAATATTGAAGAACATCACCTCGGAACTTGCAGCACTTTTGAAGAACGCCAGATCGGTGGTGAGCGCTTCAATTTATTTGAAGGTTGTCCCAAGTCGAAGTCCTGCACCCTTATTCTTCGTGGTGGTGCTGACCAGTTTATCGCAGAAGTTGAGCGCTCTTTACATGATGCTATCATGATTGTTAAGCATGCATTGAAGAATAATCTTGTTGTAGCAGGTGGTGGTGCCTGTGAAATGGAACTTTCTAAATATCTTCGGGATTACTCCCTTACCATTTCTGGAAAACAACAAAACTTCATTGGAGCTTTCGCTCGTTCTTTGGAAGTTGTCCCTCGCCAACTTTGTGACAATGCTGGTTTTGACTCCACTGATATATTGAACAAACTCCGAATGATGCATGCTAAAGGTGATAAATGGGCTGGTGTTGATATGGCAACCGAAGGTGTTGCCAACAATTTTGAAAAGTTTGTATGGGAACCGAGTTCTGTCAAATCTAATGCAATCATGTCAGCAGCGGAAGCAGCTACTTTAGTTCTTTCTGTCGACGAAACTATAATGAATGAGCCTTCCAAACAACCTCAGGGTCCACAAGGTGGTATGCCTCCCGGTGCTGCACAAAGGATTATGCGTGGCAGAGGTCGTGGTATGCCTCGTTGATGTGCTATGTTGATGATTGAACAAAAGAGAAGACTGGGAAAAAAATTAAAATATATTGCAAAACTTTGGTTACTTTTTATGCACTTCTTTTTTAAGTATAAATTTTCAGTTTAAAGATTAGTAAGGAGTAATTGATGTTTGTTTTTGCATATGAAAGTATCTACTACATATTTTTCGTTGATACCCTTATGAAATATAGAAACTAGAAAACCAAAGCTTTTATTTTTCCGACGTATCCTTATATCCTTCAGACTATGGAAAATGTTTGCTGCTGTGTGATTTCTCAGCTAATTGTAGTAAAAACTCATTATATACTTATGCATTTGTTATAGAAAATAGTTCAATCTTTCTTCTTTAAGCTTTTATTATTCTCTATTATCTAATAAAGTCATGGATGAATACTTCATAACTGCTAGCTACTCACTTAATATCCTTATTCTGTTCCAAGTAATTAGAACGCGACGTCCATAACTTATAGCCATTTAAAATTTAGGGTATTTTCGAGCTGGTTTAACGAATAAGTAATAGAGTTGAATGTCTTGTTATAAATTCAAAGACTAGCATTGGATGGACAGGAATCTTGAAGACGCGAAGACGTTGGACGAGCCAATTCTTCATAGCTTAGCAATTGCTCTTCTAAAGAACGAATATTGGAGTCTTTATTTAACTCCAGAACAAAAACGGAAATATATAAATATCATTAATGATGTACGGTTGTGGAATCGATTTATAAACGTGAGAAACTGGGATACACTATGCGACGAAAAAGACCCTTCAGGAGGCAGTGAGGAAGATGAGGAGCTAGACATGACAACTCTATTTCGATGCCGATGTATGTTATATGACGCTCAAATTAATGGTGGATTGTTCGCTACACGAAACGCTGAAGGTCCTTCCAGTCAAGTAACTAAGGAGAATGAGAAGGATATACCTCATGAAACTCAGAATATCGAGCAAAGCGAAGAAGAGAAAAAGAATGAAATAGAACAAGACTCGAGGAAGAAGAGTTCAACTCGAGAAATTAACGAGAACGACTATGACGAACCTGACAGCGATGCTAATCAGCCCAAAAATGACGAAAAACAGGAAGCTAGTGGAGCTTCATCTCGTTCGTTTGTAGACTTAGAGTCCATCGATATTGATGATATGGGTAAGTGATTATTTTACATCACTTTCATATAGCTGATTCTTATAAATAGACGTTTCAGGATCAAGCACTATTGAGTCTAGCAAGGTTCTTAGCAATATTGCCTATAACTATGTGTATTATACCCTAGAAGATGATTTACTCGATCAAGATGAAGTTGAGAAATTAGAGACTGATGGTCCATCTTCACCTGGGAAAGCTTCATTTCCTCAAAATTCTTCCGATACTTCATGGACTGAAAATTTTTCTGTATGCAAAATGTATTCATTCAGTTTTCTAACTATATTTCAGCAACTACATTCCAAATTTGGCCATTTTACTGCGAATTTCAAGGTTTGTTTCATCGTTAATCTTGCATAAAAAACTAATAGCCTTTTGCATATCAGAATCTCTTGAAATATCTTGAAAACAACCGAAACGTAGTTGGTGCTTCTGACGCTGAAATCAAACAGTTGCTTGCGGATGTCCGAAAAAGCAGATCAAAATGGGTACGAACACATCTTTGACCTAGAACTAACTTTTTTAGGCAAATGAACAAAGAATAGGGCAAGAGGAATTATATGAGGGCGCTGAAAAAGTCATTATGCACCTTCGTAATTACACTGAGCATTCCTTGCCTTTTTTGACAAAAGTCAGCAAGCGCGATGCACCTGACTACTACAATGGTATATAAGCGCTCTTCCTAGTATTTTATATTAAGTATTAACGTGGTTTTCAGTTATCAAAGAGCCAATGGATTTGGGAACAATGCTTCGGAAATTAAAAGCACTGCAGTATAACAGTAAAAAAGAAATTGTTCATGATTTAATGCTTATTTGGTCTAATTGCTTAACATATAATTCACATCCGGTATGTTTGTGTCAATGGATAAGACTCTAATCTGAGTAGGAACATCCGCTACGAGCTCATGCTTTAATTATGAAAAAAAAGTCGCAAGAGCTACTCAACATCATTCCAGATATCGTAATTCAGTCTAGGAAAGATTACGATGAAACTTTGATGGAAGCAGACCTTGAGAGTGACGAAGGTACGTTCTATTGAAAGTCTTACACTAACCGTAAAGAAGAATCCAGCGAAAAAACTTCAAAGCATACTACATCAAAGAAAACCTCATCGAGAGGTGGACAAAGCAAGCGATCTGTTGAAGTACACACTGACGTCCCAAATAGTCCTGATGAGGGCGATAAACAAGGGCGAAAAGAAGAAGATCAGCAAAAGAAGGAAGAAAGTTCACATTTACCTCCTTCCTCTGAATTTGCTGAAATTCCCGAAGAGAAACGCTCTGCGGAAGAAGAAAATACCGCTCGTGCTCAAAATGAGATTGAGGATAAAGTTGTCTCCGATGTTGCACATGAATTTTGGAAAAATAATTCAAAGTCTAGACGTTTTGAATGCATTATGCGGAATAGGAATATGCTTGGAAATTTGAATGCTGTTGAAAATCCCTCTTTGTCTTGTAGGTCTCCTGAAGCCATGACATCTTTTATGAATAGAGAAAAAGCTTACGAAAAATTTTCTGCACGCTCAGAAAGTTTAAGTGGTATATTGGATGTCTCCAATTTAAGCTCTAATTACGACTCTCTATTCGAATACGATGTAGCTTCAGGAGTTCCTGTTCATTATTTTGCCGAGAGCAATGTCGGACCTACTGAAGATGGAGTCTTCAATAATTACCTACTTTGGGAAATGAATCATCAATCGCCAGGACTTTCCTCTTCTATTTACAAGAATATATCGAAAATGCAGCAGATACGAAAGCTGTGTAATAAAATTCAGACAGTTAGGCAGATGCAACTTCCGCAACCGGTATGAATGTTTCTTAGGAGATTATTAACATCTTTAGTTTTACTCTGATTATTATCGAAGTAACATTCCTTTCGCCAATGAGGAATCGATTTTATTAGACGTTCCGCAAAACTTTGAAGAAGTTTCCGATTTTCAACCTGTTGCTCATGGGATTTTAAAGAAACTCTGTTCAGTAATTCTATTTCACGCTGGATTCGATTGTAAGTTAAACTTTGATATTGATTGTTAACCATTTAGCTTTCCATTCCGAGGCCTTAAACGCATTGACGGATGTAGCAGCAGATTACATGAAGAATGCTGGTACTTTGATGAAGAAGTATTTATCGGAGAAGCAAAAGGATTCCAAAGAAGTATGCAAATTGGTGGTATGCGAATTTTGTATTAACAACCTTAGGAAATTATCAATCAAACCCTTCAAGAGCTCGGTGTATCTGGTCCGGAAACATTGGTTTCTTACGTATTTGATGACATTAAACGCTATGGTATTAAATTGGATGAAGTTCATCAGAGGCTGCATAGACATCTCGTAGAGCTTTTACGGCCCGCACTTTCAACTACGAATGATGAAGAGGAAATTTTTGGACGAGATAGTGATTCATTTATAACAGGAGGATTTTCATATGATACCGGAGATGATTTCTTTGGATTACGAGAACTAGGTTTAGAGAAAGAACTCGGGTTGGATTCATTGTCTGTACCTTTGCATCTATTGCAAAGTAGGCTGAGACTTAATATGAGTCAGCAGCCAGAACTGTACGTAAAATTCGTGAAAGGAATTTTATTATTAACCTTTACTTTATAGAACCACTGAAAATACAAAAGAATACCCTCCTGCTCCCAGATACCCACCGATTACCAGAGAGAGTCTGAAGGACGAAATTGGCCTTATCCAAGGCTTTCTGTCTTCAAGGATGGATGAGTTTGGCCTAAATGAATTAATTGAGGATGAAGATATTCGGCCTCGAAACAAGCCTCCACGGCCTCGATTACCTCCCAATGGAAAGATCACGACTGGGAGAAAACGCATTGCATCCTCCGTGTTTTTGAATCAGTCTTTACGGAAGAAGAAATGCTTAAAAAATGCTGAAGTATCACAATCCAACGAGATGCCATCTACTGTGCAAGAAGAGAAAGCATAAGGTTATTTATTTTCAATTTTAAGTTTTGAGATGTTTAATTTTCTAAATGTACATAATCTCCCGTTATACTGTATCGATGGCTGACTGGTAAATTTCAAAAAAACAAAATGAAGGTAGACACGTAGATTATTATGCTCTTTTTATTCCGTCAGTGATATTATTGGAATCAATATAAGAATTGTAGAGTACATTAACTAACAATTTTGAAATGAGAACTGACTCCATTTTAATACAAAATTTCCCTGTGTAGATAAGTATGTTAAAAGCAGATTAAATGAATAGATGGTTGAAACATTATTCCTTTTTTTGCTTACTAAAATCATCTTGTTTTAAGATAAAAAAAATTTCATTCTTACAAAAATTCCATATGCCGACGTTCGTAAAGTGTCAAATCTGGTCACTTTAGGTCCAACTAAAGTAATAAACATTATCATGGCAAAACGCGAACATTCAGACACAAAGCACGGTGGTGCTTCAATAAAAAGGGTATATTTTACATTTTTAACTTTTATTAACCTGTAAAAGCTCAAGTTTAAACGTACAGGCATCGAGAAAAATGAAAGTGGAATCTTGATTACGGTACCTCGTGGTAAAGAGAGACAAGCGTCCAACGAAATTATAAATGTTCTCTCTCAAGTATGTCAATATAATTTCCTGTTGTTACTGATTCTAACAAAGTTGCCAGCATGTTGCTACCCTCTGGCCTGAAACAATAGGACCTGAAGAGAGTGATGATGATGAGGGGGACTTGGAAGAAGCCATTTCTCGCGAATTGGAAGGAATGAAAGAGAAGAAAAAGAGTAAAAAGGAGTTATTGACTCCAATCTTGATTGACTTACAATGTGGTATGGCGCTATAATTATATGATGATGAAGTAGTAACCATTGAAATAAGTGGTTTTTATAAAAATAAGACCTCCTATAGATCCTGTTCGATTGGTGGAATACACTTGCAAAGAAGGGAAGACGAAAAAGATGACTCGCTTTACCCAAAGGTTGACGCCCATAGTCAGGACAACAGGAGCCTCAATTGAAGAATTGGAAGACTTGGCTTTAGAAGTATTGAAACCTCATTTTCATGAAGGACAACAGGATTTGAAGGTAAGCAATTCGTTCAAATATAGATGTATTAACACCGGTGCCTTAGTTTGCTGTCCAAGCTACTATTCGAAATCACTCAATTCTAAAGAAGGATGATATTTATAGATCCATTGCGAAATGTGTTGGGCGTGAGCATAAAGTTGACTTGAAAAACTATGACCTTCTTATCATGGTCCAGGTGTTTAAAGTATGTATTCATTGACGCTCATTTTTCGAATTCTTATTAACATTGGTCAGAACATAATTGGAATGAGTGTCGTGAGAGATTATGAGCAGCTGCGAAGGTTTAATTTAAATGAGCTTTACCAGCCAGGAAGCTCAAAAGTTGACGAGAAGACGAAACCTGTAGAGAAGGAAATCAACAAGGATGAAAACAAACAGACTGCTGAAGCAAAGCCAATATCAGACATTCCAGAACCAAAAGAGTCTACTAACTCTTAACGATGGGCACACAAAAAATGTTTGTTGGCTAAAAAAAATAAAAATAAAAAAATGTTTTTTTTTTTGGGGAGGAGGGTGTTTCATTTAATTAATCGTTCAGTTCAGTCAGAAATTTTATGAGAAAGTTACAATGAAATACAGGTTTTCTATTTATTGGTCAGTGTTAAGTGTACTTGAAATAAAAGTAGCAATCGCAAATTAACAAGATGAATTTCATTAATCTTGCGGTGAATGTCATAATACCAGTGGGAAACAGGAAAGATTTAATATCTGGTTGGATGCAAAATGACAACAGAAATGTATGCCTCGCACCAAAACTCGTTGACGAAGGATTATCCGGAAAGAACGCAGGATACAGGTGAAAGACGATTCAAAAAAGGAAAAGTTTTAAGCGTTGAGGTTTTGCAAGCGTATAAGCATCACATATACAAGTAGATAGGATTACATGAACATGTGAAACAGTAAGCGAAAGTTCGGATTTTCAGTTGCAAGATAAAGGTAGAACAGAAAAGCACCCTCATTTGTGTTAAGAATCAGAAGAGTTTTCTTTAAAAGCACTTGTGAGAGCAACAAACTTTTCTGCAAACGGGCGACAAAGAAGGGATCTATCAGCATTTTCTGACATGCATGCAAATAAGTCGGACCGAGTACTTTCAATCTCCTTCAAGGTCTCGCTTTTTATCGACTGATGAGCAGTAGATTCTTTTTCTAATTTATCACGAAGAGCGGCAAACTCGTTTTTCAAAAGGTTAGAGTTCAAGGATCCTTCGCTTTGCTTCTCCAATTCATTGTTTTGTTTCCATTCTTCATCCATAAGGACATCAATGACTTTCCTTTGACGGTCTTGCAGTTTTTTCAATTCCGTTTGTACGCGTTCTTGGATATATCCTTCCATATCCATCCATCTGCTTGTGTCCGTTTCCGGAGACTCTTTGAGATGGCGCACCAAGCCTTCCGAAAACTCTGTAGGTGCGTGCAAAACAAATTCTTGCCGAGATGGTTTATTACCCATAGTAAATCTTCAAGATTTCTGTTAACTGTGTAATTGAAAAAGAGAGGGGGAAATGGCAGGTTCACATTTGTCTGTTCGCATGCGAAACCTCATAAGTAACACCGTTACTTGCTACTATAAATAATACGAGGATTCAAAATGAATGACTCAGTCAATGAAAAGCACATACTTCGATTTCTGTGGTACATACGAAAAAATTACTTACTAAGAATACCGTTGTGTCCTGGTCTGCTCTGGCCAGGTTGTCTTTTGCTGGCTTTGGAGAAACTCAACAAACGAAAGGTTCATACAGCAGAAGAAAGAGATCCTAAAGTTGGAAAGGATAACTAAATCCCCCCAAAAAGAATTGATGAAAATAAGACTCAAACGATGTATACTGTTGATGATACATAAAAAGGGCTGCGAGCAAAAAGCAATCAAGTTCTTAAGCGAGTCGCTTACCAAACCTTACACTGGGATCGCAAATGTAGCAAATCATGACAACTATGAAATAAAAAAGGTAGAAAAGGTATATAGCTTAGGATAACTTTGTGCATTTATGTTCAACAGTTGTTGCAGTAAAACGAACAAAGATCATGCAAAGTGTGAAAAGGTGTTCGTTCGCATATTGTAAGCGTGTCTCAAGATATGAACATGAAGGCATAATAATGAAATATTGAAATTCAAAGGACATAATGTTTATATGAAAGTAAGCTGAATAAACTTGGCTGGCATTCCCGAGAGTTTTTTCCTTGCTTACACATTAGTTCAGTGACTCAACAGTTGCCATCACTTCCTGCATTCGCGATTATTAAAAATCTTATAATTCATTTCTTTTTGTTAATAAAGAAAGAAGGAAAGAAAGAAAAAAACCGTTGTTTGGGTGTCTGGTTCAATTTTTACCTACAAAGTCTCACGGATTCCTTTCGTCTTTCATCCTTTTAATAGATAAATTTATATTCTTTAAGAATCCTAAGTATACATTCTTTAATAGAGATCGGCCTTTGACTGTCTGCGATTGTATTCTGTACCATTCCTACACTACTACTTGCAATACTTTACAAATCGTCGTCGTTATTATGCTCGATTAGAGGATTAGATAACTACCAGTTATTTTTCACTGTCAATAAAGAAGAAAAGAAAGCAAAATCAACGACAATTGTGAACCACAGTCGAAAATTACAAGCTTGAAGGTTTGCAAATCTACCATCTTGAAAATTGCGGTTTCGCCTTCTTTAAATAACTTCTTACCTTCGATTAAAAGGGAAATTCTAAAGATTTCCTTTCTAAGCTGAAGTACTTAATTTTCGTCGTTGAATAAGGATTTTTTTGATCAAATCCGCAAGTTTGTGGGTTTACCCTTTTCAGCTGTAAACATTCGGACTACTTCCAATGCTATTTCCTATAGGAATTTCGAGGTTTTTCGGCTCGTTACCCTCAAAACCACAACTGTTTGCTCATCCGTTTCGTTCATCCATTGTCCGATTCCATTCTCGGCTTCTTCCCCCAAGACAACTTGACAATTCCCTTGCTAACCTTCAAAAGAAAAACGGCAGCCATCGTGACCTCGCGGAAAGCCGGACAGAATGGTTTCATCGAAGTGCCTCAAAAAACCGCTTACTTATAAATTGTACTGAATTCGACTTTCAGGGAAACGTAAGAGTAATCTGTGGAGATTTCAAAAAAATGGATTTGTGCAAACAAAATGGATTGCTACCTCGTGATTTACGAAAGCTAAACACTAGTATCAACTCTATCGTTCCGGTGATCCTTGTACGTGAAGGGTCAATTTTGGTTAATCTCTTGCACCTTCGAGCCTTAATCAAGGCAGATTCCGTATTACTCTTTGATGTATATGGAAGCCAGCACTCCCATTCGCAATCTCAATTTATATATGAACTGCAAGGGAGATTGAAGCAATCCTCCAGTGATTTTGAATTTCTGCCATATGAAATGATGGCTTTAGAAACAATATTAATAAGCGTTGTGAATACTCTGGATTCTGAATTGCGTGTTCTGCAGAATCTTGTCTCTGATCTTTTAGCCGACTTTGAACTCGATATTAATCAAGATCGGCTTAGGACCCTTCTGATCTTTTCAAGACGTCTTTCTGGATTTCTGAAAAAAGCTACATTGATTCGTGATGTTTTAGACGAACTGCTAGAACAAGATCAAGATTTAGCAGGCATGTACTTGACAGAGCGCCTTCGAACCGGCAAACCTAGAGATCATGATAAACATGATGAAATAGAGTTATTGCTTGAAACATATTACAAGCAAGTAGACGAAATTGTGCAACAAACAGATAATTTAATGGGCAATATCCGAAGTACAGAGGAAATCTGTAATATTATGTTAGATGCGAACAGAAATTCCCTTATGCTCCTTGGGTTAAAGCTTTCTGCGGTCACGCTGGGATTGGGGTTTGGTGCCATAATTGCTAGCATTTATGGTATGAACTTGCCAAACGGTTTCGAAGAATCCCCAGCGGCCTTTTATTCGACTGTGGGAATGATTTTTACGATGGCTACGATTTTAAGTTCTATAGGGATTCTAAAGATTCGAAGTTTGAAGCGAATTCAAATGGCGTTTAATCATCGCCCAACTTTGACAATTGAACCTGAAAAGTTACGACCGCCTTATCTGTAATCATACCAAATACTCATGAACATGCTAATTGTCTTATAGCCTTATTTTCATTCTCTTACATCTTCATTTATCTTTTTTTTAACTCAAAAATCGGTCTCTACTGTTATATTCTTCATTTTGAAACCGCCTATATACCCCATTTTAGTGATTTTTTGGTATCTCTTGGGCAAATATGTTGTCGCATAGAAAAAGCATATTTTTTTGTTTGTTTGTTAAAAGAAACCAAGCGGTAAATTTGATTCTTTTCTCTTCTTTCAAACTCATACTTGAGAGAAATTGCTCGTCTACAATTTAACAACGTTCAGTATTAATCTTTGGTACAATTGTACTTTAATCAAAATACAAGTTTGCTTAAAAGGAAAAAGAAAAAGCTACCATACCCTGCTAAACTATGATACCATGCATCTACATAACGACATTTTTTGTTTAAATAAATTTTATTTTCATGAGCCAGAACGAAACAACCAAGATATAAATTAACAAGACAATAGTTAATTGAAAATCATGGACGGAAATCCGAGTACAATCTTGTTAAATACCATTATATACCGGAGACCAAAACGGAAAAAGAAGGGAGACATAATTTCGGTCATAGGAGGGATTTTTACTTTTTTTCTAGTAAATAATAAAAAGAAAAACCAAGAAACCACATACACCAAAAGAAAACATGGAAGAAATAAAAAACAAGCATTTTTATAAAATTTAGTCCATCGTCTTTATTTCACCACATCTCCAAGTGCACCATAAAATTTTTTTCAGTGAATTTAAATAGCATCAACATCAAATTCAAAGTCAAGATCGTCTTCTCCTTCAACACCAAAGTCGGTCTCATTAATCTTGGCAGTTTCGGGCAACTCGCCTTGGTTCTTAAGAGTACGAGCTTCATCAGCGGTGTATTTCAAGATCACATCACCTTTCTCGTCTTGGAATTCACGAAGAGACAATAAAATAATGTCACCTTGGTTAATCCAAACCTTCTTCCTCAATTTACCACGAATGTGACCTAAGCGCTTCACACCGTCGAAGCAAGCTGCCTCAATCCGACCGTTACCAAGCATTCTGGTAACTTGAGCGTAAATCTGACCTTCCTCGGCGTAGGTCAATTCACGCTTTTCATTCTCGTTCTCATTTTTTCCGCGACGGCGGTTCTTACCACCCTTTCCTTTGTTCTTGGGCATTCTGGTTCTGGGTTCGTTTCAGATGCCAAAAAATTTCGGAAAGTGTCTTGTTCTTCTTGATTTTGGTATACATATTTTACATTTTTATTTATTTCTTATATTTCTATTTAAGTATTTAATTCTGTTTTTCCCCATCTTTTCTGTATATTGCTCTCTTTTTTCTCTCTGAACTTCATCGAGTCCAGCCTTGACCTTTCCCCATTATACGTACCCAAAGGAGAGCAGAGACTCTTTACAAATGCCTCCAAAACTGTATCATCCTCAACCGACTCACGCCGTCCCTAGTCCCAATATGCGAGCAGGTAGTCGGTACGAGCCGCAACCTGGATTTCCTTCAGGAGCCTCCATGTCCTCTCCATACGACAATCCCAACATGGCTGCTGGCATGGGCATGCCTTCAACTGCGTCCTATTTACCCAATTCGGCTACTGCGCAAATGGGATTTCAGTTAGGTCGAAATGCAGTAAGCGCTGGCCATGAGTATATGGAACAGAATTTCGGAAAGTGGCTCTCCACCACCCGACTCCATCACTACTTCTCAGTAACCAACTCGTATGTTGTAGCGAAACTGTTGCTCATCATTTTCCCCTGGCGCCGCAGGTCTTGGGCTCGTAAGCTGAAACGGTCAGAAATGAATGGTAGCGCTGAAGGATACTGTGCTCCAGGAGAAGACCTGAACTCTCCAGACATGTACATTCCCTTAATGGCATTTGTTACGCATCTTCTTTTGATTTGTGCGCTTGCAGGTTTGCAGGATAAATTTCAACCTGAGCTTTTGGGTTTACGTGCTAGCAAAGCATGTGGTATCGTCTTGTTCGAGTTTTTGGCTACTCGCCTTGGATGTTATTTATTAAATATTTCAAATCAGAGTCAGGTCCTGGATCTCTTGGCTTTCAGTGGGTACAAGTTTGTCGGCCTCATATTAACCTCCCTCAGCCGGATAGCTAATATGCCCTGGCTTACAAGATTTATATTTCTTTACATGTACTTAGCTACGGCCTTTTTCCTTTTACGCTCGTTAAAATATGCCGTGCTGCCCGAATCTACTATGGCTATTAATGCCACCATAACTTCCCATCAACGGAGTCGACGGATCTATTTTCTCTTTTTCATTGCTGCTTCCCAAATCCTTTTTATGTATATTTTATTATGAGGTTGCTTTTTCCCTTATTGTTTCTCGGTTTTATACTCTACTACTTGAAGCTCAAGTAAGCTTCCTCGGTGAATGACTGGACAGTTCCTATTTTCACTCTGTCGATCCTTGATGTATGATTATTTTTGATTTATTTCTTTTTCTTTGTCATGAATGAACGGGTTTTATAATTCGCTCTTTGGTTAACTAGCTAAAGATTCCTAACAACTCTCCATGACTTCATATTCAATATTCCCTTTTTTTATTATTGCTCTAACGCACAGAAATTATGATACCGATTGTATGAAAACTATTCACTCTTTATGAATAGGATATAAAATTTAGATTGAATACATAGACAGACTTCATGGATCAATGGATGGGTGGCTGACTAGGGTTCCCTTTATGAACATTACCAAGGTTCTTAGAAAGCTTTGCTATTAGTTTTCATATTGTCCACCGTGTTCTCTAGAGTATGAACTTAGTTGCAAGCTCCTATACGATATTTCCTACCGTCTACCTCGTTCTCTACAATGTTCTTTTACGGGACATAAAATAAACATAATAATATTTTTTTCATGTGACGGAGCCATGAATACAAAATCTACACAATTTTCACATTGCAAGTTTACATAGTAAGAGACATGATAGCGTTCACGACATCGCTCTGCAAAAGCATGGTTAGTATATTGGAAAAAGAAATCAACTACGTTGAAGATTTTCAAAAGAAGGCAGACGAAAGGTTTGAAGAGTTTCAAGACCTTCAATTTCGACATTCCACTCTTCCCTTTATGGAGCACTTTATTGCTACTTACGTTGTTTTCTTTCAAAGCTTTAACGGCCTTGGCACGGTTGACATTGGCTTGAGCCACGACCAATTCGACATCCTTGGCGTCAACACCGGTTTCGTCAACGGGTTCTTCGGCTTCCTCAATCTTAGCGGGCTCTTCCTTGGCAGGAGCAGGCTCTTCGGTAGCAGCACCCTCAGCACCCTCAGCACCAGACTTCTTTTGGTTCTCGCTGAAGGCACGAGCTTGAGCAGCCATGTCTTCGACGGTGATCTTACCGAGGACAACGAAAGCGTTGTTGCTGCTCTTGTAGACGATAGGGTCGTTGACGATCAACAGGATATTCTTAGGGCGGCGCATAGCAACACGAGTGATGCCTTCAACACGCTTAAGACCCAACTTTTGGATCAACTTTTGGGCCTTTTCGGCATGGACAACGGTGGTAGAACCAGCGGGAAGTTCAGAAACTTGTTCGACGGGTTGAGATTCGACAGACATTTTGCTTTACGTTTATAATCTACTTTTTGTTGTTGGAAAAGTTCGAGTTCTTGGCTGCCAAATTTGGTGTTGATCTACTTCGAACATATGTGACTGCCTTTTCCTAATCCTTTCTCGTATTCCACCAAAATGTTATATCTGCTTGGCAATAAAAAAGGGATTCTTTCAATTATATCTTTTTGAGACTTGTAATCACATTAGTCTTGTAATTCGTGATAGGTAACCCTTTTTATCTGAGTGTTTTGGTATTCGAGTCGCAAAAGTTCAGGCTGAAAAATTCCTAGACTTAAAGTTGACGACTTTCCTTAAAGTCTTTCAAAGATTTAGATTGCTCTTTTTTAAATTCAATTTGTCTATACCCTCACTGATCTCTTGATTGGAAAGATCTCTCCGACCTTTACTTATAGTGAACGAAAAGGTTTTCGTACTTAAACATGAACAATCCTGATAATCCTTATTCTTTCTTATCAAGCCAAAATGCTGCCTCTGATGAGATGACACCAGAGGAAAAGTCAATGATGCTACAATCTAAAATCGTTACATTTATGCAAGAAAGCTGTGTATTCAAAAGTATCGCTGCTGGAGGTATGGGGTTTGGTTTGGGTGGTATATTTGGTCTTTTCATGTCCTCTCTGGATATGCAAAGTATGGACCCCCAAATCTATGAAAAGAAATTCCGTGAACAGCTACGTATTCAATTGAAAGATATGGGCTCCCGCTCTTACTCGTCAGCTAAAAGTTTTGGTGTCCTTGGTCTTATATTCGCTGGCTCTGAGTGCAGTATCGAAGCTTTCCGTGCTAAAACTGACATCTACAACCCAACCATCGCCGGTTTTTTTACCGGTAGCATTTTAGCTAGACGATCAGGACCAAAGGCCATGGTATTAGGTGGTGCTGGTTTCAGTGTCTTTTCCTATGCTATCGAAAAATGGATGATGAATTGGTACGACTAATACTTATTACATGCCGCAAAGATATACACCCACATTCTTTGTTTCAAACCTAATTCTATCGTTTCCCTATACTATTACCTTTTTCGTTGCACTTTTGGTTATTCATGTTTTGTCTCCCATTCTTCTTTAATACCGCTTACTTTTCTAGTTAACACTGCATACCTATTACGGATTTTCGCAAAGAAATAATACAGTGACTGCGCTGCTCATTTCAAGTTCATTAAAATATAATCTAAGCGTTCCATAATTAATCATAGTATGAATAAATAATCATCTTAAGAAAGCATGTTTTATACCCAAAAATTCTGTTGATCATTTCGATTTCTTTCGAGTTCCTGGTGGCATCGTCACAGCTTGCGGAAACCGATTTGCAATTAAATCTTTGGAATTACTAGCAGTAGTCGTTATTCCTGAGGCTGACGTAGTCGTCGAGATCGTTGTGGCAGTCGGAATCGATGGCAACGCTCCTGCTAAAGCTAATTTGGTTGCCCGTATCGGTTCTCGATAATTATTTTGATGAGAAAGTTGCACTGTACGCAGCCTTTCCAACAAATCTGACCAGTATGGATCATCCCTTCTTGATCTATTGATGCGTTCGTTTGGTAGTAAAACATTGCTTTTTGACACCGTAGTACATTGGAGTCGGTCTCGTAAAGTCCTAAATGCGGAAGATTGTGGTAACAGCATTAATATTCCGTACAAGGCTTTATGAAGGTACGGGTACTTCTCAGGCTCCAGCAGCTGTAAGCGCATGTCTAACTAGTTAGTAACTCTTTAACCACTCTATTCACATACATGTGAACACAGGCGACTCAATAAGTTGTACCAATTTGTCCAATTGGATCAACATATCAACATTAAACTCTATTTCAGCACTATTGGGATTAGTGATGTTCCGTGTTATAGCTAGCCTTGGCAATACTTACAATACAGATAGGAGGTTGGCGGCGTGTTCGTAATTCTGCGACAAAAGACACAAAGCGAAAACCGCGATAGAATTATGACACCATGCACGATAAAGGGTTGTGAAAATATTTTGTAGCTATTAAATTTGTTAGAACCTTCCAATTATAGTGATAACATACCTTTAATGAGCTCTGCTTCAGTTTTTTCCGAAGGTCAAATAATTCAGGAGCTGTAAATAAGTTGTTATTCAAAACTTCGACCATAGTGCTTGCCAATTCCAAATTCTATAGATTAGCATAATAATTAATGGAATTGACGTACCTCTTCTACTTCTAGAATACTGGCAAAAGCAGTATAAACTCGTTCCCCTTCAATGTGATTACATAGTTGGCGAATAATAAGATTACCTCGAGAATTCAAGAACTTCCTATCTTCAGAAAACATCTGTAGAAGATACTTCAGGAAAGGAACCAAATTTTCGCTTTTGTGGGAAATGGCAATATAAGCCAGAAGTTCCAAAATTCGAGAAACGACTAAGTCGCTAGGGTCTGACAACTGCAGCAAAAACGTTTGAAAAATCGTATCATGCATACTGATAAGTTTTCCACCCGCCCTTCTTTGTAGTAGTAGAATCCATTCAAGAGAGCATAGACGAGTTTCTTCGTTGTCATTGGAAAGAAGTTTTTGCAAAACCTCTATCAATGTGTGAAAATCAACAGTTAAACTGTTATCATTTTGACTGGTATCAAGCTCAGATATTTCAATATCCATCACCTTACTAACTAGAATGACCAAGTTTTGACTAAGCTCCTTGGCAGTCTGACGAATATTCTCTCCTTTAGACATTAAAGGCAAAAGATTTTCTAATACCTTAGAAATCAAAACGAGAGCATCTTTCGGTGAAATGTAAATAAACTCATAGAGCCACTTCAATGCCTTTTCTTGAATAAGAGGTACAGAAGAACCCAGATGATTGACAATTATTTCTAATAGTTTTTTGCAGTCGATTTGAATATGTGCTTCTAATATAAAAGATCCGTCTTTCAGAGAACCCTCAACGTACTCTGAAATCTCCTGCATTTCTGAATCCGATGTGACTCGACGAATCATCGAGTTGAAAAAGTCAGGTTCGCTTTCTTCGTCTCGTTGAAGGATATGGTACTTCACCTTGGCTATTCTTTGAATTTCTCTCAAAAAGTCGTATAAACAGTTACTCGTAACGATTCGAATACTTTCATTAGGATCACTCAAATAATTCATAAGCCCATCTAAAAGATAAGGCAAGTACGAAATGAATTCGAGGTCTGGAATACTGTCAAGTAATCGAATCCAAGAAACCAAAAACATTCTGGTATTGGGGTTTATTACATATATCCTTTCGGATAGCAAAGGAACGAGCTTCGCGAGCGAAAACGTTTGCATCCGGGAAGATTCACAAGACAAGACTGGAACATCTTGCATAGAAGAAGTAGCAGTTTTGTCTTTAAATGTTTCCAAGTTTTCTACACTAGACATATATGTGGAAGCTTGCTGGATGACGATGTCTTTGACTAGTCTATCCAACAATTCAGCTCCATTTTTTACAGTTATTTCTGTGTCAGCAAATAGTTTGCACAAGACGTCAAACATAAGATTAAAGAACCGAAACACTTCTCCTTTAGCCACTTTGCCTATATTATACATGCTTTCACATGCATAATAACGGATTTTGGAATCGGAATCATTAAAGCAATATAGCACTGGCATTATAATTGATTCCATATATATATCAATTTTCTATTTCGCGTGTTAAGACATAGAATGACGAATTGAAAAGTATATAAACTTACCGGACCTAGGGCAATAGCAACTGCGGCAAGACCTATAAGTCCTCCAAAAACAGCATTGGATCCTTTTGTCGGTGAATAAATAAAGTCATCTGCAAGCTCATTGATTACTTCCTGCACTTTGTCCGTTTCACCTTTCTCTAAGTATTGGCGGACGACACTAATACAAGCATTCAGTTAGCTAAAAAATATTTCTTCTTCATGTAATAAATTCCTATAAATGAACTGGATTTCATGTAATGAATAATAACATACCGCTCCAACTCATAGGCAGTAGATTTCCGTTTATCGTATAATTTATGAGTCAAACCATGAGCTATTAAATTATCTAATATATGTTAATTCATCTAACTCTTCGTACAATGTAAATTACCCATTGGAAATCATTAGATCCTACCAAGTCGGTAAGAGTAAGTGACAGTATGGTAGGTAGTAGCACCATTCAATATTTATCACATTTACAAGACATCTACTTATATACGTAAGAAAAGTAACGTTAACATTAATCGTAATGATTGGCAATTGTTTAAGACTATTGAAGAGTCATCTCGCTAATCACATGGTCCTACTAAGTAATAAACTAACATACAAGTTTGCTTATCTATACTTTATACGCAGTGCTGGACCTTCTGTTGTAGAATCCAAAGCACCTATATGCGAAGTTTGTTTTCATTGAAAGAAAAAAATGAATGTTGCATTTATAGTAAATAACCCTAATTCCCGAAAAATGGACCTAAAGTTGATAAGGCTCGAATTACAAGTCGTTGACGCGAGATTTGGACTCCTTAAGCTTGAGTAACTTTTCAAGAATGTCCTTCATGGGAATAACCTCACCCTTGCTTTGCTTCTTAGGATCATCACGGTTACGAACATTCACACTCTCGGATTTTTCTTCTTCGGCACCAACGACAAAGATGAAGTTGTATTGAGAAAGTTGTGCGGTACGTACCTTTTTAGGTAAAGTGTTGTCTGACAAGTCAACGTCAGCGTAGAGACCAGCGCTTACTAAAGCACGATTGACTTTCTCTGCATAAGTATACGCAGCAACAGAAACTGGAACAATGCAAACTTGACGAGGAGACAACCAAAACGGCCACTTACCGGCGAAATGTTCGGTAAGAATGGCAATCATACGCTCCAAACTGCCAAGGATGGCACGATGAACCATGACAGGGCGGATATAGCTATTGTTATTTCCGGTTTCCTTGGCTTCTTCAGCATTAACAGGAGCATGGAATTCAAGTTGGAATTGCTCAGGAAGTTGGAAATCGAGTTGAATAGTGGCACATTGATGTTGTCGTTTTAAGGCATCGAATACGGTGATATCGATTTTAGGACCATAGAAAGCACCATCACCAGCATTTAACTCCCAATTATAACCAGAAGCATCCAAAGCAGCCTTCAACTGAGTCTCAGCACGATCCCAAGTAGCGACGTCACCAAGGAACTTCTCTTCTGGTCTAGTAGACAATTCTAAATGGAAAGTAAAACCAAAGATACCGTAGACGTGCTGCAAGAAGTCAAAGCATCCTTCAATCTCGCTTCTCACTTGGTCGGGTCTGCAAAAGATATGAGCATCATCTTGCTGGAAACGACGGACACGGGTGAGACCGCTAAGGGCACCAGAAAACTCGTTTCTATGCAAAACACCAAAGTCGGCAACGCGCCAAGGAAGGTCACGGTAACTACGATCGCGGTTCTTGAAAATGACACAGTGACCAGGACAATTCATAGGTTTCAAAGCAAACTTCTCCTTTTCAACGTCAAAAGAAAACATGTTTTCAGAATAGTTATTCCAGTGGCCAGAAGTTTTCCAAATGTTTACATTGTACATATTAGGGGTGATGACTTCTTGGTAACCGCGCTGGGAATATTGTTCACGCATCCAGTTTTGTAAAGTGTTGTAAATACGAGTACCATGAGGCAAAAAGAAGCAACTACCAGGAGAAACTTCGTTGAAGAAGAAAAGTTCTTGTTCGCGGCCAATTTTACGGTGATCACGTTTGGCAGCTTCTTGCAAAAAGGCTTTATACTCCTGCATTTGCTTGTTGTCAGGGAAACTAACACCATAAATACGTTGAAGGGAATCGTTTTTAGCATCACCCAAAAAATAAGAGGAAGAGTTTTTCATGACGGCAAAAGATTTAACACGGCCGGTATGAGGGACGTGAGGACCAGTACATAAGTCAATAAGAGGGCCACAGCGATAGACAGTAGTACTAGTACCATCGGGAATCTTGTTTTGTATAATCTGTTGCTTATATTTGTTGTGGCTAAACATCTCAAGGAGTCTTTCCTTAGAAAGGACCAAACGTTCAAACGGCTGCTTTTGTTTGATTGCTTGCTTGGCTAAGTTTTCGAGGCTCTTGTAGTCTTCAGAGGTAACAACACGCTCATTCTCGATAGCCATTTCGTAAAAGAAGCCATCATCCGTAGGAGGACCAACACACAAGTGGCAGCCATAGAATAACTCAGAAGCTTCACCAAGGACGTGGGCACTGGAATGCCAAAAGACTCGTTTTCCTTCGGGATCTTCAAAGTCTAAAAGCTTCAAAGTACAAGAAGTTTCAAAAGGACGGGTCAAATCCCATAGCTTGTCATCCACCTTAGCAATCACGGTACGCTCAGCAAGACCCTTGGAAATCGAGGTAGCAATGTCAAGAGGAGTGGTTTCCCAACTAGTAGCTTTGACAACCTTTCCATCAGGAAGGGTAACGTCAATTTCCTCTCTGGGCTTGTTGGCAATCTCCTCCTCAACTTCTTTTTTGTATTTCTCAAAAAGTTCAACACGATGTTGAATGTATGGAACTTCTAAAGAGACCTGTCCAAGGCCCTTCTGTACTTGTTGAACAGTAGCTGCACTCATCCTTTAATTCGAACGATGAAACTCAATGTGAACTTTCAGGAATGACTTTTCGGTGGACCAATCAATCAATGAGACAGTTATCTGGGTGTAGTTTTCTACTTAAGACTAGAACCAGGGTTAATTTTTCATTTTCTATCGTATTAAATTCCTGAAGGAACCTAAAATTTGATTTGCGCTAAGCTCGGCTCGTGTACTAAATAAATACGGTAATAAAACCATATTATACGTGATCTACAGTTAAAACTTGGGTCTAGCAAGATTCAATTCCCTTTCCACGGACCTGTATATGCTGTACCGAGGACTGTGTTGAAACGCAAACAACCACTTCATCTTCATGAATGTCTCCTTTTTTTCCTTTTCAGCTTACTTACCTTTTGTATATCGCTGTTTAACACAGACAAGCAATTTGCTCTCCCCAGTTTACAACAAGTGATATTTGCTCTGATAAACTCGTTTTGCTGCCTTCCTACACTAAGTTAATTTCTAATAACGCTATTTATGACGATACGTTATAATATTTACTCATTTACAACGAAGTTCGTTATAATTTTGCTACACCGAATTCTACGTGACAGTGAAATTTTCGATTTTACAAAACTCCTTTATATTTGGAGGTAACGGTTTTATCACCTCACGAGCCTAATTAAGTATTGAGAATGAGTTTTCGTGGCGGTCGCGGAGGTGGATCAAGAGGTGGACGTCCTGGATATCGTCCTTTTGCCCCTGCTGGTCCTCCTGATCAAGTTTTAGGTAAGAAAGCTCAATAATGAGACAGCATCGATCGTTTTATGAGTTGTTGGTCTTCTCTTTTCTAGTATAGGAAAACTAATAGTTGAAATAATTAGAGATTGGAAGTTTTGTGCATGATTGTGAGGGAGATATGGTTTGTCAATCTACCAACCCTAAAATTCCCTACTTCAATGCTCCTATTTACTTGGAGAACAAGGTAGGTTCATTCTTTTAATAATACCAAAAATGAAGACTTTGCTAACGAAGCTTTAGTCTCAAATCGGCAAAATTGACGAGATTTTGGGTCCCATGAATCAAGTTTACTTCACTGTAAAGCCTTCAGAAGGCATTGTTTCTAGCTCCTTCAAAGTTGGCGATAAAGTATTCATTGGAGGTGATAAGCTTCTTCCCTTGGAGCGCTTCTTGCCCAAGCCTAAAGGTCCTGCTGCTAAGAGACCTAAGACTGCTGCTGCTGGTCGAGGTGGTTTCCGTGGTGGTGGCCGTGGCGGCTTCCGTGGTGGTGGTCCTCCTCGCGGTGGTTTCCGTGGTGGTGGTCGAGGCGGCTTCCGTGGCGGTGGTCCTCCTCGTGGTGGTTTCCGTGGTCGCGGAAGATTTTAAAGGGAAAGATGAATAAATCGCCTTTAAATGGATTTTATCGGGTTCTCTTTTATATCCTTCCAGTTAGTTGTGAAGGAGAGTTTGGGGCTGGCTTTTTTGGATAGAAATTTTGTTTTTTGCATTGTCCACATACCTGAATGAAAGGCTTACATAGTCATATCCTTATGACTTGATTTGACTTACTTCAACCGGTACTCGAAGCACTTTTCCACGAAACAGTTATATCTGCTTTCTGCTTTCATTATTTATAAAGAGAACTAGTATAGTTCGTGTTGTATCCCTTAAAGTTTTAACTCTCTTTCTATTCTGTGGTACATTTAATATAGGTAAAAATAAGTTTTGAATCGTTTTTTACTGAATAAAGCTAAATAATAGTAGCTACCGTATTAATGAGTAGAGTAGTATATTGTATATATATGGAAAAAAAGGTTAAAGATGCATGAAGCAAAATACTCTGTTTTGTTATTCTAAGAGCCAAATATTTTGTAACAGTCATAAGTCATTAATTAACATAGCTAACTAAGAAATTTGGACGTTTCGTAGAAGTTCAGCCATATCTCTACTGACTCGTTTATGAAATAAACGATAATTAGATTCCCTTAAAGGAGGTATATTTGAAAGAACCTGTGGTTCTGCCACGGGAATTGATTCAATATTTTCCTTTATTATAACCATTAGTTCCTCTGGAGAACTATCTGGTGATTCAGAAGCTTTTGAAGTCAAATAACTGATCACTCCAAGAAGGTAATCAGCTGCGCGCCTGTTTTTGAGGCTTACCTTTGAAAGAATGAGTTGAAGAATCTGTGCATTACGAATTAATTTATATAACAGATCCACCATTTCCTCAGTATTCTGAACAAAGGCGTCCACATTTGCGACTGTATACGCAAGCAAATTTAATAAAGGCTCTACAATTAGGGGTGCGTTGTTGGAAAATTCCGAATTTATAAGCGTATTACAGAATTCTAGAAAAGAAAATAGAAATCTCCAAAGTTCCTTCCAATGATATTCCAATCGTATCAGGTTTTGCGCTAAAAAAGCGAAAGATTTATGCAGAAGCGTAAGGTACAAGATATAGATTGGAGTACTAATTTTCAGTTTTGCATTATGTTGAATCCCAAGGCAACATATATCTAAAAGATATCCCATGGGAACATATGGTTTCGCTGGATAAGAAGGGAAAGGATATCTCTGTAAACACATTCGTACGCGCAAATCTGAATTGCTTTGCACCAGCAAAGCAGAAGTAATGGGATCATCTATTTGTAAATGAAAGAGAATGAGGAAAAGCATAGAGAAATGATAGGCGCGTTTGGATTGCCTCTGATGGACATTTATGTAAGAAGCTAGTGAAAGCAGAGTTGAAGAAGGAGAGTCAGGGTCATTTTCTTTGAACTGAAAAAGAAATTTGCAAAAACGTTTGTTGCAAGTGCAAAGTTCGTAAATAGTTAAAAACATGACTAAGCGTTTATCAGGTAGGGTAGCAAATTGCTGCTCTTGTTTTACATCAGGATTCGAAGGTAAAGACCGAATAGTAAAGAAGCTAAAAAAAGAAGAAACAGGAGAATCATCAGGTTTTATAGCAACGTATTCATCTCTTAAAGCAATGAGTTGAGCGATAGAATACTTTAAAACAGCCTCAAAGAATGGTTCTTCAGATATTTGGGACAGATGAACTCGCAATGTATTGACAGTTTCAAATTTGTCACAAGCACTTAGTAATCCAAGTGCATATATAGCAACTTCAAAACCGGGCTTTTGATGCAAGATGGCAGTGACCAAAGTTGTAAAAACATCATAGCTGTCAAAAATATGAGATATGAACGAGGAGTTGTACAGAGTAGCAAGGAAACACAAGAAGAAAGACAAAGAGTCATGTATGCACTGAGCATTGTCAGAGGTTTTGATTACATCACACAAGTTTCGAATAAACAGTGAAAACTGAGTATCGATAGAATCAATGTTTCCCAGTAACAAATATACAGTAAAATTCACATCCGAAGACTTCTGATTGGACATAGCAGAGAGAAACATTTGCAGTGTTGTCAAAGCATTATGGATTCGTAAATGTTCATCCTTCGATAGAAGCAAATCCACCACGAATAGATACATGCTATGGATTTTTGGGCCATTGGAGGCGAGATCTTGAGTCGAAGTTTCTTGCAGTATTTGCTTTAACTCTTGAAGGCGAGGACTGAGAAGGAAGAATTCGCGCCAAAATACATTATCCAGGTTCCCTGTCCAGTATCGACTAGTTAAGCATTTATAGAGTGTAACTATTTTTGGAGTTGTGTCTACAGTAGCCGCTTTATGCATTCAAATTTTGCTAGCCAGTTTGAAGTCTATATACTATGAGTTGGGAAGTTCCTCTTGAAATGTGAGGTTTTACTGAGCAGAAGTGATTCGCGTGGTTGGACATATGCAGATAATTTAAGGAAGATTTTTTTCTAGTACTATTCGGTTAAGAAAGAATAAGGGCTGAAATGGGAAAACAACTCAAAAATAAAAAAGAAAGAACATCTCTTTACAAAAGCCAGACTAGCAACTTTTGTGAATGTTTACGAGAAAAACTACAACAGTAAGAGTCTTCATATCAATTTTCTTGATTTTTACTATTTAAAAAAAAAAATAAAATAATAGTAAAATTGCTCAATAGAAGCCCAAAAACTACCATACCCAAACATCGAAAATGAAACAAAAGAAGATTTGAAAAGAAAGATAATCCATCTCGTTACTAAGAGGATCAAGGTTGAAATTAAAGGCTAAAAATTACTTTCCTATATTGCTTAAATATTAATTATACCCACCTGATATTGTTCAATAATGCACATGCAAGAAGAGTTGAAAAATCAAGCATTTCCTGTTCCCAATGGTCATATTTTTTTTTTTTGTAAATGTCAACTATTTTTCTTTTTTACTTTATAGCTCTTCTTTTATATATAGATACAAATTCCCTTTATTTATGCTACCTGTTTACATCATATTATAGAGTAGTTGCTACCTATCTTATAACGAACTATGATATCTGATTTCAATGGATTTCTTCTCTACGTCTTTCTGGTTTTGACAGGATGTTTTATCAAAAACTATGAGGAGACTTTTGAAAAGTTTCAATGAGATGTCAAGGCTGGTGGCGACGAATATGGCAGGTTCATTCTTAAAACGTCGGCTGATTATGGTTCATGTACGACAATTCAAGTAAAATACATAGAGGAATCTTGAGAGAAATTTTTAATGAAATCTTTTCCGAAATAGCATCATTTCCATATTTTAGGAAAGCTTTGTTTTTCTGTTCTTAGCTCTCAACTGTTCGATAAGCATCACTAATTCCTTTAATGTGACAGAACGCAACCGAAGGCGACTATGTCATAGTTTGAACTAATATATATCTACATATATATATATATGTATATGTATTTCTCTGCATGGTAAAATTCTGCCTAAAGCCATAGTGTTTATAATATGGGTATAAAGGATAAATCACAGGGTTTGGAAGATGAAACGATGGATACTATTAGTATCCTGAGCAGTTCTGTTGATCAGTTAAGTGTAGGGTCTTCAGAAGATTTGAATATGGTGGAGAATCCAAGAACATGGAATCAGCAATTCGAAAGCATTGTTGATGAATTATTAGAAGTGAGAAAAGTTGGGTCAAAAGAGCGGGAAGGACATTTGAGGAAACTATACAACTTGTGCACTCGATATTATGTAAAACGAGTTGCCGAAAAAATCGGTCCTCTGGAAGAAATACTCTTAAAGCTCTTCCACTCTTCACGTTCTGATGCTGAAGTTATTATCACAATGAGACTGTTGTGTGCTTTATGTTTGGCTTCAGTATTTTCAGTAGAGGGACTTTGGACTGCTACAGAGGGTCGTTTCAATGCTCTCGTAAATGATGCCCAGTCAACAGCAGTAAAGTGTGAAGCTATGCTCTCTTTATCGCTTTTGACAGTCCTCTTGGACTCTGAGCCTGATATTATCGACTTTGGTTATCAACTTGCAAGTATCATCGAGTCTGATGGTGCAGTGGTTAATGCAGAGGATAACGAAGACGTGGTTGGGATTGCTTGTCAATCCCTTGGACTCTTGCTAACCGGCATAACATCCTACAGTGAATTCGTCAGCTCTGCTGCTGAAGCACTTGCTGAGCAATTGGAAGCTGCCAGTATAGACGTACAGATGGGAGCTGGGCAAGCTCTGGCAGCTTTGTATGAGCGTATTACAGACACGCATTCTGAAGAAGAAAATGGAAAAGGATCCATAGATAATGATATTTTTCCTGATCGCATTCATTTACTTTCTATTCTTCGTGACCTTTCCACTGAATCCTCTAAAAGTATCGCTAAAAAGCATAGAAAAGTGTTACACCAAACATTCCGAAACGTCCTTCAAACAATTGAAAATCCTCGATCTTCTGGTAACTTAAGGTCTTCTATGAGAATAGGCAAGTCGACAGTTCAGCTTGACACCTGGAAAAAGATTCTACGAGCCCAAAGTCTTAAGTACATCTTACGGTCAGCATTTCCTGTTTACTTTGCGAAAAGCTCTTTTCTTCGTAATTTCATGGATTATTCTGGGTATGTTGCTGGTATAGCTATGAGTGATTCTGAATCCGACAATGAAGAAGAAGAAGCGGAAAATTACATTGATGACCAGAAAAGGGGTCTTACAGGCGCCGAAAGAAGAGAAAAAGACCGTGTTCGTGACCGACAAAGACGTCAGGAGCAGAGAAACAGAACTGACTTTGTCAATTCTTATTATTTCTCTTAAAAATGGTTTTAGCAACAAAAAGAACTTCTCCGAGCCCACGAATTATAATTGTTTTATTGGTATATACCTTTGGACCCTATTTTAATTAGTCATTTGACTTTACTCCTATTCCCTTTTGTTTTGGTTTTTTTTTTTTTTTTTTTACTATGGATATCTGGTTATGATTATATTTATCTTATCATTAAGCACGCTTGCTTACAATTTATAAAATTTTATCGGGCTAATAAAAATTAATTCATAATTTACAACTAATAAACATTCCCTTTCCTTTCCAAAATTAACTGTACCATGTATTACTACTAGCGGCAGTCTCTACTGGTCGTCGCGTTGGTATAATGCTATCCGTAATTTCAAAAGTTCGTATAATATCCTATTTTGTTAGAAAAGAATAAATAATCGACTACTTACTTCGTAAAGATCTAAAGTCATGTCCATAACGAGTTGAACGTTTCGTACTTCCCCAGAATTTACTTGCTCATCCGATGGAGGCGTTTTACTCTCTTATATTCAATTAGTAACCAAAAGAAAGGAAACATAAAGCATACCTAGTAAAAGCGCTCCTAATGAATCTTCAATTAAGGCCGCTTTTCCTTCTTTAAAAAGAAAACTGACATAAAACAGGTTCTCAACGGTTTGAGAATAACTTTCCGGGTTTGTAATAAACTTCAAAAGATCGATTGGTTGATGCTTTCGAAGTAGACGGGAAATCTGTAAAACATTTTTTGTGGTATTGTTTTCCTGGGCAGAAATATTATCTTGATTGAGCTATCCGGTTAATCAACAACTGAAGAATACGAAATTCTTACCAGTATAGGCTGAGTCGACGTATTTGGAGCTCGCTGTAGCTTTTCCCTTCTTTGCACTTGTCTTTCCTTTTTCCGAAAAGACAAAGGCCCAACCCTGTTCAGTATATTAGCAAAGGATAATCAGAATGCCACATACATTAAATTAATAGAAGCTGGCCTGCTTTGATACTTCCAAGCAATCTTTCCTAACCTTGACCATGCGAGTTCATGATTGTTAGATTGTGAGCTGACGGCGTTGGAACTATTTTGACTCAAAAATTGTTTAATCTGCCTGATATACAATTCAATATTGAATTTTGGTTTTCCTATATGAAGTTGCTTGGTTCTCATAGATGCCAAGTCCACAGTTTTTGTCAACAATAAAGCATCCAAAGCAGCTTCTGTGGGTGCCTCAACTATTTATCGGTTAATTTACAGATTAAAGAGAAAAACTTACCTGATGAAAATAAATCATTAGCGGAGGCCACTGTTTCAATTAGGGCATTGTTTTCTTGGTCCACCAACTCAAGGCGAGATTCTAATCGGATTAGCGGGATTTTCAAACTGAAAAAGGAAAACGATGAATATTACCATGAACTTGATTAATTAGTGATCGGTACCGCTTTCGAAGGTCGCGCTTGTCAATAGGAGGCATCTTCCTGGTTAAGCATCAACAGACTAAAATATATATATTGCTTTAATTTAAAAGATATTTCAAGACAGCTAAGGCAAACTGTTTGTTCGATCTAATGCTTTTTGATTATAGTATAGAAAGCAATTTATATACGAAAAAGTTGTGAATCACTAGTCAAAGATATAAAATACCAAATGAACGTAAAGTTTAGGACTTAGTAGAACGAAATATCAAGAATCAATGAAGAAATAACCAAAAATTGTTTTTTTAGGAGATTCTTCACCGTATCTCAAATACTTCCACCAAGACAACGCACTTTGCTTACTTGTAGGTTTCCCTAAGAAAATGAATATTTTATGAATATAGTTTGCAGGTTTTTATAAGATATATTCTGGTGTATAGTGTTTAATATGTTGCCAAGGAAAGATGTCCCTGTACCCAAGTTTGGAAGCTTCAAACCAATAAAGCGTGAAAAAGATAAGCATAGGGAAAAAAGAGGACGTGGATACAATGAAAGAGAAATAAACCATTCTAAGTACGAAACGACACTACCGCTCACTGATCGCGAGCAACAGTTGTATAATGTAAAATACGATACAAAGGGAGATAGGAAAGTTTTCTTTTACGGTGGCATTCATAAATATTCTATTCCAAAATATACCAGGAAATCTAACGTAATAATAGGCAGCCATCCTGAGAAAGAAATAGTTCATAAGAGGAGCCAAGGAATTTATTTAAAGGATATCTCACGTGTACCAAGTACTAGAGTAAAAGAAAGAACAGTCAATGCTTCTTCTTCGCTTAACACATTTTCAAATGTGAAAGATTATCAACCTTTTCCTGAAAGTTTTGCCAATGTAACTGACGACGAGTCAACACTGCAACCAACTTCAGAAAATGTTAAAGTTATTCAGACTGAGATTGTCAAGGTACGAAGAGACTTAGAAAAAGATGGATTGAACCCAACATTATGGCTTCGTCTATGTTCGTTGCAAAAAGATTTGCTCCTTCAAGAATATGCTCGACCAAACATGTCTATTCGTGAAGAAAGAAGCCTACAGCATTCATTACGTGACATTCAAATATCAATTTTAGAGAAAGCTATTTTCTCTATTGACTTCAGTTCGATTGATGTCGAGCAATTGGTCTTGGAGTATTTTAAACTGGGATCTCTTGAATGGGACTCCAAAACTACACAAAACCATTGGGAGCGTTTGCTTTCTCGATATGGTTTATCCGAAAATTTGTGGATTCTATATATCAATTATCTTATATCTAACGTACATTCGTTTTCTGTCGATTCGTGTTTACAAATCTTTTCTGAATGCCTGGCTATAATAAACAATAAGGTTGATGAACTTTCTAAAAAAGATGAGTCATTGGAATGTGAAATACAACAACTTGAGAAAACTGCTATCTATGTTCTGCTTAGGGTATGCTTTTTTGCGCGGGATTCGGGATATTTTGAGTTGGCTTATGCGATTACGCAGGTGAATATGGAAATTAACTATTTTCTTCCATCAAGGCTTAACAACAAAGATTTAGATTATATAAAACTGGAGCTGTCAAAATTCTGGGATTCTGATACGCCGAAATTTGGAGAGCCAGGTGCCCTTGGTTGGAGTAATAGTTCCAGTGTATCATCAACCTTTAACCAAGGGTGTGATGAATCTCAATCGCCAATAACGATTTACGATTCATTTTTGCAATGGACCGAGAATGAAAAAAGGTTTCAAGAACAAAAAGCTTGGCGTGAAGCGAAGCCTGCTCGGAAGTTGAATGGCAAGGACGATCCTTTTCGAAATGTTATTTTTGAGGATGTCAAAGACTTTATATGTCGATTTTTTACGCCAAAAGCACTTCTTGATCTAAAATACTGTTTTCTTAACATCTATGGCATCCCAATTCTTCCACCAGGAGCAAATAATGACCATTTCTTTGTTTCAGATCCATGGTTTTCATCAAGTCTTGACATTGAGATTTCGCTTGTTGAACATTTCGAAAAGGATCCTAAAAATGTCAATTATTTTGTTTCTTCCTCTAAAGTACTATCTCCAGGATTTTTGGATATCTATTTTCCCTGCTCGACTGATTTACCCGATTATTTTCTAATGGTATTAAAAGGTTTTTCTGAAATAGAAATTCGTCGTTTGATTACAGTTTTGCATCAAATTTTTATAAAGGTGGATGATGAATACTTTGCTGGGTTGTATATAACTGTTTTACAAAAGTTATGTCAACTAGATTTTGAAGAGCAAGAATATGAAAAGTTTAGGTATGATATATCATGTATCAAGGAACGGATGCTAATTGCTAAGCAGCTCTACGATAAAAGAAATTTTAAAAAAGTATGAGAATTCGATTTTTGTATGGAATTGTTTCGCCCAAACTGAATTTATGAATGGAAAATTATCGCTGTGTGAAAAAATATACAAAACTGCCTATCTTATGCACTCTTCGAAGTTTACTGATTTAGAGAATGTATGGCTTCATAAAAATTGGGCAATGCAAAAGGTCTTTTCTAATGACGAAAATGGATTTTGGAATGTATTGTTGCATTTATTTCATGCTGATCAGTCTTGTATGAGTACATCAGACAAGACTGGGTTAACTGAACAAGCCACTATGCTGTTTGAAGAGGAGCAGGATAAGAAGAAGGTAGTAAACGTTTCATTTATTTATTTAATGCTTTCATTTTTTACAGAGATGGAGCCCATTCATTATACCATTGAGAAGTGCGTATTAAAACTGGAGAGTCTGGACGTTGTTACGAAGGAAGACCTAGAATACTTTTTTACAGTTGGCCTTGCGATTGCCCTACATTACGCAAAGGATCATAAAATTTTCAGCGTATTGAAGATGAGGCCAATTTTAGAAAAAGCTGTTGAGCTGTTTCCTAATAATATTATTCTCTGGCAAATATTTTCATGGTTCGAATCTAAGCATCAATTGCAGTTCCGAGTAAAAATCAAAGCATTGGAACTCATTCAAATTTATCAAGAAAAGGCTATTTATCCTTCATATGTTTTCATTATGGAAGAGGCCAAGATGTCTCTAACAAGAATGAAAGATGCACTGGATAGAGTATTTTTAATACGAGGACTCGATTTTATTTTAAGTTTTTGGAAGATTTACCTACACACAGCTTTCTCGAACTCTGATTCAAGCGAAATGGATTGCATTCTTGGTATAAGAAAAGCAATAAGCCATTGTCCATTTCGAAAAGGTGAGTGAATTATGGCGCTTTTCTCTTCCACAAATTAACTAACATATATTCAGATTTATACATGTATATTTTCACGTTACTGCAGACCAGAGAAGTCCTTGATGAAGCTAAGGTATTCTATTTAATGATGATCGAGAAGGGTTTCCGTATACATAATGAAGTTGCTTCAACGCTTTTGGAATCCACAGTAATGAAACATTATCTACAATTGCCTCAGGATTCTCGTGTTTTCCTTTCTGACAGGCATACTAACGACTAAATAAAAGTCATTGACTTTTTTCTGGTGTAGTACAATATAATCTCGACTGATGAGTCCGTAATATATTTTGGTAGTCAACATAATGAAGAACTAGATTTAGCCAGTTGTTAGTGACAAAGGAATAAAAACACACTTAAATATCATAAACAAAAATAAAATAAAAACGCTTTTTATAAGGAATTTTCAATTTTGTATGACACCAAGCCTATAAAAGGTGAGGATCATTATTCACCAAGTAAACCAAAACACAACAAATTATGGCGGCAGCACCTGTTCGATCAAATCTCTCCTTAAGAGGCTCATCTAAAGTAATTAGTGAATTTTTTGGTAATGTTATGAAAAATGAAAGCAGCAATGTTAACGTTCATAGAATACGCGGTGAATTCTATCCTTTTTCAACGCGGTATCTATCCACCTGAAGATTTCAAAGTAGTGCGTAAATATGGGATAAGTATGCTTGTCACAGTGGACGAAGAAGTCAAAACATACATTAGAAAGATTATATTACAACTTCATCGTATGGTTATCCGTAATATTTGCAGACGCGCATGTCTCTAACTCAATGATAGGTTGGACCTGTGGAGGAAAGATACAAAAAGTTGCTTTAGTTATCACAAACAAAGACTCTGGGGAAGATTTAGAACGCTGGCAGTTTAACGTTGAAATCCTGCAAAAAGATACTACGACAGTGGCAGAACATGCCCAGGATGAGTCCAAAATTCAAAAGGAAGTTCAGGCTCTAATTCGCCAAATTACAGCAACCGTGACTTTTTTGCCCCAACTCGAAGGACGCTGTACATTCAATGTGCTAGTTTACGCCGATCGCGACAGTGAAGTCCCTACAGATTGGGTGGATAGCGACCCCCGCTTAATTAAGAATGCAGAACAAGTCCAGCTACGAAGCTTTAGTACCAGCATGCATAAAATTGATTGTCAGGTTGCCTATCGCTTTGATCCGTAATTCAATTTCCGAATGCTTTTGCGACCCAAAAGTAACCTCTCAATAGAACTATTATAATCAACGATGTCAAACGCTAGACTCTTCCGAGTGGTCTACAATGGGACCGATTCCTTCCTTCATGAAATGGGCATTCTATTTGCTTTTGTTTATTTACTTTCCTTTACCGAGTTCTATGATCGATTTCGATATCAACTTTTTCGCTTACGATACATCTTTTTATAAAAGGTCGTCATCACCGTTATCCCTTTTTTGCGTGGCGTCGCTATAATACGCAATTAAAATCGATTCACTTGTGCTATGTAAAATTAGAATCACCCATTCACCAAGAGATTGTACGAAAAGTGCTAAGGCTTTAATTTGAAGGCCGTTTATACAGAGAGAATCTGTTTAACTTTTTTCATTGAAAGGCAAACAGACGACTAGTGAAGAGTTTTGAAACTGTATGTCATCATTTTTTCTATAATTAGCCGTTGAATCATTTTTGAACGTCACAATCTGGGATTAGCAGAAATATTGTCAGGAATATACTTGCATATATTTAGTTTCTCTCCATTTCATATATCGGACACTCGTTCCCGGAACAGAAAGCCGGAATTAAGTTGCTTTTTCAGTCTACTACGAATACTCACCTGATTCATGAGAGTTCCATTGTCAAGGAAATAGATTGTTTATTTTCAGCAACCGATGAAGGAAGAGAGCCAATTTTCTAGCTTTCTTAATTCTGCAGTGACCCGATTGAGCGGTGTGGTCAATGAAGCTGTTCAACCAAAACATAATATTCGATTAGGAAATACAAGAGCCGGCGATGGTAGTAACCACCAGAAATTTTCGGAAGATGATTCTAAATTGAACGATAACGGGCATGCTAGGACAGATTCTGGAAAGACAAAAAGTAGTAAAGATGATGTTCCTTTTGGGGAAGGTGAATTAAAACTAGAAAACTTCGAAAAGGATACTGCCAGGAATAATGGAAACGCTGTAGCAGGTCATGAAACATCAATGAGTTCTGAAGACGTGGATGTTGATAACGAAACAGAAGCTACCGATCGCTCACCTTCTGTCCGTAATAAAGATGTTAATACGCAACCTCATGCTTCAAATTTGCCGCCATTAGAACATGCGGCAACCCAAGGCTCTGCGGTCACTTCAGCTTCTCGGAAAGTATCCATAGCCTCTTCTGCAGGTGATCCTGGAAGCTTGTCTGGGTATGCTTTTGCTAGCAACAAGCGAAATCATGATTTTCATTGCATCTTTAAAACCCTTCCTCCTGATGACCATCTCATAGACGATTATGGCTGTGCTCTTCAAAGAGACATTTTTTTACATGGAAGGTTGTATCTCTCGGAACAACACATATGCTTTAATTCTAGCATATTTGGCTGGGTTACGAGTATCATTATACCCGTCTCAGAGATTGTTTCCGTAGAAAAAAAGTCCACTGCTGTCGTTTTTCCTAATGCCATACAAATAACAACTCTCCATGCTCGCTATGTGTTCGCTTCGTTTATTTCTCGTGATACCACCTTTCAATTAATCATTACAATTTGGAAAAACATTCACCCCTTCTTAAACATGGCCGCTAATGGGTATAATGTATCCGATGCTTCTCGAAAGCACCTTGGCCATGAATACAATCGCTCCGATGGTGGTTTTTCGGACAGCTCGGAAGACGAAGATGGCCAATATGATGATACGGATGGAGGTACAGAAGAGAACACAGATCCTTCAGAAGATGATGGCAATCGATCAGAGAGTTCAGAGACTTCTGAACAAGAGCCTAATATATCCAAGTTAGAAAGCGGCTCTGAAGATAATTTAGAAAAAAAAGGTATTAATGAGATCTCCGATGATAACTTTCAATCTGTCACACAGGTTACTTCTCATGCTCCAACCGAGTGGAAGGGTAGCCCTCTTTCTCATATTCTTTGCTCAAAGGAAACCATCTCACTTCCGTTATCGTTGGTTTTCTTATTGCTTTGGGGTTCAGATACTACTTGGCTAATGAATTACTTTAAGGATGAAAAGCTTTCCGACATTAAGATTGGTAAATGGATGAAACATGAGAACAAATGGACACGAAAAGTACAGTATATAAAGCCGGTAGCTCCTCCGTATCGACAAACCACGTGTTACATTACGGATACTATTGAACATCTCGACATCAACGATTATATTGAGGTTTTATCTATAGCATCTACCCCAGACGTACCCAGTGGTTCTTCTTTTGTAACAAAAACTCAGTATGCATGCTATTGGGGAAATAACTCAAAGACAAAGATGGATGTAAGTTATACAGTTGAATGGAATAAGAGTTCCTGGTTGAAGGGTCCTATTGAAAAGGGAGCACAAGAGGGTCAAATGTCATACATTAAGAGCCTCACTAATGCTCTCGAGTCCTATAAGTCATCTGGGAAAGGTAAACGAAGACGAAAAACAGGCATGAAAAAGAAAAAGAAATTGTCCTCAGAGGATGCAGAATCTAAAGAAAGGCTTCCTTCGAATAAGCAATCATCTATATTTGCTTCAGCAAGCTCTTTAATAGGCAGTCTTGCAAATAAAGTCCCCAACGGATTGTCTTTGCTATCCCAACCTATTTATCTGCTTTTTATTCTAATGTTTTTACTGATTATGCTACAATGGTGGTATATGAGACAGTTAGTTCATCCTAATAATCCCACGTCACCTTTTCGAAATAATGCTTTAGAAGAGAATTCTATAGACCATATACCCATGGACGACTTCACTTTTAAGTTGTGGCTTTCGTCGAGAATGGACAGTATTGAGCAAGAGCGAGACCTTTCGTATGACGGTGACGCTACAGATTTAGAAAATGGAAAAATTAAAGTAGCTACTGACTATATGGAACGAAAACTAAAGAAGCTCAAGGATAGACTTGAGAAAATGGAAATTGAACGAAATTTGTAGGATTGTTTATGCTAAAGTTTCTTTAAAACTATAATTTTGACAGTGCTTTTTTCGAGGTATATTAAGTTAACGAAAGCATATACTATTTTTTATTTTTAATGATTGTTTCTAATGAAATTCAACAAATTTTCAAAAAAAGACCTCTATGTTCATGATATAAATAATCGTAACATGTCTGTATCATTCCAAAAAGAACCTATTTTCCTCGGCGTTTTTATTAACCAGTCGAGAGCATTGCTCACGAATAAATTCATCTTCATCATGAACACTTAAATACTCCAAAGTTATGGTTACAGATTTCGGCAAATGAGAAGACGAATCAAGAACTTGAAGAGCGGCTCTCCGCAGAAACTTCTTATCCTCTGTCTTTTCTAGATTCAAAATAGCTGTGGCTGATTCAATAAAAGCATCACTCAATGAATAACGACATAGTAATTCAGCGATATTTAAAGCAGATATTTTGACATCTATAACCACAGCGTTCAACAGAACTAAACATGTTTGTTCTATTTGTCCATAATACTTTGAAGTCAGTTCACCCAATCGCTCCATGCTTTGATATATAGCTTGCCCAATCAATAATGTTTCATCGGTTGAGTACTTTTCTACCTTTGTATACTCAGTTAAGAGTTGTATCATCATATCTCCATACTTGTCACAAAGAGATACTAAAGCAGCAATAACATTCAAATGCACATAGCTATCTTCGTCTGTCAGAAGTCCAAGAAGAGTGTGTAGTATCCGAAGAGGATTAATTCTCTTATCTTTGGCTTCAATCAACTTTCGAAGCATATAGATTCCTTGACCACGAACTGGAACTTGATCATTATGGATATATGATAGAGCAGATGAATAGTCATCACTACCCATTACTAATGTTTTATAAACATCATTCGCTAACGTTGAAATAACTTGATTGGGGTAAGCTGCTAGTTGTCTCAAAGGGGAGAGAAGAAGTGGAACTGAGTTTTCAAGACCCAATTCTCGGTTTCTTCCAATAACGGAAGACAAAAGATGTAATAAAATAAGCAAAATTTCCTCACTTTCTTCAATAACATCTTTCTTTGAAGATATTTCGAGAAGTGATTCAGAGTTGTTCAAGTTTTCTGTAACCTCACTGATCAAATCACTGCAAACTGAAATCATGAGTTCACTCGGAATTTCATCTGTGTCAACTTTTGTAAGGGCATATTGTACAACATCAAGTAACTCTAATCGATGCTCTGAAGGTTGCCTGACCCATAATTCAAGTAATTGGGGTAAAAATTGAGCAAGTTGAGTATTGGAAAGCAAATGACAAAAAGAACCTAAATGATGAATGGATTCTAAAGATTGTAGTAGAGGCTTGGTTCCTGCTCTTGAAATAATTGTAAGCAGACTTTCCTGAGCTTGCTTTTTAAGAGTATTGTTAGATTGTAATTGAAGTAATGAAGGAACAAATCTTTCTGCTATTTTAAGCATATCTTCGTTTCCAATAGAAGCAAAAGCATCCAGAACCTTTAAGCAGTTTTCAACAGGGGTTAGGTCAATAACTGTTGGAGAGCTTAAAGAAGAAAGTTGTTTATAAAAAAACTCCGTAGCCAAATGCCTATGTGATGCTAAAAGTGCGATGGTAATTTGGCAAGCAAGTCGTGGTAAACTAAAGAATAAGCTCCAAATTTGGGGAAATATTAGGTTCAAATAATCCTTTCGATTAGCTTTCTGCAACAACTCTAAGAAAAAAAGAAAAAGGACTTACCTGTTCTGTCATATTTTTTGGTACTGATGAGATCAGACGGGCGGCTTGTTGAGCTCGCTCAATTGAATTAGGATTTGCTTGCATAAAGACTTTCAGAAATCCTTCAACGCCGTTAGCTTTACATAAGCTAGTTGTCAGGTACTGATTGAGTTGTCCTCTCATCCAAGCAGGGATCTTTGGTTGTAGTAATTGCAAACATGCAGAAATCATTTTCGCGGGATCAACGAAATCTGGAGACATGATGCGAACAAGGGAATCTTTACTAACCCCAAAATCCTCGTTTCTAAAATCATCCCCATATATATTTTTTAGGTAAAGATATACCATCAGTAGATCTGCATAATGAAGGCTTACTGGACCTTGAAGCAAATTTGGTTTAAGAAGAGCAGGAACTAGAAACTTAAATACGGTAAGGACACTTGTTTTGGGGGAAAACGGGGGAACGGCTTTTACCTTTGCAGGAGCAAGTAACTCCTTGGGGATTTGAGTATAAATGCCTAATAGAAATACCAAGTGAATAGAGAGTTGCAAACACCTTATTGAAGTAACGCTGACTGGCGTATCCGGGTCAAAAGAAACTATATCACCTAACAGACTCAATAGTGTCTCCAAGACGTCCTGATTCCCAACGGAATTTTGAAGCTTCGTAAGCAAAGAACTGGAGTCATTTTTACTGTTCAAAGATCTAGTTAAGTCCACAATCTGGTCAATTGCATTCTTTTCTTGTGTCTTTTCTGAATTCATAATACTTGTTTTAAACTATATAGATGGAGTATTCTGAATTATCAAATGATAAATACTTGCGCATGGAATCTCGAGGCCTTGAAACCAAACAAAAATAAGAATTTATGTAACGGCTTTTATCGAAAGTGAGCATTCATTAATAATCGTCAATTCGTTCACACAGTCGATACGCGTGAAAAGCTTTATCGTATTTTAGAAGAAGGGCCAAATAAAAAAAGAAAAATAAATCAAATAATAAAATACAAAATGTTTATGAAGGTCTTTCAACTTAATAGGCAAGTTGGCAGTTGGAAGGTACAATTCCATACTACTTAACACCATGTCGATGACAATTTTACCTTTAGGTATGTAAATAACGGTAAATTTCAATGGATTTTTAAGAGAATCATGATAAAAGATTTATTCTTGAAGCTTTTTACGTTATGAAGTCCGAACGCAACTAATCTTGCAGAGTTAATTGATAAATGCGTTGGATCAAATTTATGGGTGATTATGAAGACCGAGAGAGAATTTGTGGGCACTTTGGTTGGTTTTGATGATTATGTGAACATTGTTTTGAGAAATGTTACTGAATTGTATGCACCTTTGGAAAGAAAGACGTGTATTAACATTGTGTGTAGTGACACGATCAATGGTACAACAGAAAAGCACTCAGAAATGCTTCTAAATGGAAACGGAATGTGCATGGTAAGGCATACGAAAATATCATTATGCGCTGTTGTGGAATGGCATGCTGACTGAAACTTTAGTTGATACCAGGAGGCAAGCCTGAATAAAAGTATTTATGTAAATATTTCTTTCCTTGTTGAAGTTTTCCAATGAAAAATTGTCTGAACGCTTAGTATATGAAGGTGATCCATCAATTTTGAACCAGATGTATAACATAAACAAAGAAGACGAAATATGAATTCAATGGATAGATGAATCTTTACTTTACCTTACGCTTACTTATCGTATACCTGAATCTAGAGAAGGCTTTCTCTAGATTCTGCATTGATGAAAAGGAGTTTCGTACTATTGAAAGAAAGTGAGCTGTGAATAAAATTCAAATATATTCATTAATTGAAGAAACATTGAGCCACTATTAAAGAAAGTTGGAAAATTGAATATCTTCGCAAGACTTAAATGAAAAAAAAGCAGCGATCCAAGTATGGAAGAACGTTTTACTTTACATTCAGTCCAAATGTATTAAACATGTTTAGCTTCGCTGATAATAAAAAGAACAAAGACATAAAGACCAAAAAAAAAAGAAAGCAGTCATCCCTCCCTTTTGGTATTTGCAGGATATCTTTCCATGACATGGATGAAAATATCAAGCAAGCATTATTTGTGCTGTCCATTGCTTTCGAGATTCAAGTCAAATGAAAACTTAACAAGTTAATAAACAAATTTTGCATTCGTATCGTCCAAGGTAGGGAGCGAATGATATACCCGACAGACAAGGACTATAGGAAGATGTCGCTTCTTTGAAAAGCATTGTTTTTTCAGGTTTTTTCGATGTTTGCTGGCTTCTTATGGGTTGTTTGAGAAACCAAGACATTGTGGAAAAGACTGGTATCAAGAAAAAGACATTTAAAAAAAAATAAACAAATAAATAAATGGAAGAATCAAAGCCAACAGAAAAGGGTTTTGATCCTCAATGCCTGGACAAGAGTTATGTGATTTATGGCTAGTTACAGCAATAACTCTGATTTTAAATACTTGCTTCTATTATGCTGGAAACAAAGGCCCATTTATAAAAAGCACAATTGAAGAAACAATTTGGATTACAAAGCAAAACAGGAGAAAACAACACGTTTCTAAAAATCAATAATTGATATGGGACGCACAGGAAGCTATGAAAGATTTTCCTCTTTAAAATTAAACATTAAAACAATAAAAAAAACAAACCTCCCCAATTAATTACTGTAACCAATTCAAACGTTAAATACTGCACTCCTCTTGTTTCCTTACCAATGGATTCTAACTGTTTATTTATATATTGGATGTTTATTATTATGGAGAAGTTCGCTGGAATCAATAACAAAATGAAACGTAAGCAAAATGATTAGGACGCAAGAATCCTCGTTCAAAAGTTTGTCAATGGTGAAAAAAAATCTCCTTCTCTCTTTTTTTTTTGTTCAAGGGAAATCACCAATCCCATACTTGTTGTCATCCTGGCTTCCTTTCTTTCAAATAAAAGAAAGATAAATTTGAGGGAAAAAGAACTCGAACAAGAAAACAGTCGACGTATTCTCCAATTCAATTCTAGTGTTCCTATGGAGTGTAAATAAACCAAACTGGTAGGGCACGGGGGTATAGTTTGTTTTAAACCAAATTGGAAACCCTTTTTTTTTTCAAATGATTTGTGATCCCAAATAGACAACCGATGAAGCCTTTCTTATGCATCGGCAATGTATGGAGCTATGATGATGGTAGGATCGACTTGTTGCTAAGGTTCTTCGAGGCCAACGCAAGTAATAACAAGATATGGACGGATTTTAATAAATTACAAGCTATAAAAAACGAGCGCTTATCTTTTGCAAACAAATGAAACAATTCGACCAAAAGTCAGTCATTTCGCATCCGCTGATTTTAGCATCGCTTAAGCAGTTTGTTTATTTTCCTACGGTTACATACATTGAAAACCAGACAAACCCAAGTGCATGCATAAGATTACACGATTACATCAACAAACAACATTTTCGCAAACTTGGTACTGAAACTGGTGAAGAAAAAGCAATGAGATTCGAAAATGCATTTGGTTTGTTTTCTCTTCAGCGACTACAGCCAGTGTGCGCCACCAGTCAAACCGGTTCGAAAACCAAATTTCTTTAATTTAAGGCTTCTTTCATTTGAAATGGGCTTTTAAGACCTCTACATCTTTTCGCACTACTCCACTAGTTTTTTTGCTTTGAAATGTTCCTTTGTTTACACCCATTCTTCGTCTGTTTACAGAATTAACGAGCCGTGTTCCGCTTCCTTACTGATTATGGAGAGTCCAGCGAATCCTTATAGGACGCTAGTGGTGTCCTTGGCACTTTTGCGTCATGTGTGTTTTCACGAAAAAAACATTCTTGTCCTTCGCCAACTATTACTATTAGCTCAGCTCTATGACACTGGCATGTACGCTTTTAACATCTGAACAAGATTTATCAAATATAAAGGAACATGTAGACATATCGACGTTTAACCAAGAGTATTTACTGGAAATATTGTCGACGTTTCTTTTGCGGTTAACGCGTTTGAATGACAAACGACAGGAAGGAAAAGACCCTAATGAAGTACCTTTTTCAGCGACAAGTTTAAAGAATCCAAGCTTGGTATTTTCAGCTAAAAATGTTCCATCGATTTCGATTCATGCTTATTTGCAACGCATCCTAAAATACTGCCCGGCAACGAATGATGTATTTTTAAGTGTCCTAATTTATCTTGACCGTATTGTACGGACTTTTAATTTCTCTTTTTTGATTAATAGTTTCAATGTTCATCGGTTTTTAATCGCTGGCTTCACTGCTGGCAGCAAATTTTTTAGCGATGTCTTTTATACCAACATCCGGTACTCCAAAGTCGGTGGAATCCCCGTGCAGGAAATGAATCATTTGGAGCTTTGTTTTTTCCTTTTTAACGAGTTTAACTTGTTTATTACTCTTGAAGATCTTCAATCCTATGCAGATTTGTTGGTCTACTGGTACTCAAACCGTACCTATCCCTCCCCAGTATCCTCATTGTCGCCTTCCACAGGCAATCCCGTGTATCCTGTCCCCTCTCCCCCTAGTCCTCATTATGTCGGTTCTCCTTCACAGACAGACTCCTCGACACATCCTCCTTCATCAACGTTTCCAGCATCTCCCGGATACAAGGGCACGGACCAGACTCAATCTTCCAACGCACCACAACAACAAATGCAGCAACGTGAAACAACTCCCATATACTCAGAATCTCCTCGTCGACCTACTGTGGATCATAAACTGTTGTCATCCCATTCAATAGGTTAAACATTTTTTGTCACGGTTCCCAAACTTTCTATCACCATGAAAAGAATTCATTGTTTTTGGTGTTGTTGTTTGTATCGTTTCTATAACTTTGTTCGCTTTCATATACCTTTTCACCTTTCGTTTTCCTTCTTTCTACCTGCCCATTGTACATTTGTCTTTTTGTTGTTCTGTCCTCTCCTGTCATGGCCGATCTGTATAGTTGTTTGGAAGATTCAAAAATGTTGTCCTATGATTTAAGCTCTGTTTTTTGTTTTCCGTTACATATTCCTTACTTTCTTCCCCCTTCAACCGCTCTCTTTCTTCAGAGCTAGCCCTTTATGTTATAAGAATTTTTTACTGTACTAGAAGCTGATATCGTTATTTATGAATTACGCTATTCCTTCGAATGCCATTTGTAGGATAACACACCACACTCTAGTTTCTTATTCTTTAGAAATACTGAAGTCATCAGGGAACTTTTCATTTTTCCTTAACGCCATATTCCCTTGCTTGTTTATTCCAGCGATTCTTTGTATTTTCTTAGTGTTTCTATATATACGCACTATTTCTTTTTCTTTATTTAATATACTTGAGGCCTGATTGAGAGAAAAATTCCATACTCCTTCGATATTCGCCTCGTTCCTAGCATATTTTGCAAGTCTGTGTGTGTGTGTGTGTGTGTGTGTGTATTTTTCCAGAGATTCCAGGTTCTGATAAGTTTTCATTTATTTCTATTTTGTCGGTTGATTTTTGAGTTTGTATTCCTTGCCCATTTTCATCTTGGATTTGAAGAGTTTTCTACCGTTCAGAGAAAAAAACATTAGTGATTCCCTTACACAGTTTATACTTTTCTTTGCCATTCTTGTCCTTCTCGCACAAAAATGACTCAAAATGATACAATCGTGGAATTGTTTGATATCTGCTTCAAACAAGAAGACATAGAAAGCCTACGAAAACCTAACTGGTTTACAGACGTGACACTCGATTATGTCGATACATTAGTTGAGCGACTATGGTTTCCCTTACGCCCAACTCAGTCGAAAGGGATTCTGCTATTGAGACCTTCCCTTGTCTTTCTGCTTGCTGAGGCTCCTGCATCATTAGAAGAGCTTAAATCTGCTCTCCCTCAGGACCTTTTATCCTGCAAATACATCTTTATGCCCATCAATGACATAGACAAATATGCTACTGGGACAGGCGGCACTCATTGGTCGCTTATGGTTGTCAGTGTACCAGATTCACAATGTTTTTATTATGATTCTATGAGCAATGGCAAAACAAAGGACTGCCGTAGTGCGCTTGATCGGATCTCAAAACTTTTCCAAAAAGGTATGAATTTAATTTTGTCGCTTTTATTTAGTTATTAACAATTTAGATTTTACAATCCAGTCTATGCCTGTACAACAACAGCGAAATGGTTATGATTGTGGTGTTCATATCGCTGCTTTCACGTTAGAACTTGTGCGACGTTTATTAAAGTCTCCTATGCCTACACAATCTTTATGGGAACTCGAAGAGTTTGAACCTGACCTCTCTGTCATTCGTGATAGATTGAGTACGTGTCTGGAATCTATTGTACAGCAATATGGCAAAACTGTCAACTCAATCGATGATGACAAATTTCCAACGGATGAGGTGTTTTTTGATATACAACAACAACTCCCTTCTATCAGGAACAGACCCCCGTCCTTAAAGGAATTTGATGAATTTGAAGACGCCAAGCTAGCTCCCTCTTCCGTTCCTAGTGATCCTGTTGCCAATGAGCTAGTCAAGCCCCAAGATGATTCTTCGCCGTTCTTAAAAAATGAAAGTGGGAAGCATCACTATCATTCTCACCATCACGAACTTCACTATAACCAGACGCAGCCTGAGAACCTAAAGCAAGACCTTGCTCACGAAAAACCCTATACTTCGTCATCAAAAAATCCATTTGAGACTCCTTCTGAACTTGCCTAAAAGGTTGATTCTAACTCCTGTACTACTTACAATCATGAAAAGAATACGTATGCTAAATAAAACGTTACGATAATAGAAAACGACTAATTTAATGATTTATTTATTTTATAACTTCAATATGCTAATAGTAATTTTGTTCTGACTTTAAACGGTCATGAAGTAAATTGGGTAAATTTCTGCGTATATTGATCATTCATTTAAGATTACATAAACATTTAGATTTCAAGTTTTCTAAATCCGTCAATTTTTCATTATCACAAAACTTCATGAATCTTCATCTAGTGTTTCTAATTGTACATTTCTTGGGTTTCTATGAGTCGGTGTTGCGTGCGTTGAACTCGACGAGACAGCCGGCCGCTGACTAAATTGTTCTCCTACTCGAGAATAAGATAAGGGATTATTCCTACTTTGTTGATCAAGTTCCATAAATCCGTTTGCAACAGCATTTTCATTTATCAGTACTCCAAGATTTCTTACTGACGAACGAAGTTCTTGCATGTCATAATGTAAGCGATCGGTCATACTACGCATTTCATCTATTTTTCGATGTAAGCTTTGAATGGAGTCTGTTTCTGGCGAAGAAAATTGTTGCCTTTCGATGGGTGCGACCTGTAAGGGAGATTGCATTTGGAAGTCTGCATTTGATAACGGTACGGAAGAGATTCCCAAACCAGGTACTGCTTGTTGTAAAGGAGAAACAACCGGATGGTTATTTCTAGACACCAAGCGCCATCCAGATGGTATTATTCCGGATAAGTTTGGATCCGCCGTCAACTGTCCTTCAGCAGTCATATCACCAGCCCTATTTGTGGGGCCATTAGCGGGAAATCTATGCACACCGGGTATAGGGAGCATACTCCATCCATTAGGTAAAGGAATTCTACCATGAATAGTTGGAGTTTGACCCAAAGAAGTAACGGGAGTTCCCAATATTCTTGTGGGTGTAGATTGAAAGCCAGAGTTCCCTGGGCCTGGCATAGGTGAAAATGATCGTGGTGTGTTCTGGTTTGTACCTTCGGCAGCGGTAGGAGTAGGAACTGGTAAAGGACTTGGGGTACTAGCTGCAGGTGAAGGTGCATGTTCTCCAAAAACAGGTCTTCGACAAATGGGGCAGGTCTGTTGTCTTTGTAGCCAATTTCGAAGACAGTGAAGATGCAGAATATGACCACATGGTAAACGCTTGGGAGTCATATCCAAACCTCTAGGAATAGGCTCCATTTCTTCAATATTTTCAGGAGGAAAATCGGGATGGAACATTTCTTCTCTGCAAATGGTACACGTACGATCAGAATTGGAAAGTTGTTCTTCAGTTGCGGTGGGATACATAACTTCCATATCACGGGTTGCTTGTCGATAGCGGGCATGTTCACGAAGGCGACGGAACAGCGAATAGAAGCTAATATACAGTTGTCGAATTGCATAAACAGGGAAGCTCACATAGGTATGTTGAAAAACAAGGAGGGTACTGTAAGCAAGAAGGCGTAAAGAATCTCGAACGACCTCTAATCGAAAAAGATAGACGCTTTTTTCTTGCCATACCTGCTCTGGATGACGAGTTTCATAAACATAAAGCCCAAGCTTTACGGCTTCCACAGTTAAATTAATGAATAATACGGAAAACTCACAGATAAAGAGTATTCGCGTCGACATATCGCCGAAGTAATCAGTGCTGCTACACAAATAAACGAGAGTGATGTCTAAAAGAGACAAAACGAGAAAAGCACATGTGAGTCGATTAAAGAGATGGAATTGACGTTCTGTCAGCTGCACCTGTTGTCTTTCGGTCCGAAATGCGCATATTGAATGAAAAACTCGAGCAAACATGAGCGTGCTCAACAGCAAAAAAAAGGAAATAGAAATAGGATCGAGTAAGGTGGTAACAGAAAGCATGGCTTCTGTTAGTGTTATCCAAAATTGTTCATACAGCAATTCTAATTCAAACGTCTGTAGGGATCCAAACAGGAGTGCCTTTAATACATTGGCAATCGCAAAGAACAGACACAAGCACACATTAAGCCCAATTGTGATATGGATCGGACTTTGCGAAATCATTACTGTCGCAGCATACACGTTGGCGCTGCTGTATAGACTTAACAAAACAGACAACCCAAACAACAAAATGGAAGCCTGGTGTTTGTAAGAAACAGTCTTCTAGTATTAACTTACCAATACATAAAGTATGAACTTCATTTTCACAGAGATTTTGGGAGTGTCGGCCACAATGTTGTTTACAAGTGTGATATGATACTATCCATAGTTTGTCAGACATCGGTCAAATTCTTCGGTGGGTTGACATTCAGTCACCGAAGTTCACCGAAAAGCCATATACGCTGCCAAAGAAATGAAGCATGAAAAAAGGATTGTCTATTTTAATTTAATGAATGAAATAGAGTTAATTTGTTTTGTAGTCGAAAGTAGATACTAAGTTCTTTACAACTCTTGTTAGTTAGACTTCATCATAGTGCAAGGTCTGTGACATGAATCCATGTACCATTCGTAAAAGCCTTTTAAATCGTAAGATGTAAAGTAAGTTCACTGACCACATGTGTTGTCCTCTTGTTTCAGTCTTCTAGGGTTTAGTGAAGAAATATGCCATGATTCTGTTTCCAAAAGTCATCGTATTGATCACTTATTGAAATTAACCGCTTCACATGTAGGCCTTTTTCTTGTTTTCTTAGTAGTGGAAAAGATGGTAACTCTGTAATTTGTTATTCAGGAATGTAAAATGAGAATAACCATCATTACCAAGAATATTCATCTGCGTCCGTTACATAAGGAACACTGATAGAAAGTTTAGTGCGAAATCTAAAGTGATTCTACCTCACCACGAAAAATGATTTTACATTCTTTTGCAATCGCTATAGAGACGTTTCGTGCGCCCATTACCTGCTCCTTTGTAGCACCGTGATTTAGAGCACCCTTTAAGTGGCCTCGGAGCTGGGGGTTCACATCTTGCGGGACGAGAGAAGCGATGATCATTAAACTGGTTTCTAAAGGAGAGAGAATTTCGTTAAAGGAGAGTACTTTTCCGTATGCATAGTCGATAGCAATATGAGCTGCAGAACCGAAAGACGTTAGAAGTTGATAACCTACTATAAACCCTCTTACACAAGAGCTTACTTACCCAAGTCTGAAGAAGAAGACTGCATTGAATTGAGAACTCGTTCTGTTACCTTGCCATACGTCTTTTCAAAATATCTTTTACCTCGCTCAGAAGTGTTAACATATTCATCTGAAGATCGACTAAATTCATTTGGAAATGCGTTTGGGAAACACTGAGCCATTACGCGCAAAGAGTTGATGGTCTTGGGATTCCAGTTAGTATAGTTAATGTAAAAGGTCATTCAACATCTTTACACTTGCATGCAATTTCTCCAATGCAAACTTACTCTAGGAAAACCAACCAAAGGAGCTGACTTGACCAAGGCTTCGCGCAATTTTGTAAACATGGAAGGGCCTATATGTTCAACGGCCTCTCTTGCGACTCCCCCAATACTTTCTGGCCGATTGCTCGACGAATACGCTACTACAGAAACTATATATAAGTTCGTAGGTTCAAGTAATCCACTAAATCTTTGAAGAATTGAGGTTGTCATTATGGTTAAACTATGAATCAATATAGCGAATCCTTTCTAAGTATAAATGCGTTTGCTGGATGAAAATCTGGTGTCAAAAGGATAAAAATAGAAAAAGAAGAATGAAAAAAAGGACTTAAAGTAGAAACAACTTGATAAATTCCAATCAAATTTGTTGGTCTATGAATGGCGCTCACCAAGACATCTCTAAATTCATAACAATTAAGGATAAGATTTATTATAAAGTGCTAAGACTTACTTACTAGAAATTTTAGTGGTTGAATAACAATTCGAATAAAAAATTAAAATTAAAATAATATATTTATGTTGTATTTATAATCAATCAACTCATTACAAAAATTACAAGTCAGTGGTCCATAGAAAGAAAGAAAGTAAGGTATTTCCAAATAATAACAAAACTATTGTTACGCAAAAAAGAAAGCATTTAAACATTATTAACATCCCTTAAAAACGGTTTAACAAGAGAACCGGTCAACGAGGGACCTATGGTTCATCCGCTTCATTATTTTTGGTCATTGAACGCGTTCGTCTCGCTAAGTTCGGAACACTGTCGGAGCCATCGAAATTCTTAGCCTCGAATTCTTCCTTCTCGGTATCTGAATTTTGGTTCTTGGTGTTAATTTCTTTTAACACTTCCCTTGGGCCAGCTTCAGGTGCTTTTACACCATCTAATTGTTCATTTTGTATACTTGAGGAAAAATCGGACAACGCAAAACGACCGTATTTTCCCTCTAGACTGAGATTTATAACAAAACTCTCCAGCATATGGAAAGCTTCTTCGGAAGGAGTTTCCAGCTTTGCTTGCTCCACAGTATCAACAAAACAGTCCGGCCAACCAACGCATTCGAGTCCTTCCAACTTTAGTGACGGGAAAGATAAGTTTCCACGGTCATCTTTCTTGAATGATTCAGAGCTGCTTTGAGCATCTTCAAGTATTTTCTTGGCTTTCGGCTCAAACTGCTGAGCCAGTTGCACAGCAGCGGTAAGTTGCTCCATGTCATCTATACTTTGAATAAGTCCATCTATGTTCCAAATATGAGACAAGTATTGTTCCAAAGTAAATAAATCATCAATATCGTAACTTACAACCAGTTGTTTCAAGGAAATCCAACCAATCCACCCGTGCTCCAAGGGAGAATTAAAGATACCTTTTGTGTCCAACTGGCAAATTCTTTCAAAGCTGTCTTCTATGAGTCTTTGTAAAGGAAAATAAATAGTAGTCAAAAATTGTTTTCTTAACTGGGATAATTCACTTTTTATTCGCTGTCGACGAGCAGTCAATTCAACAAGGGATAAGAGGTCTTCATATTGTCCACGAAGCTGCTTTGCAATGTCTAGAAAGTGATAGCGTCGTTTGATGGCATTCACTGGAAGATTTACCAGTTCATCTGCAAGTCTCTGAGACCGTAACAATGGTGCGTCTCGTCGAAACTTGCGCTTCATTTGATAGTACTTGCAAATGTCAATAATAATAACATCCAAGTCATTGGTATTGTCATTCAACCGCAACTCTTTGAGTGTGGACGTTACTTTTTCTACAATGTAGCGAGGTAATGGTCGAAAGTTCCAAGGTTCTTCTGGAACAGCAGAAGGTGCCCGACAAGCAACATAGTTTAAAGGGACATCATAAGCCATTCTCCTATAATACTGAACAGCAAGTGGATAAAGTCGTTGAAGGGCACCTTCGAGATGAGAAGGAGGCGTATGTTTATCGCAGAAACATTCTACCTCTGTTTGACTATAATTACTAAAAGGAGGATGAATTTTGTAATAAAATCCAGCACGCCTGGCGCAGGTAATATGAAATGCTGTGTAACAGCTTTTCTCAGAACATTGTACACAAGCACCCCAGCGTAGTTTGCAAACACAGCATATGAGCTTCCAGCGAGATTTAGGAATAGCATAAAAATCCCGAACCAAATCCAAGCGACCAGCATCATGAAAAGAGATCTCAGGAACTGCCATTGCACAAACAGTATGACACCAACGGCCATCGACAGTTGTGCGGAAAGCACCATCACGATCAGGGCAACAAACACAGGATATGACATCGTTGGCAGCAAGTAAACACCGCTTACAAAACCACTGACCCTCAGGCACAAAGGGAATGCCATAGCAATTTTGGTGAACAGCCATGTTGCAATTATCACAGAAAACAATGACATTACTTGTTTCACAATCTGACTCATTACAGATAACACAACGGCCATCGAGCTCATCTTCTATACGAACAGGTTCAATCTTGGGAATCCATGCATCTAGCAAGAGCCAATGTCGAGCGATAATGGTAAGCATAATTTCAAGAAATTCGTGGGATAGAGGTATCCAAGCAGGATCTGAGGAGGCTCGCGCTTCATTGTAGTAAATCAACCACATTGCATCTAGCTCATCCAGGTCATAAGAAACCGGAAATTGGTTATCATTATGAGGATCTTTAGCTATAAATTACAAGGTTAATAACATTTTTGCAAGGAAAGAGTACACAGGATAGAAGGCGCTCATAGTACCAGGAGAAACATACCTATAAACCTTTGGAAGCGATCTGCTGGTAAGTTGCATTTCGTAGTAGTATTGTAACCACATTCCTTGATCTTTGGAGGCAATGTGTCGGTATGATAATCTACTACTTTGATGTTTTCAACTTTTGCTTCCGGAAGCGTCTTGACCACATACGAAGACGTCGGCTGGTAAGAAAAAAGAGAGGAATCAATTCCGGAAAGTTCTGGATATGTATTTTCGATGACTTCTAGCGGCTCATCAGTGCGTAAATCGGGATAAAACACTCGATATGAAATCTCCTCCCGTGGTTGGAAAGCAAGATCCTCCGGCCTTAGTAAACTTGGACCATCCAGTGAATTTGGTATCGCTTGCATGAAAAGCTCAGCCTGTTTAAGAGTCCTTTCAAAGCATATTTTCAGGACTTTTCTTCCCTATGACCTGGTATTAAGTCCATCCCTATATCTCGGTGTACTCCCTTATCTGTTGTTTAGGAAGCTCGCTTGGATTTGTACAGAGATCATACTAACGTTAAGTGATACAAATGTGTTATTTCATACGATTATATAATGAGAAGTTATATTACTGCATCGAGGTTCGTTCAGCTCCTATGCGCTCCAACGCACAAATTTCCTTACAAAAAATTTACCAGAGCAAGTTTAGTTCACAACCGCACAACATGGCACCTCCTCAGGGAAAGCCCGAAAATGTGCTAAGAGTACGTTTTTTCACGTAAATTTTATTGAAAGACTAACATCAGTAGCTTGCCGATGAGCTTATTGCTCTTGATCAGCATGGGTCTGCACTCCAGTCCCTTCACGAGACCATCGTCTTGAAAAGGTCCAGAAATGCCCAAGGCTTTTCTTTGGAACCTATCATGATTCGCTTTATTGAACTTTGTGTCTTTTTACGTAAAGGTAAAGTCGCCAAAGAGGGTCTCTACATGTACAAGAATGCTGTACAAAACACCTCGGTGACCGCCATTGAAAATGTCGTGAAGCGCTTCATTGAGTTGGCCAACGAAAAGGTTCAAGAAGCTCAAGCTAAAGCTGACAAGATTTCTCTTGAATATGTCGATGATTTGGAGGCTACTGAGACTCCCGAAAGCATCATGATGTCTTTCGTCTCAGGTGAAATGTCCAAGACCCGTACGGACCGTGCTTTGGTCACTCCCTGGCTCAAGTTCCTTTGGGATGCTTATCGTACTGTCCTTGACATTTTGCGGAATAATGCTCGCTTGGAAGTCATGTATCAACTAATTGCCAACTCGGCCTTCCAATTCTGCTTAAAGTATCAACGCAAGACTGAATTCCGTCGTCTTTGTGAATTATTGCGTTCTCACCTTGGAAATGCCTCCAAATTCTCTAATGCGCCTCATTCAATCAATTTGAACGATGCTGAGACCATGCAACGTCATTTAGACATGCGTTTCTCTCAACTCAACGTAGCTGTCGAGTTGGAGCTTTGGCAGGAGGCTTTCCGCTCAATTGAGGATATTCACAGTCTTTTAACATTCTCCAAGCGTGCCCCTTCCCCTGTCATGCTCGGAAATTATTACCGCAAACTTATCAAGATTTTCTTGGTTTGCGACAACTACTTGTTGCATGCTGCTGCTTGGAACAGATACTTTACCTTTACAAATGTTCAAAAGCCTGCTACTGCTAACTTTGTTATCCTCAGTGCTTTGTCAATTCCTATTATTGATGCCACTAGATTTTCAGGTCCTCCCCTGGACGCCGAAGATGCTAAAAACAAAAACGCTCGTTTGGCCATTTTGCTCAACATGTCTAAAGCCCCCAATCGTGAGGCTTTGGTTAAGGATGCTGTTAACCGTAATGTTTTGAACTACTGTGATCCCGCTATCCGCGATCTTTACAGAATTTTGGAAGTCGATTTCCACCCTTTAAGTATCTGCAAGAAGTTGCAGCCTATTTTGAAGAAATTGGCTGAGAACACTGATACCGCTCAATACATTCGTCCCTTACAACAAGTTATCCTTACTCGTCTTTTCCAACAACTCTCCCAAGTTTATGATGCTGTTTCCCTTAAATTCGTTATGGATTTGGCTACTTTTGATGAACCTTACTCTTGCACCTCTGGTCAGATTGAAAAATTTATAATGAACGGCAACAAAAAGGGTGCTTTTTCCGTTCGTGTCAATCACATCGAAAGCTCAATTACTTTTGCATCTGATCTTTTCACTAGTCCAGTAAGCTCTCAGGTGGACACTACATCTTTACAATCCACCCCTGCAGAACTGATTACAAATCAACTTTCTCGTATTGCGAAATCGCTTACTAGTGTCTTGATGCGTTTTGATACTGACTTTTGCCTTCTTCGTAAGCAACAATCTGAAGCTGCTTATGACCGTGCTTTAGCTGGTGTTGAGCAAGAGAGAAAGGCTGTTATCGCTCAGCGTAGCTTGCTTGAGTTACGTCGCGGTCAAGCTGATACCTTGGCTACTCAGCGTGAAGCTGAACTCGCCGCTCAACGTGCTCTTAAGCAAAAACAAGAAGCCGAGGCTGAATCTCGCCGTGTTCAAGATGAAGTTATGAAACGTAATGCTGACAGAATTCGCCGTGAAAAGGAAGCTATTCGTATTGAAGAAGCTAAGAAACTGGCTGACGAACTTAAGGCCAAGGGTGGATTGGAAGTCGATGCTGAAGAGTTGGAACACTTGGATGCTGATAAATTGAGAGCTATGCAAATCGAACAGGTCGAGAAACAAAATAGAAGCATGAATGAGCGACTTCGTGTTATCGGTAAGCGTATTGATCATTTGGAACGTGCCTATCGTCGTGAAGCTATTCCCCTGTTGCAGGAGGATGCAAGGAAACAAGTCGAACAAGATCGTAAAACCTTCATTGAAAGAGAGAAGCAGCGTAGAGAGATCCAAGAACGCAAGCATGAAGAAGCTTTGGAAGACAAGAAACTGTTTTCTAAGTTTGCTTCATATATTCACGATTACAAACAAAGCATTGATGATGAACGTGAAAAAGCCTATCAAGAAGCTTATGCTCGTGCTAAGGATGTTATAGAAGCTGAACGTGAAAAACAATACGAGATGATTTACGAACAGAAGTTAGCTGATGCAATTGCTGAGGCTGAAGAAGAAGCTACTAAAGCCGCTGAAGAAGAAGAAACGCGTGAGCGCAGAGAACAAGAAGAAAGTCAACATAAGGCCGTAGAAGAAAACGCTCGTGCTTCTAAAGAAGCCAAGGAGCGTGAACAACAGGAAATGAGCGAGAAACTTGAACGTCAACGAGTGATGCAAATGAAGCGTGAAGAAGACGCTGCTCGGAAGATTGCTGCCAAGAAAGCTAACTTGGGCTTAGCTTCTCAAAGTCCTCCACCCGTAACTGCATGGAAACGTGGTGGTGCTACCGCTGGTGGTGGTCAAAGATACGTTCCTCCTCGTGCTCGCGGTGCCGGTGCCAGTGCTGACACTTCTCGTGAATCCGTGACACCTCCTAAAGGAGGAGCCTACGTTCCTCCTAGCAAACGCCAACAACAGCAGTAGATTACTACTGTCATTAGGGTTGCATAAAAATGTAGGGCTTAATAAATTGTCTCCGAGCGGAGAAGGAATTTTGAAATATTAAAATGCAGAATGCATTTTCTGTTTGTTATTAGGTTTGAACTGAATCACTGATACTCTAATAAATAAATCATTTTCAGATTTAATACATACTTATATCAGCTAGGAAAAAGCGTTCGTAGAACAACGTAATGTAATTGTGAATGTCAATGTCAATGACTGAGATTAAATGTATTCAGATACTTTTTACATTAAATTCAGTGAGTCAGCATGAAAGAAAAAGGTTTAATTTTGAAGTTTCTGATTTGAATGATTTTAAGCCATTATTTGCAACCTGAATTTAATATTGTGAGGGCCGACTCGACGCGTGGGCTCCCCAATCGCAAGTCCGAAAATTTACCAGTCAGGCTACCATGTTTCGAAGCACAAAAAGCAGGGCGGTAGAAAGAAACAGAAATTTTGCAAGAGATGTACCAGCAAACGTTAGTTACCCTACACGATTAAATTTTTACTTGAATCCACCCCATGAGGAAATCAGTATAGAAGAGTTTGAAACATGGGCAATTGATCGACTTTATGGTAAGTTCAGTGTGCTATATATTCTTTTATATCTACTTTTTATTTATCAAATAAATTAAACGGCTTCTAATCCTTCTGGATAATAGTATTAGGCGAAATTGAGTCAGCCCTTTTCCGGAATAAGACGAAAAAGGAACTGGATATGATTATTAAACGCGTCGTTGATAAACACTTGCCCATGAGCAGTAATATGGCTAGAGTCGTCAAAGGAGCGGGCCTAGACGAAGAACGTAGGAAGGACCATTATTCTCATTTCATTTTGCGACTTGCATTCAGTAGATCGTAAGTAAAAAACATTATATGACTAAAGAGAGATTTAAGACAAAGTTCATATCTGTGAAGGGTGCCTTTTGAGAAGTTTACAGCCGGAACATTTTCGATTATTTGTATCGAGTTAAGATGCTCGCTCAAATGCTAATCGTTCGGGTTTTTGACGGAAAAAGGACGCGCTCTCTTTTATTTTTAACTTGAACCTCTTTTGGTGGATGTACATTACAGATATACTAACATGTTTTTTGACAATAGAGAGGAATTAAGATATCGATTTCTTCGTGCTGAATCTGCTCTCTTTAAATATAGATTTATCAATGAAGAAACAAGAGAGCGCCAATATTTTGTTGACAGCCTTAATTTTCAATGGAATGCAGTTTCTAAAGAAGAGAAAAGCCAGTTTTTGAGTAAAATCCAAGCCGCGTGCCAACGAAACGTGGAAAACGAATCTTTTTTTAAAGTACCCTTTATAAAAGTACCTGACTTGGTGGAACGAAGAGCTGTCTTTGTTCACAAAGGTTTTGCATATGTACCTTTTTCAGAACAGATAAGTATCGTGATAGAGGAATTTGAGAAAAATCTAAAATCATCTCTTGAAAATACAGCAAAAGCTTTACCGCGGTTAGATGAAGATGATCGTCTTTTGCCTATTTTAAATCATCTCAGTAAAGGATTTGTAGCACCAGAGCTATCTGTCGCTGCAGCTAAACCTGGTGAAGTTACAGCAGACCAGGTTGATAGTCTTGTCCCTCATTTTCCCTTGTGTGCCAGGCATCTTCACAATGTTTTGAGGAAAGAAAAACACCTCCGCCATTTTAGCCGTCTTCAGTATGGCCTTTTCTTAAAGGTATATTATTTTCAATTTCCTTTACTAACTTACAGGACATTGGCCTATCTGTTGAGGAGGCTCTGATTTTCTGGAAAAGTAGCTTCTCTAATACTAACGATGACAAATTCAATAAGGAGTATCGTTACAATATTCGCCATTCTTATGGTTTAGAGGGTAACAGAAAAAATTACAAGGGTTATAGCTGTCAGCAAATTTTGACAGGACCCCAATTGGGACCTGGCGATGCTCATGGTTGTCCCTATAGAACTTACTCACTCGATAATCTTGTCACGGCTTTAAGTACAATGGGTATAGCACCAGATTCGTCTGGTTGCCGGGAAGTAGTCGATGCTGTAAAAGGTCGACATTATCATATCGCATGTACACGTGTCTTTGAGTTAACTCATCCTCAGAAGGGTACTTTAGAAGAAAGCATTCACCACCCTTTGCAATATTATCAGCTCAGCACAGAACATCAGTAAAGGCCTGATGTAAAAAAACCTAAGCATTTAATGAAACTAAAAAAGGGGATATGGAATAGCAACTACTGCTTTTACAACCGTCCGTTCGTTTAATCTTACTTTTAACTTCCACCTTTAGTGGCCACACTGTTAACAATTTACGTTCTCATAACCTACAAATTGATTATATTACAAGCTTATATATATTGTATATATTGATAATAATCATCTAGAATAAATCGTAGCAAGCCGTTTCTAATATTTACTTTTTTTTTTTCACCTGTATATGATAGATTTAAACTACTCATCATCATCAAAAGGGTATTCGAAGTCCTCTGGTGGTGCCGCCTCTTGCTCTGAAGGTTCAGCATTAGCCTGTGGGGTTGGAGCATCCCTACTCAACTCAATCAAATCTGGGGCTTTGTCAGATTCACGATCAATCAACATCAACACGCCACCAGTAAATTTACGAACTGGATAGTATCTTCCATTAGCATTAAATGAAATGTACGGTAATTGAGCAGGAACCACACGAGTAAAGTTTTCTAAAACTTCACGCTTAGGTTCTTCTTTTCTAGTTGATTCAGACTTGGTAGCGTCATCAGGTTTTTCTTCATCAATATCCATAGCACTGCTGTCTGCCTCTCGTTCATCGGGTTTCTTGTCAACTTTCATATCGTCTTCAGTCTCCTTAGCATGTTTTTCACGCTCAGCGCGCTTTGCTCTTGCCTTTGCCTTGACCGTAGTTGACAGTACAGCTGTTTCGACCTTTTGAACAGCTTTAGCAGCAGGTTGGACAGTCTTAGCAGGATAAGCAAATAATTTAGGCTTAGCATTAGAGACAAAATTAAACTTAGGGCCATCCAAGTTTTGGTTCAAGCCAATAAGTGCAGTCGGAGAAAATGAAAGTGACATAAAATGAGTTAAAGGGAACCAGTACCAATACTGTAAGAAAACTGCCAAACCTACAACGGTAGAAAGCCTCAAACTACCGGTAGCAGTCTGAAGGGCAATAGTAACATTACGACCACCAGCGTCGATAATACCTTGGGCTAAGGTAGCTCCCAACTTGGCCAATGCATCTTCGTGTTTCTCACCGATAACTTGCTCAAAATGCTTACGAATTCCTGAAACCTTAGTATTTAAATGTTCATTATGTTGAGTAAGAATCATTGCTTGAGCAATCATAGCACCTTGGCGAACAAAGTCAGTAGCATCCTCAACTAATCGGCCAAGCAATTCCAAAGCGGCATTAGATCCAGAGTTAGCACAAGCAATACCGAGAGCAATTGCACTACCATATCTAACATGAGGATTATAGCTATCAACAAGGAGCTCAACTGTAGATATTAAAACAGTAGAGTCTTTAAAGCAGATAAAACCTAATGCACAAACAGCGGCCCGTCGCACATCATCGTTAACATCACTAACAGAAACATGAAGAAGCTTGCGAATAATCTTGCTATTACCAGTACCACAGTAAGCTAAAGCAGTGGCAAACATACCACCATAACGAAGTACAGGATCGGAGTCAGCATTTAGTTGTTCAATTATACTGTCAGCTTCTTGTTGGCGACCATAAACAATTAAAGCAATGCCAATACCCAAACCACGGATAATCTTCTCGTGTTGTGTCTCATGAGCATATTGCAACATTTCATCGATAGCAGTAGATGATGCAGTACCGAGCATGATAAGACCCATGGAAATACCAGCAGCAGAACCAGCAACGGCATTGTCGTTAAAAAGCACGGTTTTAACGGCATCAAAAAGACCTTCGTCACGGCTAGCCATACCAGTAAGACCTAAACCAAGGATGAGACCATATTGGACCGTTTCATCTTCGGAACGCTTCAGTTGCTCACGCAAATAATCTGTAACACCGCGGCCGTGATTGGCATTGATGAGACCCATCGCATAATAAGCACCACCCTCAGAATAAACGGAACTAGACGGAGCATCTTCTTCGGGTAAATAAGGGCGTACAATATTCATAGCTTGGTTGTAGTAACCTCTATGAATAACACCAAGGGCAGCAGTGGCTGTAAATTTGGACCAGTTGTTCGCTTTAGACAACCAAGAAAGATTTTCGCGGAAAAAGTTATCATAAGAGGTACCAAAATTCATGAAGGCATTTGCAAAAGTAACGGCATTATGGAAAATTGAGTTTCTGGATTCAAGAGAATCCTTTGTCTTATTTAAAATGAGCATATCCGTATTGTTATGAGAATATAAGAATTCCCGATGATATTTAACAGTTTGCTCACCAGACAGGATATAATGGATCCGGGAGATTGGTGAAGATTCATCGACCTCTACGTTCTCGGAGTTGCCTTCATGATCTGATGAGACAGGAGCAGGTAAGAGGTCTATGACACTGTTTAAAAATTCTTGAGGAGCAGAATCCTCTAAATCAAAAGCTAATTGGTAGGCAGTCAATAAATTCTTGTCATCACTTTGAGAAGATAATTTCATCAAAAGCTTCGCAGCAACGGAAGCGTCATTCAAGTGAACTACGCACTTTCCAACAGAGAAATAATCTGGCTCATTCTCTACTAAAAAGGAGCTCAAAAGAAGACGCAAAAGACGATTGCGAAATTCAATATCAAGAACGACAGTCAACACCAACTCAAGGACATAAGGTTTTAAATCATCATCTTTAGCAGTATTCAAAATGTATTCAACTAAATCAAGACGATGAGCTTCGATTGCAATACCTAAAACATGTCGCCATTCCTTGTTGGCATAGCATTTTTGAAAAATTCCCTCAACGACTCCACTCAAACGTTCATCCATAGGCTCAAGTTCATAATTGGAATAGCGCTCAGAGCTTTGTTGAATAAAAGTGTCAATACACTTGAAAATTAGGGTTTCTTTGAAGCTGCTGTTTTTGTCTTGTAAAAACTTTGTACCGGAAGCCAAAGCAAATTGGAGGGCTTCATCGTATTCACCCAAATAATAATAGACCCTTGAAACCACTAACGCTGCCAATTCCCGTTCAGGAAAAGAGCGATCTTCATACATAACTTCAATTTTTGTAACATCGTCAGAAATCTCAGGCCATAACTGATCTATAAATTCATATATCTTTAACAGTGCGTGTATCTGTAATTCTTTTTCTGATTCGTCCAGCAGGGACATCAAACCACCTAATAATCGTTAGTCTTTTTTTACATTCATTAAATAATCAACCAACATACCTGCTGATGTAACGATAGAGGTGCTTTCTGGATACACCGTAGTCATTTTAAAATAAAAAATATCCTGTCTTGCAATATAGGAGGAAATGCAACAGCAGGCGGTATTTCGTTGTTGGATAATTGTTTAGGTCCGTCCGTGCGTTTGGGCAAGGTTTTGATTTTAGTAAGGGTAGGGATTATTCTTTTGCCTTCGATGATTCCTAAGGTTATATAACAGTATCGAGTACTCAAGCAGCAATATCGTATTATGTCGTAGATAATGAATGGAATCTTTCTGTAATAAAATGTTATTAAAACGATAATTTTGGTCAGCCGAATGTATGAAGCAATTCATTCTATTAAAAGGAAATCAATTCCAATGCTTTTTTCCTGTCTAACTACTCTTTTTCATCTTGACAAGTCTTATATAGTAACTCAATCTATATCTTATTTACAGCGTTTTTCAAATCCATATATCAAGTGTTTACTTATTATTGTAATGGTGGTATACAATTCATTTGGAATCCTTTAGTTTCATTTTCCACAGTGTACTTTACAATAGAACAAAAGGTACCTGTTACGAAGCATCTGTCCTTGTATCTAATAGGAAATAGAATTATCATTTAGTATATTTTACTGAAAGATACTGTACAAAAGAGTACTTGAATTGCCTAATCGTTTAGGATTGATGAAGCACAGTACGACGTAATATTAATTTTCGCTACAATTGAACTTCGTCGAAAATTCATGCTAACATTAAAAAAATATAATAAATAGTAAAGAAAAGGATCTTCACACTTGCATCCATTTAGTTCCATTTAATTCACGCAAAGAAGTCATAAATTCTTGAAAACAAATTCACTTTATAGAATTATACAGAGGACTTTAGTTGAAACAGGTCATATCCTTCTCTATTTAGTATGATAATATCAATCGTTTTATATTCTACTAAAGATAATACTTTGAAATGTTTGAGGCTTTGCTGTGCTGTGCTGTGCTACTGCGGTTTGTTGGTGTAAGTATAATTAAAGGACTATGATGACACCTTCTGTCGCCGCGACTGAAAGGCTGCTTGTCGAAAAGGTTAGGTATTTACGTTTGTCTCCAGCCTTCTTGTTGCATATCTTCTGTATTTTAATTGTTCGTTTAATTCAAGTTGAAAAGTGGGTGCAGTTGATACCTACGCATCATATCCTCCTTAGGTACCAGGATTTGGGATCGACTATAAAACCATGACGGATTTACGAAGAAACCGCTATTCTATTTCTGCAGGAGTAGGAAAATCTACTTATGATTCTTTTGGACGGTTTTTAAGCTCTCCTAGGCGGCCTTTCCCCAGCAAATTCAATAGCGAAAACGAACGGTCGGGATTTGATTTTCCTTGGACACCTTACAGTTTAGATTGGTTAAAACAAAGCAATGATACAAGACAATGGATTGCTGTAGGGAGTTTAATTGAAGAGCCCGCCAACAAAGTATGTCGCTTGAAAGATTGTAATAAACATCAACACTTTATGATTCCAATCTACTAACTATCAGATTCAAATTCTTCAAGTATCGAATTCGGAAGGAGATAAACCTGCTGTGAAAAAGTCGCTTTCAACAGCAAACGATTTAGAGTATCCTGTCACCAAAGTGATGTGGAACCCTCCATCATTAAACTCAAACAATTCTACGAACCTTTTAGCATCAACAGATCAAAAATTAAGACTTTGGAATGCTCCTACAGAATCAGGAAATACTGCCTCTCTATCATGCCAAGCTGCTTTATCCACGGTACGTATGACGACACATTTTTTGGTCCTTGACTAACATAAGTTCAGCACGGGAAAACTCACAGTAGTGCTCCCCTCACTTCTTTTGATTGGTGCAAGGTAGACCCGTCTTTAATTATCGTCAGTAGTTTAGACACAACGTGTACTGTTTGGGACGTGGTTGCTCAACAATCGAAAACCCAATTGATTGCTCATGACAGAGAAGTCTTCGATGTTGCGTTTACAAAAGATAATGCCCATGTATTCGTAAGCGTGGGGGCTGATGGAAGTGTACGAATGTTCGATTTACGGTACGTTTAAAATTGATTTGTATTGACCAAGTGTTCTGACATATGCATAGTTCTCTGGACCATTCAACTATTATCTATGAAGGAGATAGCAGTTATTGGAAACGTACTGGAGATACAAACAGCGCTGTTAGTACTTGTAGACCTTTACTGCGGTTAGCCACATGTGATGCGGATGCCAATTTGATGGCTACCTTCCATCACAAATCATCGGATATAAAAATGATTGATATTCGAGTGCCAGGAACAGCATACTCAACTCTAAGTAGTCCTCGAGGTGGAGACGTGAATGCTGTGAGCTGGATGCCTAATTCGCGAAGCAAGCTAGCTTCATGCGGAGATGATTGCATGGTTCATTTATGGGACTTGTCACGTCCTTTGAGCTCTACACCAACACCAGCTCGCCGAGGATCGAATCCTGTTACGCCGTCTGGCTCAGCGATACCAATATCAGAGTATGCTACGCCCATGTCAACCGCTCAAAGCACGGGTTCATCCAGCGAAAACCGTTATTCTCCCATTGCTTCTTGGAAACTCGAAAACGAAGTAAACAATATAGCTTGGTCTGGTAAGCAAGACTCGATCGCTGCCTTGTACGGAAAGTAAGTCCAATATCTTTGAAAACAACAATTTATTAATCATGTACCTAGATCATTAGAGCTACTCGCGTTATAATTTGTTAAACGAATGGTCAAGATAAGTAGGATCAAATGAAAGAGATATGAGTTGATTTCAAGAAAATCTATTTTTCAACAGCACTACTACTACTTAATAGATGGAAACCCCCCAAAAAAAACAAAAAAAACAAAAAAAAATGGAAGAGAAAAAAGCGTAAAAAAAATTCTCATCGTTTTTCGACAGACTCTCTAACCTTCGTTCTCATGTTTCATAAATTATGCCAAGTTTTCTTTCCCTGGATTCTATAATGATTATTACAATTAAAGATATATTGGTGTGTGTCCAATCTATTTAGCATTGGCATCATTATTACATTGGAGTTTTCTCGTACTATCGTAATCTAAGATAGACGTTATAATAATTTAACAAATAAAACAAGCTTAGCGAAAATCTAGTATTCTGAGGTCCACGAATCTGCGTAAACGTCTCTAAGAATAGCGGTAAGGTTCGTAATGTATCTTTAACTTGAATCTTTTTTCTACGCTATTCTCAAACGTCGTAAATGGAAGCCAAGTCACTACTCTAAGCTAAGAAAGAGGCACACACTATCAAGAATCAGTCACAAAGGAGACTGCTTTGTGACGTTGCTTTCATCGAGTATAAATAGTAAATTGGTTTTTTTTTGGAAATGTTTATAAGAGAGAAAATAGTATAATCATGCCACATGTAACAACCTAACTCGAAGTAGGGACAATCTAATGAGACGATGAAACTCAAAAGCGCCTCCTCTACATTCGGTCATAAACGGGAATAATCAACAACCATCCTTATTACATGCATTGATCATATGTGTCTGCTTGAATTCTCCTCGTAAAGCAATATGACTTGAAGTAGAAACTGGGTAATCATTTCGAGCACTACCATGTAATGACCTACGATAATGACTACGTTCTTTATACACAGTATACTTGGGCTTTCCTTCAAAAACTGTACTTTAGAAACGAAACCCAATGGTAGTCGAACGAGAAAATTATGCAGCGCTTCATATGACAACGAACTTCGTTCGGAAATGTAATGCATACTTAATGTAGATGGAATATATCGTTATTTCGAATAAGAAATAGTTAGCGAACAAAAGAACGAAAACGGTATTCGGTAAAGTGGAAACGAACCGCGGATAATCCTAGGGATTGTTTAGCCACCTGACTGGTGGAGGTGGTTTCGCTTTCTTAACTACACAAACAACGAGAATCAATTTGGAACCGTTTTCAGTCCGCTAGATCACTGAGGAAACATATATATGCGTGGAGAAACCCAGAATGACTGAAGACGGATTGACAAAGCTGAACCTGGAGGCATTTTTAGGAATGTCTGGGAACACCCAGGAGCTGTTGGATTCACTCGGTCTCTCAGCCATTCCGGACTTATCCAACTTAGGATCTTTAAGTAATAATAACAATTCTGCCTTATCCTTTGATCCAAATGATCCGTCTGCAGCTGCATTTTACATAGCTCAACAGGTATGCTAAATTTTTTACCGACCCGGAAATTGAGAAGTTTGCTTTCGTTATGACGGTTATAGTCTCGAATTCCTCTTTTGTGTTCGCTATACATCGTATACTATAGTTTGTTAAAACACATGTCTTCTTGCAAGCAAGCTTAAACAAAAGCAATGATACGGGGACTTTATCTTTTGTTTGGGTTCACTAACCTTGCAGCCGCTTGGTTGCTGGGGTTTATAATTTGCATTTGTTTGATGATTCTGACCTATTTACAAACAGGTAGCTGCCATTGAGCATCCTCCTCCTCCGAGGAAGATGACTTCCTCTGAGAAAACGCGCTCTGAAAATCGGGAACGGAAGAAGCGTTGGAGGGAACAAAATGAGGAGCGTAATAAAGACAACGATTTGCGTTGTCGTGTGAACAAAAAGGCCAAAAAACTTTTTGGTAGCGAACCGAGTATCGAGAAAACGAACTGGATTGAGGCTGAATTCAATCGTCGCCATTCAAAACGTAAAGAAAAGGAGCGTACCTCTGCTCAAAACAATACGAGCAATGGCGTATCCCGTTCGAATTCTCAAGGACTTTTGCCCGATTTAGATTTGTTGGCTACAAACTCTTCTGCTAACGCTGTTCTTCAAGGATCGGCTATCAATAACGCTCTCAGTGCTCTGGCCAAAGATCCCAACCTTATCCATAATCTCTTGACCCAAATGGATTTTGATCCAAACAAAAAAACCGATTTGAATCTTGGTGCCTTAAACGACGTAGTCCCTAACCCTCAAATTCCTCAACCAGAACATGAGTTATCTGCTCTTCAAGAACACAATGAAGCCCATGATGCCGCTATGCGACAATTCGAACTTGAACGCCAGCAAAGTGCCATTTTACCTGGCTTAAATGCCATTGATGGTTTACAAAACTTGCCTCATCTTGATTTTACAGATCCCGCCGTTACTAGTGCTCAAGGTCAAGCACAAGCACCTTTGCATCCTTTAATCTCCCAAACCGACAATCATTCCATTTTTTCTGCTCTTTCCGATAATTCTACTCCTGCCAGTGTTGCAGATCCTAGCTCCGACTTCAATCTCTCCCAGGTTATGCCTCTTGATCTTCTTGCCCCCTCGATTCATGCTTCAACTGTATCATCTCCTGTGTCAGAAGCACATATGAGTTTTCCTTCTACAGATCTTTCTCATGCTAATCTTTCAAATCATGATTCTTCTTTACCTATGCGTCCGAGATCTCAAGCTCGCGATAAGCACCGTGCTTTCCCATATTACAGCAAACGACATGCTGCTACAACTCCGTCATCACCGTTCCATACAAATGCCACTACTTCCCCGCAGTTGTCTCCAGTTGATTTTTCTTCGCATACAATTAGTCGGCCTCAATCTCCCTCCGCTTTTCCTTCCTTTGGTGAAGTAACTTTACCGCCCATTTCTAGAGCCGACACCACAACTGACATAACACCTCCTCAGTCAGCCTCTAGTTCATCGGCTTCCGAGAAATCACATGCTCTTGGTTTCCCTCCGTTACCTGGGCAGAAAATTGAGTTTCAACGATCTTCAAAAGCTAATAAGTAAAGGGGGATGAATTAATGTCAGGCTTATTAAGCTAATATTTTGTTTAATTCTGTGTATAAAATTACGGTGATTCGGGATATATGGAAGCTGCCATACCGATCTTTTATCCGTGTAACAAAAGTTGCATAAAAAACGGTTTGATTTTGAAATTTAGATGTGAAATTAAGCAAACGAGTTTATTAGATAAAGAGAAAAGTCGGGGTTTTTTTTTTTTTTACTATCTGTTTAAACATTCTGATGCTTTCTTTGCTGGTTGGGAGAGTTAAAAGATTCTACTTAGCTGAATTTAAGGAAGAATCAAGACTCTGCTATTGCTTTGCATTTCTTTTTAGTCATTGCCAATTTTGGTTGTTTATGTACGTTTTCTTGTTATAATGTTTTTTTTTGGGGTTTTTGTCGGAAAGCAAACAAATTGAACTTGACTACTTACTTACATGTGATGTTTTGTTACAAAATATAAAGCTGTTGAATATCGTTCCGTCTCTTGATTCATTGTTCGTTTATGGTACTGCTCGTCGGTTTTTGTCTTTTTTACTGTTTTGTGAAGGATTTCATTTTAACTATTTGCAAATTGAATTCTCTTCTCGCCATTGTTACTTTAAGTGTAATGTTTTAGTTTGATTTATTAGGGGTTTATATATTACATATGAAGTCTTCCATTTTTGTTAATACTTCGTTGGTGTAATAAGCTGATGGTAAATGCTTTTACAGTGGAAGACCTAATAATAATATAATCATTGGTGTTATTCTGCTTCTTTAGTTTTGATTGCTGTAAATATTCAAATTGGATAACAACCTATGCATTTCTTGTAGGTGTCAGGTATGGTAGTTCTTATTATTAAAAGATAGAAGTAATAAAATTAGACTAGCTAAAAGCAGGCAATTTTTTATATCTGACTGCTTAGGATTGCTTTCATGTGTTGAATTCTGACGCTGAATTTATTCAACCGAAACATACACTTGGGGGCAAACATAAAAAAATCATTGTCAGGAGTATGTCTTTCCAGCTTTCAACTCCTGTACCCTTAAGCGATGACTCTGAAAGTGTATTAACCAAGACAATTGGAGAATCACTAAAAGTTGAGGGTGATTTGTCACATGTATTTGAGGTTGATAGAACAGTTGACTTTATTCGCTCGAACAACTATAAATCTGTAAGTTATTTCTACTTTTAAGCATTGGTTGAATTTAAAGGTATAATTCGTAAATTCAGTCTGGCTAACAACACTTGTGATCTAGGTAGCTTTACAGTTTCCCGATGAGCATCTTGCAGATTCTGGTCGTGTAGCTTCGCTGATATCCAAACAAGTGGATGCAAATATTCAAATACTTGCTGATACAAATTACGGAAGCTGTTGCGTAGATGAAGTAGCTGCAGAACATATGTCTGCAGATGCCATTGTACACTATGGAAGAGCATGTCTTTCTCCGTATGTTAATACATTTAAAAACTTATTCTCTAACATTTGATTAGTACATCAAGGCTTCCCCTTCTTTATGTATTTGGAAGGCTTCCTATTAATGTGGACAAGATGATTACCAGTTTTACGGAGAAGTTCCCTCTTGACAGTCCAATTTTGCTTGTTAGTGATACTCGTTGGTACTACTGCCAAGATTTGATTATTCGGAAGATGAAAAATGCTGGTTACAAAACAGTCATTGCTTCGACGTTAGTTAGAAGAGAAGAACCAGATTTAGAATTGGAAGCCTGTACAACGATTCCAGGACGCCTATTTCGGTTACCAGAAAATATTTCGTTAAGTGATGTTTCTTTGGTTTTTGTTGGACCCGACTCACCCACATTAACATCGATTTTGATGTCTCATTATTCTGTTGTTAAAGCTTTCTGGTCTTTCGATCCTGTAAAGGAGACTTTTACTGAAGAATCGTCTTTCGGTGGTGCCAAACTTCGGAGACGTTATGCTTTGGTGCAAAAATGTCGAGATGCAGGTGTTATCGGAATTATCGTTGGTACTTTGGGTGTATCGAATTATCTAAACGTTTTAGATAGACTTCGAAAGATGATTCTAAATGCTGGTAAAAAACCGTATATATTGGCTATCGGAAAACTGAATCCTGCAAAGTTGGCCAATTTTCAGGAAATAGAGTGTTTCGTTTTAATCGCATGTGGTGAAAACAGCTTGATTGATAGTAGGGTATGAATTTTTATATGAATCTTTTGTTCTTTGTACTAACAAAATCTAGGATTTTTATCGTCCAATTGTTACTCCATTCGAATTAATGAAAGCGCTTTCATCTGACACCTCCTGGTTAAATGAATGCATTCTCTCATTCGATCGTGTACTTTCATTAACAGAAGAACAGGAAACCAACACTGAGAAACAAATTCAAAGCGACGAAAGTGAAAGTCCTCATTTTAGTCTAGTTACGGGTAAGCTTGTTAATTCGACACCTATGAGGCATGTAGAACTTTCTTTGGACAGCAATGAAAATAAAACAGGTGATTTGAACGAAGATGGGTCTAGTGCCCTTCAAAAGCGTTCTAACCGGGATCTGACAGTTAACGGTGTATATTCGCCTGCTGCCGCGTACCTTCAATCTCGGTCATGGGCTGGTTTGAGCCCCGTACCTGAGGGTACAGCTCCAAGTAAGCTTCATGAAGGGCAGAAAGGAATTGCGAAAGGATATGTTGGTGAAGGTAATAAAGGAGAAAAGAATGATGAAGAACCCTATGTTTAAAGATTTTTTTTTTTATTTTTCGTTTTAGGATTCAATCTGTCATATGTATTTTGGAAAAACGTAGCGAAAAGCTACTACATTTTTTGGATAGAAGATGATAACCAAGAGAATGGTTAAAAGTGAGAAAATAGAGGGTTTTGTTTTGGGTTTACATAATAAATTAATGTTACAAAATTTCATTTACTTGAAACTGTCAAAATTAAATAGAAACCTTCACTAAACAACCGGATCAAAAATATACAGCTAGGCATTAAACGTTTTTAGTTAAGCAGACAACTTAAGAGTCCATTAAAATCTACTTTATGTGTTTACGAGCAAATTCTACGCATTCCTTTAACTTATCGACTTGAATAAAAGAACCGCCCAACTTCGTAATTTTTGAAATGTTTTTAGAAGTGTCCATCATTATGGTAAGGAATTCGTTTGACAAAGATTCCTCTTCATCGATTGGATCCGCCAACATTATATTGTTGAAAACAGACCAAGAAAATGAAAATACCCTTGTGCTGAGTTGGACCGGTCGAGTGAGATTGGATGCACAGACTACCTTTTCCAAGTCTTCATCCCAAACAGCCGTAGGAAGTTTGGTTGTTTCTAATGCTGACATTAAAGAAGTCCAGGCATGATCAAGAGCATTTCCATCATAATTCAAGCATACTATATCGGCATAGAGGACCCAAACTGCTTTCTTTTCGTGAATGCAAAGTGAATGAAGATGAATTAGTTTCGTTCTAAAGTAGTACATGTTAGCAAATGTCTAAAAGGCTGAAAGAATTCTTGTGACAATTACTTACTGAATCAAAATTTGGTACAATTGCTGGGATACAACCTGGGCCAAATCAGATGGCGGGCCCGGTTTAAACTTGGAATTACAGAGGGGACCTAATTCCACATTAGGGACAATCCAACCGCGATCAGGTGCATCGGCTGTGGGTTCAGCAATTTCTGCTTTGATGCCACAAACGAAAACGTTTTCACCGGCTCGAACAATAGCACTTCCGTTAGCTGTAGAAATGCAGTCAGTATGAATTTGCGGTTCACGAAATTCAGTAACCGTTCTTCCGTCGGAACGTATATTTTGATCTAGCAAGTGAGACAAGTATTGATCAGGAGCAATTTTCTTGAAAATCCTAAACATCAGTTCGTTAGTCTTCAAAGAGGATAAACCTGCTAAATAGACACAAGATCCACGTGAATTACATACGAAGGTGTAAAAGAAAGCTGTTTGACATCACTCATAATGTCTAATGTCAAAAAAAAAGTATATGGCTGAATCCTTTTATAACTGAGAGCGAATCCCCAAAAAAATAAATAAAACCTCCAGTACTTCTAATTTAAAAATAAAAAATTTGAAAACCTGTTTTGTATCTACAAATACAGGGCAATGTAAACTGCGTCTATGAATTGCAGTTGTTTGCAATTGGAGAGAGTGTACCTAAACATGTGGATTTTTGCTCTGAAGACAAATTGAACTGAAAAGGAGCAAAAAGAAACTGATATAAAGGAAAAGAAATATTAAAAGAAAATATTAATGCTCCTTTCGTGATGGTATTTGAAATACTACTTTTCACTTTCCTTCGTTCAGCCGGTAAAAAGTATGTGAAATCAAAGAATGCAGATGCGCCAAAGTACATTTGGATGCATGGAATTAATCAATTTTCCATTTGACAACTGCTCCATTGACATTGTTTCTATTTTCGTCCATTTCAGCCAAAGTTCTGAGAGAGAATTGTAGACGGAAATAGCATCAAAAAGGCAGTTGTAAAGGATACAAAAACAAAATAATTGTAATTGACTCAATGGATCAACAAATTGCCCAGTATCCAAGGTGCACAGTTCCATTGGAAAATTTCGATTTTTGAGGTTGCAAATGGCGAGTGTTCATATTTTTAAACGTCTATTATACTGCATGAAAAAGAAAAGCTTATTTCCTTGAAGGTACTAGGTTGGTGGACATGGTCTCTTGTGTTTCACTTTTCTAACCAAGTACGTTCACCAAAAGAAACTGTCGAAGGCGACAACCTGACAGAAACAGTTGCTTTCTTAGAATTTAGGCTCATAAACAGTATGCTATGCGTGATTCTGAGACGCCGTATTTAGAAGAAAGAGAGGAATATGAGGAATCTCCTACTGAGCGTGAAGCAGAGGTCCCAGAGAAGCGAACTCTCTTGACTAGTGAAATAGGAGCGTACAAAGAGATAATTTCGAACTTGAAGCAAGAAACAAGAAATGATTTAGCAACTCAGCTATTTTTCGTGCACGAGACGCTAAAAAATCGAGGACATTCGCGAAATGGAAATGATGGTCATGAGGAGGAAAAAGATACCAAAACACCAAGCAGATACTGGACGGCCTGGCCTACGAAGGAGTCGACTTTTTTGGAATCAGAGTTTCTGACAACAGGAGCTAGTCGTTTTCGCCAAGAGACGGCAGCTTTAGCTGTTCGCATTGCCTCGCATAAACTGCAACAGATGAATAAGAATCCTTCTTCAGAAGAGTATCCAAATGCGATGACACTTCGAAGACTTACTACAGTGCTTCAACGCAAATTGGAGTGTTTATTAGACGCCATTGACTCGTTTCGCCAACAACAGAGAAGCCGTTTAATGCAAGAACGTTTATCTTATATGGATTGGCAGGTTGTTTATGGTCTTGCCAAACTCACACGAGGTGCATTTTCATCGACGGAACAGGATGCAAGTGCTCTGGAAAAGGCAACAGAGCAATGCCGGCGTCTTTTTGGTGCCGATCTGTCACAACTAAGATATGCAACAGAAATGAAATCTGATCCTTCAATGCAAAGTGAGTTTCTTCAATCGGAGGATGAGACTTTGGTCCATCGAATGCTTGACACAATTGATGAACAAATTCGTCCGCAGGAAGGGCATCAGCAGCAGGATTCGCTGAATGAGTTTTGAACATCTAAATTTAAATACGCAATACAGCATTTGTATATATGTTTTTTTGCTATAATTGCTTGAATGAATGAAATAGCATACTGAAGTTGATGCAAACGTATGGCTCAATAGGGATGGACTTCATAGGGTCAAATTTTTTTGTAAACATTAATAACAACATCTTTACTTTTATTCTTACGGAACTAGCCTTTTTTCCTTTCCTATTTCACCTTGCTACCACTCACTCTATCCATTCAAAACAAATATTATCTTATGATCCTGCTTTGTATGATATCACCGTAGGATCGAAATAATACTCTCATTGAATCATGGGGAAGTGGGGGTATCCCTAAGAAATCCGAGCGGGCGATTCTTACTCAGAGCAAACCACAAACAGCCTGAACTTCTTTTTAAAAAAATATATTGAAGGTTTGATCTTGGAATAGTGGCCAATTTCTAGAAACCATAAGTTGTCTTTATGTCGTTTGTAGATGGAGTCAACAGTTGGTTCTCGGCCGGTTCTTATTGGGATGGTCTAGGTCCAACAAACGTTTTTCAACCAGATGACAGTGCTGCATTTGTGAGTCAGTACGAGGAAATCGAATTGGCATCCGACAATTTGATGAAGAATGGCATGTTGGCCTCACGAGCTCGGAAAGGCAGCTTTGCAGGGACGAATGACCCTTTCTCCACCGCATCACTTAATGAGGCTTTAAGTAGCAGTATACCAATGAATCACGGAGTAGGTGGTAGTTTATTACGCAATGCGCTTTCCAGCACCCCTAATGGAGCCTCGAATATGCTTGGGACTTCGCCTGCTGAGCCTAGCACGATTGTTGGTTCCGCCAATCATTCCTCCGGCTTTGGTACCTCGTTTCCAGGTAGCACTTCTTTGGGAGGAACTACGGCATCGTCGCTTCTACACCCTCGTCGATCGGTTACGTCGCTGCTGTCAAGTAGTGCCCATCATAACCCATTTTCGTCGTTTACAGATTTGGCCGCTCCTGGAAGATCTTCGTTTTCTTCGTCGACGGTAGGTGGAAATAGTCTTCCTAACTTTGGTCTTTCTAGTATGCCTCCTCCTTCGGCGTTACGGACGGCGAAGCAGCCTCCGGCATTTTCATTGTTAGAAACCACTTCGAATAGCTATAACCCGTCTTCCTCTTTTATGGATTCGGTGAATGTGGATTCGTTACCCGTTCCAACGGCACGCCGTCGTCCATCTTCCATAGCGCCCATTGGAACGCGTCCTGCGAAGAGGGACCTTAATATTCCATCCAGCAACGGCTCTGCTTCGACGGATAGCACGCTTCGTCCACCGAATCCCCCTCTTACCAACGGGAATGCTCCTCCTATTGCCGCTGTGAACAAGGTCTCTGCTGTCGCAGCCTCTCCTCAAACGACTGGTTCGTCTGTTTCTTCCTCTCTTCCTACACTAAGTTTGGACTTCAAGCAAGAGTACAGCGGAAATAATCAAGACATGTCTGGCTTGTCTTCCTCGTTGTCGAAGTCACATCATCCCTCCATTGCATTGGGCTCTCAAATTTGGTCCTCTCCTCCTGCTAGCTCTGTTGGTGGCGTTAATGTTTGGTAAACAAGCAGTTGCAATGAACGTAGCGGTTATTTTCTTAAAAATTTTTGGGGAACTAAATTTTTATTGACTATAACGAACTCTGGAAAGGGCAGTAGTATTCATGCTGGCTTTCGAAAGAATGCAAACACTTCTTTGTTTCCTTTTTCTAATAACGTGAAAGAATCGTTTTTGAATCTTTGTTACTACTGTGATAGTGAATCTTTCTTTCCGCTTTGCATAAACTGGTTTTTTCGCATAGGATAAAATTTTTTGAATCCTTAATATCTGATTATCTCAATTGATATAAAAATAGGCTGTGGGTGATTGAGAATGGTTCTATAGGTTCTTGGATCAGTTAAAATGTTGTGGGAATTTTTTTTTCTGCTCTTATTATAACATACATATATATTGAAAAGAGAGAAAGAGAAAGAAAAATAATAAAAAAAAAAACAGACATGGAAATAGATTATGGTGTTTTAATAGGACTTTAGTCGTTTTTTATCTTTCTTTCATGGCAGGTCTTGACAGGAAAGGAAGAAATGGGACAAAAAGAAAAAGAGTTAGATTGCTGTTTGCTTTGGAAAAAAAACGCTAGGACATGGTTTTCTTCGAAATTGTTTTTACTTTTCAGGAGCGTCCGAGTTGCACATAGGAAAATACGATTGTTTATTAATATGCACTTAATAATATAGAAATAGTAATCTGAAATTTTTTTTGCTTTTATTTTCTTTTTCAGAGTAATTATGGAAAATAAATTGACTTTACTACCCTTGTTTATGAGGGTGAAAAGTCTCAAACAAAGCTGAACGAAGTATTGCTGTTAGTAATGGAATGAACTTGCTTTCAATTGTTTATTTCGTTTGTCTTTTCTTGTTTTTATTTTCCATTTATCAAATCATAAATTTTCGACTTAGCATGCCATAGTCCAACTGCGGTATATGAATCGGGGACTGAAGAGAACTTTACAACTCCCTCCCTCTTTACTCTAAAGAAAAATTTTGAAAATGGGAAAACGCTCAATTAAGGAGGTTAAGGATGCTGGTTTAGAAAAAAATGTTGAAGGAGAGGCCATAAAACGTAAAGAAAAAAAAGCCAAGCATGAACACAAAAAGGAAAAGAAGGAAAAGAAATCCAAGGACAAATCCGACACGAAAAAGAAAGACAAGAAGGAAAAGAAAAGAAAGGAGAAGTCCGATTCAGAGTCTGCATCTCAAGAGGGAGGTAGCAATGATGAAGAAGAGAAGAATACTTTAACAGAGGGTCCCTCTCAATCCGTGGCAAACGAAGCTGCTTGCAAAGAATATGCAAAGAAGCATGAAATTAATTATGTGGATCCTATCAGTCAAACTCCTCTTTTACCTGTATTGAATTTTTCAGAGCTTCCAATCGCAGACAATTTAAGATTGGGTTTGAAGAACTTCAAGGAACCTACTCCAATCCAGTCAGCTTCATGGCCTTATTTGTTTGCCGGAAGAGACGTTGTCGGTATTGCCGAAACCGGATCCGGTAAAACAGTCGCATTCGGCATTCCAGCTCTTCAATATCTTCAAAATCTGCCTGATGAAAAGCCAACAACGCGTATTTTGGTTGTTAGTCCTACTAGAGAGTTGGCTATCCAAACATATGAAAATATCAAAGGCTTAACTTCCGATGTCTCTTTTAAGGTTGCCGTCGTTTACGGTGGTGCCCCTAAAAGTGAACAAGCTCGTGCTGCTCGTAATGCTAGTGTAGTCATCGGTACCCCCGGTCGCTTACTTGATCTAATTAACGACGGTGCTGTCGATTGCTCAAACGTGGGATATTTGGTGTTGGATGAGGCCGATCGTATGTTGGATACAGGTTTCGAGCAAGACATTCGTAACATTATAAGTCAAACGCCCAATCCATTAAAAGGAGAAGCCCGCCAGACAGTATTTTATAGTGCTACTTGGCCAGAATCTGTTCGTGCACTTGCGGCTACCTTTTTGAAGGATCCTGTTAAGATCACTATTGGAAGCGACGAGTTGTCTGCTTCTCAAAATATTACTCAAATAATAGAACTGTTGGATGATTCCAGATCCAAGGAAAGGTCCCTAATTAACTGCATCTCCAAGAATCTTGCTTCTGCTGGTGAAGGAGAGAAGATTTTGGTGTTTGTATTGTACAAAAAGGAAGCTGCCCGTGTTGAAAATACCTTGGCTAGGAGGTTTAATGCTGTGGGTATTCATGGTGATATGTCTCAGGCCGCTCGCCTTCAAGCCCTCGAAAGTTTCAAGTCAGGTAAATCCCCTGTTCTGGTTGCTACCGATGTTGCCGCTCGTGGTCTTGATATCCCCAAAGTGCAACTTGTAATCAATGTTACTTTCCCTTTGACAATTGAGGATTATATCCACCGTATTGGCCGTACAGGTAGAGCAAATACCAAGGGTGTTGCTCATACATTTTTTACGCCTGAAGACAAGTCCCATGCAGGTGAGCTTATTAATGTTTTGCGTCAAGCTAAACAAGATATTCCTGAGGGATTATATAAATATGGTACAGCTGTTAAGCCCAAGTTGAATGCTTATGGTAATCGTGTGACAAATGACGCTCCTATGAAAGCTGCTACTAAAATTACCTTCGATTGAGCTTAATTTTCGTTAACATTCTTCCTTCGAATAGTAAAAGCAACCAGGATTATGTTTGTGGATCTATTGTTATTGTTCAGTGTGTTAAGTGAAAAAAAAAACCTATATGCCGATCTTTTTGGGATTCCTTAATATTTTTGGTTTAAACAGAAAAATATATCTTTTACGTTAACAAGGACAAGGTTTATATATTTTACTAAAAATTTTGAACAGGTTAATTCTCCTTTCTGCCTTTGTAATAAAGTTATTTCACCTAAAGTTGAGTTAAATTTGAATCAATATTTATTTTAAGGGAAAGACAATGCTCATTTTGCAAGTTTATGTTTCTTTGCATGTTCAAACCCAGTGACCTTCTTTCTTTTCTGTTTTTTCATTTCAGCATAGTTTTCTTCACTATGATACGAGGAAACCGGAGTTAACCAAACCTGCAATTGTTTAGTATGGAAGGGGAGATTAAGTACATCAATGAAGTAGATTCCTATGTTCCTAAGTTCAATATTAGTAAAAACCAGTTTTCCAAATAATAACATACGCAGCTTGTATCAAATCATTTACCAAAATCACGGACTCATCGATCAGATTCTTCTTATTTAAAAGGAAAAAATGAAGTGCAGTTCGGTTTTTGTTAACGAAGATTTTCAAAGTGTGATTCACAAGCTCTGATGGGCAACTGTAAACGATCTCCATCTGTAGCAATTCACCCATGGATTTGTCAAGCAATGGATGCTTATAATTGAAGTCCTTCGACTTTTTAGAGCCATGTCCTATGTTTGAAAGAAAATTTAAAAATTCATTGTTTTCAATTCCAGTTTGCTTTAAAGTTTTAGCTAAGGGGGCCACTTTTCTGTAAGCTTCTTTAATGTCCTTTACACAAGCTTGGTCCGTGCATCCATGTCGTATAAGAAATTGAATACTTTCCAAATCATCATCAATCTTGGTTAAGTTTTTCAACAACTTTCTAAGCCGTGATTGCCATTGTTGTATAGGTTGTGAAGAGTTAGAAAAGGATTCAGTGATACCTGTCAAAGAAGAAGGATGAAGGTCCCTAATCCTCTGATCAAGATGTAAAAGTCCTTTGAACTTTTGGTTTTCTGATGAGGTGGGTGATCCCCATAATGTTTCTTTTAAAGAACAGCGCAAATGACCTTCTACTAAAGGTAAACATAAACTAAGTGACAGTTGATATTTGGCTGCCTGCGAGCAAGGTATGCTAGAATGCATATACTCCCGTCTTGTGTCTAGAAACAGGACTTGACCTTCATATTTTCTGCATAACTTCGGAGAACCAAGTTTGGTGATAAGGCGCTTAAACGAAGGGTAATCATCAAAATCACCATTGTCATTACAGACTTTCAATACCGAGTGAAGACTAAATATATCTTTGTGTGTGCAGCTCAAAGATCTTCCCGCAAGCTCGATGTCTGGGCGCTTGATTGGAGCATGTATTACTGTTCTGTTAATAAATCAATAAGTTACAGGTGTACGTACATTTTCTTATTAACGCTTCAACAATTCGATAACTTCGCGTGTGCCATTGGATTTCACTAGTTGCTAAATTAGAAACTCCTTCAAAAAGCGATCGTAAATAATGTTTCATGAACGAAAACTTTTCTGAATGCTTTTTATAGTATTTTCGAGAATGATGCCGGTGGACACAGCTTATAACTTGATCAATAAAAAACCATAACATAGAGCTTTTTAAGGAACGAGGATTTTTTTGACCCTATTAATCAGTAAAATGAACGGTTGAAAATCGATTAAATAACTTACCGCTTCGGAATAATATAGTGAATTGAAAAAATAAAAGAATTCTTTTGGCAGTTCTTTGTTATGCAAATAAAAGCTGTAAATAACTTCACTAACAGTATGCATTGCAGTAATTTCAAGTGATCCAACACTGCTTTGTGATTCATAAAAGCTATCCAGTACAAAAGAAGCTCGCTTATCAAAGAAAGAATCCAAATCCAAGCTAATACGTTAGTAAAATAGAGTGATGCTTCATAGTACTCACAACAAACTGCTTGAAAATATTTTGGAAATCCATAAAAATATAGGAGATATCCCGTAATTGCGATCATTGTTTTCTGATGATTTTATATTGCTTAAGGATGTTATGAGACCTTTAAGCATAAATTCATTTAAAAGTTTTCGGTCTCGATTGGTAACAGAAAACCCGAAAAACTTCAACACAAGTAATCCATAATTGGATATGTCCACCCTGTCAACACCTAAAGCTAAGAGTCTTTTCAACACTGATAGCCACAAGGAAGGATTTTCTTGAAGATAAAAAACTACGTTGTTCAGAATTGGCGGAATAAGCTGATAATAAGTTTCAACGGAAGAGCCCAGAAGAGCGAGTCCACTCAAATCTAGAGAAAGCTCTGGGGAAGGAAGGTGAAACATTTGCGAATGTAAGCAAACCATAATTCGGTACAGCTGCTGGCTTTCTTTAACCATTGTCAATCTCTCATCTGCGTTCGGTGATATCAGTAACTTTTCCAGTAACGGAAGCTTAACAATATTCTGTTGGGACTTTTCTCTCATAATATCACGCGTGTTTATAGTATTTCTCAACAGATATCCTCTGCAAATGGCTTGCAAAGGGTTGATCCAAGAAGGTAACTTTTTCGAAGCCAGAATGCGCTCGTTGAATTGACTAGTGCTTTGCTTGTTCCGATGGAGCCGACCATAAAAATGTTTTTTCAGTTTGGTAAAATTAGGAAACTTTTTGGAATTCCTCAAGGGTAAGATTTGGTGATTCGTTAGTTCTACCTCACTACGTTTTAGGTGTATTTTACCAAATAAATGAGGAACATGCTCAGTCACTTGCAGAAAGCTCAAGAGATAAGAAAGCGCATGTAAGGAATAAATAACGCGCGGTATATTAGAATATTCAATTAGATGCTTTAATTCAAAGCGAAAAGCCTATATAATTAGTTGTTGAATTCAACATACGTGAAAACTCTTACACTAAACATTCCAACAAAGTCCAAGAACTCAAAGAAAACACCCATGTACATTACTTTTCGATTAGCAGAGCGGCATCGAGGTTTCCAGTTGTTTGCCAGCTTAGGATAGAACTTCATCGATAAATCGTAAAGCACCTTTCCATCTGCAAGAGAAGTAATAAAGTCATCTATACAGGGATAAACCACTTCCATTTCTTTTTCAATCCATCTTCTTTGTTAATGTTATATTCCATTTTTAAAGACTTACGCTTTAGCTTCATAGACGTTACAAAGATAGTTATATGCTACCCAGATATCAAGATCCAAAGGATTCCTCCGTTCATGAGGCTCAATGTCACGGCCGCATCTCGCATCGGATTCATTTCTCAGCTTTTTTGATAAATTGATGGCATCATCTTTCCAGGGATCGCTAAAGGGTATTGCATTCACTTGAAGTTCCCGTAATGCTCTTGGGTCTTGTAAGTCAACCATTCTAATTCCTTCTTCGACTCTCAGGTTCGTTTTTTCTCAACTGTATATTTTAAATAATAAGTCTTGGAATTTCTTTTATATGTATATTTGGAAAGATGGCAATAAACAAACATTGGAGAACTCAAATCCAATGTTTGTAAACAAACAGAAATCGAGATAAAACCAAAGTTTTTGTTTAAGCTTTTTTGATTTTGAATAGGTGTAAAGCAAACACAGCCATCCCCTTAGTCAGAGAATCCATAAAAAAAGCTGATTTTCTCAACGTAAGGTATTGAACGTAGACGTATCTGAAAGGCATTGAGATTATAACGTTGGATAGTGTTTTTTTCCATTTTAAACCAGCTTGCTAGCTTGCTAGCTTTTTAGGAGATGTCAGTTGTTCCTACGAACTAACTACTTTCATCATGAAGTGCAAGATTGTATTAATCATTTTGTTATATGATTAGTAAAAATTTTACAAATAAAAGCTCTAACATTTATGAGACTGTAGCAGTTAGACTCTCAGAGCATCATATATTAAGCAGGTTGTGTAGGACGCGTAAATGGTAATTGAAGATCAGTACTCTACTGATGACTCCAAATGCGAACTAATCAAGAAAAGTGGGCAGAGAAAGATGATTTTAGAATGGATCACGATCATCAGTTTCCATTACAAACTTTAGAAACAAGTTCGTTTGGGAGCTTTGAAGAAGAGTTTGCTGACGAAATTTATCAACAGAAAGAAGGCCAATTATCGGAGCACGGCGGCATTTTGCTGCGAAGGAAGATATAAGTTCAGAAGTATGCATGAAATTGGAATAAAAAGGAAGGGAAAGCTAAGACAATAGTCGGATGAAGATGAAGATACGTTTCTAGCTGGAGAACGGCAAAAAGTCAGTATTTCAGAGAAAAAGCAACAGCAACCGTTTCCGTATGTATTATAATTGTGTCATGGAAGCTAATTTGAATTGGTAGACAGACGAATAAGTCTGGACTAGAGGCTGAAATTGAACGACGCGAAAATTATGCATTGGAATCGGTGGACCAAGCTACAAGTTGTATGTCTTTTAGGAAAAAAACAATTACAAGTATTTTTTTGCTAATACGAAGAAGTATCTGAAAAGCCCTGTGTTGTACATCTGGATGGCATTGCTAAACAGACAACCGCAGCAACGTTGAAAGAAGCTCTAGGTGGACGTGACTCTGTGATTGCAATCAATGTGTTCTCTTCCGAAGAAAATATTTCCAAAGGAATTTCCGTATTTCGAAACGAAAAGCTCGCACAGGATGCCGTACGGCGCCTGTCTACTGAGCCAGTGGATGGAAATTACATATCAGCTACTGTTGGAAAAGGAGAAGCAAACAAGGATTCAATATTTTCTGGACAACAGAAAGAGCTACGAAAAAAGAAAGAGGAAGAAGAGAAAAATGCGTCAGCAGATCGTCTGTCAACCCTAGATAGGGCAAAGTTGGAATGGCTATTGACGCGAATGAGCTGTGAAAAGGGGTCTATAGCAAGTGTTTTATGTTTTTCTATTAATCACATTGATAAATATAAAGAGGTGTGTGAATATCGAGGAAAGAAGAATATAATTAACCATATATCAATATAGGTTTCTAAAGCGATTGTACAAGAGTTACTGAAGAATGAGGAGGTTAATGACGGAAGGATGAATGATAAATCTATATTGGAAAAGGGGGACAAAAAATTGGGACTATTGTACGTGATTAATGACCTGCTGTTTAATGGAATATCTGGAGTGTCGCTAGTTTGGCGGTATCGAGTTGGGTAAGAAACGAGAGATAGTTCAGCATTAAGCATGCTAATTCAAGTGTAGTTTGGAGCCATATGTACCATCTATCTTTGATAATCTATATGCCTTTAGTCGACGATTAGGTGGTCGCCTAAAAATGGATATTTTTTGTAAAAAGGTTGCACAAGTCATTGAGATTTGGCGAGTTTGGGTAGCTTTTCCGGAAGAAGTTCTAGATTCAGCATGGCAAATGTTTAAGAGCAAGGAGATTACAGCGTCCGTTCGGTCTTCCGCCCGGCCGTTATACGCTTCTAAAAACAATAGATGGGCAACAGCTGCAGCTGAAATGGAAGAAGAGCAAGATGATCAAGAATACAATGGGAGTCCTGTGAATGTTTTGGAGCTTTTACTTGAAAGAGAGGAGCATCAGCATCGGGATAGTCAACCGTCAAATACATCTACTCCTGCTGCTCCCTCCACACCAGAGGATGCTGGCGACGTAAAATCCAAATTCAAACCCAGTTTTACTAAAGGAACATTCGTGTCCCGAAAGATGCGAATGCATGCTGAGGATTTGTTTTAATACTTAATGGTTACAACACTACGCGTGAAACTAGACTTACGAAATATCTAATGTTAAAATATAGTGTATTCATAGTTATTGTTGAAAAGAAAGTTAGGATTTTCCAGTCAACAGATTCTACACAAACATAAGGTTATAATATCATAAAACACAAAACAAAAAACATGAAAACAACATAATAAGAGTTGTAAGAAAACCTGCTGAACGCCAAGGTACAATTTTTTTTTTTTTTTTTTTATAAAGGATTTATAAAATCATTAAAGTTTTCCAGCACTTTCGGTGCGTTCAGCTTCACTGCTCATCTTGGTAGTACCGGTGTTGCTTTCTTTCTTGACGGCATTGCCAATATCATTGAAAAAGTTATTTATACCGTGGCGAACCCGTTCAACGTTGTAAACGATCTTATGGTCTGTATCCTTGACGGCGTGCTTAACATTGCGTTCTTCTGACATATTGTTTCAAGTTAGTTGTAACGTTGCAAATAGAGTGATGCGTTCAAAAATTCAACGACACGAAAACGAAGTTTCTCAATGGAAATCTGAATTGTTTTGAATTTGTCCTATTAGTTAATGTCAAACACAGCGGCGGACCCTTCTCTATATATAGTAATTGCCTCTTAGGCTCACGCGCCTCATATCGTGTTCAATTACGTCATCATGATTTAAGTCCTTGTTCCATAGGTAAATAAACAATTCGACGGAAAAGAATGTTTCTGTTGAAAGAACATGGATGGATACAGTCATGGAATGAATTCACAATTCAAAACTTTCGTTGATGAGTTCTTTCGTTGAAGCTTGTTTCGTGTTAGTCTGCTTGTGACATTTTGCATACAGAACGGTAGGAAAAGAGGAAGGTTGAATAACAAAGGCAGAAAAAGAACACAATATTCTACTCTAACCTTTAGGATACATTGAGGAAAGAAGCCTGGAATGGATTAATTTCCTAACACAGCAAAGCAGTTGTCTACTGTCTGTTGACATGGTCGATTGGTAAAACATTCGTTACTATCCATACAAGGTCGCATCTGAGCAAAACACAATTGATGACTTTTTCATTTTACTACAAATCATATTGTTGTATTTAAGAATCCAATTGCATACTTCTGGTACAAGTCAAGAAAAGTATACATGGCTGACTACGAAGCCACCAAACCAGGCATGTCAGAAAACCCCAGGCAAATTTTATACAAATTACTTTTTAGAACCATTTTATGAATCAGTCATTCATTTTGTTCTACTTATGATTGTACAATTTCTTCTGCTGTATTTTATTAATTTAATTTAATTTTACTCTTTTTTTATTTATTTTCTCGGACTTGTTTACATTCAGGTTTTACCTAGCAACGGCTGCCATTTATTTACCTTGCCTACTCTGTTCGTTTACACCGAGGCGTCTACTACCAAATTTGAGTAAACACAGAAAAGACTGCGAGAGAGGAATTCGACCTTCTCGCATTGCCTTGTTATTTATAGAATGGCTACAACATTAAACTTCAATGCTCAGTCATCCAATCCTTCGAAGAGCTTTTCAAACTACTTTTGGGTAGGACAATTTCCTGGCATCCCACTGCTGTTTCTGCTTAAATTTACTTTTCTAACCTCGTTTTCATCTTTAGGGAGTGAATGATGAAGGATACCATGCATTACTTTCTAGATTCAGTGAAATCAAACACATCAATGAAGACCTACGATCTTTTTTTCACGAAAGGTATTTCTATTCTCAGCATGAAAGCATTTCCATAGTTTCTATTTCTTTTTTCAGGAAAAAAAGGGGAGCAGAAAGCCTAATATGGGAGTGCCACGTCAAGTTTGCTTTTACTTTTCCCATTCTAACAAGTTATCTATAGAGCAAGCATTGAAGAGGATTATGCTAAACGGATGGCCAAATTGGCTCGCTCGAATGTGGGTGCCAATGAAACCGGAACTTTAAAACAATCCATTCAGAGTATGAAGACCGAGGTGGATACAATGGGCAAAAACCATCTCGCAATCGCTCAGCTTTTACAAGATGATGTTTCCAGCGCTTTTAGTCGCTATGCGATATCTTTGAAAGATAAAAAGAAAACTGTAGGAATTTTTTTTTTCTCTCAAAATGTCTCTTATTAACGCAGCTTTAGTTTATAGCGAACATTGAAAAATGCCATAAGGATAAAGATTCAAAGAAACAAAGTTTCGAAAAGGTATGAGAAAATTTGTTCCTTAAAATAGACTTGTTTTGCTAATGTATCCTCATCAGGCACAAGACAAATACCATTACCTATGCAAAAAGGTTAACTATTACGTTTCCCAGCAGAATATGCTAGTTGGAAAGGAACTAGAAAGGAATAATTATAAACTGAACAAGACTCAAAATTCAATTGCATCAAGCGCTTCCGAATACAAAGCTAGCGTCCAAACCGTCTCAGATACCTACAACCGTTGGATAAAGGAGTGGAAGATTGCTTGCGATAAGCTACAAGACATCGAAGAAGAACGTCGTCACTTTTTAAGAAGCGTCCTTTGGACGTTTACTCTTCTCGTTTCTCGAAGCGCTTTTAATGATGATGAAGCTTGCGAGCGAATTCGAAAATCTTTAGAGACGTGCAACGTCAAGAACGACGTTTTGGGCTTTATCGATTCTCGAGCTACGGGAACTGGTATTCCCCAGCCTCCTAAATTTTATGACTTTTACAAAGGTGAATCTCCTGAAGACGTTGTGGAGCTAGTCCAAGCAAATTTCGAACGCGCTCCGTCCAACGTCGAAAACGATAACATGACCCTAAATCGACCTTACACTCTTTCCGCAGCTGCTCGAACAGGGAATGCTACTTTGGAAGGATCCTCTGGTTCACAAAACGTCTCTGCCGCAGTCAATCAGACAGCTGCGTCATTGTCTTCCAACTCGTCGCAATCAGGGCGAATGTCTCCACGTAAAAAATTTTTTAGTAAATTTAAGAAGTCGAGTCGTCCTGTTACCCCTAATGTTTTGAATCCTTCTTCGGATATGACTCCTATGGATGAAAATTTTCAGAAATTATCCATGCAAAGCAATAAGCCTGATACTGAATCAGGAACAGCTAACCCCCCACCTTATCAAAGCGTTTCTCCAATTTCCAGACGACAACAGATTCAGGATGAATTTAGTAGTGTTATGAAAATGGAAAATAGAGCCGTATCACCCATTTCTGATAACCGTAAAAACAATACTTCTCTCAGTTTGCGAAAAACCCAGTCTTCAAGGCCTTCGTCTTCTACATCGCGTCGTGCGTCTAGGTTACCACGATCTCTGACACCTGGTGCTATCGAACCGGATTATGAATATGGAGTCAAAGCAGATCCTGTTGGAAGCCTGGGAGGATCCTTGAATGATGACGATTATCAATCAGAACTCGAATCCTCTATTACGGATGACTTTCTTGCTTCAAATGGATACGGCGTCGCAAACTTGTCACAGCCTATGCCTGGTGAATACGATACTGAAGAACATCCTTCTTTAGATCTAGAAACCCCAACAAGTTCTGACGGACAAAAAATCCTTGGATACGTTCATGCTCTGTACGACTACAATGCTGCTATTCCTGAAGAGATTTCTTTCCAGAAAGGCGATACCATTGCTGTAATCAGACTTTATGAAGATGGCTGGTGGGAAGGCTTCGTCGTTGGTGACGATGATCATAATAGAGGCCAATTCCCTTCTAATTTTGTCCGTCAAATTGATGTTTAATCCTCAGTAAATGTTTTTCAGACCTTGTGCGTTCTTTTTTTCTTGCATGCTTTCCATCTTTTTGTTTATTTTGTGATATTTAGTTTATTTATCGTTTTGAAATCTAGTTGGTTGACAACTCTAATAACTTCAAAGTGCTGACATTCACAGAAATAATAGAGACATTAACTACCATAATAAATTGTATTTTACTTCTAATCCTTTATTCGAAACCTGTAAATAACCATTATTGTTTTACCAGCATTTACAGAACTCTTGTGTACGACCTAGAGACTCAGTATATGCTTATCTAGGAAACAGAAGAACAACAATTAACTTTTGTTTGTTTACAAATGCAGGATTCTTCGTCTTACGTGAGAAGTAAGTAAAACTAAACGAATTTTATGACTAATAAATTAAATTCAGGATATTCTCAAGTTCCTTCATCTTCAGGTATTCGAAATTCAACATTCGCCGATAATGGATTAGTGAGCGGGCGAACAAGTCTAGCACCTCAGCGTACACTTGTTCCAATCCGTCCTTCTATGGACGTGGATGGCATGACAATGTCTTCTTCGCGGCTTGCAACACCTTCTATGAGACCCAGCTTGGCACCGGGGTAAGGAAATTGGGCTTGTAGCAGAGACAGCGATGAAACATACTAACTGTACTAGGGTACGCAGGTCCAGTATAATGAATCGAAGGATGTCTAGTGCATCTTTTATGGGCCAAGCTGCATCTACTTCAAGCATGAAGGACCCTCGTCCGTTGACAGATAAACGCTATCAACAAGAGTGTGCAGCTTATGTAGTCAATTTTTTATTAGAATGTGGGTATCCACAGCCATTGACCCCGAATAATAGATTTCTACCCACTACAAAGGAATTTGCTTCCATATTCAAGTTTTTGTATAATAAGCTGGACCCAAAATTTCGGTTCGGAGCTCGCTATGAAGAAGATGTTATAAATTGTTTAAAGTCCTTGAGGTATCCTTTTACAGATTCGATATCTCGATCCAGGTTAGTGGCTATAGGAACTCCTCATAGCTGGCCTGCCATTTTAGGAATGTTGCACTGGCTTGTATGTTTAATCCAGTGTACGGAGCAGGCTGTCGATATGGCTTATTCCGTAGAAAACGATACGTTAAATGATCACTTTGTCAACAAGGTACTATTTGATTACCTCGTTCGAAAATATCATCTATTTTTACAGGCTTCTATGGAAGAAGAACCAGAACAGGAGTTAAAGGCGTCATTTGAGGAGCAAAATAAAGAAATTAATACGAAAATTCAGCTGCTACAACAAGAAAATGATGAGCTTTTAAAGCAAAAGCAAGCAGCAGGTGATCTAGACTCTACAATCGAACTACTAGAAGAAAGATTTAAAACAATGCAAAGGGATGAGGTAAAACTTCAATCATTTATGTCCTCAATTCAATCAAGAATGGAGTCGAAGACTGCTTTAAAGAAGCAAATTCAGCTGAGTCTTACTGAAAAAGAAGCCCAGTTGCAAGAGCTTAATGAGAAAAAGAAATCCCTAAAATCAAGAGTGGATATGCAGTCGATTTCTACAGCCGAATTTCAAAAAATGATGTCTGAACAAGAACAGTTAGATCGAAACATCAATTTCATTGGCAATAAGATAACCGAGCTAAGAAAAGAGGTTTTCGACAAAGATCTCTTAGTACAATCGAAAATTGATACCCTTGAAAAGGAATCTCAAAAATATAGCAACCTAGCTTACCGGATTGGGATAATTCCTCCAACTGCTCCGCGTGCTGGAAATGGCAATTTTGAAGTAATCTTAGATCCAGAAACAGGATCCATAAACCTTGATTTAAAGAACTATTTACGACCTTTTTTGAATCAAGTACGTCACTCAATAACTTTAGAATTTCATGAAGAACAAAATAAGTCTCTAAAAATCCAAGAAGTACTTGATGCCTTAAATGACACGGTTGCGGAATTACAAGATGAATTGAATACCATTGAGTCCCGTTTGAATTCCGTGGTAAAGGAGTGTACTATGTTGCGCGAGTCAGCAAACCAAGAAAAGGCTTCTCTGAATACAGAATCTCAGAAATTAGAGCATGATTTACAACAGCTTAAACTTTCATCGCATAACAGCATGCTACAATTGGATCAGCGGATACAGACTATTACTATAGAGGCAGATCAACTGGCTCATTCATGCATGGAGTACAAAAATAATGTTTACAGAGAAGTTGCTTATATGCTCAGTGAAATTATACAGTTTAAGCTGTACATCCAAGATAGCCTAGAGGGTCTTGAAATGGACTATATGAAAGAATTTGAGGAACTTCGGGCAAAACTTGAGTAGTCCTTGTCTTTCATTATTAACGATTTTGGTTACGGTCCTGATATTTAATAATTTGTTCATTCGGCTAAAGTGTAATGGGTTTTTTTGTTTAATTTTCTTTTCTTCTAATATTTTTAATTGTGCATAACATGCCACCATTTTGGTGTTAAACAGAAGCTAGATTTGTGCTTCCTCAGCTTAGCTTCATTTAGCTACGTGTATACTACTATAATGCCGGGATTTAGTGATGCTTAATAATTGAATAAATAAGGTGTTCCATTAAATTAAGTTATTAAACTATTGAATAGAGACATTTATGCTTTTTAATGATTGTTCATGCTGCTCTATTTTCGATTGAATGAGCTGTCTAAAATTCTTAACAAATTTAATGTTTGCATATGAAGGTGCAAACCAATCCACAGTAAGAAATTCCTCTATTATATGTTCGGGAATAAAAGTAGTAATCTTAGCTTGAATAGCAAAGAAAAGGATATCTGCAGCCTGTAGTCTTATGTTCTCTCGAGAATGTGCAAGTAAATTGGATACATACTTTAAAGAGTATAAAGCTAAAACATCATACTTAGATACCAGAAAAGTCCTTAACAAATTAAGAATAATTATAATTCCCGTTGTGGAAGTACATTTTAAAGCCCGTTTTTGAGCCAGGAAAGCTACACGGACAACACTAGAAATCTGTTAATAGATGATGTGAGATAAGTACATACGATTTTGAGGAAATAAACTTTTCAAATACACCACACAATGACAAGGACGTAAAAGACGAAGCGATTTGGTAATAAAGACGGCTATCCTCTGTTTTGGAAGAGAAGAATTTGATATATAGTTCAAAAATATCTTGCTTGGATAATCCACAGTCTGAACAACTTTCATTTTTGAAATCCTTCAATTGATACACATAACGCTGGTAATTTTTATAATAAGAAGTAATCTAAAATATTAGCATAATGACCAAAATTTACTCTGTTACTATACCTTTCCACCTCCAAAGCCGTTTCCTGTGAAAGTCACTATACCTTTGAAAGCATCTTCACGAAAAGCTGTATAGTTGAGAAACCGGATAGCTGGACTTTCTATTTTGTCTTCTTCGACTAATTTAGTCTCGTATTTGAGAGAGGAGTCAATAATGTTTCTTAAGCCTTCGTCATGTTTTAAAATTGGATGTTCCTTTGAATCTTCTAAGCAATGTAAGGCCAATAAGCGAAGATTATCAATTTTTTCGAATGCTTGACGAACCATAAAGGAAAGAACTGAGATAACGCAAACTTTCTGAAGTTTCTGAGCTCTTGAGTCCAAAGTTACCATCTTTCTGAAAACCTGTAATGATTGCTTTCGGACCCATGAGCCAACATCTCCTCTGGTATCAATTCTATAATTATAAGAAATAGACACAAGGAATTCTACAAGCTCATTCAGTTTGACGCTGGTTGACTTTTCATATACGCTTGGACATAAGCCTTGAAAAGCTGAAATAATCGAAGACTGGAGCTCTATAGATATGTTCTATCGATTAGTATGTTTTAAAGATTGCATGTTTACTTACCTTAGAGCAGTAAGCTGTTTTCAAGTACAGGATAATATCTTCTTGGTGAGATAAATCAACGTCAGGTAGTTTTCCAATTATAGAAACGCTTGTTGAAAACTCTTCAGGTGAGGAATAAAAATTATACAAAGACATAACCTCAATTAAGTAGCTACCGGATGGGTCGTGCCGCACCAAAGAGTTGAATGCATTTGATATATCCTCAGTAATTGACTCTTCACGAAGGGAAATTGCGTTTTTAAGGCATACAAAAGCAGAATCAGAAAGATTTTTATCAAAGTCATATCGAGAAGAGAAAATTGAGTCTATCATTCTACAGATTCCAGAAAATGCTTTGGTTTTTTGTGAACGAGAAAATTTAGTAATCGGAATATAAGTGCCAAAATTCAATAAAGAACTGACTTCAGTAATGATGATGGAAGAATCATAATCTAATAGGCATCTCACAATGCTTCCAATGGCGAGAAAATTTCCATATGCATGATCAGCATTGCCGGTTGACAGTCGGTCTTTCAGAAAAGGTAAATATACGGTAGCTTCCTCATGGTATATTGAAAACAACTTATATAAGGATGCATTTGCTAAATTCTGAATCTTGTAGTCGAAGTGATGCAGATTTAGCAACAATTTTTGGTAGATGCAAGTACGAAAATGTGGGTTTTTAGCTACCTTTAAGGCATAGTCGCCATAACAATTAGAAAGATCGGAAACAGATGAATAATTTAGGAATGAAATAAGGTTCAAGCCATCAGGTACTGAACCATGCCTTCCGACCATTTCGAATAAAGCCGCTGTCGCTGCCCTGCGGATATTTACTTCTCTGTCAAATAATAGAGTTTGGAGTAAACTGAGTATAAGATTTAGTTGGACAGGTTCAATATCTTTACGAGAATAAGATCTGTATAATGACCATATGAAATAGCATGAAGCGTCACGAATGCTTTGACCAGAAACTCTTGTTCCAACGCGTATTTCATAAGATAATCCCTGTAGAATGAGTGTTAGTATTTTTAAGGAGAGTACTGCTTTGGGTACAACTTACCAATTCAACGAGTGGTAGGATATGCAGAATTGTTTTATATTTTAAAAGTCTCATGTTTGCCAATCTAGCAAAGAATAACATAGAACCATGCCAAAGGTCGGGGCAAGTAATAGAAATGTTAACAGTATTATAAATTGGATTTAAAAAAGTGTTGTCAAGAGTTAAAAGGACAGCAGCATCAATTATTTGTTCAGCCAAGTACCAGGGGAGGCGTTCAACAATTCTGGCTAGCCCTTTTGCAGCAGACCATCGTACAAAAGTATCGTTATATTCAATTGATAAAAGTAGAAAATCGATTATCTCCTCCAAATAGCTATGAACATGCATTTCGGTATCTTGGGGTAAAGAGTGAAAAGAGTCAGAAATCAAGGGATTGTATTTCCAATTAGAGGATGCGCTCATTGGAATCAAAAGCAATCCAAACCTTGCATAGCATTTTGAGAGCAGTTTGTGTAGCGCAGTACTTTTATATGAGGAGTTCGACGCCCGTACAAATCTTAGAAAAGATATAACGTAACTGCTATAATTCAAAAAGTCTTCTCTTTGACATACTTTAAGAATTACTGCCAAAGATGAAAGAAATCCAAGTCTATAAAAGATATTTTTTGAGTCCCATGAATCAATTGAGGATTGCAGAATATTTGGTAATACATGCATGCAATCTTGTCTAGAGAGTAATCGTGCTAAGACTAAAGAAGCAGCTTCTCTTTCCAGTCCACTCTTGTCTAAACAAGAGAGTGCAAGCTCCAGAATACGAAGTTGAAGATTCTTGCTTTGCTCAACGGAAGAAAGGGGAAACGGGATATTAAGCAATTGAGAAAGCCACAAGAGATTCACATATGTCGTTTGCCATGACAAATCCTGTGCATTGTGTAGAAACGTATAAAGTGTTTCTAAATGCTGTACTTCTGTGGGAAACAAGACACGAATAATTTTGTGGCCTCGAATTCGGCAAAAATTGTATAGAACCAAGGAACTGAGAAGACTGTTCAGAACGTCCTTACAATGCAGAAACCTGCTTAATATGGGGACATACTGAGCAAGGATCTTATCCAACAAGGTAGGCTGAAATTGACAGCTCTGTATCTGTAAAAAAAAAAAAATAGTCAGAAGAGAATCAAAAAATGAGTTGGAGATTCATACATAATTTAGCACATCATCACATAGATATTGTTTTCGAGAGGGATCGTCGACGGTGTCAAGGCTTTCACGAAAAGATTCGATGCTACTAACAAATCCTGTTAAGAATTCTTTTTCGTTGGGTATAAGGAACCCAGTTGTTTCTTCCTCCAATTCCATCTGTCAGGAAAATAATGAAGGATTTAATAAAAACAAGCAAAGAGAGTAATGTATAGAGCGGTACGGACTTTTCAAATGATGAAGAAAAGGTAGACTTTTCGACATACAGTGTATTGCGGTTTCCAAGACAATTCTTTTTTCTATTTACAGCGATAGAAATCCAAATGTTCAATGATTTTTATTAGGAAGACATAATTCTATGAACCGTATGTGTTGGAAAGTGAGTGATACAAGACTCCACAAGGGTGCTATAAAAAAAGAAAAAGGTGAGCGGGAAAGGAAGAGAGAGAAGGATGCAATTTCGTAGTAAGCGTTTATCGAAAGTTTCCGGCATCGCTTTTGAAAATATATCCAAATAAAAGTTCTCTCTCACTTTATTAAAACACAGGCATCGGTTTGTTTACTAAACAAAAACAGACCAAGAATCCATAGCAATTCGTTGCAATAGTTTACAAGGAAAGTTTCAGCTATTCATTGTGTTTCTCTATATGATAGAAAGTCTGTGTTTTAGTTTTCCAGTTTTATGCAGCTGTGAAAAACAACTACAAACTACAACCCAATTTCTCGCAAATATTTAACCTTTTTCAAAAAAAACATTGTTGCTATTCCTTTCTATTCCAAATCTGTTTTCATTTTCCCTCATTCATCCATTCTTGTTTTTTATTCGCATTATTTATTTACTAACGTAGCTCATTTTTGGACGCTAACTATTTGTCGTCATGGTAACCGAATGGTTCCTCTTCTATTCATTCCCAATTGTTTTCCTTTTACCAAGCCTACCCGAAGGAAGGAAATCAAAGTGAAAGATGTGGTGGGTTCATAATCTGCTCATTTGGTGTTCAATCGTTCAATGCGCTTTGGCGCAAATTAAAATTACTCAGCCATTGACTTCAGATATTTTTTCATACGATGCCATCACAATCAAATGGGAAGAGTCGAACTCTGGAGTTTCTTTAGATGATATTCAACAGACAGTTTTCCAGATCTGTACGAATACTGGCTCAGATCCTAAGTATTGCTACGAAATTCCAGATACTGTTAAGCCTTCTTCAACTAGTTCCTATGGTCCATTTTCTATGCCAGTGAGTTGGGGCCGCGCGGGTAGAGTATGGTTTGTTTGGGCAAAGTCTACTACTACTAATGGAAAGACTGTCAATGACTATTCCGATTTCTTTACTGTCACTGGACTCACCGGTACCTTTGACGGTAACGTTTTTAACAGCCTCGCGGCTTTGGGTGTTTGGTCCAATCCCCCGGCTCCTACAAGTTTTGTTTTATTGTGGCCAACAGGAACTATGAGAAATTGGTATCTGCAACAATCAGGTCCCCTTCGCACATGTCCTATGCAGCCGAGACCGGGTTCTACCTTAACCGCTAAGGACATGAGTCCTGAACCTCTTTGGCCATCCTCTTCCTACAGTGTCTTTACGACATATGGTGGTAACCCTTACCCCACGTCTACCGTCAAACCTGGTGCTTCTTATACTTACACCCTTTATGCTAACTGGGCTTCTACGGCTTCTTCTCCGGTGGTCACTGCCACTCCTACATATGGCCTAAGGAGAAGAGATCTCTGGTCGCATGAAGAAATTATGAACTTAGAGAACCGTCGTATGCGTTTCGATGAACCTCGCCGTGGTTTGCTCCATCCTTAAATGTGTGAATGAACTTTTTGCTGCTGTATACAGTAAAGAAATTTCTTTTTTTTGCTTCCCCTCTTGTATATATCTAGGTATAGGAATTGAACAGCCCTTCTTAGCTGCCCTATATTGAATCTGTCTATTGATCTTCTCTTTCTACTGAAAAAAAATTTTCTGAGGGAGAATGTTGTAGCCTTGCAACTCATTTGCTATGATTTGTTGCAACAATTGTCTTCTCTAGTACTCATGTTGGTTTCGCTTCATTCGCCCACACTTATATGGTTATTCATGAGCATCTTCGATCTATTCGAAAATATTATTTTTCTTTCTTTTATTTCTGCATTCGTTTAATTGAATTATACACTCTCTTTATAGTTGCACGTCGATCTTTTTCGATCAAGTGTTTTATAGAAATTTTTCTTTCTACACATGCGCACCGTGTTAAGCGCGATTGTGGTTTTGTTTAATTTACGTTTTATTTAGTTTCAATGTCAATTTTTTTTAAAGGTTATACAAGTCATCTATTGTTCTGGAGTAAAGAGAATATTGATATACGCAAGTATCAGTCATATAGTGCACATTAGGTAGATTCCAACCCAAACAAAATTAAGGAGATAGGGTAGGGATTGTGCACTTTGTTCCCATTATGCTTTTTTAAGGCCAAGGGGTACAAAGTTTTTCAACATTAACTTACGCAATACAAGATTCTATAATTACGAAAAAGCAAAGGTACAAACCTCATATATATTACCAACTAATTATTGGATAAATCACTGGAAAATGAAATGACAGCAACAAGTTCATAAGCTAAAAATAACATATAGGAACGGAGTAGAAACTAGGAATCATTGGCATTCGTAAATAACACAGTATTCATTATGAGACGAATTGATTGTAGAGGGATGGATCCACGATGAAATTCTTCTACAGCGAATTTTATCATCGCGTTCAAGTGGTTTTTCTTTTGAAAATCTTTGGCTTTTTATACACAATGGCAGTGCCAGCCAATAAAATTCCAGCTAAAGCGGTGCAAGTACACAAGGAACGATTGGTTAACGTTTCTGTTTGACGGCGGTTGAGCAAGTAGGCAGAAAGAGCACCGATACCGGCAAGGTCGAGGGAAATAGCCGCGAAAGCAGAAACCTTACTGCTGTTACGGAAAACTTCGGACATTTTATCGCATATACCTTTCGCTTCCTTCTCTATATCTTTCTTTTGTTTTCCTGTTTCCTTCTTATCAGCAGCTTCGTCTTCCTTTCCTAAACTTTCACCAGACACACCGGGATGCAAATAAGAATCTGCCTCATTCTCGTCCAAGACAACCACTTTTTCTTCTGTTTGACGTGGCTCTTCGCTCAAAACAGGCTCAACCTGAGGAGGAAGAGGAGCGGCCTTTTCTTCCTCGGTCTGAGGAAGTGCATTGTCCTTTACAATATCCGCATAAGAAGGGTGACTAGGGGCATTTGTAGAGTCCGCCATGATACAATAACAGTTCAAATAGGTAAATAGTAATGAAAAATATTAACAAAGGTATTCAGTAAAGTAGTCAAATCAGTCTAAATAGAATCCACAGAAGCGTTCACGAATAATAAAATAGCAACCTAAAAAGTTAAGTCGGTGATAGTTCCAACACTCACTGAATTCTTGAAACTTGTTGTATTCCAAAGAATATGTTCTTGATAGGATTGAATCCTGCCAATTGACCAATTTCATCATGGATAAAAACTAATGATGTCACGATCCTGTTCCGCCTACATCATTTTCTGGAAATGATTAAACGACGAAAAAAGTGACTTCAATGAGTTTCAATGAAAGATAGGCGATATCTGTATGCTTTCATTGGCATAGGTAGCCAACATTGGTTTCAAGACTTCGTACGGTCAGCACACTTTAGAATAAAAAGTTGCTGCCCAAAAAAAGTGGGCTTCGAGGGGGCTCGAACCCCTGACCACTTCGACCCAAACGAAGTATGCTACCACTACACCACGAAGCCAGCTGTTAATATTGTTTGAAATCATAACTTAATATTATATCATGTTCTAGGACTTATTTATCGTTAGGTATGGTATATACGTTCCTGTGGAAGAAATAAGAACATGAATCGTTCTTGCCTTTTATAATAATGTTTATAATTTTTTTGAAAATAAATTTCAATGAATTACCCTAAAACCAATTTTTTGCTTTTCATTTTCTGCCCACTATCATTTTGTTGCATAGTCCTTAGAATAATACAAAAAGTGCTCTTCTGAATATGTTTATTAACGAATTCGAACGTGGGACATATGAAACAATTCGTTTTGTTTTGTTTTGTTTGCAGAAAAGGAATCAGAGAAACAGCTAAAAAAATTAACTAGGAAAATTGGAATAACGAATCCGTGTCTCTTCGCTTGTCTCTTCTATAATCACCTTCAAAGTCAGACATACCGAAAGCGGGTGATAAAAGAACCCTACCCTAAAAAGAGAGACAAGCAGTCACGGAAAAACTACCAAATTTGTTTGGCAAACCTTGAAACAAACCAGCAGCGTTTCTGTCACAATGGTATGTAAAAGAGAAAATCGTAGCCGGAATGTGATTTTTAACATAATTTAGGGTATTGACATTGAGAGACACCACGTCAGAAAGTCTCAACGCAGCAAGCCTGCCTCTGAGAACGTCTACTTGAAGCTTTTGGTCAAGTTGTACCGCTTCTTGGCCCGTCGTACTGACTCTCGCTTCAACAAGACTATCTTAAAGCGTCTTTTCCAATCCAAGACTAACCGTCCTCCTATCTCTATCTCCAAGATTGCTGCTTTGACCAGTCGCAAGGCTTCCAACCTTGAGGGTAAGACCGTCGTAACTGTTGGTACCGTTACAGATGACGAGCGTTTGTTGACTGTCCCCAAGCTCTCTGTTGCTGCTCTTCGCTTCACCAAGTCTGCCCGTGCTCGTATCTTGAAGGCTGGCGGTGAAGTCATGACTCTTGACCAACTCGCCCTCCGTGCCCCTACTGGCAGTAACACCGTCCTTCTCCGTGGTAGAAAGCACGCTCGTGAGGCCTTCCGTCACTTTGGTTTCGGTCCCCACAAGCACAAAGCTCCCCATGTCCGTTCTGAGGGACGCAAGTTCGAAAGAGCTCGTGGTCGCAGAAAGTCTCGTGCCTTCAAGGTATAAAATGCTTTCTTCGACTTTTTATCCTTTTCCCTTTGTGTACTTTCCTACTTGTTTCTTCTTTGGGTTGCTTGCCTGGTTTTTACATCATCTTGTGTGTCTAATTCCACTCGACATTCGTAGATAAAATTCCTGCTGCTGTGTCTACGCTGATATATATCACTACTTTCTCTCAAGCATGTAGATAGATAGTTGTAGGAGTTTCAGTATGAATGCAATTTTTGAGTTTGATGCATCGTCGGCGAGGTCGCACACCTTCTGTATTTTGCTATTCTTGCGTTTTCTGCCACCCTGTACACGACAAAGGAGAATACCTACAACATCATAGCATACAGTTCAAATTTATCTCTTATAATCCCCAAGTCAATTGATTTCTATAGAACATTTTCGTTTATTTACCATCCAATAGCGCTAGAAAAATTTACCGATATTCACAAGCCTCGGTAAATGAGTTAGTAGCGGCTTGCTGTTCACTATTACTTGGGTGTCTTTCTTCTTTTTTCAACCACCATCTTGGGTACCATACTGAAGATTCAATAAAAATGAGTCGTAGAAGCCCTCGTACGCTTTATGTTACCGGTTTTCGAGATGGACTCCGTGCACGTGAACTTGCTTTTGAGTTTGAGCCGTATGTCTTGCGTGAAATCTAAAAAAATTACATACTAACCTTACAGATTTGGCCCCCTAGTTCGTTGCGATATTCCTATTCCTCGAACTCGCTCTTCTAGACCGTACGTAAGATTGGAACGTAGTAATCGGAACCGCTTCATCACTTCATTGATTGTTCCTACGCTACTTCCTCATACTGAGGCTCAACTAACCTATGAACGATAGTTTTGCATTCGTGGAATATGAAGACTCCCGGGATGCTGAAGATGCTTACTATGAAGTCCATGGCCGTCGCCTTGAGCGCGGTGGTGGTACTTTGCGCGTCGAATGGGCTAAGCAACCTCCTCCACCAGCAGGCCCTCTCCGTCGTACCCCTGGCCGGAGAGAACGTGGCGGCCGTGTGCGTGGTCCTGAGCGTGGTGAGCGTGGCCGTCTCCGTACTCGTTCTCCTTCCCCCGGTGGTGACCGCTCTCTTTCTCCTAGCAGACGTTCTATGAGTCCCCGTTACCCTTCTCGTAGTAGAAGCCCTGGTCGCCGCGATCGCTCTCCTAGTTATGAACGTGGCCGAGAGTCTCCTTACTATCGTTCACCCTCTCCTCGCCGTAGCCCCCGCCCTGATGAAGTTGAGTATCGTCGTAGTGCTGCGTCTCCAGAAGCTAGTGCCCCTAGTGACTACCCTCAACCTCAACCCTCCAATGAAGCTTCTATCCCTGCCCAAGATGTTCCTTCCGAGGAGCCCAAGGGCTACGCTGCTCCTTCCACCGACCAGCAGCCCGTTGAGCAGAAATCCTCTGATCAGCATCCTGAACAGCAACAACAACAACCACCTCAACAATCAGAAAAGTCAGCTGACGCAGAAGTTTCTCCTGCTGAGCCTGTTCAAACCACTGCTGAGCCTGTTCAAACCAATGCTGAACCTGCTCAAAACAATGCTGAACCTGCTCAAAACAATGCTGAATCTACTGAAGCTGTCGAACCTGCTCAACCCGCGGAACCTGCAGCCGATAGCGAACGCCAAGAGTAAATTTTAAAAAGGAGGTAAAAAAATTTGTCGCTTAATTCCTATTCCTTTTAAATTAGTCGTTTTGTCCGTTTTTCCTTTATCGTAAGCGCTTTAGTTGAAAATCGACATTTTCAAAGTACCATCACATGTAGATAAAACGATAACGCCTGCCGTGAAATATTCTTAAATCTATTTTGCTTGATCGACTTGCAATTCGTGATATTCACGCGGTACGATGAACTCTTTAGAGCCACTTTTAATGATGAAGTGTCGTACGTCTCCACTGTCCTTATTTTAACTTTTTGTATATTTTGAAGGAATCGTATGTAAGGATTGGTAGTGTCTTGGATCTGCTCCTCGAGACTTCATTTAGGCATTTTAGCTTATTTTGTTCTACTATACCAGCGGAAAGCATTTTGACCCTTCAATGTTTTCCTTATTCTTAATATTTTGCTACTAACAAGTTTCCTTATTCATTCATTGCAAACGAGTTCTGGGTTTGGTTTCTCTATCTTTAAAAATTTTCAATAGAAGAAATAATCTTCATAAAATAAGATTTTTCTATACTTCGGTATCATAAACCCCTATTACATGTTCAGTAAATTCGTTTCCTATATAGGGCTTGATAAATTGTCATTTCTACATCTACAACATTCATGATAGCACAGAACGAGAAATTTATTTTTATTAGTAGCAATGCATTTAAACACGACCAGCAGCAGCAACCTTGGCATTGAAACGCTCCTTGCGCTCGGCACCAGAAAGCTTTCTTTGCTTGTACTTGAGAGATTCGGCCTTCATAGCAGAAACGTCCTTGCTGCTCTTTTGGGCAGAGGGATCCTCACGGATCTTGGCGAAAGCCTCAGCATAGATGTCCTCAAGTTGGTCGCTCTCAATACCGTCAGCAATCAAGCCAGAGAATTGCTTTTGGAAACGCTCTTCATCATCATCAATAAGCATTTCCATGTATTCAGCAACGTGACCACCGTAGATATACTTGCGGACAGTCTCGTCATCCAATTCCTTAGTCTCAACGTCGAAACCGGGGAAACGGTTAGGAGAGTGAGGAACGTATAAACCGCCATCGGAAGCACCCTTCATAGCACCGAAGACACGGGAACCGGTAGAGGTACGCTTCAAACCGACATCCAAGAAAACCTTGAAGGGACGGGGGCCGTCTTCCATAGCTTCGGTGAGCTCAAATTGACCTTCGGGCTCAGTGATACCCTCATACTTGTCAGCAAGACCAATCTTGATGAGAGCACGACGAGCGACCAAAAGACCGGTAGCATAAGCAGCAGACCAGTTAGCCAAACCCCACTTGATGCCGTAGCGAGGAAGCTCAGAAGAGTGAGCAGCAGCAAGAACATAGTCACCGTTGACTCTAGAAGAGATAACTTGGCAGGTCACGAAACGGTTGGAGAAACGGACCACCAAACGGTACTTGGGAGCATTGTACTTGTTCTTGGCTTGAGAGATCATACGCTTACGAGCATAATAATCAGTCTTACCTTCACGACGACGGCGGTACTTCGTTTGGAAGCGTGAAAAGTAAGGGCTGCTCTTCACTTGTTTAACGAAAGCCATTTTGGCGGTGTGTCAGTTTCATTTCGCATCTCATTTGCAAAGTTTCGACTCTGTGACTGTCTATACCATTACCGAGGCGTAGTCACATTCGCTAATCAAATTACCGATACGGTGGGATTCGCCATATATTTAAGACATCCTAAAGTATCGCTATCCTGTAAACAAAAGGAAAACTAGAATATGCAGCATAAGTAGAAATTGAAGCAAACGACGTGAGTGGAAAACTTCGATATTCATACTACCTATATGAGTATCCATGATGGTTTACTGAGAGACTTTATGGCAAGAATACGAGAGCTTTCTAGAATTTAAGAAAGGTGTTGAAACATTAACGAATTTTCAATCAATTCATTATCTTACTTATTACAGTTTATTGAGCAGCTATCTCGATTTTTCTGAAGTGTTTGCTCTGTTCGTTTGTTTATCCTATAGGAAAGCAATGTTTGTTTACAAACGTTCTGCAAAATGCAAAATGTCAGCCAAAAGCTTTTCTTCCGAGAGCAAAACACTAAGCACCTCAGACGAATCTCTTTTTGGGCTTTTTATCCAATTTTTTAGTGCCCTCTCGGGTCAGTAACAGCATCCAATTCCGGGTCAATGAGTTCCTGCAGCGCAGACAGTTACGGCCAACACATCCGAAACCGGTTTGAGTCTGAGCAGCCAAATCCAAGTGTTGGTACAACTTTTGAATATGGTTGGTACCTAATTTCTAGGCGCTGCTCTCAGGACGTCGAAGAAGGCATAGCCATGCTCCGACGTTGTATGGAGTATGACCTTACTTTGTATCGAGAATCCATGTATTCAATAGCCCTTGGATACAGTTTTCTAAAAAGATACGATGATGCTCGATACTGCACCATGGCACTTTTGCGTGAGTACCCCAACGACGCTGAAACAATCAAACTCCATGCCGAGTTAAAGGAAATGAGAGATAGAGAAGTGATTGCTGCAAGCTCTTGTATAGCTGCTTGTACAGCAACGACTTTTGGTCTCCTCCTAGCCTCTTGGATTCACCGGTTAGTTACAAACGACCGTTAAACCACTCATTACACGAGCAACGTCAACGAGAAATCAAAGGCTTAAGGATTCACTTAAGGAACTTTTAACGTCTCCATATGACTTCTTCTATAACTAGTCTGAATGTCTCTAGTTTTCGAAAGATCGGGCATTCAGCTACCTCATCCGAAACTTCCAGCTTTCAGACTGGATTTGGGGTTTTGAACGTCTTTTATCAAAATGAAAACAACCATAAAGGTGGCATTCTTATTTAGTTACCAGATTGTTGATGGATAAAGCACAATACGCCCGCATGTCTGGTTCATTCTTTACCTCTTTTACCTAGTAAAGAATTTTACGATAAAAGACCATATATTACTAATTGTTCGATAAGTAAATCTCCACCCGTAGTTCCAAATTTAACCCATTCAGTAGGTTATCGATGCATACCATCAATCCACATTCAAGTACGAAGAATTAAAAATAAAAATGAAAGTCTTTGTAAGTACAAGAAAAAAGACTCCCCAATTTCCACAGCAATATCTGGAACAACCAAATTGAACCCTTTAAATCATTTGTTCATGAACTTCATCTTTGCTAACTACACTAAAAACACCACACCACCACCATTGAGTGCTGGTTCTATTTTTGAAGAGAAGTGTTTCAGATCGCTTTTGCTTGAGCCACCTCATAGCAAAATGGAGTCGCTACCAGTAGTTTGGTACTGTCATGCTTGCGGAAATGAATTTCAACAACCTGGAAATTGTACCAGATGCAATAGTGACTTTGTCGAAATGGTATGTTCAGGGTTACTTGTTTAAAAGGAAATAAACAGTTATTGAGTGATATTTTTTCCGTTTTGGAAACCTTTTCGTAGCCCCATTTTAAAGAAGCTGAACTTGAAGACTTACGACTCTTATATTTAGATCGAGCCAAGTACAGCTCCACAAGATGATCCTAGAGTCCAAAATATGATTCCTATACCAGAATTGGCTGATCCCGGTGCCATGTTGCAGAACATATTTCGTGCCTTTGGCACCAATGCGCAGGCATCTGAATCCCAACCAAATACAGCTTCCGGAAATGAAGCGGATAATCCGTCCTCTGAGTTTCACTCCGAAGAATTTGCCGATACAGGGTCGACAGCGAATTCATCCTTCCCTCGAAACGCGGCCCCTAATGCTACCGGGACCCCATTTGTTACACCTGGAATTGTAAACGTAGGGCAAGTTCATAACTTATTTCAGACTCTACTAGGCCCCGGTGGTTTGAATCGGCTGTCTAGATCTCCTACCTCCAATCAACCTTCCACCGCTAATACCCATGAGACAGCTCCTCACGGTGCCGAGTCTGCAGAAACCGACCCTGCTGAACATCTTACTGGAGCCTATGTAAATACTCCACTGCAGGAGACGCTTCCCTCTTATGCTTCTTCGATCAACCAACAACCCCGGAATGCAACTTCTGGTTCTGATCAACAACCTTCAATTAACGAACAGTCTCAGTCTACTGATGAAGGTCAACCCAATTTTCTTAGATCTGACTCAGGATTGCCATTTACTGCTCAAAGTTTTGTCTTCTCCATGGGACCTAATGGAACTTTACATCAAGTGAATACTTCTGGTGAAGCTGCTCAAGAGACTCAAGCAGGTGCTATACCTATCGCTGACCTTGGCTCTATTTTGGAAAGAATTTTTGGCTCTTTAAACCAAAATGAAGGTCAACAAGGTGAAGGTGAAACCCCATTCAACCCAGCTAACATTTTTGCAAACGTTTTTAATTTGGCTGGAAATCCAGGAGACTATGCTTGGGGAGCAAGAGGGCTAGATGATATTATATCACAGCTAATGGAGCAAGCCCAAGGTCATAACGCACCCCCTCCTGCTTCAGAAGAAATCATCTCGAAACTCAAAGTACAATCCCCTCCGGTTGATTTACTAGGAGAAGAAAATGAATGTACCATCTGTATGGAGAATTTTAAAGAAACTGATCAGGTTATTCAGCTTCCGTGTAGCCACTTTTTTCATGAAAATTGCGTGAAGCCCTGGTTGCGTGTGAATGGAACCTGTGCTATCTGCCGTGCTCCTATTGATCCTTCCATACAGGTAAATAAAGATAACAGTAACGAAGGCTCAAGTAATGCTCAAGAAGTAGGAGAAGCAGTCAACCATGAAAACGGTTTCCAACGTGGAGCTCATGAAGCTACGGCTACTGAAGGAAACGTGCATAATGAAAGCAGTACTAGACCGAATGCTGGTGCATCTTCATCAACGAGCAATTATGTGGATGAGGAGCCTTTGGAATAAAGTAACCGAAAAGTTGATGAATTGTTTAATTTTTTTGTAAAGTTTTGTTGTCATTACTGTTGGGTGAATGAGTAACAGAAGTCTTGGTGACTGGTGTTTTAAATGTTCGAAAATATGGTTATCTGCGACTTTGCTGATCCTTCTAATGAGATGTGGTTACATATTCCTTAAGAAGTCATTTTAAAGCAAGTCAACCATTTGCTAATGGACAATATAATTATTTTGTCTTTACCAAACCGCTGATACTGAAGAAAAGCGAAAAATGCTGAACCAACTAAGTCATGATATTTTATTTATGGAAAAATATCCGTATATTAGAGAGGTGGAGGGAAAAGAGAAACAAAAAAACGAAGTTTTCTTTGCGACTCGATATACACTATGTATTAATGCAATGAACTACATGTGTTTGAAATTATAATGATTTAGGATAATGAAAGATGATTTGAGTTGAAAGTATAAAATGGAACTAATACTACCTAAAATGTACCCATGAATATATATATGTTCAAATTGAGATCGATCATTTTAAAGTCATTAAATTAAAAAAAAAAAAAAAAATTCATCAGAGCTCCGATGATAGTCAATTATTGGAAGAGTGAAACCGAGATCAAAGGCAGGAAAAAGTCGTTCAATCAAAGAAATTATTCACAAATAGTAGGGTCATAAGAGGAATCTGCGTGCCAATGTTCGTCGAGCGAGGTAATTTTATCTTCTATGTCTTTGGGAATTCTTAAGGAGAAAATGTCCAAATTATCCCTAATTTGATCAGGATTGGTACACTGGACGATAGGAACGTAACCTTTTTGAAGACTCCATCGAAGCAGTAGTCTGGGAACATCAATGCCGATGGAGTTGGCAATCTCCACGAGCTTTGGATCTTGAAGACGAATGCCATGTGTGAGAGGTGAATAGGCTTCCACAACAATATTGTGTTCTTTGCACCAGTTGACGATATCGTCTCTAGCAAGGAAAGGATGTAGTTCAATCTGGTTAATTACAGGAAGATGCTTTGGTTTAGAAGCATATAGTTCTTCTAAATGCTTGATACCATAATTACAAACGCCCAAGCATCGGATATCTCCTCTCTCTATAAATTCTTCCATGACTCCCCAGCTTTCGATTCGAGCCTTACTGCCTGCTGCTGGCGAAAAGATTGAAAAAATATCAATGTAAGTGCCCAAATGGTGGAGACTGCTACGAATTGAAGCGCGCGTCGCCGTGTAATCGGAACAGTTGGCCAATTTTGTACTTAAAATGATATCGGTTCTGGGAACTCGATTTCGGTCACACCAATCAATTACTGCTTTTCCGCATACATCTTCGTTTCCAAAAACCTCAGAAGTATCGATATGTCGAAATCCGGCATCCAGTGCTGCTGTCACAAGATCATAACAATCCGCATACTTTAACTGAAACACACCGAATCCAATTCTTGGTAAAGGCAGCCCATTTGAAAGCTGAATGTACTTTAAATCTTCCTTCGTTTCACTCATATTTGTTCCAACACTCTGCTATTCAAATTTTGGTATTGAGAAGTTGAGTTGCAATTTGTGTACTGTAAGTAGCTACTACAGTAAGGTGACGTAGATTTTATATTACCGTCCAAAAGGCAATTTGGAATACCATAGTAGAAACGTGAAAAAGATCGTCGGAATGAATTGATGAATTTATTAAAAAATAACTCTCACAGTTTTCTTTTTCGGAAACTATTTTATTCGAACATTTTCAATAATCGTACTAAAGAGGTTATACTCAGTACAGTTAATACAGCTAAGATGATGAAGCTTTTTGCTGATGTCCCGAACCAAAAAAAAAAAAAAACATGGTTCAATCTACTTTTATGAAAATGGATTGATATGCATTTCATCTTAAAAAACAGATGATTGCACACCGGTGAAGCGAAACTTCAAAAGTACCTCAATCAACAAACATGCAGAAGAGAAAGTACGGATCCTCTGGTCTTTCCTTAGGCAAGAAGTTTTAAAAATTGTTAAAATTAGAGACAATGTATGTATGAACGACTCGTAAAGGCCCTTACCTTAGAAACATTACATTCAACTGAACAGGAGCATTCGAAGAACGATTTTTACTGATTAAAAGGAATACAATACGTTTCAACGAAGACATCTCAAGTTTTCCTAGCTGAAATGATTTATGCAAGTTCATCAATCAGTCAAGGATTGCTGCATTCCTATATGGACATGAATCTTGAAATTTATGCAAAATCGCGTATCTTCGTATAGTATAAGTTTTTCTCACTCGCTGTATGAATTTTGTTTCTTCCTGACTTGTGCTTCCGTTTACGCAAGACGTTTCCTCTCACTTACCAAAGAGAAGAAAGATAAGTCAAGAAGACAGTCGTTTTCAACGTTGAATATAAAAGAGAACCATTCGAACTTCCAAGAAAGCAAAACCTCACAAGAATCTTCCTAAACAACGAAAACGAAATGGGTTGTCTCACAATGATGATTGCCTTAATCTTTGCAATTCAGAGATGATCAATTCCCTATCTTGTTTTATGACTGAGAATTTTTTTTTTGGATACTATCCAATCCAATTTAGAAACTTGTATTGAAAGCGACGAAAGAAAAGGCTGTTTATGCATGCAATCGGTAACCAAGGGATTTATCAAGCTACTATCGTGGTAATTATCTTAGTGGCTTTCCTATAAATACAAATTCGCCTTGATTGAATTATCTGTGATGGTTAGGTCTAGATTGTCTTCCAAACTATTGATGGGAAGAGCTTTTGTTATGTTTCAGGATTACTTTCGCATAAGCCTACAAGTTTTAATGATGAACAAGCTTGACCATAACTTTTCATGTTTTAACTTGAGAGCTTCTACTACTCCCGAACGCGACTTTATGCCAATAAACCAGTTTTGTGTTTATGTACCTTTTGTTACTTTATTTTTAACTTTCCAACAGCAGTCAGGATGTTCAAATCTAATTTCGGTTTCGCTTATTAAGAAAAAAAAGTTGCTTTTACCAATAAATAACAGACTAAGTCAACGCTAAACCCATTGTTCTTAGTTTACGCCGGATAGTTGTCCAAGCAAATGCATACACTCAAGTTAAAAATCGCAATTTTACTAACTATTAGAAGGATAAATATTAATCAAAATATATTTATTTTTAACAATAAACAAGTTGCTTTTGGTCAAGAAACGCAACGTTAAGAGTTCCTCGAATAAACAAACAGACACAACCAGAAAAGCGGACTAGCGACAAAGAGCTACTCGATTTGTCCTAGGATACTTTTGGAATTATTTGTGACGTCTCCTTATTGAAGAAAACTCAATGCTGGATTGTTGAGAAAAGGATCAACCTGTTTTTATTAAGAAGCGAATTGTCTTTCATACCCAGATGCTGCAGCTCTTAATCCTTTGGTTATTAATCCTACTCAATTCGTTATTGGAACATAAACCCAAAAGCTTGGCTTGGCCAGAGCCAAAGCTTGTTGAGGTTGACAGATTCAACATTACTATTGAGAGAATTGATTGATTAAGGAATGCAAGCATCCTTCGAGTCTGGTCTCAAACCCTTTTATCTCATGCTCATTGCTAAACGGTTTCTATTCAACACGCACGTGGATAACAGAAGTAGATGGAACGCGGTCTCTCGTATGCTGTAAATTGCATCTTGCGATGTAAACTAACGCTTGGCTAGGAAACAATAGGGGATCGATTTCTGCTCTCAAATTCTATTACCTTACGCTCGTTGCTAAACACTGTTTTTCCACACGTACGTAAATAAAAATAGCAGGTGAGATACAATATCTTGCATGTTGCAGTTGAATTTTGGGATACAAACAAATATCAGAAAGCAGCATTGTAGGAGAAGACTTTGAGTTAAAGAGAAATTAAAGCAACGGAGAAAATGAGAAATGGAAACAGGAAATCTCGAAAGGGGAGAACTAAAACAAAATAAAATTAGAAAGGAAGGGAATCAAAGTACCGTACTCAAAAAGATGTCAAAAAACTCAAAACAAACAAAAAATATTTTTCTAGAGATGCAAAAGGAATAGGGATTATTGGGAAATGAAACATGATGCATTAATAGGTAGCCCAAACTTTTGATGGAATTTGAAGAGAGAAAAAGGGTGTCAGAATAACTGGGAGCAGCCTCTATTTAATTATTTTCCAGTGATGTAAAGCAATTGATACAACCGAGGACACTCATTTCTTAAGCTTTTGTTACTATAAACTGAATTGAAATCCTGTTTAGCAATTCCTTCATAAGGAGTGAAGCTCATGAGTTTAGAAAAGACGCTATTTGAAACGCATGTGTTTTCCCTGTCAAAAGGAAAGAAACTATACCTCAATTTATATCTTTTCAGGATGTACGTTTGTTGACATTTGAGAATGTAAACAAACCAACCATAACAAACAGAGGAAATCCCATCATTGGATGATCTTTTCAAAATGGTTAAAAGCTAAAAGGAATGCATGCTGCGCCATTGATTTATCTATTTTTTCGAGCCTTTTCAGGATGTATGTTTGTTTATACGTCAAGTAATAAACTCATAATAAGATTAGGGGACCATCCACAGGCGAAGTGAACTTTATAATGAAAGTCTTGTACAGCATCTGTGTAGTCGCCGACTATTGCTGAAAACTAAGCCTTTGCGATATTAATTTTTGGTTGTTTGAACACCATTAAAAGCGCCTAAAAAGGCATTAAAAAGTTTATAACTTTTATTGATAAGTGTCTTTACATGCCTAAAATAATCGAATCTTCATGGTAATGACACGTTACTTGGGAAGAGCATGCTACCTGAATGTACGAGGTAAAATTTATAACGACGATTAAAAACAAGCGGTAAGTGATATAGCGAAGTTCACCAAAAAAGCCTGAATGGTTGATGACAGTTTCACCTTAGCGAACCAAAAGTCATTACCATTGCGTTTTCAATTCGCGTCTGTTGGAGCTTTTATGGGGTTTCTATTTTTTCGTGGTATGAGTTGAGTTAGTCACTCTCTTTCTTAGAAAGTCCCACGCAGTTCTTGTTCGTTGCTACCAACTTGGAACATTTTCGCGGTTCATTTCAGACTTTTTAGTAATCGTTGGAACATGTTTGTTTTTTTTTCTCTTAAAAATGAACGAAAAAGAGCAAGAAAAACACTTCGAAGCTGTCAAACCAGCCAAGTCTTCTTGCTGGGAGTTTGATTGCAACGACAGTGATTTACCGCAATACAGCGATATCGACTATTCGTCTCATCTGGACTATTTGGAAAAAGGATGTTTATGTTTACGTCCAATTCGTGCTCCATCATATGTTGAAAACAAGGGTCAAGGACAACCCAACTGGATTTCTATTACAGAGGATATGCCTTCCATCCAATATGTCCGTCTAGTATTCTCGTGGGTTGTTCGTCCGTTCAAGTTGGCGAGGATTTCAGAGGCCATTGACAAAAGTGAAAAATGAGAAACTTCGAATTATTTGGTGTTTTAATTTCTCATTTATACTGGACCTAGCTTTTGTTTTTCTTGCTCTTCTATGGTTTAACAATTTAGTGCAAACGGAAAATCTTGCAAAATGGCTTCGATATACTACTCTGATTGTTCTTGGAAAATGTCTTTAATTCCTTCTTTTTTTCGCTATTTATATGCTAGTATTTTTCTCCTAATTTCTTTTTATTTTCTTGCATATTGCGCTGTTCATTTTTCGCTTTCGGCAGTGTATCGCTTTTCTTTTAAATTGCGTTTTGCTACGTCTGCGTGGCATCCTATTCTTCCTTACGTTTGTATTTGAACAACTTGCTTCATCTTTTATCCTTATCTATTTTGTTTTAAATTTCAGGTGTGTTTTTTTCGTGAAGTTTAAAAGTTGGCTTATTTGTTTCCTTTGTGTTTATAAAACTAACGATACAAGCAAGCATCACTTGGATTTTCTTTCTGTCTTTTTATTTAAAGAAACCTTTACCATGCCAGATCAGTTTGTTTACTTACAGGGCCATGTTGGTTTTCGTTAAATTTTTATTACAACTTTGTAAAAAAATTCGTTATCAGTAAAACGAAACTGAAAGAACTACATTAACCGTTATTACAATAAAAAGAAAACAGATATAGATCTGTACGTTAGACTGCATTAGAGTTCTGTATCACCCTTTTCATCATGCCGGTACGAAACCATGGATCAGGGACTTTTCCATTTATTCACAGCATACAAGGATTGCTGCGACGAAATCACGACGAAGGGATACAATGGATTCTTCTTCAGTAGTAGGAATTTTAGGAGGTGGTCAATTAGGCCGAATGATGTTGGAGGCTGCTCATCGTTTGAATATTCGTTGCATCATTGTTGACGCTCCTAATTGCCCAGCGAAGCAAATTGACGGTGGCCGTGATCATATCGATGCTTCTTTTCGTGATGAAAATGCAATTTCAGAACTTGCAAAAAAGTGTACCGTAGTAACGACTGAAATTGAGCATATAAACACCGATGCTCTCGCTTCTGTCTCGTCTACGGTCTCTGTGGAGCCTTCTTACTCTACCTTAAGATGCATTCAAGACAAATACACGCAAAAACAGCATCTTCAATCGTTCCATGTTGCTTTACCCGAGTTTTGCGACGCTCCTAATCAAGCTGCAGTCGAGACTGCTGGACAACAGTTCGGTTATCCCTTTGTCCTTAAAAGCAAGACACTTGCTTACGACGGAAGAGGAAACTATGTTGTTCGTCAACCCCAAGAAATTCCTGACGGCATCAAAGCTTTGGGAGATCGCCCATTATATGTCGAAAAATTTGTTCCTTTCTCAATGGAGATTGCTGTAATGGTGGTTCGAACTTTAGACGGAAATGTTTACGCTTACCCTACTACGGAAACCATACAAAAAGACAACATCTGCCATCTGGTTTACGCTCCCGCCCGTCTCCCTCATTATCTTCAGAAGCGTGCCCAAGCCCTTGCCATGGATGCGGTTCGAACCTTCAAAGGTGCTGGTATCTATGGTGTAGAGATGTTTGTTCTAAAGGATGGAGAAACCGTTTTGCTAAACGAAATTGCCCCTCGTCCTCATAATTCCGGTCACTACACGATCGAAGCCTGTCCTACTTCTCAGTTTGAAGCACACATACGCGCGATTACTGGTCTTCCTTTCACCGATGCCAATACTCGTTTAAGCACTGCCACTACTCATGCTCTTATGGTGAATTTGCTAGGTGGTGATGACCCCAACTACGTCTCTCGGATCGCAAAGCGCTCTCTCTCAGTACCCGGTGCAACTTTGCATTTGTACGGAAAAGGTGAATCTAGAAAAGGAAGAAAGATGGGTCATATAACCATTATTGCTGACTCTTCTCAAGAATGCGAACGCAGGTACAATTTACTGATAGAGGAAGAAGAAAAGGTTCAGGTTCCTTCCGAATCTCCGATGGTAGGAATTATTATGGGCTCTGACTCTGATTTATCAAAAATGAAGGATGCTATAGTCATCTTAGATCAACTCAAAGTCCCTTATGAAGTAACAATCGTGTCTGCTCACCGCACCCCTGAACGAATGGTCTCCTACGCTCGTTCTGCTGCCTCTCGTGGCCTTCGTGCTATCATAGCAGGGGCCGGAGGAGCTGCCCATTTGCCCGGTATGGTTGCTGCCATGACTCCTTTACCTGTTATCGGTGTTCCTGTTAAAGGTAGCTCTTTGGATGGTGTCGATTCTCTTTATTCCATTGTTCAAATGCCACGAGGTGTCCCCGTTGCCACCGTTGCTATCAACAACAGTATGAATGCTGGTCTTTTGGCATGCCGTATTTTGGCATCTTTCCGGCCTGATTTGTTGCACGCTTTGGAAGAATATATGGACAGTATGCGTGATGTAGTACTTGAAAAAGCCGACCGATTAGAGCAAGAAGGATGGAGAAACTATACTGTTTAAATCAAATTTAGTTTGAGGCGATATGGATTTAATCTCGCTGTTCTTCATCATATATACCCATATTATGGCATTCTATCCTTTACCCCTACATATTTTTTGCTTTAATTCTAATCTTAATACTAATTATTAGTTTTTGTCCTGTCTATTGTAAGTCAGAAATATTATGCTCAATTGTCTGTGTAATCTATCTATCTATAAAATTAGTATTTCATTATTGCAAAATTATTAAAGGTCGTCAGATCACATAGTTAGGCTTTTAAATTAAAAACAATGTTGGCAATGATTGTAAAGATAGTTACAGCGCAAACAACGGTGGGACCAAGTCGATCATCGTATCGCACAGCATTGTGCTTGGCAATATTAACAGCTCGCCATAAATACAAAAGGGTGGTATAAATAATAGCAGACAAGGCAGCGAGAGTAAAACAGGATGCTGCTAGTATACCTGCACGAGTGTGAGAGAAGTTAAACAAAGTGATGCCAATAGAACCCATCAAAATTGAGTAGCGCAAATAATCCAAATAGGTACGCTCTAGAGCAAAATAGGTTTTGGGTTCCACACGAACAGGAACATATATCCTTTTACCGGGGGGAGCAGTAAATTTCTGCTCATATAATATTGAAGGTTCATTCGATTCTTCAAACTTTGGAACAGTTTCTAAAAAGAGATTTTCCTTTATATCCCTTAGCTTTGTAGTGAGTGCAGCAGCAAAAGAGTCGCGTCCTTTTCGTTTGCCTGCACCTAGTAGGGTACTGCGTTCATCTAAGTCATCAAAGTGGCGGTCATGAGCACTTTGAAAGTCTTCATTTCTTCTGATACCAGTAGATGGTATGCGCGCTTCTTCATCTAAAACATTACCAGATTGTATATTTTCGCTGTCAGACACATTTTGAGATGCCGATGAACTAGGAACATCGCTCAAGCTCTTGACAGGACGAATGGCATCGGCAGGAGGCTTCCTAATATCTATTGACATTTGTGGGAACCAGAAGGGAAGCATGTCAACGCGATCATAAAAGAGGCTCGAAACACCATGAATAAATTTAGAAAATTTAGGCACGGCTTCAACAAGATGGCTATTTACTAAATTATTAACCCATTCCGGGGGATCTTGACCAAACTGCGTCTGAAGCTTTACTTCTAAAATAGCATAAGGGAAGCGCACTATATCTTCATCAGGAAGTTGATTAAAAGGATAGTCAATTCCAATGTCCATACGACGCCAATTGTTTCCAGCACGGTTTGTGCCATCTTCTCGGACCAAGGCCAAATTTGAGTCCAAGGAAATACGAACGCGGGCATCACCTGGCAATTGAAATGCCGTTCGTTCATAAAAGCTTCGAACGTATGGTTTCATTCCTTTACTCAAAACAGTATACTGGACTTCCCTAGCAAGACGTTCAAGATTTTCAATTTCAGAGATTGGTTTTTTACCTTCTTTTCGCATTTTTAAAAAAGCTTCTTCCACGGTGTAATCACCACGCAAAAAAGCGTTAACGTGTTTTTCCTTTAAAGGAAATCTTGCCTTTACACTTTTTTCTCCGGTCCAATCTTCACGGTGAGTTTTTCGCTCAACGAAAATGTTATTATTTTCCATACTGCCATACCAACGAAGGCGAATAGCTTCGGCGCCTTCGTGCTTTTCAAGACGACCAAGATAAAATTCAAGATCGTCATTATCGAAATAGATACTTGAAATAGCAGAGTCTTCACGAGTAAACTCTTTGTTGGGGTTGAAAACCAAAACAGGCAAATGTTTAAGAATATAAAGCTTTAACTCGGTTACGTTGGACGGATGAACCCAATACTTTGTAGTTTGTCGAACAAAATTCTGTTGTGTGCCTCCGGCAGCATTATCACCCCTAATGGGGCTGCCACGGGTACGAATGAGATCATACAGTCGACTAAGCTTTACGATCAGCAAGTCATATTGTTCTTTGTAAAAAGGACGGGCATTCATTCTAACAGCAAAGACAGGTTTTAAAGACCAAGAGGTATGCTTGTCATGTTTCTTGATGATTTTGTAAAAGGCGGTATAATTTAGTTCGCAGAATTTAGCCAAATCATGCACCGTTTCCATAATATCTGTAAGTTCAGTTTCCAAAGTAACAAAATCAGTGTCGTTTGGAGGAGAATCGCTATTGAGACGACTGATGGCATCGGAAGCTTGTTCCTCACATAATCGGATTCTTTCCAGAGTCTCTGCGGATTTTGCTTTTTGAAACGAATACACTTTGTCCAGTTCTTTTTCCAGTAATTCAACAAAGTCAGATTCATCCTCTTCAGACCAACCCCCATCTTCATTTCTCTTTTTAATTTCTTTTTTTAGTTTGTCATAGTTTACATACGAGTATTGATACTCTCGTACTAGCGTTTCTTTTAACAGTTGACCAAACTTCATTTCTTCGCTCGCTCACAAAGTCAACAACAAAAAATCAAGAATACAAAAAAAAGCAAAAAACAACAGTCGAGTCTTATCGTCAAGCAACTGATGAACTGTAAATAATTCTCGATTCCAGTCCAAAAGCCTTCGAGTTATCAGGTATACGAATCCGTAAGCAATGAATCCGTCACTTTGAGTCTATCAAAACAAACAAAGCATCAACTATTTCCTTCTTGAGATTAATCTTAAAGGGGAGTTGCCGATCCAGGAAACGAATCTCGTACAAAAGATGAAAGATAGCCAAAAAGCAGATCAATCCGTCTTAAAAGATTCCTAAAATCTATGTTTACTTATAAAGCTCTTCTTTTAGGCCCAAAATAGAGTTGTTTCCGGACAACTTCGATTGTAGCGATAGGTAGTTGATGGTAATAGCTAAGCACACACTTGATGCAAGAAGTGAATCACTATTGGGGCCAAATCCTTCGAGAACTCAGAAGCGTCTTTCAGCGTAGAATTCCATTCCTATTTATTTCATTCTTTTATTCTTAAAAAAAAAAAAAAACATAAACAAACAGAGAAATCTTGAATTGGATTTATTTTATATGGGAGAGGACTCGTTTAGCGAAGTGTAAGCCTGTTTGGAATCCCACTTTAGACATCAGTACGAGTCTGGTAAATTTCGACAGAAAACACCAACGAAATCGAATTTGACAGAGTTGAAACAGTCACAACAGAAACTTTGAGGAATGACATACTCAGCGAGAGAGGAAGTTTGTTATTAAGTCTTTTGCCTCAATTCAGAAGGAAAAGACGGATATTTACGACAGAAATTTGTTAAGGAGTGTTCATTTCAAGTTTTCCTGAGTTTTTCTTCTAAGAGATAGTAGAAAAGGGACTGATTGGGGATTTTTGAGATTTATAGGACACCTTTATTGTTGAAAAATTTAAGTGTTTAAACCCATCTTCAATTCAAGTAAATTCTGAATTTAAGTAAATAACAAAACACCTACCAAACAAATTAAATAAGAAAGAGAATATGGCCCAAAGAGTTACTTATCGTCGTCGTTTGGCCTACAACACTCGTAGCAACAAAACCAGAATTATCAAGACTCCTGGAAACAAGGTGCGCTATTTGCATATAAAAAAATTAGGGACCATTCCTCGCTGTGGTGATACTGGTGTTCCTTTGCAAGGTATTCCTGCTTTACGTCCTCGCGAGTTTGCTCGTCTTTCCCACAACAAGAAAACTGTCCAGCGTGCTTATGGTGGCAATTTGAGTGCGAATGCTGTGAAGGACCGCATTGTCCGTGCCTTTTTGATCGAGGAGCAAAAGATCGTTAAGCAAAGATTGAAACAAATGACTGCCAAGAATTAGAAGAAACCACGGTATTTATTCTACGTCATATGGGCTATCCTTTTCAGTGCATAACTTTTGTCTGATCGTCAGTATGGAACGTGAGATTGAATAGAAATAGGAACCGCTAAAACTTTTCTGGCTGATAAACTATAACCTGAGAAAAACAAGGTAAACTCAGCTGATCCTACCACAAAAACTTCTGCTGCTCTTTGATTTGTATTCTACCTATTCTAATTGAACTGATAATATTCAATGAACCTTTTCATAACCTATCCCTTTCATATCGTTCCCTACTGTCTTTTAATGATATTTTTGTTTCCTTTGGCGGTCCCAGAAAAGAACACTGTAGGAAATTGGAGTCTATCATGTAAGAATAATTTTAGTAATAACCTAGAGTAACGAACATATTTTTTCAAAGGGATTGATGAATTTCCATTTTGATTCTCGTAAAAGAACTGTGCTCGTCCAGTCATAAAAACGTTTCGTCTTTTGGTAGCGCAAAGTATCTGAAATTCAAAAGGTCAAGCACAATGGTGACTTTTTGGTAGTGTTTTACAAAAATGGCACCTTTCTTTTCGAGTTTGTAGTGGTAAAATCATGCAGGATCCTCCAGAGAAATCAACCAAGGAAAGCTTCCTAGGAAAGAATCTCTTGATGAGTGTATGTCTACGAATTGGAACTTTCTTTTATCACTTCTGCTGGCCAATTGTACCGAAACCCCCAAAATTCATTTGTTTACAATATAAATTTCGAGCAACACTGCCAAGTAACATCTTTTGTATGATATTATCTTATAAATGTCAGAGAAGAGAATATTTACGTATACATAGCAGGTTACTGTCAGTTGTCACTGGAGAAATCTCACACGTTAAGAGAATGTTTATCGAGTGGAAGTAGTAAGTACAATTACAGGACTGTATGTTAAAATTGGGCGTTTTCGTACTACGTAGAAGAATAGTAATATGTCCAGGGATCTGATTAAATAAATGAAAACGACTAAGAGTCAATTTTCTGTTTACTTATTATAAAACACATTTCTTTAGGCTTATGAATAGCAACTGATATTCGCTAATGTATTCTTATAACAGGTTGTAATATGATGAATGCTAACGAGGTAACCTATTATGACACTGGCACAGATACCTAAAGTGTATCATGCTAAAGAAATTATTAGGTCAACTATAAATAAACAATAAAGGCAGGGGAGACAATAAAGAATAGGGCAAAATCACTGCATGTTTGGAAAGTGAAAGAGAAGTAGAATAGATTCCATTTTTTCTGCAACTCTAGGAGTACATAATCTTATAGTGATCCATTTTATCCTCGTCTATTTATCGTTTCATTCATTTATAAGCTTCCTTGGCTAGATGATCCAACACACTACAGATTAGTAAATTTGCAGAAGAGCTGTTCTTGCAAAGCCAAATTTGATTTGCTATTCAACGACGACTTGACGGTTGTAATGGTCAAATCAAGTTTTTTGTAGAAGAGAACAACGACAGATACACAATTGTAACAATAAGATATAGACTCAGTCGATTGATTTACCAAGATTCGTTTCATCTCTCCCATCCATATCCTGATTCTCATTCATATCTACACCATACCTACTGTCATTTTAACATACAGCTTGGGATGGGATTGGTATTACGTGCTCCTTGCATTATCATAACAAGTGTATAGAGAAATACCAACCACCGTAGCTTCACATAGTGAACTTGTACACAACCGAAGGAGACTGTATAAAGAAAACGTAGCAGCAAGTCCGATGCAACTGCCAAACAGGGAATTTCAGGATGAATCGTCAAAGACCCTTTAAGCAAATGAATGAGATCATAAAGCGTGGAATGCCTAAGGGAAAATACGCTTTTACGGGAACTGGCTTGCTAGTTGCTTTAGGTCTGGCTGGATTTGCCGTTCAAACTTCTTTATTCAACGTGGACGGTGGTCACCGTGCCATTAAGTACAGTCGTGTCGGAGGTGTGAAGAATTTTATTTACCCGGAAGGAACCCATTTCCTCATTCCTTGGATTGAAACTCCTATTGATTATGATGTCCGTGCAAAACCCAGAAATGTCTCTTCTTTGACCGGAACAAAAGGTATGAAGAATCTTGGTTGCTTCTTCTGTTGAAAAGATTTCCCTTATTTTCTTCCTTTATTAGCGAAAACTTTAACCATTCATCATCAATCTCCTTAAATACTCATTACTAACCTTCTCCTTTTAGATCTTCAGATGGTCAATATCAATTGCCGTGTTCTTTCTCGTCCCGACGTTCTTGCTTTACCCAAAATTTATCGGACACTAGGCGGAGATTACGATGAGCGGGTCTTACCATCCATTGTCAATGAAGTCCTGAAAAGTGTTGTTGCTCAATTTAATGCCAGTCAACTGATTACCCAACGTGAACGTGTATCTCGATTGGTTCGTGAAAACTTGATGAAACGTGCTGCTAGATTTAATATTCTGTTGGACGACGTTTCTTTGACACATGGTAAGTTTCCATGTTTTACATCAGCATGATCCCTTTTCTTCATTTATTTTACATTCTAACCGTTCAATTCTAGTTCAATTTTCCCCCGAGTTTACAGCCGCTGTCGAGGCTAAACAAATTGCTCAACAGGATGCTCAAAGAGGTACGTGTGTTAATCCGTTTAGAAATTTTTGAGAAGTACGACGACTAACAACACTCATTTTTAGCTACCTTTTACGTTGACCATGCTCGTATGGAAAAACAAGGATTTATCGTTCGTGCGCAAGGTGAAGGAAGAGCCGCCCAATTGATTGGTGAAGCTATTAAAAATAAGCCAGGCTTTGTTGAGCTTCGTAAACTGGAAACAGCTCGAGAAATCGCAAATATTCTTTCCAAGAGTAATAACAAGGTTATGTTGAGCGCTAGCACACTTTTGCTGGATAACTAGCAATCAGAATGGTTTTAATGACTCTCCACTCTTTTCTATACGTGAGTTTCTACAGTTCTACTTTAATACTTTTATAGTTTTGAATCCATTGTTTATGCTTTACTTTTTTCTGTTCGTATTATAAACCAAAATTTTTACTTTTATTATATCGTCATTATAAAGAAACTAAACTCACTAATTAAGCCGTAACATTTATTTCTTGGATTTTTTTGAATTCAAGCCAGATCCAAAAACCACCCGTAATCTATTAACACTAAATGGTGCAACAATTTCTCCATCTTTCAAATTTTCCAAAATCTTTACTTCATTGGAAGAAGGTTTCCCAAGGGCTTTTGTGAAGTATGCAATCGATTCTCGGGCAGATTTACCAACTTTCGCAGATCCCGGCGTTACTTTGACTTTCAGGTTGAACTTGGCCATCGCACTATAAGGGGCAAATGTTGGTACTGCATTGACAATAGTATCTGTAGCATCTGGGGTTGGTGTTAAAGCATCTCGAGCATATAACATTTCTTCGTACAACTCTTGAGACATATCTTCACGTTCTAATTTTGCTTGCTTATGCTTTTTCTCTGATCTTTGAGGCTTCAATGTCGCTTGATCATCCTTATCATGAGTAGTCTCTTTTACCTCTTTAGACGTATTCTCTGAATTTTTGTCAGCATCCTCAGGGTTTGATTCACTTTCTTCTCTTTGGACTTCTGGCTTCTCAGCTTCAGGTGTTGATGGTGTCTCCGTTGATTTCTTCTTTTTCTTTTGTTTTAGGATAGCCAGAATTGCTTGAGGATCTGACGCATCTTCAATGGAAACTGGTTTCTTAGATGATTCTTCCAATGCAGTTTCTCGTCTTTTCTTACGAGCTTCTCTTCTCTCTTTTGCGGAGGGTTTTTTAGCCGTTATCGGTTTGGAACCTCTTTTACCTCGTTTTTCGCTCACAATGTGAACATCATGGTCAAAAACATTTTGTAATTTGGAGCTTTCAGGTGGTGTTTCATCAAAACTGTCTTTTGATTCAGTTACACTTGGGACAAAAGCTTCTTCCTTTGGTTGAGAAATTTCAGCTTCAAAACCCACATCCACTTTAAGTTCAGAGATTCTTTGTTGCGTATCTTCCAGTTCTAATTCGGCACGTTTCTTGCAGCGACGTTCCGTGCTTTGTTCGTCTAACAACCATAATATACCATAACCCATAGTAAGAACACTTGGGGGTAGATAGTTTTTAGAACCTCGAATAGCAAAACTTCCAGCTGGCAGAACATCACCTGCATATCCTGTTTTTGAGACTTGTTCAATTTGAACCCACCAAGCGCTAATAACCGTCTTTGAGTCCCAAGCCTTTGAAGAAGCTAACGCCAATGAGCCTGCTTGTTGCAAGGTATTCGGAGGTAAAGGGTCATTTGCGTTTCGATTCTTCACAATTACTATGGAAGATTTCGGTAAATCAGCGCATACAAAGACATCACCTTTATTGCAATATCTTGCAAACAGTAATTCATTCTGTTGAGCGTCTCGTCCTCCAATTACCATATACCCTTCAGAAGAGAAAAACCAATGAAACTTTTCAAAGAAAAAGGCTTTTCTGGTTGGAAGGATTCTTTGGTTCTCAGCATTTGTTGAGCGCTTCAAGTCTTGATCAATTCTCCTTTGAGTATTTTTCAAAGCCCTTGAAGAAGCTTCCAAAGTTTTAGTTTCTTTGACGATGGCCTCTCGACGTTTCTCATATTGCCTGCGAGCATTAGCATAAGCACCTAGAGACAAGTCTATTTCGACAACAATCTTTGACGCTTCTTGCTTAGCCTGATTAGAAGATTCAGCTTCTGACTCATCTTCGTCTGAAAGAGCATAATCATCGTCTACAGCGTCCAATGGTGTATTGGGGTTTGGAAGCATTATATTTACCGCGTTATTTTTTAGTTTAAGAGGAAGTACTACGCAAGCAGCAACGGGACTTCTTCTTTTTTGAACCTGTATGAGTTTCTCAATATCTAACCAATCCATTCCTTGGTTTAAGAGATTGCTGATATACGAAGCAATGGCTTCTACCAATTCGGAATTCATTTCGATAGCCTGAGCCTTGGTGGCTGAGACATGTTGAACTTCTTGTAGATTCTTAATTTTCTTTTCTTGTTCATCTTTTGCTGAATGGATTCGACGTTCAGCGGTCATAACACGGTCATGAGCCCTTTTTTCCATTTTTTGTGTCTCCAAAGAAGAGAAAAATTCATCAACACATTCATTGTACGAACGAAATTCGCTACACACACGGTTTGCTTGCATCAATTGCAGGGGCTTGAAAGGATGGAAGTCTTCATACATGAGTACATCCTTCCTCTCTTCTTTGTTAGGAACAGAGAGATCAGCAAGAATGCTTTGCTGAGTTGAAAATATGTAACCTTTCACTGGTGGTTTTACCATTGAAGATAGAATACCATCAGCGGCTTGGAAAGCGGAGAGCAGCTCTTTCTTTTTGTCTTCATTGGCACTTAACTGATCAGCTGGAAGTAAAGGATCCAAGTTTGATTGTCGAATGCAGTGCTCTACTAATGCATTACCATACTCTCCTAGGCGAACTGTTAGTGCCTTACGAAGGGTAATGGGTTTAGGCTGTTTGCCATTCGGCTTTTGGGAAGCAGCTAGTCTCTCCGCCTTGGAAGTCTCAGCCACTTCTTCCAATAGTTGAGTCAATTTTTCAGCAGTCATCTGAGGCATCTTTTGCTGGTTGCCCATATTGTGCGTTAACCGGCTTTGATCAAGATTATAATGTTGACCAACAGCGTAGACTTGGTTCTTATCGAACGTAACCACGCGTAATAAACTTAGAATCTTATGAGAGCCATCAAGTAGCAAGATGTTTCCGGCTGCGAAAAACTCACAAACAAGATAGTATGTCCATGAAGGATCTTGGTCATTTTCTCCTCCACCAAAAGTAAACACAAGAACACGGTCGGTGTCAAGTTGCGACACATTGGTTAGCCGCCTGGACTTGATGTGTTTACGGAGTTTTGTGACAAATCCAGAAAGTTGGGCATTTTCGCGTTGAAACTTCGTCAAGTGAACACGAAATCCACTTTCGATAACCAGAGAGTATTTTTTGTCCTAAATTTAATTTCGTTAATACATTTATACTTACAATATATGAATATATTACCTGTTTTCCAAACTTCAACAAAAATGTACGCGAGTTCAAGTCATGAATATTATTTAAACGACATCCAATAATTTCCTCTCGCAACTCTGCACCAATTGCGGTGATATCTAAAGCGGAAAACCTTTGTTTCATCTAAAATATCGTGTCTTTACCGCCTAGTTATTCTGTATTTTTGGCAATGTAGTTGGTACTGTGTAAGACGTAAACAAGTTGAAAATGGAAAAGGTTAGCGAACTCTATTTCCAATTTGTAAAGATTTTTATCGAAAACTAGGGAATGCTAACGAAAACCTTTAAGTTATACTCCTATGACGTGGCTAAGTATAATGATTTTCGTTAAACGCTCCTAAAAATTCATCTTTTGAAAATGCTACCTTCTACGTCTTTCGTAAACAAACCAGAAACACTGGAAATATAGTGAAAAACAGCGATTTTGGATCTATAGCGTCCAATTGAGTAAAATTAGGGAAAGTTTATGATATACACGTCTTTTTGAAACGGATTTGAAGCGTGATTTGAAAAGGAACAGATTAGAAGGCAATATTAGAGAAAAAATGGGATTATTTACAAAATCCACGCATGAAAATGCTCACAAAAACTTGGAAAAGATTGCGTCTTTAATAAAAGAGAAGAAAGGTTTGTTAAGGATCTGAAGTGGATTTCATTGGTGAAAACATATGTTAACAATGGAAAAGTAAACCAAATATGTGTTATGGTAGGAGCAGGAATTAGTACTGCTGCTGGAATCCCTGATTTTCGAAGGTATACACATTGAGATTACAATGTCGAGTGGTAATGGTTAACAATTTTCAGCCCTGAGACTGGTATCTACAATAATTTACAGAGGTAAGAGAAAAAGTTATAATCACTTTCATGAAGAAGCCTTAATCTAACTCTATTAGATTTGACCTCCCTTATGCGGAGGCTGTATTTGGTATGTTCCATTGGTTTTGCTGCAATCGCTCTAACTGAGTAGACCTTTCTTATTTTCGGAAAAATCCTCGTCCATTTTACGAATTGGCATACGAATTGATGCCAGAAAAATTCAGACCCACATACACCCATTATTTTATTCGTTTGCTTCACGACAAAGGGTTGCTGAAAAAATGTTATACACAAAACATCGATACTTTGGAACGATTAGCTGGTGTTCCCGAAGACTACTTAGTGGAAGCTCATGGTTCTTTCCAGTATAGCCGCTGTATAGAATGTTACCAAACGGTACGAGATAACGAGATTGCTCCAGGCTAACCTTTTATAGTGTGACACGGAATATGTAAGATCCTGCATCAAGCAAAAGCAAGTACCTAAATGTGTACATTGTAAGGGCTTAATAAAACCAATGATTACGTTTTATGGAGAAGGACTCCCTTCTCGGTTTTTTTGAGGAAATGGAAGATGACACGATGAACTGCGACATGGCACTCGTCGTTGGAACGAGTTTGCTTGTTCATCCTTTTGCTGAATTGCCTGAAGTTGTTTCCGACAATTGTGAACGTGTTTTGATTAATCGTGAGGTGGCCGGTGACTTTGGAGAGCGCAAAAAAGACATTATTGTATTAGGTGATTGTGAAATGCATATCCGTTTACTTTGTGAAATGCTTGGTTGGTCGGAAGAGTTGGAGAAACTAACATCGACGGATATTGATACTTTAGCAGAGGAAATTGCACAGCTTTCTGTCGAAAAGAAGGCTGATACTCCTCTCAATGATAAAGAGGAGAAGACAAAAGAACAAAACAGGCCTACCTCTTCCTCCTCTTCCGAACAGGTTGCCGAGCAAAAAAAATCAAAGAAAGAAAAAGATGAAGTTACTTCGACATCATCTCCTCCTAAAAAGGAAGAACCGGTTTCGAAAGGAAGCGAGGATAAGGAATAATTTGATTTACGGCATACTGGGGTCTACGTTTGGTCTTGTAATTTGTATGATTTAGTTTTAGGTATCTAGGGGAATATGAAATCAGGAAAGCTTATGACAAAAATAAATTATAATTACTTAGTACTGAAAAAGAAAGCACCGAAAATGAACTCGTTTCTTTCACTAATCCTGTTTTGTATATGATTTATATCTTATTATACACTAGAGTCTGTAAGCAATTTGCTTTTGCACCTACTTTTGACCATGAAACAAAGGCAATCTGACAGTCAATTCATTGTACCAACATTAATCAACTTTCATTTTTGTGATTATGAGCTGATAAATTCAGTTTTAACTTTTCTATTATATTTTTCCCCTTTTCCATATATTGGTTTTACAATTTATCTAGTTACTTCTCATGATCTTTCAAATACTCGGTTACTCCAAAAGTATTTCTTCAATCATATATTCATTATTCTTTTTGTTTAATGGTGAAAATATTCCTTTACCGTAATAATTTGTATCTAAAATATAAGAGTAACAAAAAAACAAACAAAGCACTAAATAGAAGAAAAAAAAAAGCTTTCTTACTGACTCAGTAACAGCAACGAAATTTGAGATTTTTGAAGAGATACGACACAGGTATAATTTAAGCATGAACTTTAGCTAGTTCAGTAGAAATAAAATCGAAGAACGCGAAGGGATCTCCCGAAGTGGTATAGCGATAAACGAAATGACTAGCTAAGTATTTTGAGAAAATAGCGCGCAAGTATGCTTCGGGAACTCTTTCAATTATTTGACTAAGTCCAATCTTTTTCTGGAGAGTCTTGGGAATTGCTTTGGCTAGGATAAGATTCCGGAATTGTTTATTGGACCATAACTTTTCATATTTGTAAATCTCATTATCCAACTTGACAATCAATTCAGAAAGCTTACTACTCAGGCTGGTGTAAGTTATCTTTTGCTTTTTATGGGTCTCCCAAAGACATTCAAACTCCATGTTGGCATTTTCCTGAATTATCTCTTTCACTTCATTCACATAATCCGTGTAAAATGCTGGTTCTTTTCCATCACGCACGCACATATTCTCTATAAAGGAGGCATCGTCAAAGGATAAGGATGCTAAAACTTCTAATGAGCTAGATGTCACACCACCCTTGTTGGCGGAAGCATCACGAATCACAACTACTCCTGCTTTTTCTAAAACAGTCTTGGCATCTTGAGTTACGAATAGATTAGCTCCTTCCACCAAGTATTTGATTTTAGGTTTTCCAGCTTCATTAATTAGTTGATCAACATTGTTGATGTTTATGGCACCAGGACGTCCACCACAAGGAACGAACACATCTGCCTTATAACGAAGATGAGCAGTATTTCGGAAAGTGGTTCCATTGTTTACAACTTCCCCGTTCGGAAGTCTAACATTGTTATCTTTGACTAACACCCTGTAGCCTTCAGCACTAAGCTTAGCGGTATCAAAGTGATCAATCATCTTTCTCTCGTTGGCTAAGCGCAAAAGTTCTGATTTATTCAGACCAGCCGGATCATAGATAACACCACTTCCATCAATCACAGCAATATAATTTTCATTGGAAAGTTTTATTTCATTAGAACCCAAATCACCATCGGGACCTCCAGTCTGGATTTTACTTAACTTGGTTGGATCGAGATTCAATTTTCTATAGATGCCTTCCACATAACGACGAACTGAAAGGGAAGTCATTCCATATTTATCATGTGGAATACCTCCCATACTAGGGCTTTTTCCGGTGAAGAAAGATTTCCACCAAGGAGCTTTACGATTACGTGCATGGAAGGTTGCCCAGTCTACCAAATCAGCAGTATTCTCATCAGGTCCCATGAATAATATTTCCGGCTTACCGTACTTGTCCACTATTTGCTCTTGTTCATTTGGAATTAGCAAATCAACGATGCTGTCAATATATTTTTGGAAAGCCAATGCAGGCTTATCTTGATACTTGAGATTCAAAAGAATAACACCTTTGGCACCTCCCTCAGGTATGTCTTTATTCTTGAGCATCTGCGTATTAGCCAAATTATAGTTTTCATCAAACAGTCCACGAGCATTAAGATTAAGAGCCTCGGAATTTGCAGATTTGATCAAACGGATTCCACCACGAGCAACGTCTCTAAAGCGCAAATGGAAACCTCTGAATTCATTACCGACAGACATGATCATAGCGTATAGAGGATCTCCAAATTGAGCTTGGTCTAAAAATGAAGGGTCAAACCGAAAACTTAAAGCGACTTTTGTAGTTAAGAAAAAGTTCGTTTTTAATAGATGATTATTAAATTTAACAAACATTTCCATAACGGATACGTCTTCATCGTTAGCACAAGTTTTCTGAATAGTTTCCATAAGTTTCTCGGTAGATATCTCAGTTATGAATTGTGGGTCTAGAGATTGGGATGAAAGATCAGGCTTAGCACGGTGTAGACGTCGAGAAGATCCAGTTCCGATAGAATGTTGGAGGTAGAATTGATCGAACATCATGCGAACCAGTTGAGGATATTTAACTATTATATCATGGATCTTAGTACGAGTAAACGCAAGAACTGACAGGCGGCGCTTAATTGTGTCCAAAATCTCAACATGAAGGTGATTTGAATGGTCAAGAATAGCTGATAAACTTGTGTATTCGCTGCCAAGCTTATTCATTACATGCTCAGAAAATACACGGACACTATGAGCGTAAGCAACCTCTTGGATGGATAACTTGGAAGACGTGAACATGGAATCGATATCAGTATAAGGTAAACAGTATAAAAGAGAAGCTTCCTTTGTAATTTGATCGAAAAGCTCCTCAACAGAGGAAGAACTGGCTGCATTCTTAAAACTTTCAGATTTAAAGTTGTAACTGATGATGGTTACACCATTACTAAATTGCTCAATATATGTTCGAAATGAAGACAAACCGTAGTAGCGGAGCAGATTTGAGATTGAAGGAAAGTATCTCATAATGGATCCACGACGATAACCGATAACCAAACGGATTTCAGAACGCTGTTGATGCTCAAACACACCAACAGCGGGACCGAAACGAGTTAGCACGGTATCCATTACGTTTTGGTACATTTGAATAGTTTGCTCGGAGGCCTTTTCCAAAAACGTTTGGTCTGAAACCCAAGCAATTTTGGGAATCTCTTGTGAGGAAGATATACTGTTAGAGGGGTCAATGAAATTACATTTGGTCACGAGAAAGGTGTGAATGTTAGAATTTTCTGTACTAGCACGGTCAATGTTGGCGGTTGAGGTGAATGACTCAAGGCGAAAAGACGGGGCATCATCTTTTGGGTTATCCAAGTAACGCTTAGAAATGGCCTGTTCTATTTCATGAGATTTATCCAATTCCATCTGTGTAACAGGAGCACTATCCAAATAAATAGCGGAGTCATCATTCTCATTTTTAACGTGAATATTGAGTTCTTCTCTTGCATGAGACGCACGAGCAGCTACTTTAGCAGCATAAATGATTTCAATATGTTCAGCGATCGCTTCCATAGGTTCCATTTGAAAGTAATAGTCATCTAACCCTATATGATCATAAAAACGATATACCTCGTCTTCAATTGACCCATCAGGAATTGATTTCCGTTCATTTCGGAGGCAGTCAATTACTTTCTTTTTCTGTTCTTCTTTTCCGGCAAAGACATTAGGCTTATAACCAAAATAGACCGTATCTTTATACTTGTTGGGGAAGTTCCCTCTAGAACCGACACCTGACGAGATTGAATCGGAATTGCTTTTGGCACTGTATTGCTTTGAAAAATAGCCTTTGGAGATTGCGCCTCTTAGTCTGCGAGACCTTGATACAGTCGAAAACGAGGCATATTGCAAGTTTCTCACACCCTCGTTCAATATACGGTTTTTTTGTGAAAGTGAAAGAGAAAGAGATGATGAAATTCCTCGAGTACACGAACAGGGGTAAGCACGAGATATCGCTTGACTCGGCAGAAACTTGATGCCTCTTAACGAAATGAGAGGGAATTGTACTGCCATTGATTCAACTAAGGGAAACAAACAACTCAGTAAGAAAACGTTATGAAAGCCGAATCTTTATAAAATGACTTGAAACTTGGGGGATTGAATATGACGCCAGTTAAATGAAACGTTGTAATAAATATTTAGAATTCTGTTGATTTCATCAACTTTAAATAGGGATCACGTTATAGTTGTTTTTTTGTTTTTTTTTTTTTTGCAAGAGTATAAGACCGTATGCAATTCCAAACTGCTATTAGACGACGGCCTATAACCTTTTTCAACCGTAGTTCGTCGTGATTTCTCACGTTCCACGAATATTGGACGATTTTTTATAGGAGAATCACTTGTACCAAACAAACTTTACGCTCTTACCAAAGACTTTATATAGAACTCAAAATCTAAATAGACAGTAAGGAAGCATTGCACGTGTTTGGCTATGTCTAATATGAGTGGTGAAAAGTAAGAGATTCTAGATGTCATTAGTCGGAATATCCACGTTTAGACATAAGTAATTTTCGGTAAATAAAGCCCGTTAGGGTAGGGAAGACGAAATGAAGAGGTGTAAGTAACAATATCATACTAACGGAAGAGTGGCTGCATTTAGAATGAGCAAGAAAACATTGAAGCCGTGATGTAATTACTTCTGAAAAAAGTTGTTTTTTTGTTTTATAGCAAGGATTTTTGTATTATTTTTCCCATAATTTCAATTCGACTTTGAGCAACCTAGGTTGCGATAAATCATGCTCTAAAAATTGAAACAGGAGTTCATTTTGCATTGCTTTTGAGTAGTTGAAAGAAACCAACAACACCCAAAAAGCAAGAAGGGTACGAATAACACAAAAAGCCAATAAACATATGTAAATAGGATAACGAAAAAACACGAGTGAAAGCATGAACTTCTACTTTTTCAACTTACACGCCGTCTCCAAGTTGTAGGCGAGGTAGATAATTGTACACTTTAAGCGTTTAAGTTCAAAGACATTTATTTTTTGCTCTACCACGATAAAGAAAATTTATGTCTTTCTGAGGATATTGGTCACTATGATAGAAACGAATTGAAAGTTGAGAAATCCAGCAATTGAATAACGCATAATTTTAACTCAAAGAACTGTTCTTTCCCTAAACAACGCGCGTAAATATTATTATTTATGTTTCATAGCTCTCTTCACAATGTTTAAACTTTACCAGTTAATTCTTTTCAATTGATGTTATCCTTCATATTCTTCAATTTTACAATTCATATATTCTGTTCTGATCGTTTCCAATTAAGCTATATACAAAGGTGCTGTTTGGTAGAGGGTAAAAGAGAATAATACGCGATTCTGTTATTTGATCATCCCCTGCAGACCAAGATAAGACATACTTTTATAGATAACACAAGAGAATGATAGTTAGCACTATCTGCAGTCCTTTTTTAGAAAGTATCTCATAATCCGGGGCAACATCTCACGCAAACATTTGTTTTGTTTCAAATGTTAATGTTTACTATTGTGAAGGTTCCAATTCATTATTTGTGAGAACATAGATCAGCAAGTTTGTCCCAGGGGTGAGACTATATGAGAAGATCATATGTGGATTACAGTATTTTGAATAGACTCCATAACTTGCACTTAAGGGATTATCAAGTAGTAAGATTAAGTTAGATTTGAATAAGTTTTAAATTCAGATGATCACAAAAACTACCACTAACACGCACCCATTTAAGAGTCCTTGCCTTTAGTACTAATTATTCAAATTTTTAAAGAAATTGTCTACGGCCATACCTAGGCGAAAACACCAGTTCCCGTCCGATCACTGCAGTTAAGCGTCTGAGGGCCTCGTTAGTACTATGGTTGGAGACAACATGGGAATCCGGGGTGCTGTAGGCTTCTCTTTTTGTTTTACCTCTAGAAGAAATCAGATTAATCTTTTTATTCTCCTGTGGATGGTCTTCTACATTCGTTTCATGTTTGTTTACTTGATGTGTAAACAAACATACATCCTGAACAGGTGTAAATTGAGGTAGAGTTTTGGTCCTTTTCGATTAGGCAAACATATGCATTTCAGAAGCATTCCAAACAGCATTCTTTCTAAACTCCCGAGCTTCGCTTCATATGAAGGAATGCTAAACAGGATCTCAATTCAGTTTAGAGTAGCAAAGATGAAACGAGTATCCTTGGATGTATCAAATGCTTTACGAAACTGCTTCCCAGTCATTTTGTTACCGTTTTCCTCTATTGAACTTCCATCAAAAGTTATTCTTATTGACCATCAAGTTCATGTCCCATTAAATCCATATTCCTTTTGCATCTCCAGAAAAAAAGGATTATTTTTTGTTTGTTTTGAGTTTTTGCCAATCTTTTTTTGAGTACGGTTCCTCTGATTCCCTTTTTTTCTAATTTTCTTTTCTTTTCTTTTGTTCTGGTTCTTTCCTTTTTTAATTCCCTTTTTAATTCATAGTCTTCTCCTGCAAGGCTATTGCTTTTGATTTTTGTTTGTATCCCAAAATGCAACTGCAACATGCAAGAGACTGTATCGTATCTGCTATTTTTATTTACGTACGTATTGAATTCGTCCGTTCAGCAACGACCATGAGATAGGAGGGATTGAGAACAGACTCGAAGGATGCTTGCATGCCTTATGTTTGATACATGATTGAGTAACTCATCAAAAGAAGGTAAATAAATTTAAAAACCTAATAGAAACTACAATTCCTGATCGTACAACAACAATAGACACTATGCCTGAGTGGTTAAAGGGATAGACTAGAAATCTATTGCGGTCTCCGCGCGCAGGTTCAAATCCTGCTGGTGTCGTTTTTGTGTTTTTTCTTCAGCAGAAGAAAATAATCGGTTTTTGTTTCCTACCTAATGCTGTAGAAAAATACATCTTATATGTTAACTATGAAATACCAAGTCATCAGTGTCTTCTAGTATGAGAATTGTTTTATTCAGTTCTAAAAATATGAGTTCCCTCTTTATACCTGAGTAACTTTAAGTTTTGAACAAGAAATGCCAAACCTCTTATAGAAACATAGCTGTATATTTGATGTAGATTTTTAGGCTGCATCGTATGTAACCAGTCAGTCTACGAAGTTCTGTTTTATTATTCCTTCTATTCTTTCCTCTCTTCCTCTCTTCTTTTTTTTTGTTTGTTTTCCCAAAGAATCATTATTGAAAGTCCCTCTATAAAATAATATAATAAGCATTGCTGTGATTTTTTCAAACCACAAACCTGAATGCTCTACTTGTCTTCTTAGGTGAAAAAGAAGTTAAGGAAAGAATTAAAATCACGACTACAATTTCCACTTTGCATATTTATTGTTAAAGTTGACCCTTCTTGGTATAATCAGCACTCCTGCTGTATTCGCCAAGAAATCTTACATTGCTTGACCACAGTTGATTAATTCAGTAGTTAAAGGAAAACATCCGGTACAACGTCTACCGTCGATCATATTTCCCGTCCTTAGATACGGGGTCAATGCTTTCGACGTATTAAAATATGCCCGAATGGCACTCTTCGGAGGATAAGATTGTGAGTGAAGCGATTTCTGGGAATAACCAACAACCGTTGAAACCCCTAGGAAACCGTTTAGAGGAGACACAAACTTTCGCTGTCTTTCAGGAAGAGCTAGAAGTTATTGATGAATTAGACGATCCTGTGGATGTTTGGTATCGCTGCGTGGAATGGCTAGGGTCTACACAATACTTAAAGGAGAACACATTACCGAAGGTTGTAGAAGATGCTCTTGCTTACTTGGAAAAATGCCGGTTTGCTCAAAACGACGTCCGACATTTACGAATTTGGCTTGCCAAAATTCATCGATTATGTGCTTCTCCGGAGACGTTCCCTGACGCTGCTCAAGAATTTTATCATTTAGCAAGCAAACGTATTGGGATGGAATTAGCCTTATACTATGAGGAGTATACCTCTTTGTTAGTTCGTATGCAGCGATGGAGAGAAGCTTCAGTAGTATTGCAGACTGGTGTATCTCGAGAGGCTCGTCCATTAAATCGCCTTCTTCGCCATGCCTCCGACTTCTCAAATGTCTACAATGCTTATTTGAAAAAGTTATCAGATGAAAATATATCTTTGGAATCGCTTCCTTATGAGCCACCATTTCCTCCGCCTAGAACCATACTTGGAACAAAAGCCAGTACAGATGCAACTTCCACTTCTGAAAAATTATCTACCGTACAGAATAATGGTGTTCCTCATGCAGCGAAACCTTTCCAAATATATTCTGATGCCCCTACTCCTCGTTCTGAACATACTTTATCCACTGCATTGACAGTTCCACCTTCCAATGTTATTGGTGAACAAGGTCCAAACCTTCCTCTATTTTATGACGCTACTTCTGGAAAGCGAATTGAGTATGCGGCTTTTCATTTCCCTGTTTTGTATGAGAACGGGCAAGAAAAGTCAATGGAAGAATATAGAGCTGAACGTTATTTTGCTTCGCTTTCCTCTTCATTGCAAGCTCCTGAATCCCAATCCTTTCCTGTTCCTACCGATCGTCCTTTGTCCTCTTTCCAAAATGAACCTTTGCAACCAACCCCCAAAAAAGAAGTGTTTGATGTTTTAACACCTGTTGCACTTTCTCCAAAGCCCGCTTTGAAACCTTCTTCTCCCACTATCCATACAAAAGCTGCTTTGGCTGATATAATGGATCTTTTTAACCAACCTCTCCGTTCTGAAACTCAACAGACGCCTCCGAAGTCTCCGAAACCAAATCACTCTTCCGACTTTGGTAGTCCGAATAATGTAACAAAAACGATTTCATTTAATGAGCTTTCTTCCGTAAAGGAAGCTACAAACAACTTTGCCCAACCTTCAGCAGTACCTAGTCATTCTGTTGATAGCCCTTATGAGAACAGAGTGTATAAAAGCCAATTAGCCCATTCACCGCAAAATTCCCAATTATTTTCTGGATTACCAGCAGATACCTTTGTTAATGAGTCGTCTCTTCCAGCGATTTCGAGTAACGCAAAACGGAGACGAACATTGTCCGGCTCTCCTCCTTCAATGACTTATAGAAACCATTATGGCTCTATTCCTTCCTTGGATGAGCAGCCCATGTTTTCCTTAAATGAAAAACACGAACTTCATACAGTGAACCCCTACCTACAAAATGAACCTTTTACGAATATTCATGAACATGATTCGCTGGTTATGAATAAACCTTTAGAGCATCCTGTTCTACCTCCTTTACCTACTATTATCCATCCCCTCGATCAACCGCTACGCGACTGCTTATACCATGCACTAGGCCCCTACTTAAGATCTGATGAAAACTATCATGAGATCGATAGTAATTTTACTATGATAGAAGCTATTGAGTCTTTTGTTTCTAAACCAAGGACTACGCCTAGTGGGCGTGGTAGAAGACGAAGTAACAGCACTCGTCTTAGTTTATTAAATAGCCCCACTTTTCCTCTGACTTATCCTCCAAACGTAAAACTTGGGATCATAAGTAAACTCGGGCAAGGAGCTTTTGCTCCTGTTTATCTTGCTAAAGGACTTCCCTTAGAAAATGAGCTATCTGAAAAGAGAGAAAGTGATACCGTTGATTATAAGTTGTATGCATTAAAAATAGAGACTCCTGCTTCTTCACTTGAATATTATTTGACACTGGAAGCTCGAAGAAGGATGAGCGGTACTAGAGATGTAGGTTCTATACTTCCCGTCTACTATTTATGTATGTATCGGAATACAAGCCATTTGTTAATGGATTATCGCCCACAAGGATCGGTCTTGGACTTGGTGAATTCATTACGAAACACCTCTAGTTCTGTACCAGGAATTGATGAGATGCTAGTATTCTTTTTCTCGATAGAACTTTTTAGAATCGTTGAAGGGTTGCATTCACACCAAATTATACACGGGGATTTGAAGGCAGACAATGCGTTGCTACGCTTGGAAGCAGTGAATGATATAGAATGGGACGCTTCCTACTCCCCTGAGGGTTTTTGCGGTTGGTCTTCAAAAGGAATTTTTTTAATTGATTTTGGTAGAGGTCTTGATATGTCTTTGTTTGATCCTAAAACAAAATTTATGGCAAACTGGGAAACTGACTCTCAAGATTGTATAGAAATGCGTGAAGGTGAACCATGGACGTATCAAGTTGATTATCATGGACTAGCCGCTATTATTCACACTATGCTTTTTGGACAATATATTGAGACAAAACTTGACTATTCCGGCGGTCAGAGACGGCAGGTATTGACTCAGCGGATGAAGAGATATTGGAACCAAGAACTCTGGAATCGGCTTTTTGATGTTTTACTAAATCCTACGTTGCAAACATCAGATGGAAGTCTCCCCATTCCAGACTTATTGAAAAATGTACGATTAGAAATGGAGAATTGGCTTGTTTATCATTCCACTAGTGGAATTGGACTTAAAGGCATGCTAAAAAAAATTGAACAAAAGCTTGCTAGCTGATTTAAGAAGTTTCTCCAAAAAATAATGGTTCCTAATTTCCGTGTATTTGTAGTACTTTTGTATAGGAATAATTATTATTCTATTTCTCTTTTTGCAATTCACAAAATATTCATAATGAACCGCTAATGAGGTTGGATGTACATGTGAGAGCGATCTTCTGCTTACAACTTGTAATTCTAGCTACAAAATGCTTAGTTTTTTTAACACTAACCAACGAGAAAGACAAAATTTTTTTAATAAAATATGCTCGGTATTTTTATTAACTTGTTTAAACGACAGTGCCGGCGTTAGAAGCAATACGGGGCCAAAGGTCAGCGCACTCCTTAGCGACGGGACCAGTGATGGCAGAGCCCTTCATTTCACCCTTGGGGTTGACGATGACACCAGCATTATCTTCGAAGTAAAGGAAAACACCGTCCTTACGGCGCCAGGCCTTGCGTTGACGAACAACAATAGCAGGCATGATCTTCTTACGCAAGTCAGGCTTACCCTTCTTGACGGTAGCAAGAATCATATCTAAAAAGACGTTAGTTGTCAATTTCCCTAAGCTATCAACGATAGTAAAGCTTCCAGGGTCTGAATTTTCGTTCATGGAGATATCTCCAATAACGAAATGTACCCAAAAAGTATATTACTTTTCGTAAAGAATGTACATACCACCACAGCTTGCAGCAGGGAGACGATTAAGACGAGCGCCAGTACCGAAAACGGAAACAATGTAAAGGTTCTTGGCACCAGAGTTATCAGCACAGTTCAAGATGGCTTGAACGGGAAGACCCAAGGTCATTCTGTACTTAGTACCGGAAGCTGCACCGCGTCCACGAGACATTTTGTGTAGAATTAACTGCTGGTGTTTGGTGTTGGGAAGAGCAAAGTACTTTGTGTGTTTGCAGTTTGACAGTGTTTCCAGTAAAAGTGTGACTGCTTTTTTGGACTAAGACGAAAGTGAAAATTCTTACAAACGAATCAAAATTTCGCTAAAATTATTCGTTTAATTTTAAATTTTTGTTTTTTTCTTTGTAAATGTAAAATTCAATAAATTTTTATGGAGTCTCTTTGATCCATTTTGATTGTAGGCATATCATTCGTTTTCGTTCATTTTTATCTTAATGAGCAGTTGTTTAGTCGTATTATTCGTCATAGAATACATTATCACTTGGGAGCCGTCTAGTTATATAAAAGCCATGTCCGATTTGGCCTACTCATCATGCCAGCACTCGTAGAAACGTATGCCTTAAAATAAGGACATCGTTCAGATCAGTAAATATATGATATTATGATTATTGTTCAACCGAATACTAACACGTCCCGGGTAGCTCAATCGGTTTAGAGCGTCTGACTCTTATGAAGGTTATCAGAAGGTTGCGAGTTCGAGTCTCGCCTTGGGAGTTAACTATTTTTTCCAAACTACCTGCCGAAATTCTTGACAATATGCTACTGTTAACAGCTTTTTTTATTTACAAGTTTACTGTTCTCCGGTATGAAATTATTATAAAATATGCAATGAGTATGATAAATTTAAACTAGCATATAACTACTAGCGTAATGATAACTAGGACAATATATATGATATTAAATATTGCAAACCCAAGGAAAGAAACCTTGACAGGTTCTTCCACGATGAATGATTAAAACAATCCAAATAGTTCAAAAAATGCAAATTGGGAGACTTTATAAAAATCTGAAATGATAAGATAAAAACAAATGATAGACCAATACCAATTAATTCAATGCACCATGCAAAAGATCAAAAACATGATAGATGAATGAGATGCGACAATGTAAGTTAAATGAAAATGTGCAAAGAACAGTAAAACGCTGTCTTCCTTATTAACCAGTCATCCTACGGAATTACGACTGGACTTTTTTTCGAGGACAGTTGATCATCTGCCTTGAGCTTAAGCTAAAAGCATAAGAGCAGCAACTGCAAAGCAAGCAGCAACAGAAAGCTTAGTCATGCCCACAGCAGCAACACCGGAAGAGTCAGAGGAACTGCCGCTCGAGCTAGAGTTACCCTTTGAGTTGGAGGAACCGGAACCAGAAGAACTAGTAGCAAAGCCACTGCTGCTGCCACTACCACTACCACTGCTGCTACCACTCATGGTCTTTGCGACTGCAGAGGTAAGAGAGGTGGTAGAAGAGCCACTAGTGGAGGCGATGACAGTGGAGGAAGAAGAAACAGGAGCGGAAGAGCTAGCACTGCTGCTAGGAGAAGAGGAAGAGGCAGCAGAAGAGCCAGAGGAGCTGCCAGAAGAGCCGCTGCTGGAAGAAGCAGGAGTAGAGCTGGCAGAAGTGCTGGAAGAAGTGCTAGAAACGATACCTCCACTGATGGAATTAGATGCAACCTTCTGGTCACCACCCTTGATACTGAACTCCTCGGATTGGGCCAATGAACCAGTGTTCATATCATCAACACTGTTGAGGTAAATTTGCCATCCAGAAGTAGGAAGGTCAGAGGAGAAACTAATATCAGTATCTAAGTGTTCCTTGGATGTTTCGACGGTACCAAGGTTATATTTTCTGTTAGGCCAGTTATGCATGTTTACCAAAACAACATTGATTTTACTGGGGTCGGTGTTAACAGGAGTCCAGGAAACTGTATTTGTCTCGCCAGACGTCCAAACAGTGCCCTTTTCAGGGGAATTAAATTGGATAGCATTAGCGACAAAAGCGCTGGCAAGACAAACTAAAAATCCGGCACGGAAAAGCATTATGCAAAAGAACGTCTTAAAAGAAAAAATGAATGAAAATCGGTATAAGGATATACACCGGGATGCACTAAATCGTAGTTGATTCGAGTATACAGCAGCTTACCTTCGATATATATATATGTATTTCCGATGACAAAATACACGTCACGTTTGTTCCGTGAGGCACAGTAGGTAACAGGTGGCTTGAGCTTGCGTTCTTAGGCCCCCTTACTCCCCTTTACCCCTCCAATCATATTACTCTTTTAGGTTCCAGTTATTAATAACAGTAACCGGGATGTAAATAAACGACAACAGAAAAACCAATGCGATTCTTCTATAAAACACCAGATGAATCTAATTTTTAAATAAATTTTAGATTTTTTTGTAATTTTTTTTTCTTTCTAAAGTAGAACCATGCCATACACCATACCAGCTGCCGTAGGATGGCACTATGGAATGTTATGTATTCTTAACATCAATAAGCACGACACTGTTCGTTCTGTCAACTGTATCGCAAGTAAGGGTATTGTAGTAAGTAGTAAGCGTCCTGATTTCTCTTTCATTAAAGGAAAAGAACGTGTGTATCTTGTGAAAATACTCTGCAAACAATGTGGTAGAGCCATCCGACCTTACCATTTTGTAAAAAACCATAGTGTATATATACTACCTAAATTAGTGGCCATCAGTTCTGTTTTTTAAACAAGTATTTAATACAGTATTGAATGATAGGTGAATAGGTGGAAGTCTAGGACAGCAAGCTTTACTCTGGTGCCTATAGACCAAGTACAGAGAATGTTTGATGAATCGATGAGGATAAAATGATAAATATAGACTTTGATCCAGAGTACAAGAATGATCTTTATAACAATGACCTAAATTTGGAAAATTAAATAGACAACAAACGTTGATGGTATTCATTTCCGTTTGGGAGAAAACATCCCCCACCCCAATTAATCATGACTATAAATAAGACAAATGATGAAACAAAATTGAGCTTCCGATAATCTTCATTTCAACATACAAACATCAGTTTCTTCAAGATTTAACAAAACAAAATTTTGCATACGTACGTATTCATGCTTACGTGTAGACCAAACCGTCATAGTAAGCAGATTGCTGTTCTTTTTCTTCTTCTCCTTGTCTATTGTCCAGGTTTGCAAAGAGTGCTGGATCGCCCAGAGCCATGCGTTTGGAGGTATACATTTGTGCAAGGATACCTGCAGCAAGAGATATACAGTTTTCAGTCCACTGAACAGCCCATTCATTAGGAAGAATAGCAGTGGGACCAAACAATTTGATATAGCGATCATCCACAGCCCACTGATGCCATTCTAGAGGAATAGGTTGGGAAGTAGTAAAAAATTCCAGGTCATGACTGACATCCTTCAAGTATAACAAAAAACAAAGCTGCTCCGTGTCTGATATTTCTTTCAACTTCGTTGTAAATGCTTGAATCGACAAAAAAAGCTGCGTAACCCTAACAGAGGATCCTTCTGCATGCTGGTTGTTTTCCTCTGCCGACTTTTCGTTGGAATGCGATTCTTGGACAAGCTTTTTTGCATGCTGCAGTGGTTCTGCCAAATTTTCCTTCGCAAGCTTTTTTGCTTCCAATAGACCGTTACATGAGGCGAAATTCTCATACAAATCGCTAGTCCTGCTTCGTACCTTGGCCTCTTTGTCCAATAAAACCGTCAAGTCACCACCCTCTACTTGAGACATAACCTAGAGATAAGTTAGTATTGTTAAATCATATACAGCGTAATAAGAATTCCTTTACATTATCAAAACTATCGTAAATAATTCGATCAACATGAGAAAACCCAGCTAAATCATGAAAAACCGTAACCTGCAGGATTTCATGATCCTGGATAGGGGGAGCAACAACGTTCATTACGTTATGGAAGGTATTACTCAATGTCGGTAAGGCTTTGCTGCGAATCCCATTTCCAATGTCTCCTGAAACAGACTAGTTAGTACAACCTACAAACTCTATATGATAGCTCCTTACCAAGCTTATTCAAGTCCATCATTTTTCGAACATGATTATCCCAATGAGTTGTTTCTTCAAGATTCTTCATAGAACGAACATGCTGTTCTGCAGAGCGAACGGCTGCGGAGGCACTTGACCATAATCCACCAAACCAATTGTTCTTGGTATCCTCTTTTGGATTTTCATTACCCCCTTTTATATTTTGGATATTGGGCCCCTCGGAGGTTGGGTTATGAGAAGGCTCGTTCTTTAGTTTCTCTTTTGGCTCAGCTGGAGTGTTGGAAGTTTCCGACGGTTCCTGTGTAGCACCGTTAGAAGGTTCTTTTATAGCTGTTTCACGTTTGTCGTTTTCTAATTCATCTAAGAAATCCAAGATCTCCTTCTCGTTCTCAGCAGGATGCACCTGATGATTGCTTTCTGTGGAATCTTTCTGTTCTGGTTTCGACTCTGATTCAGCGTTTTCGACTCCCAATTGATCCAAGGAAGCCATTAATGATTCCACATCATCGTTTACTTCATTTCCTTTCGACATTTTCAATATCCTTTTCCAAGTTGTTGTTTGGTTCGATCAAGTTTCCAAGAGACGAAACGTTATAATTATATGCATTAGAAAGCTCGGTAACCGCCTTTGTAATTCAACATGTCTTAATGATAATAATTCACCTTTCAAAATGCAATTTAATAATTATACGAAAGAAGCCAGTTTCCTTCTATCTATCTGAGCGATCAGTAACAAATGTATACGTTTTTCGACTGCTTAGAGCTGCTGAGATCTCTCTCTGAAGGAAAACAAGCTTTGTATTAAATCTTTCTAGTATTTTTCATTCAGCATTCATCTCATTTCAAGCTGTTTATTGAAAAGCGTATTGCTTATAAAAGTAACAAGGCCTATGTAATGTATTCTTTTGTGTAATATTCGCTTATAAGAGTTCTGATTAACCGATCAACATACAGTGCTTTTTCTCCGTGGCCTTACTGGATTTTATTGATCCAAAATTCGTGCCCAAAGAAGTATCAATTTTATCAAATATTACTTGCTATAATAACACTAACGAGTATGCTGTTTTACGATGCCACCTAAACAAAGACCAAAATAAACGTGAAAATACAATCAATTGGTACAAACTCTTGAGTAATATCGTAGTTTTTTCCCTTTTGGTTTTTTTTTTTTTTTACACTAGAAAGTACACCATAAAAGGGTTAAAGAAAAATATTTCCCTATTCGTAAAAAATAAACATATCCTCTTAGATCACAGCAAAACTGATTCAACTTCATTGCCTTAAATTTCCAATCATTATGCCGAATCGTAAAGTATTTTTTAAAGGAAATCGCCTAAACTTATCGTGTCCATACATTTAAACCCTTACTTCAGCCGAGAATTTATAAATTATGATCTTTTGCAATTAAACTGTTATAAATAGATTTTTGCATTGGATATATTAACAAAAAGGATTTTTGGTCATCAGCGGATTATTTAATGGTCGTCGCAACTTCTTTTTTGGGAGGTCATATTTAAAAACAAAAAAAGAACAAATAGAACACCAATGAACACCACAGCATTAATAACTTTTCACATCAAGTACGCCAGCCTAAAATAAAGATTTAATCATTAAAAAAAAACGAAAGAATAAATAGTGCGAGGGAAAAAAATTTATTTTACTGCACACGTTTCATACGTCAAATGATTAAAGGACGGCATCCTGATATATATACAGTAAAACTTATATATGGCGGTTGGAAGTTCTCGGTTTATGTCTTCGGTTATACAGGGTAGCATTAGAAAGATTTAATTGGAATCCTTTAAATCCATTCTCACGCGGTTTTCGTTGAGGTGACAGATTTGGCGATCGTGTGTGTGGAGAATTTGCAATATTAATTCGTTTTAAGGCGTGCTCAACATTAGAAGTGCTAGAATCATACTCACCTTCTTCCTCTATTAATTCATTCATATTGTCGTAAAAGTTCATCATTCCTTGATTACCACGGAAGCCACGCTTCCGCAATCTTTCTTGCTCCATTCGGTGAGCGGCATACGAGATGTTAAATACCTCACGTAAAGAATTGACACCTGGTGTGCGAGCGGAGGGTATCCCATCATCAGAAAACGCGGGAACATCGTAAGCAAATGGACTTTCATTATTCATAGGAGGAGCATCACTGGCAGGGAACGTGGGCTCTTCTGATTGAGTAATCCAAGGATGTGCTAAAAACTGATGAATATCATAGCGGGTATCCGGATTTACAGTTAACAGATGACTAACCAAGTCCTTGGCACTCTTCGAAATATCATCCCACCATGGAGACAAAAAGGTGTATTCACCATGGGCAACTTTGTTAGTAAGAGAAGAAATGCTTTCATCGTAAAAAGGTGGGAATCCACAAAGAATAGTGTATAGAACACAGCCTAACGCCCACATATCCACGCCTTTGGAATACTTTCCATCACGAACAATTTCAGGAGCAGTATATCCCATTGTACCGCAGGGGGTCTGGGTTTGAGAATCCCAGATAACCTTACTGAGCCCGAAATCAGCTAAACGGATTCGACCAATAGTTCCACCACCAACTCCGGGGCGAAATTCACCCTCATCTGCCTTATCAGGATCATCACCAGCACGGAACTTTCTTACTTTTGAAGGGATAAAATCAATGGGGTCGAAAAGCAAGTTCTCCGGCTTAATATCGCGATGTACCATACCACAGTCTTCATGAAGATAGCGGATAGCATGCGCAGTCTGTATGATAACATGACGGGCCAACTCTTCTGAAAAGTACGTTAAACGAACAATTTGATGAAAAAGTTCACCTCCTTCAGCTAATTCAAGTATAAGGAAAAAGTACTCGGGAGTCTGAAAAAAATCCAAAAGTTGAATGATGTTTGGATGTCGAACTCGACGCATCAGCTGGATTTCTTTTAAAATGTTATGAGATTCGACGCCTTGACGACGGCCCGGATTATTAGGATCAATTGGATGAGCCCTTTGAACGACTTTGACGGCTACTTTTTCGCCGGTGGTATTGTGAATGGCTTTATAGACGTTGCTAAATGCACCATCTCCTGTTTTCGATAACAAGGTATAGTTTTCTAAACCTTTATAAATAGGGAATTGCTGTCCAGAAGATTCGTCAGCAATAGCCTTGGCCACCATAGCTTGGATAGCGCGCTCATACTCAGCATTGGTCTTTTCTTTTTTTTAGGGTCAACGTGGAAAGAGGGACTAATATTTTCATCAAAATGAGCCCTACGCGTTGCAAACTTCGACTCTGGTTTACCGGAATCCTTCATGACGCTTGGCAAACCGGTTGTATATTCATTGGAATCTAAAGCTCTACCTTTTTTACCAGCGACAGGAGTGTTCATTTCCTGGGAATCGAAATTTTCTCCTGAGTCGCCCGATGTGTAAAATGGGTTCTACAGGTCAATAGTTAGTAAAAAAAAAAATAATATATATATATATATATATAACAGAAAGAGAAGCAAGATGGCCAGTCTGGCAAGAAATGAACGCATTCGAGATTGGAATCAATCATCTCCAGAAAGAAGTTAAAATATTGTCATACATGTGTAAATCCTGTTTCCTATTAAGTACAAATCATCCGTTCAATACAAGATGCTACAGATTGAATAGCCAGGTAACGATATAAAGAAATGTGCGAAACACTGTCCCACATTATGCTCTTTCGATTTTTGCAATCACTCTCGAAAGCCCGTGATGTTCAAGCCAAGACTGCAACTTCCTATTACCATATAACTACTAAAACATACTTTCCCAAATATCATTTAATCACGAAAAACTCAAACCAGAAATTCTCTGTTTCGTCTTCTATTCAGCGTTTTTCTTATTCTTCTGCGTTTCTTTCTTTTCTTTCAGGGAATCGTGAGTTACGCGCAAAGATGAACATAAATATGCGGCTTCCTTGCTTTTGACGTTCACATACTACGTCATAATGAATAGAGTTGTGCGCTAAGCTTCGGTAAGATTTCGTTTGACGTAAAAATGAACAAAAAAGACGTACAAGGGACATTCTAGTAACAGGATTAAAACAAAAGTTTGTTAGTAAATAAATCAGGATAAGGCTTATTGAAGGAAACAGTATGTAAATTTAGGAATTTCTTTAGTTCTTCCACTATTAGAACGGCTTTTATTTATTTATTTGAAATGTATTTTGCACTTTTTAGAGATATGAAATCGTGGCCTCGGTGATTTTTGCAATGGATCGCAAAAGAAAACGTCAATAACGACATTACATTCAGTAGAACGAACTAGTAGATTCCTTTTCAGGCTGGCCTTTCTGAGTTAGCAGTTTTATCGATTGCATTGGAATTCTTGTCACTTTACTTTTATTTATTTATTTCTTTGACGATTGATTTCATAAAAATGTCAGCGTTGACATCTTCCCCAAGCTTAGTGGATATTTTAACACGTTTATTTTTATTCTAAAAATAGTTTTTTATTCCGAAATTCTGATGATTTTACGCCTACTGCAACCATAGAAATAATTTCTCAAATCCCAAATGGATTCTTTGGTTTCGTTTCGTTTGAATCAATTTCCACCATGTCTAAACAAGACATAATAGTGTTCCTTCGAAAAGAGGAATTATAATATAGTTATGTGGACAGAATCTTATTTCTATTATATAGTTTGTCATAATGAATGCTGTATTTTAACAGGGTTTGCAACTATAAACAAATACAATTTAGGTTATTTCCCTTTTCATTTATTTGCATGGTTCCAATCGTTATATTTTTTAGTAATGATTCATTCCATTCGGAAATCTCTTTACTTTAATGAATCCTCAGGAAAACCAAAGTCGTTGTTGGCCCTATCCTTTGTGTGTTTATTTTACATACTTCTGACTTTTTTTTTTTTTTTTTTTTTTTTCTTTCCTTACAATGTAATGTCAAAGTTCACGATCAAAAATCAAAAAAGTAACGCTTTCCACTTTTTTATTCCTATCCTGTCTAATATTTTGTATTTCACATTTGTTTTTACTTTTATAACATGGAGTTGATTTGATCCAAAAGAGCAGGATCCACCATGGATAAGTAACTTTTTTCAAATAATTCTGGTCCTCCATTCTTTTCTTGACACTCGAAGAAGGTGGACACAAAAAAGGCTTTTGACTGCACACTGTGAACAGGATCTCTGGCCAAAACCTAAACTCTGTTAGCCATCATTATTTTGATATTCCTTACCATTTTACGCCGGCTCATCTCCTCTGAGCTCTCGTCCAAGTAGAATCCAACTGTGGAATAATCTTCATTTTTATAGTAGATAGGTGCGCTGCTTGTTAGCTTTCTCAGTCTAAATCTTGCATAACGAAATAACATATATACTTACTCTCCCTGTTCGTCTTCCTCAACCTCGCTTAAAACACTAAACCAAAGATGCATGATTGGACTCAAGGCCTCCAACACTTCTTCAGCATTCGTACGCAGCAAGGAGGTAATTGCAAGCGCTGTCAGCTTCCTGTCTTTAGCATGCGTAATATAATCAAACTAGTAAGTTCATTAGTTATTTGTTTGCCCACCTTTTTTCATACCAATGAAATCCAGTTTTGCAACAGCATATACACACTTAGCCTGTGTACCAAACACGTGTTTATTATAAAGTTTGGAAATGATAGGCCAATTCGAGATAACAGCAATGAATACTGTACAAGTGTTTGAGCATGTTTCTATATGACGTTAGTAATTTTGATCCTATTCAAATGCATACCTCTGAGCTTATGATGGATTTCGACAAAACAGGAAGCAAAGTAGAGCGGTTCAGGGATTCCTGAAGAGAATCTTTAACATTCACTTCAAATATTAAACTAAGTGTTTTACATAGAGCTAAAAGCGTATCGTTTTTCACGTCATTCAAAAGGCTCGTCAACCTTTCTAGAACCTCAAATGAATAATTGTCGATGATGACTCCGCTTTCAAGTAAGAGATAGCTATTCAAAATCATCAAGGTAAAAGGAAGGGATGATGTAGCTTGAGAAAGCTGATGTAACAAATGTGGAATGAGTAGCGTAAACTCTTCAGGAAGCTCTTGAACATACTGAAGAAAACAACTCCAAAGCTCCATCGCATCTGCTTCGTACATAACGATTTCAGGAGACTCGGGATTCACGCAATAGTTGATAATCATAGCTAGCATTCGGGAAAACTGTATCGATTTATGTTTAATTGCCTAAATAAGGTTAGAAAAATAACAGATCATTATACATACAATCACGAATTGAGTCAAGACTCCCAAAATTCTTGTTCGAAGTATAGGCTCACTAGCCCATTCATTCCATAACTGGCCTAAAAGAGAAGCAGTCATTTCTTCCAGAGGAGCTATGTTAGTTCCAGCTCGAGAAAGTAGCGTGCCAAGTAAAGTTAACGTTGAGGTTTTTCCTTCCAAAGTTTGAAACTCGTTTATGGATGATAAAACACTGTAAAAAAGATCATTCTTGACATTCAGAAAATCGCTTTCTGAAAACGACCAATCATCCAAGACAGCTCGCAAAGAATCTATAGATGTGAGCCGTACAACAGAGTCATTACAGGGATCATTTCGATTGAGTAATAGCGCGTAAATGTGATATATGAACCCCATCAATGGCCCATCAGAGGGTAGGTAGTCTATCCATTGAGACAAAAAGATAGATATCCTTCTTCTTAAGATGCGAGCAACTCCACCATTGGTAATTTTCGCCAAATTGGGGATAGCTGCCTTTTTCAACCAGTCAGCAAACGGAAACATACCCTTCAAATGAGGTGCACCAGTACCAATAGAGCATAAAAGAGCATCTTGCTGGATGGACTCTTCCAATGTAGATGGGCAATGAAAAACCGATTCTAGCATACTTTCAAACTGATGGGAATAAAACTCCCCGAAATGGTCAAATAGGCATTTCAATAAGTTTTCAGAGCAAGGCTACATATGTTAGTATAAATTTCACCAATTTAATAAGCATGACTTACCCGAATGTTATAGTCGGCGTCGTGGGTGGATTGATCAAGGACCCATTGTTCAGGATCTTCTGACCATTCCTCAAAGTCGGATTCAGAAAGAACAAGCAATTTTGTAATAATGAATTGCAGAAGCAAGAAATGTCTATCATTTAAAAAGAATGATTGACGAATTTTTTCGCATTGTTCAGGATGAGAAGATTTTGTATCCTCAATTTCTCTCAAAATAGTAATGAATACTCTCAAACTCATTAGAGAAAGCTTTTCTAAGTCTTTCATTGTCTCAGGGAAATCGGAAGAAGCCAAAAAAAGCTTGTCGACCTGTAACAGCCATGACATATGGACGGAAATATAGTCAATGGTAGACGGGAAGACTGTCAAACATGGAGAATATGAAGCAAAATCAAAAAATAACTTGTTGAAAAGATAACCATGGGCAAACAATAGCTCAGAGATACGGTCATCAATCTGCGATGATGAAGGCGACATGTAGAGATTGGAAAGTAAGTTCAAGACTTTTTGTTGAGAAACTGCTCCAAAAGAAAGCATCTCTCTACTGAATTCACTATCACTAGGGTTTGGTACACCGAAAATAACCAATCTTCTACATGTCTTGAGGACATAGCGTGAAATCTGCATAGAGTAATACATTGCTTCCGACGAATGGGTAGACGAAGTTTCAAGCGAATGAATCCATTGGGAAAGATGCCAATCCAAAATTGGTTGTAAAGTCAAAAGAAGATGGGGAGTTACCTCATAAAATGTTTTCCTAGCTTGAAGCAACCGGTTTCCAGCCATGGCTTTGACTATATGGTGTAAGGTTATAAGTAATCGCAATGCTAAATGGGGTTGTTGGGCATCAAAGTTTTGATGAAGGCTAGAAATTAGCTCCTGAAACAGCGAAGGCCATTCCGTTGGGTAATCTTGGCGAGCTATTCTGGATAAGACCAAAGCATTTTGAACAACAAGTTGGTCTTCTGAGTGTATAGACCCAGCTAGAGCATTATTTCGAAAGAAATCCCTTTCTCCAGACAACAGAGATCTGTTGGAATAGTTAGTGTTTGCTACGCAAGGTTAAAAGAGCAACAACGTTGTGTCCAAAATCCAACTTACGACTTTGTATTTTTTCTCCAAATAACGTCAATAGAGTTTCTAATTTGAATGATGGCAAGCCACCGCAAACTGACATCGTTTTGTTTATCTAAAAAAATACTGTACAATTTGGCAAAGAAGCCAGGTTCTTTCTTCCATTCTTGAAGATACGTCTCTGCATCTTTCACAGCGGCGGGATCTTGGCTGGCTGCTCGTTTTAATTGATATAGCACAGGATCTATTTCCATGAGAAACAGAAAACGAAACCAAGAGCTGTTGATTGTAACATTCTAAAGAAACTGAACTGGTCCCTAATAGTGTCACAGTCGGTTACTTCGTTAAGATGAACAAAAATACAAATTGTTATAGGTAACGAATATTATATAATATTCATAAGCTTAAAGAACTGTCGCATACTACGAAGTAGGCAAACATTAAAAAACGTGATAAGGAATTATAAAAACAAAGAAGAAGATTACGTTTACAAGGTTAGAAAAACCATATTTACTCATTAGTCTATAGTTAGGATTTTCAGACTGGAATATTCCACTGTACAGGCTAAATAAGATTGCCTTCAAAGCATTTTACGCACTTAACCATATCCCTGAACATTAATAACTTCTATACTCGTAGTAAAACTAAAACGATAACATTTTAATTGTTTATTCCGCTCGATATACATTCTTGAGCGGCTTGAGGTTTCTACCATGACGACCGGTCTCTAGAGGAAGCTTTAATATTATTAAATATTACCTCAATATATAAGACTAAAGCATTTGATATAATGATGTTACCTGGGTCTAAATAATACGAACGATGAAAATGGATTTCAAAGATCGTTATTCATGATGCTTTTCATATTGTAGAAGAGAATGATTAAAATTAAGATAATCATTTCCATTACACTCTTCGGTCCTTAAGATTTTTTTGAAAAAGCCAATTCATCCTTAAGAATCATGGTCCTACTCAACCAGGCCTTCGTTTCATCATACATAGTAACGAAAAGCCCAAAGGAAAATTCTGAATTGCAATTACAATCACCTATTCCTTATTCGAATTTCAATTACATGAATGATTTTTTGTATTATCCCCGTGACAGGATCAAAACAAAAAAAAAATAAAATATCATTATAGTAAATTGGAGAAATTAAACAAACAGAAAGGAATCCAAAAAACATGCACCTTTATTTACAGCATAGTAGTAAAAACGAAACAAGGGAAGGCATAAAGAAAAAGTGTCTCCAGCACAATATATGAAAATTTACTTGACATCCGATTAGAAAACGAATGAATTACTTAGAGCCCAACAGCACTTATTTTCAGCAGCAATTTTTTAAATGACTGCTTCATCTTTTAAGTTTGTTTACATGTTTGCAAACTGCGGTTTAATAAGCATTAAAAAAAAGAGAAGGAAAGACATGATACATGAATTGCTCTACAAGAACAACGAAATTCATCAAGAGCTTAGAATTTTAGTTCAATAGACAAATGCATGTGTTTTACTTCTTTTTCTTATAGACATACTTTGTTGTTTTCCGCATATTCTTTGTTTTCTTTATATAGAATAAAGACATTGCAACAGGTCGTTAATTCCTTACTTCACCCGGCATGTGACCTCCTCGTCTTTCCACTAAACATAAACAAATTATTCTTCATCTAAAAGAATAGAGGGTAGTTAAATTTTGAGTTTTTAAAACCATAGATTGATTTTCGGTAGCTCATTGTACGTTGCAAGGACTTTCTCTTTGTATTTCTGGTTTTTAGATTCGTTTATAGCGAACACGTGTTTGGACAATGAAGATTTCTTTGGATCCTTCCACTCAATCCAATTATTATGATGTTGCTATTCAACATTTACTGTTAGATGCTGAAATCGACTTTGACAAAGAACTTCTTTTTGGTGCTGTCGAGTACAAAATTCAAGCTGCACGAATTTCTCAACCACTGTCCCATATTATTTTAGACACATCCTACCTGGATGTTAAGGACGTATCCTTAGATGGTACACCTGTTCCTTTTCGTATCGATGAACGCCATGACTTTTTAGGATGTGCCCTTCATATCATTCCTCCAGAGCCAATCCCAGCCGTGAATGTTGCAACTTTACGTATTAATTATTCTACTACTAAGGAATGTACAGCGATTCAGTTTCTGGAGCCTAAACAGACCATTGGAGGAAATGCTCCCTATATGTTTTCTCAATGTCAGGCCATTCACGCTCGTTCTATGCTACCTTGCCAAGACACTCCTTCTGTAAAAGTTCCCTGTACCTTCCACATACGTTCTAAACTTCCCGTCATTGCATCTGGTATTCCCTGTGGTACCCGTGATTTCCGCAACGATTCTCTCGTATACATGTTTAAACAACCTCTTGGTATTCCTTCTTACTTAATTTCCATCTTAAGTGGTGACCTCGCTTCTTCTTCCGTTGGCCCTCGTTCAACTGTGTATACCGAGCCTGACAACATTGTTGCTTGTAAGTTTGAGTTTGAACATGACATGGAGAAGTTCATGAAGGCTGCTGAATCTCTTACTACTCCTTACGCATGGACGCGTTATGACTTCGTTGTCCTTCCTCCTTCTTTTCCTTATGGAGGCATGGAAAACCCCAATGCGACATTTGCTACTCCCACTCTTATCGCTGGAGACCGTTCTAACGTCTCTGTCATTGCTCACGAACTTGCTCATTCTTGGAGTGGTAACCTTGTTACCAATGAGTCTTGGCAATGTTTCTGGCTTAATGAAGGTATGACTGTATTTTTAGAGAGAAAAATTATTGGCCGCGTTCAGGGAGAACAACATCGCCAGTTCGATGCCATTATCGGTTGGGGTGAATTGAAAGAAGCTGTAGAACTTTTCGGTAAAGACCATGAATTTACCAAGCTTATCGTAGACCTCAACGGAAAGGATCCCGATGATGCCTTCTCAACTATTCCGTACGAAAAAGGTTTCAATTTCCTATATGAAATCGAGCGGGTTGTCGGTGGTCCCACTGCTTTTGAGCCTTTCTTGTCTTTCTATTTTAGGAAATTTGCCAACTCTACTGTCAACGAAACAAAGTTTAAGAACGCTGTTTATGAATTCTTTAAGCCTTTGGGTCTCTCTGATGCTCTTGATTCCATCGATTGGGATGCGTGGTATTATGCACCTGGCATGCCCCCTGTAACGCCCAAATTTGATACTACATTAGCTGACAACTGTTACAAACTTGCCGATGTGTGGGTTAGCAGCGCTAAATCTTCTCAAGATCCAAATAGATTTAAGAAAGATGATATAGAAGGTTGGTCAGCTGGTCAGCTTTCTCTTTTCCTTGATGTTCTTTTTGAGGCAGACGCCTTCCCACATAATTATATAGCAGCCATGGATTCTGCTTATTCCTTCTCCAGTTCTAGAAATGCTGAAATTTCTTTCCGCTACTTTAAGCTTGTCCTCAAGAGCGAATACCGCCCTCTCTACGACCTTGTCGTTGAGCAGGTGGGCAAGGTTGGTCGTATGAAATTTGTCCGGTATGTTCTTTCCTCTTTCCTTCTTTATTGGAAACATTAATGATTTTTACTTTTTTTATTAACATCTTTTTTAGCCCTACTTACCGTTTGTTAAACCAAGCTGATCGTGAATTGGCTGTGAAGACATTTAGAAAATATAGCGGTTTTTACCATAAGATTTGCGCCGGCCTTGTGAAGAAGGATTTAGGTATTAGCGAAAACTAAAACATCTCCCAAGTTTAAATATCTACGATTCAGTACATCTCTCTACTTAGTCTAATTACTATTTACAAAGATAATTTTACATATTTGACTAGACACATTTTTAGATTACATGAAATAAGAATAAATTGAACACTTCTAAGTATTTCTGTGAGCAAATCGTAGAAAGAACGTAAAGAAATCATATATCGTCATCTTCTTGCTAACGTAGTGAACAACAGTAATTTACAATAGAACTAAAGGAAAACTTCATGACAAAAGCTAATCATAAACATGAAAATCCATGCAAGCAATGACTTAATGCAAATAAGGAAAAAAGAACTTTAATGTTCAAGGATGTTGAGGTTACCCGTAATAACACAGTTTTCAAGGACAGAACCATTAGGAATATCGATAGTATTAGCGTCACTAGCAACAATAATAACAGTACCCTTAAGAGTAACATTACGGCCAATGTTAACATTACCAGTGATCGTAAGATGATCTAATTCCAAAATCTTAGGAATGCTAGGAATATGGGAGGTGAAATCAGCAACCTTCTTGAAGTGAGTACCCAACTTAACAAGAGGAGCAGAGCCACCGAAACGACGAGGGTTCATGTCCAATTGACCATGGTTAATAGAATAGAGATCAGACTTGACAAGGAGCAGGTCAGAGCAAGTCTTAACAGGCAAGAAACGTCTTCTAGGTACGTTAACACCATGAGCGTTCTTGAAGTGACGAATGGCAGCACCAGCAGCAGTTTCCAATTGAATAATGTTGATATTTTCGCCCTTGTGCTTAATAGTCTTGTTGTTAGGAATGATTTCCATTGAAAGCTCATGGTTTTGAACGACACGCTTGACGGAAGGAAGGTGGAACCAGAGATTGTTGGTATTGAAGTACTTAAACTTCTTAATGGACTTGAATTCCTCTACATGTTGAGAAGGAACTTGGGCAATTTCAAGCAAACGAACGTTACCATCATAGTCAATCAATGTACCACCCTTAACGTCAGCCTTGGTTTTGTTGGTCAATTCCATAATATATTCGGCCTTCGTTTCAACCATGTGGTTAAGGATGTTCAAATCCACGACGGCACCTAAGTTGTCGATGTTGCTGACAAACAAGTATTCCTTACCTTCAGCAAGAAGCTTGTCAATAATACCGCTGTTTGTAAGTGCTTCAAAAACATCACCATGACCAGGAGGGTACCATTGGTCGATGGGAGAATCAAATGAGTCAGCAACGGGAAGCAAAGTCTCTTTGTGAACACGAGGGAAACGAGATTGGTTGAAAGTCAAGATATCAATCTTATGTGCTTCATATTTCTTAATGAGTTTAGCGGTAGCCTCATCAGTGTTGAAAGAGTTCATCAAGACAAAAGGGACATTCACATTATATTTTCTATTCAAGTGCTCAATTTGACGAACGGACAAATCCAAGAAGCTGTTTCCTTCACGAACTTCAATGATAGACTTGGGACCAACGCAGCCCATCGTAGTACCCAAACCACCGTTTAACTTTAAGACAGCCAGCTTGTTCAAGTAGTCACGAGTAAGAGTAGTATCACTCAAGGTGTCATATTCAACGACTTGCTCAGGTTTAGGAGATTTGACCAAATCCCAGTCAATCTCAGTACCCTTAGCATTCTCTTGCAAGTAGCGGTTGAACAAGCTAAAGAAGTTGTCCATCTCCTTCTTGAAAGCATTCTTAGTTTCAGGATCTTTGACAGTTCCAGTAAGATGATTCAACTCATTTTTCATAGTACTAGCAGCAATACTAGTAGCAGTAGTGTCAAAAGCAAAGGCGGATTGAGACTTGCTGTGCTGGCGGCCAAGAGGACGAGAGGGAAGCTCCATTTTGCTAACTTTGTTCTTTAATGAACGGTCTAAAACGATGGATAACAAGTGAGTGAACCGGTAATGGTAGAGGCTAAGTTTATGTGTGGCTGCACTTATATAAACATTTGTCTGACATCAGGGTTAGGTAACACTGGTAACAGATGTTACGATGACATTCTATTTGAGGACGGTCCGGGTGACATAGACCAGCAAAATAAGCAATAAATAAAATAATAAATAAATAATGTAAGTCTATAATTTTAATGCAGCAATAAAAAGATTCTGTTGTTATTGTTTATATCCTTCAATAAATTCTTTATGTCTCGTAAAAAGGTTCTGGAAGGTACCGTTGGCATAGAAACATTTGTTACCTTATGACTCTTGTTGAAGGACTCCACCACAGCAACCACTGACATTTATTTATACACAAATGGCCAGCCATGTAAACAAATACGTGATTTGCAAGAATGACCATATTCGATAGGGGACAACCTTTGTGAATGTATGTAAAAATAGGAAAACCTTGAATAGTAAAAAATTAAACGGTTTAGCATTTATAGGCTGATTCAAAATTTGTACATTTGAAACCACTTTCACCATTGACGGCTCTTATGAGGAGGTTTTGGAAATGATTTTCGTTTTTCTTTTAGACTTTCGTACAAAACATATTTCATTGGAACTTTCATTTCATTTGCTAGGTGTGAAGAAAAAAAATTAAAGTCCTTAAAGAAGTTTTGATTATAGGAACCCAGGGTGGATATACAATACATTGCGTTGCATCTACAGGAAAAACTCAACAGAAGAAAAGTATAAAACAAAATAAATAATTCACAAGGAAATAAATAAAAGATCCTTAAAACGATTGTAAAGAACGGACCACTCATATTAACCTTAAACCGTAAAGGCATTAAATCAAGAAAAGCCGAATAAAGGAAAAGAAAATGATTACTTGTGAGGTCTCGGGAATGTTCGGGCAAAAGAAAATACAGCTGAGGTAATATATAAACAATGGATGAAGGAAAAATATAGCAATGACTGGCATGTCTAAGAAAAAGAAATAAGTACAGCATCAAAAAAAATAGTAAAAATAGCGTCCGTCCCCAGGAACCAAACGTATTTAACTAAGGAAAGAAAGGAGCACAAATGTTTCAAGTCCTTTATGTAAATTTAGCGTCTATTTTAACTTTGGGATTCTGTGGAAGAAGTCATTTTGTTTTCTTCACTTTCTTGTTCATCAAAAATTGTTGGTTGCTCAGGATTTGAGACCTGAGGTGGTCGCATCCGCCTTGCCGACCGAACAACAACGAATCCTTTTTCCTTGTTATTCTCTTTCTGCCGAAGTGGATCTCGAAGAGTTCGAAACACATTTTGAACTACGTGCCAAGTTCTAGCTAACCTACCTTGTGGTATAGGGTCGGCTAAGTCAGGTCTACTATGATTCATACGCATCGATAACTGAGATAACGACTCAACGTCAGCATCAACCTGAGGATGGTACACATCGGCTTCGCGAACGGCATAATTCGTGTCATGCGCAAAGAGACTTGGCTTATCATTCAAAAAGTCTAACTGCAACGTGCGTAATTGATCCCTGTCTCTCTTTCGGACAGAAGTATTGACTTTCGGAGGGCGGTAGAATGAATACCCTCGGGTATCATTGAAAGGAGATAATGGCGAAATTGGTGACTCCATATTTACAGTACCAGCCTGACCCGGATTTTGAGGGTCATTATCCGTATTCAGCATTTCAATTCCGCTTGTTTGAATTGTCAAGCTAGGAAATTCGTGTTTAGATGTAGGAGAGATAAGACCAAGAGGGATGGAGTTACCAATGAATGAATGCGATGTTTTGTCAAGAGTCGAGTGTGCCATCAAACTATTTTCATACGGATTTTTTCGACGACGGCGTTTTAACTCATTAATACCAAAAACGCGAGCCCATCCAAAGGGTCTATCCAAGGGAACTCCTTTACGTTCACTATTAGCACCTAAGAGTCGTGCGGTGACTTCAAAAAATCGCTGACTTGATATTAAGAAAAATATGACATAGACAAGCGCATGTATGAAAAGAATTGTATAAGTCAATAGCTTATTTCTATTACTCAGAACATCACGTGCATGGACTAGAGGCATCATTAAAACAACTATAATCAGACGAATGATAGATAAATAGCAGCTTAATATGTTCATGTTCGTCTGAGGATAATGTGGGCGAAACACGGTATATGCGACTAGATTCGCTACTTCTAGAAGAAAATATATCGTAACTTGAGCTGACCCAGAAACTCCAAGGACACCAACAGTAATGCCACGTATAAATTGCACAATAACAGGAAACACCCAAAACATCAGCCTCTTCTCCCGATATGAATTATAAATAGACCCATAAAGGTGTAAATAAGTTTGGTCCTCAAAGAGCTTTGAAACTGGCTCGACAAATGACAAAAATAAGTATAAACATCCAGGGAAAAAAATACCAAAGAATATAAAAATGAGGACCGGTATAATTTCATAGCCACTTGGTTCAACCACAAATTGATAAGACATATACGATATAGTAGGAAAATAGGCTAAGAAATAAATTCGAATAAAAAAGCCACCGATAAAACTCCATGTATCCCAGCGCGTTTCAACGATTGTATCATGAAACATTTTTGACATAACCCACTTTAACAGAATTATCAAAAGAGCCAACAATAACGCTGCACCAATATACACTGCCACTACTATTAAATATGGGATCCAGCAAGATTGCCTGGTGCCTAAGGAATCAAGAAACGAAGCCATACCATAGCTATCCGGAACAAATTGGCTGTATGCAACATCATCGACGTTTGCTAAATCTGTATAATCTGCAAATTGATAGGTTGCATACTGAGAAAAGATAGGGAATCTAAAAAGAACGGTACTCCAAGACAGAGCAGCCATAAGATTAATATAAAACTTCGGAAATGCAACATTCAGTTGAGACGTAGATACAGCAAATTGCATATATCCAATAAAATCAGAAAACCCAAGCGCGGTTAGACGAAGAGCATCAGGATCCATACTAAAGTTGAACAATGCTCTAAAGGGATCAAGACTTCCAGTCCATGGATTGAGAAAGAGGGCGTAAACTATTGAAAAGGACACGAAAGCAAGACAAATCAACGAGGTATATGCGACTACAGGATAAAAGTAGCTAAGCACAATCGACAAGTCAAATGTGACGCAAGCTATCAAATTCCGCTCAGGAGTCCCGTCCACTATTATAAGTCTATTTGTAAGTGACGTGAGTTCATATTTGGAGTAATCGAGAACAGTTGATCCAAATGGAATGTCTATCATGAATGATACACTTCCGGCAGGCCAGGGACATTTGATGGGTACACCAAAGCTATGAACATCCATCACAGCGTCACAGAGCTTCGTGGATGTTTTTGTGACTAGCGAACCTAGGGCATACGTTTCAGAGTATATCGTCGCAGCATGGACGTTTTCACCAGAACCTCCAACTACTGTTATCTTTTCAGTAAGATTCCCTATCACTTGAATATAATAATGCCTATTTTGTCTGTCGAAGTGCTTTACCAGCGCGTACGGGGTAAAATAAGGGACATCATGCTTCCTATGACTAGGTAGACAATCTTGAAAATGTCCCAACGTTGGTGATCCTTCCGCAATTTGAAAAAACGAGCCAAAAAAGAGTAGTAACGAGATGAATAGTAGAAGCACTCGATAAGCCATTCTTATTGAATAGCAGACATTATTTTGAACTGTAATTTTCAACCCAATAAAGCAATTGCAAACGAATTTCGTGTCAATACTAGAATCACAAATGTATACTAGGCTTCTTTGTGCTTCAAACTATAGTGACTTTTCTGAAAAGGAGATGCAATTGCACCTAAAAAATCAAAAATTTTTTTTTACCACGACTAAAATTTATACAACAACTTGGTTTCAGTTAATCTTTCCTCTTTTCTTGCCTTTATTCAATAAATTCTGGGTTTTTGGGCTTACTGGAAGTAAGAGCAGGGTCATATAGTGTAGGTGGTACTTCTCAGTAAAAGAACATCGACTCCCTCATTACACCAGTAAGCCAGCTTTTCAATAAAAGGTAGAAAATACAATTTACCAGACAACACCATATAGAGCAACAGTAGAAAAAGTGTTTCAATAGATTAGAAATTCCTAAAATTATAATATCATTATCCATCATTAAACGAAAGAAACTAATTACATAACCCAAACATCGTAAAGATAAAGCGATAAAACTACACATAAGAAATGTTTCGTTCATCCAACCAGTGATTCAATGTACAAAAGTCAACAGGTACTCCATGACTTAATAAATCATTATGAAGTTGGAGAAAGGAAACTGAGGCATTTACAGTGTCCTTCTTTGAAAACTGTGCATACATCCTCTTTCCTTTAGGACTCTGAAAAAACCTAGTGATATTGGAAGAGTTCAGTATACTTGAATACTTTGGAGTGGTCAATCCATTGAACTCATCATCTTCATTTATAACCTCATCGGCAGGCGCTTCCAAGACTTCAAAAGAGTCACAAGATTCTTCACTCGCATCTGATGTGGGAAACTCCGACATTCCAAAATACGTACCACTTTTCTCCAAATCATAGGATTCCTTAATCCTTTTCAAAGTATGCTTGTTTTCATGCAACTGATATTCCACGTCCATAGTAGGGTGTCCGTAATACATGAGGTATCCGTGCTCATCAACGACTTGATTATGTAGGATTCGGGACGGATAGATCCATAGATATGGAGCTACTTTTTGCGGTAATTTGCTCTCGGAAAATTCACGTTCAGGGTTTTGATTCCCCGAAGCCCTAGAGAAGACAATTTTTTGATTCTTGGCACACAAAATTGCAATCCGTGGCTCAATTAATGTATTGCTTACTTTCGTCCTTATTGCACGCTCCAAGTCAATCCCTGACGAAGGTTTCAAAGGTATAATTGGTTTCTTTTTTGGGATAACGTGACCAAAGAAACCCAACGGCGATCTTATTCCCTTTCCAATGTTCTCCTTTCTTGTGTTTTTCTTGGGGCTGGGATGTAGCTCCTTGAATGACTTTTGCACCCGAGACGTTATGGTATTCCCGGAAATTTTGGATTTTCTTTCCTTGATTGGATTCCTTCCAATTTTAGAGAACTCCTCTACCATCTCCGACTCTTTGTTCACGAAGGAACGAAGCGTTTGCTGCCGCGGTCGACTATGCGACTTCATATAATATCGAAAGTTTTCCAACCTTTCAGTAAATAAAGAAATTGGGTCATTCTTCTCAGTACTTTGATCCTGTTCCAATTCATTCTTCCATTCGCTTTGCTGCGTCGTTGATTCATCCATATTCTTCTTCTATTTCAGGTTTTCTCGCTAATGACCCTATAATCTAGTCATCTCAAAAATTAAATTTAAATATAAGAAAAATTATTTCTTTTTTGACAATTTAATGCTCCTTTCTTATACCTTTTTGAAACTACTGCACTTAAATATGTATATATAAAATATTTGTGAATAGTTTATTTTGTCGCGTTAATTTTCGCTAGTAAACAAGTCATCGCAAGTTGGTAGTGCAAACAACCTTGAATGAGGATGATCTTTCAATGAAACAGAATATGAATTGAAAAGTTAATCTTATTAATATATTATAATAAACCATAGATCCCTAGTATACAGATTTTAATTTTCAACGATTGAAACAAAAAGCTGATTTTGAAATGGCTGAACGTAATCAATGCGGAATGCTTGTCTAGTTAAATGGTATTTTTCTAACCCAGTTAAGGCATTGAGTTGTGCCTTAAGCCCAAATTCTTCTAGTATTACACTTGAATGTCTGTCAATGTTCACTATGCCATGGCAAATGGGTAGCTTATTTTTTGGAAGTCGTGCCAGATATTCCAAAGCCCAGAAGCGATCAGTATATCGACTCGTGTATTTCATAACTTTTCCCCTGAAACTATAAAGAGGCAGCTTTGATTCTATTTGCTCTCTAGAAATCAACTTTGATTTGTCCCCCAAGAGTACGCATTGCATTTGATAATGGTTTATCAAATCTGTAAATCGACGAAGAGGAGACGTAGACTGCATGTAACCAGACTTGATACCCAGAGAAAAATGTGGAGACTTTCTGGTCGCCATGTAAGAAGAAGTCAAATACGAAGAGATAGGATACACTTGCTTCAAAGGAACCATACCGAATTCGTCTCGCGCGCGGAGTAAAGAATCAAAGTTTTCAGTAAATGAGCTATCGAATGAAGAGGGTACATTTTGACCGCGGAATATACCTGGAATACGATAGTCGTCAAAGAATTTCGCGCTAACATGGCCAGCTAAAACCATACACTCCGCAACCAATAATTCTGCGATGTTCATACCAGAATGGTTTACTTTTAAGCATATAGAAGGAAAAGAGCTCCAATAAACTGGATTAACTCCACTTATTGAAGTTTCTGGAATTGTTTCTGGTAATAAATCCACGGAAAAAGACGGTTGGTCAGATAAGAAAGCATTATTCCTTTTTCTAAAGCCAGTAAACTTTTTCATTTCTTCCAAAATTTCCAAAACTTTCTTTTGGTCATCAACAGGTATTGCAGGCTCCTTCACAAGATCCCCTACTTGTAAAGAAGACCAAATTGTTACATTCTCTTTCTTTTTTAGGGCAGCACAGACTTGAGAGAAAGTATAGCGCTTTGCACGACGTATCCAGCTAGGCTGGACTTTGTAGTCTAGCACAGCACCTTTTTCAGATAATTTAGCACTAAACGTTAATGCTTTTTGCCTATCGTTTCCATCCAACGTCCATAGTAATTTGGTCAATTCCAATGGTAACATAAATTTCTTTTCAATATGCGTTAAATATACGGTCTGAAAGTTTTTCTCAGCAAAAGCCATAAGAGGGCTATTGAGATCAATCATGCTGGAAGGATTTGCTATATGGATGTGCATCCAAGTCCCGTCATTTTTTTTCTCAATGGAAATTGCATCATCAACTTCAACTGTTGATGAACTATCGAATGCAAAGGCATCCAGGTGTGTAAAGTCTGTTCTCACTTCTTCGAGAACATCTCTTGAAACGGAACGACTAGGATCAGAGAAAGAATGAAGATCCTGTTCGTATTGTTTTCGATTTGTAGGATGTAACTGAGGAAAAGCAATGCGTACTTCTGGTAATAACAACCTGGATATCGTCCATGGAGACCAAACGCCAATATCACACAAGAACTCATGAAAATTATTAACTGCCAAGTCTTCCTTACACTCATAAAGACCTATTTCTTTATATATTTCAGAAAGAAGAGGATGGGGCACTCTCTGCACATTACACAGAATCGTCTGAAATTTTATAAAATTAATCATCATTTTGTCATATTCTCCCCATACGAAAGAACGCAATGCAAATGGCTTTATCTTTTTAGTACTGCTGGGGAGTGTCTTATAACGTTTATTTTCTATCAGATGCCGTGCTTTTCGTAGAAATGTAAGGTAACTAGGAGATTTGATCCGTACGGTAGTCAAAAAATTAGAATAATTTGAATTCTTGTATAACGGGTTCATGAAAACAGTCTGAATTTCCGAAAACAAGTGGTCCACAACTACGAAACGCTCATTGCGTGGGGTAAGGTAAGTCAAAAGTGCGATCTTCTCAGCAATTGTGGTGAATTGATCGCCGTATACTATCTTCAAAAGCTCAGGAAAAGTAGTCTGAAAAGGCATAGGCTTACGGGCTTGAAGCGTGGGATAAATCTCGTTGAATTTTTCATAATTCAAAAATCCGGCTTTTTGTACCTCTTTACTAAGATTTTTTAGGCTCTTGGTAATGATTTCCAATAAAGCAGGAGGAATAACCACCTGGCCCTTAAGTCTTTTGTTGTAACTGTAATCATTAAATTGAGGAATGAAATCAGGAAATCGAAGCAAAACTCTTGGTGTACGATTTAGACCCAAAACACCTCCTTCATTGATGGTCGTTATCAAGTTAGCATAATTCTTAGGATTTGTTCCCGCATACACGCCAATCTGCAACCCTGTCATAGGGTTCATCACTACTAGTAAATCTCCATAACGAAATGGATGAGAAGGCCCTAAAGGATCTTGGCCTGGCACCGAGGCGCATCCCACTTTCTCTTGGCTTTCCAGTGTATCGGGAGTATCTATATCGAAGGTGACGTTTTTTATTTTCGTATTATCATAGGTATTTTGAAGAAACTCCTTTATAGAAACAGGCATCTTTTTATTTTCGAGATCGAGGAGCAATTGCTCGACATCAATAGACTTAGGTGCATTATTACTCGCAATCCTAGTTGAGTCATCAGCCTGCTTCCGAGTAAATGCAAATGTAGAGAAGGAATTCCTTTTTAATATTATCGATACAATACTTCTTTGGCAACGGTTTAGTCGAGCGTTGCTACACCACTGATGCATATATCTCTTAATGCACAAAAGCTCACTCATTGTCCCGAGAGAAGGCGATACAAACGATCTAAACCCCAGAAAAGAGCCTTTTCGTAAGGAAAAGGATGGCTTAGAAAGCATAAGCAAAGAAAAGTGTGTCCTCTAAAAAGAATGGGTTGATTGCATTCAAGTTTGGCATCGTTTTTCTTTTAGACAGGTAACATGTTTCTTATATTTTTATTAGCGATGCCCTTTTTTGGAAATAAAAATGAATAGAAATAAAAAAAGAAATGGTATTCGCTAATTCTTCCTTGTTTAAAAGAGCTTATATCGCCGCCGATGAAAAAAAGAGAAGCATTCGTTTCAGATTTCAAGTATATCACCACGCTTTCCTACCCATGAAGGATATGCTCGTAAATAAAGTCAATCTTTCCAATTGCACCTTAAAACATACTTCTTATAGAAGACAAATCTATTTTTCATCAATTCTCTTTCGACAAAGAATGGTCTGTTTACACATACAAGTAACAATGGTTCGTTACCCTGTCGTACTTTCTTGCAATATTGTAAGTTTCTGATTAGTGTTCCTCTCTCAGGAGATTCTTTCCCTTTACCATATAATAAACAACGCGTTTATAAAGGATGGAACGCCCTACGCCGCGTGTTACTAGCGATATGCTTGGCGAATGCGCCGGTAGAACTGTCAGAATTGTTGGAAAAGTGAACCATGTGAGTGACCGTGCTGCGCAAGTGGAATGCAACGATCATCCCTTTGAAATGAACCTTACGGTCGATAATAATTTGGAACCTATGCATTTTTACGAATTTGTCATCTCTGTGAAACCTGATACTTCAGTACAACTTCTTACCTGCGTTGATTTTGGTACGAACATAGATATGGATGTATACAAACACCTTGTTCAGTTTAGCAACAAGTACAAATCGCTGTTCTACGAATAAATTACTTTCTCTCTCAAAAGGATAAACTCCTTAATTTTATAACTATCTTTTTGGTCTTTTTCTACTCCAGTCCAGTGTTCGTCGCGTCCAACGCGTCATAAAGCTAATTTTCATGCCACGTCGTCTTCTTTTTTACGAAATAACTTCTCTAAGGTCCTTTCGAATATTGAAAACATATATCTATCGGTCCAAATATACAATTTTTAGACATCGTTGACCTACCTAAGATTGATCTTTACGGAGCTCGAACGAGGGTGAACGTGCATAGTCTCGGGATACGGAGCCTAGCGTTTACCGTTTCTTCGTAAAATACTTTCCACAATAGCTACTTAGTAGGCTCTATCCAACTACCATACACGCTTGTGTATTCTGGCTAAATTGAACCGGAAGGAATTCTGCGAAGGAAAAAGGATATTACAAAGAATTTGGAGTCCTTTTACAAATCCAGCACTGGAAAGATCTAAAATAAACAGAACTATTGTCTTTTTTTTTTTTAGTTGATTAAGAACTAGTAGTGAAGCTTTGGTTGTCATTCGAATGTCCAATTCGTAAACTTATTTGCTTGCTTTACATCTTAATTCCTGTTTTCTCGCACGCTTTCATTCTTTCGGTTTTTTTCCTTCGAACACAGTTAGGTAAACAACCCAAATTACGTTGGATTGCCAGCTTTCGAAGGTTAAGCCCTTTCTCGTTCTATTAGTTTGCATTGCAGATTATCCAGTATAAATTAGGCTCTTTTCAGTTTTCCAGGGTCTATCCTTATTATCTGTGCAATCTATCGTTAATCGTAACCATTCTCTTATAGGCTTTCACTTTTGGCTATTTCAGTTTGGTAGTGATTTTTATATTAAGTATACAATGTCACAAAACACTCGTGCGGGTCGTAGGAACGGTCTAGGTCGAATTTGCAGTTCTATACTTGGCATCTGTACCCCCAAGAAGGAAAAAAAGGAAAAAACTACTCCTGTCAGGCCTCCAAGAAGCAACAGTGAACAGCGACCTCATTTGACTTTGCAGCCTGCCCGTTCGAATTTTAGTGAAGTTTTTCCCTCTCAATTGCAGGACAGCACGACTCCTCATGGTACTCCTGAATTCAAGAGTCATTCCTTTTTTAGAACCGACGTTGGTTCCTCAGCCAATCAACAGCCTCCTGCCGCTCTCACCGGTCATGTAGCTACTATGGACACAAGTAATGATGCTTCCACTTCTGTGACGCAGCCCGACACAATGAAGCAGGTTACTGAGGTTAGTTCTTCACCTTTGCCATCCGAGACACTTCAATCAAATTCAAATGATAAAGTACATAATTCCTTCATGCCGACAGAGTCACGATTGGTCTCCAGTACTGTGAAAGTTAGTGACGTGCCTGAATCCTTAAAACCGGCATCTACTGCTGAGGAATCTGTGAGCGAGGTATTAAGCCCTGCTCCCAATGCCAATGATCTTGGTGAAGAAATGATAAGCAAAGGAAGAAACCCTAGTAAATTGAATAAAGAACTTTCTGCTTCGAACTCGATGAAAATAGAAGGGACATCTACTGATCTTCCAGAGCAGCAATCGACACGTTCTGTACCTCTTACCCCTGAATCCGGTAAAAGTGTTGTTTCCGTGTCGGCTAAACAACCTAGGTCATCGTTCTCATCGCATGAAACTGTTGTACCTATACCTATAGAGACACGGACGGATAACAATCAAAAAGCAAACAATGAAAGTATAACGAAAGACCAATCCAAGCATGAGCGTTCTTCTAGCTCGTCTACAATAAATGGAGTCAACAATAACAAAGATACAGAACAATCTAATCAAATTGCTGCAGGTACTGAAAATGACTCAAAAGCGAAACCATTACGAAACGTTGATGGTGTCATTCAGGAAAAACCGGATGAAAACTTTTCATTACCATATGAACTTGAAGAAGATGGGTCATGGAATGCTCCTCTTCCATTTCCCAGTCCTCATTGTCATTTGACGCCTCAGTACCAAGACAAAGATTTAACTGAAGGACAAAGGAATATGTATAAAGAAGTATTCATTTACTGTAATGATTTAAAAGACATTCCTGTTTCTTCAAAATCCGATAAAACAGAAGGCTTGTCGGAAGTTGAAAAATACTTCCTAACTAAAGAATGTATTTTGAGATTTTTGCGTGCTACAAAGTGGAACGCAAGTGCTACCAAAAAGCGCATTTTAGATACACTTGTATGGCGTCGTCAATTTGGTGTCAATAATATGCATCCTGATGAGGTGCAGGAGGAAAATGCCACCGGGAAGCAGGTTTTGTTGGGGTATGATAAAGATGGTCGTCCTTGCTTGTACTTGTACCCTGGCAGGCAAAATACAAAGACATCACCTTTGCAGATTCGACATTTGGTGTATTTCCTTGAATGCGCCATCGACTTGATGCCACCAGGCGTGGAAACATTGGCTTTATTAATTAACTTCAGGGATTCTTCCTCTCGGTCTAATCCAAGCGTTGGCCAGGGTAAGGAAGTCCTTAATATTCTTCAAACTCATTATTGTGAGCGTCTTGGTAAGGCATTAGTTATCAATATTCCCTGGGCGGTCTGGGGCTTTTTTAAATTGATTTCTCCGTTTATAGATCCAATCACACGAGAGAAGCTCAAATTTAATGAACCTTTAGATCGTTATGTTCCTATGGATCAACTTGACACAAACTTTGGAGGCTCTTTAAAATTCGAGTACTTTCATGAAAAGTATTGGCCTCAGATTGTAGAATTATGTAAAATCCGTCGTCAAATTGGACTTGAAAGATGGAGAAAAATGGGTTCTAAAATTGGTACTAGTGAATGGGATATTAAAGGGGGAAATGATTATATTAAGGATATGAGAAGTTATGTTCGTCCTGGATTCAGTATTCGTTCCGCTTCTCCGACAGTAGCTCCGACAGTGAACGAGGAAAAACAAGAGAAGCTTTTTACGAATTACAAAGAATCGGATTCCAGTAATCTAGAATCTAGAAATATCAATGGAGAGAAGGCTGATTTCGGAGCTTATCTGAATAATGAACGGCAACAAGTGCAGCAGAAACTTCAGGGGGCAGATCAAGATTTCAACCATACTAGAAAGCTATCTACGGCTAGTGATGCTGGGTCATTTGTAACTGCGGATGGTATGGATTGAATTATTTATACTAAGATGGATTGAAGTTCATATTTTGTTCGCTCTCTTTAGACTATGTTGCTGAATACTCGTTTGCAAGCTTTGGCCATGAAATACGTGTTTTAATAGATGAAAATAATTTTAATTCAAAACTGGACGCGTGGTATTTTACGAAAACAGTTACAAGCTTTTTTAGTTATTAGCAGATTTAGTATATATCAATATAAATCTGGTTGTTGTTTATAACTACATCCTTTATATTTGCTTTAGAAATTTCATTTCCATTAGATGAGCGTTAGTGAATTATTACCGGTCTTTGTTGGGTACTACCAGTTCATTCACTCATTTTGTCTACTTAAAATACTAACCACTACCAGAACTGTGCTGTATCTGATTTTAAACATATGAATTAAAAGAATGACTATATAATTATTTATTCAAAAAGAAATAGTTAGACGCATATGGCCCGCCTTGCTCAAATTCTTGATGAGGTTTCATCACTGAAAATCAAAACCAGAAATGATGCCATTGAAGAACTTCGAGCTTTTATAGTTTATTCTAGAAATAGAAAAGACTTAAAGGAACAGGATTGCTCGGTTATTCAACGAATCCTTAAGCGTTTATTTGAAGTGGAGAGAGAAATCAACTATCAAAACACCAAAAGGCAGGTTTCTATAGCTTCCATAAATGATCGGTTTCAAAAGTTAGGCAGTTTGTTTCGACTCTATGTAGAAAGCTTTATTCTAGTCTTTACTGAGTCTCAAATACCAAAATTATTGAATTTGATTCAGAGATTCACATATTCTCCCAAAGGTACAATATGTGATCCAGTCTGTTTGGATTTTGGAAAATCTTTACATCTCTTATTTTCTCACTCCCCTCATGTACAACATCTGCAATTTATTGATTGGCAGAATATGGTGCTTTATTGCTCCAAAGCTGTGGAAGACCTTAGTTTCGTGGATGAATCCTACGTGAGTGATAGTGAAGAAGAAATGTTAGCTTCACAGAGTTCTAAAAGTGATAAATCTATATGGCGGTCTCATGATACTATCCGAATTAAGCAGGAAATAGTGGAGTATATTACAGTTATAAAACTTTTAATGGATTGGTTTGCGGCACCGATTCATCTGGTGCAAAATGAGCTGCTATGTTTTCTTCGAAACTTTTTTAGGACTTTTAATGAAGAGACTAATGCTCACTTGCCTGCATTGAATTGCCTATATCGAATGTGCGTTTATATTGTGACTAATGACCGATCTGCAGTATTGCAAGTCACGGAGCTTATTTTCCAAATATTAGAAATAAGTCAGAAATGGAAAAGGTCTACACTAAGGAGTTTGTTATTGCAATGTTTAGCAGCTTCGTTTCCCATATGGTCTAACTGTACTATATGGCAATTAAGTTCCTCTCAGTCATTCTTTAGTTTTGATTTGTTAGAATCTTCTTTTGATATTCTTAATAGTATGCTGCAAGTTTACGGTGATGTATCTCACTTCAACTTGTCTATGTTTATGTTCGATGCGACTCAACGGAAACGGAACTTTGCTTCTCTATTCCACCCAGATTTTTTTCTTCCTTATGAAGTATCGGATAAGAGCCACTTGGATCTTTATTTTATTTACTTATTTATGGCTCAAGTCGTGTGTTTAATGGAACATTGTATTAACATGCGTTCCATCTCAAATTTTCCTAAGAAGCGCAGAAACAACATTTCTTTTTCAAGCTTATTAATAAGCATTAATTCACCGGATGTACAAGAATCTTCTTTTTCTGTGCAAATTCTTTCAATAATCGTGTCCATTTCATCCATGTTGAGTCCTGAAAAAGTACGTGACCTTACTAAGAATTCACTTGTTATAGCTGAAGAAAAGAGTGTATCAAATTGCTGGTATTATTTTCTTTTATCTAATGTTTGCTATAATAAGGCTTATAGTATAGTCCTGTCTGAACCAGTTCTCAAAAGCATTCTTGCTTTATCAATTCGGGGTTTGTTATACAGTGAAACTTCTTCAGTGTGCTATCATATACTATCCTATTTTCATATTTTTCAACCTCTCTCGTTTCCTAAATTATTCCCTTACCTTAATCAGGTTATGTCAATGTCTGAAAATCACGCTCTGGATATTTCCCACGAGGCCCTACAATATTGGAAAACACTCTATTTTTTGCTGCAAGGTTATAATTCTGTGAAAAAAGTACGGTTCTTTCATTATTTTCACCGATGGATTTTTCAACATTTATCGAAATCTTACATTAATCCCGATATTAATAATTTTATGTACTCCACGTCCTTTTTTGATGAGCTTATAAACATAATCATTTTTTTATATTTCAAGAAAGTATCACCTCTTTCCATAAGATCTTGCAATGAGCTTACACACGGCCACTCGCTTACCTTCTTAAAAAATGCTTGGACATATCTCAAATGTCAGGAACTAAATTTTCGTGGGTCACAATCTAATGAACACGTTAATCCGAATATGCAAAATGAATGGAATAATGTAGAAGAACTACAAAAGCTAGTTGAAATCTTAGAAAACAATTTGAGAATGATCTTAGCCGGCTTGAATGATAAATACTCGACTAAAGATATACAAAGCCTGGAAGGAAAATTAAAGTTACTTGTATCTTTATTCTTTCTGCATGTTACTCTTAAGTATATGATGAATGCATTCCATCAAAGTGAGCCATATACTTCATGCGCTCATTTTGAGAACGATGTTTTTACGGTAATTCACAATTATACGAAGGATTTTGAAACTTCAGAGGAGCCTATTGCTTTAATTTTAGCTAGAGCTTTACAACTAACGGTAATCGTTTCCGATAAACTATTATGCCTTGGTGATAAGGTAGTTGAGTTGATTTCTTCTTCTTCTTTATCCTCGCTGCTTGTGTTCATTTTAAAAAAGTGCTCGATCTTTCAAAGTAGTGATGCTCAACCGCTAGACATAGCTGATGAAGATTTTCAGGACGATATTTCTATGTACAGACCCGAAACTCTTGTTAGATCTGCCACCTCTATAAATGATATAGAGGACTCACAAAGACAGAAAACTATTGATAGCATAGTGTATATCCAGCATAATTTGGACCGCATGGCTCACTATAATGAAAATGGGCTTCGTAACATTATTTATTTATGTGATTCTCGGAATTTTTGTTATCTCTCATCTTCATTTTATCAATATTTTTACAACGTTGCATGTGTTTCTGAGTCAATAGTTCTGAATTCGCTCCAAATATTCGCGCAAAAAATCTTGATGGACTACTCTTTCGAACGAGATGAGTGTTACCTACTTCAATTTTTAAGTATTTTTCGTTGTTTATTAAATTCTCAGGTACCTTTTGGCCCTTCTTTGAGAAAGCTGATACTGAAGATTACTAAGTTCATTCGAAAAGTGATGCTCGAAAATGGGTACTCTTCTTCTACTGGAAGAATTATTTTATATGGGTTTTTACTGGATTTTTCTGAAGAAATCTATGAAATCTCTTCCGTACATGATTTGAAAACGACATTTAAACAGTTTATTCTTGACCCCGAACCCATAGTCATTTTTCAGTTAAGTCCTAACATTTCAAGACTTATATTTAATGCTAAGCGTGAAAGTCTAAAGGAAGTAATGGAAGAATTTGAGTCTTTGGTGGTTCCTAATCATGAAAGTAGAAGGTTTGTATTGACTCGTTTTATTGTTTTTCTGGTCTATACTTTGAATTTCAATCGGCCGCAACTGTTACTACAACTCTTAAAATTTTCTAATTCAAAAGAAGGGAGTAATGTACTTAACTACCTTTTAACAGCAACTGAAGACTATAGGTTCGGTTTAAGAAACCTTTTCAAAACTTATAGATTTGAACTCTTTCGGGTTTTTGTGAATAATGATCTACAATTTACAAAAAACGATTTTTTTGAATTTCCCTTTCATTCTCTTTATCCTAATGGATTAACATTTATGAAGGACAATATTGAACCGATGTCTTTAGTCCTTCTTCTAACTGGAAACCAGAGGTTAGCGCAGCTATTATGCTCCAGAATTTCTGTATCTTCTACAATAATTCAAGAAAGACTTGCTTCAAGGCTAAATGTTGCAAAAATCCTTAGCAATATTGAAGTTTCGAATGAAAATCTACTTCGTCCTTTGAATACGCGATGTAAACTTGATTTCCCAAATCTAGTGGATTCCATAATTTTTTCTTTGTCCTTTATTAAAGACTATAATGAAATTGGAGCAAACTTAAAAAAAATAAGCCCTTCTGTTTTCGTTGTTTATGAGCAATTATTTATCTTTGAAGAAGAATGTCTGGACTTTGATCTTACAAATTATTTTGGCTTTCAATCAATGGGGGTTATATATTATCTTAACTATATTAGCAGCATGGTCGAGTCGTCTACATTTGTGTACTCTCTAATGTGCATAGTAATTAGGACAATCGGTTTACGGGTCTATTGGGAACCAGATAGCAATCTTTTAAAGCATTGCATTTACCAGCTTTGCCTATTCTTGTCTTTCTTTGATAGGTTTGTTAAGCCGAATTACGTTATTATGGTAATAGTAAGTCTAGCTAAGGAACTGATTCAAATATCTTCGTTGGCTTTCCTCGGCATTGGAATCATAAGGTATTATTTGAAACGGTTTCAAATAGAAAGCACATTCGATTCTGTGTATCTTGTCAATGTTTGCACAGAGATATTAGGTTCATGTCATAATTCAACGTATTTGACCAAAGACACATTGAGTTATTTTTACGGTTGGTTCAGCGGCTTTTCTAATAATTTATCGCCTTCGCTAGATGTTGAGAATGGATTTGGGTTTCTTCGCTGCTATGCAAATTTTGTTCAGGCTTTGCCAGTAGATTGGAACAACTGGACTCCCATTTTAGAATCATTGTTTTTAGGAAAAAGAATCCTTCCCGTATTGCTAAAAGAAAGTAATACTTCTCTATATTTTTGGCAATCACTCTGCTCTTGTCCCCTCAATGCCTTTGGAAAAGCGCTACCAGAAATATGTAAATACCATGAGTTATGCGATATATCTAAATTTCCTGATTATCTGAAAACTTACTATTCGAATATGATGGGATCATCTTTCCTTTCCTTAACCGATGAGACGAATGAATCAACAATGAATGACGAGTATAATATTGACTATGAAAGTACTACATATTCCAGTATGAGAAAAAATGTTTTTAAACGTATCTTGAGAGAAGTCGGATTACTTTTATTTTCGTATAATTTTTTTTACGGATCCTTCATTGAAAGTAGCATAAGGCTTTTTTTACACGAGGACGTTGATCATGAGTATGAGAGTTGCTTACCTTTTGGTAACAGCTCAATTTTATACGAAGAAAAAGGTATGATAGATATTCGAAAGCCTTCAAACGACAGCAGCCTATTTAATTCTGAAAACGATCAACTCTTCTTGTGGGTAGACACTGCCGTTGCTGAATTATTAGCACAACTGGATAAGACAAACGAAGTACGGGCTCTATCTTTATTGAATACGGAAATAAAAGGAGTTTCCCTTCATTTTTTCCATTATATTGTGCATATAGTTTTGCTTGATCATGAATTTCATGGTCGAAATAAAACCGCCTTCAATTATATCAATTCATTGATTTTCGAAGGTATAGAGCAAGCAAGAGAAAAATCGGTACGGGAATTATGCATGAAAGTATTACTATATCTTCGGAAACAACCAAAAGTTCATGAAAGCACTCCTTTTGCAAGAAATTTTTGGCTTAAGACAGATTACTTGGTTGCATCGGAAGCAGCGTATCAGAGTGGTCTTTGCGAACAAAGCTTGCTATTTCTAAATTTGCATCAAACGGATACCCTTGAGTTTAATAAGTCTCATCTATCGAATGTGTTAACGGGATTAGATTGGCTAGATGTTTATTATGGAATACATCGAGAAAGTAACTTCCGTAATATGTTAATGAAAGCTGTTCATGAAAAGAAGAGTTTTTCGGCTATATCGTATCTGGATGCCATGAATTTTATTAGTTCACAATCAATCCCTGATACAAAAATGACTATGTCTAACACTTTGTTAAATGGCGGATTTTACAGTTTGAATGAAAGCTATGTCGACTGCTTGAAGAGTCAAAATTCTATCGATGAATGTAATAATGAAATTTACGCTTCTGCTTGGAGAATGCAAAAATGGGATCTGCCTCCTGTAGGTGATGAGACAGAGTTTGATGGAAGAGTCTACGGATTATTGCAAAGCGCGTACGATTCGGATTCAAATGAGTTGGAATTACGGGTTAATGATTTTATATGTCGATTTATGAGAGTTAATTGTCACTCCCGTGAGAAAGAAACTTTATTGTTTCACTCTCTGATCTCTGAATTTACTTCTTTTCTATTCAAAGAAGGGTGGAACATGAACGAAGACCTCCATGATAGATTAATTAACGAAAAGATGCTGATACTTGAGCGCTATGATTATATCGAACCTTTATTAAGTTTTCAAGACGTTGCTTTTACTTTATTAGAAAATCGTGCAGAGCATCTGAACCAATCTAATCTGAAAGAGATTCGGAAGAAGCACATATTAGCATTACTTAAGAATGGAGAAGTGTATCTTCTCACGGGAAAGTTACAGTTGGCTTTGTCTACAGCAATGTCCAGTGATTCATTGTATAGCTTGCACCTCGTGAAGGATACGAATATACGCCAAAAGATTGACTTTTTAACATCAAGAATATTATGGCAAAAAAATGAAACGTCGGATGCCATTTGCTTACTTAAACAGTCTTTAGATAGTACTGAATGTTCTGCCTCGGTTTCATCTTTATGCTATGCTTATCTGGGAAAGTGGTTGTTTTCTACTAAGTCGGAAAAAACTGAATTCATCTTAGAAAACTGCTTCGAAAAGGCCATTTCATACGTGTCGGACCTGGATGACACCACTTGTTCAAAAATTCATTATATGTTTGCTTCATTTTGTGATGCGAATTATTCAAGCCCTGAACTTAATGAGGAGTTTAGAAGGGCGGAAAGGCTTTATCTTGAAAAGAAGGATGACATTTTACAATTGGAGGACTCTCTAAAATTATGCAAGCAAGAAAAAGAGAAGAGAATTCTGAAACATCATTACTTGAGAGAAATGGCGGCACTCCTTTCAGACCAGCGAGAATATCAAACACTTTGTGCTTCCAAAGATATGATGTTAAAAAAGGGTATTATTCATTATTTAAAGAGTTTGTTAAAGAGTGATGAAAACGACGTTACAATATCTAGGTTTTGTATTATGTGGCTTTCAAACTCTAGTTCGGAAACACTTAATGTTGAGATTGAGGACCATATCTTGGAAACGCCTCGTAAGAAATTTATCCCTGTGTATTATCAGTTGGCTGCAAGGCTTCTCAATGATGGCAGCAAGTTTCAAAAACTACTCGGAAGAATATGCTTAGATGTTGCTCAATTGCACCCTTATCATTCACTTCATGTGCTTTACTCTTTAATTTCCAGCCCATCCGAAGCAGAAACTCGAAATGGGGAGTCACGATTCGCTGCGGTTCAAAATATCATGAAAACTTTGCAAACTTTTGGGGAATCTAAATCATTAATCGATAAGCTTTTAAAGGTTTTTATGAATTATGTTACCCTTGCTGAATGGAACCCTCGCAGTAAAACCGCTAGTACATCATTCAGCCGCTCCCCTTGTGCTGCGTGGTTTTTGAATGATTTTCCACAACTAGATTTAGCTCCCATAACTTCACATTTGGCGATTAATGATATGGCGAACTATTCTGATGTGCCTACAGTCGTTTCTTTTTCTAATACTATTGGATTTGCTTCTGGTATCAATGTTCCAAAAATCGTGAAATGTACCAGCTCCGATGGAAGAATACATAAACAATTAGTGAAGGGAGGAAATGACGATTTACGACAGGATGCAGTAATGGAACAAGTATTTGAGCAAGTGAACGGATTTTTGAAAAACTACAGATCAACAATGCAAAGGAAACTGACTATGAGAACTTATAAAGTAATTCCCTTAGCATTAAAAACGGGTGTTATTGAGTGGGTATTGAATACGGTTCCTATGGCTGAATATTTAGATCCTGCCCATAAGCGCTATTATCCTAAAGATTGGTCTTTGAATGTCTGTCGGAAATTGATAGTAGAAAAGCAGATGGAAGATACAGGCACTCGTCTGAAGGTATTCGACTTGGTTTGTAGGCATTATCATCCTGTATTTCGTCATTTTTTCTTTGAAAAGTATCCGGATCCAATGATTTGGTTTAGAAATCAGACAAACTATTCAAGAAGTACTGCAGTCGCATCCGTTTTAGGATATGTTTTGGGACTTGGTGATCGACATGCGAATAACATATTAGTAGATGTAACGTCAGGACAGGTGGTACATATTGATCTTGGTATAACGTTTGAGCAGGTAAGTATTGCTAAGGGATTCAGATGGAAAGGGAATAATAAATGCTAATCGTTTTCAGGGAAAAAAATTACCTGTGCCAGAATGTGTTCCATTCCGATTAACCCGAGATGTTGTAGACGGTATGGGTATAACAGGTGTAGAAGGTGTATTTCGCCGTTCCATGGAGTTTACACTTGAAACTCTCCGACACGAAGTGGAATCGCTAGTCTCCATATTAGAGGTGCTGCGATATGATCCCTTATTTTCATGGTTAATATCTCCTATACGAAGGATGCGGAAACAGAAGCTGCAAATAGTAAGTTCAGAGAATGAAGAGGATATGGAAGAGACCACTTCATCTATTTACAAAGATCCTAAGAGAAAACGTATAACGCAGTCTGTGGAAAGCGAAGCTGAAAGGGCACTTTTGGTTGTAAAAAAAAAACTGTCCAACACTTTGTCAATAGAAGCTTCGGTCGGTGAATTAATACGCATTGCGCGGGATCCAAGTCAGTTATCTCTCATGTTCTGCGGATGGTCTGCGTTTCAATGATATGAGGTTAAGAGTGATAAGCCTAACAAGACGATTCCTTCATGAAGTTTATGATTCGTGTATACTAGAAACTAGTAAAACACACTTGATGACTTACTATGTTTAGATAAAAATTGAATTCAAATCAGATAATATTTTATGGAGTTTGTCGAAACCTTAAGGTAATGAGAGCAAAAAAAGAAGAAATTTTTCTTTGCTTTTTTTTTTTTATAATTCTACTGATTAGGATTCGTCAATAATAAAATTTTCCATATTCTCGTGCCAGAGGTTCATCACAGTGAACCTACCTGTCTTTTGCCAATATCGAAAATTGACAAGATGGCAAAGAAGCAATCCGTAAGAAGTAGAAATTTCAGAAGATCTGATCCTACAGGGGATGATGTTGGAACAATTCCTTCTGAGGAAAAGCCTCAAAGTGTAAAAGAAAAAGTTGCTAAAGAAATTGCAACCATTGCACTACGATCTGGAAACTCGGGAGAAAATGGAATTAGTAAGAAAAAAAGACAAACAAAAGATGTGAATAGAAAGAGAAAAGAAAAGTTGGAAGCAGCTATGAAAGCACAATCTCGAGAAGAGCGTCTGGAAACCAAAGTTTCAAAAGCAAAGAATAAACACGAGAAGTTGAAGGAAAGAAGGGTAAGTATTGATGATAGTGATTCTTTACAATGCTATGAAGAATTGAAACTAACAAGGGCTCAGAAGGGAGACGATGACGAGTAATACAGGCGAAAATTTTAAGTATGAATCGTACTTTGGGTAAAGGGTTACTATGGATTAGGAAGTTTTGGGGTATTTACTTTTTCTTTTTTGGTTTCCCGTCCAAAACATTGGTCTTATTTTGCTCTTAGAAAATTTGGCAAAAATTCAGACGGATAGGGCTGGCCATCTTGCGATTGTTTTTGGTATGGAAGACTGGATTTCATGCAGAAAAGCACAATCTGTTTTTTCTTTCGGAACTAAGAATTTGATTTATGAAAGTCTGTTTCCCCTCGTGTTTTTTTCTTGGGATTTACTAGTAATATTTGAAGCATAAAGAGCTGCGCTTTGTTCGAATTGCAAGCCAGCTGCAGCTTCCTATTTCATAACTTTTTTTTATGTGTTCCTTACTCTTTGTTTGTGAACGGTAATAAAATTTTTAGAGTTCAGAATGACCAGAAAGTAGCAAACAAAAAATAGGAATAGAAGCAAACAGTTCTTTTTCATTTAATTCTTTTTGTAATTCTCTTCAACCCTTATCTTGGGGACTTTCTGTTTACATTTGATTTCCTTCCTGGGTTTGACGTCAAGGTACAATACATATATATTTTGGCCAACGTCGAACATGACCGAGTAAGAGTTGCAAATAACCAACAACAAAGAAGGAAGAATTCACTGAGAACTACTAAGAAAAGCCATTTTTTATTAGCGAAAATAAGGAAATTGTAATAGGCGATCCATTATGCCTCGTATGTAAAGAAATAGCTACGCTCATGCAAAGATTAGAAATCCCTTGGTCTTGGATGTGGCTAACAAAAACATCTCTAGATGACAAACAGGATAGAGATACGGAAGAAATCGAAGATGAGGGCAAGGTTTGTAGTGCTTGACGTTGGAAGGAAGCAAACTTGTAGTGTAGACGATACAATGCTCCCGATAGTGGGTTTACAGCTTTATTATATTTTGATTTGTTCTTCTTTTCGTCTAGTAGACCGTTGTTAACGTATTTCCTAGAATATCATTCTTGGAATTGTGTCTCAATTGAGGTAGGCAAAAGATTTGCTTTTAGACACAGTATCGCTGACTCTGTTTTAGACCAAATATGGACTTGTCAAAGGTGACACTCCCTACGTTTGTTTTGGAGCCGAGGTCAATGTTGGAACGAATTACAAAGTACGTGCTATACTATATGGGAAGATGTTTCGATGAAAACACTTTTTTATTGATAAACACCTTGTGAGCTAACAAGTTGATTAGCTTTATGAGTCATCCAGATTTTCTGCTCCCAGTTCCTCATGTTCCTTCTGCCGAAGAACGGTTCCTTGAGGTGTGTCGATTTTACCTTTCAGGATGGCATATTCGCCCTCCGGGTGTAAAGAAACCGCTGAATCCAGTTTTGGGAGAGACGTTCACGGGCTTTTGGAAGTTTCCTCCATCCGACATCCAAAGTCCGGGGCTGAATAACCTGAATGGTGTTGCGGTATACATAGCCGAACAGGTGTCCCATCATCCACCCATCAGTGCCTATTTTTATTACTGTCCTCAATACAAAGTTCGCATAGACGGTGTCCTAAAGCCGAGGTCACGCTTTTTAGGTAATTCTGCAGCTAGTATTATGGAGGGAGTTGCTAGCATCAAATTTTTGGAACAGAATGAGGAGTATCTTTTGACCCAGCCAAATATGTATGCTCGTGGCATTTTGTTTGGTAAAATGCGGATAGAATTAGGAGATCATGTTACTGTGCGTTGTCCAGATACAGACTTGGCAGCTGATATCGAATTTAAAGTGAAAGGCTTTATTAGTGGAACCTACAATTCCATTGCAGGGAAGGTAAAACGCATAAGCACAGGTGACGTGCTGTACAAACTTTCTGGAAAGTGGGATTCTGAAATTGTACTGGAAAATGTCAGCACAGGGAAGACCTCTACATTTTTGGATGTCACAGAGCTGCCGGTCTATCCTGTCATGGCTCGACCCCTAGAAGAACAAACTATTTATGAATCACAGAAGTTATGGCATGAGACATGTGAGGCTGTGAACGCCCGAGACCAATCTGTTGCAACAAAGTCAAAGACTGCGATTGAAGATCATCAGCGCGAAAAGGCTAGAGCTCGGGAAGCTAACAACGAGAAATGGCAACCAAAATATTTCAAACAAACTGGACCCGAAGAATATGTACTTGATATGGATATACCGTACGAAAAGTCTGATGCTGAAGTGCTCTGTAGTTTGGACGATCGTATACCAATTTTTAGCGAAAACGATCGTGCGTACTATCGTAGCCTTATTGGTAGAGGCTCGAAATCTGAACCCGCAGCTCAAGGAAATGAACCTCATAAGCATGTAAGAGACAACGGCCGGACGCGATTGAATGAGAATCGTCCTCATCACCTACGTGACGGATCTAACCCTGCTTCTAGTTTCGTGACTTATCGAAGTGAAAATGGATCTGTGGACGAATATCATGATGCTCAATTGCCGGATCAAGGAGTTCTTTCACAATTAGAGGAAAATTAATTTGGGTAATATATGTGGAGAAAGGAATGCTAAAAGTAAATGTTTCGGGTTTGGATAGTTTTATTATTTCTCAACAGAGGTCTTTTTTTTATACTTTTACAATATCATTGCTTAGATGTATGTAAAAGTCTTTAGAGACGCGTTGTTCTTTGGAAGTTTTCAACAGAGATGGACGTTTGGTGTCAAGGAAGCTTCCATTAAGAAAGGACCAAGATGTTTCTTGTGCATTTGCTATCTGTATCTCTTTGAGTGCAGAAAACAAAATGTGAAACATACAAAAGTGTTTGCTTTGAAGAACTGAATTGTTCCATTCTACAAAATCTTTATTTTCGAATTACGAAATTTAATGCTACATGATTTGTATGAACGCTTTATTTTATATCTTATTTTTCTATTACTTCTTTCCATTAGAATTGTGTGCTTGTCTCATATTGATTAAGGTGACCTTTACCAGAATATATGAATAAAATATATGTATTTAGTCTTAGAATCATGGATCTTATTCCGGTAGCATCTTACATAGAGGTATGTATTTGTTAACTTTGTATATTTCCAAGTTAGATAGGTATTGAGTTTTTGATGAGAGTCAGCAATCAATGGAATGTATTGACAAATTCAACGTAAAAAGAGAAGAGCATCTTTGTGTCCATTGATTTCTAACCCTAGACATCAAATACAAAGGAGGATTGACTATGAACTATCCATGGAGCAGCTAAATAGGAGCCATTCTTGTGAAATCATCGAACATTTTTATTTGTTTACGAACGCATCGCAGTGCAAGGATACTTTTTGCAGACTTGAGGAATCGTTTTAAAAAATAACTGATTGAATCGATAAAGAAAAACATTAAATATATTAATACAAAATTTTCTCTTAAGTTACATTATCTAATTGCGAGGTTATGGAAGACGATCTTGCTTATTCTGGATTTTTCGTAAAGGTTCGCTGAATGGAATCGTCATTCCCTTATATAGCGTACTAGGTAGGAACTCAGGATTGAAGTTGACCTGAGCGTAGTAGTATACAACGACAAAACGACGGGAAAGGAACTAAAAAACACGTCCGAAACGCGATTTAAGATTATTTTCACTGAATTCTCGTGTTATATTAGGCTAAAAAGAAAGTTTTAATTGAAAGAGGATTTCAAAAAGCAAAAATGGCAGAAGAATTGAAAGCAAAAGGCAACGCAGCATTTGCACAGAAAGATTACAAGAATGCGATTGACTACTTTACACAAGCTATTCAATTAGACGGTAGCAATCATATTTTATACTCGAACCGATCAGCCTGTTATGCGTCAGAAAAGAACTACAGAAGTGCTGTAGAAGATGCTACCAAATGCACTAACCTCAAGCCTGACTGGGCAAAAGGCTGGTCGCGTAAGGGAGCAGCTTTGCATGGTTTAGGTGACCTGTCAGCTGCTAAGGCTGCTTATGAAGAAGGTTTGAAGTTTGACCCCAGGAATGCCCAACTCTTAAACGGCCTAAAGAGTGTTGAGGCTGCCCAAAGCTCCGCTGGCGGGGATGGTGGTTTCAATCCATTCGCCAAAATGACTTCTCAATTGAATGACCCAAAGTTTATTGAAAAGTTGGCAAGCAACCCCGAAACATCTTCTTTGCTGGGTGATGCAGGCTTTATGACCAAACTTCAAAACATCCAAAAGAACCCTGGCTCTATCATGTCCGAATTGAATGACCCACGTATGATGAAGGTGATTGGTATGCTCATGGGCATTGATATCAACATGAAGGGCGAGGATGATGCCGCTGCAAATGATAACGAAGCTACTCCTTCTGAATCTCCCAAATTTGAAAGTGCTCCCAAGGAAGAAGCTAAACCCGAGCCTGCCGCTCAACCTATGGAAGAAGACAAATCTCCTGAAGAAATCGAAGAACAAGCTAGCGAAGGAGCCCTTCGTAAGAAAGCTGATGAGGCCAAACAAATCGGTAATGAAAATTACAAGAAGCGCAACTTCCCTGTTGCTATTGAGAACTACAAGAAGGCTTGGGATACTTATAAAGACATTACGTACCTAAACAACCTTGCTGCCGCTTACTACGAAGCTGATGAGTTGGACAACTGTGAATCTACTTGCAAAGAAGCCATTGAGCAAGGACGTGAATTGCGTGCTGACTTTAAATTAATCGCTAAGGCTCTTGGTCGTTTAGGTACTACTTATCAAAAACGTGGTGACCTTGCTACCGCAATTGAATATTACCAGCGTTCTCTTACTGAACACCGCAGCCCTGATACACTTACAAAGTTAAAGGATGTTGAAAAATTGAAAGAAAAGCAAGATCGTGAATCTTACATTAATCCTGACAAGGCTGATGAGGCCCGCTCTAAAGGTAACGATCTCTTCAAGTCCGGTGATTTTGCCGGTGCCATCAAGGAATATACCGAAATGACCAAGCGTGCTCCTACTGATCCTCGTGGTTTCGGCAACCGTGCTGCTGCTTACCTTAAGGTGATGGCACCTGCCGAGTGTATTCGTGATTGCAATCAAGCCATCCAGTTGGATCCTCTTTTTGCAAAAGCTTATGTCCGTAAGGCTCAAGCTTTGTTCATGTTGAAGGACTATGGAAAGTGTATTGATGCTTGCAATGCGGCTGCAGATGTTGATCGTAAAGAGCCCAATACTGGTAAAAACATTCGTGAAATTGAATCTCAATTGCAAAAATGCATGAATGCAATGGCTGCTCAAAGACAAAATGAAACTGAGGAAGAAACAATGGCACGTATCCAAAACGATCCTGACGTTTTGGCTATCCTTCAAGATCCTGCCATGCAAGCCATCCTTGGCCAAGCCCGTGAAAACCCTGCTGCCTTAATGGAACATATGAAGAGCCCTGTCGTTAAAAGCAAGATTGACAAGCTTATTGCTAGTGGTGTTATTCGCCTTGGTTAATTTAAAAATCTTTCATCATGTCTAAGTGGAAACCATAGAGAAAAGAGTATTTTTTTTTTTACGTTAATAGTTGTTGATCATGTTTGCTTAATATACCTTCAATAACAGCAACTTTAGGTCATGATTCTCCAAATTTATTTTTCGTTTCTTACTGTAAATTATAATTTCATTGTCATATCGTATTTACCAAAATCCAAACTGTAGAATAGCATTAATAAAGCCATGTATGATTTTACAATAAAAGCTATATGCAAGGATTTCTAATCCTTTTGCTAATTTCGCTTTGCTTAATTGTCATAATCCACAATCTTTCATACATTTTTGATGAATAGTTAGCTCATTAATGAATGGGCAAACAAATCCACCAAAAGCATGTCGTCCATTTACACCTTCATGGAGCAATTGGACAGTATAATTATGTTGAAGTGTATTCCTCTAATGAAACTAACTACCTTAAAAATTTGCTTTGTTCATCAAGGATCGCCTTCTGCATAAACTTTGGATCAATCGCGAGATTTGGGTTGGCTTTAATTAATGGATTATTCTCTACAACATGCCTTATTAAAAAGATGTCTTCTAGACTTAGCACATTAAGTAATCTTTTTAAGGAATTATCCAAAATATCTTCGTTTTCAGTAGCAATTGGCTTCGTAGTTGGAAGAGAAGATAACAATGTAGAGGAGGAACCCAAAGAGGGCATATGCTCAATAGCATCGCCTTTCGCGTTAGTCTTGTTTAAAACAAATATCCCTAACAAAGATAAAGATTCGCGATTTTTCGGTAACTTTGAATCATGCAACAGGGTTACTACTTCTGGTATATCCTGACCTGAAGGGATAGGAATTATGTATGCATCCTTAACAGAAGCAGATTTGGATCGTAGGACACCATACCGATTCCTTTCCAAAAAATACTTATACAAAACGTTAAATCCATCTGTTTCACGTTTGTTACTCGGAAGGAATAGAACAGAAACAATGCTCTTGGACTGAGATTTTTGTAATGCCCGTAAATATTGAAGAGTCGAAGAGATGCTTATTCGACCTTCGATCAAAGCGGTTGAAGACAAAATCTCAAATAAAAATTTAAAGTCAATATGACCACTCGATAATATAGCTTCTGCCGAAAATTCTGAGATGGAAGCCATCTTCACCTTTCCCTTCCATAGAACTTTCTTTTTGGTCGGAACGTTTTCTACTTCTGATGCTTCTTCTTCTTCTTTAGGTGAATACGGAGAAGACAGGTGTTCATTATGAACCAGTGATTCCTTCTCAACTATATCTAGTACAGAAGGATCATCAATCTCAACAATCGAAGGTACATTTACATTTTGTTTTATTTCACTAGTATCTTCTTTCTTAATATAATCATTAGAAGGTTCTTCAGAGTTGGACGCAGATTTGCTTTCAGAGATAGCAGGTGACTCATTCGTCTCCGGGGGAATACTTTCTTCAGGCGGAGGTGGAATAGTTACTTTGCTTGGCAGAAGTATGGTTGAGCTATTTGTATCGATATTTTGATCATCTTGTACAATCATTTCACCATTCTGCATGGTACGAATGCGATAACCAAGGGTATGTTGTTTCAAAACAGTATTTTCAGTACTCTGTTGACGAATAGTTTCAGCCAAGGATTTTAGATCGGGATTCGCCATTTCTTCGCTGGTCATGTGAACCAATTTGGAAAAAGGGATTTCTTGCTTTAAAACACGCGCACGGAACGCAGGATTCTTGTCATCAACCAAATTAAAGCGAAGAGCTCGAAATTTTTCTCTGTATCTATTATTTGGATTTGTACTTTGATCTGCATTATACGACAGCTCTAAAAACATTGTATTTTCCAGTTCGAGTGCCAAGGCTGTAGTATTCATCCCTTGTAAGCCAACGACACCTTCTTTCTCTGCCTTTTTTATAATGGTTTCGAAAACTGAGACCCAAGCTTTCGCTACACTCTTTCGGACAGGATTTTTTAATTCCTCGATCGACAAACTTAAATTTATATCCTCCTGGGAAGCTGTTTCGGTTTGTAACTTTTGTTCTGAACCCTTAATGCGTTTGGGAGTATAAGAGGAAAAGCTGGAAGAAGACGTTTTCCGCTTACCAGTCGTAGAATTAGGAGAATCCGTACCTCCAGCAGGGGAAGGCGCAGAATCAGAAGAAGATTGGGAAGATATTGATGAAGGCGATTCTTCTCTTTCTTGTGGAACAAACGTTGATTCTTCGTCTTTCAAGGCGATTTTTCCAGATGGTCCATTTGCTTGTTCTTTTTCTATGTATGAGTCAAATGCCGGCCTATTAGTGGGAGGTTGCGGATCTTGTAATTTCATGGATGAAGATTCCTCTTGCTCAATTTCATGATCACTTTCAGCTGGTCGTCGACATTTTTCACAAAAATAACTTTCAGGAATTGTGTCTTCCGAAAGTCCAACACAACCAGCATGTTGCCAGCAATCACAACCGTCACATTGAACCCAAACATCGCCATTGTCTGTTTGAGAACCGCAAATGCAACGAACTGCCGATTCGCTTTCATCGCCAATTGCAAGATCTCCTTCAGCAGCTTTTGTAGTAACCCTTCTTTTTCTCATAGATTTTCTAGTAGAACTCATTTTTTTTTTAATAGAACTGTATATTTCCTGTGAAGCTTCGTTAGCAAAGTTTCCTAATTTTGAAGGCTTATATTCATACCAATTCGTATTCAAGCCGTTTAATATAAGTGAGTCGTATATAAATTAACGCATCCCTAAATCCATAACAAATGAATCATATATTGTTGACTATTGAAAGATTTTTCTGTGGTTTGGTGAAATGGTAAGTGATGAGTAGTTGCTAGTCATAGCTACACCTAAACGCGAGTTGGGAAGTTCGTCTTACTGCCAAACTTTTGTTATTATATAATTTAAGGGTAATTTTAATAAGAAAAAAAATACATATTTAGTATAAAAATGGGAGATGCCCGAGATTTACTTCAAAAAATAAAGCAAGAAAGAACTGGAGTAAAACGGACGCGAAGTGACTCAATTCAGGAAAAGAAAAAAGCAAAGCCTTCATCAAATGATAGTTACGAGGAAATTTCGCAGCTTCGAATTCCCCGAGAACACATTTCTCAAAAAAGGTTAGAGTCATCAAACGATGAAACTATTGAAAAACAATCCAAATCCAGCTTACCAGATGACTTTTTTGATGAATCCATACCAAGAAATGAAAATCTTATAAACAAGGAATGGGTTGCTTTCCAAGATGAAATCAACAGCATCGCACAGGAAGCCACACAAAAGGAGTCTCTGCTCCAGGATGAAGAACTAAAGAAACATGACGAGGAAGCTTATTTGAAGGATAAAGAAACTTCAAATGGCCATGCTTTGTTTAATGAAGAGGATACTAATTTACGTCCTGATGATTATGACGCTCTCTATCTTGAAGACTCGAATCAAGATTATAAACAGAAGCTCTCCTCAATAAAAGAATCCTTTCAGAGAAAACGAAATGAACCTGTGGAATCGGAAACAAATGTTTCTGATGAAGAATTAGAGGGTTCAGTTATAGACGATAGTTCTTTGTGGGGAATTCAAGAAAACACTTAAATTATCCTACTCGTAAACAATTACAACGAATTTTTGTGTTTATTTTGTTTTCTTTATGTTTGTTTACTGGAACAAGACGCTGCAGGTATATAAACAACTCTTTTCTATCCATTCCCCGGTAAGTTTTATCTTCTAATAGGAGTAAAAAATGCGCCAGGAATTTTTTTTGAGCTTCGTTGTTTCTTTATTGCAGGCTTGTCAGTCATTCGCTTCACCGATTTCGAAAGATGCAAACGAGCTTGAACCAGCAATTATTGATGAGCCTACCAAAGGTTTGAAAGAAAAAAAGAGCATGTTTAATTTCTTGGGTTATGACAATTCTGTCTTTCCTAACGATTGCAAAGGCTCAATGTTATGTCCTATGTTGCGCGGCGAAAATCAAGCTTGTCCTTATGCGTATATGAAGTACAATCGTACCCTGATATATCATGGATACACCTCGTATACAGCAAACTGGTGTACAGCTATGTATGAGTGCGATGGGGACTATCCCAAACGTACGGGTAACGAAATTATAGAGCAATTTGATCAGCTTAACTTACAATGTGCTTCTTGTGGTACTCGACACTTTGAAGATGATTTGGACGGAACACACTGTTATGTGAGGTTGAATTACTGCTATCCTGATTGTACAGAAGTTATTCCGGAAACTACAGAATATGAGTACAAAGAGCCTGCTCGAGATTGGTAACATATCAAATTTCTTTTTAGTTGCTACCACTTCTAATATGAGCAGATGCAATAAATCCGTGTATTCCCACGACTTCATTTCTGTTCTATTATATTTTTTAGAGAGCGTAAGTATGCGATTAAATCGTTGACTGTTCCTTCTGGATTTTCAAATTGCCAAGAAATCATTTGTTCCATGATTGTTTTCAATTCAGGACCTGGTTTAATTTCCATCTGTTCAATGATTTGCTTTCCCTGATTTAGTGTTAGTATAGGCTTTAAAAATGAAATTACATACATCTAACAAAGGTTTTAATTCGTAACTCTTTTGTAAGTTTTGATCGTATATTAACTTGTACAGGTCAGAGAACCTCTGAAATACACTGGGTAACTGCGCATCTTGTTGTTTGCAATACGAATATAAGGCAGATGAAAGAATAACAATAGGCCAATTTTTTCCAATTTGACGAATTATATTACCCAGTTCGCATCGAGAAGCCTTGGTTAAGTCGTTTGCAAGAGTGTCAAACACATCAGCGTATAAGCAGTTCATATTGAGTTGAGTTATAGCATGATTGTTTAGTTTCAAATTATCCTTAGCTATTACTGCGGGTATATGGATTAGTTTTTTCTTTTGAATAATGGATTGATGAGCCCAAGGCAGCAAAGCAGTAAACAGCCAAATAGAAAATCGGTCATCATCACTTAAGGATGGCAGTCTAGAGAAATTTTCCTGAAAATAATCAAAAAGGTAAGTCGCAGATTCCGTGGCTCTCTTGGGGACTTCTCTCTTTTCTTCGGGTACAGGGCCAAACATAAAAGAAGATACATGAGAGGAATAGATCAGATGAAGGGAAAGGTCAGGGTTTGGACCTCGTAACATTTTTTCAAGTTCTTCACCGACACGCTCTCTGCTGACCTTAATTTTAAAGGCTTTTTGGACTCCAAGATTTTGTATGGCATCGTGAAGTGAAGGATCTAGAGAAAAGCTAAATTTAGAAGCAAATCTTAGGCCACGCAGAATTCGGAGAGGGTCTTCTAAAAAGGATCGAACTGGTGAAATAGGCGTGACCAAATTTTTGTTTCTCAAGTCAGCAAATCCACGTTTTGTTATGTCCTCGACTTGTTCGCTACGAATGTTAAAAAACAGAGAGTTCACAGTAAAGTCACGACGATAAGTATCTGTTTCTATGGTACCCTGTCGAACAGTAGGAATTCGACTCTTGTCATCGTAAGTTTCTTCTCGTAAACCGACGAAATCAATGTCCAATCCATAAAGTGAAAGCGTCGCTGTTTCTAGATGTTTGCTCTGGTCCGGATTAACAGTCAGCTTTCCAATTGACTTTTTGTAAGGAACGGCAGCTTTTGGGTCCAACTTATTTACATATTCTAAGATAGCTTTGGCGAAATCTATACCATTGATTTTGTTTAATGTTACATCTAAATCGTCGCTAGAAAGCCCTAGCAACTTGTCGCGTACCCAACCACCGGCTAAACGTACTTCGATAGGTGCGTTCGTATTATGGCCATTTTCGATGAAGTCGGCAGTTTTCTTTAAAAGTTGGACAACCTTTTTTTCTACATCATTTAAAATGATTTTACTGGCCATCCTTCTATAGGTTTACTGGATTCTGTTTGAGACTTTTAAATTTTCAGATATCCATAAGTCAGAAGTCAAGAAATCGAGTAGAAGAGAAACTTCATTTCTGATTAGCAGTTTTAATGTCTACAGGGTCTGTCTTTAAGATTGAAGAGAATAAAATGACTTTTTGCATTTATTTTTTACAAAATCAGTATTGTACCATAGCTTATTATCTGTTCAAATGTTTGGGAATAAAAAGGAGCATGTGCAAGGGAGGAAGAAACAAAAAAAGAAAGGAGGGAGAGAAGAGAAGAAGAGAGTACAAAAGCAGTAATAGTTATTGGAAGAGATCCCTGAAACCCTTAAAAGCTTATTTCTTTTTCAAAAAGTTGGATGTACGAATTGCGTTCTTCCGGGTGCGACTTTGAGCAGTACGAGAGTCCTCGGCAGGAGTATCTAAAAGCGTCCAAAGCCAATCAGGATATTCATGGTCTTGCTTGGCTACTGGGTCAATGCCTCCAGCTTTGATGTTGAGGTTTTTCAGAATTGTACCAGCCAATACAGAGCTGGTAGGATGAAACGTAGATGAAGATTCATGACTAGTTGCATCGTTGTGTCCTTGCTTCTCTGATGTCCCTTCTTTTTGTACAAACTGAGAGCGATGAAACTTGCGACCAAAACAGCTTCTCCCGAAGAAAGACGAAGCAGATTGTTGAAGAACAGCAGTACGAGGTAAACGAAGACAAAGCATGGCTTGATGTCTTACGTGGATTTAAAGACAGAGGGAAGGGGAAGTTTAACTGTGTATGTCTTTTCAAATGGACAGCTTTTGGAACCCCGAGGAATCAAGTCTTGCAAAATCCCAAAAGCGGATGAAATGCGCAAGGAAAGCAAAAAAAAGGATACTTACAGTGTTTTAAAAGGATATAAAGCCAAAAGAAAACTGTTTGGTTCTGAATTCAGAAGTGATCTCGAGCTGTTCTTTCGAAGAGCTAAGTATAGTTCGTTGTCTATAGGAGAAGTAGAGGGTATAGGCACCCATTCCCTAAAAGAAAGAGGACGAATATACGAAATCTATGAAAGATTCAATTGAGAAAAATAAATAAATTTCTTTCATCAAACCTAACGAAACGCGACTTGCAATGAATCCTTTTTAACCAAGGAAGACGTGTCTTTGCAAAAGGACAGTAGAAATGAACCTCGAGACTTATGTCAATTGAACTGATTCAGTCTTTAGTCTTTAGTTTTAATTACATTTTCATGTTGCATTTTTATGGTTTCTTTCTTTCTTTATTTATTTATTTACCAATTGTCTTTGGCCGTTCTATGTTACTTTTTGTTACTTTTAAAACGAATTCTATGTTCTCTGAAATTGCACAGAAAACATACACGAACAGACAAGGTAGGATATATTGGAATGTAAACGGGATACAAAAAAAGAATTTAGAAAACAAAATTGAAAAGTAAGAAAATTCCGATACGAGTAGAAAAAAATTGTTCGTGTTCTAAGAAAAAAACATTAAAATTTTGAAAAACTGTTGACGACAACGGCAGGATTCGAACCTGCGCTCCCAAAGGGAATCCGCTAGGCTACTAAATAGCAGGCGAACGCCTTAAAACCACTCGGCCACGTTGTCCTTTACAGTTTGTAGTGGTAATGTTAAGTATTTATATGTGAGAAGAAAAGACTTGAATGTACCACCTAATGATTGAACGAAGAAACGCAAAAGCAGGATGTGACTACAAAATTGAAACTTAAAACCCAGATATTCAGCTTTCCTTGAAATTTTTATTAAATTATTATCGTTTTTCCTTTCTTTTTCATCCGATGATGAAGCTTATGAACACGAAACCTATACGCATATGTTGAGTCTCTTTGTTGAGCGCCTTTTTAGTCGTGTGCAGCAGTGTATATGAGTTTCCGTATATAAAAGTGCTGCTTTTATAAAAGAAAGGAATAAAATTAAAATTACTTATTGTTCATCTTTTGCTTTTTCAGGCAAAGAAAATTCGTTCCATGCAATATCGCACAGTCCATTTTCTTAAAAGAACTCTTAACGTAATAACGAGGGTTATCATATTACCTGAGAATTCACAAAGCAAATTCCCAACAGTTTGTAGCGAAGTCTCGTTTTGAAACAGAGAAAACAAGCTGCTCTATAAGGGAACAAAAAGAAGCAAAAACTAGCCAAATCAGACGAAAACCCGTCAATATAAACGATTCCTTTCTCACCGTAAACAAACTGTGAAATATCTCTTCATCCGCCAAGACGAAGGAAAAGGAAGAAAAAAAAAAAAAAAAGCTGTTTTATACATTGAAGGATACATTTTAACCTGAAATCGGCAATTTTTTTCATTCTTTGTATACTCCATATAAACCAACCACATATTTTATTAAGACATGCAAGAAAAAAAGAAACGAAAAGAAGATTAGAAATATTATTTAAAAGAAAAAACAAGAAGCTAAAAAAGTACTGCTAAACAAAAGGCGAAACAGATTCCCATGAATTGGTAGTTGGAAAGAGAATCTGTACTCAGACTTTGTTTTGCATACTTCAACTATTATTATCTTATTTTCTTTCATATTCTACTTTGTTTCTTTATACTTCTATAAATGCTGCTACACGCAAAGTTTCCACCATCTTATCGTTCCATCCTTTAACGAACACTTTTCATCCATAAAACAATGAGTGAATATGTATCTTCTATGATTAAATACGCTCATAGCGGTGATAGTTTTACTATTTTGGTTAAAAATAACTTGAAACAAATCAAAGAAAAGCAGTTTTCTCTTGCTTACATTGACTGCCCTCGTTTTCGAAAAGAAGGTGATGAGCCATTTGCTTTTGAAGCCCAGGAACATTCTCGGCGTCTTGTTGTAGGACGTCCTGCTTCCACGTGTACGTTCAACGTTGCTCCCACTACCAAGCGTGAATATGGTTGCATTCGTACTGAGTTTGATTTGACTGAATCTTTATTACGCGCTGGTCTAGCCAAGCTTCGTCCTGAGGCAGTTCGCAGAGAAGCTAATAACGAAAACCCTTATTTTAAAAGCTTAGAAGAAGCTCAGACCGCTGCTCAACAAGCTAAACTTGGTGTATGGAGTAACCTAGAAGATGCAGTTCAAACAGAAAAAGCTATGCCTGCTGACATTCCGAAATTCATAAAAAAAAACCAAAAGAAGAAACTCAATGGTATTATTGAAAATATTCGCGACGGTGATCAATTACGGGTGCGCCTTCTCCTAAAGCCTAGACGCCATCAGTACATAAATGTATCGCTTGCTGGTGTCCGTTGTCCTCGAGCTACCCACACATACGGAAATCAACCCGCTACCGAAGAAGAACCTTTCGGAAATGCTGCGAGGCAATTTGTTGAAGCAAGACTTTTACAAAGAAATGTGGTTATTGAGTTGTTAGGTGTAACACCAAACGACACCAGCTTCATTGCAAACGTAATCCATCCAGCTGGTAATATTGCACACGTGTTGCTTTCTGGCGGTCTTGGTCGTGTTGCCGACAATCATAGCGTTTATCTTGGTCCTGAAGCCATGCAGAATTTACGTTCTATCGAACGTAAAGCAAAGACGAGTAACTTGGGGATCTGGAAGGATGTTAAATTACCAAATATCGGCTCGCTTTCTCTTCGTGAGTATTCTGGTACTGTTTCTCGTGTAATCTCCACCGATACTCTTGAAGTACGCCGTGATGATGGTTCAGAAACTAGACTCCAACTTAGCAGCATACGCCATCCAAGGCCTTCTAATGAGAAAGAGGCACCTTACCAATTTGATGCCCGCGAATTTTTCCGTAAAAAAACAGTCGGTAAGCCAGTTAACGTCTCTCTTGATTTTGTTCGTCCTGCCCAAAATGGATTACCCGAAATTAATGCCTGCACCGTTACTTTTAATGATGGAACAAACCTTGCTATGTTGGCTGTTGAAAATGGTTATGCTTCCGTTTTGCGACATAGAGCGGATGATGTCGATCGTTCTCCAGTATATGATTACCTAATTCAGGCGGAGAAGTCTGCACAAGAAGCTAAAAAGGGCATGTGGTCTGGAAAGAAGCCTCAGTTTGATGCAATTGTCAATGCTTCTGAAACCCCGTTAAGGTCTCGTCAATACCTTTCATCCCTTCAGAGAAACAGAAAGCTTTCTGTTGTCATCGACAACGTTATCAGTGGTTCCCGTTTTCGCTGCTTCTGTCCCAAGGAAAACTGCTCTTTTATGTTCGCTTGTGCTGGAATCCGTACTCCTCGAACTGCTCGTAATATTCACGAAAAAGAAGAACCTTTTGCTTCTGACTCCTTTAACTTTGCTAAATCATTATTACAACAAGAAGTTGAAGTTGAAGTTCTTTCGGTCGATAATAACTCTTGTTTCTTGGGTGATTTAATTGTCAATCGCAGCTCTAATTTTGCTTTGGATTTATTAAACCAAGGTTTAGCCTGGTGTCAAGGTTATTCTAATCAATCAAACATTCAGTATACCCAATATCATGATGCTGAAGCCTCTGCCAAAGAAAAGAAAAGTGGCATGTGGCATAACTATGCACCTGAAGTTGTCCAGGAAAAAAGTGATGTACCTTCTCATCCTACTACTTCTGAACCTTTGTATTTGGATGTTGCCCTTAGTGATATCGCCGATGATGGAAAGTTTTCATTCCAAGTCGCTGGCCCCAATATACAAGAATTGGAAAGCTTGATGTCCGAGCTCTCTAATTATCAAAAATCTGCACAACCATTAGATCGCTATAATGTAGGAATAAACGTTGCTGCTGTTTCTACTCTGGACAATGCAATTTATCGTGGAAAAATTCTACGCTGTAACCGAGAGAATCTGAATGCTGACGTCTTATTATACGACTACGGCAGTGTGGAACAAATTCCTTTCAAAAATCTGTATACCCTTCCTGAAAAGTTTTCAAAGTTGAAGCCCCAAGCTCAACTTTCCCGTCTTACATTCGTACAGCTTCCTCCTCCTAATTCTGATTATTACGAAGATGCCAGACTCGTCTTTAGAGAACTCGCTATGAACAAGGGTCTCGTTGCCAAGATTGATGGAAAAACAAATAATTTTGTTTCTGTAACTCTTTACAACCCCAGTGATGGTTTTGAATTCTCGGACTGTATTAATACTCAATTGGTTGCCCTCGGCATGGCTAGCGTTATTCCTAAAAGAAAGTTAGCACCATTTGAGAAAGATTCTGAAAGCTTGAACATTTTGCAAGATTGCCAGCAGCAAGCACGCCTTAACCATATTGGTATGTGGGTATATGGCGATCCTCTTGAATACGAGGAATAAAAGTTGAGACTTTAGATTTTACGTTCTTTTTTCAAATTTTTTGCTCTTTAAAGTCTACATTCTTTTTGTGATACTCAATGAATTATTAGTACAGTTTAGGATAAATTTATGCAAGCACAAAAAATTTTATTCATCATTAAATTCATGCACCCTTAAACGTTTTTAAATAAAATATGAACCTAAATGTAACCCATAAAAAAATTAACCTAAATAAATAGAACGAATGACATCGTTTTCATCGTAAGACTCATTTGCTAGGAGTCAAAGCTTCTTTTACATGTACATCTGCATTAGCACTGGTAAGTCGAAGGGAACAGACGACACTTGTGTCAACATTATCTCTACGTTGATCACAAGCATAAAAAATTTCACCGCCTTCTCCTAATTTTCCTCGTCCATCCGCAAGTAACCTGATATTATTGCCAGGAATAACATGCACTAGCTCTGACGTTTCCACGTGTCTAACCTCAATGAAAGACGGCTCAAATGCTAGAATATATGGATAGCTGAGAGCAAAGTTTTGAGGATTGCCTTCCCAGACGACGAACCAAGTAGATCGAGAACGCCATCCATCCCGATTCACGAAGAATGCGAATTGTGTGTAACATAATAAAAATTCACCACCATTCATGCGATATATAGCAATCGGCTTCACATTTTCTTTGCGTTCGGCAAATTCAAGCGATGTATCTGCAGGATCTAGAAGGGATTGAGTTTCCAAATTGTCAAGACTAACAACCTCGAAACCTCTTGTACATCCAACGCAAAGCTTATTTTTAAGAAAATGTACTGAAGTTGACTCTGTAGGGATGTAAAGTTCCTTAATGATTCGTAAAGGGTCTTGGTTTACTGCCAATAGCTTCTTGAAACTGGGCATATTCTTTCCTTTAGCGAGATGCGGCACTGGTTCGAAAACTTTGATTGTAGCACTTAGAACTGAACTTTTAACGGCACAAACCAAAACTTGCCCGAGACATATACCGACACGGAAAAAGGTAGTATGACCACAAACTTTCCTAGGCTTTTTGGGAGCTTGGCTTGTATCTGCTTCTATCATTTCCAGGGGATAAGAATACAACGTTTTGTCAGACAACAAAAGTAATAAATTGAATTCTTCAATAACTTCCAGTTGAATTACATTGGAAATGTTGAGAGCTCGGACTGGCTTGAACTGAAGAGGGCTATTAGATTTGCGAAGCGATACATACACGCCATAATCAGTTCCATATAATAATCGACGACCACTATCATAAACGCCGATTGCATTGACCTTGTTATCATTAACAAAGAAATCAGATGATACTGTTACAGATTCAAACCATTGACTCCTGTGTTGCAACAAAGTTTGCTGGTGATCGATATGCTCTAACCATTTGTCACGACCTACTTCTGTTGAAGCAAAAAGTGTGATTTCATATCCTCGCCTACCCAAAAGTTGCAAACTAAAAGGGTGCAATCTTCCTGGTGGCTTTCCATTTGCAACTTTTGAGACCGCTGCAAGTTGACTTTTATTAGAATAAGGAATTCTTGTTCCAGCTTCATCAAGTAGATAAAGTTGTAAAAGCAACAAAGGGATTGGTCTCTGGTAGACTTTGTAAATTTCCCTTTTATTTATAAATTTAGGCTTCACTATCAGAAGCGCATGGTCGAACAAGAACATGCTAACATCTGAACTGGAATCCAGAGCACTGGATGTTGCACTCTTCTTTTTTAACGGTCCCTTAAAAATAAGTTGCCTGTTGGCATCCAGAAGGTGCAAATCGTAATGCTCACCGGGCTTAAATACGAGCTGTTGATTTAAATGGAAGAGGTTAAATTGGTTTTCGGCTTTTCCACTTTCTACGTTAAGACGAGAGAGAAATCCTCTGATAACATTTACTACTTTCGGAATGTCCTGTTTATCTGAATTTTCCTCATCAGTATATTTTAATACAGCCTCTAAAAGCAAAGGATATCTCGCTAATCGAGTGGTTGGTTTGGTTAAATACCCGTTTAATTCAAGTTTCCGAGACTCCTTCATTCGTTCAACGTCGTATACAAATTTGGCGAAAGCAGGATTGTTAGCCTTTTCCTTTTCGAATTCATACTTTCCATATAATTGCCCAGCACCATAACGAATAAAGGGCTCAAATTTTGGTACGTGTTCTAAGAAAATATCGGCAATGTTGTCAACAATAGGTTTATAATTTTGCCTTCGGGTTAAAGCTTCAGCAAGTTTAGAGTTCACAGCTTGAACCTCTAGTGCATTCAAGAAAACTGTGCGAATAAACTTTTCCTTTTTCCGTTCATTAATACAATTAGAAGCCCATAAAGGTTTAATCCAGTAATCGCGTAAGTATTCCAAATCCTTGACAAAGTCTCTTTCAGTATAAATAACCTCACAAATTACTTCCTGCCTCTTTCGCTCGCGTTCACTAACACTATTTGCTATTTCTTTAGGAACACTATGGATCCATAACTTTTGCTCTTTATCATCAAAAGTCAAGGAAGATGACTGTTCAGCGTTAGCACGCATTTTAGCAAACATGCGGTGTTGTTGCTCTAAGCGCCGTGGACAAGAAATAGAATAGCAAGGGTGATCTTTGGCACAGGTAGGAGAATAGCAGTGAGTTAACAAAGTAAAAACACCATTTGGAAACCGTACGTCTTCAATTGTTGCGGAGGAATTTCGAGCACTTGATTCTGAATCCTCATTGTGATCACGATAATAACGATCTCTTGGAGAAGCTGCATCGTGAGGAATGAGGCGACGGTAATCAATGCCTTGAAATTGATAAATTTCTCGATGGGAATCACGAAGTCGATGGTCATATGTAACATCATGAATGAATTTTTGAGCATCTAAAGATCTACCCACAAGTAAAGCCAAAGTACGATCCGAGGTATGGATAATCCCCATAAGGAGCGTGACCGCATAGTCCCCTGTGAAAGCATTTGAATAAATGAGGCCATCTTTGGAAATGTCATTAAGTTGTATTCGTGCTGTCAACTCTTCCGCAACACGGGAAAGCAAAGCAGCGTAAACTTTACGCTTTTTCTTACCCTTTCCAACAGGGGAACTTCTTTCGGATGGAACAAAGGCAGTAGGACTAGATGGATAAGTCGAAGAGTCAGAAATAGTGGCAGATCCGGATGATTTATACGAGCTTAAAGTATAAGAGCGTGAGGTAGCCTCAGCATGTAGACGTTTCTGTTTCATAGCCTCCAAATGTGCAATACTAGCATGATCGAAAGAGTGATTTCTTAGATTGCTTTGTTGAGGGGGTACAATTCTGAGGTTCGTGGTAGGAACATTCGGTAATGAAGGACCACGGACCGGAACCGATGCAGAGGAAATGGGTCTCGACATCGATGGTTTTGAATGGGGAGAAGACGGAGAAGAAGGATGAGCAGGCGTACTCGTTCGGCTCATTTGAGATTCTACTGCGGGAGACATTGAAATAGGAAAATTAAATCCAGAAGTCATAGTAGTCGATGGTGAAACTGGACTGGACGATGAAAAAGATGGTTGACGATTTGTAGAATACAAAGAGCCGGATTCCGGCCGCTTTGTAGGTAAATCCGCAACTTGGCGAAAACTCATGCTAGCCGCCGAAGGAGACCTGAATGCATTTGGAGGATTCTGCGAGGACATATGGCTCGACTGCATGCTATTACTCCTAGAATCAATCACAGGAGAAGCATTCGAGGTCGTATATGATTCTTCAAAGGGTTCAGGTTCGATCGTGGAGTTGATTAATGAATTTTCGCGTTGAGAAGCAATAAGGCTATGTCCTTCAGGCGAAGAAGCACGTCTTGGTGTCGTAGAAGTAAAGGAATCATTCCGATTATAAGATGAAGGGATAGGGTGTTTTGAGATTGCATTAAGGGTCGTTGATTCATCGAAAGAAGGAAGAGAAGGGGTAAACTCGTAGTCTCCTTTGTCATTCAACGGACTTGTAGGGTTACTAGTATTAATAAATGAAGGTGAATTATCATAATAGTCTACAATTTTAATAGGAGAAACCTCTGAGTAATGGTTGTAGGATGGATCGGCTGCAATGGACGTCTGCAAACTGGCAGAACGATTCGGCATCGGTTTTCGAGGAATTCTGCGCGTAGGAGATTTTTTTGATTTCCTTGTAGCAGCTTCATCGCTTAGCACTGGACTACTAACAGCTCGGATAGGATCCCGTTTACGTGGAGCACCAAAAATTTCCTCATACACACGAGAACCTTCATTTCCATCCAATCCATTAGGATGCCGATACTCCATTGTGTAAAAAAACAACCAGCTTGACGATTTAATCGACAACTCTGAATGTTTTAGGGAAGCAAAAGTAAGGTTGTGGTGGTGAGGAAAGGTAACTACCACATGAGGAAAACGCGATAAGTAGTCTCTGTGATGCACTCTGTATAACGACGAAACAGATTCAATCCTTAATAAATTTGTTACATTGAGGTCATACTACCAAGTTAACATTAACATTGGTTAAACGAGTTTGCAATAAATTGCATATTTTGAGCACAAAAAAAGGAAGTTTGTAGCTTCCAGGATAGGTTTTACGAGAATTGAATAAGCTTAGGGATTCTATATGAAGGGTATTTATCTTTATACTTCATTCCTTCTTGGAAAAGGTTATATGGAGAGCATGGATAGCCTTGTATATGAGAGAGAATATGGATAAGAACGTTCTAAGGCAGATCTAAGCATAAATGTAACTAAGCAACTCGCAGCAAGGCCAACAACGTCGCGTTCATTGCCAAAGTTGCCAATGAAAGCCTCGGACCAAAGAAGAGAGTTCGGAAGAAATGTGTCTTGTTCGAGATATATGTATTATAAAGGATGAACAAAAGAATGGTTTTACTCATTTTCGCCTTCTTGATTCTCATATACGCAAGAGTTCCACAATGAAATCAACCAATACGTGCCGTGTCGTTGGTCACAGTTGTTTCTTTTCACATCCCGAGAAGTAGTCGCATAGTTCCTTAATGTACTACGCCTATGCTTTGCCCCTTGGCTTCAACCTTCGTTGTGCTCAAAACTTCCTAGGAGAGATAGACAGAGCAATTCTTCATCCGTGCATAGTAAAAGTGTCTCAACCCCTAGAGGCTTCTCAAGAAACTAATCTTGTCTCCTTTAACTCGTAAACACATACTCCCAAGTTTCTTGTTCTTCTCTAAGTTTGGTTCATCATTACCTTGCTTGCTTGCTCCATTCATGGTGATTCTCAGTGTAGAATTTTCCTTTAGGTTTGAATGAGCATCCTTTTGTTTGCTTACTTTCCTGCAATCTCCAAAAATGGTCCTTTGTTACAAAACATGGAGCATTCTTTCACACTTTAGCTGCACATCCCATCTCTTTCCAAACTTTGTAATTCAATTCTTTCATCACCAAAAATAATTAGATCGTTTCCTCGATTTCTTAATATAAACCGGTATGGCTGTCATGTTTCAGCATAATTCACTGTCATCATACCTGTCGGCAACTAACACACTCCAACTTTGGTCTTTATTACGTGTTTTCTGAAATTTAATTTTCAAGACTAGCTATATCAATTTTCTTTTTCTAATTCCTTATTTTTCATGTTTAATAATAAGCATTCTCGGTTCGATTATCGTCGTATTACCCAGCCAGACCAGCCATCTTACATTATTCCACCACCACCGCTATACTTATATCAAGGCTTTTTTTAACGCCCTCTCTTTTCCAAACTTTTTCTTTTGTACTTTGCATTCGTAAGCTTAGAACTGGCGACACTTTTTGTCTGCCTTTGCGGAATTGAATTTTTCTGTGTTTCTTAGAAGTTCACACCCTTGGTACACTTTTATAAGTTGCAAAAGTTTCTTCTTTTCTTTCAGTTTTACCGTGACATTCCTTCACCTTTTACGGTAAACGTTCTGATCTTCTTTGTTAATTAGTAGAACCGTTTATTTCTGGTACATTGTGTCTTTATTTTCTTTCCTTTCTTGTTAATAGATATACATTGGTTCCTTTTCGTTCTTTTGCAAGCCTATTTTTTTTAAGTTCTTGGGGATTTCTCATAGGATACTGCTTTTTGTTTCTTACAGCCCTCCTTATTTTGTGTTTACTCGTTTTATATGAAGCTCTCCAATGATATTTTCCGCAAAAATTCTCGAGATGAGCGCAGAAGGAAACGCACGTCCATAGACTATCCGGACGACTTTTTGGCTTCTCCCGTTTCCACTCCTAATATCTCACCCGTATCGCCAAAACGACTTTCTATATCCGATTTTTCTTCTTTTCGTTTATTTTCATCTCCTTTTAATTCTCCAAAACGTTATGACAGCACGCATTCCCGTCAACTCCCCATGACACCCCAAAGTTCTCGTTTATCTCCTTCCCGCCGTACCGCTTCTTATACGGTGCGATCATCCCCTGCTCTTCCAACAACAAGTTCTGTCTATTCCTACGATGCTGACCCGAATGGGACTGTTTCTTCATTTCCCAATGCCCTCCATTCCAATTTCTCCCCAAGTGACCCCTTAGATACAGATCCTTACCTCATGTCCCCTGGTGGTCAATATACAGACGTGCATCGCCCTTTACCAGAAACGCCATCTCCAACATCTCCTACTTCTCATCCTTTACCTCGTCCACCGCTTTTGAACACCCATTCAAACAATTCTTCTCCATATAGTAGTAGTTCCTCGAACAGCTTTTATACCCTTTACAATGAGCTACCTCTTTCCTTTTCTCCTGAACCGTACTTACCTCTTTCTCCTACTCGTTCTCCCTCTCGATCTACAAGTCCATTTCGTACTGCAATGAACGAGGCTGATAATTACTCTCTTTCTCATATTGATTCCTTTGGGTGTTGGAGCGATCCTTCATTTACGGATTTGACCTCTTCTCCTAGTCCAGCGAACTTTCCTTCACCCTCTCAAGAACTACATATTTCCAGGGAACTTCCTAAGGTTCCTGTTCAACAGTATACTTCTGGCGAGATTTCATCTCCTTTAGTGTCACGCTCCTCAAGAGCCACTCAAGCGAATGCTTTATTTAGTAGTTGTCGTGAACCTTGGTCTCTGAAGAGACTTTTCTCATGGTGCAAGGAAGAGGTTTTCCCTGCTCTTAGTGCTACAACGACAGATGGCGCACCTCGGCAAGAGGTTGCCCAAATAATGGCTATACTATTTACAATGTCAGTTGCATCCATGGACTTTCTAATTGCTGAAGTCCTTGCAAAAAATATCATAAGTGATTGGATTCAGAATGGTTATATGAAAGTTACTAATCTTGAAAAACTATATATAACTTTTGTTGATGATCAGTTTCCTTCAAGCAGTGGTGTGCTTCCTATTTTAACAAACGGTGGCTGTTATTCATACACTTGTCGTTCTAAAGCCTCTTCCTCTAATTATACATGTTACAGCTGCAGGTGTGTAAGAATTCCCGCCCATAGACTTACTAGTACGCAAGGAGACTTCTGTGATGATTCTTGGAATATGTTTTGGAACCTCTCACCTCAGGACTCTTTGCCATCGTCACTCACCAAAAAGGAAGTAGCCCGACAAAACAATATTCATGAACTTATATGTAAAGAATCAGATTATGTAGCTGATCTTCATACTCTTGCTGAACTTTTTAGGGATGGGATCGTTCAAGAGAATTCCATTGTACCTAGTAATCGAGTGGCTGATTTTATACAGTCCGTCTTTGGAAATGTCGAATCAATTCGTCAGTTACATTCTCAATTTATATTGCCACAATTAATTATAAGAGAGCGATTACAAGGTCCTGTAGTGTCTCTAATCGGTGATATTCTTCTGGAGTGGATACAAATGGCTAAAGTATCTTACATAAATTATGCCAAGCAGTTTCCACTGGCTGATGAAACTTACAAGCTAGAATGCCAACGAAATACTTACTTTGCTCGCTGGTTAGCAACCTGCAGATCAGATCCTCGTTGTCGTCGACTTGATTTTCAGCACTTTCTACAAAGACCAACTCAACGTTTACAAAGATATACCCTTGAATGGGATACAATTCTTAAGCATACAGATCCTACAAGCTGGGATTATCAACTAATAAGTCAAGCTGAGAAAGAATTAAGGGCAACCTGTGAAGAATGCGATGCGGTAATTGCTACAGTACTTGAAGCTAACCGTATTCGCGACCTTTCATATCAATTGTTATTTAAAAACCATGAAAGTATAAATTTAGAATTAAGAGATCCAGAACGTGAATTCTTCTTCGAAGGGCCTGTTTTTAGGAAAAGTGAATCACGACTCGATTGGATTGAGATACATATATTTTTGTTGGACAATTATTTCATTATGGCCAAACCGAGAAGGGACAAGAGAACAAATGCGATGAAATTTTTGGTGTCCAAACGACCTATACCGATGGATCTTTTAGTTCTAAACCCTTTAACAGAAGAATGGAACTCAAGGAACAGCTCTAACAAATTCCTAGGAAGTTTGACTGGTAATTTTCCGTACGATGGGTCTACGAACGTTAGGTCAAAGAGAAAAAGTCGCCTTAACTTGGATATTCTTTATGATTATAATTCTGATAAAATGAATGAGGGTTCCTTGAATACATTAGCACTTGAAAAGCAACATTTTTATCCTTTTACAGTAAGGCATCTGGGTGGTTTATCTTCAACCTATACTTTGTATACGGAATCTTTACAACTTCGAAAACTTTGGATGGACAAAATTAATTTTGCGAGAAAACGGCACGCTCAGAAGATGCACAAAAAGAGCCCATTTGCATTACAAATTGTGAGCGATGTTTCTTTCCAGTATCCTCCTGCTGATTTATCCCATACTTTTGAGTCTTCTTCTCGATCGCCTGAAATAAGTTTGGTTGAGGGATCCGCAGTGGACCGTGCGTTAACAATGGCGGCTTGGCGCTATCCTATACACAACGAGGATGACTTACCTGAAGCCATTAACTATGGAGATATAACTTGTATTGCTCAGTTCGGAGGTGCGGATGGGAAACTATCAATTTGTATTGCTACGACGACGGGCGTCTTTCTGGGTTCTTTTGGAGGTAATAGCAATATTCGTGAATGGCGTAAAATTTCAAGTCATAGACGAGTAATGCAAATAGGATTGTTAGAAGAGTTTGACTGTTTACTAGAGCTGCGTGACCGGTCGATGTATGCCCACAAATTAAGTCGAGTGATTGAAACTGGAACTTTAGAGCCCAAAGTTGCAATACCCGTTGGTACTTCCCACAATATATCTTTCTTCAAGATTTCTAAATTAACGGAAGGTGCGTCTATAAAGCGAGAAAGAACGCTCATTTTTTTCAAACAAGGATCAGGTAATGCAAGTTCTATCCATTGCTGTGAACCTGTTGTTGGGCTTGGTCATCATAATCAAAAAGCTTATAATTTCAAACAAAAGAACGTCAGTTCTTTTCGTATTCTCGAAGAATTTCGAGTGCTTGCGGATTGTTATTCTATGAATTGCTTCAAGTATTCTATAGCCATCAGTCGTCAAAAGGGAATTGATATTGTACGTCTAGATCCCAAGTTGGCTGTCAGTTTCCCTAGTCCCTCTGTTCTGACCGACCCTTTCTATCGCTCACGTTTAAATAATTCGAAACCTCTGGGAGTTTTCCGCGTTCACGATTCCACAATATTTGCTTGCTGTTACCATAACGGAGCATTATTTGTTAATGGCGAGGGAAGCCTAATTAAGAAGGATGCATGGCTACAATGGATAGGTAGACCGAATTCGGTTGCATGTTACGAAGGATACCTGTTAGCATTTAGTGACGATTTTATAGAGATATGGAACTCTCGTTCTATGAAGCAAGTACAAGTCATTCAAGGAAACAATATCAGACTTCATGCTAGTAACAGCGACTTACTTTCTGACGGAAAGCATGTTATGTTTAGTATGACACATCCTCAATTCCATGATCGTCATTTAATCCTTGCACTGGACCTTGTGAAGGAAGAAAATCTTATGGATGTATAAGTAGCGTTTAGTTTTACCAAACACCCTATTTATTTTTTTATTTTATTTTTTTGGGAAAGTTTCATGAAACGGTTTTTTTTTTATTGTTCTTTCGTTGGTTGGTTTTGGTTTATACTTTACACAAGGATTGATTGTTAAACAGAATTGACCATTTCTGAACCATCATATTGTTATTATTTTTACTTATTCTCCATATACGGTATTAACAGATACATTTTATCCAATTATATATGAATTGTGATGTTTACCAAATATAGAATATATCGCATCTTACTTTTATTTATGATTTGGCATATCGATTCCGGTATTTTTGCATTGGGAAATTTAGTTTTTTATTTAAAATTTTTATTATCCATATAATAAATAGATGAACCTTTTATATGGCTACTTTTGAGTTTTTGCAACACCGATAGCACTAATAATGGGCTATAGCTATACCGTCACACTGAATCAGCTCTACCTATACGTCTGTAACGACGGTAAGCAACCGACAAGTAAAGTTGAATATTTGGGGTTACATTAATTAAACTGCAACATTTCTGAGAGATTCTTGCGAATTCTAATAATACACAATTATTTTGGAAATTAAATCTAAATATTTTACGTTATTTTTATTATGTAACAGTAAAAGGGGTCATAGCTCAGTGGTAGAGTGAGGGATTGCAGCTCCCCAGGTCACTGGTTCAAATCCGGTTGGCCCCTTACCTTTTTCCTTTTTTGGAAAACCTTCCATATGTAAAGTCTAATTTTTTGGATGGAGAGTAATGGTGACAGAAACAGCCAGAAGCCAAATCCTCTGTGGGTGATTCGCTGCTGTCGAATGATGGTTTATTATGGGCGGATTAATGTATCAATGATCTCTAAACACTCTACCATCGGAATGCGATTTGTTGGTTAAACAACATTAGCACTAAGGTATTATTATTAAGTAATATAAAAGAAAGTAATATTCATTAATTTAATGTAATATAGTATTATTTTAAAAATTGTATGCATAATGTTTGTATGCTTTAAAAGCATAGTATGCTACTCTTCTAACGCAAATATCATTTTAGGAATTTTAGATCGACTTTTGTATCCATATAAGCATTATGGGTATTCCGCATTACAGTAGGCATCGTAAATGGAAGTCTTGTTGAAGCTCTGTAAATTACGCTGTCTGAATAGCAAGAAAGACTTGCTTTCCCTTTAAGAGCTACCTTACCGTCCACACCACTTGGCTTCAACTGATCTTTTTGTCAACTTTTTGATACCTTTAATTTTGGATAGGATACCCTTTTAATATAAGTTAGTGAGTAGCTCTTGTCGTTCATTTAGCAATTGCATGCTGTTTGTGGTATTCGTTCGTTTGTTTATCCTTACTTCAACTTTAGGAATATATGATTAAGAATTGAACTTATGTATAGAAACTTACAAGGAAATCTTGGCGAATCTTTAGCTGATAATAGCTTGAATGATATAGACAACAAACGTTGGGTTTGGATTTCACATCCTGAAACAGCTTTCACAAAGGCTTGGATAAAAGAGGAACTTCCTGATGGCAAATATGTCGTTCGATACAACAATTCCAGGGATCAAAAAGTCGTTAGCCATGACGAAATGCAGCCACTCAACCCTGCTCGGTTTGACCGAGTCAACGATATGGCTGAACTGACGAATTTGAATGAACCGTCGGTCACGTATAATCTTGAGCAACGATATCTTTCTGATCAGATTTACACTTATTCTGGCCTGTTCTTGGTAGCTGTAAATCCTTATCGACGATTACCTATCTACGGTAAAGATATGGTTCAGTTGTACAAGGATAAAAGTCAAGAACGAAAGCTTCCTCATGTATTTGCTATTGCTGACCTTGCTTATAACAACCTTTTGGAAAATAAGGAAAATCAATCTATTCTAGTCACCGGTGAGTCTGGTGCTGGTAAGACTGAAAACACCAAACGGATTATACAGTATCTTGCTTCTGTTGCAAGCAATCCGCATGTGATATCTGGCGAACAACTAGAAGAGCAAATTCTGAAGACGAATCCAGTCCTTGAATCATTTGGTAATGCTAAAACAGTACGTAACAACAATTCTTCTCGATTTGGAAAATTCATCAAAGTCGAATTCTCAATCAGTGGTGAAATTGCTAATGCTTCCATTGAATGGTATTTGCTCGAAAAGTCCCGTGTTGTTCATCAAAGCTCTCAAGAACGTAACTATCACATTTTTTACCAACTCCTGATTGGTGCTGATTCCAGTTTACGGAAAAAGCTCCTTCTCTCTAATGACTTTAATGATTATGAATACTTGAAGAATTCTTCTCGTACTATTCCCGGCATAAATGATGCCGAAGAGTTTAAAGGATTACTATCTTCTTTAAAAATCCTAGGGTTTTCCGAAAAAGAAATGTTAAATTTATTCAGTATAATTTCTATTATTTTGCACATAGGTAATATCTCCATCGGCGCTGATCGTTCCGGCGTCGCTCGCCTTACAAACATGGATGATGTTGATAAACTTTGCCATCTTCTAGGCGTATCTCCGGAGTTATTTTCACAAAATCTTATCCGTCCACGCATTCGTGCCGGTCATGAATGGGTAGTGAGTGCTCGGTCCCAAGAGCATGTAATTTCTTCTGTGGAGGCGTTGGCTAAAGCGATATACGAACGGAATTTTGGCTGGCTCGTGAAGCGTATAAATACTGCAATAAGTCGAAGTACTTCGTCAAACACATTTATTGGAATTTTGGATATTGCTGGTTTTGAAATTTTTGAGACAAATAGTTTCGAACAATTATGTATAAATTACACAAATGAACGTCTGCAACAATTTTTTAATCATCATATGTTTGTTTTGGAACAGGAAGAATATATGAAAGAAGAAATCAAATGGGACTTTGTTGACTTTGGCCATGATTTACAGCCCACCATTGATTTGATTGAGAAGTCCAATCCTATTGGCATTCTATCTTGCCTTGATGAAGAATGTGTTATGCCAAAAGCTACAGACGCTACCTTTGTTTCCAAGTTAGATGCTTTATGGAAAGATAAATCTCCAAAGTATAGACCGTTCAAATTCGCTGGTTCTGGTTTTATTTTGACACATTACGCGGCTGATGTTCCTTATTCAACAGAAGGTTGGTTAGAAAAGAATAGCGACCCATTGAACGAAAACATTGCCAAATTATTAGCTCATTCTACGAATAAGCATATATCTGAGCTTTTTTCTGACTACCAAGAGGTTGAAACAAAAACAGTTCGTGGACGCACTCGTAAGGCTCTTTTTCGGACTGTAGCCCAAAGGCATAAAGAGCAATTGAATCAATTGATGAATCAATTTAACACAACTCAACCTCATTTCATTAGATGTATTGTTCCTAATGAAGAAAAAAAGAGCCATTCCTTTAACAGAGCTTTGGTTTTAGACCAATTGCGATGCAACGGTGTTTTGGAGGGCATCCGGATTACTCGTGCTGGATTCCCCAATAGGATGCCCTTTAATGACTTCAGGCTTCGTTATGAAATGATGGCCAACCTTCCGAAAGATAATTATATTGAATCTCGACGTGCTTCTCTCTTGATACTTCAACAAATGGGCCTTTCAGAAGATCAGTTTAGAATCGGAGTTTCCAAAATTTTCTTCAAGGCAGGGGTACTAGCTAGTTTGGAAGAAAGAAGATTGCAAACACTTCAGAAGATTGTAACTACTTTGCAAGTTCGAATCCGTGGTTTTGTCCAAAGAAGGAAATACCAAAAGCGCTTGAAAGATATAGAGTCTATAAAACAAATACAGGCTAACTTGCTTGTGTATGACGAGCTGCGAAAGCAACCCTGGACAAAGCTATATTTTAAGTTAAGACCCATGCTTAGTAGTACTCATAATGATGAACAACTCAAACGGAGGGATGCAGAAATTATAGAACTGAAATACGAAATTAAGAAGCTCACAAACGCTAAAGAGGGGCTTGAAACCAAGGTGAACGAGTCCACTAAATCTTATATTGCTTTGGAGAATGCACTTACCAGTGAACGAGCCATTGCACTTGACAAGGAGGAAATTCTTCGTCGAACTCAAGGAAGATTAGCTTCTTTGGAAGATTCAAATGTGAGTTTGAATGCCACTTACAAAGATATGGAAGTTCGATTAGCGGATATTTTGAATGAAAAAGAAGTGGAAAGCAAGCATATGGAGGAGGTGAGAGAAGCACTCGAAAGCATGTCATCTCAAAATGAGAAAAGAAAAGAAGACAATGATAAGTTACGAAAAGAGCTAGATACTTTTCGAATGTATAATGAAGAAGTCAAATCTGCGTTATCCGCTGCCAAGGTTGAGATAGCTTCAATAACAAAACAAAAAAATACCGTTGATCGAGATATAGGAAAATTGAGAGAAGATGATGAGAAGAAAAACAACGAATTATCTTCTTTGCTTCAAGAAAACTCTGCTTTAAAGGATGAACTTCATAAACTCATAGAATTGAGTAAATCGTTAGAAGAAAAGCTGACGAATGAAACGAATATTACGAAAAATATCAATTCATCTGTTGAAAATATGTCTTCTGAATTAGGGCGTAACAAGCTTGAAAAATCAGAAATGGCTAATGATATATCAATTCTTAAGCAGCAAAACCAGGAGCTTGAGGTACTGAAAGGTGTTCAACAAATGACGATTGAAACCCTTGAACAAAAAGTTAACTACCTTGAAGCTGATGTTAAGCAAGTATCTCAGCTGAAGAAAGAGCTCGGTGCTTTAACCGAAAAAGACAACATTTATAAAGTCCAATCTACTAGGAATAAAGAGCTTGAAGAATCGGTGAAAACGCATATGCTTACACTTCAAAAGCTAGAAGGCAATCTTAAAGATGCCAACAACAAGTTAGCGAAATTACAGGATTTCCCATCAAAGTATGAAGAACTGGTTGGGCAAACAGAAGATCTACATAGGAAAAATCGGCAACTTGAAAAGTATAAGTTCGATTATGAGACTCAAAATAAGGAGCTTTTGAACTTACGCAAGGTCCAAACTGATTATCATGAATTAATGGTTCAGCATAACGCAGTAACAAGAGACAAGGAACAGTTAGAAAAAAGCAATTTTTCTACTAATGATCAATATCAAAAGCTACTAGAGGAGCGCAGCGATTTAACTCAAAAAGTGGAAAGCCTAACTCGTCAGCTCGATTCTGCATTGCAAAAGCTTCCTAAAATTCCTTTATTAGAAAACGAAGTTTCCAAATTGAAGCAAGAATTCAAACAGACCGTTAAAGAGCTTGAAGAAGAGAAACAGAAAGCTGTTTTAGCTAGTCAAGATAATGAACAACTACGTTCATTAAAGAAAGAGCTTCAAAATAAACGGCAATTGGAAACGAATTATCAGAAGCTTTTGGAGGAGGTGAAAACCACCCGAAGTTTGCGATCAGAAGTTTCGTTACTGAGAAACAAAGCTTCTGATGTAGAGTACTCTAAGAACAAACTGACGGAATCAGAATTGAAGTTAAAAGAAGTTAGAAAGGAGTTGAATTCCGCATTGGAGGTAAACAAAAAGAAAGATGCAGAACTCCATCGTCTAAAGGAACACAAGCCTGCAGAAAAGGAAAATAAACCCCCAGCATCTTTTAAGAGCTCACTTCCTGAGAGGAAGACAATTTTTGACTTACAACAGCGAAATGCAAATCAGACCCTATTTGAGAATTTAAAGAGAGATTATGATAGGCTCAACCTCGAGAAACAGTATCTTGAGAAACAAATGCAGGAGGGTAAAAAATCTATGGTAACACCACAAGCCACCGGCGGATCTTTAGAGCGGGTTGCCTTTTCTCATGCAGTTGAAGTGAAAGCACTAAAGGATCAAATCAACAGTGAAAAATCTAAGATTTTTGCTGTGCAATACCAGTCTGAAAAACGAGAAAAAGAGTTACAAAAGTCGATTTCCGAATTAGAGAAGCAAAACCGTTATTCACTAATTGATGTTCGGGCGCTTCGAGACAGAATTGCTAGCCTTGAAGAAGAGTTAATGGCGTCTTCACGAGCATGATTTTAGTTACCACCTTGTACACGAAACACATTCATTCTTTAATTTAAGATGGTTGATATTTTTCATGTTAATAGAATATTGTATATTGATAGATCATAAAGATGTGATGAATTGAATTTTCATTATGAACATAATGTACAACAAATGCAGGTATCTCTAGTAAATAGATTCTAAGACATACAAAAGAGAAACAAGAAAGGAATGTGAAAAATACGGTGACGTTCTAATCGTCATTTTCCGTTACATTCGAAAGACTTTCCGATCTCTCACTTGTGAAGTCAGGTAGTACTTCATCAAGATTGGTACCTTGGACAAACTCCGAAATGAAGCTTTTCAAACCCTGCTTACCAATTTCGACTTCAGAACGAGAACCAACATAGTAAACCGATTGATTATGGGTATCATCTTTAACGCGATCCAAATAACCAAATCTTACAAGAAGATTGAGGGAGCGATCTAAGTCTAGTTGAAAAGGGGTTATTTCAGAAGATAACAAATTTTCTAAATAAGATTTCAGTTCCATCTCTCCTAGAAATCCATGGGAAACTGCTACAAGCGAAACAACAAGCATCAAAAATCCAAGAAACGAAGTATCACCCAATGAGTCAGGAACAAGTCGTTGATCATTACTGTATTCAGGACGGAGAGATGATTTTAAAATCCAATACTTTGGAATATTGGAAGAAGAAGAAGCATTCGAAGCATGTTGTTTTCGCAATTGGGAGATAGCCATTTCTTTTCTTCGGTTTGTGGGGCTTACTTGAACCAGTTGAAATCCAAAGACAGACTGAAGTTGGTGGTTTGCCTCTTCTAGTGCAGGCTGAAACAAGCTTCGGGAACTTCCTTGCAAAAATGCACGCTGTATAACTTCCTTTCGCGAAAGAGCTTGGTGAGAGCTTTGGGAGCAAATGGCAAGACGCACGATGTTTCTTACAAGCATTTGAAAATTCATAGAGTCAGTTTCGTCTTTTTCTAGTCCGTCCAATGGCTTGGTACCAACACTCTGTTTGCTCTTCTTTCGACGACTTCGATCAGAGGAAACGCGTCCGGATCTTTGTTCAAATTCGGCGTCTTCATTTGGGCTCTCCAAGTCGTCGTCGATGTATTGTTCGCCCTCTGATCCTTCTTCCTCGTCAGCAATAATCTGCGACGCCGTCAATCGTGTTCCATGGGAGCTGCTAGGTTCTACGTTCCTGGCTCTTTTTCTATGCAAATCATCGAGCTGAGTCATTTCATTTTGCACAATGAATGGAAATTACAAAGTAAAGCAAGTGACTTCCAGCGATCGCGTTTTCGAGTTTTGAGAGGAAATTCGAAAGCGCGTCGAGAGGAATTCGTTTTGCGAGGTTGCTGGAAGTCTGTAAATGAAAGTCTATGCATAATATAACGATACTGCGTTACCCCTCAGTGGTAAATAGAGTCCAGCAGAAGGATATTTGTTGACTGCTTCTCGAATGTGCAGGCCTTTCTTTGCCGGCTATTGTTGGACTTATAGCGTACAATTGGGATCTTCGGTTCTGTTTCAATGCCTTTACCGTGCTTGTCTTTCTCATGAAAGCGATTGTATGGCTTCATTCCTTTCTGTTCAATTAAAAAGACATGAAAGAGAACGAAAAAAAAAAGCTCTTCAAGTCGTGGCAGACGCCCGACTTCGTTCTTCTAAAGGAAATCCAACCCTGCTTCGCCGTCTCGTTTTATTCCAGCATCGTACTATTATTCTCCTTAGTAAAATAACAAATACGGCGGTGGAACACAATCCTCCGTTTGCATCTTCTGGAACGCTACGCTCCATTAACATATATTGCATTCCCAAACGCTAATTGCTTTATCCTTGAACCAATCAGGAGCCTGACAATTATATAAAAACTGGAAACATGATGAGTACTTGTCGTTAGCCAAAAACAGATATTCATGGGAGACAACAATTGAGTCTCCAAACACGTTAAATTTGAAAGAATTTGGTGTTATTAATAATCATATCAAGGATTTGAGGTTTGATCATCGAAACCCGAAAAATTTGGGCAAATTCTCAAGGATGCTTGGACATTTATGGACTCGGCAGATTTCGCGATCCTCCTTGCGCGAGGGCGTGATTAGGAATTTCGTTCGAAATCTCTCTTTATATGAAATTCATAACCTGAAAAACCCTCATTCATCTCCGCCAAAATCGCAAAATATTCAAATTCCTCCACCCACCCGTTTACGTGGTGCAACTCCCTCCAATGAAACTTCTAAGAAAGAACTTGCTCCTACTAGACATATGCCCCGTAAAAATGTTATTAAATTGGTATGATATTTCTTTTTTTTAATATATTTACATATACTGACACTTTTTGTAGACTCCAGATGCAGTGAATCATTTACGAAACATGCTGAATGAACCCGCTATGAAGGATAAACTCTTGCGAATTGGTGTAAAGCAAAAGGGTTGTGCTGGCCAGGCCTACTCGTTAGAATACATTGCACAGCCTGAGAAGTTTGATGAAATTGTAGAGCAAGACGGAATTCGTATCATAGTAGCTCGAAGGGCTTTACTGCAAATCATCGGTTCTGTAATGGATTACAAGGATGATGAATTACAGTCGCGGTTTATTTTTACCAACCCGAATATCAAATCTACTTGTGGTTGCGGAGAATCTTTCAGCACGATAAAATAATGCAAAAGTACAAAAAAAATAAAAATTAAAAGAGCTTTGTTTTACGAATTCTTATGATTGCAACGTTTATTAATTAATTCCCTACAATGGCTTTTTGTTGGTTTCTTCGTTCATGCTTTATGCCCCTTTTCTGCGTTGAGCACTGGTCCTGTGCTTTCCTTCCTTTTTCTTTTAATCAACTACTTACCTAATAACAAATAATGATGTTTTGCTATTGTGGCTTTTTTATTTTATATGAATTTTTGTGAAATCCGCTGTCTGCGTAAAGTAATATGATGATTTTATTTCTAAGCTGTGTTTGCTCTGATTCGCTTTTCTTTTTTTCTGCACATCTATAGTTTACGAAACGACGAGAGTCACAAGCTGTCAAAGATTTTTCTAAGTGGTTTGAAAATACCTTGAAGGGAAGATACTTCTCATTCTTGATAGAAGTTGTCGAAAGAGGATCTCACTTACTTCAATATCAGTGCTATAGTCTGCAATAGAGTTTTGAATGAATTCAAAAATAATTTGAAAGACACTTATCATTTCTCGTTCTTCCTGTTGGTTGAAGGTAGTATGGGACTCATCGGTTGGAATGTTTGGTAAAGCTTTCCTTCAAACTTGTTCATCTACAAACGAATTCTCTTGTTAGCATTGTCGTAGTATAAAAGTAAATCAAAGATATTACCCAACCTGAGGATGTTTGTACTCCAACATGTAGCCATAAACTCCATGCACCCATTCGATTAGCCATAGTGCTATCCGTGAGTAGCCGATCACCAATGAATAAAAGTTGAGCGGGACGTTCAACTTTTGTAGATTTCTGAAAATAATTCCACACTTCTTGTTCACAAAGAGGCTTTAATTTGGAGTGTCGCAGTACAGGAATTTCCCAGCGAGCTTCAAACTGGGCGGCTTCTTCTCCTGTCGGATCTTGCTTTTTAGAACCAATTGAATTGCTCACCAATAAGATATTGCTCTTTCCAAACTGTTTTTGTAACTCTCGTAGTTTTTCAAGGTTTCTTTTGGGAATTTCATTATCATCGGGTAAAGTAATGCAATCGTCCTTGTCTAGCACAATACCTCGAATGTCAACAGGGCCACTGTATAGGCGGCTTAAATGGCTGTTAATACCAATCGGAATATCTGTGAATGAAGGAAACTTTGCATGAGGAAGTAGTATCCTAGGACGTTTCACAGTTTGAAAAAAAGCACGAATCCCTTCCCAGTTCACTAGCATAGAATGTAAATGATAAGTATTGAATTTACTTCTTCTAAAAATTTGAACGAATTGTCAAATAAGAAGAAATTATCAAAAGATTTTAATGGTAGAAGCAGTTATAGGCCGAAGCATTATGATCTGCTATGACACCAAGAATTGTTTGAAGGTAGACATGAAGTTAAATGGTTGAATTTCATAGAATAAAAGAATCTTTTTACCCTGTAGAATAGCAAATATGCTAATTGATCCTTATTCAGTATACTCAACCTGAAAGCTGTAAGTTAGTATGATTGCCTACTTTGATGTACGAACGTCTATGTTTTCAACTAGAAAAAAATTGATAAAGGTGGTCAGTGAATATGAGACTTTTCATTCCATATGACTGTGCGCCTGATACAATTGGTATTTAATTAATTAATTAGCTATAATGATGATTACAAAAGTGATATTATTAATTCGAGCAAAAAGAAAACAAAAAGTGTTTGGGAGTGGGAAGCCGCATTAACCAAATGATCAAAAATAGTTTCGTAAAGCAAATCTTCCAAAAAAAGAAATTAAAAAAAAAAAAGAAATCGTTAGTAGATGGAACAGAATTATAGAATGCTAGAAACCCATTTATAAGCAAAGACACTGATGCGCTTCATCCTACTTTCACTGTACTTTTGAAAAATAGAGCGGTGATGATTAGGAGCATCCAAAATACATTCCATGATACCTAGCGCACAAGGTTCCAGTTGTCGAGCAGTGAGTCCGCTGTAATAAATATGATGCAACGTCCATGTAGTATATCCTAACATTTGCATAGACAAGTAGTAAGAAGCTGCTGCTATTACACTGGGATATCCTCCAACAAACATTTCATCCATTAATGTCAGTTCCATCAGATACTTTGATAAAGATCGGATATCATATTGATAGGAGTCAGCCCTACTGATTCTTCTTAAAAAAGACATAGGCCCTGGCCAACTTAATTCAAATTTCAGCAGCATTAGCATGTATCTCTCTGCGCGGATAATTTCTTCAAGTTCGTAGACTCCTTCTACGATCTTACCTAAATCATAGATGGTCGGTGGATGAATCTCTTCATACTTAAAAGCAATCAACAATGCAGAAAGGCCTACCAGTTGTATTTTTTGGAACGATACCAATTTTATGGAAAGAAACCTGTCGACTAAATTGACCGTTAGATACAATGTTTCTGGAAGAAGTCGAAAATAATGATGGACCTGGATTATCCAGTCAATCAGCAAATGTCTAGTTGGCCAATCGATTTCCTGTTGAATAGACATATAAGAAGGAGATGGTGCCAAGTTCATTTCTAACTCATGCATATATTGGAATATATCGGTTTCATAATCGGAAACCATTGATGGGTCTTGATCGTCATCTTCCTTGGAAGGGTGCGCTTTCACAAATTTCGAAGCATGAGATAACAAGCGAAAGTCTTCTTCCGTAAAGAAAGGGATTGCGACATGGGAAGGCTCTGTGACTTTGGAGGTGTTCAAATCAAAGGACTCTTCAGAAATGTCCAGGGATGAGTTTTTCTGGTCAGAAAATGAACCCTCAGGCACGGAGTTCAACAAAACACTATCTAGTTCTTTCTCATCTGGAAGAACATATTTTTCTGTTTCTGAACTAGTGGGTGATGTTATGAAACGGCCTGTGTCTATGTAAGTAGAGTGCAAGGGACCATGAGAAACGTTTTCTAATGACTTGAGAGGAGCTCTTAGAGGCGATCGATAAACATTTCTGCCTTTTCCGTTTAATGCAAAGGATTCTGTTTGATTTTCATCTGTAGCTAATTCATGAGCATCGAGTCTGCTTGAAGCTTCCATAACTTTACAGAGACGTATAAAAGAATAACATTGGTATCTTTTTCAGCAAGAAAGAAAATAAACGTCAAAAAGGAATACTTCCTGCCGTGTTTTGTTTCAAATTTCGCCAAAATTAAGTCTTCAAAGTTTCAATAGTGATAGCGATGGTAGACCAAAACAAATAAATAAATAGGAAAAAGATTAAATAATCCAAATTATAATTAATACCGAAAAAATCAGACGGAAAAGACTGAAATCAAGAACCAAGTAGTGCCGTAAAGTTGAGACTCGAAAGATGACAACCTGCAGTAGAGTACAAAATTCGGCTACAATACCTATTTTTTACACGTAATTTTTTTATTTAGATAATTTCTAATTCAATTATTAAATGTAATCATATATTCTACGAACATTTGAAGTTCTCCTGGTTGCGCGTCAAAGGTACTTAATTAAAGTGAACGCGTCGCGCATCCATATTTAAGTTACAACACCAACACACTTACTACACGCTTATACAGAACAACTATTCACGAAACTAGTTAGCATTTAAATATCATGGAATACGATTTTGAATCAGATCTTAGTAGTCATTTAGATGGTTCCTTACCTGATTTAGAAGAAGATATTGAGCTAAATCCCGCTGTTAATACAACTTCCAACGACCATGGCGATAAGTCTGAAATGTTGACATCTACCTTAAAAAGAAAGTTAGAAAATGAACCAATTGCTTCTGCTGAAACTATCCAAAGAACAATAACCAGTTCAAACAACTCTCAAAACACATCTCAAGATTTCTCATTCACTTTGCTCAGTAAGCATCTACCCTTTGAAGCATAACGAAGTGTGGATACCATAACTAACTCAATCTTCTAGATGAGCTGTTGAATGACACCAATACCATGGAGTTACTGAGCACAAAATGGCGTTCCTACTCTGAAACGGATTCTTCTGAATTCATGCGTGGATTTCTTAATCTTATACTGCTGGTAAGAGATTACGCGCTTTCACATACTAACAATTACAATAGTCGTGTAATTGCCAACCTTTTTTAAATCACTTTGACATGGAGGATACTGAATCAATACCTGAAACCCTAGCTCAAATCCAATCTTCAACTTTTAATTCCGTATGCAAATCTCTTTTTCTTTGAAAATTAACCTCAATTATTAGATTGCCAATTTTGCAGAACCGTATTTATATGCATGCTCCACGGGTACAGGAAAGTCATTTAGAACCAAACTTAGTTTTCTTGTTAATGAGCTCATTAATATGTCTATAGAAAAGGATAGGCTCTCAAGCTCATCCTTCATGGAAACTATTAAATCATGGATTTTGTGTATGACAACTAGTCCATGGTTATCTATCCGGCATACTTCAAGTGCCATTTCATGCATGTTCTACGTTGCACTCGCGAATGCCCTTTCCAAATTTGAAGATGGTCGTGATTTTGTTGAAGGGGATGAAAATCAAAGTTTATTTGAGAATCTCAATTATCTTTTGGATGATATCTATAAAAGGTATTTCAAACATTAGTATCTGATTATAGAACACTTACCAACAACAGTGCTATTTTAATTAGGATACGCGATACAAGGTCTATTATAAGGTTGGAATGTTTTCTCGCAATTCATGAGTGTTGTCTACTGCTTCCATCTCATCTTCAAAACAGATCAACGCTATTGTATCTCGGATGGGGACTTTCTGATACTGTAAGATAAGTTTATTATCACAACTTTACTAACTTTGAATTAGGATGCAAGAATTCGAAAGGTTGCTTTAAAAATCATTCAACAGCTTTTTATTACGGAGCGAAAACAAGAGTTATCGGTTACTTCACTTAATTTCTTAGAAAGATTTTCTTCCAAAATTGCAGAAATTTGTAGGTATGACATTGAAAGTGTTCGCGCAATAGCACTTCAATTGTGCTTTCAATTACTGGACCATCAATTGCTCAGCCAGGATGATATTGAATTGCTTTGTTTATGCATTTTTAATAAAAAAGCTCAAATTCGCTCGCCAATTATGAGGTTACTAGTGAGGTACTGTGATCAAACCCTGGAAGGTTTTCTCAAACAAGCTACGAAAGAAACGAGTCTCAAAAAGATTCTTTCACGAGAGAATTATAAAATATCCAATTCTGCTTTCAAAAATCTTTTCAAGGAAAACTTGATTTTTTCTTTCATTGCGCAGGCGCTGGAAACATGGACTATTGAAAACGTCCAAGCGAATTCCTCACAATCAGACGATAGAAACTCAGTTTGGCCCTTTGGTTTCAACATGGAAGCTAAATATTTGGAAAATTCTGAGGAGTGGAAAGTATACGAGGGCAGTATGCTATCTATTCATAATGAAATGAACTCATTGGGTTCTTGGGAAGAAGTTCTTGGCTATTTACTATTTGACCATGTTAATCATTTAAGCTGTAATAGCATTTTAAAATCATGTGCGCCAAATGAGAAAATAATCGACTTCTTATCTTCCTACGTGTATTTCTGTCTTAACTTCATCGAAAAGCCTTCTTTTTTAAAAAGAAAATCAGTAAGTTAGAAGGCATTACCTCTTACGTATTCTAACAACATTAGTCTGAGTCTGATTATACCTCAAAGCAGTTACATTTATTACATGAGCTACCTCTTTTGATGAAGAAATATCGAGAACGCAATGTTGCAAGCTACTATTTTATTAAAAGTTTGGATTATATCCAAGAGCAAACTCTCGCTTTACCAGAATCTAAAAAAGATATGTTGGCTTTATTGACAGAAGTGGAGTATGCTGCTAAAGCATCAAATAATTTCCAAATAAATCTATTATGCGGTGAATTCTTTCACAGGATAATTAACCTGAACCTGATAGCGACCGAAATTCAACTAAATATAAAACTTTATTTCGCTTCCGTGACAGATAGTTTAATGGAAGAACTACAAGAATTCCTTGGATATATCCAGTCAGGTCGGAAGGCATCAAATCATGATGAAAAGTACGAGAAGTTGCAATCTGATAATACACAGCTAACATTCAACAGGGTTGGTAAACTGGTATTTCATTTGAAATCTTATTGTGGTTTTATTCGAAATATTCGTACCTCTTCTGAAAAAAGCGATACCACCTTGCGTCTTGTCTCCCACCTATTAGATATTTGCAGGCGGGAACAAAATGAACTGCTCTTATATTCTTGCTTAAGGACTATATTTTTATGCATTCTTCCTGAATTGAATCAAAAACGTTCAAAGGAAATTTTGGAAAATTACTTCAGCGTGGTCGTTGAAGCATCAGAACTGTTGTCTAAACGTACAGAAGAGCTTTTCACCGGAAAACTTTTTGTAAGTCCATAAGATCGCACTTTTTTGAATTTTCAACTAACATATCATAGTCCACTATTGTACTATTAAGTGTCTACTTGGGAAAATCGGTTCTGGATGGCACATCGCGACTTGATGATAAAGAGGTAAATAACATTAAAACATTAAATATTGAAGAGCAGCTTATGACACTTAAAAATTTATCAAAACAGTTAAAGACAAGAGAATCAAACAGATCAGTGCAGCCATCAATGCTAGAAGATGAAAAGGAACAGGACTTATGGAACAATTTATTTGAAGACTGGTATCCTAATCATTGTAGGGATCCCATGCTTTTGGTTGATTTAATGCAAGGTTTAAAGAAACTTATTCTATAGCTTTAATTTTAGGATATTTGTTTGTTTGAAGACTAGTCTGTTCAGAAGAGCTCATCTTTTGAACAAAAACATTGAGTCCCTCAGAACGGTTTCTAAGAGAAGTTAAACTGTTTCTGTGTGTAGGATGTTTTTAATTAAAGAAATAAAACCAAGTTGATCATGCTTTAGCCTAAACGAGTCGATGATACAGTACGAATCAAACATTGTCTTTTTTTTTTTTTTTCTGTTTTCGATATCTAATGGTACAGAACTAGTAGGTGCCGAAATTATAAAGTGCAACTTTTTTATTTCTTTCAAGGTTTAAAATAATAATATTTTTATCGAAAAACGAAGTATTAATCGTATCGCCGCTAAGGTATCTTATTCCATTTACTAGTGATTACTTTTGTTCTCCACCAACATATTTCCCTGTGAAAAAGTTCAGGGAGAAAGCTGAAAACTTACCTTTTTATTCTTTCTATTTGAAAGAAAAAGAAGTATTAAAGATATAAACGAAGATTTCTCAGCTTAGCTTCGAGAATTCTCAATTTTAAGGATTCAAGATGTCCACTGCATTTTCCTGTACAACTTGCCGTGTAGCATTTCCAAATGCGGACTCTCAGAAAATACATTGGAAATCTGATTGGCATCATTATAATTTAAAGAGAAAAGTGGCAAGCCTTCCCCCCTTGTCTGCTGATATCTTTGCTGAGAAAATTCTCTCTATCCAAAAGCATAATGAAGCTGTTCAGAAAAAGGCTGAATTTTATCGTGAATGTACCTATTGCAGCAAAAATTTTTATTCCGAAGGCGCTTATTCTTCCCATTTAGCTTCAAAGAAGCACCATGAAAATGTTCGTAAATTTGAAATGAAGTCTCGTACAGACCAATTGAGACATGATGAAACAAGTAGCGTTACCTCATCGACTCTTTCAATGGGAGAGCCTGTCGATGAAAGTGCTGAAGAGGAAGAGCTTCAAAACTTAACAAAACGCTTGGCATCTGAATCGGTCTCAGTTTCTGATTCTTCTTTAAAGAATGGAGCTATGTCTACGGAAACTTCTCAAGCAAAAACAACCGCTGAACCAACCGGTGAAGATTTTGAAAAAGAGCTCGCTCGACGTGTGAGCGAAAAATTGAGTTTAAGGGATTGCCTGTTTTGCAATGCTTCTTTCTCCTCTTTTGAAGCTAACAAGAAGCATATGAAAGCAATTCACAGCCTGTATATTCCTGAGCGAGAATATGTCGTAGATGAACCGGGCCTTTTCGAATATTTAGCTGAAAAGGTTTCTATAGGTTACACTTGCTTAACATGCAATCGCCAATTTAAGTCATTGGAAGCTGTTCGCTCTCATATGCAGCAAAAGGGACATTTCTCTATTGCTTACGATACCGATGAGGAACAGCTTGAACTTGCTGATTACTACGATTTCACCACTTCTTATCCTGATTACGAGAAACCCCATGAGGTTGTAGATGCAGAAAACGCAGAAAACGATGAAAACTGGGAAGACGCTTCCAGTGATTCTGATTCCAGCGTAGATAGCTTAGATGTGGGTAGAGTACCTATAGCTGAAGAGTACGAGCTTCACCTCCCTACCGGTGCTCGTGCTGGTCATCGTTCTTTATCTCGTTATTTCCGTCAAAATATTCGTCCTTCCACTACTAACGCTGTTGGTGACGGTGCAGCAGTTCATCAAAATGTAGCCAGACATGCTATGAGTGGAGAAGCATTGGCTCGTAATCGCGCTGTAGAGACTAGTCTTGCTGGTGTCCGAGACGGAAGAAAGAATTATAGTGCCTCTCATATCAAAACATTCCAAGACCGTAGAAAGAAAGAGGCTTTCTTTACTAAAATTGCTTACAAGAATAACACGAAGCAACACTATCGGGATCCACTTCTGCAATAATTTCTTGGTATCATTTCGTCTTGTTACAATCTTGTTATGAAAGCAAAAAAAAAACCCCCCAAGGAAAAGAAAGGAACTATTTTGGTTTGTATAGCTTTGTACTGGTACTGGTCTGTCTATGAATATGTTTGTCGGTTGGTCTTGGTTTTTCCTAATCGAAGAACACTGATGGTTGACTGTTTTAGGAGCTTTAATAAATAATTTAAATACTCCCATAAATAAAGGCATTTTTTAGTTTTATGTATCTTTTGGGTCTTACTTCTAGTTCAATTTAACTCATTTAAAGTGAATTATCTAAAGTTGAAAATTAAATTAAACATTATATAGTAAGTTCTAAAGCTTCATCTCATTCAAGCGAAGTACACTTAAAAGAACATTAGCTTCTCAGATTCACTTTTGAGCTGGATGAAAACAAAATTAATTCTTTGCAACGTAATTAAGGACTATAAAACTTCGCCCATACTAAGCAAAATAGTAGAAAAAGAGTGACAACATGATTTGATATAACACGAATAATATGGGTTTCTAGCTGCATGAAGTGAAAAATTTCCCATAAGGGAAAGGAGTATAAAATAGCATGTCAAAAAAATTTTTCTTTCTTTAATCTTGAGACTCACTTAAGCGTTCAATAATTAAATCTTTTGCTTTAGCAGCTCCAGATTGACTTCCTTGAATGACAATAATATCGACACCTAATACACGAGGAACGTCAATTTTCACTTGAGCAACCTTGCGAATCTTGTTAATAACAGAGCCGCCAGCACCAATAATACGACGATGCAAGTTTGGAGGAACAGAAAGGTAACCAGTGCATTCTTCTTCAACCTGCTTAATGTTCTTCTCCAAAGCAATAATGGCCTTTTGAACATTTTCTTTGTAACCTCTAATGGTCAATATTGAAACACCGTCGGTATTTTTTTGCTTGGTAACTAACTTCCAGGGATAGGGTCCTTCTTCGTTATCCTCAAGGACAATTTCTGAACCTTCTAATTGATTACGAACGTCGGGCACGTCCACAAACACCTTAAGATCATTGCGAAGTCTTCTGATAATCGGACCATTCGTCAATCGTTCACACAAAGTATTGGCAACCTCAATGGTTTCTGTGTATTGACTAGCAACTTTCTCTTGAATCATCTGTATAGCTTTGTCGCAATTCTCGGGACTACCAATGATTGTGATGGTTACAAGTTGCTCGGGATCTAAAACATTCGGAATTGTAAGAGAAGTCAATGTTTTCTTTTCGATATCACGACGGCTACTTCCCATTCTTCCGATGATAGAACTGATGCTACGCTGAGGAACATCAATAGTTTTTTCAACTTGATTCTTTAGTTCCTCTACAGTTTGTAAGAAATGAGATTCTAGAGCTTCAACGAGTTGTTTGTTACCACGTAACACAACAGAATTGCGTTCTTCTTCAGAGTTGCCATTGGAGAAACTAACAAGACGAGCAGTCTCGGCTTTGTCGGTTGTACCACCACATTGTTTAATACTTTCTTGCAAGTTGCTTCCATTAGGGCCAATAAGAAAACGATGGTATTCGCGATCAATTTTGACAACTTTCTCGACTTGGTTTTTAATTTCTTCAGCAATAGCATTAATTTCTTTGATGGCACCTTCGACATTTTCTTGAGAACCGCGTACTGAAACATTAATTGCACCCTCAGATCTTTCGTCTCCAATGTCAATTTTGACATCATATTGAGCACGAATCTTCTCTACAGTAGCGCCATTGCGCCCTACAACTCTGGAAGCAGCCTTAGAGGGAATTTCTATAACTTCACTATAAGCAATAGACTTCTCATACTCGTAAAGTTCAATTAACTCTTGCTTAGCAGAAGCGACAGCCTTCTTACTACCACGAATGATAATTTCATCAACAGATGAGGGCTTGATCGTTTCGTTTCCGGAATTGTTCAAGTCATCTTCACGAGGGAAACGAACACGGACACTAAATTTTTCCTCTAAGCGTTTAACGTATTTTCCGTTGGCGCCAATAAGCTGGCGGTGGAATTCATTGGGGATGGTAACGCGCAAAATGGTATCGTCCATGAGAGCTTGGACTTGAGCTTGAATGCGAGCTTTAGTTTCTTCAACATTCTTTTTGATACCTTGGATACGTACATGTCCTTCCTCGACATTGATCTGAACACCAAAGTTTTCACGAAGAGTGGACACATTGCTTCCATTTTTACCAATAATATTCTTTGAATACTGAGCGGGAAAATCAAATTCAGCAACGTATGAGTGAAGGATCTCATGATTCTTTGCATCTCTTACGAGTTGTTTTATTTCATTTGTGATGCGCTGAACGTCGTTGGAAAATCCTCTAACGTAGACATCGTCATCGGTAGAGTCAGTGCGATAAGAAACCTTACCAAGCTGAACTATTACATTTTCCTCTGAATTACCAAGAATTGCCTTCAGTGTAGTACCCTTCGGTCCCACAATATGCTTATGATAGACAGAAGGTACTTGGATAGTTTCAGAAACAATCTTAGCGGAGGCATCGGCAGAGGATTTGATACGTTCACCCAGATTTGCCAATTCTTCTTGTACCTGTTCAGGAGACTTTCCGTCATCCAACCCAGTATAGCAAAGAATGACATTGGAATCATTTTCACCATTTTCGCCAATTAATAGCTCAACGCTATGATCCGCTCTGAGTTTTTGCAAGTTTTTACCTTTAGAACCAATAACGTAACGTTGCAACAGAGGATCAATCTCAACATTATGGAATTTATGAGGAGGGAATTGACTAATAACCTTAGTTAACGTAGCACGAGCATTGCGAACGCTTTCAGCGGCTTTACTGGAAATCTCGATTATGACAGATTTATTGGCAGGTTCCTGGAGCTCTTCGCGCTTCGGAAGATGAAACTGAACATTTAAAGCGTTTTCATATTGAGACAAGAACTTGGAGCGAATGAAAAATCTGGCAAGCAAATTAGCATGGCTGAAGGGATCTTTCAAGGAAGTGAAGACAGTGGAAATATTAACAGCATCAACAATTGTAGAGTTAGCACGCTCCATAGTCATCTTAATACCATCACTAATATTCATTGCAGGACCACGAACACTGACAATATCTGAATCGCTATTAATTGGAGGAAGTATAACTGAACATCCAGTGCTTCTTAAGATATCTTGAATACCAGTACTCTTTTCTCCGTTGATAAAACGATGTTGACGACGAGGGACAGGAATCATAGTAGGAATGGTAGTGCGAGCTAACTCCTCGGCTTTTCCTTGTAAGAAAAGAGCACATTCACGAACACAAGACTTTTCACCAGATAAGACAACTGGATTGACGGGCAAATTGTTGTCGGAGTATGCAAATGGAATTTGAACTTTAAGATCTTTGCCTTCTTCCAATTCGGCAATATTCGAACCATCGGCTCCACGAAGCAAGTTGTACAAATCAGTGGGAATTGTATTAATGCGGACAGTAGTATGACTAGTGCGTTCATTAATGATTGTTTCCACCTCTTTTTTCGCGAGTTCAACACCTTCAAAATCGCCTTCGATGGTAACGGAAGTCAGCTCGTATTGAGGTTCTAATTCGTCCAAAGAAGTCGAGGAAGAGAGCATGGACTTTTCATTCTTAGAAGATGTTTCATTATCGTCAGTGGCAGAGGAGTTACGCTTAGGGACTTGAATACGAGTGCCAGTACGATCCATAATGGTCTTTAGATTCTGACCGTTGGTACCGATAACAGCGCCGACAACAAAGACAGGGCAGGGAACAATAATGGTGTTTCGACGACCGACGGCCCTTATTATTTGTCTGTGGGCAGCCTTAACAGAAGCAACTTTACCTTGAATTAAGAAGGTAGTGCTTTTTGTCTTAGATGCGGTTGAGACGTTTATACGAGTAGAAGTTTGCTGCATAATGGTACGTACAATATCTGCAACTGAGTTTGGTTTACCGGTGAACGAGAGGCGAGACATCTGCTGATCAGGGCCCAAAATCAAAGTGTCTGTCATATAATCTGTTTCTCTTGAAGCAGAAGCAGTCCTGTTGGAAGAAGTAGCTGAGTCAGCTGAAGAAGGGGCACCATCATTAGCGGCTGAACTAACACCAGCTGCCTTTCGGACCCAAGACGCAGTTTTTGGTCTACTAGAGCTGACCTTGGGCGAAAGGGTAGGGAAAGCAGCCTCTGAGTGGACATCAATAATGGGTTTTTGCGATACGGTCTTTGATGAAGCAGGCTTTTCCTTAGAATAACCTTCAACCTCATGCTTCTTTTGTAATAAAGCAGAAGGAGGAAGATTTTCGGTTTCTTCCGGTGAAGTAACAGTCGTAGTCGCATTGTCTAAGCTTTCATGCTTCACACCATTGATTTCGGAATCATTGGAAGCGAGTAATCCATCGTATTGTACCTTTATATCTTCATTACCGTCAGTTGGAAGACTGGCGGAGGTATTTGTGACTTCAAGATTGTTCGCAGTCATGGTGAATTGTTCGGAAGTAAAGAGATTTTCCATAAATCAGGTTCCAGAAAGTGTATTCAATAAGAGATTGACTGGTTAGAGAGTGAAAATACAGATTATTGTGACTCCAAGTGAGATTATGTCGAAATATTCTTTATGAGCTGTATTTACTTTTAACACTGCTTTCTTTTGAGCGTCAAGACGCTATACGTTGAAGTAAAGAAAGAAGTAAAAACTTAACGACTGGTACTCGTGTTGTTTCAAGCAAATAATGTCTACGAATAAAGTCGCGTCGACTAAAGATATTCGTTCAGGGCAAGCCTTAGTCTGTTTGATGTTCCTATACTTCTGGTGTACCGGAATAGCGACTGATAGCGTTCTGTCACATTTCATCCTTCGGCAACGTTAACAAATAAATCCTAGGTTTCCTTCTTATACTACGATATTCATTTGGTTTTTCTTTTGTAAGTCCATAAAAGTTCTTAAAATACTGTTTTACTGAGGTAACCTACAAAACACAAGAAGCTACAAAAATACAAAGTGATACAACTTACTACTCTCGATACTTCAAAGTACTTATCATCAAAGTTGTCTCTACACGAGAACTCTTCCCTAATTGCCTGCATATGCAATAGATATACAAGTATATTGCCTTTCAGCTATGAAAACATGCCACAATAAAATGAGCATGTAAATTGTACGCTGACTTTTGCCATCAAAAGTCAAATTGCCAAATAAGGATTGTAATCCTTCATAGCATCCTATGAATAATCCCATATTCATTAAAAGAAAATAGATATAAATCGTTCGTTAAATCTTCGAAAAGATAGATGGTTTGTTAAATCACAGAGATAGAATCGTAACCGCTGTTAGATCAGGAAATAGGTATATATATATATTAGAAGAAAAAAGAATGAATGCATGTAAAAAAAAGAAGAATCGACAAAGCACCGATGTAAAACTTCAACGCAATCATTCTGTTTCAATTCAAGAATTAAAAAGTTCAACACAACATTAAAACACAGAAAAGCGAAGAAACTCTAACCCAGACTAAAAAAATGGCATAAATGTTTAGATAAAACAATATTGAGGTTCTTAGAGTGGACGAAAAGGCCGTTGAACAAGCTCAAATAGTTCATCCAATTCTTTAAAATTTTCATCATTCTCAGCAAATTTCCGATGGCGCCTACTCCGAATATGCAATTCGAAATTGTCAAACTTTTCTCGACAGTTTTCACAATATCCAGGTTTTGGGTCAATCCTAACTTTTCTCTGGTTAGCATTCTGAAGTATGTTCTTGTAAGTCTGTTCTTTATTTGGTGCTCCGGATTTTTGCTGAATTATTCTTTTCTTAAGCTCATTTATGTCTCGCCCGTTGATCGCAACAACAGGAACACCTGCAGCACTCCCTGAACGAATATTAGAATTATTGGACATTACCGCCGAAGTTAGATTGGACTGGACGATACCAGAAGCTTGCATGCCATCATCTAACATGCGATATGGCTTAAGTTTGGCCGAAGGTTGCTCTTGTTGAATATCTCCAGTATTTGCATTTGGCAATGGAGCACTTTCGGCATTAGCATATACACTGTTTGAGTTCGAAGTAGAAACAGTATTGTTAGATAGCAATGGAACAGAGAGTTTAAAAGAATTAGCACGTGAAAGCGTTGGAGGTGCTTGTTGGGAACACTGTTTTTGTATGCGCTGCAGCTGCTGCTGTTCTTGTGACTGATCTTGTTTGGCCTTTGCTGCAGCTGCTGCTGCTGCCGTGTGTGCGTTAATACTTAGGCGCTGCTTGTTTTCAGGTACAAATGGGCATCTGCCTATACTAGTTGCACGAAACGTGGGCCACGGAACATCCTTATCGCTTGACGGCTTTGGCCATTCTCTCAAAAGAATAGGTTTATATACATTTGCCATATCATGAACATATAGATATGGGCCTTTGAAATGAACAAAGTCTTGCCTTGGTACAGATAAATCACGCTCATTGGTACCTTGAACCTTTTCTACGTAAAGCAAATAACTTAAATCGTTCCCTTGCTTTTGAGATGGGCCAGCACCAAATGGGTCGTCTTCCAAAAGCGTTTTAAGAACCCGGTTACACAGTTTTTCCATGCTCCAAATCTTCATATTCAATTGACGTGCCTTGGTAAGCACGTCCTGCTTAGAGTTTTTTGCCATTATGTCTTGCGTAGATCTCGTCGTAACCACATGAGTAACATTACCAGAAAAAAAGGTCTCCACGTGGCCCCCTAATTGAACTACTTGACGTTTGACTCGTTGCTGAAGGTTAGGGTCAAACCCATCTAAATAAAAACGAAAGTTTGGAAATGCCTTTTTATACTGTCGCTTCCATTCCAGCAACTTAGCTTTTTGAGAGGTCGACTTTGCTGTGGCTAGTTTTGTAGTATCAGCTCCAGTGTTTTTTGACTCTTCATCGATAGGCGCAAGTGCCTTCATATGAGGAACTTCTTTAGATATAGATTCATCATGTTTAACTCGTTTTACTGACTTCCGGTAAGATTTGGGAGTAGTAACCTTCTGATGCTTCGGTGTCGTAGTTACCGAATTCTCATTATTTATTTCATCTTCGTTAGAAGAAACACTCTCCTCTAAAGTACGAGACCTTTTTTGTTCACCAGGAGCATCCTCTGCCAATGAAGCGGCTTTCTGCTTCACCACACCTTCATGTTTCTGGGGAATTATATTTGCTGATCGAGGTGCAAGAGGGCATCTTTCTAAAGTCATAAAGATATTTTGATCTCTTTTATAAAATGACACAAATATCCCCTGGTATATGTGCCAAGTTTAGGTGCTTTCTTATTTGTTTATGTTTAGAATGGTGGTGGTAGTGGAGAGCTAGAGTTGTATAGTACAGAACACCCTTCGTACATACAAGTAGCACACATGAGGTAACAAAGTTTGAAAGACGTCCTAATTGTAAATGTTATATTCAATTAGCTTTTGTTATTTATTTTGTAGGGTAATCTTAACATAGGCATTAAGCATTCTTTGAACTATACACGGAAACCATGTAAAAGGAATGACAAATATATAATTCATTTCATGAATTACTATAAGTTCCATATAACGATATTATAATTTTACTCTCATTACACTTATATCGATGGTGGATTGACGCGTCGCGTCGTGTTTGTTTACATTCTTCTTCACGATGTGCCGTGACTGCTTTTGGGCTGGTAAATTCAATAGTTTCAACAATCGTTTTTCTTCATCCTTTTACCATATGCAACATTTACGACACACACACGAGGAATCTTTTGAAGATTCCTCTGCAAGTTGCTATATTAATATTTGAATCGGTATGTATTATAATGTCCATCAGTAACATGAAATGATGTTAAAAAAATCGATTAGTCTTGAAGACAATCCCATGGTTATTACGTATTCACACACTGATCAAATGTTGCTTCACCGTAATTAATATCTTGAACTTAATACTAATCTTTTAGGTGAATTGTTTTTTGAAGTATGAAGTACAGGAAGATTTATGTTGAATACATCTACAGTGTAGAGTACACAATAGATTATATAGATTTTACGAACAATGAAAATGGGATAATTGAAATGAATAAATAAAAAGCGTGATAGTATGAGGTCAGTGGTTAGAAACAAGTAGTAACAATAGTAGTAATAATTGCAACTGGCAATCTTATTTGAATGCAATGAATTTTTAGAAACCTTTTCGTAACTTCATAACTTTTTCCTTCTATATAATATATTAGGACCATGTTCAAGATATTCTGACTTGGCAATACTATTTGTATTCCAGTATTCAATAGGCATGTGGGCTCCACGATTCCAAGCATATGTGGATGGACTAGAACAGGTTTAGTACAAAGTACATATGGCAAAAACACTTACTTAGACGGTTGAAAAACACGAAGCTCTATATCTTCTGGTGAAAGCGAGCGTAAGTCAGCTTCCAATCGCTGATGAAACCCTGGAAATTTACAACTTCCTCCTATGGTAACGATATTACTAAGAAGCATGGCCGCGATTTCTTCTGAAAAACCTTGTACGCTTTGCATAACTGCTTCAGGAATGCCAGCTTCCTGCAAACCAACATCAGACGGAGAAAATAAGAGTTCAGGAGTAGCGAATCGCTCATTGGCAAGTTTTAATACCTGCTGGTCGATAACTTTGTTCAAGTCTTTGACTACATGTCCAAACTTACCAGAACTGTAGTCTGGTAGCGCATAAAGGATGTCGTGCTTCGATTTTGGCTTTGTCTGTGCAAGAGACAAGTCTTGCGCAAAGTTTTGGGAGACAAAGCATACCGATTCTTTTATTTCATTCATTAAATATGTCTCCTCCATCATGTTATATTTTCGATAAGAAATAACTTCTTTTAAATAGTTGGTCAAAAACCTGCCTCCAACATCAATTCTTTGTACAGCATTTTCTTGTATTCGAGAATCAATGACAGGGATTATATGGGTAAAACTATAACCAGAATCAATAACTAAAACACATTCGCCGTGTGTATTTTTGTAAGAAGTTTCGTCGCCTTTTGTAAAGCAATCATGATCCCATGGAATTAATTCTGCCGGCGTACATGTAAAATACGCATCGAACCCGAATTCTTCAAAAATTAGCTGAATTGTGTTAAGTTCTATAGATGGCATCGTGAATGGAGCCTGTGTTAGGATTAATGAATGACCGTCCATACTAGGCTCAGTAATCCCCAACCGTCGCATCACTTGATCCCAAACCGCTGTCTCTGTACTCCAGTGTACAAGATATCCCTTTATGTTTAGTAAAATTCATAGAAATTGACATTTTTGGCCTACTCAGAAGCTCTCTCTGAATACAAGGCTTAATATACGTACTTTTTCATGCGCTCTACGAAATTGCAAAGTGGTAAAATCATTACAATTCGACAACTCGTCTCCTAAAAACAAGCGGTTTCCATCCTTTGACCGTGTAAGGCAGTTGGGTATTTCTCTAAACGCAAATTAGAGATACTAGTCTTACGATCAACTAACTACGTTAACTTTGCTTTTACTTACAGAACATTCCGATCAGCAAATCCTGCTTTCACAGTATAAGCACCATTATCTAATACAATTGTTTTGGAAGGTAGCCCCATGATTCATGGCGGATTGAATTGTTCTGAGTCACTAATGCTTGGTGGTAGTGGGTGCCTTACATAACATTAGAACCAGTTGAAGGTGGAAAGGTCGGCAGCATTTTTGTACTAAAGAATGGGTGTTTTGGTTTGAATTACTGTTTCCCTTTTTGTAGATAAAAATAAAATCAAAAGAGAAAATACAGCTCCTTACGATGATCTACTCCATATATTCATATCATGTTACTTGCATTATTTTAATATTACAAGGAGAGTAATTGAATTGAATTAGATGAAAAAGAATTTTCTTAATCTTCTACTTCCATCAGCAGTGACCAAATTTACCAGAGATGAAACAAAAGGTAATTAAGGCTTTGCGTTAATACAAGTCAAACAAAAGACTGCAAAAACCATTTGAAACTTTGAAAACACTAATAATTAAATAATTTTTCCGATACCAAAGACCCAATTTTTGTTTTAGTTCAAATTCACTAGAACTTCAAGAATTACTGTTTGGTAGAAGCAGCGGAGGCAGCGAGCACAGCTGGTAGTTCAGTAACCAATGTTTGGAGTGATTGTTGCTCCTCGACATTAAGATCCTTTATCATATCCTGCATTACTATAGGACTGTTATCCTTAAGGTGTACCATAAATTCTTGGAAAAGGGAGAAGGGCTCAATTTGGTCAAGAGAAGTATGGAATAAAGGATCCTCGTCTAGAAGATAATTACCTTGATACCGTTCGAAATCATCCAGTTCATCGGCAACCTCACCAGAGGCATCCCCTTCTAAATCAGGACCTTCATATTCGACAGCGAAGTCATCAACACCATCATCTTCATCAGCTTCCCAGTCAATTCCATCATTCCAACCAGAGCTAGAAAGATTGAATGTTTCCCCATCGTATTCTTTTTCTAATTCAGCACGAGCTGCTAGTGCATCAGGTAATGTTTTCAGCAAAAAAATAATTACTTTCATGACTTGGTTCCAATTTTCTTGCAATGCCAAAGCGACCTGTTCAGCTGAAAGGGGAATCATAGACAAAATAGCAACTAAACAAAGCTTCTTGTCATGCACGCGAGTAAAGGAGGCAATATCCTTAAACCACATGGCAAAGAAAGGAGCCGTCCATTGGTGCATTTGAAGAACGCCCAGAGTCATGCCAGGGTTATAGTACAAAGCGTTAATGATAACTTCACATAAAAAGACGCGATATATTTGTGAAGTTGGTTTTTCACTAACTAGGAGTAGGTTACCGGCAATTTCGATAAAAGTAGGAACATATTGGTCTAGCAAGCCACGATAATTAAGCATGAGCAACTCTATGAGTTTGCAAGCAGCAATACGGTCATTAACAGCCAAATGATCACTGTTGAAGACTTGTAAAATAATATCCACCATAGCAGCAATATAGTCAGGGCGTGCAGCAAATTCTTTACCGCCATAAGTAATAAAATTGCTTAAAGCAGGAGTGGCATCTTCAACAAATTCAATGCCAGACTCCTTTAGAACACCGTGAAGCTTTTCATATACGCTCCACATCACAGGGGAGATTTCTTTTGAGGCAAAAGTACAACCATCAATTATTTCAAACATTTCAGCAAAAACGTCAAAAATGTTGTTGTCTAAAACGAAACTAATAATAGGTAAAAGAATTACTTCAATTTCTCTCAAAACGTCAACAGTGTTTTCGAGGCTCAAAATCATAGTACTTAGGGTATTCAAGATGCCAATAGCAGCAATAGATTTATCATCCACCAAAGTGTCAAAATCTTCGGCAGAGTTTGACTGCTCAATACTTTCTTGCATAAACTTAAGGAAAGTATCACGAAGTTGCTTAGCCAGTTGAGCAGCGAAAGGAGTTAACTCGTGGCTGAAGGAACTAACGAATTCTTCCATGCAGGAAGATAAAGCATCAATGTCAATTTCATTTGCCAAGAATAAAAGATTTTGCATTATAGTAGGTACGTGGGCCGTCATAACGTCGTGAACTTCGACATGACGCATAAGAGGTTGTAAGGCCAAGGCAGCTTGTACTCGTACAGGCATATCCGAGTCTTGTAGACAGTTAAGCACTGAATGGTAAACGATCAAGAGCTGAGATTTGTCATTCCAAGTAATCTCGCTAAAGCGGTTAATCATTTCACATGCGCGAGATCTTAAATAACCAACAGGACTAGTAAACTCAGGCACTACATGAGCAACAAGAAACTCTTGCATCATACCAGCAACAGGAGAGTTCTTGCTAAGGATGGAATTAGAAACAGCCGCAACCATACGAAGAGCGCCTTCTTTTTGTCTAGGGTTCTTCTCGTTTGGAGGAGAAGCAGCATATTGGTTCAAAGCATCACTAGCAAAAGTTAAAATGCCCATGAAGGTGTGCTTTTTCCTCTTAGAGGCCAATCGAACAAGAAACCGAGAAGCAGCAACATCAGCGGAATTGAAGTCATCATAAATATCGATGTATTTATGAATAAATTCTACGGGATCAAGTTCCCATAATTCCTCGTCCTCTTCATTCATGCATAGTTGAGGAAAAACAAAATCACCAATCAACAATCGCAGATGAGGCTGTAAAAGCTGCCAGGTACTCTTGGGCTTTACGCATTCTTCGTAGAAGCAACCAAGGAAATACAATATGCGAGGAGAAAGCCATAATTGACCTTGTGCCCATAACGTGGTTTGTTGTAAATATGTCTCCAAGATGCTAGGGACAATATTCGCGATAAAATTTTTGGCAAAATTGCGGTATTTGTTGGCAGATTCTCCGTAAAGCGAACTAGGTTCTCCATATCGGGTGAAAATACGATTCAAGGAATAGTATGCCCACTTCTTGCATTTATGCCAAACATGGGTCTGGCGCACTTCGGAATCAAGGGCCATAACGGACTCGGGCAATGGCTTTTGAACAACAGCCAAAAGAAGTTGAATCCAAGCAAGGATCATGTCATTGGCGAGCAATTCGGAAGGAAGTTCTAACGCAATGACAGACTTAAATGTTTTTAAGATGAGACGAAGCATTTCGGCAGAGTCGTTGTCTTCCATATTTATCAAATTGTGAGCTATTTGAAGAATAATTGGAAAAACGGCGGATATTAAAGGCCCGATATCGCGTTGGCGGTCATCTAAACGCCATCTGTACACTTTAGAAAGTTCATGTAAGCAAATTAAGCCTGCGTATACCTCGCACTGCTCATTAGATTGAACAAGATTGGCCGTGAACTCACTAAAGCCGGGCCACTGATCAGGGAAATCTGTGGAAAGGATAATGTTTAATATGGCCATTAAATGAGACCTCGTAAATATTGGGCTTTGCAACAGAACCGGAAGAAGGTTTTGGCGAAAGAGGGCCTTTTGCTCTTCAGGGATATCTAGTAAAGAAGGGGCATCATCAACTGTCGTCCAAGAACGAGCAATTCTGTTTTTTAAGTAAATTACAGCTAAAATCTTTGGTTAGCTACGTTTACGTCCCAAAAATCATAGTTGACTTTATTGAGCTTACCAGCTTGCTGGGTGGGAAGAGCAATTCTCTGATCACTTAGCAGCTGAAGAACAGCCAAAATAAAATTAGGTTCTTTTTCCAATTGCTTTAAAGACAGTTCAGCTCGAGTACGTGTATTTGGGTCCGCGTTAAGCGTCGCGTCAAAATGCTCAACCAAAGACATTTTGCATTTGTCCAAGACCACAAAAGCCTAAGGGTTAGATTTGCGGATTTTAGTTCAGTGTGGTTGTAGGCAAATGACAAATTTTTGATTCCCTTTCTGAGTATGCTTTAAGGAACAAACGATCTAATGCTTTAAAATCATTACGACGTTTGTTATGTTCACTATACGATTAGACTCTGTGTTGCGATTCGTTATATAAAATACCCATATCCATTGAAACTGCACTAGTAAATAGATTATTAATTTTTTATGGGCACAAAAAAAGTAAACATTTTTTTATGATAACATACGAAACCTTTCAGAAGTAAGTATCTTGATTCGTTTCCTTTTTTTCGTAAATCAAGGAATGAAATCATGTGCGACTGCTATATAATGTAGTATGTATTAGATGTTAAAAAGCTTGGCTGTTTTACATATTGATTATTTTCCAGCAACTAAATTTTAGCGATTCAGCATTCATGCGCTATGTGTATATATACAACTCCTACTTAACAAGAAGCATCTGTAGTCTAGTGGTTATGATTTCTGCTTTACATGATATGTTCGCAGACGGTCCCAGGTTCGATCCCTGGTAGATGCATATTTTTATCCCCAATTCCCTTATTGGGATTGGGGATTTAGTTTTTTTCTCATTTGTATTTTGCGTGTTTATCGTCTACGTACTCAAATCTAATCCTGACCTTTGACAGATACGTCTTCATTACGACTCGACTTTTGTAGCCTACTTACTATACTCATGAGTTCTTACATCTATTCAAACCACTATCGCAGTATATGTATATAATCATGAAATATCATTCCATTCATTAACCTTGACATTTTTTATTTTAACAAATCCATGAAGTTTTTTAAACAGATACCCTTCATGGCCTTTACGATCCTAAGCAGTGCCGACGTACTCGGAAACTTGCTTCAAACGCGTATACTCATAGTAACCATGAGTAGCCAAACCTATTCCCAAACCGGAATGCTTCCAACCGATCCATGGAAGTTCATGACTGGAAAAGTGATAAGTGTTCAGGGAACACATTCCTGCCTCAATATTGTCGGCAAAGTAATCAAGAGTAGCACGATCCTTGGAGAATACGCCTGATCCAAGACCATACTCAGTAGCATTGGCTAATTTAAGAGCTTCTTCTTTCGTTCGGAAAGTCTTGGTGATCAAAACGGGGCCAAACACTTCCTCTTTCCATAAAGTATGTTCGGTTTCAGCATTGGTGAATATTGTAGGAGGGACAAAATAACCTTTTCCATCAGTTTTAGGTAATCCACCAAACACACACTTAAGACCTTCGTCAAAACCTGTTTGGATCAATTGAACCACCTTTTCATATTGGGGTTTGCTTACTAAAGGACCCATGTTGACATTGTTTTCTAAACCATTTCCAGTGACGATTTTCTTTGCTTCTTCAATGACGCCTTTGATGACCTCCTCATACACATCTTCCTCAATTAATAGACGTGAGGCCGCAGTGCAAGCTTCACCTTGATTGAAGAAAATACCATAGGCAGCGGATTTACAAGCGAGAGAAAGATCGGCATCTTTACAGATGATTAAAGGAGATTTACCACCCAACTCAAGAGTAACGGGAATAACGTGGTCGGAGGCTGCATGCATAATTTTCTTGCCTGTGAACAAAGAACCTGTAAAGGCGAGATAGGCAATCTTATCATGGTGGCTAAGAGCAACACCGGTCTCTTTGCCGGATCCAATAACCACGTTGAAAACGCCGTCGGGCAAGCCGCCTTCTTTGCACAATAGGGCAAACTCGAGGCAGGACCAGGGAGCGACTTCCGAGGGCTTAAGAACAACACAGTTACCAGACGCCAGGGCAGGAATTGACTTCCAAAGGGCCATTTTCAATGGAAAGTTCCAAGGAGTAATAACACCGACGACACCTCTGGGAAAGCGCTTTTCTTTACCGACGTAACCAGGAGCATTTGTTAAGGGAACAATTCTAGTTACCTCATCATTCTCAGCAATTTCGGCATAATAATCTAGTAAGTCGGCGGAGGAATCTACATCAAATAGGGCATATGAGGTGGGCTTACCGCAGTTCAAAACATCCAAACCAGCAAGCAACTCTCGGTGTTCGCGCATAAGCTGACCAATCTTTCGAAGAATGGCTCCACGTTCATTTCCGCTACGCTTGGACCAGATGCCGGATTCGAATGCTTCGTGAGCGTTTTCGACAGCATTGTTAACATCTTCGGCAGAAGCATCTGCGCATGTTCCAATCACCTCTTCTGTAGCAGGATTTATCAAGGGAATGGTCTTTGGATCAGCTCCTTGAGGCTGCACGCATTGGCCTCCAATGAAGATGTTATTGTCAGGCACTCGACGAGCAGCAATTATTTCATTTTGACGAGTTGTAACGTTCGTCTGCATTTTCTTTATATATATATTTCCTTTATAAAAATTCTTTCAAGTTGCACAAGTAATACTTTAATAGCCTTCTTAGGACTTCGTCTCTAAGGTAAATTTAAGTGTCTTCAAGCCGACCTGTTTTTAAATACAAATACTTAAAGATAAATCACATGATAGGCTTCTTGTAATTGGCCTCAGCTTGGCCGATTTTCTTTCAATTCGCACACTCATATTTTATTTGTTTACCCATGAAAAATTTCGCCGGCAAGTCACAAGGTTATGTCACAAGCGAACTTTTTAATGATCCAGTTGGCTAAAATTGCCCTTGAAGGTGCTGTACTTTTTCGGAGACTGAAGTAATTTCCCGTTCATAGTTACATCATGTCATATTTTTTACTTCGTTATCGTGAACTTTTTTTTTTGGCTTAGTAAGGGAGAAAGCTTAAGGTAAAGATTCCTAGGTGTCTGGGGAAAATACATTAGATATTATACCTGTAGTGTGAATAGAACAAATTAACAATGTGAAAATAAAAAAAGGTAAAAATTATGGGTCCTTTTTATACTAGAAGTACGCTGAACGGTACTTGAATCCGTTAATCATCTTTCATCCAGAGTTGGTTTTGTTTATAACGTGAATCTTGTTTTAAACTTTTTTTATAAGTTAGAATAGCGGCATTTTTTTTATCTTGGTTTCTTTTTTTGTCGTTTCTGTGTAGAAAGCTTTTAGCGATTCTGGAAAATTCATCAAAATTTTGATTAGTATTCATCGTTAGAGAACTAGGACTTTGCACTATTTTCTTTGTTGTTTTCAAACTCCCAAAAAGAGAATTATCATCTTGTAGAAGAAGCTGGGGAAGACCGTGACTTAGTAGCAGGTAGATTCTCATTCATTATACGTTTTAAATTACCTCAGTCTTTGATTGGGGTTTCGTAGTTGCGCTTGTACTGTTTGTGTTGTTTAAGTCGACAACTTGTTCATCATCTAGTCCTTTCTCAGATGATAACGGCTCCGGCACAGAGTGCACAGATTCCTCGGGTAATATACGATACCTTCTTCTCCATTCTCTGAATCTCGTAAATGCCGTCCTGTACTGTGTTAAAGAAGGTTGTCTCCAAAAAGTATCCGTATATGTCCAAGGACCAATTGACCACTTGTCGTCGATCCAAGCAATCCCGTCTGGAGGTAAGAGCTGAGCGGTAGGTTCTGCTACAGGAATATTTCTGTCTAAGCTTGTGAAATTAGGATGGTCAGTTGGTAATGTCCGATTCAACCAGCCAACACCAACCCAGTATCGCTGATGCTCAATCAGGTATAGATATTTTTCCGTACTATTTTCATTTCCATTGCTTTCTGTAGAAGTAATCTCCTTTTTCGAAGGGACAGCGCTTTTTTTCAATGCTTTCAGCAAGGTACTAGTAGCAGTATCTTTTGGTTCCTTGTCTGAAACGTCTCCAGGAACAGATGTGGGCTCGTTCAATAAGGTTTCATCTTCTTCCTCCCTGACTTCAATTTTCCCAAATACGAATTTTTCTGAAAGTGAGCTGAAGATGGAGATTCGAGAAATCGCAAGCAAAACGGCTTTCATAGGAGGGGAATGCCATGCAAGCACTATTGTCGAAAAGAAAATAAACACGGCTTGGGTGGGGAGGCAAAAAATAAAGGCAGCTGTTAAAAAGGGCAGATAACTAAAGAATAGAGTATTTGATTCTAATGAATACTGATACAAATGGTGAACGGGCTCAAGATAGGCATCCAGCAAAGTGGGACCAGTTGATGAGTTCACGAATATCGGTCCTTTATTGATCTTCTGAGAAGTTTCAACAGGGTAATCTTCTTTTCGAATTAAGTGATCCGTCACAATTTTTGAGATAGATAATCTGCCAATTTTATGCAGATAATCTTCACCTAATGGAGCTTTTCCTTCCTGTACTTCCTGACCTATACTGTCAGATCTTTGTGGCTTTTTCTTCGCCTTATGAGATAACAAATCGCTTGTTGTATGCAAGTCTTCTGCGCCCGTGGTCGCCGCTTTTCCATGAGCCCACCTACCTTGTAGTAAGTGAAGACCAGGAATTAACTTACTGGGCTCCTCTTCTTCAAAATCAGAATCAACGTGAACGGCCTGTTCATCGGATTCTGTGGTTGAACGCGCTGATTCCGAACCAGTTTCATCCGATGCCTTTTTGCTTTCTTCGCTTTCCTTACTAGAAGAATCTTTCCTAGATTCCTCGTCTTTCAATTTCCGCATACTGGTAAACCAGAAAAGCCAAGCAGACACTGAGCATGCAAGGGTAGGCCGTGGGTAGAGAATAATCAGCCATGTAAAAAACAATGTACTCAGGCATGCATACCAGGGCGCAATCCAAAGGCATATCTTTAGGAGAATATCTAACAATTCGGACCCTGTAGATCGTACTGTGGACTGCGAGGAGTTTTTCTCGGAGAGTAAATGAGCCTGTATAGCAGACATAATTTCGCCAAAAAAAAGGAGAAAATATATGAACGAATAGTGTATTACCTAATAAATAAAGTACCAATGGGCCCGTATTTGCGAGGATTAGAGAAAATAGATTTTAAATAGTATAAAGGTACAAATTGGGAAGCCTAATATATAAACCAAAAAGAAAAGTCAAATCAAATTTCAACCTTCAATAAAATGAATCAATTGTTGGCGTTATTTCTTTTCGCCTGTCGAACCGAACCTTTGTTCAGTTAAGGAACAGTACAGTGTACAAGTATACAATGACTATATGCGGTAAATACAAACGTTAGTGTTATAATCGCATGCAAGGATCATGAAGTAAAGAAGTTATAAACTGACATATTTTGAGAGAGCATTTATTGAATCTTCTTCCAAAGGATGCTATGTTGTACAGTGCTACAAGCAATAAAGATGTAGAAGAGAACAAAAATTTCTTTGTTTACGGGTGATAAAGTACCAAAGAATATATAAAAATACAATGAGTTAAAGACCATAAGAAGTGTAAATCAAAACATGGTCGAAAGCGAACGGAAATCTTAGCAAACATAAGCTGCAGGAATAGAAGCTGTACTATTTACATTATCAGAAATGCTAGCAGGATTGCTAGTCGAGTTTTTCGGTTTCGTGTCCGAAGTCAAAAGAGTATCTGCTTCACGTACCATGATTTCAAGGGGAATCTGAGAAGTGTCACGCTTCAAATAAATCGTTTTCTTGAGCGCGAAGCCAAAATGTTCATAAATAGCTCGATTGTGAGGATGACTAGACTCCAAATATATAGGAAGGTTCTGCTGGCTGCAAACGTCCATAATTGGTTGGATAAGTTTGCGAAGACATCCCTTTCCTTGACTATTTCGTTTGATTCCAACGTAGACTAGGTACCAGGAAGAGTCATCTCGTTGCTGAAGAATTTCGGCCTTTGTATCATGAAGAATAGGAAGAAATTCTCGGAAGAAACGTTGGCGGCCTTCTGAATCTAGCTGATAGTTCAAGCGCCACATGCCGCTTCGTACAATTGAGTACCAATCGTCCATGTTATTACCAGGCCCCATCCATAAGGAAACACCAGAGAAATCATCCACTTGCAAAACAATGCCGCGCATAATATGAGCATACACTATGTACTCCATCATTCCCTGTAGCACTTTCCTGTACTGCTGGTCATAACTGCAATGACATAAATATAAACAAACTGGGTCGTCGTAAAAGGCTTCCACCAAGACAGAAGCTGCCTTTCTGTAATCTTTTGCTTTCACACGCTGAGCAGCCATACTGAATATTTAGTAGAACTATAGATACAAACAACAAACGGGTAATTGAGTCTCCAAATGAACGGGGTTTTTTTTCAAATTATGAAGTTCAACAAATAATCTCAATAGGGAAAAACAAAAGAATTGATAGCGAAAATTACAAGATATGACCTTTTTTCAACTCCAAACTTCCACTGACTTTTTATTCTTGAACCTTCAATTGAGGCTGTAATCAATTCAACATAGACCTATATATATATATATATCTCTTTTCCAAACCATCCTACCTTTAGGAAACATTCCATAAGAGCGCTTAAGTTTACGCAATCTGTACCTGTTAGGAATAAAGGCAAATGAGTCGATCGGTCAATTCATTTTGCCCGAAATCATGGCCGACGGGCAACGTTGATTTGTATGCCACAAAGAGTTGAATTTCAGTAACATGAATTACGGTAAATTTGTGAAGAGAATATCGGTTCATCCATTCCTTATATGATAGTATCAAGAAAGTAACGCTTCTTGAAAACAACTGCCAATGCTGTATTTCCCTACTGTAATGCATTACATAATATGTAAACAAACAAATTCATGAAATCAATCATTAATAAATAGAAGAAAGAAGTCTATAAAAGCGTACATATCTCTTTAGTTTGTGAAAATAAAGAATCAATAAATAAATTGCTGTTTTAGTCACATACCTTACTTTCGACATGATTGAGTATGCGACCCTCCAAACATTTACTAATTATTTTTGTTGAATTCCAAATTTTCTTTTCACCTACGATATATTGTTAATAAAGGAAGAAATCACTTATGAATGAGTCGTTACATTCGAGATTTGTTTGAATATATAATTACTAAACATATTATTACTTTCTATACAAAATCATTCTATATACAAGTAAAATCATGAAATATCAAATATAATACATCTCCAACGATAGTCATTATAACAAACTTAAAGTGTCTCCACAACCTTCTCAAGAGCCGCTAGCAAATTCTCATCGTCCCAACGTTTACCAACGAGTTGCAAACTAACTGGAGCATCTTTGTAGTCCTCAGGATTATACGTTTGATAGTGGAAGGCGTCTTCATCATTCATGGGCTCATAAGATTCATCCTTTACATCTAAACCTGGATCCACTTTCGTCACAGGGAAAACAGCGGAGGGGAGATCCAGCAAGTTCCAGACAGAAGTGTAGGTCCAATACTTCGCTTCTCCTAGTTTGGGTGCGGGACCAGGTCCAGCAGGACACAATATTAAGTCGACTCCGTAGGACTGTAAATACTTCGTATACTTATTGCGGTAGGCATCACGTTCCGTTACGAGCTTCCAAACACCAGCCATATCGTGGTTCTTCGTACTGGGCTGATTCAAGATCCATTCTGTCAATGGCTCTATGGGCTCGCCCACCTTTGCAAACAAATCATAGTACACTTTCCCGCCATCAAGAAAGTAAAGCTCACTGATAAGTTCCCACGAATATTTATGTTCCATTGGCTCGACATCGACGAGTTCAAACTTGGGAGATTTCTCAAGTTTGTCAATGACCATTTGCATGGCTCTTTGAACAGGAGGCTGAGGAGTCACCACCTTATCGCTACGTATAACACCTATTCTCATCTTGGCCGGCAAGTCCGGATTACGCCAAGGAATTGGTACGACAGAAGCATCATTCAACCAAGGCTTACTAGAGATACAAGTATTCATAAATAAATTCAAGTCACGAACACTGTGTGCCAAAGGACCAACGACACCAAGAATGGATTCTTGTCCCAATACAGCTCCTTGACAGCCTTTTCGGGACAAGCGCAATGTGGAAGGACGGTAACCAAAGAGACCATTATTTGCGGCTGGAGAGCGAATCGAGCCTCCAATATCACTGCCAATGCCTAGGACAGAAGCTCGGATCCCCAAAAGTGCACCTTCTCCGCCTGAAGAGCCACCAGGAGTGAGTTTTCGATTAAAGGGGTTCACAGTGACGCCTATTAAATTGCTAGAGGTTTCCAATTGCATAATTGATTGAGGTTGGGGAGTGCGACAGAATAAAACACCCCCAGCTTTACGAATTGTTTCAACAATATCTGCGTCCTCTTCGGCTATCACTTCAGCTTTGGCTAAAAAGCTAGCTGTTGCGGTATGTCCTTTGACACATATGTGTTCCTTTACAGAAACAGGAATGCCATGCAGAGGACCAACTAGTTCGCCTGTCTTGGCATAATGTTCGTCGAGTTTGGTAGCTTGTTCGAGGGCTTCATCGAACAACAATTCGTTTACGCAATTCAGTAACTGCTGGGCGACAGCGGCACGTTTGCAAAACGCCGTTACCAACTCTACACTTGTAGTTTTGCGCTCTTTAATAAGATCGGCCAATGCAGTAGCGTCATATTTCTCGGTCAACTCAAGTTCCCTAGGAGAGAGAAGCCCACAAGTAGCAGGTACATTCGTAACGTTAAGTACTTCTTTATAAGGAATGGTTTTCAGCTTCATAAAAGAAGGAATCGTGCTATCGCGATGAGCACTATATTTAGCAGCAATCTGTTCCCATTGGATAGTCATGATTATGGAGATGTTGTTTCGTTCAAAAGATATGTAAAGAGAGAAAAGAGAAAGACAAGTTAGAAAGTAAAAATTAGAGAGTTCACCAAAGCAATAAAAACGAAACGTTAAGGATCCACCAATGGATCTCAAAGGAACGACCTAAAGTACGAGGCAAACCTTAACAAAAACAATGATGAATGAATTCGTATTGCGACTCTATGCTTTCTTTATACCATATTCGGCGTATCTTTTCCCGGGGAACTTAGATAAAGAATTGGTCAACCTTAATCATCATTTAATCAAGGCAAGACGACCGATCTACTTCATATTTATGTGTTTGATTTCCACTGCTCCACCAACCTCCCCATGGCTCTTGCCGAATCGTTTTTGCTGCAACCGTGGGCAGTTTATCTCCTTGATTGGAAACTAAAATTAAACGATTCGGCTAATATCCTATCCCATGCTTTTATTTCTTTCAGGGTGATATACGTAATGGTAGGTAGCCGTCAACCCTCCTCCACAAGTTGTCGTAATCGATCAGCTCCTCTCCTATTCAACGTTTATCTGACGACGCAGTGAACCTTGTCTTTTGTTTTTCCTCTTCCTCTTACTTCATCGAAAAGAAACCCAAATAACGCATCCTTCTGTCTCGTTACTTATTTTATCGGAGAAGGCGGTAAATGCGTTTAAGGATGGGAGTTTTAAAGCAAATAAGAGGCACTCATTGGATCGGTGTATATGAAAGCATTGAGACGGAAAGAGAAAGCGGGGTAGCGATTCGCTAAATGGTTCATGCTCGAATTTTCCAGATGGTTTGCAAAATGCTTTTAAGGAGAGGAGAGAACAGGAAGATGCGGATATTGATACAACCTGCCAAAAACCAACTAGGAAAATACAAAAGATTCGAGTGTCTTTTCGATTCGTTTTAACAAGTTCTAACCAAAGCAATTCAAACACTTGAAAGTGGAAGATTAAAGGAAAAGCAAATCCCCACACATACAATGGCTACTAAGTTGAAGAGCGCAAAGTCTATCGTTCCTCTTTTGGATCGTATCCTTGTTCAACGGGTCAAGGCTGACCCAAAGACCGCTTCTGGTATTTTCTTACCTGAAAGAAGCCTTGAAAAGTTGTCGGAAGGTCGCGTTATCGCTACCGGAAAGGGCATGTTGAACAAAACAGGAACTCTCTCTCCTCCTAGTGTGACCCCAGGAGACCGTGTCTTGTTACCTGCTTTTGGTGGAAACAACATTAAAGTTGGCGAAGAGGAATATAGCCTCTATCGTGATCATGAATTGTTGGCTGTCATCAAAGAGTAAAGGAAGCTTTGGATTGCAGATTTTGCTTAATAAGAAACCATGATTCGTTGTCCAATGTGATGTTTTGGATCTTGGTTTCTTTTCTTGTTGAATGAATTAAATCTTATATTTTTTTGGGAAAGAAAATAGTAATTCTTGAACCTGGATCCCATTTCCTTAGGAAGGAACCCAAGAAATATTTAGCAGCATATTCTCCATACCATAATTTTGAAAAGAAATATATTCCATAAAAGAGATGATTTCATTTTGAAACAGTTTTACTCTCTTCCTCCTCTCTATGTCTTTTTCAAAGATTCTCATGATTTTTATGAGTATTAAGTTAGCTTACGATAGTCCTTGTGTCACTTCCTTGACAAGAACTTTATTTTTTTTTTCGTCTATCCTGTTTTTAAAAGGTGATATGCATAGAACATTCTCTTTCCCATTAGTACCATCTTCCAATCGTTGTAGCTTCTGTCCAATTAGTGCTGCAGTTGGGACATGACTCATAGGCCAAATGTTTGCAACAATACACATGCAAACAATATCCACATTCGCAAACATAGCCCTATAAACGTAAGTCAGTTTTGGTCGCTCTGTGTACTTTCCATTCACATACCGCTGTGACAATACCGCGACAAGCATTACACTCGTAGAGACTACTTTCATACTCATTATGTAGGTAAGCCTCCATGTCTGCCAATGCATGGTTTGTGAATGTCCATATCCCTTCGCGTTGATTCAACCAACCATCTCTTTCAAAAGTGCTCAAGTAGTTTTCAATAATAGAGGGAGCCAGCGACATGTCCCGTCGTGCATACTTGTGAATCTGGAGTGTAGTTATCGAGTACTGATACTCGTCAGCTTGCATAATCCAATCGATAATTCTTCGCATCAGTTCAATTTGGTTCGTCGAATATGGTGTGGCCATTTGCGAAACAGGGTCACCAGATAGATTTTGAAAATGCCATGTCGGTCGGCCATCGAGCTGGTCTTGAATTTTTTGAAGCTTAAAGTCGTAATTGTGAATGTTTTTGTTGATTTCATTCATAGTTTGACTCAGTGATGCTGACTCACCAAATAAATCATGAATCAGGCCTTGTACTACATCCTCATCAACTCCGAAAGTTCGATTCATCACATATTGTAGCACAAACTTTTGCTTTTCTGCGTTTTCTTCAATCCGCGTGTCTCCCTCCATAACACTTTAACAGTTTAGGATGAAACAATATGTTCCCAAAGGAACTACCTAATTTTGCTCTGCTTTTTTTTTTTTTTTAACGTGGTACTAACAATATCAAAATTTCTTTCATAAAAAGCAAGGAGAAACCAGAATAGCTTATATTATTTACAAATTCTGTCTTTGTTTTTCTGGCTACCAAAATTAAAGGGAAAAATATTAAATAAGCGCGTTCAAGGGAAAAGCAAGAAATCACTTAAAGTAGTATGATTTCCTCTTTACAAAAATATTTCCATTAATGGAAGTGAATGTATATCAAAAAAAAAAATAAAATAGTATAAAAACAATAAGAATAAAACAAGAAAATAACGGTTTTATGATATATTCGTCCCCTAACATTACTATTTCTGATGAACGTTATTCTACTGACTGTAATACTATATCTGAACTAAAAGTCGCTTTTTCTTGTTATAAACAAATTATCGGCAAAAGAAAATCCCAATTTCCTCCTTTCTGAATGTTCAGAACCTGCCAATAAGAAGATAAAGCCAAAGAAAATCACTTTATTTGTTCAACACCCAACTGTTTATTTATTTACTTGTTTGTTTACATGGTAATTTTCTACAGGAAATCAATTCAATCCGTAAACGCTCAGTAAATCCCTTTGATATCAATCTTACTTTTATAAACAAACAAAATAGATGTAAATCCACAAAATTAAAACTTGACAAAGCATACTTGGGTAGTAGAAACATCAAAGGGAAACCGGTTCAGTACTCTCTAGAGAAGGACAAAAAAGAATAAAAAGAATAACAACGACAGAAAAGATAGTAAAAAGAAACAAATTCAAACAACATAATCTTTGCTTTGTGTTTGCATCTTCATCTTTTCTTGGTAACCCTACCTCCTTTCCCATTCCCATATACGAAAGCCTTCAAACGAGTCCTCTAACGCTTCAGCTCTATGCCTGGGTGGGATTCATTCTAAACGAAAATTTTGTCTAAATTATAAATGGTACATGGTAAAAAAAATAAAAGCTAGAATCTATGGAAGACATCTGCGCTGCACCAGCACCTAAAAAAGTGCTTCCGTCATTGTTGTTAGATCCGTATGCGAAACCCAAGAGAAAGGAGGAAGAATTGCACAGTAGAAAACCTTGGAAAAAAGTCCTTTGGAGAAAACAAAATTATCCCGACAACTATATTGATCAGTCCTTTTTAAGTGGTTTGCAGCGAAATGTTAACATTCAGGTAACTGATTTTTGGTCGCTAGTAGCTGACAGCCTACCGATTTCTCAGCATTTATCAAGTGTGATGATATTTATTGCCGTCTTTGTTGGAATTCACAGAAAACAGCTGTCTTGCGGAATCGTCGGGATGATATCAAATGTAAGCGCTGTAGGTGCTTTTATACTCTGGGATTTGGTGTTGAGCAAACCGTGCCAAAGTAGATCCTTCCTCAATTATGCTGGCCTAATAAAGTCTTGTATCTTAATTGTCCTTACCCTCGTTGGTTTATCCCCGATTCTCATGTCTCTCACAAAATCTACTTCTGAGGACTCCGTTTGGGCCATCGCCGTATGGCTGTTTCTCGCTAATATATTCTTTCATGAGTACTCTGTGGATAGTATTCAACCACACGTACGGTAAGTTATAAAACATGGAGTCTTCCTCCGCTAACTTTTAATACCTAGACTTCACAATTCTTTATCCACAAACGCCGCTTTAAGCGCTTCCGTGGTCCTGGCTTCTCGTTTGGATAGATCGATACATGTCTTTTTCTTCGTTCTTTCTGCCGTTCATTGGTTTGCGCTGTTCCCCATTTTTCGAAAATACATTCACGTAAGCTTTCTTTTTCAAAACCGTTGCATTTTTTTGTTGATAAATACTAATATTTCAAGTTTTACTCGTTTTATGCTGATATGCTCATGACTCTTGTCCTTATAATGACTGCCTACTTGTCCCTTTATTTAGTCTCGTCGGTAATTATAGCGTTTGTTTTTCTTTCATCCATATTCTTCATATCCTTTGTTTGCCCTATTTGGTTTATAAAACTTCAAAGGTTTAAAAAGTATGACTTCCTCTCATGCTGTTTCTATGCTAACGATTTTCTCTAGCGAAATTCATGGTCCTTGGGACATTGCTTTGCCAAAGTTGGGACCTAATAAAGATTAACAAGCCATTAGTTTACATCGGCTCTACCAACCTCTATCTTACTTATCCGAGGCTTTTCGCTTCTATACCCATTTTTTTCGTTTTATACCTTTTCTCAAATCCATTAGAAAGGAATCTTCTTCCAAACCCCTTCTTTAATTTTTGTATATTCGTTCATAATCCCTCTAGTTTTTTAATCTTGGTACTTTTCTTTGTTCCAAGTTGCCCCAAACAAATTCAAGGCTGGTTCCATCAATGCATTTCCTCAATCTTTCTACTAATGAAGTATATATAAATGTATCATCATTTTTCGTGTTTCATGAAAACTTGGGTTACTTGATGTCATTTTGTATCTTTACTCAAAAGAAGCTTTATTTATTGAAGAAACTGAGCTGTCTACTTTTCTACGAAACTGTTTGGTCAAATAGTAATAACCCAATTAACCCAGTACTGCAGAGCTTCAATTTATCCACCACTAGTTATAAAACTCAGAAATAAATAAAACCTTTAAAAAACATTTAATTAAATAAAGACAATTCTTGCCAAAGATAAGCAAGACTGGTTGATCTCTGAAGACCTGTAGTGGATGTTGCCATCTAACCTCACCCAAAAACGACTTGACAAATATCCATGTCTGAAAGCCTTTTAAGTTCTATTCATGCTTCCAGTCAGTTAAGACATGTTAGAGATAATCTAAATACAAAAAAATGTACGAGCGAAGGTGATTTCGTCTCATCGTTGGATATAAATCAAGAATCACAAACCTTTCTTAAACCTGCAAAGTCGTTCTCTCATGAATGGGTAAAAAAATTGCAAAAACAATGGGAAAAAGAGGTAGACCATAATGTTCTTTTCAATTTCCCCAAAAGCTTGTCGCGCACTAACTTGCAATTTCGAAGGCAAGGATTAGAAGGTCATATCATAGATTACAAAGAAGTTTCTGAAGACATTGCTGATCTAAATTCGAAAAATTCATCAAGCTTTTTGAGGAAACCTGCTTCCAAAAGTGAATTTGTTCGAGGCAGTACCAATAATATACCCTTCTTGACGGATGATCCTGATGATCCCCAGAAAACAGCTGCCCCTAAGCCAGTACAAATGGCGTTGAAGGGAGAGGATGGTTTGTATCAAGTTCCTCCTGGGTTTTCTAGAGGCTTAGTTATGAACAAATCCGTCGAGGGAAACAACTTGAATGATGAATTTAATCCTGATACATGGGAGACAAAAATGGTGCGCCCTTCTACCCGCCAATTTACTACACTTAATGAATTAAATGAGCATCTGAAGAGCATTAACTCAAAACACACTGAGATTGATGACTTACTTCCCGACAAAAGCACCATCGTTGCCCTTCCTTCCTCAAGTGGCACTGTCTCCAAACGAAAAGAATATGCTCATGTTGTAGATAGCCGAGCTACTATAAATAACTTCCATCAGTTGGTACCTGAAATGGCCCTTAGCTTCCCCTTTGAGCTCGATAGCTTTCAGAAAGAAGCTGTTTATCATCTGGAAATGGGTGATTCCGTATTTGTGGCTGCCCACACTAGTGCAGGAAAAACCGTTGTGGCAGAATACGCTATTGCGCTTGCCCAGAAGCACATGACCAAGGCTATTTACACTTCGCCCATTAAAGCACTCTCAAATCAAAAGTTTAGAGACTTTAAGGAAAAATTTGAAGATGTAGGTATCCTTACTGGTGATGTACAAGTTAATCCAGAGGCATCATGTCTGATTATGACTACAGAAATTTTACGAAGCATGTTATATCGTGGTGCTGATTTGATTCGCGATGTAGAATTTGTTATTTTCGATGAAGTACATTACGTTAATGATCTGGAAAGAGGTGTTGTTTGGGAAGAAGTAATTATCATGCTCCCTCCTCATATAACTGTAATCCTTCTCTCTGCTACAGTGCCAAACACAAAGGAATTTGCTTCATGGGTTGGACGTACTAAGAAGAAAAATATATACGTTATATCTACTTCTAAGCGACCTGTTCCTCTTGAACATTATTTATGGGTTAAAAATAACGTCTATAAGGTAGTGGATCAACATGGCAGGTTCCTAATGGACGGATACAAAGCTGCGAATGATACGCTTAAGAAGCCTGATAAAATATTACCACCGTCCAACAACAACAATGCTAGAGGTCGTGGTGGAGCACCTCGTGGTCGGGGATCTCAAGTTAATTTGATGCGTGGAAGAGGTAATGCCAAGTCTGCTGAACGCCGAGATGCAAATACTTGGGTACATTTAGCTGGGCACCTTCAGAAAAACAAACTATTACCAGTAATTATCTTTGTCTTTTCAAAAAAACGTTGTGAGGAATACGTTGACACTTTGTCGAACAGGGATTTGAATAACCATCAAGAAAAAAGTGAAGTTCATATAGTCATTGAAAAGGCCGTAGCTCGCCTGAAGAAGGAAGACAGAACACTTCCTCAGATCGGTCGTATGCGTGAAATGCTTTCTAGGGGTCTAGCGGTACATCATGGCGGATTACTACCTATAGTCAAAGAGATAGTTGAGCTTTTGTTTCAACGAGGCCTTGTCAAAATCCTTTTTGCAACTGAAACATTTGCGATGGGTGTTAATATGCCTGCTCGATCTGTTGTGTTCTCCGGTATCCAGAAACATGATGGACGAAGTTTCCGTGAGCTTTTACCTGGTGAATATACTCAATGTTCAGGTCGAGCTGGAAGACGTGGTTTAGATGTTACAGGGACAGTAATTATTTTATCTCGAGCTGATCTTCCAGATACAGCCAGTTTACGACACATGATTCTCGGTCCTTCGACAAAATTGATCAGTCAGTTCAGACTAACATATAATATGATCCTCAATTTGCTTCGTGTTGAAACATTGAGAATCGAAGACATGATTAAACGAAGTTTTAGTGAAAATGCAAATCAGACACTGATGCCGCAACATGAAGCTGAAATCAAGTCAAATGAAGAGCAGCTTTCTTTACTTAAGAAAGAGCTCAATGAAATAGATATACAACAGATGAAGGAATGCATAGTTTACAGTGAAGACTATAAAGCATACTCTAGGAAATTGCATTTGAAAGCTATCTCCGCAGCTACAGGAAGACGCGTCTTTCGTGATGGAAGATTAATTGTCTATCAGCAACCTGATAGTACTCGTAGCATCGGCGTGCTATTAGGAACAGCAATGCGTACTACTTCTGCAGATTGTACATTAGAAGTTGCTTACCTGACACCTCAGAATGCTATGAAGCGCCCTTCAGATTTACTGGCTTTCACAGAACCTTTCTTGGATATATTAGATGCTTCACTCTTTACTGAAAATAATCAGTTCAAATTTGGACTTGTTAGTCTTTCAAGCGTTGAGCGTGTATGTAAAACCATTTTACGTATTGATTGTGGAGGTATACGTGACCGTCGAGGGGGTGCTTTTAGAAGGTTGAGCGATCAATTTGCTTCAGTTAAGGGATTTAATGACAATGTTTTTGATGAAGCGGATTGGAGCAAAGTGAAAGATTTTGATTTCCATGAGGCTCAAGAGAAGCGAACATATGTGGGACAAAAACTTATGTTTTACGAACCATTACTACAAGATAATTTTGTTACCCAATATGCACTATGCTTTCAAGAATATGACTTAGAAAATAATATCAGAAACTTGCGGGATTTTATCTCTGATCAAAACCTTGAGCTTCTTCCTGATTATGAACAGAGAATTCGGGTACTTCAAGAGCTTCAATACATTGATGAAAATAAAACCGTTTTATTAAAGGGTCGTGTTGCGTGTGAGATAAACTCAACTAGCGAACTGGTGTTAACAGAACTGATTTTGGAAAATAGTTTGGGTGAGTTTTCTTGTGAGGAGACTATAGCCTTGCTTTCTGCTTTTGTTTTTGATGAGAAGACGGAAGTTGAACCCAATATTTCTTCCCATCTACAAAAAGGAAAAGAGATGATTCTTCAGGTTGCTGAGCGAGTTAATCGCATCCAGGAAAAGCATCAAGTGTTATACTTTAATGAGGGAAATGATTTTGAATCTCAACCACGCTTTGGCTTGATGGAAGTTTGTTATGAATGGGCAAGAGGTATGTCGTTTAATCGAATCACCGATTTGACAGATATTTTGGAAGGTTCCATTGTTCGTACAATCATTCGGTTGGATGAAGTTCTTCGAGAATGTCGAGGTGCAGCTCGTGTTGTAGGTGATGCTTCAATGTATTCTAAAATGGAAGAATGTCAAAACCTCATCCGCCGTAATATTGTCTTTTGCCCCTCCTTGTATATGTAAATTTTTGCTCCATAGCTATTTCAAGAATATGATCTAAGTTTTATGAAGATATACAATTTTAGCATGTAATTACTTAAAAATGTACTAGCTTAAATTTCTTTTATTCGTAAAAACCATTTTTAGTCGGTTTTCTGAGTTTACCAAGTACAACCTATCTAACTCCACGAACTTAACTAAACGTCGTTTTAATCATGTCTTTAGTACCAAAAGGCGACGTCAATAAAATTGAATGGGAAGATGTTGAATTTCCAAGTATTTGCGAACGTTGTCTAGGAGATAATTCGTATGTTCGTATGACTCGTGAACCTTTAGGACAAGAATGCAAAATATGTTCGCGGCCGTGTACAGTATTCCGTTGGTCAACTACTAGGGAAAGAAAGAGAGGAAAAACTCAAATATGTGTAGGTTGTGCTCGATTGAAAAATTGCTGTCAAGCGTGTATGCTCGATTTGCAATTTGGGTTACCGGTATGTGATGCTCATAGAAAGAGATGGATTATTATAAAACTAACTAAACAATAGATTGCTTTACGTGATGCTGCTTTAAAAATGGTAGACAATGGACCAACAAACGACATAAACCGGGAGTTCTTTGCTCAAAACCAGCAAAGACTCTTGAAAAACGAAGAAACACCATATGATAGTCAAGAGTCAAATGCCGCTGCTAGAAATCTGGTTCGAAAGACCGAGCGACGAGAGCCCTACCAAAAACCCGCGCGTAAGAAGATTGATGAACAAGAATCTAAACAGCTCTTGAAGGATGCTAAAGCAAGTGATACGTCCAAAAGTTCTGAAAAGTCTCTCTTTCCTATAAAAAAAGTTGCAAACGGTCGTGTTTTGCTTTCAGTTGACATGGAGCCTCCTAAAGATAAAAAAATTGTAAGTAAATCATCAGGATCCAGGATTCAAAACTAACTATTATCAAGGCTTCTCTTTTTATTATTGGTGTTGAGGACGAACTCCCGGATTATAAAATTCGAAGACATTTTGAACAATTTGGTCCCTTAAAATCTGTCGTTTGTTCTCATCGGGCAAAATGTGCCTTTGTCAACTTCAAAAGCAGATTAAGTGCTGAAATTGCAGCTGCCTCTTGTGCCAATGGTGATCTTTCTATTGACGGATTTCGTCTTAAAGCTCAATGGGGAAAACCTCGTTCTTTAGGAGGAGCTGAGCAAGAGACTAGAAATGCAAAATTGTCAGATTTAGTTATGCACGGAAAAAATGCTACCTTAGAAAAACCTTCCGACGGAGATCAATCCATTAATAAAGCTGATAATACTGGCTCATCTTCTGCTCCGACTCCTGCTGTTGCTCAACCAATTTCTCCAAGTCAACCACAATATTCATCACAGTATCCTCGGTAAAAGAGCAGATATATATATTTTTATTTTGTTGGAAGTACTCTAAGTGAAATAGATGAACCTAGAAAGGATCTATATACTTTTGACCGTATTCCTGATGATAACCGTCACCTACTCACTATCCTTACTTTACTCGAACGCTCATCAATTCTCGACGACTATATATTTCCAAATTCCGATCTATTTTCATATTACTTATTTAATTTTATTCTGCAATTGAATAAATAAAAAATGAGTTTGACTCCAGACGCCAACACCAACTCAGTGGAAGATAATGAGAAGGACGCTTGGGACACCGCTCTTGAAAAAGGAGGATGTGTCGAAGAGCATTTAAGGCTTAATGATTGTTATTGGGATAAACATGATTGGAGAAAATGCTCAAAAGAGGTAAATTAAGGATCTTTTTGTGAAGTCACAAATCTGACCTGGCATATTAGATGAATGAGTTTAGAAAGTGTTGGGAAAGTAGACATGGGCCACTTACAAGCTGCCCTATCAATATGAATTCAGAAAAAAAGAAATAACTTGATTCATCTGTCACAAGTACGGCTTCTATGCTCCTTTGTCTCTTTCTTGAGGATTATTTTTACCAACTCGATACAAAGCAAAAGATGCTTTGTTCGAACTTTCGAAGCCAAAGCAATTAAGAAAATCATTTACGAAACGTGTGAGCGCTACCAATTTCGTGCATTGTTTATGTCCTCCTAAACTTTGTTTACAATAGGTTAGTGTCTTGTTTATATTGACGTTTTGAGAGGAGGGATTTTCTCTCATATTTTTGCAAGTGCTTTTTTCTTACAAGACGCTTTTTTTGATATCCTTAATATAAAATAAAAAAAATGCTTACTGTTGCTCCTGTAGCGTTGATTTATGGAGGTACTGCGATCTTTGCAATTGTAGAGATTTTACTGGAATTACAACTCATTCGTATCGAAAATGTCTTAGTGGTAGGTACTTTATTCCAGTCAACGTTACTTACTCTTTAAACCTAGTGCCTTTCAGTACTGTCTGTCTTTTCTATGTTATGGATGCTTTTAGGATTTCCATTTCTGAATGTACTCTCTGGATCAAAATTCACGAGCCTGCATAAAAGCGAGTAGTATTCTGGTAAACCTTCATTTGATTTTTATTTTATCTTTAGATTTCCTAGATTTAAACTAACCGAATACAGCATTCAAGAACAAGAAAAACCCAAATTAGGCCTAAAATACGTCGTAATCTTTTTACTTTAATTAAGATAAATTAATTAAAACTATGATGAAAAATTCCTACACCAACAAAAAACTTTGTAGACATTATCCTTACATACATTAAGACTTCCAACTAAGAATCAGTGTTCTCTTTCTCTTCAGTTTTTTGACGTTTTGGACTTAAACTAATAGTTTCTTCATTTACATCTCCTTCTCGAGATCGCTTCTTATTTTCTGAATCTTTGACGTTCTCGGCCTCCTCTGTTCTTTCCTCATGCGCTGCTGTAGAGTTTTCATCAGAGGGATTACTTACTTTATCGGATTGATCTTTAGGCACTGATTTTGGTTGTTTATCGGTACCATCTTCTTTTTTGCTTTCATATTCAGCTTCATCTTTTCCATTTTCCTTCTGAAGATCTGTAGATAAATCCTTCTGATCATTCGACTTTTTCAAATCTTCCTTTGTGGTTACAGGCTCAATCTGCTGCTCTCCTTTAGACTCTGGTTCTTTATCTTCATCCATTGGCGTAGCATCTTGAATTTCCTGCTTTTTTTGTTCTTCTATCACTTTCTCATGTAACTTTTCATCACCCTTCTCAACGATGTTTATGTCGAAAGCAGGATTCATATTTGTTTTCGGCTTTTCCAATGTCGTATGACCTTCAATAGCCTGAGACAATAGCTCCAGATCACCCAACCCGGTAAATTCAAAGGCTTCTAAATGCGAATTGATCGCAGAACGAAAAGCACGCCAAGTTTTTGAAGCTTTTGCTTGTTGATGATATTCTCGCTCATCTTCCTTTACCGACTCTTCAATTTCAGCAGAGTCGTGTCTTACACCAGAAAGGAAACTTTTCGGAGTAGGTATCTGATATCTTTCTTTCTTTTTTAAATCTTCTAAAGAATTCTCTCCAGCATTTTTCCATATTTTAGCAAGCGCTGCATTACCCATGGCATAACGGATTTTCGGAGGCGTACCTGCAACTTTTTTTAGACCAGCAACCGCTTCATCTAAAATGGATTTATCAAGTAAAGGCTTTTCAAACGAAAGACAACCAAAACCTTTCCAATTTTTCCAATTACTTTCCACGTTGATCACGGATGTCACTGTATCAAAATAAGCACCATTCTTTAGTTCTTTTAAAAGTGCAAAAATCCGATTCAGTAGGTTTGACACGTTCTTCTCCTACAATATGTTAGTCAATCAAAATTCCTTTAACGATCAAAAACATACATCTTCGTCAGATAAACTTGTATTAGGCGCTACAGACTTATTTGTGAAAGGACGGTTTTGGCGTGACTCCAATCGTTCTTTAGAAAAGTCTAACAAAAAATCACATAAAATAACAGCCTGCAGCAAAAACTGAAGACGAAAACTTTCATCTATCAGTTGAAAGTCAAAAAGAGGAGGGGAACGAATGTAATTTGGACATAGATTGTCGTTTATAACTGTGTACTTTTCCGGAAGCAAAGCATTCGACGTAGGGTTAATAGTAGGTTTGGGATTATCTAAAAAAAATGTGTTTTTTTGAATAGACTCAAAAGATTCCAAGATAGTATTTGTGGAATTCAAAAACTTTTGTAAATTATCAGAAATCTGTGCAATTTTTGGTGGCTGGACAAGCAGATCTTGTAATTCCCAAAATATTTGATAGAGAGACTGCACTTTTTGAGAATAAGAGGCTTCATTTCCATCGGATGCAGGGATATTTGGTGACGAAACCTTGGTAGTAATTACTGAATTTTCTAGATTATAATCACCACGAACATTAGAGCCGCTCCTTTCTTCTGGAGCAAAAGCTTTGCTGAGCAAAATATGAATGCGACCACAAAGCGCAGGGTCAATTTGTCTCGAAAGTCGGCGCAACAATTCGTTCGAAATACGCAGTAAAACAGGTCCACGACCACGATTACTGACTAAACCATCCAAAAGAACTGATCTTGTCTCAAAATACTCATACAGCCTTCGGCACTCCGTTAGACTATGAATGTCCATTAACTCCTCTAAAATTAAAAACGGGAAGACTGCATCACAGTAGGAAGCATCAATTTCATTCAAGACAACTAGTAAGTCTAGGATTGAAAATAGCTCCTTAACGTTCTCCTCAAAGTCATGTTTTTTAGACTATAAGTGATTCTTGTTAGCAAACATTCCTCAGCGTAACAACTTCAAGCGGTTCTTACACTAATTTCATAACAACGAAAACGAATGGCAGTTTCAAATTCAAGACAGTTGTAGAATTCAGCTGTGATTTTTGACCATATTTCACTTTTTACGAATTCTCTGAACTTGGTATTAAATGGTTGCTCTGTAGAGCTTGGAATGGTCTTAGTTGAATAGATATCTGTAAACTTCTTAGTCAAGGAGAGTTTAGCATCCATTCCCATCTACACTCCCTTTATATTCGCGACTTCAAGAACAATGCGCGTCAACAGCAAGTTTAGGAGGCAGTACATGTTACTTGAACGATGTTACCCAAAATATTGTAGCATAGCGCACCGTTTCGCTAAGTAAATAATACAAGGTGTTGGTGTTTGCCATCTGCACAATACAGCAGCAATCATCATTTATGATATTGTAATACAATGATCCTCTACTAGTACGGAAAATATACAGGAATATGGAATCAAATCAGGAATTGACTCAATTAGGAGTCTTCACTGTTGATCAAGCTAGTTTGGAGCGCGATGTGACAAATTCAGCAGATCAATATATCGCTAGTGAGACGAGAGAGATTGAAAAAAAAAGGTTAGAAAAGGTGCAGAAGGAGATTGATACCGTACAACAAAAGACTCGTCAATTGGAAGCGCGAATTGATAGTCGTTTGACGCAAATTAGCGTGAAAGGAAATCTTCGAAAGCAACTGGATAAATTTCGTGCAACGCTTCAGAACTTAAAATCTGATGAGAATGATATAAAATTACGTATGGAAGGTGTTGGAGAGGGTCAGCAAACTGCGTTTACTGATCCTCATGCTAATGAAGAAGTCGAGCGCCAAGAATTGATTCGTACAGGTAAAATTACACCTTTCGGAAATTTTTCGGGAATTGAGAAACGTTCGGACTTTCATGACTACCAACCAAGTAATCAAGTGATACCCGAGAAACATGAATTTGCTGGTGACACGAATATCAAGGGCACTAGTGTTGAGCAAACCGAAGAGCATGATGATTATGTGCCAAAGCAAGAAGAAGAAGAAGATTATGCGCAAGTCGAGAATGTGACTGAACAAACGGCTACTTCAACTGTAGACGATGGTGATGATTTAGTGTATCGTAAGCGTTTACATTCCTGGTGTACCGAGCGCAATCTATTACGCGAAAAAACGAAACGAGTAAAACAAGAAGAATCCGAGACGTCTAATGAACAAAATTCTACCAATCAATCTTCATTAAGCGTAGATACGGAAGAATGGTTTAGACCACATCCTACCAAACGCGGCCAAACTTTTGAAGGCGGTTTCACCGTGCCTGGTGACATTCGACCTCACCTTTTTCGATATCAAGTTACATGTGTACAGTGGTTATGGGAACTTTACAGCCAAGAAGCAGGTGGTATCATAGGTGACGAAATGGGATTAGGAAAAACAATACAAATTGTATCTTTTCTTTCTTCACTTCACCATTCAAGGATGTACGAAAAGCCAGCGTTGATTGTTTGTCCGGCTACCTTAATGAAACAATGGGTAAATGAGTTCCATCAATGGTGGGGTCCTTTACGTGTTGTTGTTTTGCATGCTACAGGTAGTGGTGCTCTTGCTACCCGAGAAAAGAGACAATATCGATCTCTGGAGGAAGAGGATACTGTAGAGGAAGCTGCTAATGTGAACCCAAATGCTTCTAAATCATTTCACAGTTATGCCAAAGCTTTGGTAGATAGCGTGTTTACTGAAGGACATGTATTGATTACAACATATGCTGGGTTACGTCTTTACAGCGATTTATTATTACCAAGAGAATGGGGTTATTGCGTTTTAGATGAGGGACATAAGATTCGGAATCCAGATTCTGAAATGTCTGTAAATTGTAAGCAAGTAAGAACCCCCCATCGAATTATTTTATCAGGTACCCCTATTCAAAATAATTTAATTGAACTGTGGAACTTATTTGATTTTGTTTTTCCCGGTCGCTTAGGAACGCTGCCTGTTTTCCAAAATCAATTCGCTCTTCCTATCAATATTGGTGGGTATGCAAATGCATCAAACGTTCAAGTACAAACTGCTTACAAGTGTGCCTGTATGCTTCGCGACTTAATATCTCCATACTTGTTACGAAGGATGAAGCTAGATGTAGCGGCAGACCTGCCAAAAAAATCCGAACAAGTTTTGTTTTGCAAGCTGACTCCTCTTCAACGTAAAGCCTACCAGGATTTCTTGAATGGTTCGGATATGCAAAAAATTTTAAATGGCAAGCGTCAAATGCTTTATGGAATTGATATTTTGAGGAAAATATGTAATCATCCAGATTTGGTTGTTCGTGAATTTTTATCTCAAAAGAAGGACTATCATTATGGAGATCCTAAAAAGTCTGGAAAATTGGAAGTTGTGAATTCTCTGTTACAGCTTTGGAAGAAGCAAAAGCACCGTACATTACTTTTTTCCCAGACACGACAAATGCTTGATATTTTGGAGAACAGCATCAAAGGTATTCCTGAAATTCGTTACTGCCGTATGGATGGAGGGACATCAATTGGTCTTCGACAAGGTTTAGTTGATAATTTCAACAAAAACGACATTTATGATGTATTTTTATTGACAACTCGCGTTGGCGGGTTGGGTATTAATTTAACTGGAGCAGATCGTGTCATATTATTCGACCCAGACTGGAATCCATCAACGGATGCCCAGGCTCGTGAACGAGCTTGGAGATTGGGACAAAAAAAAGATGTTGTGGTCTACCGTTTAATGACTGCTGGAACAATTGAAGAAAAGATATATCATCGTCAAATTTTCAAACAATTTTTGACAAATAAGATTTTGAAAGATCCAAAGCAGCGACGATTCTTTAAGATGACCGATCTGCATGATTTATTTTCATTAGGCAACGATAAGGAAGAAGGTACAGAGACTGGTAACATGTTTTTGGGAGCTGAACGAGTCTTCAAAAAGCAACCTTCAAGTCATGATGAAGAAAAAAGCAAAAAGCAGAGATCTCGAGAGGATGTTGAGGGAAATCCTCAAAAGGACAAGAATCGAAAGGTTTTTGATAAAATTGGGATTGCTTCTATAGAAAAGTTTAAACCACCAGAAGATAGCGGCGTCACAAAGCCTACTTCTTCTAAAAATACACATGGCGATGAATCCGTGCTAGATGATATCTTTGCAAGCGCCGGAATTCAAAGCACGTTAAAGCATGACGAAATTATGGAGGCTTCTCAACCCGAGACTTTACTTGTAGAGAAAGAAGCTTCAAAGGTGGCTAATGATGCTTTGCGTGCCGTTGCAAATTCTCGACGACAACAACTTTCTGCTAATCGGAATAGAGCTGCTCCTCCCTCCATGAACAGTTCTCGCCAAAATTCGGCTTCTACTAGTTCCAAGGCTTCCGGACCAGTTAATTCTAGTACCTTGCTGGCGCGACTCAAGCAAAGACGTTAAATTACAGATGTTCACCGCTTTAATTTTGAATTGTTTTTTTGTTTTTTATTCTTTAGTTTTTGACTATCTGTCTTAACGTCTGAAAATCTGGTAAGGATCTCTGAAGCACAGTTTTCAATCAGAGAAAACTTTCGAAAGAATATTTTTACTTAGGCAACCGAAATGATAACTCTTATTTATTTTTCTAAAAAAAATTCAACGAATGGCTATATGTTTGTTTCCTTTTTGTTTTTTGTCTGATTCATTTTACGTTCGTTTTTATTTAATCTATTTTCATTGTCATGGCAATAATGGCGAGTTTTGTTCCATGTATTGCTTCATACACAATTTAAAACTATATATATGTTGAAATACTAATACAAATACGTGTCCTTGGATAGCTAAGCTTTTCTTTCTTAGAGAACATTAAGTCTGCTTGTTAGTGTAAACAAGTCTTTCTGCGATGGCTTTTCTAGAATACGAGGTAGCATCTATAGTGCTACTATTGGGGGTATTTTTTTTTTTTTTTTTTTTTTTCCTTTTTCTTTCTCCAAACATGCTTTATCTACCTAGTCGAATGCAATATCATTGTTCGTATAAATTTCTGTATCCAAGCTTTCTACAATTGATCATATTGGGGAAGCCATAGTAAGTAGTATAACACTGCGTTTTGTATTTATGATTTTCGTTATCAAGCATATATATTAGCAATATTATAAGCGACATTACATAATATCCTATTCGTACTTATAAATTTCCCAAGTAGAAACGAGAAAATAGCCAAAAACAACAGTCCTCAGAAAAAGAATGTTTTCAGCAAGCACAAGGATGACTACATTATTAAATGCAAGGAACGTGGTTAACCTTTTAAAGGAGCAAGCTCAAAAATCGGTTCTTTTGGACGCTACTTGGTACTTACCTACAGAATCCAAAGATGGAAAACAGGAATTCTTACAAAATCGACTACCAGGCGCTCAGTTTTTTGGGGTTGATGAAGCCAAGGATCATCGTAGTAGCTTACCTCACATGCTTCCACCAGCTGATGAATTTGCTGCATACGTAGGAAATCTTGGAATTGATCGAAATGTACGTAAAATTGTGCTTGAGAATGAATAAGTGATTTCTAACTGGATATAGACCAATGTAGTTATTTATGACAGAAAAGGATTTTTTTCCTCCCCCCGTGTATATTGGACCTTTAAAGTTTTCGGTCACAAGAATGTCTTCTTGTTTCCAAATGCGTTAACAGATTGGAAAACTTCTGGTTACGGGTTAGAAACTGAAAGCCCTTCTACACCCGCTAAAGTCAATTATGAAGGTGCTAATATGAACAATAACTTGGTTGCCTCTTTTGAAGATATCGCCCAGGTCCTTAAAGATCCGTCGAAAAGCAACACTCGTATCATTGATGCTCGCCCACATACACGATTTACTGGAAGTGCTCCTGAAATTCGCCCTGGCATCGCAAGCGGACATATCCCAACTTCCATCAACATTCCTTTTACTGATCTTGTAAAACCCGGAATTACCGAACCAAAGCCTGTAGAAGAACTTGAAGATATCTTTGCCAAGCATGGTCTTAAAGATAAATCTGCTCCCATCATCACCTCTTGTGGTTCTGGTGTAACTGCCTCTGTACTTTTTGTTGCTCTTGAATTATGTGGGTTTACAAATGTTCGAGTGTATGATGAATCTTGGACTGGTTACGGTCAACGTGCCACTCAAGATTCTTCCTTATTAGCTACTGGTCCTTAGAAATGCATATACCAAGTTGTTAATTAAGTTTTCAGGTTCATGCTTTGTCCCGTATACAGATTCTTGGTTTGACCCCTACTTTTAAGAAACTCGTTTATTATCAGCAATGCACATATGAATGTAACTAAAAAGTCTACAAATAAGGTTATAACCCTTCTGTTGCTTCAAAAAGGTAAGAAAACGTTTATGAATGAATATGATTCCATGCAAAATTGCAACCGTAGTAGTTTGTTTGAAAAGCAGAAAAGAAAAGAAAGTAATAAGAGTTTATTATAAAGAGATTGTTGTAACGTTAAGAAAGAGACTAATCTCCATTCGAATCATTTACTTAAAAACTTATCTTAAAGAGAGTATGTTATGCTGTAATCTTTTAATCATTAGAAACAGGACACGCTTTACACAGGACTTTGCTGGTAAGAAGTCAAACGATCCACGAAAGGTCCAATATAAGGCAAAGACCTTAAAAAGCTAATAATGATGGGATAAAACACCCGGAAGAGATTAAAGAATCCGAGGCATTCAAAGAAGAAACCAAGAACAGGAAAGCGTAGGATCGTGAGGAGGAATCCTCCAACAAAACTTATGCTTCCCAGCATTCTTTCTTTTCTTATAAAAAAGTTTGCTGATTTCGAGGGTCCTATAATCATGAATACGCCTGATACAGACAAGATCTAAAAGAGGTTAGTCTAATTACAGGTCCTTCTTAGAATAAAGCATAGACTTCTGTTCTCTGGCTTGCTTGAGTTGACTATACAGACACCAGCTATCCGACTGATTTCAACATACGTTTCCAAGAGATAGTAGAGGGCCGTCAAACAGCATTATTACGCCCTAAATGTAATATTAGAATCTTAATAGCAAAAATAAAGTCAAGTAGGTCTTGTCTTCTTCTAGCCTTACAAGTACCATGAATAGAAGCCCCAAACTTGTTACACCAATTCCAATTTCTAGTTTTATCTTTAGTAATTGTTTACTTTTAAGTTTAAACATACTTTGTACTTCTGAAAGCCACATATTATACCCTTTCTTTACAGTGTTGATGGTGAAGAGTCTACAAATTGCTTGAATATTATGTGTTTTCATTGAGCTATGCCTTCAATTACCTTTCCCTTTACCAAAATTGATATAAGCACTGTTTGACTTTAAATATTATTTTTGTTTTAGTTTATACATAATTCTATAGCATCGGCATCATCCAACCATCCGAGATTTCATCTTAGTATAAAGCATTTTCCAGGTATATTGCTTTATGAACCACGAATACCCTTGCCAGTTAAATATCCATTAGGGTACACAAATTACTGGCTACTTCTAAGGTATTTTGACTAACAGTACTATGTAGAATGTATACAAATAGAATTGGCATTATCTGTTCATACTAGCAGGAAGGTATATATGGTGGTGCATCATATTGAAACACGCATTTCACATAGGACTCAGATTCATCGAAATCATCAAAAATTTAAGTTAAAGAATAAATAAAGATTGAGCGTCTAGATCGATCATATTTGAATAATTAGGAATAAATAGAAATAGAATAACCAATGGGGCGATATGAAAAGCAAACCGCGACATCATGAACGATAATTTAGTTTTAAATGAAAACATCTAGTGAGCTTAAAAAAATCCCCATACCTTATTTTTTATTTTTACTCCTTCTCTTTTTCTTTTTGTTTTTTGAAGGTCTCGAAGAACTAACAGAGGAGTGATTTTCAATGGGACTATGCATATTGGCATCACCAATGTTTAGAGACTCATTCTCTTCAAGAGAATCATTAGTCGTGATGCTGACTTTCGGTACAAGAATACCATTTCGTTCCACCATTTCAACAATATCTTCCGGATTTTCGTTAACGGTCCTTTCATATGGTTCGATAACAATGCGCTCGATACCATCCGCAGAGACAAGATTGCTTTCAATTACGTTACCAAGTCTTACTCTTTTTCCTGTAAATGTCCTCTCAGAATCAGAAGATACGCTATCTGACTTTTTGCTCATAATTCTTGGGGAGTCTGCATTAAATCGAGAAGGTTTTTTTGCAGTCTCCTTACCGTTTAACTGATCAAAACCACGCTCAGCAATCTTATTATAATCAATTGGAGAAGCGTCTTCTTCTTCCCTACGGTTGTGGTCATGTGTAACATGCTCTTGAATACCGTCATTTGCCTGATGTTCTAAGTCACGCTGAGAAATATCCTCTGAAGTGTATTCTTGAATATTTGGTATGCTTTTTGAGTGAGCCTCTATTTCCGTTTCAACTTTGTCAACCTTCTTAGAAAGAGAGGCAACACTTTCATTTGATGCTTCCATACTTCCGTAACCCGTCTCGTTCTTGATGCTAACAGGTGCCTTCACCTTTACTCGCTCATTCGGAACATAACGAGGATTCATAGCGGCATTCCTAGGGTTCAAAACTGGGCGTTGCTCATCCATTTGACTTTCTCCATTCACTGTCGTACGACGGCGCTTTGTTAAAGCAGCCATTGTATTCAAATGAGAGCGGTGGAATAATCTATTCCAAAATTCATTGTTGTAACTCACACGCGGTAACCCTTTGTGAACATCAATATAGACATCCGTCTCATCAATAATTTCCTCCCCAATTAACTCTTCGATAATGTCTTCAAGAGTGATGACGCCTAGAGCACCAAATTTATCGCCAGGATGATCAGAGATAAGGATCATATGACTCTTACCCTCTTGACAATAGTTCATTAGATCCAAACAGGAGGTATCTGGAAAAGTTTGAGGTAAGGTTGCAAGGGCAAATTTGCTCACCGGCCAACAGTCATCTGGATCATAACCGATTAGCGTTTTAGTGAGTAACATACCGATAAAATCATGAGGAAAGCCTGGTCTATGCACGGGAATCCGCGAATAACCAGCACAAATAATATCGCCAATTAGTTGTTCATCCACGACGCGGTCCATTGGAAGGGTAAAAACATCCTCAATAGGTGTCATAATACTCTTCGCTGACTTTTCCCGTAAATCCAAAACAGCCGTAATAATCGTCACCTCATCCTGATTCAGTTTATCTAAGCCCAGATCCCTATGCAAAGTGACGAGAGTTTTCAACCCAGACTTTTTATACATTATACCATGATCTTCTCCCAAGCATGCATCCAATAATAAAGCCGTTGGATAAGCAATTGGCATGAGCAAGTACATCATAAACAGAACCAGTGGTTCCAATTTAGCACCAATAGACAATCCATAACGGACACATAAAGCTTGTGGAATTACTTCTCCAAAAATCACAATCGCCGCCGTTGAGATTAAAACCGCCGGCCATCCACCGCCAATGATACTGTCGAATACAATCGGCAATGTTTCATTAACAATTACATTGCCCAACAGCAAAGTGACCAGCACCCAGTGCTTACCACGGTTTAAAAGCTTCAAAACTTTTTTCGCATATGTTCTTTCGTAACGATCACCACTCTGCTCCAAAACTTGCAAATACACTTCGTCGCATCCCATAAGACCGATCGTAAGTCCTGCAAACACGCCACCCAACAAGACTAGAACAGCACTAATAAGAAGTTTCGAATAGTAAGAAAAATTAGATTGCTGATTCAGAATAATGGATGACTCAGACGGTTCTGTTAAGCAACCGTTGACAGCCTTTTCTCGCAAAGCTAAAGGAAATGCCACCGCATACTTTCTCAAACTTACGACAATGAATAAAAGTACATAAGCAAGTGATGATTTCCTTGGATGTAAAAGGTTAAACATATTACTCCTAGCCGACAGCTTTATTTCGGCCAGGCTTATGCAGTCAATAAGGTAAAGATTTCGTTGACTACTCCATTCGTATATATGACTGGTTTAACGAGCTGCAACGTTATGGGTAGTAACTCCTAGTGAAGGTTATTATATCACAGTACTCAAGGCGAGAGTATTTCTTTATTTGGTTTACGCTATTACTGCACGGTTTATCAAACAATCAATAAATAAAAGATATTTTCATATATATTATTCTAACTAGCCTTCCTTTGTGTATCACAAAAAGTATTAAAATCCACTTGTGCAGTAGTTGAACCTTGCAAGAAAAAGGTTGTCGAATATGAATAATATTCATTATACATTTCAATACGACTATATTGTAAATACAGTTTGTATCAAAAATCATAACATTCGTTTATAATGAGTTCCGTCGGGGCGATAAATACTTTGGATACTTTTGGTACTGAGTACTAGTTCCAAGAATCCCGTCAAGTTTACCTTCTGTCTTGAGCTTATCAATAAAAGCTTTGCCGTATTCATAACCAACACCATAGATCTTCTCGAAACTTCCAAATTCCAGCGTTTTGAAATCTGTAACAGGAGGACGCATATAAAAACAACCTGGTGTCGATTTAACTTTCTCGCCAATAGCAACACTCGTAACATATGTTAATCTAGACTGAATATCAGCGAGTGAAGGATATGCTTTTTTCGAAATAAAAGGAATCCAACGAGCGAATAAAGCCCAAGCACCCGAAACAGTATCTCCATAATCCATTGCCAAACGAGAATCCTCACTTCCAACATCAATTGCAAATATTGTGTTAGCTCCAAGAGACTGCATGTGTGTTACAGTAAGGTTATCCATATAACCTCCATCTAATAGCATATCCCCATTATCGGAGAGCATTGGAGGTACCAAACCGGCTAAAGACATACTAGCTCGAATATATCTCCAAGCATAACCACTTGAGTGAACGTCCATACGAGAATGAGTTATATTAGTCGTATTTACATAAAATGGTAGCCAAAAATCCTCAATATGACTTTCACCAAATGTTTTCCAGATACCTCGATTAAATTCATGGCCAGTGGTGTAAGCAGCCTGAGGATAAGTCAAATCTAGTACAAATCTCCATAAATTTGCCATTCTTCCACAAAACTTCTTCGCCCGACCAAACATTGGCACCAGATCAGCTTCGCGGGCATACAATCCGCCATTGAATGCTCCTATACTCGTACCACCAATAATATCAAAAGGAATTCCAGCTTCTTCTAATGCATATAGAGCACCAATCTGAGAGATCCCTCTGGCACCTCCACCTCCTAAAACCAGTCCGATAGCTTTGCCGCAAATCCTCCTAGCTAAACGTGCAAAGTCACTCTCCTGTGCTCGGTTCGTTTGATAGACAGGATGTAGGTGTTTCCAATCGATGTATTTTCTAAATCCATAATGAAGATTCATTACTTTGGACCTAATTATGTTGAGAAATTCTTTTCCATCGTTATGATCAACCATTTCATTGTCCCGTCCAGCGCGTAACTGTAAGTGATGATGAGCGTATACCCATGGACGCTCCTTTAACCACGTTCTTGTTAATCCTGAAGGACAGAATCTCTCAGGATGTATAAGTACTAACTCTTTTCGAGCAGTACATTTCATTGCAATCAAGTAACTTTCAAATTCCCCAATTCGAGGATTCCGATCTGCTTCTGCAAGGATATATATACAATCAGCTTGCCGTACGCAAGTTTGAAACCAGGTAGTACCAACATTTGTGTCAGCAACGTAAATCAAAATATCATATTTGTCTTCCAAATCCGAAAGATAGCTCGCAAGTTTGAATCTACCCATGCGACTAAAAGCGTATTTTCCTAAATGTTCTAAAACTGAGGACTGTCTCAATATTTTAACGGATATACCCAAAACGGATAAGGAAAATGTTAATTTTTGAGAGAAAAGTATTAAAAATGCGGTTGAAGAAGAAGGTACAACAGCTAGTGTACGTATACTATGCTTTTCCCTCTTAGTTTGATGAATACCTCCATAAATGAACTTGTTATTTAGCATTATATGCATTCGGTTTGCAATGATTTTTGAGAGCTGCAGACCAACAGCAGGGTGGCTAAGAGAGAGAGCATTAAACAATGTCTGAGGGATTTTTGCAAGTTCTGAATCTCGAATTGCAAATAATGTACTGCTTCTTGGGGCATTGATTAGCATTTCCAGTTCACCTGCACTATCACCATTTCCATATTCATCAAAGTAATCAGAATTTGCTTTCGTATTACTGTCGTCAATAGACCTTAAACGTCCGTTTTGAACTACGTATATTGAATCGCTTGGATCTCCCTTATGAAATAATACTTGATCGGGATTTAGGTGAATCCAACCGACTGCAAAATCAAGTTTAAGTAGTAAAGGAGGAACTAAAGATATAAGTCTTTTAGCAATGATAAGAGAAATTAGAGGTTCCTGTTCAATTATTCTTTCAAGAGCGGTACGCGGCAAATATCCTACTAAGACATCTGTCCTAGCAGTTACGTTCACAAACGACCGATAGTTGGAAACGCAAGCTTGATAATTTACCAAACCACCTGGTTTCATCATAAAAGAATGTTGCTCTAATTGTTCTTGAGTGCCGTAAGTAGCTACTTTAGATGGACAAGTTGCATCCAGAAAACCATCAATGATATAAAATACGCCATCTGCATGATCACCCTGCTGAACAACGGTAGTCTTTTTCTTATAGAAAATAATTTCAATTTCTTTGGCAAACTCGAGGATAGTAGATTGTTTTTGGTTGCTTATTGCAGGGCTTTTAGTATCTTCGTTGACGCCGGTAGCACTCATCATAGCAAGTTGACCTAAGAAGTCAACTTTGCTAGACTTTTCAGATTGATCAGTAGATTTAATACTTTCTTGCTCGCCAGAAGACAACTCATCATCCACTGAAGAAGCAGTACTCTGGGATTTTATACCATAATTGGCTATGCCAAGAGAATTCAGAATGCAATGTAACAAACCATTCCTAAAAGAGGAATATACATCATAATCACCCACTTCTCTAGAGTATGCTCGACGAAGCGGTGACCGCTTCATATTTGGAGCGACTGATTGAGAAAGAGTAGCGTGAGGATTTGTAGAAGAAAGTAAGTCACCCGCATTTGCTGTTGAACGATCAACCTCAGACCCAAAAACCTCAAAATTTCTATTAAAGTTGCCAGTACGATGGGCAGGGCCCCTTTTTTGAGATAAAATAATACCGCCTTTAACTTTCTTATTCCTATTCTCAGATTTTGCTTCATTTTTGAAAGTTTCAATGATATCACCACGAATATAATTTGGCAATTCATAAGAGGTGATAGCATTGAAGTTTTTCTCTATACTGAAAATAGCATCGGACAATCCAAGATACTCAAAGCCTGTAGAGAATGTAACTCGTTGAAAACGTGTAAGAATAACTTGAACTATCTGAGCACTGGAATTAGGGAATTTACGAACCAAATGATGAAAGGCGCTTCCGGGTATAACAGCTATCGTAGTATCGCATTTAGCTTTAGCAACAATTGAAGATTTCTCCTTTAGTTTAAATTGATCTTTCGACTGTGATTTTTTAGAGCCAATGCTGTTTACAGGGAAAGGGTTGTCTACAAGATCTGTTGGCGTACCTGTGGACTGAGTGGTGCTTGGGACAATTGAAACTTCTGGAACAATTTCTGTGAATAATTCTAAGACAGTGAAAAAGCTAGAAAGCGGGGCACCATTGGAAACTTCAGTAAGAAGCCTGTACTCAGAATGCAGGGATGATGGATCTCTTGAACCGTCATCATTGGAAGGTTCTGTAGATGTATAAACTTGAAAACAGCCATCCACAACCAGGATAAAAGAAGATTCTTCGTCAAGATCAATTGTATCTCCTTCAGCAACCCGTCGAGTTTGAATATGCCGAGCTAATTCTACAAAGACAGGTTTTTCTAAGTACCCAAATATACTGATGGCACTTAAAAACTAGATAGTGTTAGTGGTTTGTGACCCTAATATGTATGAACCATACCTCATCGAGATAATTTTGAAACCCGATTTTTGGTTCACTTATTTGGACGCTAGCATCAGGACCAAGCTTAGCCTCTCTTATTGGGGCTTCGTGAGGAAGTCGAGAGTATTTGTTTAGGTACCTGTAACGAATGATCAAGATGGCAACGCAAAAGGAAACAAAGGATAAGAAAAGTCTACCGAGTTAGCATTTCACTTTAATTGAAAAAAAACTGGATGCTTCATACAATGACTTGAAACTAAATTGAATCGTTAAGGAGTAACTTAAAACTTTATAGGTCCATTTTGGTAAAGTTATTGAAGCGAATGCTAGTATACTTAAAGAAAATTTTGTGACGAAAACAAGACTAAGGGTTATAGATCTTAAGGTAAAAAATATAATTCCTGAAATAACGTTGTTTTGCAAAATTCGATCCGCAATATCCATGAATTGGTAATATATCTCACCTTTGAGACACAATCGTGAATAATTCTCGACTTTAAGTATAAGTGGTAACTTCTTGTATCAAACGCTACAAAATCTTTAATTCCTTTTTTTTATTTAGCAAACCAATTGCTTTATTTTCGGAGAATTGTTTTTTTGGGGTAGTATGAAGTACTGTGTACTTTTTGGTCGGATAATATATCACAAAATTTTCTATACATACATTAAAGAATAAACACATAGAAGAATAAATAATAATTATTATTATTATACGTGCTACAGAAAAAATAAATAAAGCTCGTATATATGTTTGGATAAGCACAACTATTTAGCTATGGACAGATTCATAAATTCTAATTGACTAATTAACTGGTATGTATATACATTATTTATAGAAAATAGTTTTGCCTTAAAGGACAGGTACATCCTCCCCAATATTGCCAAACGAGACCTAAAATATAACAGTCAAAAAGAAAGTAGCATAATTTTTCAATTAATAAGCTAAGTGTAGAAAACCGCTATCTACGAGTAATTACAAAAATGTCAACATTGAGTGATCGAGTGAATGCTTATCCCTTTAAAGATGGGCAAGAAAGTTAAACAAAAAGAAATGAAATTATTTTCTTGTGTGGAAACACTGGAGAGCTAGATACTATTTTAAATTGCTTTGCAAAGCTCCCCAAAAAATAGAAAGGCATTTAAACTTCGAAGGAGCGAATAAAAGGCAGTAGAGAACCAAGCCATTAAGAGAATTAAAGTCAAGTCAAAGAGACTAGACAAATGAGCATACTCTAAAGAAAACATAAGTTTATTTGTGGCTCAATTTTGAGAGCCATACTTGTGACACTGTTCTAAAAAGAAACGAACATCGTCTGGATTCACACCAGGTGTTATACCATGTCCCAAATTTATAATATAGCCTTGCTTTCCACCATTAAAAGCCTCAATCATCTCTTTTGTACGACTTTCAATGATTTCTCTACCTCCGTATAGGATATTGGGATCTAAATTACCTTGAAATATAACGCGACGCTCTCCACGAATACGAACAGCCTCCCTGGGATCTATAGTCCAATCAAGACCAATTACGTCGTAACCAGAATCACAAAGCTTGTCAAGGGCATACCAGGCTCCCTTTGGAAATACAATCATGGGCACGGGGGTTCGTTTGCTTTTTTTCAGTTCCTTTTTCACCCCTTCACAAATTTTAACCAAGTAAGGGTAGGAAAATTCGAAAAAATCCTGAGGTGAAAGCTCTCCGGCCCAAGAATCGAATATTTGTAGCATCTAAAATATTATTAGTTGACATCAATACAACAAAGTAGTAACATACTTGAGCCCCAGCGTAAACCTGTTGCGTCAGATAAACAATGGTAGCATCAGTAACCATGGTTAAAAGACGATGAGAAGCCTCTGGGTAACGGAAGAGCCAAGTCTTTGCTTTTGTAAACGCCTTCGAACCGCCTCCTTCAATCATGTAAGCCATAATAGTCCAAGGTGCTCCTGAAAACCCCAAAAGAGGAACTTTCCCATCTAAATTTTCTCTTGTCAAAGAAATCGCATCCATTACATATCCTAATTTAGCTGGAATATTGGGGACCTTTTCCAGCTTTTCAAGATCTTCTGGTGTTACCAACGGCTCCGGAAAGTGCGGGCCTTTTTGCTCGAGCATGACAACCTGCATGCCAAGCGCCTGAGGAATTACTAAGATATCGCTAAAAATAATGCCGGCATCAAGCAAACCGTCAAAACGCTTAATGGGTTGAAGAGTCAACTCACAAGACGTCTCTGGAGTTTGACACATTTCAAAAAAACTCTGCTTTGATCTGAGTTTGTGGTATTCTAAAGGAAAATTGTTAGTGAAACCCCGAAAACCTGATGAGTAATGTACGCGTACCTGGCAGATATCGTCCTGCTTGTCTCTAAAATTCGATAGAGTTAATATACTATATTGAAAATGCTTTCAAGATTTTGTACCATAATCCAAACAGGTGGTCGTTCTACCGTTTCCCCTGTAAATTAATCAGTTAGTATCCAGCGTTTATCTTTATAAATGCGAGCCTTGTTTTCAGCATACCCCTTGCTGCTCTTAAGATTAAATCATTTTTCATAGAAGGATACATGTTTAAAACTAAGAAACTGAAAATTGAGACTGGTTTACCCAACAGTCTACTTTGGAGTGGAAGGAAAGAAAACGCTCAAAGTCAGCTGAGTTGAAAGTCACAAGTTTAAAAGATAATAAAGAATTAATCGGAAGAAAGACATGTTTAATTGAATATATTGAGAAAATTTCAGCTTAGGTGAAGGGAATAATATGTAACTTTTGATCTATATGAACTTCGATGAACCCCTTCAGTGCTTCATGTGTTCACTATAATTAATGTTCATCCAGACTCATGTGCGCTTATGAGCTTATTCCTGAAAGCTACTTTGAGTCGTATTGGATATTAGCTAGTACGTTTTTCAGTAATTCAGGTAGGAACCATTTTTCCAACTACATTAGCTCGATATTCTCAAGTAACTGTGCATCTTTTCATAAATTGGATTTTTAACTGTATTAGGTTTGCTTAGCCTGTGTAATTTTTATTTGTGACAGACTTTTCTGCATCATTTCCTATCCGATTAAGCATACAAATGATTAGTGAATGGAATTTAACATTAGAAGTTTCTTTAGACACACTCCTTTAGCAAATCATTTTGTCAACATTATACATCTGTCATTTTGTTTACTATTCGGTTAGCGAGTACACTTGAGTATACTAACAAATAAACGAAACTTGTCGGTATACTCAATAGCGGAAGGTTTATGAGACATCAACTAAAACTCATAAATAATGTATGATAATCTTTTACTTGATCTCAAATGTTAGGAAATATAGGAAAAGGGAATATTAATGTTTCGATTTTACTTTTAAAACAAGCTTATATGAGTATTAAGACAGATAAACGTAAGTTAAGTTCCTAGTAAATAATATGCTTATAAGCGTTTTATGTGTAATATGTAAAAATAATAAGTAATATGCTTGTTTGCGTTTAGTAACAATATATATTATTATTTAAACTAGTATAATATATGATTAATGCAAACACTTAAATAAAACATATTATATTTTAATATGCTTTTAGTTATTTTAATATTACGCATATGACTATGCACTTCTTTGTTGCATTAAATTTTTCAACGAGATTCACTATTTATCACTAAACCGTGTGTAATTTCTACCTGAAAATCACTCGATTCAAACGTTTCTTTTACAAGTAAGGAAAACTTTTACATATAAAGATGATTGGCAGACGTCCTCAAGGTTTGCGCGCTGCAGCATCTTTAAAAAAGCAGCAATTAGAAAAACAACGTCAAGAGGCCGCTGCTAATGGATCTGCCTCTTCAGAACAAGGAAATGGAGATGTAAACAAAGTTGAAGGGGACGAAGACGAAACTATGTTGGTATATACTGAAGATGACAACATTGATCAACTTTGGGGATTGTATGAGATGAGCCGTGAAAAATTAGAAAGTGGTGATATCGAAGGTAGCATTAGCCTTGTTTTTGGTACGATTCATGAGGCCGACCGCATACTCCGTAACACAGAAGATTATTCCGGTCTTCCTAAAGATTTTCATGCAGCCTACTCTATGGCTCTTTTGGCTATTTCCGAATTGTATGAGCCTGCCAAAGGACGTCTTAAGGAAACTAATGACGAGGAGTCATTTATTGATGCTGCCATCGAAAGAGCACAACTTGGTTTAGAAGCTCCAGGTGATCACTGTCGACTTTATCTCGCTTTTGGACGTGCTTATTTGGAAAAAGTACGTATCAGTTTGTGGAAGCAGGATGATCAACAGAAGCCTTCGGATCCCTCCGTTATAATTCAAATTGTCAATCCATACATAGAACTTGCACTCAATTATCTTCGCCCTTTAGTTTCTGTTGATCCATTCGATGACTTGACACCTGACTCTTTGCGTCCCCTTTATGTTTTGTCATCATACATGTTCCAATTTGGATTCCAATATTCTGAAAGCTTACTTTTGGATGTACACTCCCTTATTATAAATCTTTGGGAAAAATGCAGTTCTTACCCTGACTGCCCTATTCCTGTTCGCCTTGCTACTAAAGAAGCGGTTTTGGCTAGCCATACTAGTTTTGCCGAGTATTATATAGACTTGATGGAAACCGACGAGCAAAACGCCGATAAGTGGTCTTCAAAGGCCTCCGAATGGCTTTCTCGGTCGGCTGATGCTTGGAGTGAGATTTACTCTTTGGATAACTCTGCTGAACGACTATTAAAGGTATGTATTGTAAAAGGCTTAAATTTTTTTCGACCACAACCTATTCCTGTATTATAAATTACTAACTGGTTTTTAGTTGGCGGATATTAAAATGGATTTAGCACAAATAACCGATCAGGAAGAATCACAAGATAATTATTTGAAGGCTGCCTTTACCGCTTTGCAGGATGCACAGAAGGCTGGTGTGGAACTCAATCCCGACTATTTAGAATTTGTTGAAGCTTATTCTTCAGCCTAAAAAGTATTTAGGTTGGTCAACCTTTCGTTGTTCTTACATTTTTTTGTTTTTTTTTTGTCACATTTTGATTCACAATTTGCTGGTTTTAGATATTTGTCATGTTCGTGTACATCATGGTAAGCCTGAGTGGTAATCGGATTCCTTCATGTTTTAAATGCGTTTAACATATTGACGACTTTTCGTCGTTTTATATTCTTTGGCTTTCATTACTATTGGCTTATCTGGTTTGTACAGTTCATTTATTACTTATAGAAAAAAAAGTAACTAAACGAATGTAATCTTAGAGTAGGATTACTATATAAAAGTTCTATTCACGCTCTCTTGCAAACTTCATGTTTATACACCTAAAATAACGCATTTCATCAAAATTCACTATGTGAATATAAACGTCCTGTTAGTCCTTATATGTTCCATGTAATAAAAAAACCTATAATTTGATAAAAAGATATATAAAAGAAACCATTTAATTCGTTTGTATATATTATAGCGTATACTTACTGGGGCTTTGATTCAATATGGATCCCTTTGAAGGAAGAATGGCTTTTTTGCAGCTTTTGAATAAGCTAAGTGCTTCCCAGTTATCGCAACTGAAGCCTGCCCAGTTTGCTATAAAAAACATGGACCTTGAAGATGATTTATATTCCTGCATATGGGAAGAGTTGGAATCTGGATCTTTTAATACGAGGGTTAATATCATGTACTTTGTGGATACCTTATGTGAATTAAGTTTAAAAAATGGAATCACTAGTGGTTATATTACTATGATTACTCGTGATATTTTAAAACTGGTAGAATACGTGGTTCCAATTGGAATTGCGGGAGCAGCCAATGCTCCTGAAGTAAGAAAGGTGCTTCACTCTCTGCGTCTAAAAAACATAATAGATGACGCTCGGCTTCAGGAGGCAATGAACTTGGTAGACGCTCATGAACAAGCAAGCAAAGCAGGTGAAGACCAAGGCACCGCGTCAATTTCTAGAGCCGACATATTAAAGCGATTAGAAGAAGATCGGGAACGGCATAAGCGCATGCGCGAAAACATATGGGCAATAGCGAAACCAGAAATAGAACCTGAGATTGCTTGGAATACTATAGAACCAATCACAGAAGGTGATTTGGAATCATTGAACGACGATTTTGTAAGGTTTAATGAATGCATTCGTGAATCTCTTTGTTAATTATATGAAAAGGCCGAATTAGAGTCGAAGGAAAGCATATATTGTAAGTCATAGTCCAACTGTGGGTCAAAAAAGGGGATTTATAGAGTAGAGAAAGTTTTACAGCAAATGATCAAAGCCATTTATATATGTATGCGTACATATTTTTTCTTCTTCCAAAAAAAAAGATTTCCATTTTAGAGATGAGAAGTAGCAAAGAATACTTTGAACCATGCTTATAAAACTGTATTGGAAAAAGCATTACAGCTTTTTCGTATTTATGTTTTCATTTTAACCTAGCTTACTCCAAGGTGACCTTGCAAGTAAGTTGTTCCAACTTGGATTTAATGGCTTCAGCATCCTCTTTCAATACGTTCTCCTTAAGAACCTTGGGAGCACTTTCAACAAATTTCTTAGCATCAACCAAAGACAATCCCAGCAAAGACTTAACTTCCTTGATAACCTTTGCTTTCGAACCTGCATCAAAGGAATCCAATTTTAAGTTCCAAGTTGTCTTTTCTTCTGGCTTGGGCTCTTCATTGCCTTCTTCAGGAGCACCAGCAGCGGCCCCGGGAACTGCCATAGGGGCAGCCATAGGAGCAATGTCGGAAATGTTCAGTTTTTGCTTGAGTTGCTCTACAAGCTTAGAGGTTTCTAATAAAGACAATTTACTAATTTCTTCAACAAGATTATCAATTTTTCCTTCAGCATTTCTAGTAGGTATAGAGCTGTGGAATGTTCTCAACAATGAAGTTGCGGGTTTTGCACGAACCACGGAAATTCTGCATTCATTAATAAACTTTGAGTTATTTAAATCTTTATTGCTTACAAATTTTTGTTTAAACGAGGTAAAACACGTAGCATTTTTTTTTTTAGTAAATTGTAAACGAGTAATCGAAGTTGGTAGTTGAATGATACGGGATAACACGTACTGCACAAAGGTTGCGAAGATCTAAACGCCGTCTTTCAACGGACAAACCCAAAAATGAACATAATGAGCATTTAAAAAATTAGAATTAAATTTTTAATAAGTTTCACGGCAGGTTTTGAAGGATTTGATCAGTAAAAATATTGATATCAAAACGTTTTCGTATTAAATTCTAGTAACTTAAAAGTTTGTAATAGCTTACAAATTTCAACATATCTAACGTGAACCCAAGGCGTTCATAACTCTATGAGGCATGTCGTATAATCATATAAATAGAAAACATTCGTTAGGCACTGCGACATGCCTGGTCGGTAGATTTCATTCCACGCCCATAATACCAACCGCCCTCTGAAAGATTCTGCTCATCACGTTCCCATTTTGCTAGCTTTGCATTAATATCTTTGGGATCCAAGTCAAGCAACGTTATGTGGTTTTTGCCGATATATAGAGTCACATCTCGAAGAGTCATGGCTAAAGCGATGTCTTTACGAGAATACTCTTCTTGTAAATCGCGGAGTCGCTTTAGGATGCCCGACTGAAATAATGACATAGCAATGTCAGGAGTAACCATGCCCTGAAGCGCGCTAAGGAATTTTGGCCAGTTACTAAAATCAAGCTGAAGTGGACAAAAGCTGATGGGTTTGCCTCGCATACGGCTCATGGCACAAGTCCTGCAGACAACCCAGTCCGGTGGAGCAGTCGGAGACTGAGTGAGCCATTTCGGCTTCATTTCCATACCTTCTTTCAAGTCTTGCATTAGAATACAAAACGATTCATTTAAATTTAGAAAAATTCCTGATGCATTTTGAGCACCAAGTAGAAAATCTTTAGTAACTGGTTGAAGATATATTTCTATTAGGAATTGCTCCATACCAGCAAATAAAGGATAAACAGTATTTTGATAGTAGTCATAAACTTGTTCGGTCGTAAAAGCCTGACCTCGTCGACGAAGTCGGAGTACTTTGTCTTGAAAGTATGGGTTTTTCCCAACGTATTCAAAAACAACGTTAGCACTACCAGAAGCCAAAAACGCCCATTCAGTTGTATATAAAGTATTTGTTGTATTACTATTTATTTTTTGGTGATGTGGTACGGCAGGAGCCCTCAAAATAGGAACTTGACTAGGAGACATCGGATCTTCTTCTGGTTCAAGTGCAGAAGCCAAATTTTGCATGGAAGGAGGCCTTGAAACCACAGGAGTCGAAGGAGCATGTGTATCAATAGGAGAAGCAGCAACAGAGGAGCTTGCGGTAGATAAAGGAGATAAGCTGCTTTGAGAGGGCGAAAGATGAGGGTTCTGTGATAAAAGAGCCTTCATTGCATCGAGCTTACCAGCTTCCCATTCATGCGCAGATAAAGCCTCTGATGCTTTTGGGAGCTCGACAGGAGGACGATTATTATCAACAGAAATTATAGGAAGACCCTCAGCTGCTTTACATACGGAAGAAAACTCGACAAGCCATGTTTTAGGAATATCGTCTTGAAAACAATCCCATGGACGAGTAATGTTATGCATTTTCCGGAACATCTGCAGTTGGAGGCAGAAAAAATGTCGCATTAATTGCCCAAAAAAGACTTGGCATTTGGTTATTAGTGTAGGAACTGACATGGTCAAGCTTCTTTGCAATTCATTTAGCTCATTGTTGACTCGTACTAAGTGGGTCTGTAGTGCTTTAATCTTGTTTTTCTTCGTTTCCGGATCTGGTAACTCATAAACAACCAGCAGTTCCTTTTGGATCTTCTCAAGTTCGCTCACCTTCCTGCTCCTTCGTTTTATCATCTCAACGGCCTTTTTCACATGTGCCTTTACTTCTTTGCAAGGTGCTATTACGGTTAATTGAAAGTTTTGCAAAGTTAGCAAAACTTCTCTTCTCTGCCGTTCTAGAGCTTTATTCCAATCTACTAGTGTTCCAAGAGAAGGAGCAGGGTTCTTTTCATTCGGAAGTTGTCTATATAAAGAAATCCAAGACGCAGTAACCGATGGTGCAAGACAAACCACACATCGCCAAGCGTCATAAAACAACCTAGCGTTGTCTATCATGCTTCGAATCGACTTGTCGATTTGATATATCTGATACCCCCATTGTTCTATTTGTTGGTCAGGCACAGTCACTTCTGAGTGTTTATGATCTTTTCTTGAAGGTGGTTTTGAAATTTCTATCTCCAGGTTAGCCTCCACTTTTGTGCTTGTTCGAAGAGTCGGTATACGCCCTGTATTGTATATCCAAACAAAACCCTTGTTTTCAAACGCATACGGGCATTTCAAGCCTCACTTACTTTTCAAGTGCATTTCGACAAAATTAATTATAATAAATATGTAATGAATCTCTGATTCAATACTTAAAAAGTCATGCAAAAAATAAATGAACTAAGTGCTCGAATATTCAATTGATGTATGCAGCTTCAAAACAAAATTTTATCCAGAAAATAAAAATATATATAAATTTCTGCAAGAAATCAACAAAAAAAGGAAATAATAAATAGCCAAACTTTCTAACTATCAGCAATATAATTGCATAATCCGCGAATACAACCTGTGAGTTTTCAGCATACGTTTGGTTTGCAACTGAAATGTCAGTCAATAGCATGAACGATGAGCTGCTTCTAAATTACGCTGCTTATCTTCAACATCGTTAGCAAAGACTTTAGATATCATTGGCTAGGTCTCACTATTCTATGAATCCGAATTTTACTGTGATGGCTTAGTAAATAAAGCCAAAGGATTCCAAAAAATCTTAATTCTGGTATTATTTTCTTTTTTACTTAGGAAAAAATCAAGATAATGTAAAATATACCGTTATTTCTGCCTTTACAGCATTCATGTTTATAAGAGAAACTAATTCGCCGTAGATTGAACTTGTCATATGTGCAGTAGTATAATCAGAAACTACTGCTTTCCAGAAACAGTTGGATCCTTAGAATTTTCTTCGTCCACCTCAGTTAAGAGATTTAATCCGTGCATCCCTTTAATCTCTTCCTTTAAAATGGAGTTAACCATCCGGTGCTGTGATAGTGTATTTTTTCCCTGAAACATTTTACTTTTAATCACAATTTGGTACATGCTTCCACATCCTCCAGAGACGTCGATAACTCGAAGAGAGCTCGGGGATAACTTCTCAGTTAAGATATCTCTTATTCTGTTTTCACCGCCTGTAGATGAGAACCGTTTGAACGTTTTCTGGAAATGGCCTCCTCCTTGATGAGGCATGAGTTTAAGAGGACCCTTGATCCATCGACAGAAACGAATGCTATTCATTTTCTAAAATACTTCTTTCAGGTAAAGAATGAATAAAATGAAACGAACAAATTATATAGAATTATAATTAGTAGGTTAAAGATGAATAGGAGAAAAGTCAAAGTAAAATGAATTTCATCACTAACCGAAATATATACTAAAGCTGAACAATTCATTGGCTTACGCCTAGAGCGCCCTGAAAAAGTGAAAGACTATCTATTCACGAATTTATTTTTCTTTCTTCATCTTTCTTTTTATAATTTGTTATCTTTTCCTTGTTTCCTTTATAGAGTATCTAAAATTTCTACAAATAACGTTTGAGACCACAATTGGCGACTAACGGGTTTGAAAGCACAGTTTCCAGTCTGATAGCAAGCATTTGAAATCCTAAAGGTCTTCGAGAAGGATAGAAATAGAAAAACGACCATCTATTAAACGTTGAGAAAGCTGAGGACAAAAGGTACTGTTTCTGATATAGGAGGAAATTAAGAATACAAAGAAATACTTCATCTTACGTTTTGTAACAGAAATGTCTTGTCACAAATTTGCTTAAGTATCATCGGATCTTGCTTTTCAACGTTCACTGTTACAATTTATAGACCTCCGTTAAATGGTCGTGTATTAGATTAACAAAATGCGGAACTCTAAGACTCAGTTGGAGAATTTTGCACTTTTTGATGACATTTGTACTTCGCTTTTTATTGACAAAATACATTATTGGTCTGAAATACACAAAGTTCGAAAACTTGTAAGTCGCTCTATTGAACGGATCAATTCGCAGCTTCTTCTTAATATTGTTATCCAAAATGTAATAGGACGGAAAGATTTGGAAGGTGCAATTGACGAAACGTTAAAACTACACGAATTGCAGCCTATAATCCAAAGATGGTCAGAATCTTCATATAATGCTTTTCTAAGGCACCTTCGTTTGTACTTATCTCTGTATCTTCCTTCTTGTAAGTTTGAAATATGTTCTACTAACAGATATTTTACTTCTACGAAACACGAGGCCTGTGTAATCGCCCGAGAACTCATACAAGCTGGAGATGATTTATTAGACCTGTCAGGAACGATTGTGAAATTAACCGCAAAAGAAGAACGAACTTTGGGGGCCGAGAAAGATTTCAGTATTCTTCATTCAAGTAGATTGGACGCAATGTGCCTATTTTTAGGGCCTGCTCGTTTTGTGAACCATGACTGTGATGCTAATTGCCGATTTAACACATCAGGTAGAAGAATTTGGCTTAGATCTGTTAAGCCAATTCAGCCAGGACAAGAAATTACTACTTTCTATTCATCAAACTATTTTGGTCCTGATAACTGTGAATGTCTTTGTTCTACTTGTGAACGAAAAGGAATAAATGGCTACAGAAAATTCTTTAAATGCCAGTTAACATCTTCAAACCTAAAAAGTATATCATCTAAACAAAGTCAGCAAAGGGAAGGGCATCCTTTCTCAATATCTCAACAAGACAGACTTTATCTCAGTGATTGGGATACCGGCAGCGATTTAAGTAATGCATCGGATTCCGATTTAGATGAAGAATTATCTCTTTATATCCCTCGTCATAAAAAAAGAGTTTGGCCTCGTGAACGAAGATCAATCAAGGCAGCGTTTTTGGAAAAGGCAATAAAATCAGATCAACAAGTCAATTTTGACAAATTTCGAAACGAGCTCAAAAAGAGAAGGTTAAATGGCAATACTGAATATGCTTGTTCAGATTGTCAAGAAGTCTTTATCGATTCCTTGACTCGGGCTCAAGGTACAATGTGCCAAAAATGTTCACGTCACTTTTATCTTTATAAGCTTCCATGGCCGTATCGAAGTAAATCCGAATTTGAAGAGGTTAGATTGAGTAGCCCTACCAAAGAAGTTGCCCAGAAGCAACACACCATGTCGTTGCGGCGTAAAAAGCCTATAAGCTATAACATCTAAATTACTTAGTTAAAAATATTTTTGGTGCATAGATTCATTCATTTGTTCACTAATATCTTTAATTATTAATAGGTGGGTGCTATTGTGCACTACTAAAAAAAAGGTTTCATTCAATCATAATTGATTTAGGGAATAAATGATTTCTTTAAAATTTGGAGGATATAATACAATAAATTGTCAACTTAAGCTGTATAACCAAGTTTGAAACGATTCCATAAAAATTTTGTAGTGCCTCTACGGTAGCGACAGTACAACTTTCCATCACCACTAACAAAAGTAAGAGAGGACTTGAGAGTGTTCTGCTTTCTAATTAAGTTCATCTTTTATATTAATATGGAAAGTGAACAAGAGCCCATTTTAGGGCCAAATTTACAACAACCTCCGAATAGAAGAAGATCGAGCATTGTTTATGGGTTGTCTCGTCCTCAATTTGTTGGTTCTGATGCAACCAGCGTACCTCCTTCCTTACAAGAATTTATTGAAGCACGCCAAAGAGCTTCGAGGCGAGGACATGCTTCTCCTGCCACGGTACCTACTTATGGCTCTTTAGAGGAAGCAGAACGGGAGACCAGTCCTTCTGCTTCAGCATTGAGTGAAGAAATTGATAATGTTCGGAAAAGCACTTGGAAAAAGGAATTCCATTTACTGGTTAAATTTGGTATACCAGTTGTTTTAACATCCTTACTACAATATGGGGAAGTAATCATAACGGTCTTTTCACTAGGACATTTAGGAAAAACAGAATTATCAGCTGCTAGTCTTTCAAATATGACTGCTACTATAACGGCATTCGCCATCTATCAAGGCATTGTTTCTGCTCTTGATACTCTTGGCACTCAGTGCTTCGGATCCGGAAACTATGAATTAGTTGGTCTCCACCTTCAAAGGATTCTTTCTGTTTTATGTTTACTTCAAATTCCAATAATTTTCATCTGGTGGAATATAGAACCAATTCTTCTGTTTTTTAAACAAGACCCTACCACTTGCTATCTAGCGGGTAGATATATGAGGGTTTTGTTGCTTGCTAGTCCTGCATATGCACTTTTTGAGTCTTTAAAACGGTTTTTACAAGTCCAAGGTATATTTCAACCTGTTACCAATATCTTAGCCTTCATTGTTCCTCTCAACATTCTTCTAAATTATCTCTTAGTATGGAGCCCCTGGTTCGGGTTCGGGTTCATAGGTGCCCCTATTGCTGTTACAATTACGCTTTGGATGGCTTGTGCAATTCTTATATGGTATATTGTTAAAGTCAATGGACGTCAGGCTTGGGGAGGTTTTAGTAAGGAAGCTCTTGGAAACTGGGGTCCACTGTGCAGGCTTGCTATTCCTGGCGTAGTGATGATATGTAGTGAATATTGGGCCTTTGAATTATTGACATTTGTTGCAGGTGTATTGGGTACTACGGATCTTGCCTCAATGTCAGTCTTATCTACGACTTCGTCTGTTTCATATACTATTGCTTTTGGTGTAGCTGCTGCTGCAGCTACACGAGTAGGAAATTTGATTGGTGCAGGTAATACAAAACTTGCCAAGCTTTCAACTTACGTCGCTGTATCAGTAGCAGCATTGATTGGTCTTTGCATTACTTCCATTATGGTTATCTTTAGAAATCACTGGGCCTACCTTTTCACTTCTGACAAAGATGTGGTACAGTTGGTAGCTCAGCTCGTTCCGCTTTGTGCCCTAATGAACATTGCAGATAACACTCAGTGTGTAGCTGGAGGTGTTCTACGTGGCCAGGGACGTCAGCGTATTGGAGGCATAGTTAACTTCGTCGCCTATTATATTCTAGCTTTGCCTATCGCTATTGTTTTATGCTTCTACCTTGAATGGGGTTTGTTTGGTTTGTGGGTTGGAATAACTGTTGCCGTTTTTGTAATAGCTGCCGTTGAAACGCGCTGTGCTCTTCATGTCAATTGGGAACACTTGGTTGAAGTTGCTGAACAACAAATTGATGAAGCTCGTAATGTTTGATTTTGGTAACCTTTTTTATTTTTAAGAAAGAGTAAAAAGTTTATTAGTTTTGTTTTTTTTTGGGACGATCCAGTTTGAAAGAAAAAAAAAAAAGAAAATTACTGAACTTAGAACTTCCTATGATCAGTCAATTTCTTGAGAGTTCTTAACTTACTGGTTTTCTGCTTATTTATCTGCTAAAAAAAGCTGCATATTTCATATACGGTAATTAAGGTATCTGAGACCTGAACCGCCTTCACCCAACCAACCTCATCTTTGAAATAAAAAACCATCAGAACCTTAAAACTATAAATTTTCGTTAATGTCTTTGGTATCTTATGATAGTTCAGATTCCGATGAAGAATATGAACAACAGATTCCTACAAAATCGACGTTTAATGAAAACTTGTTTCAGCATGCGAGAAGAGTTCCTAAAGAGATGGCAAATGATGAGAAAACAAAAAGAAAATCAGAGATTTATGTGGATAATAAGAGGTATCTAAATGATGATTTAAAAGAAGATGATACAAAACCGATTAAGAGAACTACACAACATATCAAGGATCCTGTAACGCTTAATGAAATTCTGCCCGCCCCTCATTATGAAAAACCTATTCTCCCAAAACAATCAAAACGTTCCGACTTAGAAATTGAAGCTGTACATGATGATACAGAAATAAATGATGACGAGAGTTCAGCAGTCGCCAATTTAGATGATGGTGCGGAAAAAGCGAATGTCGATTCTATTTCACTTTTTAATGTGTCAGATCCCTCTAAGCGTACGTATGAAAGATCCGCAGTAAACGAGCCAAATTATGAACCCATCTTTGTAAAACCTCAACGAAAGAAAACGCGCATTAATGCAGAGTCTCCGAAAATTTTGGATAAAACCACTTCGCAACCGTTTAACAAGGTACAGGATACCGAAAAGGTGCTGTCGCCTGAAACGGATATTATTGAAGGAAGGCGGAAAGAAAAGGTTCGATTTATCGACGTTGATATGAATCAGTTACCTAAAGTGGATGCTCATGAAGATACTTCAGTAACACCATCAATTAAAAGTGTAGCACCTGGTCGGCATCAATTATCATCTTTGGTTGGAATGGCTGTTAGCCAAAAGGAAAGTTTTGAAACTTATTTTGAACAGCAACGCGCAAATAAAAAGGCGTCATCAAAGAGTTATGGATTTTAATGATTATATTATTTTTGAGTATAGGGACAATAATAAAAAAAGAGTGCAAAGTGCATTTTTTCTTCAGAAGAGACTTTTGAAGTATACATGGGGAATAAAGGTGCTAGTTAGGTTATTAATTTACTTTTTGGTGATCACTACACAATTTTTTGTAAAGCCCTCTTTCAAGTTCCACTGTGATATTATTTAGCAATTATGAGTTTTTATTTCACGTTTGGTATAATTATACTTTATTTACGATATCTTAATCTTCTTTATAAAAGTTATTCTTTTAGTATCCTGTCCATCTTCATTCTCCCTGATAATGGTGTTCTTAGGAATTGACCTTCGACGTGGACTTACTTCTTCACATCCAGTACCCCTCTGAATTCCCTTAATTCATGAAAGTTTCTAAATAAAAAAGATATAGGAGCTATCATTTAAATTATATAATTTTGAACAAGTATCAGTTAATTATTTGTATTTATATCCACTAATCACTCTTTTTGACGCTCACACTCGTTTATTATATTATTGGTAACGAAATTGGACCTATTATTTTAAAGTTTCATTAAAGTCTTCGAAAAGTAATAAATACAGGATGGAAGACAATAAAAGGAAAGATATTTATACGGGAGAGCAGTCGGTCACTCAACTCAATTCTGAATTGGATACTCAGGCTACTCCAATGGGTGAAAAAACACCTTTGTTTTTTGAAGGACCTAGCTTGGATGCTTCACCTAATAATGCATCAAGGTTATTGTCTAACGAGAGCGGTGAACCTTCATTTGGTAATATGTCAGAACTTAACGTTGCTACCGACCTTTTGGAATCATTGGATTTACGGAGCATGTATATGCAAGGATACGGTCACAATGATGCTTTATTTTATTCATCCCAAAGCCCCACTAAAAAATCTGATGGCTTTTCTTTGGGTCGACGCTCAAATCCTTCTAATGAAGAACGAATTCCTAGCTTAACACATACTACCGGGAGCTCAAATATTTCTTCTGGACCCTCGATGATTAAAGACGATGGTGTACCAGTTAGCCAGGATGATCACTACATAGAAATGGCTCCAAATAATGTTTACCCAGAAGGAGCTGCTTCACGAGATGATTCTTTATATGATTCTAATCTTATCTCATCGCCTTTTTCACCTAAGAATACTCCAGCTGGTTCTTTACTTAAGCCTGGTGATAATTTTACTGAAGCAGAGGTTAATGACGGTTTACCTTATTCAGTTTCTTATACCGGTAAGCCTTTGCCGCCGCTACCTTTATCTGCAGAGAATCATTTTCGAGCTCTTCCGAATACGCCAAAATTGCTTTCTTCTAAGGTCAATTATGAAGTGCCATCCGATGATCCTTCAGCGACTGAAAGCATAGATTATCACCCTCAACAGCCTCTTGCACCCATTCAGGAAGCACCTGTGGAAGATACCACTGAACGTATTTCAACGTCCGTTTTTGATGATGATGCAGATAAATCATTAATATCTTCTGATGGTCTTCGTAAAAAAGTGCATGCCAAATTGGAAGCTAAGCGTGCTTCTGATGGTAGTTTTTACTTAAGCTCATCTCAAGAGGACGATGGATGTTCGAAGGAATCGATAATGAATAAAGAGCAAATTCCCAATGTTTTAGAGGATTATATGAATATGGATGAAAGTGAAAAAATAGCTACGAATGATAATTCTGGATTATCTTCAGGACATGGATCTGTTACCTATAAAGAGGTTCCCCGATATTCCCTTGCTGCTGCCAAAATTAAATTTAGTATAGCTAGTCAGCGAGGTCGCATCAAAAGCAGTTCCTCAATCGACAACTTGAGTGCTATACTAAGTTCAGAAGAACTTCGACACAAGTCGATGATGACTCCTATTCCTGGCTCCAAACGTACCTTTAGCAATATTACTGAGAATGATATCGCAGGTCAATCAGACTTTGCTCCAATTAGTCCGCAATCACAAAGAGGAGGAGCATGGAATATCTCAGAAACAGGAACTGTTGCTTTTTATGAGCCGACTTATGAAATGTCAGACGAAATCGATGAAGTTAGGCAGTCTACGCCCGTTTCAGATCAAGGATCAATTAATCGACCCAGATCTTTGGAACTCAGTCGTTCGAAAACTAATCGCATGAATAAGCCTAGCATGAGACCTGGTGCTGTTGGAGTTGAGAATGTTGCTCCTCGGCCATCAACTTCGCTGGGTTTTGTTAAACAAACCATCTTTGAAGATAAACCTAAATCTATGCCAGCAAGTGGCCGCTTCTATATTCATTTAAATTATTTTCGAAACTTTTCCTCAATTTTTGTTGGAGATCAACCAGGTATGAAAATAAGCGTAGTTACTCCTTCCCAGAGCGTTCAGCTTCCGTGGCAGTTGAATAAAGGTAATGATAGGTTAGACCATGATTTTGCCTTTCCTGCCGATGATAAATTTACGGTCAATTTCATGTTTTTTGATATGCTACACGGTAAAAACCGAGACATGAAACAAGCAAGTTCCGCGAAAAGTGACTCAGACCCCGTCAATTTGGAAAGTAAATCGAAAACAAAGAAACTCTTTGAACGTCTTTTTAATAGACGCAAAAAGAGAAAACTAGCCAAGTCTAATTCTTTGAGTGGTGGTAAGCAAAAAATCGATAACCCTGTGAAAGTGTCAGGAATGGCCACTCTGGCATTATCTCGTGTTAAGGATAAATGTTTTGGTAAGATTTTAGCTACAGAAATTCCCATTAAGATGCACGCTGTTTCTGGTAAATCTGATCTGAGCCTGAATGATATTATTGGAAATTTGTCAATAAGTTGTCTTTATATTCCGGAGCTTTCCATTCCAGAATCTGAAATGCCTATTACTTTAAATCAAGCTAATCAAGACCTCCGACATGTTCGGCAGAGCTATGTTTACAAAGAGGGTTATGTTTACAAATTGGAAGGTACATCTGTTCGCAGACGTTTTGCTGTTTTGCATTCCAAGAAGATTAGTTTTTATACAGACAGAGGTGGGGATTTGCTTTATAGCTTGAAGGCTGTGAGAGATGCAAATAATTTATCTATAAGAGATTGTGACAAAGATTTATTAAACTTAGGAATGACGAGGGGAATCCAACTAAATACCGATAAAGGTGTTCGTATTAAGTTTTACTTGGAATCTGAGAAGGACTGTACAAAATGGCTTCAGTCGCTGAATACACGGTCTTTGATATTGGAAAGAGGAACTCAAACACCTTGGCTTAAAGAGTTTGTTAAGCTTGTTCATTAATTTTGAGTTTTAATCTTGTTCAATAATACAAGTTGGTCTACTGTTTTGTCTTACTTATTTGAATAAATATTTTAATTTTATTGAAAACTATTAGATTATATGTATAAATACATTTTAATATTGGTAAATTGAATATACCTTGTTAGAACTGTACAGAGTTTCATGTATTATAATCACAAGCACAAGTGCATCCAACTCAAGCTCATATAGAACCAAAGGATAAAAGCTGTAAAAAGGAACATGGATCCGAAAATAGAAGAATTTAGTTATGGTTTTTGGAAAATTAAAGCTCAAAGAGGTGCTATCTTGAAATCATTTGAGGTTGATAATTTGCAGACAGAATTAGGATTTGCGCCTCCTGAGATGACCTTTGGAAAGAATTTCATTTCAATTTATTATAAAGATAGCCCAATTTATGGTTTTTTTACCAAGGATGCTCTAGAAACGGTGGGTAAAGGACCAGGTGAATTAATGCAAGTTTCGTTTGCAGGAGATTGGATAAAATCGAGAAGTAAAACTGGAGAAAGTTTTCCAGTTGTTTCTCCTTATGATTGGACTTATTATACCGAATATCAAGGTACGCTTTTGGATCGAAAGCGTCATTTTGAAGAAATTCGAGATCATATACCTGCGAGGAAGATTTTAGAAGCTGGTACTAACTTATGGTACAACGAGCTAATTTTATTCGAAGATGAATTAGCTGACAATGGAAAAGCAATGTTTGATGTTCGAGTACGGGTAGTGAAAGGACATTTGATATTGCTAGCAAGATTGGTAATGCGTTTGGATAATGTTATAGTACGCGTGAATGAGACAAGGATCTATATCGATTTGGATGGTAAACGAATAATGAAAGACTTTCGTAAAAAAGAATCTAATTATGAGAGCGTCATCAAGCGTATACCCCTAGGATCAGATAAAGCAAGACTTTTGGACGATAATAACTGGCTTAGTGAAAGTCTACCATTGCTGTATCATAAAGTATCAGAGCTTCAAGATGCACTTTAAATTGACCTGCGCAGTATTTAAATGAAGTTTTGCAAGTTTGTATAGCTGATAATTGGCTTTCGATGGTGGAACAATAACTATTAACCCTTATGCACTGTTTCCTTTTTTGAATGTATAAAGGCCACATATTGCATGAGCTTTTACAAAAGCTATTACGGGCGGAGAATGTTTACTCAGCATTTGATCTCATAATGGATTTGAGTTGGATGACCCAAGTTTAATACTTTTCTCCTTATATTTATGTAATATTACACTGATTTATTCAATTACCCGAAAGTATGCAAAGTAATGATTATAACAGATTACGGTTAATTTTAGAATATAGCAAGCAACACCTCTTGAAATTAATTCTGTTTATTAAAAGTAATATACACCGTTATTTTGTTACCTTTGGTAATGCAAAGTTTCAAAAATGGGTGGGAGCATGTCAAAATGTTACATTAATGGAGCCTGCATTAACCAACACTTATACCTTGAGATTTCCTGTTCGCCCTTTCGGAAAAAAGTTAATCGTTAAGCTATTTGACTCATACTCTAATATACTTTAAAAAGCGTAAACCTTGAAATTTTGAGTTAGAGGTACGAACTGAGGGAATCATGCTGAAAAGTTGTACACAGCTGCGTTTAGGCTCCGAAGCCAGATTGAAGTTCTACAAATTTCAAAGCAATCGGATTACCCCTATAAGAGGTTTACATAATGCCTCTGTTTTATCCAAGGAAACCGCAGGAAAGGCAAAGGTGAATTCCCTTAATGATTCAAAGTATAAACCATTAACTCCCCCAAAAGATCCAAGAAACATCTCCCCTCCTAATAGCTTTTTAGCTAAAGCGAGTTTATTATTTCAAAAAATTATCTCGCCAAAACAGAACATGTTTTTTGAGGCTACCAGTACTGCGAGATATTTCTATTATGAAGCTTCACGCCAAGCAACTCCAGAAAGGGATTCCCAAGATGCATTTCAGTTTTGGTTTCGCAGGTGTGAAATTCCAATGACATTTCAATCTTGGTTTCAAATCACACAATTGCACCTTTGGATTCTTCAAACACGGATTCGCGCCCTTCAGCCACAAGAAAAACAGGCGCTCTCACAGGCTTTAGTAACTCGTTTTTTTGAAGATATGGAATTCCGCATTCATAAAGATTATAGGATTAATAGCGATCGTATAACAGGAATGTATTTGAAGGATCTATTTCAACAACAAACAGGTGCCATTTTTGGATACGATCAATCAATGTTAGGTAACGATGCGGTTTTGGCGACCGCGATTTGGAGAAACCTGTTTGCTGGAAGTCATAACTTAGACTTGACTATCCTAGCAGAGATTGTCGCTTTTGTGCGTTTGAACGTTTTTGAACTATCGAAGATTTCAAATGACGAATTCATGAGTAGTAGAGATGCCTTATTCATTCCACCGGGTCAGCAAATTGAAAAGGTTTATTAATGAACTTATAATACAAAAGACCCGCTGAAGTAATTTGAGAGTCGAAATTATCAATTGTTAACCTTTGTTAGCTTCTTTAGCCCGATATAAAAACAATAAATCAACGATAGCTTGAGAACATATGTGTAAAAAATAGAATGTAATATTGACTATTATTAAAAATTTACAAGGAGAGCTTTAGTGACTTTAGTAACAGTAAGGTCTTTCCGACAAACAGTAAAAATTCTTTAGCGGAATTTGTTGAGTTGGTAGCAACTTATTTATCTACTTCTCGGTTTGGTTTTTGAATGCTTTCTGCTTTTCTTCATCTTGATGGCTGCGTAATCCCCATTCAGATGTTTGGTCGATTCTATTTTTTTATCATGTTAAATTCAGTTCTAGGTAAAACATAAGACGTACGTGTTTTTAAGACAATCTCTCATAACATGACTTTGCTGGCGACATTTCCAAATCACACTAATAGTTCGGTTTGTTGCGCATTGAACAAAATCTTCGATTTCCTTTTGGCAATTCTTTTTCACCTTCTCTTGATATATTGATCGTATCTCAAATTCTTCTTGAATAGCTGATTTATTGCCCATAATCAATTATCTTTACGGAGACTACAAAAAATTTTGGGAAATTGTTGTTATACAGTTGAGCTAATGATTATAACAAAAAGGATGATTGAATTACCCTTATGTAAGGTTGGCAGCGTATCTAGGCTCTGGAAGCTTCAAGTCAAATTAGATGTTGGCAGTAAATTGTGAAAATGGTGCGTTATCGAATTGAACTTGATGTTGACTAGCAAACATATATAAAGTCATTGAAAGTAAAATATCCAAACTTATTGGATATTTTTAATATAATATAAAAGAGTTATTACGTTTATATACATAAAAAAAGGGAAAGAAACGGTAAATCAGCAAGCATCAGACAGTATGGAAGGTGAAGACGCGATGCGATTTTTTATTGAGAATCCGGCCCCTTCTACTTTAGTCGATGTGGAAAATAAGGTTAATAAATTCATTGATTTGCAGCCTAAGGATAGAAACATCGTTTTAGTCACCAGCGGAGGAACTTTAGTTCCTCTGGAAAAGAACATGGTTCGGTATATAGACAATTTTAGTGCGGGAAACCGGGGGGCTGCATCTGCTGAGTACTTTTGTAAATCAGGGTATGCTGTAATTTTCCTCTATAGGAATTATGGTATGAAGCCTTTTGTTCGACACTTTGAAGGACCATGGACAGGTATCTTTACTAAAAAGAGTGTCGGATCTTCTTCATCTTGGGAAATTAAAGATTCTCTGAGGAATGTGTTGAATAATTCACTTGAAAACTTGGAGCTCATGAATGAGCGGAATCAGTTACTCTGTCTACCATATACGACGCTTACTGAATACGTATGGTATCTGAGAACTGTAGCAGAATGCTTAAAATGTATAAGATCAAGAGCTTTATTCTATTTGGCGGCTGCTGTTAGCGATTTCCATATACCTTCACAAGATATGAGTGAACACAAAATCCAAAGTGGGGCTGGAAAAGATAAACTTGAACTCACTATGCGCCCCGTCCCAAAGTTTCTTCGATATTTGGTAGATTCTTGGGCACCAGAGGCTCTCATTATTTCGTTTAAACTAGAGACTGACGAGAACATTTTGATCGATAAGGCTAGGACTGCTTTACACCGCTATAATCATCAGCTAGTCATTGCTAACTTGTTATCGACTCGGAGAAGGTCAGTTGCGTTTGTCACACTTGATTCTGTTGCATGGTTGCATCTTTCTGACGAGGATTTAAGAAACGGCGTTGAAATTGAAGATTACATCGTTTCTCGGTGTGTTCAATTGCATAAAGCAGCTTAATGTGAACGTTAGTTCTGACAATGTACAATATTTCACGAAAGTACCGCTTCGTACTTCTACTCTAGAAAGTAAATGTCGTTTTTGTAAGTTAACGACAATAAAAAGTATGCTCAAGGTAAAAATTGATTAAGGGATAGAACTATAAGTAACTTCTTAATTAATTAAAAGGTCAGTCAGCCATTTGATTCAAATTCTGTAAAACTATAATATACTTTATTCATTGATACCAAATAAATCTAGTTTATAATGATCAGTAATAAACAGAAGATATGCTTATAAGTTGGGAGAACCGCAAAATTATGGAACTGGTAGAAACACGGTTTATTTACATGAAGGAGTCATATGAAACTTTCGTCTATCAATTGCTTTGAGACTACCAAATCTAGTTTACCTTTGAACAAAAAAAAATAATAATAATACACGGAAATAAATTAGTAAAATATAAACTGTATAAATAACCTGAAGAAGTATTGAATATTCAAGGATACGATTTTGTCGCTATAAAACATCGATGATTAAATTGTTTTGTTCAATTTTGTAATAACGAAAGCAAGTATTCTTAAAAGTTACAGGTAAAAATACATAGGTCTTGATATACATTGCATGCAAGGTGAAAGTTTCTAAGATGCTGTCGTTTCTAATGTAAACAAAATCTATTATCGAAGGGGACATTTTTGATTTATACATATTATATAGACATCATACAGTTATATTCGAAAAGAACGCCTAAGCAACAGTTACCAGTTCCCAAGAAAATATAAAATAATTTATCATTGAAATGTCTACTATGTGTATTTAAGTCAGCTAACATTCAAAGAAGGTGAAGAGATAAAAGACATGAAATAATAGAATGGAGTAAATAAATTCTCAGTTATATAAAAAACTTAATGATGAATGTTTAGAAAACGCCAACTATACCTAATTTAATATCTAAAAGTATGTTCTTTTATAAGTTATGTTCAGGTTCAATATGAATAAGTTTTCAGAATGTAATAATGCATAAATTCTGTGCCATAGTAAAGCAGCAATTTTGTCACTTTGTATTCGTTTGAACCCCTGTTAAAAAAATTTAGTTTGCTTTAAAAAATGGCTTTCTGTAACAATTGTATGCTTAGCAATGTTATCCATAGGGTCGTTATTTATCATGATAAAAAGGTCAGGTTTAAACTTGAAGGTACGGTTGCTAATGAGTAATAATATATTAAGCATTAAACGATATTTTTTCTATAGGATGATAAAATTATTCTATATATAAATAATACGTATTAATGTAAGATAATATGCACTGCTTTAGCGATGACATATAATACAACTTGTATAAGCATGGAAACTATCCGTTTAAGCTGCTTGTATTAACGCAATGACATTATTAGACGATAATGAAAGCATAGTTGAAGTCAGCGAAAAGTTATAAAGTTAGGACAATTTAAGACAAGCCTGGAGTATAAATAAACTAAAGTCAGTAATTACAGCATAATCTTCTCGTCAAATACTAATATTTATGTTAGATACTGAACTTTCCTTGTATATATATGAGCATCAATTTATATCATTAACCGGTTCACGATATCGTAATAGAAATAATGAAAGCCAACTACATTACTAAATAAGGAAATCCTTAAGTTATTAAAGTTTACAAACCTTATATTGCGCTTTCAATATAGAATAAGTACCAGAGTGATTTTGAGAATACATCATGAACGAACGCTTATGAAAATTAAAGATAGAATAGACTAAATTAAAAAAAATAAAAAGTGCGAGAATAAAATAGAAACCGACTGTAAACTAAAAGTTTATAAAAAGAATGCAGAAAGGCTTCATAGAATCGGCTATGTAATGTCGCATAATTTCGTATCATTATTTCTTTCCCATCTTTGAAACTTTGCATATAAAAGTATTGCTTATGATTACAATTCGATAAATATATAAATTTCCTGACTTTTGTTTTCTATAACGATTCATCGGAAAGCGAGATCGTTTGTGCATTACTATATAGACTCGATGCTTGTAATTAGTAGAAGACCAAATGGATGAAGACAAACTTCGCTTGGGATTGAATCCAATGCTTCATCAAGCGTGAGTGATTACTCGGTAATATAAAACTAATTACCCCTCTTAAAAGTTTCGGTAGATACCATACACAACGATTCCATTTTCAGCCTTACATGCCAAAGGTGACGAATGTATATGAAAAGAAAAGGTCTTATTTATCGTAATACCTTTCAAAGATACACGTATAAAAATTTGGAGATGTGAATTTCAAGAAATCAAATTAAAGGATGGCTAATATATATTTTAGGGGAATAGGGAACCTACAACGACTTCCGCTTTCTCTTTAACGTCTCTTTCCCACTGAATGCAATAATTTTCAATCTCTTATTAATTGCTCTCTTTTCTTTAATGCATATAGAAGTGAGCTACAAAAGGTTAATAGTTTGATTTCCCATGAGAGTGTAGTTTCGAAATTGTGAAATTGATTTCACTCGTTCAAGCTTTTCTTTTCTTCCATAATGCGCATGATCTAGAGGATAAATAAAGCTCTCCAGGTCCTATGAGTATCAACTATAGTTGTTGAGCGGCATACTAGAGGAATCATAAAGTGGAGATTCTTGTAGTTGAATCAGTCTAGTTATTTCCTAAAGAAGCTTCTAGCCTCGTCAATCGGGAGTGTAGCTTATTATCATTCAATGAAACATATTACCAAAAGCCCAAATAAAATGAACAATTAATTCATCACCGTCCAGAACGATACGTAAACCAATGAATATGCCAGTGCCCATAACTAAGCTATATATATAATATTATTCTATATGATTTTATTTTCGCTTAGCTTAATTATATAATGAACGTTTGGCTAAAGTTGAAGATCAAAATGACGCAAGCAATGACTTGCGAAAACGAACTCGACAATTCGAACAGATGTCGTGTCATACGATGACGAAAAGGGCGTGTTAATGTATCATATATCCAGTCTAAGCTAACCAATCAGCTGGCTTTATTCACAAATGTTCCCAGCCTTATCTAAGTTGCTATAAGGTAGCTTAAATAAGGTGTAAATAAAATTTGATAGACACTTAGGTAAGCATCAATAATGTTACCATTCTTCATATGCATTGAAAGTAGAAATGGGTTTTAATCACTTGAATATGCTAAAAAGGAAAAACGCAAACTAAGACGACTTGAAATGATGATGACAGCGGATTTTTATTTTCAAAAAAAAGGCAATAATTAAGGACTGATGCTTGTCATTATCCTTCTTTTCGTTAGTTCTGATTGAATTAATTTCTTTTTCTACGGTGAAGCACCATAGACGGTTATCGTATTCTGATAATTTCAAAACGTACCAGAAGAGTAACCCATCGTTCTCTACTGAGTATATAATATCGCCATTTAGTAAATAACAACTGACAAGGTAAGGGCAATAATTGAACTACTCTAACGTCGATATAAGCCTCAAAAATAAAGCTGTAAGCTAAAAACTTGATAGGTTTGTTTTGTTCCTTATGATCCATCACTCCAAGTCGCAATGGTGTAGTTGGGA